GTGCCGACCAGTAGTTGTAGCTTCTTGGTTCCTTTGATGTGCATCCATGCAACTGATCTTACTTTTCCAGCTGTGCGCACGGTAACGTAGGGTACAAAAACTTCGCCTATTTCAGCATCCGCAGCGTTGACCTTGTCGTCAGCGTCAGCGTCGTCGTCCCCGTTCGTCTCGGTCTTGGCCTTCTCCCGCTTTCTTTTCCTCTTCCTGACCAAACTTTTCCGAACCTCTTCTGGCGTCTTTATCCGCCATATCTCAACGGCCTTCTCTGCGCCGTGTACGGCAATGTAATCGGCCTTGGCGTAAAAAGAGATGCCTTGTGTCCTGTCCTTGCCTGTCCGATATAGTATGCCTCTGGATGTAAGGAATTCTTGTTCTGCCCCTTCGCCAATGGTTGAACCTGCTTTTCGAAGGCCTGACTGGTCGATAGCCCATACTTTGAGCTCCCCATCGTTGCCCGCAGTTATGCAGCCGCTACCATCCGGCGAAACACCAAGTGCCCAGCACTCTCCGCTGGTTTGTGCAATGTGCGTCTCGATGCAGTGCTGAGTGGTGACATCCCAAATCTTGATCAATGCGTCCTTGCTCGTGGATAGTAAGAAGGCTTGATCTGCGTCCACGTCCATCTCTTCGTCGTCTGCGCCATCTTCTTGTGGAGCACTACCGGGGTGAAGGAACTGCAGGCCAGTGATTTGGCCTTTGTGCCCTCTCAGCTTGAATAAGCCGGTTTCCGAGACCAAGTCCCAAACCACGATATCCGTATCTTTGGAACCACTCGCTAGCCGTACTCCGCTCTGATCAAAGGTCAAGACGGTGACTGCAGACTTGTGCCCATTGAAGCTGATAATGACGGTCGAGGTTCGCGCATCCCAAATGCGTATGCTTCCGTCGGCGTAGCCCACGGCGAAGACGTCTGGGTCGATGTCGCTCCGACATATGACGGTGACTTCTTCGGTGCAAGTGTTGTCGCGCCACCTGCTCATAAGTTCACCCTTCTTTACATCCCAACATAGCACCTCCTCGTTGGCGGCGGTATATGCGCGTCCGGCGCCTGCGGGTCGATTTGAGCCGGGTTGCGTAAGGCCTTCTGGAGTCCAGACGATGTTGGAAGTGGCAGTCGCGACTACGCCGAAAGCATCGGTCTGCTCATACTTGCTATGTAGCAGTCAGTATGAGCTCTACTCGAGTTGCGCTGCACATGCGCATTACCTGTATGATTTGACCATTTTGCGCCGCCTCTACAAAAATTCGGATATTATGTGATGAGGACGTCTAAGGAAACTCAGAAGTAATGTCTTCAGGTCATTGCGCTCCCTATGCAATGTTTGCGGTTATGCGCCACTGGTAACGGTCGGGTTGGGAGTTGGTTACTTTCTGGAAACTTTTTAGACAAGGGCCAACCCCACGAATTGCGCTAGGCCCACCTTCCAGCATCACAGCACACCTCCGTCCTCCGCATCGCCGTCCTCGAGAGCTCCCCGCCCAACGACGCCAACCCGCCTACTAGAAGCTGAACCGCCAACATGCTTCTTCTCGACTACCAAAATGTCCTTATCGAGTCCCTGTTAAGAGAACGAATCAATGGGTGCGCAATACCCCGCTGCCTTCCGCTCCGCAGCAGCAGCCAGGTAGCTAACAGCACACAGAGGAGCTACAGCCAACATCGACCAGGTCGTCTCCGATTTCGACGGCGTCACCTTCCACATTTCCACTCCGGAGAGCAAGACTAAGATACTGGTGTCATTGCACATCAAGTGTTTCAAGGAGCTGGTTCAATATGGCGCGCAGGCAGTGCTGGAGCGAGAGTATGGGCCTTACATCGTAGAGCCCGAATCTGGCTATGACTTCTCGGTGCTCGTCGACCTAGAAAACCTGCCGGAAGAGCAGGGTATGGTCCATCGCCAGACCGGTGGAACAAGATGCTGACGGTGTGCAGAGGCCAAAGAAGACCTGGTTCGGCGCGTATCCCTCCTCAAACGGAACGCCATGGCTGCACCCTTCGAGCAAGCCTTCGACGAATTCCACGAGTTGCAGGAAGAAGCTTCGAAATACACATCTGAGTCGGCGCCGCAGGGTGTGGCAGAAGGCGGTGCCGTGCGCGCAATCCACTACAGAGAGGAGGAAGCCATCTACATCAAGGCGAGCCACGACCGTGTCACTGTCATCTTCTCCACCGTCTTCAGAGAGGAGACAGACAGGATATTCGGAAAGGTGTTCCTTCAGGAGTTTGTCGACGCTAGACGGAGAGCTATTCAGAATGCACCACAAGTACTCTTCAGGAACGACCCGCCCCTAGAGCTGCAAGGCATTCCAGGAGTCGATACGTCTGGTTCAGCCGAGATTGGCTACATTACATTTGGTATGTGTCCCAACATGATTTGGTGTACCCTTAGCTGACCTTCGCAGTGCTCTTCCCTCGCCATCTCGCCAAGCAACGGCGCGAAGAGGTTATCTCGCATATCCAAACCTTCCGAGACTACTTCCACTACCACATCAAGGCTTCAAAGGCCTTCATCCACACAAGGATGCGTAAGCGGACCGCAGATTTCCTCCAAGGCATGTTCTACCATCTTGCCTGCGTTACATTTATACTGACAGAAAACAGTTCTTCGCAGAGCCCGACCCGAGGCAGAGGAGAAGGAACGCAAGACAGCCAGCGGCCGTACTTTCAAGGTCCAAGCATAGATAAGATGGAGAAAATGATTCCAAACATAGCGCGGCACATGAGGTGCAACACTTATGCATGGCTACACGCTGCAGAAGTCTAGTCAATTAAAGAGGGTCATGTATGGCTGGTGTGAGATGAAGTACCAAGGAGGGCAAACCATGTAGATAGCGATTGAGACCTGCCTGGGATGCAGGCAAGAGCAAACCATTGATCACATCTATACCTACTTCTTCGATGCACCACACAATTCAACTATGCCATGCGGGGACTAGCGTAAGTCGCGACTGCCACTTTGAACGCGTCCTCTCGTACACACCCAGCTTGCGCCCAACAAGCGTTACCCCTCTTTCGCAAGCAACCACCATGTCTGAAGGAACAAGGCCAAAATACGACAATCTCCCAGGCATTGACACCGCCCCGGACATCTACGAAACCCCCGAACTCGCCGAAGACGTGTCTACAATACAAGCTTCCACCGCTGTTTCCGAATCCGACGGCGAAGGCGACGATGACGACCCTACGGATTCAGCAGTTCGTCACCAACGGCTCCAACCAGATCAGGCCCGTCATCGCTTTCAGCCTTCACGAATAGACGCCCGCGGGGTCGATTTCTCGGACAACATCACGGCCCAACGCCAATCCTACCGCACATCAACACGGCGCCAGCGACGGCGAGGCGAAATAATAGGGGATGACAGTGACGAAGAAGAGGAAAGCTTCGCCAAGAAGTTATTGCGGATCAAGAGGGAGCTAGCTGGGTTGGAAGAGGAGTACGAACGAGGGGTCAAGAGCGGGGACAAGTCGAAGATTGAGGAACAAGACCCCAAGGAGATGATGGAGATCATAGCGAGCAAAGTCGACACGATATACACAGCACACAAGGGTGGTGCGCGGGGCGCACAGGCGATACTCGACCGGACGGTACAGAGGTTCGAAAGCTACAAGCCCTTTGAGCCGAGCCCGAAAATCAGCAGTGCCATTGCAAATAAGCCACCATTACCAGGGACTCAAGTACAGAAGAGCCAGCTGGAATTTGTGCTGAACCAAGCGGCCGAGTTCGATAAGCGCATAACACAGATGGAAAACAATCTGGGCCTGAATGGAAACACGATGCCAGATCTAAGTGACCACACGCCTTTCCCTGTCGCCACTACCCTGACGAGGTTGGAGCAGACGTTGAGCTTGATTGGAGATGCTTCTACCAACAATTTGGACGCCGTTACGCAGAACGTCAAGAGGCTCACAGCAGAAGCGGAGCATTTGAAGGAAGTTCGGCAGGAAGCTGCACAAGCTGGTTCGACTTCTAGCGACACCAAGGCTGCGACCTATCCAGACCAGGAGGCCAAGATCAATGCCCTGTATGGAACATTGCCTTCTGTTGACAAGATATCGCCCATCCTGCCTATCGTCCTAGAGCGTCTGCGCACATTGCGACTCGTGCACACAAGTGCTTGGCAAGCCGATCAAGTATTGACTGAGCTAGAAAGCCGGCAATCAACGCAGGAACAAGAGATCAAAAAGTGGGAGCGTCAAATTGAGGTCCTGGAGAAGAACATGAAGAAGGCCGAGACGGCCATGGTCAACAACGTCAAGACTGTTGGGAACGACGTCAAGATGCTGGAGGAGAAGATGGCTAAGCTGCTTGCAGGAGGCCAGGATGACTAAAGTGCGCCATGACAGACTGTGACTTCGCAGCCATCACTGCCATGCATCTAGCTCAGCTGTACTGAAGTCATGTGGAGATCAACATCACACCAAGTGCTCGTAACATTCCTGTATCCAGACGCGCAGCGCTTTCGATGAACGTACCTAGTCATAGCATGTCGATCATTTTCGAGATACCCAATAGACAGTTGCTACTCATAATCAACCAAACACCTATCCTGTTTGTCTGTACTTCTCGACATGCTTTCGCATGACGATTGAGGAGCTGATCATCACGATGCTAAAGTTTAACGCGATCGACGCCACCGGACACATGTTCTCCAGGTGTCAACCAACCGGAGTGGTTGGCTCTCCGCACATTAGCGAATACCCATCCCGCCAGTCGTGAACGACGTCGTGGACTGCCGATTATAGTTCTGCAAGCACTGCCCGCTATCTCGCTGATCTGTCATCGGTGAACATGAGCACAAGACGTCCACTCTGGGAACTAATCTTCGTGATTGTGCTGTAGTTGGCTAGGTGGAGTGGTTGTGGTGTGAGGGAGGCGATAGCATCGGCAATGTCCAAAGCTTAATGCCGACTAAATTTATGTCCAGGTTTCCCTCGATCGCTCCTCCGCGACAATTGAACCTTTTCCCCACATACCTAGGATTGTCGCTAAAGCTCCGCAATGGCTAAGCGCAAGAATGAGGCGCCTGCGAATGGCAAGTCGAAAAAGAAGCGAGCTATCTCTGATGACGAGGCGCATAAGAATTTCCGCGACGGTCTCTTCGACAGCAAAGTACTTGAGACCTATACGAGCGAATACGCCGATTCGCAGCCGTATGCGCCAATCTCCACCTTCTTGAGCTGGAAGATACTAATTGAATCCATAGCTACAAGCACGCCGTAATCCACAATCTCGTCGACGATACGCTCCTCCGCAATGTCCGCAACGAAATCCGCGAGCACATTCATTTCACCCCCAAAGAGACAGATATTTACAAGATTCACCAATCTGGCGATCTTGCAAACCTCGATGGCCTCCACGACTCTGCGCTCAAGCGCTTGCCTTCCCTACTCACCCTCCGCGATTCGCTGTACTCGTCTGCCTTTCGCAAGTACCTATCTTCAATAACAGGATCTGGACCATTGAGTGGAGTAAAGACGGACATGGCAGTGGTAGGTTGCGCAACCTATTATATGGGGAATTGCACTGATTGGAGCACAGAATGTATACACACCAGGATGCCACTTGCTGTGTCATGACGACGTTATCGGAAGCCGGCGCGTAAGCTGGATTTTATATCTCCTAGATCCTGATATTCCATGGAAGCCGGAATGGGGAGGCGCGTTACGACTGTACCCGACCGAACATCTCGAGACACCAGAAGGCGACAAGGTTAGGGTACCACAACCAGATTTCTCGCTATCGATACCGCCGGCATGGAATCAGCTCTCTTTCTTTACCGTTCAACCTGGAGAGAGTTTCCACGATGTCGAGGAGGTCTACAGGAGAGGCTTGGAAGAAAAGGCAGAGGAGGATGGTGGACGTATTCGCATGGCCATTAGCGGGTGGTTCCACATCCCCCAAAAGGGCGAAGAAGGCTTCGAAGAGGGTCTTGAGGAGAAGCTGGCAGAAAAGAGTTCGCTTGCTCAACTTCAAGGAGGCAAGGCGGATGTTTTCGATGAGCCACAATCGCAATGGGTAGACAACCCAGATTGGGAAGAGCAGGCGAAACAAGAGGACGACGAGCTGACTGAAAACGACATCGATTTTTTGATCAAGTTTATGAACCCCAACTACCTGGTACCGGATACAGTGGAGGAGCTGTCCAATATGTTCGGCGACGAGTCTTCGTTAAGACTTGCACAGTTCTTGTCCAACAAATTTTCTGCACGGTTACGGGAGTACCTCGAGTCCAAAGACCACGAGGTGAACCCAAGCCTACCTAACAACCCACACTCCAAGGAGTCGATGGTTGGAGTCGCAAGACCACCACACAAGCAGCGCTATCTCTACCGGAAAGCAATTCAGCCCATACCAACGACGCCGTATCCTGAGAATGACGGCATGACACCGTACGACGACCTTGTCGACATCCTCTTTCCGCACCCGGCGTTCATGAAGTGGATTTCACTCGTTACTGGTATCACATTGACTAAGAGCAACATCTTTGCGCGCCGTTTCCGAAGAGGTCTCGACTACACCCTCGCGACCGCATACGAAGAGGAAGACCCGCAGCTTGAAGTATGCCTTGGTATCACACCCTCCCGCGGATGGGGCGACGAAGACGAAGAGCCCGAAGAAGCAGCCGAAGAACCCAAGCAAAATGGCAGCGGCAGCAGCAAAAAGAGCAAAAAGAAGGGTAAGGCAAAGGAACCCGAGCCTAAGCCTGAAGAAGAAGTTGGCGGCTACGAAATGTACATGGCTGGAGAAGAAGATAACGATCACCCCAACGTTCCTAATTCTGAAGCCTCGACCTCCACTGGTGCTGGTCAGCGTCGCAAAGCGAAAGCTGATCCTGCTATCTACAAGTCTGCTGCGGATGATGAGGACGATGGTATTCTGTTTAGCCAGCCGGCTGCGTGGAACAACTTGGCTATTGTACTGAGGGATCGCGGTGTGTTGAGGTTCACCAAGTATGTTAGTAAGAGTGCGAAGGGAGACCGATGGGATGTTTGTGCTGAGTATGGCGTGGAATTTGGGGAGGACGAGGATGATGAGGATGATGAGTAGGTGCATGTATGATGGGTTGGCATGCGCGAGGCTCAATATATACGCGCTCGTAGTGTAACGATATCATGAAAAAACGAGTTTTCTTTCTCGACATGGCGACGTTGTAGACTACAACCAGAGGATTCTTTACCTCCGCACTTGTTTAGTTTGTTCCTTGTATGGGGTGCTCAAACAAATAAGCCCTTCTCCACAGGCGCAAACTTTACTTGATCAGCCTGGATCTCCTCCAACAGATCATTTCCAGGGTACTCATCCAAGTCTAGATCAGTATAACCCTTTGGCGCCCACTTCCTTGCCGAGATGAAAAGCGACCGCCCATTGATAGTGCTGTCGCTCAAGATCCTCAACAGACACTGCCCAGCATCTTCAGTAGTAGCAAGCTGCACCCCAGCCTTTTCCACCGCATCAAAATCGTCATCCGTCAAGATCTTCGTGCGCACATACCACGGCGAGATCATATTGACGCGGGAGTCGTAGTAGTATGCTGTGCGACGGAGAGAGTGCATGATACCGCGCATCGCATACTTTGAAGCGCTGTATTGAGGGCCGCGTGGACAGTCGAGGTAAGCGGCCCCGGAGCCGATCAAAACGAGACAGGTGTCTGTCTGGGAAGGGTTTGGCGATGTGCCATTTTGGGTCATGAAGTAGTGCATTGCAAGTTTGCTGGTATAGAGGGCGCCGTTGAGGTTTACTTGGATGATATCTAGATTTGGCTTTTTGGGTGACTGGTTGGGACCTGGTCGATGGTTAGGAGAAAGAAACGAGTTTAAAAAGGGGTTGCATGACAGTAGACATACCATCGAATGCGAATACATCGTCTGCATGTACGATACCTGCATTCGCGACTACATAGTCAATCTTTCCAGAGGAGGATAATGAGGCAGCTTCGCTGAACAGTCGAACTTGGTCGTCCCAATTTGTTACATCGCAGTGCACGAAACGACAGTCCTTGAGTTCGGAGGCGAGCTGTTCTCCACGGTGGACATCTCGATCTCCAAAGCAAACTTTCACACTGTCTTCTAGTTAGTCTTTTATGATCTCATGCTGGTGAAGATGGTAGGAATAGAGACTTACCCTGCGTTGACCAGTACTCGAACGTACGCTTCCCCAAGACCACTACCTCCTGTTTCATGGGCTTAGCTATCTTTCCAACAATTGTAGCTGACGCTATTACTACTGAAATTGCAGTATCTGTGCCTGCGGATCTGCTTACCTCCAGTGACGACAGCAGTCTTTCCTCGAAGACAGCCGGCATCGAAATCAATTGTGCAGTCTACAGGCTTAGTGGGTGAAGAGCCAGGCATCGTGATAGATGGTTTGAAGATATTCAGTATGATGACCGAGCGAGTGCATGATCGATCAAAGGCGGATTTTGGCCCTCTTAAAGGTAAGGTGTCTGTAAGTCGACATAGACTGGCGTATATTGTTCTCAAGTGTGGTCGGGCAGGAATTCATGGAGTTATGAATTCGGAAAATGCATGCGGCTGACAGGCTTAGAGAGACAACTATTTAAGTTGTTAATCACCAATATAATCCGGAGTTAACGACAGTTGAACGGTCACACAAAAGATGTTGAGTATGAGGTCATAAGTAGCGTTAGGGTTAACGGCAAACTATGGGAACAGCGTCGCCAAGACGCTAATGCAACCTGCTTACACGCTGAAGCAAACCCCGAATATGCCCATGCTCCATCACAATTGAAATCAAGTCGCAGTATTCGACATGATCATGCAATAAAGGGAGTAACCAAGCCCATTGGAGTGGTATATGCGCTTTAGCAGCTCAACTGGACAAGCGTGATGACGTGCTACCACCCGGGTGGTGACCTCGGGATCGTTGCGGGTACCTAGGTCTTGGACTAACCCCAGGAGTGCCGTGCGGCATACACCACCTGCTGTATTACCGCTTTTGCTCAGAACCAGAGTTGCAGAAATTACAGTGGCGGCGAGAAAACCCGATTGGTATTCTTCCTATAAAGCAGTCTGGTTCTAATGGAGGCCGGAGACAGAATGCCAACTTGATCAGGATCCGAAATGATGTGCAGCCTTCCATCTGCAGAAGAAGTTGGCAAAGAGTGCTTCCTACCGACTATAGCGATCTACGATCCAACAATCGGTAGGAGTATGAGCTAGAACGTGACCTACTTCTCTCTATAGCAAGAGGGGTCTGTATCACAACCTACTCAACCCTCCGTTATCTCTGATGGTTGGCCGACTAAATTGGGTCCGCAGTCGTCCAGATAACATTCGAGGGCATGAATCTTGGCTCAATAACGACGTCCTGGTTCAGCCGTCATGGTAGGACCGTAGGAGAGATGAGTATAAGAGACGGCCATCTTGTGCCTGTCGCAACACTATCTCTTACTCCATCCTCGATTGTCTTCACATGTCCCTCTACCAATGGCTTCGAGTGTGACAGCCATGATGCGAGCAGTTGCTCAATTCGGCCAGGCACTCAATGTCTCAGTCGTCGACGTACCCGTTCCGACCATCCTCAATGCAACGAATGTCATCGTCAAGATCAACATGTCCGCAATCTGTGGAAACGATATGCATACCTACCACGTGGAATCAGGCTCGCCCGCGCATTCATACTACTACGGTCACGAGGCTATCGGCTATGTCACAGAAATAGGCGATGCTGTGCAATTCCTAAGCGTGGGTGACTACGTAGTCATTCCAGATAACCTCGACAACGGGAACTGGACCATGGAGCCTGATGTGTATGATCCACCGCTTGGTTTTGGTGGATTAGCAGGAGAGGTACTTCCTGGTGTGCAGAGTCAGCTTCTCCCAAATTCCTTCCATGGTCTTTCAGAACAGTAGACTGGCTATATTAACAGCGGAGTTTGCAAGGATTCCGTTTGCCGACAATTCGCTGATCCCCGTCCCTGTCAACGCAGGCACGAGTGAACCGACACTTATTGATTACTTGTTTGTTACGGACATCTTTTCCACTGCTTGGTCAGGTGTTATTTGGTCTGATTTCACGCCGGGAGACTCTGTTATTGTCTTCGGAGCCGGACCAGTTGGCCTCCTGGCCGCATACTCTGTCGTTCTTCGTGGTGCTTCCCGCGTCTACAGTGTCGACCACGTGCAAGGCCGTCTAGACCTCGCTACTTCGATTGGTGCTATACCCATCAACTACCGCAACTCGTCTGCGGTCGATCAGATAATGCAGAGGGAGCCTGGCGGCGTACGGGGGAGCGTTGAAGCTGTAGGCTTTGAGGCTGAGACAGCGAATGGCACAGTCGACTCGTCTATCACCCTGCGCGAGCTGGTCTAGGTAACGGCACCTGGAGGCGGCATGGGTATCGTCGGGCTTTTCAACGACACATTAAATGACTTCAGTATCGGCACCGCCTACGAAGCAGATTTCTATCAACGGCGGTATCGTGCTTCCTCCGCAGGATGTTGCTTCAGAACTGGTACCTCTCATTACTTCCGGTCGAGCGTGTCCTTCGTTCATTGTTAGCAGTATCATTGACATTGAAGAAGCACCAGAGTATTATGCGTGGTTCAGCAGGCGCGAGGAGATGAAGGTCGTCATCAGGCTTTGAATGGTTGACGTATGTATAAAGAAGCTTGATCTTTCAATGAGTTGTAACGAATATTCTAGAAGTATACACTATCTTGTATTTTGTTACTCTATCAGTATGGGGCACCGTGATCAGCTGTAGTGTAGATTATGTCCAGGACAGCTCAAACGATTGGGCTTTTCGGTACCTAGGAAGATGTGAATAAACCCGGCTTGTTCACAGATAAGCACAGATCTCAGGAGTAGCTTCTTCGTGCTACTAATGAGATGAACATGATAAAGTACCGATCAAATGAGCACATGGTGGTAGAAAGAAGCGAAGTGACGCGAACGCGAGAGGGCCGAAGATGCCCGATCCACGCGTCGCTAGCGCGTTGGACTGCAACACGTCCATGACTGCGTGCCGTTTCTTGCCCTTCTTGGATTCCAACATCGCAGTGTAGTCTACACGAACAGAGGTCCTGCTCGACAACCTCCGGATAGCATGGGCAATATGCTCCCGTCCCGTTGCCGAGGTCTAGCCCCACATCTCCCCACATCCATAGGTCAGCGCTCTGGGGAGCGACGTGGGGTGGCCGGGGACGGCGGATGTAGAACGATATGTAACCCGGGTACCTTCCAAGATCTTTATCAACAATCTTGCAAGACAGCATGCATGTGGAAAGAAAGATGCCAGCAGAGAAGAATGACCTACATCATCCCACGCTAAGACGGACCCTGCGCGGTACGCCTTCAGCATCGACAGTCCAGTTTCGCAACCTCAAATACGCATCGATACCAGCACGATACAAAGAATCGATTCCTGACGACAGGCTTGAAGTTGGGAAAGATGGAGTTTTTGACGCTACCAAGTTCGGTCCATCATGCCCACAGCTGCGTGGAGCTCAAGCATGGGACCTGACCTTGGTCGGAGATGCTGTCTTGCCTTGCGGCCATGGTCAAGGGAAAACAGAGAAGATGAGCGAGTTTGATTGCTTGAACGTGATTGTCACAATACCAAAGGGTGCTCTGAGCAGTGAAAAGAGCGGAGGGCGAGGGCTACCGGTATTTGTATGGGTCCATGGTGGTGGTCTCAGTATTGGGGCGAATAGTTGGCCACAGTACGATCTGCGTCGTTTTGTCGAGCGAGGTGTAGAAATCGGCAAACCCTTCATTGGTGTTTCGATCGAATACCGACTCAACATATTCGGTTTCCTGGCCAGCGAGGAGATTGGCGCGGGTGGAAACATGGGCTACAAAGATCAGGTATTGGCTTTTCGATGGGTCAAAAAGCATATTGCTGGGTTCGGAGGCGATCCGAACAACATCACTACTGCAGGAGAGTCGGCAGGAGCGATATCTCTATCAACTCTCCTCTGCGCTAATGTTGGGGAAGAGGGACTCTTCGAGCGGGTTGTCATTATGAGCGGCGAAGCATCATTGCGCAAATGGAGAAACAGGTGGTGGCAACAGAAGATGTACGAGGATCAGTTTATCTATTTAAAGGTAGACGGGAAGGACACCGAAAGCAGAAAAAAGATCTTGTTAGACACTGATGCGGAGGACTTGGTTCAGAAGCTGCCTTTGGCACAGCACTTCGCTGCGACAGTCGACGGTCAATTCGTGACACCTGAGGTCACGATTGAGACGATGTTGGATGGGTCAAGCGCTATACATAAGCCATCATGGTGCAAGGAGTTCGTGATAGGAGACACACAACACGATGGCCTCGTCATAAAGGGGCGACTCATCGACCAGCCCGATAGTTATGGAGGTCTTAAGAAGGCATGCCAAACACATCTGTCACCATCCGAGACGCACCAACTCCTTTCGGCGTATCATCTCGATGGCGAGTTTTCCAAGAAAGAAAAAGAGGACCGCATGTTGATACTTGGGTCCGAACTACGCTTCTATCTGCCTGCGTTGGCAGCGTATCGAGGGTGGAAAGCCTGCTCGCCACCAAGGCCTGCTTCACGATACCACTTCCACGTTCCTAACCCAATAGATGGCCCTCATAAAGGCCTTGCAGCCCATGAGCTCGATGTCGCATATCTCCTGCAAAACTTTGATCCTCACTTCAGCGATAACGATCGAAAGATAGCACGAGCCATGCAAGACCGGTTCATCAAATATATTCACGGCGAGGGATGGGTTGAGAATGGTAAGATGGTAGTGTTTGACAAAGATGGCATGGTTGACGTCGATGATGAAAAGTACGATGGGATGTATCGTAATGGAAGAGGAGCATTACTAGAGAAGATTGGAATGGAAAGGTTGTGGCGTGTCTCAGAAATGTGGCAAGGTGTGCGTCAAGAGGAAGAAGAGTGTCTAAGTTCCTCCGGCGATTCGAAGTTATGGTGAATATGCGTCCTAGCATTCATAACTACATTCTGGCCTGTCTATAACTTTTTCATTCAACTACCTTGGTGAGACCAAAGCTTAGAAGTCGTTTTCACCTTACACGACGTGACGTAGCAAGAAGCAAGCACCTGCCTACGAAACAAGTAAGGCCCATGTGACCACATTTCTCCAGCACTGTCGCACACAATCCTGCACAAAAAGGTCCGAAGGCTACACCTCTCTCTACTCCGTTTTCCATCAACACTAATTTCCTGTAATTGATCTTCAACGCCCTCTCAATGCTGGACATGAAACTTCGAAATGGCAAGGCGCTTGGCGCACAAGAACATCTCTCTAGGAGGAAGGCGAACGCTAGGTAAGTTAAGACAACTCTGTGCTTTCCACCAAGTTCTGAGCTCAACATAGTAGAACTTTACGGAACTAGAGGGCCTCACCACTTCTTTGCCTACCTGGAGAAATCCGCAATACCATCTACCGATACGCTCTAGGCGGCCACCACGTTTATTTAGATAGATATGTTGCCTCGAAAGAGATCTTCCTTAGGGCCCTGGATGGAGAAGAAATCCACAAAAGACACCTCCTCGCACTTGGACAGACGTGCCGGCAGACACACTCAGAGTCCGCACTCATGCTCTTTAGCCTCAACGACTTCTTCAGCGCGTTCCACTCGACATAGGGGCAACGACGGCGAAGACATGACCTATTCCAGCCAAGCCAGCGCAACCCGATACGTTACATTAGTGTTGAGACGTGTTGCATCAGGCACTTCAGGGCCTACGATATAAGCATTGTTACCACATTCGGCGGACTTCAGCGAATCACTGTATTGACTAGTAAGGAGTTGTTGACTGCTGAAAAAATCGACGAGGTAAATCGGGAAGTACCTCAGCTACTGGGAACCGGTAAGGAGGTGGCATTGAAAGATCGGGATGCTTTGTACGAGCGATAGACGAAGGCCTCTAGTGCTCAGTGGAGCCTGAGCTGGGATCATCCGCCTGGCCATCGTCCACTATAGGAGCGATAACGGTAGTAGTCAAGCAGATATGGAATAAATCAGATCTGTCGCTGGCAAATCCACCGTATCATTTATCCTATGTTTGAGCTTCATCGTCCTCTTTTGCGAAGCTGAGAACTGCAAATCCCGCGGAGTAGTTGCTTGCAGGCCCCGTTCCCAGCCTCTTGTAGAATAGTGTTATAACCATTGGGAAACGGACAACAAGAACAGTATGGAGGAAGGCGTTCGCCACAATGGCAGACGTACCTCATCGCTAGTAGGTGTCAACTAAGTAGTTCAACGCGTGTTGGAAAATGGTTTAATGCCCGGCGCCGGCAAAGAATGCGCCGACGCAAGGAACCACTCAATGAACTCGAGGATGAGATGTAATGGCCTGCGCATATACGAACAAGATTTCCTATCGCGGGCTTGCATTAGCCTCCAGACCAGGTGTCACTAGCGCCGTCTCAGCCAGCCTCATCTGGACGACGTAAATTCGAACCCTGGGTCTAGAAGAGGCTTCGCGCAATGGACTCAAGGTCCATCTTGGCACAGACCAAATACTCTCTAGTTGCGGATTGCACGGTAATTCATGACAGCAGCTTCGACTTGTGCCTCCGTATAAAACCTCCATTCCACCCCCATTATCTCAACCCGCAAGAAGCATTTGTAGTCGACCAATACAGCCTCGTCACAGCTAAGTGAGAACAACGGCGATGATGCCTGGTATCATTCTCGCACCGTATGACAACTCGATGCGCCTTGGTCAGGGATACAATTCTTTCTTACAGGCGCCATGCATTCAAGACGCTATGGAGTACGACAAGGCTGCCCTCAATTCCCAGCGACGAGAGGCGAATTCCGTGTCTCAAAGGGTCAGTTACGACTCACACCTAGTCGAAAAAATTTCGGAAGTACTCCAGACCATGAATATCAGTGCTGGGTCTACCATCAGGAACGGAGTTATCTCGCTGTCTGGAACTACAGTCCCACTCGATGAAGCGAAATTCGCCTCTAGTGACATGAATGCTGTGATTTCGGTGAAGGTCGGTAGAACTATCTAACGCACGTCTATGTTTGAGTGAGCACTGACATTGCTAGGTCATTAATCGTGCGTCTTGACACGGCTTTGATTTCACGTGGATGCTCATATAGTTACAGAGACAATAGGCCTTCATGAGGACGCTATCTTGTGAGCAAGGTTGGAGCTGCAAACAAAAGTAGACTAACGCACCTGCAAGTGCCCCAGTAGATCATGCTAGACGGCTTAACAATCGAGAATTCTTCGACATCTACGGAGACACCTATATCTCCGGTTCGACCAGCGCCCATTTCACACGTTTTGAGCGCTAACGTCGTATAGGTTTCATCGAGGGCGGTGAACTCAGCGGCATTGTCTCGGTCAAACTGCTCGATATGTCCGACAAGACAGAAGTTGAACAAGCGTAAGTCTCCTAATTTTATTCTTCTCCCTGGACGGATGTCACTAAACTCGTCCAGAATCAAAGACCAAATGAGCAGTGCGACGCCTCTCTCACACTGTGCTTCTTCAAACGCGGCATTGAGCCAGACTGAGACCACCGTTACCGTCAACTGGTCGGGTGGCGGTCAAATAAAGCCAGGTAAGAGAAACTCGGTTTCCAGCGACTTCTAAACTAATGTCAAGCTTGAAGAGGATCAGGAATGGACCTTTGATTCTCTCTTGCGGGCCGTCTCGGAATTCCCAGCCAGGGTCGCAGCGTGTCCGCAGAGAATCTGGGCAGTTTTGACACCATATTACCAGTCCAGGACATTTGTTGCTTGGTCCGAGAAGAACGAGATTACGGTGCCCCGATTCCAGGTCGCGCAAGCATATACGTCGGATCTGGTTGACATGTACATGTTGTATAAGAACAACTTGGCGCGAGTGCAGAGTGTACTCTTCGATCCGACGAACTACCTTGCCATCGATGGTGTCCCTCTTGCCGTGGAGGTTAATCTCCATGCCCTAGTGACCGCTCGAAAGCAGATGAAAGAAGAGATGAGGAAAATTGTGGCCGAAGTCGACAGACTGTAAGCGGACCCACGTGCTGTATGACCAGCTAACTCACAGTGTGAAGCTGCTACGATCCTGAGACTGTGCGCGAAATCGAAGAGCAGTCGAGGATAGTGCCACCGGAGATCTGGGCGACACGCCTGCCTATCCCGTCGCAGCAGCCAAAAGAGGCTGCGGCTGCAAAGACTCATAAGGCTTTGCAAGAGCTCCATCCAAGCAAAAACGGTCTACCTATATGATAGTGTAGAGCTAATGTCCATATAATGTTATATGGAGAAGAAAGACATGAAGATTCGGTGTCCCATGAAACGTAAGCGTGAAGGTGCTCGTTGTATTCTGTGTTACTACACTAAGAGCGTAAGACACGATGAGTGCCTCAAGAATATATTGTAAACACTAGTGTATGTACAGCTTAGTACACTCGCTTCTTCACCACCAGCACCACCATCGCCCTCTGCATCAACCCGAATCTCATCAAGCGCGAACTAGCACGCTTGCATCCACAATCTTCCGCCACTACCACCACCCTGATTACGATTCAACCATAGTGAAGAAGTACACATTACCGCACCGTATATCTCCAACACACGCACACGCTCACCAACACATAAAGAAATGGGTCTTCTCAGTGTGACATGTACACAGTCAGAGTAAAACACCAATGCAAGGGAAAGTGGATGAAGAAAAGAAGGCAATGAAATAATGGTGGGCTGCAGAAAGCGCTAACCTCGTGGTATCAAACACACTGGAAGAGAAAAGATGTCGAGACCATGTAACGGTCGATGTACAGTAAAGAAATCCAAGTATCCATCAGTGATCGCAATCAGTACATGCGGGTCCGTCTATCCGGCCCATTTAGTGCAATCAAACGCAAGCGATGCATGCGCAACTCGAGTTAACGCTAACGGCGGTCGGGAACTCCTGCATAATCAATACGGGGTAGCCAGTTGGGGGGAGTATCTTCAAGGTAATTCCGAAGAATCTCCTCCCTCAAGTGCTCCGGCATCGGCATTCGTGACCTCTCAATGCGAGTCGCAACGGATTGTACAGTTCTACTAACAGTCATGGCGGCTACAGGGCCATTGTCCGGGCCTTGTTGTGCTTCTCCATCAGTAGTCCTCGATGTGCCAGGAGGCCCACAAGCAATTAGATTGCTGGGGCCTTGGGTCCCGACAGGGTTCCGAACAGTTGCTCCGGCGGTAGCCGTCCTACATTGCCTAGCCGGTCTGGGTATGATGTTGGGGCCGGGGAATAACCCAATCGCTTTTTGCGGAACCATTCGATTACTATGCCGATGACCACGAGAAGGAAGGTGAGGACTAGAGCGATGGCGAGACCAATGAGCACAATGGCCCACAGTGCGAGGTGCTTGTCTGGAATTCGTTAGTACACAAGCTACGCACACAGATGGCTTGGGTGACTTACTTGACTGTCTGAAGAACGAATTGGGATTCTCCACAAACACAGAGGATAGGCTCCCAGGCTCCGTCGAACCATCCTGGCCCTTGGTAGCAAGAAGAAAAGGAGTGAGTGTAGTGCCGTTGAAGAGTACAGCAGATGCTGTGCCAAACGCATTTGTAGTAACATTGATCTGACCCATAAGGAGGAGATCTTGGTTGCGGTCAATGATGTCGGAGCTGCCATGGTTTTCGGACAAACTGAGAACCTGAATGCCACGGATGTCTGTCTTTTCACCGAACATGGACCCGTCAGCAGGCACCCACTTGGTACCATCGAATCGCTGCAGGTAAGCAATGCCATCGCTTCCTGTGCCAGCGGCCCAGAATTGGTCTCCGTTACTGTTAGCGATAGTGAGCGCAGTGACCGGACCAGGAAGGTCGTTAGCACCAGGAACGACAGTGAATTGCCTGCTGGATGAGTCGTAGGTGAGGATCTTAGTCTGATTGGTGCCTGAAGTAAGGTTACCCGCGATGAGTAGGCTATTGTCGCCGACCCAGGTAAGAGTTGAGACGTCGCCAGCAAGACCATTACCAGGGGTAGTCCATTGATTACGCTCAGTATTCCAGATGCACACGGCAGCACAGCTCAAAGCTCCAGCGGACTGGAATTGGCCTGCGACAAAGATATCTTTAGATTTGGGTCGTGGGGCGATGGCGTTTACGGTGACGTTGATACCCTGCAGCGGCGGTGGCTGGATGCTGGCGAACGCGTTGCTGTTGAGGTCGTAGGCGACAATACCGGCAACGCGGTCGTTGTCAAGCTGGCCGCTGATCATACCGCCGGCGTACAAGACATTGTCCAAGACAGCGACAGCCGCAAAGGTAGAATTGGCATCCAGCTCGTCGTCAAAGCCCGTTACTTTGTCGGAATCTTTGCCATCAATGATAATGAGGTTTGTGATGTTACGATTGTCTGCGCCCGTGGTTGCGAAGTGACCAGCGAGAATAGTCTTGTTCATGCCGTTCTCCTTGTAAAAGGTACCAGTTCGGACTCCAGTCGTATTAAGGTTCTGTCCCTCAACAATTGCTCGCTTGCGAGTGGAAGCCTGCTGTTGCTGTTGCGCTTGGATCTTGATAGGGAAAGCCTGAAGTGACAAGTTATTTCCACTCTTTAGCTCGGCAGTACCACTCGCGAGAAGAGCGCCAGATGATACGGATCCGCCAAACCAACGTTCACTTCCGGGAACATCAGCAAAAGTCATTAGTCTACCAGACATGGCGAGAGAGTAGAAGTCCAGGTTGTGCAGCCAGTTGCCACGAGAAGGCACCCAGACGGCAAAGTCGTTAACATTGGTGCTGGGGTTGTTGTCGAAAGCGTTGACCCGGCTGAAGAAGCCACTGACAGCGAGGACCTCCTCAGGAGTATTAACCGTGATGTTGAGCGAGAATGGTACCAAGTACAAGACAACACCGTCAACACCAGCCCCAAGGGGTTGCCACTGGTTGTTGCTGAAAGCAGCGACTCCACCCAGGCCTGCTACGTTATTCTCTATCGTGTTGGTGAAGTTGCCACCGACGTAAAGCGTACTAGCGTTGTGGAACATGGTCATGACCTGGTTGTTGAGTCCCTTACCGGGGAGGGCGGTGGGTTCCTGCGCTCCTTGTCGGATTGCGAAGATGTTGTTGCGGTCATCACTGCTGTTGAACGATCCGCCAACATACAGGGTCTGGTCACCAGCGGCGACAGTTGTGATTAGAGCCTTCTCGCGTGGAGCTAGGCTGGCACCGGCAGCATTGATGACCGAATCCGCCAAGTCGTCTGCATTCACGGTCTGACCAGGCTTGTACTCGAAGAGGCCGTTCAGGTTACCGGATGTGGCCTTCAGGAGCGTGAAACGCACCCTCTGTGCGACTATAGTCAGGGGACCAGGACCTTGGTTGCTTGCAGGCCGGAGGATGACTTGTGGGCGGGTGCCATCGGTGGCATCGATGTAACCGTTGTAGACTTCGTCGTACTTGTCGAAGTTGTTTGTCTGCCACAGCTCATGAGGAGGATCACTCTGACCGCCCATTAGTGTTGTAACGTTGACTCGACCGCGGGTGCCACAGGTGCCATCGCCCTGGCATCCAGGCGTGTAGATGGTAACGGAGTAGTTGCCGGACTGTTTGATGTCGGGCAGAAAGGTAACGCTTGCCGCATCGGTGTCGATGGGTGAGCCCTGCAGGGTTGTGGTGAGATACCTGGAGGAACTGTCGTGCGATGGAGAAATCTGCCATGAGCCAGTCGAGGTTGCTTCCGACCTGGACGTAGTGGGACCGCAGTTTTCAGGCTCGTTGAAATCGTCAACTGCATAGGAGTACATGGCGTCCTGGAAAAGCTGGATGCCGTTTAGACCAGCACCCTGACCCCACCAGTCCGAGATATCGATCCTGAAGGCATTCATACCGACGACGTTGACAAAAGTGAAGTCTTGCGCAGTGGTGTTGCCCTCAGGCAATGGGCATCTTGCGTCGCAAAAGGCCGGTCGTCCGCTCTCGGGGTCGGTGTAGGTCAGGTTTAGGATGCCACCGTCTGGAAGTGCTGTGAAGCGGAATGTCTTGCTACCACGGCCCTGGTAGTCTGTGTTGTAGAGCCTCAAGCTCGTTGGTTCGAAACCAAAGCCAAAGTCGGCCTTCCAGAATCCGGGTGTTCCGTCGGCGAGCAACCACGTCGAGTCGGCGCCTTGCGTGGAAAAATCGGCTTTGCATGCAATGCTCTTGGGGTCTGAGAAGCCGATCAGGCCGGAGCTCGTCTGGGCGGAAATGTCTGCGCTGCCAATAGGGATAATTTGGGTGTTGTTATCGCTGACCACGGTGGACGCATTTCCACCTAGGCCGTTGAACTCTCCTCCGAATATTATGTTGCTATTAGACTGAATGATGGAGTGGATAGGGCCGTTGAAGCCATTGAATGACAGGTCTTCCCAGCTATTCTTCCAGATTAGTGCATTGGATGAGTTTGCGCCTTCCAGACTTCCTCCTACGTAGACCTGACCGCCATCTCTATCACAGTATAGTGCGTTGACGGACCCTGTGAGACCTTCCAGTGCCTCAATATTGCCGTTGGCGGGGTCGAGCATCGCAATGCCTCCGGGGGTGATCAGGTTGTCGACACCGGTGAAGTTACCTGCAAACACGATTCGCTCTGCGCCATTAATCTGGAGGGAGCACATGGCTTTGATATCACCGTCTGTGCCGTTGATGGTCGCAAATACTCCATTGGGGTAACGTGTGAGAAGTGCTCCATCGCGGCCGGGATATGTCTGACTTTGGCCTTCATATTGGTATAGTGATATCGAGTCAAAGTCTCCGGCAAAAGCTATCCGGCCTAGATCGTCAAGGTTGAGGTTGGGGCTTGGGACTGGCTTGAAGCTATATGCGGTAGCTTGCGATGCCACCAGCAGCGAAAGGGTGAGCTTGCCGGCCGCCGTGCGCAGAAGGTCAGCGAATGACTCCTTCATGGCAGCGGTGAGTAGCGAGGTCGATGTAAAGAATAATGGGTAGTAAGACAGTGTCTGAGGCGACTGTTACGAAGAGGAGGTGGCCAGGGTAGGCATGGAAACGGGTGTCGGTGGGCGGGGAGGCAGGTGCGGTTTGCTCAGGGTCGTCGCGATCGCTGGATCGGGTTGGCTGGACGTCTGTAGGTCCCAGTGTTGCTGCCAATTAGCCTGGGCGAGGACGCGCGACTGTCTCCGGAGTCGATTATACACGGCAGGTGCGAGGGTGATGGGAGTCGGTCGCTCTTGCGATGCAGGCGTTTACGGGTGAGGAGCTTTGCTTGGCGCACGGTGAATGTGACTGTGATGGTACGGGAGATTGTATTAGGTGCAGTTTGCTGCTTTGCTGCTCGCTTTGCTGGGTTTTTTCCTGAAACGAATGACTGAGGTGAGGGATGCGCGTGATTGAAGGTGTCTGGGAGCCGGCTTCCCACTGTGGCACTGCTTTTTGGGAAGGTTGTCAGAGGAGCCGTCACTCGCGTTGAAGGGAAGGGGCGCCCGGAACTGGAAGCTGTGCGCTGATGAGAGGCTGCCAAGTGCTGACGTTGATTGGTGGGGACAGTGGGCTAGTGGATTCTAAGATTGATCCTGCAGTAGCGTGCATGCGCGAACTGCGACGATGGAGTATCGATTCGACAGAACAAACACGGACAATTCAATCATGCAGGGTACTCGCGGTAACACTCACTGAAGTCCCCTCGACGACGATTGTTGGGAGCAAAAGAGAAGAACGCGTCGGTCGTTGCGCGGTCGTTGTCCAACTTGCCCCCTTTATCCCAGCACGCGCAACTTATAACGCCCGCTATATAGCCGCTGCAGGGCGGTGCAACTAACAACTTGACGACGCACCTTCCCGTCATCGTGGCTGGGGTAGTACCATGTTCTTGTGCGGTACCCAAATCATCAACGATCTTTGTGTGACCATGGTCACACATGTCTTTCACCATCCATCGACAACAGCACTGTTCAGTAATATTGCTCTTCGGCACCTTTTCTTCTTACACCCGAGACTCCTAGGCGTTTGGCATTAATGCCTGAGGCGCCCAGAACTCCACTTTGAACATTGTGAATGTAGTGTCATTTGACAATTTGCGCCTCGTCGCAGCATACTGTCGTTGTGATATACTCTGGCATTACTCTTGCCACTCATCTCAAACTTGTTTGATAAGATAGGTTGATGGTGCGATCGCGATGTATTTTCTTGATCATAACGCACGGCCGCCTCTTATACCCTTGTCCGTATCGCTGTCAACGGCCACGACGGCGTGTTTCACAACATATCCCGGCCGCTTCTGAGACCCAACCGTTATGCTTGACCCGGTCGAGCAAAGTCCGACCCGCTTGTACCAAAAATACACCCGAGGCCTTCTCGGATCTAGATCATGGAGCGCGTTTCAACGCCAGGCAGCGAAGGGCAATGTCTGCAGCAAGACAAACTATACATTATTATACTAAGAGATATTATCGTCATGTATCCGCCTAATCAACCAGACTGAACGCCGCGCTGATGCTTAGAAAAACAAAAACTCATCTATATCGGCACTTGGCCATCTTACATCATAGGCTGCTCCTTCTCGACATCCACCACCTTGTCCTTGTCCAAGAATCCTCTCTCAGTGTCCATGGCACCATTCATGTCGTAAGCCTTGATGAACCAACTGCCAAGGAAGGCCACTGCACTGAAGACCAACATGACGATCCAAATGTATTTTAGTGCATCCGTGTAGCTTTCCCTAAGCTGCTCCCTCATCTCGCCGACAGGCATCTCCTTGATGATTTGGACCAGGCCCGCTGCATCTCGAGAGTACTCGACTGCCAGGTCAGCAAGAAGAGGGTATGTAAGCATCTTCTTTTTCATCTGGTTCTGGAAGATGACGCCGCCGATAGCAACACCAAGCGTTTGTCCAAACGCGCGGAAGAAGGAGAACATGTTCGCGGCATACGCCTGGTCTTTGGCGGTGGCTGAAGCTTGTACGGCCAAAGCCATGGCAGGAAACAAGATGCCCGTCCCTAAACCACCAACGAGATTGAGGAAGATCCAGGAGACTGTCGACGTGTTCGGCTTGAGAACGATAAGGAGGCCCATGCCGAGAGTAGCAAGGAACCATCCGGCGCGGTTTGCCCATCGATATTGTCCTGTGACTGCAATCGCGATACCAGTTGCGACTGAAGCTGGAGCCACAGTGAAGGTCCAAGGGAACATTGCAACTCCGGCAAGTATCGGACCGAAGCCCTTGACGGCTTCGAAGTAAAGTGGCATGTAGTAAAGGATAGCCCACAGTATGATCCCGTGAATGACCGTAGAAACGTAAAGAATGGCAGCCGACATGTTTTTGAACACCGAAGTGCGGATGAGGGGGTTGACGGCAAAGAACTCAATATACACAACGAAGACGACCATACCCACGCCACAGACGATGAGTGGTACAAGAGTACGCCACGAGTCCCAAGGATACTGCACTCCGCCCCAGGTGACAGGAATTAGGAAGCCGGTCGTTGAAGCAAGAAACAGCACCATGCCAATCCAGTCAACCTCTCGAAGCTTGGCAAGGAAGGAGCCATGCTTCTGATTGAGCTTGAGGAAGACAGTAATCAAGGCAGCACCGAGGCCAAGGAATGGTAGGTTTATCCAAAAAATATAGCGCCAAGACACGTTCTGGGAGAATCCACCGCCTGTGTATCGTTAGTACAATCACTGAGATATGGCGTGTACTGCTCACCAAGAAGGGGCCCTGCCACGGTGCCGACCGACCACATAGCTCCGAAGAAGCTGAACCACTTTCCTCGCTCACGGAGTGGTACGGTATCGACCACGACCATTTCAGTCAAGCAGATAATACCACCACCACCGACTCCTTGGATGGATCGACCAACTAGGATGACGGTAAAGTTGTTGGCTACGGCAGGGATGATTGAGCCAGCTAGGAAGAAACCTAGACTGACGTAGATCAGTGTCTTGCGTCCAAAGATGTGCGAGAATGATCCAAGGACAGGCTGAAAAACGGTCGACGTCAACAGGAAAGAAGTTCCGCTCCAGAAAGCTTCAATAGCAGATCCGCCCAGTGCTTTAGCCATAATCTGCAAAAGAATTAGCACAGCGAAGAGCACTTGGTCTGATAAACTTACTGGCAGCGCGACTGATATGGAAGTGGCATCCAATGCGGCCATGAGTGTGATGATACAGAGACTGCCAAAGGCAGCCAGGAAGCGCCATCCAGGCTTGAACTTCTCAGGCTCTGGGACACTGAGCCTCTCAGACGTTGAATCGCTCAAGGGCTCTGATTGGGGTATCTCGGGCTTGAGTTCGTCCCCCTGGGACTGCGACGAAGGGGTGGCCATGGTATGGTGGTTACTGAACAAGATGAGGAGATAGCTGGTCTAAGTATACAAGATGGATACGATGCTGAAACAGCTGAATGGCTTGCTATAATAATGCTCAAGGTGTGGTTGTTTAGCTGATTGTTGCTTTTGGCTCAAGTGCAAGTCTAGATATACTTGATGTATGTAAGAACTGCGAGACATGACGGACGAAGTAACCACTTGGTCGGCTTAGAGTTAGAGCGGTGAAATCCTATACTCACACATCTCGGGACAACATTCAGTGTAGAATCTGTCGACCGGACATGTTGCTCGAGCCGCAGCTTATCGTACTAACCACTTTGCTTCGTTACCTTGTCATACGCGAAAAGCTGGTCAGTGCAGTTGGACTTTGGCTTACTGTCTTACCCGAAGACACGGCCAGAATCTGTAAAACCATCGTCCGAACCAATGATAAGAGAATCCAAATATTTTGTATCTGGCTCATAATGCGATGTGGCGTTATGGCGTAAAACGTGCAGCGTGCACGCGAAGCTTATTGACGAACCGCACTCAGTGCTGGGGCGGGGAGTTATTCATCCGATTTTAAGCCAAGCTGGACTGGCGGACTTTCGAGTCCTCCCGGTCACGTCATGACGATGTTGTTGCCTGGAAAGATAGATTTCCATCGTATCAATCATGGCAATACGACGGTGCAGATACTGCAATGTGTACCATATCGATGTTGGTGCAGGTGAGGTGTAGTGCAGCTCACAATTGTTAAAGGGCCGAAGACGGGAATGGTTGAGCGCTAATCACGGATCCGGTGCACAGGCTTGGCATTGCTGGGACGCGCGAAGTGACGCGTTGCATTTGTCCCATCAACTTCAGCCAACAACGGTGTACATGTCAGACTGGCCATCATGCCACCTATGACCTCGAATCGGTGTTTGAATAAGGCATTGTACTTTTGTAGGCTAGCACCCGGCGGTGACTGCATGTTCACAAGGAGCCACTTGGGTACTGCTCAGGTGGGCTTGAGGAGCAGCGCGCTCCAGATGCCTGAGTGCCTCAACGATTTGAGAAGCAATGTGGATATTGACGACGAACTGGCAGTAGAGTGACTGCGTACAGGTCTTGTTTGGGCCAAAGCGTGGCTGCGTTCATCTCGCAGTCATAAAATTGGAATTGCTATTGACCTTTGTTTTGCGATAGGGCACCCCTAAGCGAATCCGCTTTTGTCAGTCAACACATGTGATGCTCGATACACTCGTCTTTGTTTGGAAGTCTTCTAGAAGGCTTTTAGAGTAAGTACTGTGTTCTAATGTTTTGTATTTGCTCATGACGACCGAGGAAGAGCGAGAGTATCTATGGTACTAGGTTACACGTCTTGGAGTTATCACTGTCCAAAAGCATGGAGAGAACCGTGGGGTCATTCAAATCTTTTATTCGAACAGTACCGCCAAATCCAAGCACACGGAGCGACATCTCACCATTGTCTCCAATTGATCAGACATCACCGCCGTTATTTGTGCCACCGAAACCGAAACCAACGGATAGCGCTGTTCATGTCACGTCCTGGAGAGCGCCCACTGAATGGAACCTAAACCCACCTAGTCAACCCTCCCCGATATATCCAGTCTCTACGGTTCGCAGTTACTCTCCACTGATCCCGGAACCTTCTCCCAGCCCCTGCAGTTCACGAACAGGGTCAGAGTCCTGGCCACTTGAGACGAGGGCCGTTCAATCCCCGCGACTGCAACCAATACATCAAATTCTCGAATGCAGACCGGAACCGCCACTACGTACTCCGACAAGATCCCCGCCTCCCCAGGCGCCCTCGTTTGAGAAAAAACCCAAGTCTCTTCTTTCGCCGATTAGAGACAACCCATCTGGATGCTTATCATCTAACGCTGAGGCCGCACATCCGATTTCGCACTCTCCCTTGGAGCCGGGACTGCAAGCCTGTTCAATACCTTATGCAGACACGATATATCAGATATCGGATGCTCCAAGGAGAGCGAAAGCATATGCATCGCTAGGAATAATGTGGCCGAGAGATTCGAAGACCGGATGGCAAAACTGGCCTGCCGCCCAGCACGCCGACAGGATTGCAGAAATATCTCAGTTATTGCAAAGAAGGAAGCTCCCACCGTTGTATCCCACAAGCCCTTTTCTGGACGATGAATTCGAATATGAGGAGCTAAGTGATAGGTTGCAGCTTTCGAGCTTCTCGCAAGACTATCATGATGTGCTGGCGGACCAGTACCACGAGTGCAGAGCTCCTCGGCCTCGAAGCAGCTTGATGAGTGTAGCTTCATCGGGGCTTCTTACGTGTGGCTGCATATTAGTCCCAAAATTTCGATTGAAATCCCATAAGCTGATATCACAGCGCCTAGCGTGGAGAAAAGGTTCGGGCCGGCAAACAAAGCACGAAAACTCAACCCTTTGGACACCATTCCGCCAGTTTGGTCAAGATGCCCAACGACCGTCTGTTGATGGAAACGTACTACCGTGCTCTACAGGGGAACATACAATTCAACACCGTAAGCGCACACTAAACATCATGTCTTACACAAAAGGCTCGAGAGCCAACAAGAGACGTACCGGATCTATGGATACCGCAGATGCCGAAAAGCCACCCCACATATCGCGGGAAATGGCTTCTGTTTCTCCTTCTCAAGGGTATCGCAGTCTCCTGATCCGTTTTCCTAAAGGGTTTGCCTTAGTGCGCCTGTCTCGAGCCACATCGCACGCCGAAGCGACGAATAGCTGGGATGTTACTCCACCTGAGAATCAACGACAGAACTCGAGTGCAGTATCTGACTACCCCTGGCGGAGGTCATCTTTCTATAACACATCTCCGCCTTCTTCTCCATTTCCTTACGATATTCCACCACCGCCTCCGGTCAGTGCAGCAAGAGTCCCAGAATCTCAACCAGTTCATCCGTCATCTCAAGCTAGCGAAATTTGGGTTGAGGAGAAATACGATAGTGTACTACCAGACGAAGAGGTTAGAAGTCGTGGTCTCTTGAGCAGAGCACGGGATGCGCGCGACGCCTGGCGGAGACATCAGAGAGAGGTCAAACATGATAAAATTAAGCAGAGTATCAAAGTGCTTGGTCTTATGGATCCGACAGTAGCAGCTAGCTATAGGAAATCTTGGGGTATACGATCGGGGAAGGTCGTAGCGACTAAGATAGAAGTCTGAGCAATATCCTTAAGAGCCCAGTGCAAACCTTAATACACATCTTGTGATACTTACTTACTAAGAATAATCTATAATATGAATTCACATCACTCAAGCACGAAGCTGGCTCTCTCTTTGCATCCGAGGCTTAAGTCCGAGCTAAACCCGGCAGCAACTCGCCTGAGCCAGAAGCGACTAGTGCAGCTGCTCTATTCTCGTTCCTTCTCTCATCCCGCCTGAACACCTACATGTACACTGCATTGCTTCGGCACCAGAATCATATCGTCTCGCAATGCAAACACTAACCCTACCTGCTTCTGTCAACAAACGCAAGCAGGCCTGCAAGAGCTGTCGGCAGCGCAAAAAGAGATGCGGTGTAAGTTCACACTATCCTTGCATGTTGGCTAGGGGCTGATGGTAAGTTCCTTACCACAGGCAGAACACCCGAGTTGCTCGTTGTGCAGGAAATGGAATCTCAAGTGCGAGTACGAAGTACCAGCCTCAAGCCGAGGCAATCACACATTACCTGCGAGTCGTTCAGGAAATCATGCACCAGCATCACCGGCTTCGACTCTCGGTTTCGATCGAGTACAGCTGGACCTACTGGACTTTACTCAATTACCCGGCATGAACTTCGATCTTCCCGGGTCTTTTCCTTCAGAATCTGTAGCTCCTAATATACAATATCCTACACCGGGATCTGCTGTGGAGCAGTCGGACAATATGCTAGACTTCCAGATATTAGAAAGTTTCCAGCTACCCCCACGGCATGACATTACTCAGCTTGCCAAGCTCTTCTTCGAGCACCTTTACCACGTGTTTCCTTGTTTTCACAAGAAAAGTTTCCTAGCGAAGTTGGAGGGTGGTGACTTGGAGAAAGATGCACCGCTTCTTCTGTATGCCATCTGCTGTGTGGCGGCCAGATACCACCCAGAACAGTCCATTCGGAAGCGCTCGAAAGATTGGTACGAGCAAGCACGCTTCTCTTACGAGCTCACCCGACGCAGACCGCATCCTCCTCTGCGCACAGTCCAAGCCGTATTACTTCTTGTGTTTCAAGCTTTGACCATCGGTGATTACTCCGCTAGCTGGCTTTTCCTAGGAAAAGCCTGGAGGCAGGCAGTCGTGCTCGGCCTAAACCGCATGGATGCTAGCGACCACCTCTCGGATGCAAGGGTCGACAATGAAAACTCATGTGCTTTTGGTAAAGCAGACGCTCACTCAACAGTCGAGCGAGAAGAATACCGACGAGCACTCTGGTTGCTGTTCATGATGGATCGAATGCATGCATGGCCAACAGGCTGGCCCAACGCGATACCAGAGATACAGTTCAAGGTCGATATGCCGGTCGCCGATACGCTGTTCCAGAATATGGACCCAGATTTGAGAGAAAGCTCTTCCAATAACCTGCCATTTACGAGGAGTTTGCCACGCCTCATAGACTCTGCGTCAGCTACAAAGGGACCACTAAACGTATTCCACTATGTGATCGTCGCACACATCCTGCTCGGCCGGGTCTCTGAACTAGTATATTCTCTACATAACGCTTCAGATAGCCTGGAATATGCTGAAGACTGCATTGAGCTGGACAACATGATCGTGAAGTTTCGACTCAGTCTTCCACGTCCAGCAAGTTCGATTCTTGAAGCGCCGCCAGCTGACCGTGGTCATGTCGCGTGGCTACATGTCATTCTCAACACCATGACCATTCTACTTCACTATCGATCCAACAAAAACGTACCAGTCCAGGACGCAGTGTCACAGTTCACACTTGCTGTAATAGCAGCTCGTAATATTGCACAAATCATCAAAGATGCGTCACGCATATCCATCGACCTTCTACTCTCCGCGCACATCGGATCGTCACTTTATGTTGCAGCCTGTGTCCTCGTTATTCAGTGGCGTCTGACTGGCGATAGCAGCTTTAAAGAAGACGTAGATTTGTTCACACTTGTGTTCGAGCGCATGGATGAAGTGTCCAGCTTTCTAGGTCTGAAGTTCAAGATAGCACTGGAGCATGACCTGCAGAAAAGCCTGGAAGACCTTCAGAGTCTACGGGAGCGCGGCTTCAAGGGTATGATAGCTGACTGCACAAAGTGGGATCACGTCAAGAAAGAGGTTGAGAGAAGAGGCATCGAAGTCGATCTTTCATGAAAGGTGTTAGTAGCGACTCAACTATGATTATGAAGACGATCGTTTTGTTTGAAGTTGTACGCAAAACTAAAACACACCCTAAATGGTACATTTTTGTTGGTCTTGGGCCTCTACAAGCAAAAGGCCTGGCGAACACCTTAGGGTTGGTGTTTAGGGCACAACTGGCAAGAAAAATGCTTCTTCGTACAACGGATGATGCTATGAGCCCTATCTCGGTAGCTCGGTGCTTGAACTACTCACTCAGTACCAACCAGTAGCCGTCCGCCGTCACTGTTAATCTGCGTCCCGTTTGCGAATCTATCCTTCATAATCCAGGCATACGCCTCTGCGATGTCTTCTGGTCGTCCAAATTCTCCCAGCAGACTGAACCCCCTCTTCATCTTCTCGATAGCCTCAGGAGAGGAATTATCCAACAGACTTTGAAACAATTCCGTATGTATTGCGCCAGGATTGACGACATTCGTTCGGATAGGAGCTAGATCTACCGCAAGACCGCGGGTCAAACCCTCAATCGAGCCACCGATTGCTGCGCCTAGGGTCCAGTTGGGCATTGGACGGTGCGTGTTTGTGCCTCCTGTGAGCGTAATAGAGCTGCTGGAAGACTTGGGCATGTATCCACCAGTAGCGATGAGTTTGGCCAGCGCACAAGGAGCGAGAAAGCGGACTGTGAAGCCGTCCATCACCGTATTGACGTCCATTTCCGCGACTTTGGGCGGTCGGAGCGCATCGCCTGCTGTGAATGCGATATGATCGATCTTCTTTTTGCCACCCTCGGTCGTCTTGTCAAGCATAGCCTTCAGGTTGGATTCCAGGTTCTCCTTGTCGAGAAGGTCGACAGCGAAGCCTACTACGTTAGAGGCTGGGGAGTTCGGGTACAGAGATCGCAGCATCTCGACTTTGGTATCGACCTTCGTTTGGCCAGACCCGGATATGGTTACAAGCGCGCCGGATGAGAGGGCCATGTTGGCAATGGCATATCCGATCCCCGAAGTGCCGCCAAAGACGAGGACGTGGGTGTTTGCGAGACGGTTTTGGTGCGCCATTAGGGATTATGAAAAGACTTCGAAGGATTGATCGACGGGTGCTTTGTTAGAGTGGAAAAGTACAACGAGTAAACTTATAATACGCTTCAAACGTTGATATGGCTGTCGCCTTTATATATGGTAGTCTGACAATCCGTCGACGGCCTCACGCCTACTAGCGGCGGCAAAAACGTAGAGAATCCAACTCAGCATCATGAAAACACCCCAGTCTGGCGGCGAGCGGCGGGCTCGGACATCCTATGGCGGTCGGTCGCTGTGCATAGAGAGTTGATGGCATGGCGGGCTGGCGGTGACGCTAATGCATGAGCGGTGTGGCGGGGCATTCAAACCACTTGCGCACTGTTACGCGTCATTACGGCGGACGAGGAACCTGCGAAACCTACTGTTTTATTCTCCTGCTCTACCACAAAGATCGCAAAGATTGTTTACAAACACACTGTTATAGTCAACTTCTTCCTCAAGCTCAGTCATCAAGGCGAAGACTCGATAAAAATGCAAATCTCAATCCGCTAAGACAGTGACCGCGAGCGACCAAGCGCTGATACGATATATCTCACCAAAAACACACTCGAAATCTAGTTCGTGCTGTTTCTGTGCATCCACGTGAAATAGGGGTAGGGACCAGCGAAATGAACAATGCATATTTCGTGACACAACATTGAGCGCAGCTCTCGCATATGCAAATCGCTAAAGGGTGACTTTGCGAAGATGCCACCGAAAGAGTGAATAGACTGAAGAGTGATACGAAATTCCGAGGTCTACTCTAGGTAACCGCGCTGGGCCCTTGGAGACGTTTTGTAGTTGCCCAGCGTCATGTTGAGGCTATCCTAAATCCCTAAGGGAAAGTTTTGTAGTAGTTGTCTAGGGTGATGGATCCTGAAAGATTACCCGTACGCCTTCCCCTTCCTTTTCCATGACCTTTCCCCTCAATACAGTACGGAAATCTTGGTACCGCAGCTGAAAGTGATAGGACATAGGATCGCTGACATGTATCTCTTCAAGCAAGGGAAGCTTCCATCTAAAAGATCTATTATATGTGTTCCAAAGATAATAACGGATATCCTCAATGTCCGGCTTTATGTATCGTATGGAAGAAAGCTGGGCGGCATTGCGCTGTCCGAGCCATTCAACGAGTATGCCTAGAGTTTGGTGTACGAAGTTAGTAAATCTCTCACATGTAGTTCGCATATGTAAGTTACGTACCACGCGGTCCATTGTTGCTAAAGCGTTGATCTCGACCCTGTGAGCTGGGAAGTATGAAAGTGTTGGTGGCGTATGATAGGGTTGCAGTCTCCGCATAGATCTGACGGCAGACTTCCGGGAGGTGAAAAGCTGTGCCCTGAGCCAGAGCCTTGAGACGGCGATCCCCTAGGTGAGTCGCTCGGCCATGCCAGTATGAGTTGGAGTTGTCACGCCACTTCTTTGATGTTCGATAGACGAATGCGCGCTGGACGTGGATTTCGTTTCCGCCGACTGCGTACCGGAAGATCATGTTCCTGATCTCTGCAGGTAGACGAAGTAGAGGGGAATTCCTAGCATTCCTTTGGGCGCTGAGCATGTTAGCGGAAAAAATCGCCAGCACTTGAGTGTTATGCCTACGCTTCAAGGAGGTAGTCAGGGGTCCTTTCCATGCTGACAAGTCCATTTTTGAGAAGGGTCACGGGGTAAGTACGACCTTGCGGAGGCTTGGGCCTATTGAGGTTCCGGGCGTTTGTAGGCTCCATAGTCGCGACCTTCGTACGCGATTGTGAGCGCTTGCTGATTTTCGTAGGCTTGAACGTGTTTGGGGCTGGCTTCTTCGCCTTGACCGATCGGGAGGATTTCGCGGGCGCCATTACAATGGTTGATTTGATGGTTGATTTGGTAAATGAGCAGAAGGTTTGAGTTGATGTGGTTGGTGAAGTTCGAGCGCGACAGTCATGGGAATTGTAGTTCGAAGAAAGCGATGACGTACGTGAGAGATATATTCCAGTGCAAACGAGAAGCACGAGCGCGCTTGACAAGGCTTCGACTCGAGCAATCACTAGGTATACTTTCCTATGCACTTACACTCCCACCTCGTACCCTGTATCCATGACCGCTGAGGCTGTATCAACGATGAACGAGTCAATGTATCTCACGTTGCCGGCGCGTCTGGCTTATTTGTAAGACCCGTATCAGTTGCTAAACATAAGATGAAAATTGACTTCGCGCTTTAGCACTGGGGCGAACTCCCGAGACTCACCACTGCTGCGGTTGCCTGCCAAACTCCGCAATCGAATCTACGACTATGTTTTTGACGCTGTGAGAATCAGCATCCAGCGAGACAATGACGACTACAAACCACAGCACGCTAACACTATCGTTGGCGATGAGGTGAAGGCTCGATTCCGCATACCGGCTACCTGTCGCCAAATCTACGCGGAGGCAGCCGTCTTAATCCATCGCTCCGCCATCCACGATCCAAGGAAACCTATGATCTGGATGGAGACCTTACCGGCGAATATCAGAGAGACTGTAAAAAATGTATTTTTATCAAAATCATATTGGATCTCTCCTGCCTTGGCGGGAAGATCTTGTTGGTTTCTCCATCTCCTGTGATATCGACGTAAATGGGAGAGTAAGCAAACGCATCACTAAAAAGTGTTAGCAACCTTGGAAGATGACAAGCATAGGAGAAAACACAACGATGACAGACCACATGCTGAAGAAAGTTATGCCCATTTGATGGTTGAGATAATCCAGTCGTTGAGGGTATACCGCTGAAGCTAGAGTTGATTCGATATTATCTATGCCACATCATTCATGCCCATGTACACGCCCTGCTCATCCTACCGGCCCATGCTGTTGATCATCTCCCTCTGTGTCGCGCGGTCGCGATTGGTCTGGCTGAGTGACGGGATGCTCCTCAGGTCTCCTACAACATCCTTGGCCTTTCCAAAGTATACCTCCTGCAGCAGATTGCGCATCTTGAGCTCCATGTCCTCGACCATCTTGCCGATGTTGGCGACGTGCGAGGTGTCATCCTCGACGGCCATGTCGGCTTCGACTTGGCGCACCATATTACCGGATAGGTCAAGACCGCCGAGGGCTTCGCTGTCGGTGCCAAGGGAGAGAATGACGGTAGAGGTGAGCTTGTAGTGAGAGGTACGTGCGCGGTCTTGGGCGTCGAATACGTGGATGCTGTCCCAGCTGCCAGAGCTCTTGGGTGTAGGGTTGACGGCTGGCCATGTTAGCATGCAGCAGTTGCACATATCGACGAATGCATACCCTTCTTCAAGAGAACACAGCCGGCGAAGCCATCGTCCATGTCCCACAGGTAGACGCTCGATATGCCGCCCTCAAAGTACCTGTCTGTATCAGCCATGCTCCGCCAGCCACGCCTTGCCGTATGCAGACTCACAGCTCCCTGTACACGTCAAAAGCCTCATTTGCCTTGACCTCCATCTTACGGACACGATCACTAGGTGTGACACCTTCCTCAATGGGCGGCTCGAACTCGTTGCTCCATGGACTTCTCCAGCTGTCGCCGTCGCGGTTGTAGTCGCAGCACAGGAAGTCGCGCTTCGTCTTGGAGCATTTCTTCACGGTAAGCGGGATGTCGACGGATTCGAGCAGGTCTTCCTCGAGCGAGGGGTTGAGTTGAATAATGTGGTCGACATTGCGCTTGACGTCCTTGGGGTTCAGTCGGCGCAGGAGGTCACTAGGACGAGCTGTTAGCTACCAGACACGGGGGAATGCGGGGTGCAACATGACGCACAGGGCGCTATCAATGGGATCCGCCATTATTCTTATCCTTGTCTTGGGTATATATCGGTCGGGCGTGATCAAGGTCGGGTTGCTGGAGTATCGTTTAGCTCCTAGGCCTGGCCCCTCAATCTCCAGCGGCTCATCTGTCGGCGATTCGGGTGTTGGCGCTGCGTCCGGGTCCCACGAGTCATGCGTGTAGTAGCTCTGAACCCCGGGCATCTTCCTAGCGCCTCACTTCGCACAACCTCACTTCTACTGTCTTTTTGCTTGTTGCCGGCTTTTGTCTTGTGTCAAATGTTGGTTGGTCTAACCAACGCGTCTGTGCCTTTAATGGTTTGTGGTAGTGGCGGATCGTTGGTCTCTTCTTCACACAGCAATCGCGGCTGTCATCGTCCAGAAAGAGCAGCCTATTTGCCTCTCTAGAGGTGCAGTCAGCGCCGTGTCATATCTGTTGTACAAGAGACATGTGAGGCCTCATATCCTGCAGGAGCCTCGACTATCGGCTTCTACACAAGAGCGCGTCACTCCGAACTCGCCAAGTGCAGTTCTGGCGCCCAAGTGTACCACGCCGGGCTCACCCGCCGAAGCTCTGATCATTGGATTTTTCGAACATTGCATCTCACACGTTTCATATACGGCTCTGGCCTCAGCGGTATTCTCATCTTGTTCTGCCCAATCTAGGCGCGAAACCATCACAGCTCACCGTCACCTCGCCTTGATTATGGGCACGTGAGTGCATCTGGACCAATAGTGGGTGCCCTCGCATCATTGAACTCAGAATGAAGCCATATTTTGCGTAAACCTATGGCCATTTGCGGGATTTCTGTGCCCTCCCCTTCACTATTCCGTTATCGTCATCACCGCGCTAATCCCCTAGCACACATAATCTGCTGTCCGACCCTATCCTACATCATCTTCCCATCTACAAATTGCGACCAGCACCAGATACAACTCAAACTTTGAGAATGTCTGACAACGATAACACCGCCGCGGCCAATGGCTCCTCTCCTCAGTTCACCGAGCGCGAGCTACAGCTCCTCGGATGGGCCATGCAGTCACTCAAGTCTGGTCCCCCAGAGGTACGTCTTCAGTCTCTTTCCAATGATGATTTGTTACCAACATTCGCTGTAGATCGACTACGACAAGCTCGCCGCCTACGCTGGTATGAGCAATCCGCGCTCGGCTACCAACGCCTGGGCCAAGATCAAGGCCAAGTTGATGGCTCCCGCTGCCGACGGAACCGTCTCAGTCACCCCCAAGAAAACCCCTCGCAAGAAGGCTGCGGCCGTCAAGCAGAAAGATGATGAAGAGGGTGCCGACGCCGCGACTCCGAAGAAGACTCCTCGCAAGCGCGTCGCCAAGAAGCAGGATGTCGATGGTGACTCCTCGCCCAAGAAGAAGGGTACCCCTCGCGGCAAGAAGAACTTGAGCGATGATAGTAAGTCCATCTCCTGGTATGATCAGATGTAGTCCAAGCTAACACATCACAGCTGTCAAGACTGAGTCTGATGAGGACCTCAAGCCCAACGGCTCGCCCATGAAGATCGATCCCGCTGAACCCAAGGAGGATGACGTTAATGATGAGGACTAGACTTCCCTTCGGTCCTGAGGTACGTTACGCTTCTTTGTTCCAACCAGTTGTCTTTCTGATCGCGGCTGTAAGAAGGCAATGCGCGATATCTCCTTCTAGTGGCGTAACGTACATTGACGGAAAGGACTGGCTTATTGAGAATTGTGTAACGAACGGTTTCCTTCAAATTTCAGCATGATGTTATGGGGGCCAGGGAAGCATGCGTGGTATTCCTAAGAGAGAGCAAGGTAGTTGGATTGTTCCCGCGATAGCGATCGCAGTCGCACATCGCGCACCTCCAATGCACATCTTTCTTCATTTCAATTCTTCTTCCCTTGGGTGACAGGGTCATATCATAGTCTCTCGTTCTCATTGGGCATTCGATAGGAATTGTAGGTGTGGCGATGCGCATGTATCCCTGCACTGGGGTCGTCTAGCCGGATATTACCCCAGACTCTTAGTCCTGCACAACTCATCTATGCATAGTGTGTACGCAACCATCTATAAAACCTCTATCCGAGCTAATGATGATGGCCATCACACTTGTACCTAAAATCGCACACGACTATAACCACAACATGGCGCGACATAATCGAGAAGCTAAGAACCCCGTTGGTATCGCCATGTTGTCGCCGATGACAGGCAAGTCAAGACTTGTAAGACAGCTCAATACTACCTATACACATCTGGCTTATACTCGTTTGTAGAGTGGCCTTCATAACATGGGCAGTTTACTCTTGCTTTCTGTTCCTCTATTGTCTATTCTTGCCTTTTACATAGGTTCTCAGCAGTGGCTCCTGCCTGTGCTGCGTTCGTACTTACCCGAGCACCTCCATGTGTACCTTCCTACGGCTGTGTGGGAAGCTACCAAAGCTTCCAGATTAGATGAGATGCTAAGCTCAGAGGATCTACTGAAACTATGTGGCAACCATCAGTACACGACTGAGATCATATCTCTTGACCCCCTCCTAATCTACATCAATAACTTCACATCTGTACTTGAAGCTGAGGAGCTCATCAAGCTCGGGTAGGTATCTTCGCATCCCTCTTCTCGAGGGCAACATCTCACTCGTGGCAGTTGCTAACTGTTCCTCAGCTCTCCCGAATTCGCCGAATCCTTCATCAGCCGTTCAAGAGGTAATACGCAACGCGTCGTCGGCCGGACCTCTCAATCTGCACCCCTCCCGATGGACAATCCGTTAGTTGTATGTCTTCTGAACCGCGCGAAAACGTTCATGGGCTCTATGCTTCTCCCCTCGGAACCCTTCAGCATACCACAACTGGTACGCTACTTCCCTAGCCAGAAGTACGACCTACATACGGACTTCTGGCCTGAACACCAGATCACTAGTCTCGAAAATGGGAAGCGGGTATACTTCAACCGCGTCGCGTCCTTTTTTGTCTTCCTTCGCGACAACTGCACGGAGGGATATACATACTTTCCTCTAGTCGAACCTTCTTCGTCTGTCAGTTTGGATAGTCTGTACGACGGCAAAGTAGTGCGGGGTGAAATGGAAGGGGAAGCGAAGGGCATCAAGTTCAAACCGATGCAGGGAAACGCAGTGTTTTGGGTTAATTTGGATGAGAATGGAAAGGGCGATAGGAGGGTGGTGCATGCTGGGTTACCAGTAGGCGAAGGAGAGAAAATTGGGCTAAACATCTGGCCAAGGAAGTATTTTGGATACGTGGATGACAGCGATGAAGATGGGGAAGAGGCGGTGGTGGCACGGCAGGGATGGAGTGGGAAATGGAAAGACTGAACGCGACCATACGACCTCGAACACTATAGCTGACAATATAACACCAACATTTCTTTTCAATACATAGCTAACCCTTTGGATAACGCTTTTTAACTCAGCACTTTAATATACACACTTTCGTCACAAGCCTATGCGCAAGCGCTGCGCCGTCTAGATGAAACAATGACACGCGTTTCAAAGCACGACAGATGGGGTGACACCCAACTTTCGCATATTAAGTAAGACAGGGTAACGGCAAAGTCAAGAACCCGGTGGCTGCGGTGTAACACCAACAATGCAAATTACCGCACCAACCCAACATAGCCATCTTCCCCAAGGTTATGTCGAATTCACCCTGCGCTCCATGATCAGCGACCGTAGCTAGATATACTCCTGCTCATAAAAGTACTCTTCTTACACCTTTGCGATTCATTGATCTGCCAACTATAATGTCGCCATCCACGCCCTTCCCCGACTATCCAACACTCCACATATGTCCGATGTACATAGCTCAGCTTGTCGATCCCACGATCCGCTCCTGGCACTTGGGTCCCGGCTTTTGTACGCGCGACAATCTGTTCGGCGTGGGCTATCTGCTCGTTCTCGCCGTGAACTACACGCTTGCTATTTTGGCCTTCTGTGCGGTGTTCGCTATTTTGGGAAGAATCGTATGCTGGAGAAATACTGCCAGAGCCAGCAATATAACAGAGGATAAGTTTATACATAGGGAGAAGGGTGGGGAATTGAAGAGTTTGGACAGAGCGGAACGGGGTGAGGGGGGTTGGGTTGGCAAGGTACGTTTGATGCATGTTTATATCTTTGTGTGGTTTATTGGGGTTACGAGGGAAGACGCTGATGGCTTTTGCAGTATACGAAGGCTTTTCGGCCTATCTTGAGTCCGGTGAGAGAGAAAGAGAAGATGTGATGCTACCCAGACGACGTACGACGAAAGTGAGAAAGAGCTGTGCATATGTTACAATGAGCCGTGTATACAGGCACTTTGGAGGACGAGCTGCCTTTTAGTGAGTGGAGGAAGTCAACGGACTCAGCAGCCGTATGCTGGGGGTTGACGTGCTTGCTCGATTATCTTGGCCTCCGGCACCTGAGACCCTCATTTCCAAGCAATGATAACACTCAGCACGTCCGGTGTGGGTAGTTGCAGCCACTCTTACACTTACACCGGGTTTGTGCTGTGCTGCCTGGATCCTATCCACCCTCTTCCGGGCTCCCACTTTTGCAAAATCGGGTACTGTGGTGGCTACGTTCAGTCATGCGAATGATGTCTCTGGCATTGTTCAATCTTGTGTAGTACTGAGGGATCAGAAAAACGATAATGGTGATTGAGTCATCACTGCAAAGAAAGACGTTGGAGTAGTTACGCGGCGAGAACGTTAAGATGGTCGTCTTGAATGGATGACAATGAAGGTGGAAAGGATTGAGTGGAGAGAAGACCATCTCTTCTGTTTTCAATTTTTCCCTTTGACTGATCTCGTTATGGGTGTCGTTTAGATTGCGAGCGTTGTGAGTTGCTTGCGAGTGTCGCGGAACCACCACTTTAGCTTCAATGAGAAAATCGCGATATTCTCAACCTTGGTACAGCCACACCGGTACCGACAGCACTGCGAATTCACGCCTCTTGTTCATAAAGTCGCAAGTCCGCATTCACTCCCATCTACAATTTCAATATATCGAACTCACGCTATGTTTGCTTTCTTCATATTTCCTCGTCCTCGAGTCTTTCCCTACAGTCAGGCGTCGCGTATATGCCTCGAAACCCTCATGTCACGAGTTTGAAATGCAAACGCTAGAAATGTTGACTTACCGAAACGAGGAGCCAGGTTTGGGAGAGAAAGGCAACATCCGCAAGAGCAACGATGGCGTAGAGAAGAAGAACAAACGCGCGACAGACCCGTTTGCAGCCGACATCGCGGCGAGAAAACGACTCGGAAGAAAGTGGTGGGCATGACGTTGTCCCATAAACAACCCCCAATGTTTCTGTATCTGAAGCATCAAGAAATCTACCTCTGCTAGCTCCGACGAACCATAGGGGAATCCACGATTTCGTCGTTTCAGTCCCCTCACCTTCACCCGATCACATCTGGTGTGCGCGCAGAAATTCTTCACATCACCGATAACTTCCCGTCTCATCTTCTCAATCCTCACTCCCATACGGCCAGTCTCATCGCGCAATATTTTCAACCATGCCGGCACTCCCAACATCCACTCACGCACCAACAGTCCACCGTAGCCCCACTGACTGGCCGCTACTCCGGGTCATCATCGGTGTTGTCAGCATCCTTCTCTTTCAGATTTCCATCGCCATCGCCCTGATACGTTGGGCGAACCTGCATAGCAAGGCGCGGTGGAGGCACCTTCGACAGCGCGGCATCGCCATCCTTGACAGACCTTCACTCATCTGGAGGGACACGATACCGCCTGCACCGACTGTCTCAACATACAACTTACGACAGACGTTTCAAAGGCTGGACGAACCTGTAGCCCAGTAACTTACTGTCGTTACTTTGAACCAAAAAGAACAGGGCGTCAGTATCAGCGCAGCGTTACTTTGCAAGTAACCACTGGCAGCCAGCGCTCAAGACAAACAATAGCAAACAACAATGAGTGTTTTCGATTCCGATTCAACGCACCCAGCGGAACTCTCTGACCAGCATCCAACTACATCCGCGGCCATCATGATCTTCATTATCATCTCCGCGGTCGGCCTATCTGTCGTCGTAGGATTCATCTTCTTCGTTGCATGGTACAGAATGAAGAAGAGAAGGGAACAACACGAGGTCGCTGTCGAGCTGGTAGAACCCTCTCAAATTGAAGCAGTTATGCAGAATCCGCCGGTTCAGCAGCGGCAGGAGGTTGGTATGGCGTACTGAGATGAGAATACTTCGTCATTGTCCGTTTTATGCGTTCGTTTCAAGCCAATCCTGTACTTTCTTCCACCAACCAGCTCACATAACAGCAGCGATAACATTTCTTACTTCTCCTATGTAGATGACATGAATTCAGTCTTGGTGTCGAAGGGATACAAGGCGTCTGGCATACAGGAAGGAGCAAGGGGAAGCTGGATGATCAGGCCGTTGTTGACTTTCGAGCCAATACTTGCAGGTAGTATATATTCACCTAAGAATTGATACTACAGCCTGAAATGCTTCGCATTTTCTTTTTGATATCCAGTGAGGCCCACATGCTAATCACGTATCGCGTAGTCCCACTAGCACGTCACCATTCCAAGGTTGTAGTAGCAACCAGTTTTCTTGGAAACCTGCGACAGTGTGGTCGTGGTCGTCCGTTTATGCTAGTAGTAGCCTGTTCCGTGTGGCGAAGCTCGTGGGTTCAAAAAGAGGAAAGCGTGAGCCATTACTGAGAGTCACTGCGGGGCCATGGCGGCATCATTGCGGCCTTAAACTTATGGAAGCTTCCGTTCTCTTATATGTATCACGCCTTCTTCCCTTCCTCTCTTTCTCTTCGCCCCCAGCTCAACTGAAGCCTCAATCAAAATTTAAGTGCCCAAACTCTAGTATCACTCAGCCAACTGTCATGTCGTCCCAAAACAATTCCAACCCCTCTCCAGGCTCCGGCAATACTGGTAACAGAGGTTATACTACCACCAGCTCCGGTACCAACAGCCAGGTATCATCTTATGTCTTCGACCGTCCTCTCAAGCTTGTACTAACATTCTTCCGTAGGGCAACCACTTTTGCTCTCGCGATTTCGGCACCGGCGTCCCAAACCCCAACTCTTACCACTATTCCAACAAGGACGGGTCATACTACTACCACAACCCTGACGTATGTCGAGATTGTATAGAACAGATGGCTTTGTACTAACATGATTTGAGGGCTCGACCTACTACAACGATGGCAGGGGCGGGGCGAGGTACGATCCTGGCAAATAGACTATGGACGTCTTGTTGGGCATCGCTATGAAGTTAGTAGAGATCTTCTGTTGATGCCTACGCACTATCGGTAAAGCGCGAGGAGGATACACCGGCAACACTTTAATACTTTAGAAACGGCGAACTAATAATGTATGCTCCTCATTACTCTTTACATGCTTCAGAACGCTTTATGACAATGGCTTAACCAATCCACAATAGATCTGTAGCAACATCGTAATCTCTGTGAACGTAGGTACGTGACGCCTTAGGGTTGCAGAGCCGAATCGTGTGTGGGAACTATGGGTGGGGAAGTAACGTGTGGGGGGTCCCGCTGGTGTCCGCACCTTCGTGAGGTCATCGCCCACATGACCAGCGTGTCATCAATAACATTCATGATGTCTACTGCTAACTCACTCAGTGTTCGCGAACAACCTAACTCGCATCGGATGCGCACGATTGTCTGGAGGGTGTGCCTGCAATTCTGCAGTTCACTTCGCGCTGCGCAACGGTCGTCTCCTTTAATGCAGACGTTTTCCAGACCCGTATAATGTTTTCAGGCCGAAGAAGCCTTCTCTAACAACATTCAGACATCGCCATCGAGGCTGCGATTCAGTTCCGATTGACTTCTTCAATTATCATGATCAACGGCACGCGTTCACTGTTTGCTAGCTAATCCGTCAACATTAGTTTGTGGTATTTACCGCAAGGAACTCCGTTTCTTCAGCGTCATGGCTCTTTGCTGGGGTGTTATCATCTCAATGGCTACCAGAGCGATCATCCTTGTTGCTCGTTATATGTGTCTCGCTACCGAAGGATTCTCCTTCATCCAGCTCGATCTCGCTATTCGTCCGCACCCAACCCTTGCTCTGAATTCGGGTGCTGACCCGTATCCTGCTCTGTGTTCTCGATTTGTTGGATTGGCCGTTTGTGCCTGTGCCGAAATTACTTCGGCTCTTGGACTGCTGAGTCGACGGGAGACGGAGAATGCCACCGACGATGGGCTTGAGTGAGGGCGCGCACGCGGCTATGATACCAATGTTCACCTGAAGGAAACCCCAGAACTGTATATCGTTCGTACTGCCGCGGTTTTAGTAAACATTCATACTGATGTGAGTGCAAAAGTAGGGACGAACAATGACTGGTCAGGATCACCTCTCTTGGTGTTTTGGACGACCGTTTTGACGATGCCCATGACAACCGCTCTTAACTACAGTCAGCTCTTGTGCCTTTTTTCTTTTATCTTTCTTCGATCTGGGGTCTTGGGAGCTTACATGTAACCCAAGCTTAGAACGAGGATGAGGTAGATGCGAGTCTTCTGTTTCATTTGCAACCCCAGTATGATTGGCACGGGAATGGATGCAAAACATATATCAGTTAAGATGTTGCAGGCTATATATGGCCCAGTTAGCCATCTAGCATGTGCCACGAATAAGAACGACATACTTACATGTGTTCATCAGCGCGAAGCCTTTGTGGATGTTCACGGCCAAGCATGTTGGCTTAAGGTCTTTGTTCCAGAAGCCGGCTATGGGCTTGCACACGGCGGCCCATTCACCCCACGAAATCACTGTATAAAGACAGACGAAGGCTAATCAAATCTTAATAGCCGCCACCTGAGATTCAGTTCACTGGACGTCGTAGGTACAGAGACTTACCGATAAGCGACCAGAGCATTCTGGTATATAAAGTGGGAACACCGAGACGAAGGAGTGAAAACCCGACAGATAGCTTGAGAAAAGCCATGCCACCAATGGTAGATACGACGGCTTGTATAAAGGTCAACTTCAGGTACTCTTGGTGGTCTTCTTTCTTCAGGGTGTCAGTGTGGCGGCCTAAGCCGTGCTGGGCGGCTAATATGTAGGTCACCATGCCACCAAGAAAGACACAGGCCTAGCTAACACAGTCAGGCAAGCGTTGAGTATATTCTACCATAGTCTCTCACCGTTGACGCAAGTATAAGGGCGTCATCCTTGCCAAATGCCTTCACGACGATGATGCGGGCGTACATGCGCATTCCAATGAAGGCCAGGGCGATGATATGAAAGGCCGCAGTAACCCCAAGGAGGTAACTTAAGTTACTTTCTGCGACGCGCGCCGGGTCGGTGTTCTTCGGCGCCATGGTGAGTGAAGGGATAAGGGTTTCGTAGGACGGAGTTGGAGAGAGGAATCGCCCATATCATATGTACACTTTCGAAACGAAGGATGCATCATGTTACATGCTGCCTTCCTACTTCTCACCCCCAGCACGAAAAGGAGCTTCTCCTATCAAATGCGAGGCACCGTAGTAATGTTCTAGAAGGTCATGCATGGTCGCGTTGATTGGCCCCTCGGCCTGCATGCCACGAGAGGTGACGTCCTTTGCACGGAAATTTCTTGGTGGATCCTTCAAATGCTTTGCTTTTTTTTTCAAATTCACTGTTGGCTGTTCATAATGCATGGGAAACATGCGACCTGCATCTATGTTTGCATTCAGTAGGCGCCGGGGCAGGAAACGTTTACAGACTAGCTCATGGAGCCGGACAGTAGGTATCAAACAGGGAAGAGTCGGGCCCGCGCAACGGGACGACGGGTGATTGAGGGCCTGCCGGAACCTTGACTGATCTCAAAAAGCCATCAACGGCCGAGCTCGTTTCGACAATAAACTGGTCCCCTCTTGGATTTGATGGCGCAGGAAGAGTGGGGTTGGGTTGATCAAGAGGAGGAATACTGCAAACCACTAAGATCTGTTACTCGATTGTCTATAAGCTTGTTCGATTATGAGGCGCAGGATGTCAGAGTGTACCAAGGCACAACACAATGCTGCAGGTAGAGCCTTGACCACAAGCGGCCCCATCATGGGAAATTGGCCATCCGGGTGGGTGTGGGGTTGCAAGTACCAACAGTCATTCGATCATCAAGGCAAGGGCTCTCCCGTCTCCGTCTTACTTTATCCAGAGAGAAAGCCGAACAGTTCTTAGCACCCTCCCGAGGTTTTCTTCCTATTCTACTACAACAAAGGGTATTAGAAGTAATATATATGAATAGACACTTTAAATGTCTACGTTACTACTAGGTTCTTGAAAAGTCTTGGTTATGAACCATTGTAGACTGCGGCGTACCTTGGTAGTAGAAGAGCTCGCTTATAAGTGTTCATTTTCTTGTATGCGGCAGCTCAGTCTCTCATTCACTGCAAGGGGGAGACGCAGGAGCCGGATCTTTAGACGATCTCATGCCACATTCGGATGCAGCCGCACCATGAGGGAGGATGTCCGACTGGCCAACAGCCCACATTTAGATGCGATTTGGATCCAACATAATCCTACAAAATCCCGTATCTTGGCAACAGAAAATCTCCTTCAAAGTCGCTGTACTCACCGATCTTCTGATGGATCAACAGAAGTCCTACTGTACATCCTTCGTTTCGCGTAAGATTCCAAGGTTATCACTGCCGAAACAGGCCCCGACTACGACTGGCCCCCACTCGCCACTCTAAGCGAACAACAGGCGACATCAACACATACAATACGTGCCCCGAAAGCATGTCGTTCCCGCGCTCCTACACGGGATATTCTTGGCAACACAGAGATGTGCATGGCAATATCCTGGTCATGCGATGTAATACTAGCATTCGTTCAGCCGAGACTCCGAGTACAAAGATGGCCTATATACCTAATCAGGGCGTAGGCTAACCTATAAATATATATCCTGTATGAAATATAACTCCCGAGGCTTCATTGCAGGATAATCTCTAACTAGGCGAGAGTGAAGGATGCAAGCCTTCATCAGGCGCCCCCATATTCTAAACCGCGTTCATTCAACCCAACCGTCTGGACCCGCCGTAGGATCGCTTCCTTTAATTCAGGTCCTTAGAACTCGGAAGCAGGCTTGCGGCAAAGCCCTTACATGATTCCGGGACGCGTGCGTGATGATATAATGGCCGACTTGGATCACCATATCTCACCTCCTTACGCTGTCAAACCTTGCACATAGCGAGTGCTTCCTCGTTACTATGCGTCTGTTTCATGCTGTCGCCGTCGTACAGCTGCTGGCTGTACGCCTCGTTGCTGCTGTTCCTTTCGACTCGACTCCGGTCATCGACATAGACCCAGCAGCCGATCCGCTCGAGGCTCTCGCCCAACTGCAGCAGCACACGTACGAGACACTTGAAAAGAACGATGCCATGTCAAAGAGGGCTCCGGAAGGTTGTTCCTTGGCCACCACAACTATTCGGAGGGACTGGTAATATCACCACGCGCATGATTTAGTGCTTGCTGACCTCGACAAGGGATCATATGAGCAAGCCAGATCGAAGGTCATACATTAAAGCTGTTCAGTGTCTTCGAAAACTGCCATCCAAATCTGACAAGTCCTGGGCTGCAGCAGCGAAGACGCGTTTCGATGACTTTGTCGCCATCCATGTAAACCAGACCATGTACATACACGGTAATGGTCTCTTTCTTACCTGGCATCGCTACTTTGTATGGGCGTACGAGCAAGCTCTCCGAAACGAATGTGGTTACAAGGGCTACCAACCTGTGAGTTTCGAAAATGTTCGATGGCCCCTAACTCATCTGACTTTGTTAGTACTGGAACTGGTTTGCGCACACCGACAATATCTATGAGTCGCCTGTGTTCGATGGGAGTGATACTAGCTTGGGTGGTGATGGTGCATACTTCTCACACAATGGAAGTCTTGCTGGTGCTCGGACAATAGTCATCCCCTCTGGCAAAGGAGGTGGTTGTATTGAAAGCGGCCCCTTCAAGAAGTAAGGCTACTGCATACCTGAACGTTCTCAGAGAACTAACATACCACCAGTACGCAAGCGAACATTGGCCCAATTTCTCCTGGCATGCAGGGCTTTACTGACCTGGCAGCCGACACCACCGACTACAATCCTCGGTGCCTGCGCCGAGACATCAGTCCGTATATACCCAAGAAGTGGTTTACCACTGCGAACCTTCTGAACGTAACTATTGGCGCGGGTTCTCGAACCCACCGCGATTTCTGGGTCGAAATCCAAGGTCGATACCCAGATGGCTTCCTCGGTCTGCACACGTCGGGTCATTACACCATGGGCGGCGACGCGACTGATCTCTACTCTTCCGTCAATGATCCCGCGTTTTGGCTTCATCACGCTATGCTTGACCGCATTTACTGGATTTGGCAGACGCTCCACCCAGCGGAGGCGAACAAGGTGACGGGCACTCTAACGTTGCAGAACAGGCCGCCAACGCGCGACGCCACTATTGACGAGCCGTTAAACTTGGGGGTCAATGGCGAGACACTGAGGATTCGCGATATGTTCAACACCTTAGGAGGTAGCCCTTTGTGCTATATTTATCTGTAAGCAGATTCAGACGTGTGCTTCTGGCTGTGGTTATCTAGTACCAACAACGGTTTACATTTCGGCGTAGCCATACGTACCAACCCCTTTTGAGTTCTCTTCGTTTGCATGTCTCGCGTTTCTGCAACATCAGTAGCGGATCAGGACTAGTCGGATATACCCACCAATCCAACAACATATCCTACCCATATGTCACGCTTCTGCCCTGTGTCTAACACGCCTTCCCTACCGCATACAGTAGCCATCGAAAATAGGCGCCAAATGGTTATATTAAAACCTTCGCAAGCCACATCCACCCTCTTCGGCAATACGTCGGAAATAAGGCTTTTCTCGTTGCTGCCCAGCTAAACTTGCGGCATTGATCATAGCACTCGATACGGCAATAGCGGTGAAACACACGTCTTCACCGATATTTCTTTAAGCAGTAACCATCGATCGTAGGCTCTAAAGCTTGGCCTCTTCAAAACTTCCCATTACAGAATTCCGTTGATTGTAGGTGCTGAGGCTTGGTAATGCCGATCAAGAGCGAGAAGAAAAAGTCCCCTGTACGTCAGTTGGGAAGGTTACGCGGGAATAAGCAAAATTATTGGACGTGATGACGCGCCAACGACACGTCGATGTTTTTTTTTTTGCCATCGACGAAATTACTGCAAAGGGCAGGCATGGAAAGTAGGCGTAGGGCTTGTCAGACTTGGTGTAGCTTGGTCATCGTTTTGGGAGGTGGACAAGTTTTACGGTGTTGGGTAGGTGTTGAAAGTAGGCGTATAAGAGCCTCATATTCTCGTCGGTAACGTCACGTGCCCTGGTCGTTTTGTGTTGATTGCGTGAAGTGTATTCTCGGGCGCATGTACTTGTTCAGCTGTTCGTGTCTTATGAGGTCACATTCAAACGCGATGATGGAATGTACCAAGTTCAGAAACATGACGCATACGCCTTCAATCCCTATTTCAACACGTCTATGCCTCTTCTTTCCCCAAGTAAAGTCCAACCTTACAAATCTCGTATCTTCCCTTGACGCGACAAAATTATCGCCATCGGCACCCTGCATCGTGTTCCTCCAAGCTGCTAAACACGCCTCCGCAAGCGTCCCAATTTCCAAAGCACTAAAAAGCAATGCCAAACATCGGTGTGTCACTTGGCCTACCCAGACAGGCAGTCATAGAAAACAGGCGTATTCCTTCGCTTCATCTTGCATCTGCTTAGATCTCGGTACGGTCTACTAGACGCGAAGAAAAGCAACCAGCACTTTACAAGTGTGTTCCCTCGTGCCCAAGTATTTGGTACATCTACCCATCTAGGTAACTGTTGAAAACAGGCGTATTCCTTCGCTTTATCTTGCATTTTTCTCCAAACCTACTGCAGGCTACTACGTTTCGAAAAGGAATACCCTTCGGCTGAGGTCAGAGCGGCTTTTGAAAGAAGCGGTGGGTTGACCTAGGTACTACATTCTGGGACATGGTAGAATTTCCCACATCTCTTGGTCGCTCTTAGGCATGTAATCGAAGGAGATGTAGGCTGCATACTATATAGCATGGTCATTGAGAATCAGAGTAGCCGTATATTGTTTTTGTCTCAATTCTGACACGTTTTGCGGTCTTATATATCAGCTCTCTCAACCCGAATTCTAGGTGTCACTCGAAAACACTTGATAGTCATTATACGAGTGCAGATTTAAACGTTATCTTTCGGTTTGATACACTACCCGCAACATGGCAGTGTTCAAGTTGAAATCACAGATGTTGTACTACCTAATTAAACTGAGAGATGGACCAGATCCAAGCTGCTTAATAAAAGCTCGTGGGCACTAGGACTGTATTCCCTCCTCAAATTAGTTGTCAAACCTCCACCTCATTAAATTCTTAAAAGAGTAACTATTGAAAGCAGTGCTACAGCTCGTCTCGAATCTTCCACGCGTCTCGAGGTTGCGATCGTAATATCCATAAGCGGTAATCCGAAGGCGAAAAGCCCCATCAACCCGCGGTCAACATTAACAAACGTATGGAAACCGTAGGTATGACGAGAACAATCAACGACGGAACCGCAACCTCCCCAGTGCCATCGCGCAATATTTCGTATTGTGACTACCTTGTTGAGTAAGTCCATCAACAGTGTAGAAAATAGGCGTTATCTTCTCCTCACCTTGGCTCCTGGCATTTTCGGGTACCCTTCCCTAAACCAAGAACTTTTTGAGTACCAAGAAACAAACAGATCACCAAAGACTGAAAGCCCCTCGAAAGCCCCTCACAAGCCCCTCCCAGGCCCCTCCCAGGCCCCTCTTCTCAGGTTACCCCTCCAGGCAACTGTAGAAGATAGGCGCGTAGCTTAACTGAAAGCTTGGTAGTGTAGATCCGGCAAAATGAGTGATACCAGCCATCGTCTCACCAACACAATGCCTAGGTCCACGACGGATGTGAGTAAGCATGACGAAACAACAATGATATCTTCAAAATGTCGACGACGATCCCCAAGACGCAGCCCAAACGAGCAACCATGGAAAACAGGCGTAGACCTTGGTATAGCTTATCTCCCTTCTCCCATCCCTCGTCCCCTCCTCCGCTTTCCTATCCAGGCAATTGTAGAAAACAGGCGTATAGCTTCTCCTCAGTGCTTGGCATAGCTTATTTTCGCTCGGAAGGCCGCGGATGACAATGCGTGACGATTATGAGAGCAGAAAATGAGATGGCGAAGGTCGGCCGAGGTGGCCAAGGGATGTGTGATGACGTAGTTGAGAAGTAAACATCATTAGGGACGTGTCAGTGCACGCGAACTCAGAACATGTGTAATGCCCTCGGGCCGCGGATCGTGGATTGTTGGTACGCCTCGGGAGGGGATGAAGGGTGATCTCATCAAGTGCAATATTCAGGTACATCAAGAAAATGGTGCTGCGATGAAACAAATGCATTTCTGATGACATAGGTCTCGCGTTGCCCATGTTCAAATCAACGCCATCTAATGCCTGATGTATGCCAATACAGTTATAACCCACATAACGCCCATGCTATGCATAAAAAAAGGTGTACGATCTAGAACCCACACGTGTCTCTGGTTGTAAATGCGGAAATCATGTTACAGCTCATCTCGTCCCGGGATACGAATCTCCCAACTCCTCGGCCCTGGCACGAAACCCATCCACCAGTTGTAGAATCTCCTCATTTCAAGGATGAAGATCTTGGTACTGTTTGCTCTGTTAGCCTACGCTCCACAAGTCGTACCAGACCTAGGGTTGTGATGATTCCATGACTTACAATCGTCCAGGAAGCTGCGTCCACTGGTACAGCACATAGTAGAATGTCCTCTTCACTAAATTAAACTCGGCCTTCACCACCTCCCACATCGTCATTTGATTCGCATTCCAGTCCCTTTTGAAATCCGGTATATCGTCTCCGCCAGTCAGAATGTTGATTGGCTTCTCGTCATCAGAGTCTTCAAGCGCTAGTCTCGTCTTCAAGACTCCTTTGTCGGTCTCTGGGAGTGTGGAGGCAACAGCTTTCGGCAAGCCCTCTCGCTCATCGAGCATGCGGCGGAAGTCCTTGATCGCGGATAGTGAGTGCGACAGACGGTTCATGGTGTTGACGAGCGCGACAAGTTCGGTACGGCGGAGCGGCGGGTCCTTTGAGGAATCATTCTCGTCGAATTCAAAGAGCACCTTTAGTGCGGTTCCGTAGCCATTCGTCTGCAGTTTGCCCCAAAGTCGACACTTGTCGCATCCTACGCAGTCCATGATGCGACTGACGTTCCTGAATCGGTTACGGAAATCCTCCTTCAGCACCATAGTGTCCGGGTCTTTGAACATGATTGTCTCGTCGAAGATCTCAGGACCGGAGGGAAGGGCGGATGCAAGACGCAGGACCGAGTTCCTGGTGCGAACGTCTTGCTCAGGGTCTTCGGAGCAGAAGGAGTAGTCGGAAATGTGCTGCCTGATCTTACCAACAGCTCGCATGACGAGGGCGTAGTTAAAGTAGACGTTGCTGATGCGCTCGGGATAGTTGTGCAGGCGTTCCTCGTAGCAGGCTAGATTGGGGCCCCACTCTCCTGTTGTCTGGTTCAGATAGTCGTAGCAGAGGTGCGTAGATATAGACGCGTGCATGCCGGATATGACGCGATGGAAGACGCGCTTCTCCAAACAGGTATCGTCAAATTCGACAGGATCAAGGCTGTCTACAGGAGAACCGTGAGCAATGGCGGACTGGATCTTTTGCTTCTTGCCCTGCTCTTGCATGACGTTCCGGAGCTGATTCGCAGCATGCAATTGTTGCTGGTTTCCGAAACCGCCGAAAGGTGACCCTCCAGGTGGTGAAGAATTACCAGTCGCGGGCGCATTCTTTGGGGGCTTGCTGAAGCAGTTTTCCCGGTATATAGCCTCCCAAACCTGCTGAGCCCCGACACCAGCGTATCCAGTGAATCTTTCTGGGTTATCCACAAGCGACACGTAGTCCCCCTTTGCCGACGCTGACTCGTCTTCCGGTACGCAGTAATCGCGCTCGTCGCATTCGTCGTCGTATTCCACCACGCAGCTCTCGTCAACGTTGTCACCCAAACTACCGTGTAGCGGTCGTTTTCTCTCTTCTCGCTGTTGCTTCTTTCCCGGATGCTGTGCCGTAGGTCCCTCTAGCTTGCCTAATTCTTTCGCGCGCCAGACAAGCGGTATGTCGTCCTCATTGTCCAATGTATTGACCGCACATGCCACATTCCCACACATTCCATTCTCGTCGTCCCAGAAAGGGCATTTCTTACTGTACAGGCTTAATCGGTAGTGGGAGAAGAAGTCGGTGTTTTGCGTAATGGATTGGAGGTAAGGGTGGATGGCTTCGTTAAGCTGTTCAAGGGTGTTGTAGCTTGCGCACGCGTCGGATACTATCGCTCCAGGCGATATCTGAAAAGTAGTCTTAGTGCTCGAGTCCCCAGACTGTGCCGGTGAAGCAGACGACTTGTTGCTTACATCGCAGACGTTTGGAGGAGGACTACTTGATTTGGTAGCATGGCTTGCAGCATGTGAGCTACCCAGCAGCGAGAAGACTGCCAGGTAGAACACCTGCGCGGCTGAGCGCATAGTGGTGATAGTATTGTCTGGCTACTTGAGTCCTCCTGTCAGCAAACGTCGGCGACAAGTGTTTCCAAAGCGAACGAGGGTTTTCGGGACTTACAATTACTCGTACCCTCGCTATATGAATCGTTCCGGTAAATTAAACGCCGAGAATACGTGTGGGGTAGGCAAAGAGGCCAGCGTGTAGGTATTGAAACTTTCTCGGCGCAAGTCTGAGATCCTGGTCGTGGCTGTGGTAGGGCTGATTGGATTGGGAAGTTCCGACTCAAGCCAAATTAAGATAAATGAGAGACAAGGCCTGTTCCAAAGTCACAAGAGGCCGAAAGGGACAAAACGTGGAAGGAACACATATGTTGTATTAGATTAGTTCCCGTGTCATGCCGGGGAATTGTAATCAGACGTTTATGGGTCCACGGCAGCTTGTAGCAATGTGGCCAGTACAAAAGACTGTGGCGGTGACATGCCAATGGACCCTGACATGTCGCGCTAGTGGGGAGGCTCAACGGACCACGCTTTCGTGCGCCTGTGCAAATCCACTTGCGCGTGTTAAAACATACGAGGAATCGTATCGCGCATCCTAAGAATAGTCTCTGATAACGGCCGCTAGTTCATCGACATGGCAGAATCGACCAAAGCAACTGGTAGTTGGACCGACGCCTTTCCCGCCCCACGTTGCACCGCGCCGACCCTCTCCCGCGAAGAGGCCCTGTCAAATCTCTCGTCTCCAGACTTGCTCATCATAGATGTACGACGCACCGACTATGAGGGTGGGACGATTAGAGGCAGTCTCAACCTCCCTGCACACTCTTTCTACATGAATCGTGGCGTCTTGTATAATCTGTGTAAAAGGGCGGGTGTCAAGCGAGTCGCATTTTATTGTGGTGAGTCCGTCATTCCATTACGATGCCATTCTCGAATGTGACATGGCGGACATGGTCGTACGCTGGTGGCGTGAGATACGTACCACATGTTATCGTGACCTGTCGAAACACGAACCATGTGGCTTTACGATCATCATACTGACACACAACAGGCGCATCGAATGGAAGAGGTCCGAGATGTTCTGGCTGGTTTGCAGATTACATTGCGGACATGGGCGATGATCAGATTACATCATTGACACTCGGTGGTGGCATCAAGGGCTGGGTCAAGGCAGGAGAGACGTACACGCAGCAAATGGATGGCTTCGAGCCCGAGTATTGGAAACAGTTTGAATGAAAGTGTGCTTGATGTATCAAAACACCAGTAACATGCATGGTATCACAAGCTGGCGACATTGTCCTAGTATACATGGTCGTTGTATGCATCCGACGCCTCCTTCAGAAAATTCGCAGGTGTTTCCTGAGCGTGATATATCACTCGTCCGAGTCATCATCAACAATCCGCCTACCTCTCTTCCTAGGGACAACAGGCTCATCTTCCTCCGCCTCAGAATCAGAATCAACAACGACTGCTTCCTTCTTGCTCGCGCCAGCGCCATGCCTAACAACCGGTACATCATCGTCACTGTCACTACTGACAACTGCATCGTCATCGGTAATGTCGCTTGTAAACAACTTTTCGTGTCTGGGTGTCCTCTTCGGCCTGGCAGCTTTGACAACTGCTTGCGTTCCCACCCCGACGCCGAACATGTCAATACTAGGTAAACTAGAAGTTGGAACCACCTCTTCTTCATCCTCTTCAACGATGAAACTAGCCAGCTCTGACACGTTCTGCCATGCCAGTGGATCCTCCGCCTCATCCGCACCCATTGTGTCATCAGAACCGATCGTGTCAGCTTGAGAGGCGACATGGAAACGTGGATCTGTCGGTGGAGGAGATGATTCATCGCCTTCCTGAGCAAGGACAGACACGCGCCAGTTGGGCGTCTTTGTAATTGGTGTTTCATCTGCCGTTTCGGAGTAACAAGTTGGCATCTCTGCAGCAGGTTCATCTTTTCGGGTTCGAGCACGAATTGCTGGAGTCTTGGGAGTCCTTGGGACCATTTTCTCTTTGGGTTTCGGTACAGGCTTTTCTTTTGGTTTTGGTGCTACTTTCTCTTTTGGCGGCGCCTTCTCCTTTGGTTTCACCGGTGCCTTTGCTTTGGGCTTCGGACCAGGCTTTGCTTTTGTTTTGGTAGTCGGAAGGTCCTGTGATGCGGGTAGGTCGTCTTCCCACATGTCTTCATGGATGTCTTCCTGAATTACGGGTGCTACTTCCGTATTCGATACGATGAAACTGTCGTCCGCATCTGATTCGCAATCCGAATAGTGCAGATCCCGCTTGAACTTTTCCAGGCGGTCAGTTTCCATATCATGCACGCGCTGCATAGTACCGGCAAAAGCCCGTGTTACGCGACCTGGTCCGATTCGTCCACGCTTGTAAGGCAGAGTGCGCTGTCGCTCGGGAAATTTACTCAAGTCCAACATGCCGACCATAGGAGCGTCATCGTCGTCAAAGACGGTCTGGTACCGTCTCTCAAGATCCTGAACCGCTGCATCATCTAGTAGCACTGAATCCAGTGGCGGCATCTCGAATGCTGTCTCGCTTGGGTAAACTGGTGCGGCAGCTTTCTTCCCTCGGCCTTTGGGTACGATTTCCTCACCCATACGGCCTGCAGTAACGAAGCCGGTGATCACATCATCGGGCATATGGAACTTTTTTGGGGGCTTCTTGGTCCGCCGTCCCTTCTTTGGTTCTGGAAGCCAGTCTTTCTGAGAGTTTTCGCTTGGGATGTCTACCACGCATCGGTCCACAACTGGTTTAACATCTGGTGGTAGGATTCTGCGAGATACGTCGTCATGGAAATTAAAGTGTCCCCCGTCTGCAATGAGTTCCTGCATCTTGAGATAGCTGTCGTTCGCTTTGTTCGCGTCATTTTCTTCCTTGCCTTGCATCTGAAGCATCACGATCCGACCCTCGCGTTTTCGACCTGTGCGGCCCATGCGCTGCAACATGCGGATTGGGGATGCTTTCGAATCGTAACAGATAATAAGGTCGACCTCGCCGATGTCCAGACCTTCTTCACCAATCGACGTGGCAATCAAAGTATTGAATTCGCCGTTTTTGAACCTCTCGATAGCCTCCAGTTGGTCTTTTTGCGTCATGCCTTCTGAATTCTTCCCGTGTGCTTGTCCAACGAAGATGCGTGGGCGGATCATCGGATGATGTCTCTTGAGAATGCGTGCGATCTCTTCGGCGCTATCGCGAAAGTGGGCGAATACCATGATCCTCGTCTGTGATGGAGGCGCACCATCGACGTTTCGGCCATCACCTGCATTCACAAAGTGATCTAGAATGACCTGTTGCAGGTATTCCAGCTTTGGATGCCCAACAAAATTATCATCCGTAATCCACCCATGGAGACGCACCATCAATTTTTTCCAAGCGTCACTGTCAAGGATCTGCTTCTTGTACTTGGACTTCGTTTTGGCACTGTCGTCCTGGAATTCCTTCATCTTGATGTAGAACGGTCCCATGCCATGGTACTTCAGAAGTTCCATGCCGTGTGAGATAGATGCGAGGATGGCAAATATAGTGTGAACTGTGCTCTGAAGGCCACGGTTGGCATTGCGACCGACCTCTTGGAACCACTTTTTCTTGGCTTGCTGACACCCGAAAGGCGTCAGGTCGCGGGGGTTCTTGCTCCAGTAGGCGTTGAGTCCAGCAATCGTGTTCACCAGGGGCTGTAGTGCTTGGCTGTACAACTCCATGCACATCTCCATCTCATCTGTATTCTGGAAGACTTGCTTGTCGATCTTGCGCTGATGCACGTAGCTGCATATATCCATAGAGTTCTCGGTTCGGATCTCTACCTTGGAAATGTCGAGGCCATCGATGACTTTCTGGACCGACTCTACATCGGCACCAGGTGTGGCTGTCAGAGCCAATACCCGGAAACTCGAATTGAATCGACGGAGGAAGCTGACAACTTCCACGTATGCATAAGCGCCGGTCGCCCGATGAGCTTCATCAACAACCAACAACACTATCCTCTTGGGGTCCGCATATCCAGATTTCAAATCGTTCAGGAGTGTCTGAGGCGTCATGAAGAACACTCTCTTGTCCTTCCACTCTTCCGCTCGTAGTCCTGTCTGCACACCTCCAGTAAGCATTGTGGTGTATGAGCGCGGAATGCCCGCGATGTTAAAGCAGGCCTCTACCTGTTGGGCAACAAGCGGCTTCGTTGGAGCGACGAACACTATCTGCGCATCGATGGTCCATCGGAACCAATTGAGAATGATGGTAGCTGCAATGAATGTTTTACCGAGACCAGTTGGAAGAGCCACAAGTAGGTTGTTGAAGAGACCTCGCTGAACAATGTTAAACTGATAATCTCGGATAGTTCCTAGGTTTGTTGGATAAACCCAAGTCTTAATTGTTTCTGGATCTAGCTTGTGGTGAGTGGGTGGCTCGGCCTTCTGGTCAACGACGAAGTTGTATCGTTTATTTGTTTGGGTGGCGGGAATTGTACCATTGACGCCCGCGCGACCAAACAAGGTGGTCTGTCGTAGACCGGTGAGAGGTGCAACGACACGTTTTCGAGCGCTGATAACTTCTACATCGGCCTGCTTCTGCGGCGATGAGGAAGAGGAAGCAAAAGCATCGGACGGAAGATCTGCGAGATCTCGGGTGAAGTCATAGTCACCCGTTGCTGTTGCAGTTGCAGGACGAACCGGTAACCTTGGGGATTCTTTGATCTCAATGGGCGAGTCTGAAAGGACTGGAGACGGCGGCGCTTGTGGTGTAGGTCGAGATGATGTCGACTGTCTACTCGGCAAAGGCATAGTGCTCATGGCGTCCAACCCAGCCGATTTACTAGGTTCGAACGGCTTGTGCACACCAATGGCGGTAGTAGGTTTTGCCCATATTGCTCCCCTCGGCTTCCACGGTGGGGAGTATGTCTGAGGTGGCTGCGTTAAGAACATGTCTGGCATATCCACGTTTGTGGTCGGCATATGAATGCGTTCTCTCCGCTTATCCGCAACAGTCTCTTTAATGGGTAACACATCTTCATCATCGTTTCGCTTCGACTGAGCTCTCTTCTTACGACTTGAAGGCGCGCTCTCTGGAGGTGAGGCACTTTTGCTGCCTGTGTCAGACAACGTCCGATCGGATCCATCAAAGGCGTCTTCATCTTCGTCAGACGAAACGAAAGGGCCTCGGCGACGCCCTTGTCGTGTGTTGCGTGGAACGGACTCAGTACGCTCATCTATATTGCTGATCTTCCGCCGCTTGGCTGGCCTTGGTGAAGACGGAAAGGCAGGCGTGTTCTCCTTCTCAGCCTGCGTGGCAGCATCGAGAAACTCAGTATCGTCAAACTCATCGCCGTACTCGTCACTGTCAGACATTGCTCTGGTGATTGAGAGGCGGCAGTACTTCAACAGTGGCGTTGGTGAGGTAAATGTCACGACGCGTCGTTTTCTAGCGCGTCTGGATTACGATGGCGCGTGGATGGATGGGGCGGGTGGATCCCTGCAGCCCAGGCTTCCACTGGTAAGGTCCAAGCCGACGTGCATTCAGATGAGGCCGCCGGCCCGACGGGCTTACCACAACAGGCTTAGTCAAAACCCAATACAAGCGCAACGGAGCCACTACTCGCCAAACCCCTATGTAATGACTAGTAGTGTATCAGGGCAATAAAAACGAGATGGCCTCCCCCAGATTCTTTCTTTGTGTGTGCGCCAACGTTCGTTCTTTGTTTTGATTCAGCATTCAAGTACTCGTACTTCCCACACTCACTTACCGTATCTTCAGTATATCCGTATTAATACACCCGACGCCAAATCACTATCTACAAAGGTTCCGTAATACCAAAACGCAAATCAACATCAAGATGAAGTACTCTGCCGTTCTTCTCTTCGCCATTGGCGCGTTCGCTCTTCCTCAAGAAGCATCTGTTACCACCGCTCCCAAGACCCCCGCCGCTATTCCGAGTGGTCTCACTCCCGCTATTAGCTGCGCCATGTCGTGCGACGACAGCGATGTGACCTGCAAGGCCGCATGCATGGGCAATGCACGACCCAACGCCTCCCAGGTTATCGAGACGAACGAATGTGCCGCCAAGTGCGACCAGGGTGATGGCTCTACTGAGGACTCCATTGCCTACGGCAAGTGCGTAGATGGCTGCATCAACAGCCTTTTCCCTAGCAGCCAGACCGCCTTCGCCCCTGGTGCTGCTGGCGGCGCTGTTGCTTCCGGTTCTGCGGGTGGTGCGGCCAGCGCTGCTGCTTCAGCCACCGGTTCAGCCAACCCTACAGCTACCTCAGGTACGTTTCCCGTTCTTATTGCATTTTAATTATCTTCATTCTAACGATACTCCAGGAGAATCTGCCTCTGCCACTGGATCTGAGTCTGGCTCTGCAGCTGGTCCCGCTTCCACTGGTGCCGCTGACAAGGCTTCAGCTCGTCTTGCTGGTGCTGGTCTTGCCGGTCTTTTGGCCATCTTCGCCTTGTAAACTCCGTAAATTTCCACTCGGCAGATGCAAAGAGCTTCTCAGTCATTAAAAAACTTGAAACAGGTGTCGAGATGGCGATAGATGCGAGATCCTCTGCTATATCATGGTCATGGTGTTGAAGTCAGCGTGCGTCAGGTATCGGCCTATGATGCGATGATCTTCTTGGCGGCAAGATTTTAGTTTAATCAGAACGAAACTCTTCGATTACATTGCCGATTCAAGCAATATACTTTGCTTATTGTCGAACAAATGTACCTAGATCTGCGTGAGTCGTCTACAGTGAATTGAAGTCGTTGAGGAGGGGGATCAGCACTGGGTATGCTAGTGCAGCTAATGATGGCGCTGGCTCGTGCATCTCATGCAGGTCAGCGGCATGACCTCGGCAGGGCAGATGTCATCAAGGACCCACTTAGACCATGACAAGTGCCCGCACACCATGAAATAATCGGGGTAATTCATCATGTGACTTTGTTCGTTTGAAAATGAAAAGAACAATTCTCGTATGCATTTTCCCAACATAACGGGATATTGCTGGAGAAGTCTATCGCCTTTTCCGCCAAGTACGGACGACACAAGCGAAGCCTAATGTCTCTCAAAGTCAACGAAGCAGTGGCTGGCAGCATGGCGCAGATACGGCTGTGCAGGTGGTTATATTCAATCTCGGACCGAAAGTTTGATTGTTGTCGTTGACAATTTTGTTCAAGTGAGGAAGAAGAATAGGGGCTTCGCACGCCGTTGACGGGCAGAGAGTAGCTGGGTAGCGGCAAAGGTTATGGCCCTTTGATCGATCTGCAAGCGCCTGTTGTTCCCACATGCAAAGGAATCAGAATGCAAATCTGGAAAGGAATTGCTGGTATTCAGCTCGCTACATTCCATTGTGGCAGTGTGTCATTTTAGTAGATTTGCGCGCGTCTACGACAGCGTCTCGAGTAGTGCGCGTATCGTGAGTGTCTTTCTATCTGCTTTCTGTTGGTTGTCAATTGTCTCTCCAGAACCGGGTAATTACAACCGATGTTCCACCCACAGTGCACACGACTGTACCTTTCCCTACGGCGAGTACAGTCGCATCCAGATTAGATTAATTGCTTTCACTGGACAGTGTAGTTGTCATGCTTCCCGATAATAACGCCAGATCGCATGTCCGTGAGATTCAGTTTGTGACGTTTTTGGATACACTGCACCCAGGAGGTACACGTAGTTCTTAGCGAAAAATAGCGTCAGTCTGTTTTTCATATTGTATACAGCTGGTGCATATGTGATGGGTCGTTCCAAGAATGCAACACTCTCTGTAGTAGTTTAATGCGACAAAGAGTCGCGATCTCATCGGTGAGTGGTTGCGCGAGCGAGAGAACTGAGCGACGCCGATTCCAAACAAGACAAAGGCAATAGAGAACCCAGTTGCAATACTAACCACCATAGTCCCATGGCTTTATGTGATCTCCTGAGCGGTGTGGGTTCCCTTCAGAGCATGCGCAGTTGGAGAGGGAAACCTCGCGAAACAGAGTCCATATAGCCGAGGATGGTATGCATCACCGAGACTGCTGAGGTTGAAAGCGGATATGAATGGCTATGGAGCGTACAGGTAGGAAAAAGGTAGTGAGATTTGAAGCTACTAAGGTGTTTTGATGACGAAGATCTGCAATGCCATGCGAGCGTCACCAACAACGAGAAAGTATCTCCACTGGTACCGCCCGTTTGTTACCGGACAGGCTCATTTCCGCGTGAAATAGTCATTGTCGCAACGATCTGCTCATGCGTGGAAAGCTGTGTCAAAGTCAGAGTCAGTCGTCGCATCTGCTGCTGCTGGCATCGATTGATCTGCAAGGCATATTTTGACAATAGGGCTCCATGATCTTCTTGGTAGAGTAGCGACGCAGACAATAAGAAATCGCAAGCTGAGAGTTTCGGTCACTTGGCCGGCTTCTTAGTTGGCGATATGCTCCAAACACTCCCAGCTTCGAGGGATGCCCAGCGAAGAAAAGTCTGGTGCGTTCCGCACAGAACCGAGCCTTTCAATAGGCCACTGGGGTGTAACTTTGTTGCAGTCGTCGGCACCGGTCGAAGGGGATATCAGCATCAGCAATCACTGGATAGCTGCTGTGATGTGCGGTGTATGGCATTGATGGCGTTCTCTACAAAGATTGGACGGAGGGCTCGCTGAAAGAGTCGGCGTGAGCCCCATGGTTGCTGCAGTGGTGCGCGAGCTGATGTGCGCCAACGATCACGTTAGTGGATGCCGCTTACAGCGAATGAGAAGCGGGCAATATGAGGCCGATGAGGGTTGGCTAGGTGCGGCTGGGTGTTTCGAAGGGGGGCAACAAGGCAGCCGGACACGAGATGACTGAATGCGTCTGCTAGCGTCCCCTGTCTGCGGACCTAGTAATGCCGCTGGGTAATCCCGCGAACCGAACGGCTGCATCACTGCAATTGCAGGCAGATGTGCGACACAACCATGGGCGTTGTTCGACCTTCACCACCAGGCGGGGGTCGACGATAGAGATGGTCGGGCCGTCTGAGACCGGGCTGATGTGGCCGGAACAGGTGGATGTGTAAGAGAGTCAGCCGCGAACGGGCCTAGTGTGGGCAGGGCCGCGGAAAGGAATAACAATAAATGACCAAGGCGCTCTGCGTTTCCGGACAGATGCGCGGGCAAGAGGCGCCTGTCCTGCCTTTGCCAGCTTGTGTGACGCAATGTGTGCTGTGGAAGATTCGGCATCAAGCCCATCCATCCACGGGTCTCTGCCAAACGAGCAGCGAGGTCTCGTTAGACCAGTCGACCCTTGTCGCGCGCTAAATCGAGTTAGTCAATGGACCACTTGCACCATACATCGCCTCCTTCAACCTTCCTCGCCGCGCCCACACCATTATCGCAGCACTCGATACCAGATAAATAGGCCCTATGATCTGATGGAGCGCACTGTCCTGTTGTTGTGTGATGCTTGTGGTGCTTCAATTTGATGGAACTGAGTAGCAACTCCGACGATACTTGGGTGCCCGGTGGTCTATTACCGCCGGCATGACTGAGACAGGCGGAGCAACTGCGAATAACAGAGATAGTCGCCGCATGATGGGCGCGTTGCCGGTGTATGTTAGACAGGGGTGGTGGAGATCGTTGATGGACGAAGCGTGTGAACATGAACGTGCAAAAACCATCAAAAGAACACATCGTGACAAGGGATTCATCAGCGCCCCCATCTGTGATCGAACGACGCATCCATACGTCGTGGGCAGGCGCGGGCGTCGTTGTCGTCAAGGTGCTGTTGTTAGCAGCACCGATGAGAAAGATGAGATATGCGTAAGAAAGAACTAGGTCCCACGGACGTAGCCTTGGGCCTAGCTTGGCACCGTTAGACCCATACTACAGCGAGTCCGCCATCTTTGAATTCCTTCAACCACTGCTCCCTTCTTCACTAATTCTCCCCCCACACCACGCTTTCTCTCGTCCAACCGCGAAACATTTACCTGTTTCGCCATCGGCCCCATCAAGCCAACGGCCCCAAAACTCGCAAACATCTAACTTTGACCTGCTGCTTGCCAGGTTCGCGTGTATGCGCTGATGAGCCTTCTCATGCTGCGTTGATATCCGCACTTGACGGGCTTCTTCTTAGCGACAACCCTGGCGACAGCCCGCGCCTGCCTGGAAAGGGTTCTTCGCCGTACTTTGGCTCGGTCTTTCTAATAATTCTGCCTTCTCCTGCAGAATTCTTCATGGCAGACACGAAGAACGGCGAAGGCGAGGCTCCGTCCTCGACGGCTGGGGACCAGTCCAATGCAGCATCACCGCGCAACGAAGATGACGCGCAAAGCAATCAACAGCAGCAACCCAACGCTGCATCAGAAACAGCGCCTTCCAAATCAACTAGCAAGGCGTCTTCTACTAGAAATTCAACACCCGCAGCTTCTTTAGAGGTACGGCAACCTGCACAGGATTCCAACGACGCGTCTTCTGCCATGGACGATGTGCAACCATCACCGGAGGCCGCCAACGGTGCTTCAAATCAGTCCAAGGCATCATCAAAGGAGCCAGACCAAAATGGTGAGGTGCCGTCGTCTTATGGTACGCGATCGCGCGGCCGTCCTGGCAGGTCGCGACCTAATTATGCTGAGGACACCGAAATGGACTTCGAAGTGGGAGCTGCATCCACGAATGGCAACGTATCTGATCCGCCATCGCGTAATTCTGTGGTTCCCGAAAACGGCCATGCTTCTAGTGTGAGTGGGAAGAAAGGTTCCGCCTCTGCGCAAGGCAATGCATCGTGGGGTAATTCCGGATCCAACACTAAAGAGAACGCGCCAAATCCCAATATTTCCGGCCCATCAGCGACCGCTACAACAACTCAGTCAAGCACACCACAACCGCAACCCGCAACTAAACGACGCAAAAATGCTGCTGCCAACGGCGCAAATGGTAGTCACGCGAGTGCCGCTGCGCCAAGCCAAGCAGGGGCGAAGCGCGGCAGCCATGCCAGCGCCATGGTAGCCGCCAACAGCGCGCGGGAGTCCAACATGATGACTTTCGAAAACACGGGTGCTTTCCTCGTTGATGGTCATTTGGAAGCAGACGACGGCCAGATTGTTTCTGTTAATGGTAAGTTTTGATTTGCTTTGGCTGCAGCTGACGGTCGCTTCGTTAAGCCAGCCACGTCTTGCGGCTTGTTTCCCGTTTTCTAATTGGACGTGCAGATCAAGTGTACCTCGTGTGCGAGCCGCCCGGCGAGCCCTACTACCTTTGCCGAGTTATGGAATTTATCCACGTCGACAACGACCCCAAGAAGCGGATAGAGTCCATGCGAGTTAATTGGTTCTACCGCCCACGGGATGTCCAGCGCTACAACAATGACACTCGTCTGGTCTATGCGACCATGCACTCTGATCTTTGTCCCCTTGCATCTTTACGAGGAAAATGCCAAATCTTGCATCGAAGCGAAATTGGCGATCTAGACGAGTACCGCAAGACCAAGGACAGCTTCTGGTTCAACCAAGTTTTCGACCGCTTCATTCATCGCTGGTATGACGTTATTCCAGTCTCGTCGGTTATCAACGTACCCGACAAGGTCAAGAAAGCGCTGGACGAGCGATGGAAGTACATATGTCTCGAGACCAGTCGAGTGAAGGAATTGACTAGCGCCGTCAAGAGCTGCAAGCGTTGCGTTGGATATTGCGCAGCGTAAGTTCTCATTTACATCCTCCACGTGATGGAGCTAACTCGAATAGGAATGACTCCGTCGAATGCGCTGTGTGCCACAACACATATCACATGAACTGCGTACGTCCACCACTTCTGAAGAAGCCGTCTCGTGGTTTCGCTTGGGCCTGCGGCCCATGTAGTAGAGCTCAAGAGAAGAAGCTGGAGGCTCGACTGGGTACTACCCACGAGGATGCGGAAGAAGAGGAGATTGTAGATGAGGAAGAGGAGGAGGCAAGCGGCGATACCAACGCAGCCACACCTGATCTAGATTCCCAAATCGACACACATCCTGCGACTCAGGCCGAGATAGCTTTGGCTAAGATGTGGCCTATGCGGTACCTTGGCATACACTGCCGGGTAGAGGACGCACTGCAGTATGACGACCGAGCCATCTACCCTCGCGCAAGTTCCAGGCTAGGACCGCGACACCAAGCCAACGTCAACGTCTGGCACGGACATCCCGTGGAACTGGTCAAACCCGCGGAAATCAAGAAACGCTATGTCAAGGCTGCGGGTAATAAGAAGGAAGGCAAGCTCTCCAAAGAGACGGTAGCTGCGATCGAAGCAGACAAGGCGGAGAAGGCCAAGCGCCCTAAGTGGGTAATGGACGAGCCGCCTGGGTACGTTCGCCGCGGTGAAGACCTGCCGAATAAGGACTCGAAGTGTACCGCGGAATTGATGTTCAAAATGCCACCGTTAGGAGTCCATTCCACGCGAGGGGAAGATAACGCGCCAACCGTCACGGAAGATCAAGTCAAGGCTTACATGGATCGGGCAAGAGCCCTGGCTAAGTCGCACATTGGCGTAGAACCTTACAACACGAACTTTCTGGATCGGTGCCTGGCGCTCTTCACCAAGTACCAGTACGATGCAGACGTAGCATTGAAGCATGTCAAAAAGATTGATAAGCGGAAAGACTTGAAGGAGCCGGAGTTGACCAAGGAAGAAGAAAAGAAGTGGAATGAAGGTGTCGCAAAATACGGTTCGGAGATTAGGCTCGTTCGCCTGCACACCAGCAAGACTATGTTCTACGGGGATGCAGTACGCTACTACTACATGTGGAAGAAGACGCCCAAAGGAAGGGAGATTTGGGGTTCCTACAGTAGCCGAAAAGGGCGAAGCAAGAAGGTGGAGCCTGACGCACAATCCCGACTCGTCGATGATGTCGCCGACAACGCGGACGACTCAGCTTTTGACAGCGCGAAGGCTATACAGCGCAAGCGTCTTTTCCAGTGCAAGTTCTGTACGGTTCGCCATTCTCGCCAATGGAGACGCGCGCCCGGTGTGACACCCGGTCAGATGATACCTCCTGACGGTCGGTCCAAGGACAAAACCGGGTTTCTCATCGCGCTTTGCCTACGCTGTGCGAACCTATGGCGCAAATATGCAGTGACATGGGAAAATGTCGACGAAATCGCGAAGAAAGTTGCACAGGGTGGAGGAAAGGCGTGGAAGCGACGCATCGATGAGGAACTCCTACGTGAGGTTTACGCGGCGCAGTCAGATCCCAGCTCCAAGAATGGCACTCCCGAGTATGCCGAAGCTCCGACTGCTACTGCCCAGCCGGTTGCAGAGCCGCCCAAGAAAAAACAGAAGACCGCTGCTATTACCAACGGAGACAGTGGAACGAGTACTCCTGTTAATGAGCCCGTCTCGAAGAAGAAGGAGAAGGAAAAACCTGCTATGGCTCCGAAAGCTCCTACACCCCCGCCAGTTCCCGCGCCTCCGAAGCTAAGGCCTTTACCCTGCGCTGTGTGTCGGTCGTCTGAAGGTTCCCGTCTGGAATGTGCAGCCTGTCGATTGACTGTCCACAAGCGTTGTTATGGTGTCGAAGAAACGCGACAGGCAAACAAGTGGTACTGCGATACATGCAAGAACGACAAGAAGGAGAGCGTGTCATATGTAAGATACATGCTGAGCATTGTTGAAACCCTACTGACTGATTAGACATACGAGTGTGTTCTCTGCCCACAGCAGGATACCGAGCAAGAGTTCTATGAACAGCCGAAGGCTACGCACAAGAAGAAGACCGATCGTGATCGCGAAAAGGAGCGCCTGGAGAAGGAGCTTGTTGACAGAGCCAAAGACGAGTATCGTCTCCGACAACAAGAAAAAGGCCGACCGCTTGTACCCCGAGAACCGCTCAAGCGCACTGCCGACAACAACTGGGTGCACGTATACTGTGCAATCTGGCATCCCGAGATTAAGTTCAGCAGCGCGATGCGCCTCGACATGGTGGAGGGAATAGGAGCACCAACACTTCGGTACGATGCGGTTTGTAAGCTGTGCAAGACAACTCAAGGTGCCTGTGCATCCTGTTTACAGTGTCATGCGACCTTCCATGTTGGCTGTGCTCATAGCAACGGCTATACGTTCGGCTTCGACATGACCCCGGTCAAGGTCTCTCGCAGGGATGCAGTACCTACGGTGACTATGAATGGGGAAACGGGTACATTGATTGCAGCGATCTGGTGTAAAGAGCATTCTCCCAAGACTGTTGTTCACCCCATGAATGAGGAAGTGGAAGGGACAGATCTGATCGCATTGCAGCTGTTCGCGCGTGAATTCAAGCAGGCCGATTTAACCTTGACAGGCACTGCGCGCAAAGCCAACCTGGTAGACCAGTCGACACGCGTCGTACCCCAAATCGCGCCAACTCCAGTCAACCGTAGGGCATCCGCGGTCACTGCGCCAACACCCACGTCGGCCCGTGGTCGACAATCGAACGCTGGGATATCAGTTAAAGAAGAGTCAACCGAACCGACTGCGCCCAAACCTGAGCGCAAATGTGTGCGCTGCAAGATTGAAGCTAGTCCGCGATGGTGGAAGGTTGACGAAGAAATGCCAGCAATACAAGCGCCTCGTGTGGTAGATGGACCAGTTGACCGCGAAGGTGTGACAGACCAAAACGGTCACATTGAGAAGAAGCCTGTTGTCGAGGAGGGTCGCATCATTAACGGCAATGGCCAAGACGATCAGCCGATGACGGATGCGCCAGCTGTTGCTTCGCCTGCGCATAACACTTTGCGGCTGAACACCAACATGGACGCTGTTCCCTCAGCCTCGTATATATGCCAGAAGTGTCACTGGAAGAAACATAATGGTACGGATGACGAGGAGGAAGAGCGAGCGAAATCGGTATCGATCTTTAAAGAACCTCCGCAGACATACCCTTTGCCAGCGACCCAAATACCAACATACCCACCGCCTCATCCGCCCCTAGCAGGAACCTGGACAGTACCAGGTGGTCCCGCACCCGGTCAGCCCCCTCCGTTGCCCTCATGGCATAGCGGAGTCCCTCCAGGACCTGGCCATCCCCCGCACCATCTACCCAACGGGAACGGATATGGACCACCACCACCACTACAAGGCCCGCCTATTGGTCACATTCCTTCGTTCCATGCGCCGTACCCGCCTCAACCTAATGGATATTCGGCCTTTTCAGGTGCACCGATGCACTCTGCGATAGCAGCTGCAGGGCTTCGGCCACCGTACTCAGGGCCGCCTATTAGTGGACCTCCTCAGTTACATCACAACAACGGCGCGATGATGGTCAATGGCGCTATGCAATCGCCACGGACAATACCCTATTCGCCAACTCATCCTCATGCACATCCGGCCTCGCGTGAAAGCCCATTCACTGCACCTCCTCCAGCGGTAGCGCAGTATCCTGTGCTCCACCACGGTAGCCCTGCACCTGGCAGGCCAGCAACACCCATGGACACGGTGATGCGGGATGCTCCAGCAGTCACGTCGGCGCCCACCGAACGCGCCAATACTGGGGCAAGTGCGAGTCCATCTCTCCGCAATTTGTTACATTAGACTTTCATTTCGCCCCTTCTCCTTTCTATCTGTGTAATCCGTTTCATTTGAACTCGAAGCATGGGACCGGAGTTGATGCCTTTGGGCGTTTTCAGCGTTGGTTGCAGGAATATGACCTCACAGTGACGCCACATTGCGAAACACATGAGTAGTCTACAGTAACACGGTGGGAGCATAGAGTAGGGCAGTGAAGTCGTTATTGGGTATGTAATTCGGCGTCTGGTGGCATTATACCACAACGTTTGCTCTGTGTTTTATCTGTTATTCTGCTTTAGAGTTAGCGAAGCCGGCCTCCCACGGTACTGAATACATTTTGACCTCGTCATCATCATCATCGGTGCATTGCGCGTCTAATCATGCCTCGAAGTCCTGCCTGTCTGGTTTACAGTTCGTTTTACGAGTACCTCAGAAAACACAGAGAAAAAAGCCTCCTGCGGCGGTTGCAGCGGCAGGTCATTGCTGTCTGGCGGTAATGCGCACGTGTTTGAGCACGCCCGATACGTGTACAAGAAGAGATGTTTCAGTACAGTAGAATGAACCTCACCGACTGTTGCATCATAGCTCACGCGCAGTTTTCAAAGCGACGAATGCTACAGCCACATTTTGGCATCCGACGTTGCAGAGTGAAGTCCGCCACATCCGGCCAGACGGGCAAGGAACAAGCTTTCCAGCCCTGCAGGGCACGGGTCGCGCTCCACTCCTATCCACGCGTCCCTTGCATACCTCATCCCGACCTCCCCAACCTCGAATCTCGAGTTGCCCCAGCCACAATCATCGTCTCTTTCCTTTTGGTCATTTCTTTTGCGTCACTCATTTATCGAATTGCCGTTTCCATAAGTTTCCATTTATTTTCCATCAAGCCACTTCCCCAGATATATACAGTCGAAGTTCAGCCACCTCCCCAATAGCCGCCCACGCATCCATCCCCTCTTGAAACCCAATACATCCACGCCTCACACATCTGAAACAATACCCGTAGCTAACCCTCTCCACACGCGACACACCTCCCTCTCGGGAGCCTAGTCGACCGAAGGAACGAACGACGTAGCAGTGGCGCAGCCAGCCCATTAACCGCTCACATCGACCATAATATCTCATTGAATTGCGGCACATACTGGGCTTATACCAGTCGATCGTCCCTTCTGCGATCCAACGTATACATCCACAACTCGCCCGTTTCCGAAAACAGGAAATACACACAAACACACACACACACACACACACACACATCACATCACATCACAGCCATGCCTTCATTAACAAAGAGATACTACTGTGTAGATGATTTCGCTGGAGGGAGGGAGTGTTATGAAGGTAACGATGGCTTTTGGTACACAGATGTATGTCAACCCTTGTACCCTCTAGCTCCTACAAAACGTTGAACTAACAATGCAACAGAAAGGCATAATCGTCAAGTGGATAATCCTCGCCTCGTTCTTCTTCATATTCTTCGGTTGGTTCGTAGGAGGTCGTATCCACGCAAAGCAACGTTTAAGAAAGGGTCTTCCATTGCTCGGATACCATCGCGTACGTCTACCCCTCTTCTCCGACACCCATGCCACCCAATGCTAACAAAATGACAATAGTTCCTGATATCCTACTCGGAACGTCGCCGCCACGGCCAAGTCCCCCAGAACCACTTTACCTTTTACCAAACACAAAACCCATATGCACCCAACGCACCCAACCCACAATACACACAGAGACAGGATGGCACATGGGCGGAACCCCCGCCCCTATACCAGAACACAGATGCGCCACCACAATACTTTGCGCCTCCACCTCCAGGCGCTACAAAAGCGAACCCTAACCAAGGGGCTCAGGCCATGGAGATGCCGTTGTATGGTGCACCGCCGCAAGGAGTACCGCAACAAACAGGTCCTCAGCAGACGGGTGTTGTAGGTGCGGACGTAGAGCAGGGTCATACACAGGAGTTACCACCTCGACCAGCAAAGGCGAAGATTATGGGTGTATTAGATCGCTTTAGACGGTAGACAGAATGCATGAGAAGATGCAAGGACCGGAAAGAAAGAAAGAAAGAAAGAAAGAATGCGTGACTGGATCACGTTTGTTGCAATTACGTCCATGTTAACCAGCCGTTAAACACTATTCATAATAATTTCATGACTAACTAGCTACACTTAATATTCATTCAATCAATCAACCAATCAATCAATGTCCATGGCATCGCCGTCTCCATCTGCAGGTATTGCCATAGGTTGGGGTATCGCATCCATCATCCTGTCTTCTCCAGTCGTAGTACTACTACTACAACTGAAGTAGTTATTCCTTGCCAGATCAACATTCACGGGTTCTGTCACTGGGTTCACCTGTTTATCCCTGATCCGCTGTCTCGCCTCTACAATGGCCTTGCGCACATTGTCCTGCGCCTCTGGTACTGTCAGACTTGTGGGTACATTATACAGCACCAACTGATTTGTCTCTGTAGGCTTAGGCTCTGGGCCCATTAAGATGTGTTTAGGTATCTTGGACAGATGCTTCTCGATGTCGGACAGGAAGATGGGGTTCTCTTCGTCCGACTCGATGTCGGAGAGTTCGGCGCTCAGGTCGGAGATGTAGACTCTGTGGGGGGTGTCTTCTACTTCCATGCCTACTGCTTCTGTTTCGGCACAGGCGCGGGGGAGGCGTGGTTTGCGTGGCTGCTTTCGTCTCGAGGCGACGAAGGCTAGAGGGTCGCCGTATGAGGTGGCTGTTTGGGGAGCGCGTGGGAGTGTGGCATCTGTTGAGCCTGGGACGGGGATGTAGAGGCGTGTGCCATTGTTGTCTACTGGAGTGATGTTGTTAGCATTGGGGCCAATGTGGATGAGAGGTGAAGGTGCAGCATACCCAAGTTCAGCAAGTCGAAGCGCTTACTCAGCCGCTGTTCATTCTCGAGAGAAGTGTCGGCTTGTCTCTTGGTGCCATGGGGCGCATTCTGTTGCGCATATGGAGGAGGGTTGCTAGCGACTTGCGCCATGCATCGCAGCTTTGGTAGTGAATCTGTTTAACTAGAGCCGAAGACAGCCGATTGGTAGCGTGGTAGGGTGGTGTGATTATTTTGTGATAGTGCTGTTGTTGCGATCGCAGCAAGCCATGGTTGTTATAATGGGACATGCAGTCTAGGCGCACTTACGTGAAGCTTCCAGAAAGGCTGAGGCCGCCGTCGGTCCTCCGAAGCTCCTACGGCCAGTCAGCCCCGCAATCGCTGGCTGCAGCTCGGCGCCCGCACCCACAAGTTTCGTGAATGCTGCAACCACTGATATCCGCCCCTCTGAGTCACCAAAGGGTTAGAGGCCGTCTACCATTGATTTCGAGTTGCTGCTCCTGCCTCCTGCGCTCACGTTCGCCCCGGCTAGATTTGTCGATACGCCACACGAGACTCTTCACCCACACACGACATCTTTCGCTGCCCCTCCACGACGGCAACGCGCAGGCCGCAAACATGTCGCTCGCCCAAGAGAAGCACGAATGGGGCGCCGTCCGCGTGCGCCAGACTTTCCTTGACTACTTCAAGGAGCGCGGACACACATTTGGTGGGTTTCTCTTTCCGTGTTACAGTTTTGAGTCAACTGACAACAAACAGTGCCTTCGTCGTCCGTCGTCCCACTCTCCGACCCCACCCTCCTCTTCACCAATGCGGGCATGAACCAGTACAAGGCCATCTTCCAAGGCACCGTCGACCCCTCGTCCGACTTTGCACAGCTCAAGCGCGCCGCCAACTCGCAAAAGTGCATTCGCGCTGGTGGAAAGCACAATGACCTCGACGATGTGGGCAAGGACAGTTACCACCACACTTTCTTCGAGATGCTGGGAAACTGGAGTTTTGGCGACTACTTCAAGACGGAGGCGGTAGGCTTCACCTGGGAGCTTCTCACAAAGGTCTACGGCATAGATCCCAAGAGGTTATACGTCACATACTTTGAGGGAACAGATGAGCTGGAGCCAGATCTGGAGGCCAAGGAGCTGTGGAAGAGCGTGGGCGTGCCAGAAGATCACATTCTGCCTGGAGACATGAAGGACAACTTCTGGGAGATGGGTGACCAGGGACCATGTGGACCTTGCTCAGAAGTGCATTACGATCTGAGAGAGCCAGTCAACGGAGAGTACAGGAATGCTGCCTCACTCGTCAACATGGACGACCCTGAGGTTATTGAGATCTGGAACAATGTTTTCATGCAGTACAACCGCGAATCCGACCGATCCCTACGACCACTACCGAACAAGCACATTGATACGGGTATGGGCTACGAGCGATTGGTCTCGGTGCTGCAACACAAGAAGTCCAACTACGACACCGACGTCTTCACACCTCTGTTCAAGAGGATACAGGAAATCACTGGAGCGCGCGAGTACAGGGGCAAGTTTGGTGATCAGGACCCTGATGGTGTCGATACCGCATATCGAGTCGTCGCAGATCACGTTCGTATGATGAGCTTCGCCATTGCCGACGGTGGTGTACCCAATAACGTTGGCCGAGGATACGTCGTCCGCCGAGTGCTACGAAGAGGTGCACGGTATGCGCGCAAATACTTTGAGACGGAGATCGGTGACTTCTTCTCCAAGATTGTACCAACGTTGGTTGAGCAAATGGGTGACATGTTCCCGGAAATTAAGAAGAAGCAACAGGACATCATGGAGATTCTGGATGAGGAGGAAAAGGCCTTCGCCAAGTCGTTGGATCGTGGCGAGGTCATCTTCGAAAAGTACGCGCAGAAGGCCAAGGCCAAGGGTTCAGACGACTTGCCTGGAGATGATGTCTGGCGGTTATACGACACCTACGGTTTCCCTGTTGATCTCACAAAGCTCATGGCTGAAGAGCGGGGCTTGAAGATCAAGGACGAAGAGGTTGAGGCCGCACAAGAGAGAGCTCGCGAAGCTAGCAAGGGCGACAAGAAGGCTGGTGCGGTAGTTGTCAAGTTTGACGTACACGACCTCGGTGCGCTGGAGAATATGCCAGAGGTCCCAAAGACCGACGATTCCGCCAAGTTTGGCCGCGAGAACATCACCGCTACCATCAAGGCGATATATCACAACAAGAAATTCCTCAAGAGCACAACAGAAGTACCGGAGGGCGAGCAATTCGGAGTCTTGCTTGACCGGACAAACTTCTACGCCGAACAGGGTGGTCAAGAATATGATACTGGAAGGTTACTGGTAGATGGCGAGGCCGAGATCAGCATCGAGAACGTCCAGGTTTACGCTGGCTACGTATTACACACCGGGTATATCAAGTACGGAGAGTTGAGCGTTGGTAGCGAGGTTATTGCAGAATTCGATGAGCTCCGGAGACATCCCATTCGTAACAACCACACAGGTACTCACGTTCTCAACTACGCTCTTCGGGAAGTCCTTGGCAACGAAGTCGACCAGAAGGGTTCATTAGTCGCGCCAGAGAAGCTGCGCTTCGACTTCTCACACAAGGCTGGCTTGTCGGACGCGGAACTAGACAAGGTCGAGAAGATCTCGTCCGAGTACATCAAGCAGGATTCGCAAGTATACGCCAAGGAGGTGCCGCTCGCATCCGCAAAGGAAATCCGCGGTGTTCGTGCCGTCTTCGGTGAGACATACCCCGACCCAGTACGCGTTGTCTCCGTCGGAGTACCAGTCGAAGAGCTCCTCCAAGACGTCAAGAACGAAAAGTGGGAAAAGGTCTCCATTGAATTCTGTGGCGGCACGCACGTTCTCAAGACTGGCGAAATCAAGGAACTCGTCATCCTCGAGGAATCGGGTATCGCCAAGGGCATTCGCCGCATCGTCGCTGTAACAGGCCAAGAAGCCTACAATGTCCAGCGCATCGCCCGTGAATTCCAAGAACGCGTACAAAACATGGGCAAGATGGCTTTCGGTCCTCAAAAAGAAGCCGAAGCCAAGAAAATCGGCGCCGACCTTAACAACCTTACCATCTCCGCCATTGCAAAGAGCAAACTTCGAGATGAATTTGCAAAGATCCAGAAGAGCATTCTTGACGAACAAAAGGCGGCTGCTAAAGCCGACAACAAACGTGTTCTAGATGAAGTGACCAAGTTCTTTGAGGACGACAGCAAGAAGTTCATGGTCAAGAAACTAGAGTGGTCGAGTACTGTCAACAAGGCCATTAGCGAAGCTATCAAGACTGTTTCTGGACCCAAGAGTGCGCTCAAGGATCGGTCTTTGTATCTTTTCTCTGCTTCGCCTGAGGAGGGCAAGGTTGTGCATGGATGTTATGTTAGCGAGGTATGTCTTTTTTCTTTCCTTTGCTATGTCTTTTGAGACACGAGATGAATGATGTGTGCTAACGTATTCACACAGCCGTTCAAGAACGCAGGCGCCGATGGACCCAAATGGGCTGCTGCTGTTACACCGATTATAGGTGGCAAGGCGGGTGGAAAGCCGGGCGCTCCTACTGCGATCGGTCAGGGTACGAACGCGGATAAGGTCGACGAAGGTGTTGAGGAGGCGACGAAGTGGATTGAGAACCTCAAACTCTGAGATAGTACTCCGAGGTTTCTGAGATGTGAGCATGTATAAATGATCCAGTCTCGGCATATGAGGTGGAACGGAGGAATTTTAGATACGCAAGGCCCAATGCACATGTACGATTTGTACTGCCATGTTCAAAAACAAAAAAGTCTCTTGTCATGACGATGTAAAGTCAAAGGTAAAGTTGTTGTTACTTTAGTTCCATCAGCGTCTCGCACATCAAAACATAGCCCACATGAAGTTTTGAAATGAACATTCTCATGATAGGCGATGAAAGAACTTGGGACACGCCTGATAACAATTACAACAACCCTCACCCCCTCCAAACCAAAAACCCATACCATAGCCCCCCCAAAACAACCACTGTTCTCAAATTCGTCCCAAGTTCCCACCAGAAGAGTCCCAATCCCCTTCTCCGTTTCCTCGGCTTTCTAGAAACCTTGGTACTCACACCATAGACTCTGACCTTCTTATCTCTATCATGATCGTCATCGTAGTCCTTGGTATGGTCGTAGCCCGCATGTTGTATCAACGGGAGATTGTACTTGGATTGTTGGTTTTGTTGTTGGTTGTTGCGCGTTTGAGTTGTTGTGCGGACAGACAGGTTTCCTGTGCGTTCAGAAGATGTTGAAGAGTTTGAGGAGTGGGATTCCTTTTCCGCTGTAGCAGGGTATGTGTTTGTGCTTGCTGTAGGTAGAAGGGGGCTCTCTGTCGTCGTGTCTGTTTCACTTGAAGAGACAAGACCGAGGGTGACGAGAGCTGCGCGAAGTACGAGAAGCGATAACGTGAGGCCAAATAACATTCCGTACCTCAAGAATGTGCCTATTTGATCTGGTAACAGGCATAGTTTTGTTTGAATCGTCTTACTTGCATCGCCGTTCTTGGGGTTGCCGTGTATGTCGACAGGATTCCATAGACTGACGAGTTGTACACCAGGGAGTCTGACACCCATGGCCCAGCTTGTACTTTTAACGGTAATCTCCCGTATACCGCCACCAGCGCTGGTGTATGCTTTGTGGAGAACCTCGCAGTAATCGTGGTCGTCGCCTGAGAAGGCGTATCGTATGTCGCCTACTTTCTCGGCTATGTCGGCGGTGATTTCACGGTTGAGCACGTTTTGGTATTGGTATCCACCGCGTACAGAGATGGCGTTGCGGTCGTCGTGTTCGAGGGGTGGTTGGCCGGCTGGTGGATGGGTCGGGGGCCAGTGTTCGCGGAGAGGGCCGCAGGGTGTACCTGGGGCGCGGTAGAGAGGAACGTGTGTTAGGAGTATTGTAGGGAATTCGGTGATCTCGTCGTTGGCGTGTGGAAGTTGGGATGTTGCTAAGTCTTTCTTCTCAATGGCGTGGTGAGGCATACCGGGGTATGGTCTGAGGCCTTGCTGGGCACGTAGCTCGCGCTGTATTAGACGCTTTTTACGCTTCTTTGCATCTTCGAGGAAGCCTTTCGTGGGCCGCCATAGCTTCTCGACCTGTTCTGGTGACTCTTGACCGAGTGCGCTCAGGGAGACGCTGTCGATTGAGACGAAAGTGTGGTTCGCAATGACGTCGATTCTGTTCCCGTCGCCAAAGTAGGCGTTGAACCTGTCTCTGACTCCTTCTTGTACTCCTCTAGCAAACCCCAAGTCATGGTTACCAGGTAAACTGCTTATGAGCTTCCTTCCAGGTTGTCCGGGTCTCGCCTGCATACCGCCATCCCCCCAGTGCTTAAAAAAGATATCCCCAAACCTCCTGTACTCGTTCATCCAGAAGTCGTCGCCATATTTGCGATACTGTTTCTCAGGCGAAGTAGTCGTACGCGTAGACCATTCGCGGCCACCATCGAATAGATCGCCGAGGAAGAATATAGTATCAGGGTACAGGATAGTCTGAAAGCGAGAATAGGTGCGACGAAGGTAGAGATCGGTGTACTTGTAGGCCAGAGGGTTGAGAGGCCACGGGCGACCGGGATACGTGTGCGGATCTATGAGTTGCGGGTCGGCGACGAAGATGAGTCTATGGGGGTTTGCGCCAGTTTCCTAGATGTTTGGTTAGTCCTACGTACGTATAGGTAAAGTGACAAGGTATTTACGTACCCAGTTCTCCCAACTGTCCCAATTACAGCTCTCCACAGCGCTATTGAAGACACCTCTTTCGCCCCAGTACAAAACCACCCACCACAGCAGCACCAGCGCTTTCACAAGCGTAAATAGCCGCCTGAAGCTCCAATTTCCACTTTGCAGCTCGTTTCTTTTGCCCTGCACAGCAGGTCGGATACGATATAGAAAGAACGCCCGTACCAGCCGCCATGCTTGGTGTGTCAAGCTCTCCGGTTCTGAGTATGCGCCGACGGGAGTGCCATACTCGTCGTATGTTGTCATTGTCAATCAAAGGAATGAGAAAGTTGCTGGCGCAGCATTTTTGGAAACGATTTCATGTGTGAGGGAATGTTACGCAGTCGTGAGCATGTCGCCTGCGTGATGCTCAAAGGGGAACCAGTTGCGTCGTGTTAATGGTCTGGGGAAAATGCGGCCAGGGTCCCGCACGGGCGAGGCTGATCTGCCGCTACGAGGGGCTTGATGCGGGCGTCTGCAGTGTAACTTTGCTCACCACCACCAAAGCACATAATGCTGCAAGAGTACGTCATCTGGATAGTCTTCCTGAACATATGCAAGTGATATCATTTGGAACATGCTAAAAGTACAAACAACATTTCCCTTTCCTCTCTAGTACTCAAGAGTCACCTCTTGACCCTTGACCCGACCAATAACGATTTCAGGCGCATACTTGGGAATAACTTCATCGTCATGCAACATCTCAAACTCCTCCGACGCATCCTTGCCCATATGGCTGAAGAGCGCCTGAGGACCTCCTGGGTGCTCGTCTGTCCAGTTGGTGACGTCCATGACGATGCCCTTTACGGCAATCCACAGGTCATCCTTCTTGTTGTGCTTTGCAACCTCCTCGAGCGAGAATTCCTTGTCTGGAATGCTGAACTTCTTTGGTGCATTAGGCTTGGAAACCTTGCCGGGGTCGTTTGAGTCGGCCTTCGAGGACATGACAGGAGCGGCAGATTCCTGCTTTTGGTGCTGAACGGGATCCGATGAAGAGCTGGCACTGGCTTGAGCGTTTCCGCTGACACCGTTGCCCCACTCGACGGATACCTTGCCCGGTTGTGATGGGTCGATGTGTAGCGAGATCTGACCAAGACGGTTGACAGCGGCGCCACCAGACTTGTTGAGCGCTTGTTGGAAAAGGTACTTGGAAGCAGATTCTCCTGCTACACGACCATAGACAACGCAGCCAAGTAGTGACGAACCACCAAGGCGGTTGGCGCCGTGAACACCACCAGCGAGCTCACCGCAGACGTATAGGCCGTCGAATGGCTTGCCCTCGGAGTTCAAGCACTGTGCTTGGTCGTTGATCTCGATACCACCCATGGTGAAATGGAGCACAGGCTCCATTTGCGCAACGTGGAAGGTGTCGTTGATGTCAAAGGGCAGGTTGTGGAAGTACTTCTTGTTCCACTCGTCCTTCTTCTCACCCTTTGCAATGGCGTTGTAGCTTTGGAATTCGGCTTGAAGCTCCTTGTCGCTGATTCCAATCTCCTTGGCGAGCTCCGCACCAGACATCTTCTTCATCAGGCCACGGCCAGAGTAATGTCTTGTGTGGAAATCGAGGACGTTGGATGCTTTCGAGTTGAGAACGAGACGAATGGGCCAGTTGCCCTTGTCCTTCTCACCCCACATCATGCCGGAGACGTAATCGCGGTGACCGAGGTCGTCGCAGAAGCGCTTGCCCTTGTTGTTGAGAAGGATACCACCCTCACCACGGAGAGCTAGAGACTGTTAGCATGTGACAGCAAACTTGGAAACGATGTACAAACCTTCGGCGGCCAAGAACTTGGTCTTTGCTGTAGGGTCCTTGGGGTCTACAAGACCGGTAGGATGGACTTGGACCTTGTCCATGTCGATACCGTTGGCACCAATCTTCATCAGCATCTTGTGTCCGTCACCGGTAGCGTGAGCACCGTTGGTGGTTGAGAGATCGTAGGTGTCTGGCCTCCACTTCTTTAGAAGAGAGTCCTCGGTGAAGTCGGCGGCGTAACCACCAGTCGCCAGGATGACGGGTCCCTCGAGTGTTGTCTCCTCGCCGTTGAATGTGTATGTGACACCAGTAGCACGGTTGCCCTCGGTGTTGACCTTGGAGACCTTGGCCTTCTTGACGAGCTGAACGCGCTCTGGCTCCTGCTCGGCCAACTCTTCGAATCGTTGCATCAGAGCGTATGTGATGGCCATACCGGGAAACTTGGCATCGTGGCCACGGTGGGTACGAGGTTGAGAGTGACCACTGCCAAGGTTAGTACGTGTGTCGGGTTCGGGAATAATGTCAAACGTACCCCAACCGCGAGACGAGAGTCAAATCGAGGTTGAACACGTCCATCAACCACTCGACAGCGGCAGCGGACTTGTAGGTCAGGACCTTGATCAGGTCTGGCCGCGCCTTGTCTCGCGCAGACTTGAGTGTGTCATCGTAGAACTGCTTGACGCTGTCGCCAATCTTCGCATCTACTTGTGTCCTTGTAAGGGCACCGTTGATTCCAGATGTGGCCTTGGTAGAGTTGCCGCCCATGAAGTTGTTCTTGTCAAGGAGAACGACATTTCCACCAGCAAGGTAGATGGTGTGAGCAGCGCTCAAGCCGGACACTGTCGTCTTGGTTAGCCAGGCGCGTGACGGTGTATGATGCAGTGATGCTTACAGCCAGCACCAACAACAATAACTCTCTCAGGCATGGTGATGGATGCGGGTGAAGAGTGAATGGAAGTAGAGTCGGGGTAAGGAGAGCAGATGCAGGCGAAAAGTCTGGGGATCGGCTTCTGCTTTGTATGGATGCAACGGGTAGTATGCTCGGCTTCTAACTAGCACTTGAATCGTCGCAACTTGTGCCTCGGAAGTGGAGAATGCGCTAACCCGCATGCACCTGTCGCCGGGCGGGCCCAATCATGTGGCGGCTGTTTGTACGCCAGAGATGGTGCGCCTCTCCAAGACAAGCCTGCAATGCGCTGCTTGGTGCGAATGTCAAGCTATCCTCCAGCTGTCGCATGTGAAGACGCTCGTCGCCGTCAGCACACACATGACTTGTGCATGCGAGGCGTGGCTGGCCCAGTGCGCAACGCTGACCTCTGCTTCGGACGGAACGCCGAGGAGCTGGGGCTTGGAGAACCTGGGGCAAGTCACGCGTGGGAACGCGCAACTCCCCGTTGGCATGTGAAGGCTAGAGCACATGTGATCCCAAGCCTGGCTAGCCACAACCATAACTCTGGAACATCGTCGACGCAATACATTCGCCGCTCGCCGTTGGACGAGTTCAAATGTTACGATGTTCGTTGATGGTTCAGCTTCACAATGCTTGTAATGGCAAATCCTTCCGCATAGGCATCAAAGCCCGATCGGTGTTTGCTCGCACGAGCGCAACACTGAGCGGGCGATATTGCCGTCTTCGGAGTTACAGTCTGGCTATGAACGCATATCGGAGCATCATCTTATGCCGACTTTTCAAGTCGCTCCGATCCCAATGTACTCAACTTGCATTCAAGATCAATTGTGAGTTATTTCAACTTCATTCTACGTGTATAAAGCTTCTCGGGGTAGCTGTTACCGATGCGACAAGACGTGTCTCGGTACAGTTTCGCGCGAGGTCGACCCTAAAGACCGAACACAACATCAATTCTGCCAACAATATATTGCCAATTGCCTGTTTACTCAGTATCTAGGGTCTCCAAGGCCAAGCTTGCGAGAATAGCGGGTCCGATCCATCGGCGCCGTAGGATCCTAGGCCCGGATACTGCAGGACAATCTAGACACTGTGCTCCGATGCATCGTCCTCGATCCTATGTTATACACCGCGATCCTCTGAACCCTCAGTGGCAGGCGACTGACTTCGTCGATGAAGACTGGCTGAACATCAAGTATCCGACAAATGCACCTACTGCGACAGCAAGCATAATCCAACCGTTGTACGTCATGAAAAGCAGCCTATGCACATCAGCCATGGTCCCCAACTCCGCTTTCGTCCAGGAAGCACTTACATGATGAAGAACGAGTAGAAGACCTGTACAGCATACAAGACGGCCTTGATAATCTTCATCTGCTGCATGGCGCTACGTCCAATGCCACCGTTTCTCCCTGGGCCAAGTAATGAGCTAGATTCATCTGCGTCGTCTTTGTATGCGCAAAGAGTACTCAGCGAGTGTTCCTCAAGGTGGTGATTGAAGTGAAGAAAAGAGACCTCCCTAATCTCCTACTTCCACGCTTGCCTCTCGCAATCATATACTGCCTCCCATGGTGTATAGAAAGAGGTGAACTCACCTCTGGGTCCCTCCATGACGCCCTTTGAGTACGCCTCATATCGCCTTGATATTTCCCGGATAGCTTCGTAGCCTGCTGTGAGTAGGACTACGGCGAGTAGTGAGAAGACGAGCGAGCCGGTGCCCGATACGTGCCATGAAGGGAAGACGATGCATAGATCGGTCGTGTCCCAGGTGAACAGCATCTATCAAGTCATACCCCCGTCAGCATATGTTCATTTGGGTACCGATACAAGGAGATAGCTATGCAATCGTACGTTCATGTTGCATTTGGGTCCATCGCCCATGCCAGGCATGTCGTGGCCCATGTGGCCGCCGTGATCCATGTGTGAGTGGTCCATCTGTCTACTGTGCTTTGCTCTCGAAACTGGTTGAGATGGTTTGCTGCTAGAGGGGAGGAGATGTGGAAACTGGGCTTGTGTCTCGAGACGGGTGGGTCGAGGAGCGACATGTGATGGCACGCGTCGCACCAGTGATCGACGCATGCACGCACGAGCCGCGGTTGCGCGGGGGCGACAAGCTCCCCACTTGTGTTTGGACCCTGGATGATTATTACATCGTCGACTCTGTACATTTCAAAGCACGTCTGGCGAACTTATCGCGCCGATTCGAAATAGTAAGGTTTGAATACTACATGCGCGACATAATACCATGAACACAATGCGATCATTACGACCAGTCATCAGACTTGCGCAGAGCGCTTCGCGCCCACTATCGCGGACCCCCACGACGCTCTCACAACGCCACTTCTCCCAATCGCAATCACATCGACAACTAGGCCCGCCATTGAACATACCCAAATGGTACAGACACAGACTCTCATAAAAACTCCCAGCCCTCCAATGTGACATGAAGCAACACGGCTAACCCACTATCCCAGGGTGTCCGAAAACTCCCACATGCTCAAACCCCCAATCAACAACTACTGCGTCTACTCCGACCCCGTAACCGTAATGATAGTCGGCGGACCCAACGAACGAACAGACTATCACATCAACGAAACGGCAGAATGGTTCTATCAACACAAAGGCGCTATGCTCCTCAAAGTCGTCGATACCTCATTACCGCCGGGCCAGCAATTCAAAGACATACACATTAATGAAGGCGACATGTTTTTATTACCTCCCAATACTCCGCATAACCCTGTGCGCTTCAAGGATACGGTGGGTGTGGTGCTGGAGCAGAAGAGACCAGAGGGTAGTTTGGATAGATTGAGGTGGTATTGTCAGAACTGTGGGGATAAAGTGTACGAAGCGGCGTTTCATTGTACAGATTTGGGCACACAGATTAAGGATGCAGTGAATGCTTTCAAGGCAGATACAGAGAAGAGAACATGCAAGAACTGTGGGACGCTTTGTGACACTGCGCCCCAGCCAAAGTAGGCCTGAAAAGGTATAAGCGGATGTATAGTATGTAGTATATGTACGGTGGCGCAACGGAGATTGGGAATCCTATCTAAAGGCCCTTCCACATGATCTTCGAAATGTGGTCCGTCTTCTTTCGACTGGGTTTGACTAGGCCGAGGTGTCGGAGCTCAGCTAGTGCTCGCTGGAACAGCGCCCTGTAACTAGTTAGCATACAATTGCTGTGACGTGCGCATCTTGACTTACATGGTCTTGGGCTCATTCTCCTCAGTTCCATCTCCCGCAATGGCGTTGAACGCCGACCATAGATCGGTGACGTTGATCAACGTTCCAGACTCGAGGTACATTTGATAAACAATAGCAGTCGCAGGCTGGGTGGAAGAAAGAGCTGCCGGATTTCCATCCACTCCACTGCAACAGTCGCAGCCCAGATAGTCATGAGGAGAAGCAAGTGCGCGTTCAACAGCAAAGCGAGGCTTGGGCTGGAAAACTTCTGTGTGCGGTGACTTTAGGTCGTACATAAAGACCTCTGAGAGAAATAATGTTTTTGGATCAATGAACGAAGAGGTAAAGTACGCTTCGAGCTCATCGTGGAATTGTGTAATCAAGTCTGAGTATGCCTTGTCTTGCTCCGACAGCGCAGCTTTGTGCTTGCTCAGGAGTACTTTTTGTGCCACAACGGTGGTTCGTACGCTATCATTGCGAACATCGTGCTGTGTTCGGAGAGGCGCATCGGCATTTTGTAACAAGCCTTCGAGTTTCTCTTGAGTGGAAGCGGTGTCCAGGGAGAAATAGTTGCCCTCGAGATCTCGTAGTGATGTTAATAAAGGTACCAATTTGTCAGATGGGATCTTCTTGATGGACAGCATCGTTTCGCGGATTAGAGGAGATCCAGCCAGTTCTCCAGCTGCTGCTCGAGTCCAGATAGAGGACAGGCGGACGCTAGGTGACATCTGAAGCGACTCCCGGATGTTCGCTAGTACTTTCGCAGCGTGGCTCAGTGTAGTCATGGCGTATTGTCCAGATTGCAGATGTTTTGTAATCTCAGCGAACAGAGACTCATTCTCTTCAAGTATCCTTCGTACGTGTTGTGCTTGGTCACCTTCTAGCAGGTTTTCTACCCAATGACGGAATGAGGGCAAAGCCCGGACAGCCTCGAACGCGTCTGCTGATACTTGTTCAAAAGTAACATCATACTTGAGAAAGACACTAGGCACACTAGCATAGAAGTGCGACATGTAAGCATACTTCAGCCCATCACAGAAATCCTGCGTGTTCTGAACATGATCCTTCTGCCGATCCAGCATACGGCGGCAGAGATTGGATCCAACATGAAGTCGAGCATCTGTGCTAGCAATACTTGCGCGGAATAACTTCTCGATGATCTCATCGGATTGAGTAACGTCGAACTTTTGGCCGTCAAGGTAGCGGAGTGAGTTCCCTGCTAGGCGCTCCTCAAAGCTCTCTGCTGAAGTTGCAATGCCGAAGAGTAGCACAAAAGGCAGACGGTCGAGCCATGAGCTATGGAAGTCAGCGTGTACCATCACGAAACATGATATACTTACTGGAGCAGGTCAACTACATCGACGAGTAGTCCAACGTCAAAAGCTTCGCTATCCTGTAGAGCAACAACGATGCTAGAAACGCCATTCTTCTTACGCCATTCTTGAACATGACCAAGATCGTAATTGAGCAACTTTGGTCCGTGCCTCGAAGATGTGCCGGGGCGACTTAGATCATCCTCATCATCGTCGTCCACGCGTGAAGTAACCTTCTTGATGAGCGTTTTTAGGAGCGTCTTTAAATTCGGACACTCGCCAGACGTTAGCACGACGTACGCGCAATTTTCATCTCTGATTCCGCGGCCCAAACGTTCGAAAAACGGGCCATGGGACGCAATACTAGGACCGGCAACAATGAGCGCTGTCGGTATGGAGAACTTGGGCTCATCTGGTGATGCGCTGGAAGCCGACACGAAATTGACGATCTTTCCCCGGGTGGCGCCATCTACCCCTTCCAAAGTACTCTGGTCATGTTAGTAGCTGTTTTAAATGTGTGGCGATGCGGCTCACTTGAATGCGCTCTTCTTGTTGTGCCCACAACTCTCGATACGTGGCTAGCCGTTCTGGTAGCTGCGCTTGTGTATCGAATTTGCTGGTTCGCTGTCGCTTTGGCGCTCGCTCTTCCGTCTCTGGTGGTTCGTATATGTAACATTTTTGATGCTCCATATTTGATTGTTGTTCAGCGCGATGATTACTCTACTTGCCTGATGTTGTTGGTGTGCAAAGGCTAGGGGAAGGCGCGACGAATCGAAGCGCGTGAGCACGGGACTTGGTGATTTGGTCAAAGCTCACAAGACTACTCACTCAAAACACTGAATACCGCCGCATTACTGTCGTATAAACGCCGACGTTCTGGAAATTGGAATATTATGGCTTCATTGTATTTTGCTTGTATGGTATCTCTACTCAGGGATTCTCAAGAATCCTTGTTCGTCTCCGCGCGCTCGACTCATTCAATGACTGGAAGCTGTTGCGGCTGAAGCCTAGAACCCACCTAGAAGGCGCCTCACCTTCGTATGGTCTTAGACTACATCTTTGGAACATGAGCGAACTGTGTTCCCCGCTTAGTCTAGAAGCTCCTTGACAGTTGCATCCGTCTAGAGCCATTATCATACTGTGGCAGCGACTCTGAGTTAAACAGTCACACAGTATCGTACGACATCCAGATGTACCAATTCGCGCTCTTACCTAGCATAGACCATAGGGCGAGTATAACTCATGCTCGTTGCTTCCTTAACCAAGATTTCTTTGAATAGAGAAGGCTTTGTTCTCTCAATCGTGCTCCTCTTCAGTAACTCCGGGACATCCCTCCATTTCTGCGTCTGGGTATTCGTAACCACAGTAGAGACAGTAACGGTACTCTTGGCGAAGAAATACCAAGAGCTTCTGTAGGCGCTCTGTCACGGGCAAGGCCTCGAATTCTGCCAGTTCTGGATCTTCATCTTCGAGCTCGTTTTCAAGTGTAGTGTAGAATGGCGCAAGGTCTCGGCCTTGTGCTATTTTTGAATCGTCGTCATCGTCATCGGGGGCTAGCGTGGGTAGTCGTGACGAAATGCTGTTGTTCAGTTCTCGGCGTTGTTGCTTGTCGCGCTTGCTCTCAACCCTTCGCCGCGCACGAACACGCCAAAGAACGTTAATGTCCTTGAGCGGTTTCTCGCTCGGGTCTGTCGCGCCTTCTCCTTCAGCCTTCTTATCAGACAAGCGCTCGGCTGTCCTCTGTGCGTTGTCCAAGTCCCGTTCAGCCTTCTTCTCCTTCTGTTCTTGGCGCAATATCTCGAGATAGTCACCCTCCTCTTCCTTTGCGCGTTTTGCCAGTCGGTCTGCCTCTTCGAACTGCTCCCTGAACTTGCGCTTCTTCTCCGACTCAAGACCAATGCCTCCTCTATCGTCCTTGGGATTGACTCGTATAGGCTCTTTACGTGCATCTTCGGATTTGCCTAGAGCATCGCCTTGCTTGAATCCAAATTTGGCCATCATCTTGAATCCTTTGTTGGTCTCAGGCAGGGCGGTAGCGAGGGCAGCTTCTCGTGCAACTTCGGCTTCTTCCTGTTTTTCTGCCTTGGTCTTCTGTCGCGCTCTAGCCTCGCCCTGTCAACGTGTTAGTGTGGCACAATTTGGCAATGCCACCAAACGCACCTCTTTGCGCTTGCGCGCGGCGCGTTGAAGGGAAGTTTCATACTTTGGCCCCTTTGGCGCATCGTCGAACACCATATTCATATAGTCATCTTCCTCGTCCGATTGCGCCATGTTGTGCTGGTGAGTCGTGCGCGGATCACAAATTCGTGTTGCCCATTCGTGTCTACAACTTGCAGAACTGCCCGCAGCTGCAGTGACCCACCCATCATAGCGTTCCCTTGGCATTATGTCAGGGCAGGCGATCCCCCGGACTCTTCTTTCGACCACATCTCCTTACCCAGACTACCACTACCATCGTCTTCCAACCAGTGCTATAGTAATGCATTGAGCGCATCTGACGCAGGTATATCTGAGGCTCCGAAGCGGCTGAATCTCCCGCCATTGACCTAGGAGGCTCGAACAACAGTTTATGACTGGGGCCGGCCCTGCGTGACAAACACCCAAGGATTCGCGATGGCATTAACCGCATATCGCTGATGGATCGGATGCCACGGCAACATATGATTAACGCTGATTCAGACACACCCCAGGATGAAGAAACCACCCACCAATACCCCTTGTCGTCCCATGTATGTCTAGGCGTGGAGAAACAGCCGCTTGCTGGGTCCTGGGTCCTGGGACGGTTCGGCTTGCGCAATTCATCTCGGATTCTGACATTCATGTGAAGGAGCGGGGCTGGTGATTTCGTTACCTGATGCAATATACCGCTGCGCACCTGCTGCTTTAGATTGTTTCTTCGTCTGCAACAACGAGGCGCGCATCCCGAATCCAGATCGACGACCGACAAGCAATCGCTTACATTGGTCGCCGCTTCAGGGGTTCCTGTCCACTTCTAACCCCAAAGGGTACAGAGCGCCGCGCTACCGTCTGGGGTAAGTAATGATCTCTCGCTATCCGGACTAGCCAGAGCTATTCGATATGATCGCATGTCATCCGACTCAACGCCTTCTCGCCTTTGGTTGTAGTCGGCACAGCCAATCGAAATAGTTCGACATGGCTAAGCAACTTGGCTTTGCTTGCCGAACCGACCACTCACGGCTTCTCGGCGCCATAGGTTACAAAATCTGGCCACTGCTTCAATGAACTCGTCACGCATGTGCAAGTTGATCCTTCGCTGCCTGTGTTGCCTCGGCTTCGTATTGCGACCAGATAGGTTGTGAGTATTTCGGAGAGTCTCCGTAACAGGCTACCCTCTCGGGCAACCCGTCGCCTTGATGACACTCGCTAACACGCTTGTCACTGATCGCACCCTTTTCGACACCCGCCTTGCTGTCGGCGCATCGCCAATTATAATCTGGCGCAAGAGGGGTCTTCGTGGTTTTTGTGCATGTGTCAAATATTCTAAGCATTCCCCAGCTTTTGACGTCTTCAGGGTCTGCTTTCCCCGCGACCTCCGCGTTTATACCTTGTTTGGATTATTCTTGGTATCTCTTCATTCCTCTACTTAATTGGCGTGTGAAACTCTGCAGCTCTGTCCCCTGGAGAGTTCACACGCGTCCTGAATCGCCATCAACTGGTGGGTGGTAGATTTATCGAACTGTACACGACATCCTCTTTACACCTAACACGAGACTCTCAGTATGAACGACAAGGCCGGCGGACAGGAACGGGCAGAAGATGTGTATACTACGCCCCAGAAGAAAGGCGGCGTTATCAACAAGCTGTACCCGCCAGGACCAACACCAGGCGCAAAAGAACGTATGAAGAACCACTGCAGAAAATTCTGGTGGTGTGGTACGTGTGTTCCAACGGCCTCAACGGACTTTTTATTTACACTGCTCCAGATTGTCTGGTCCTTGTGATCATTGTTTTGGTCGTTGTTTTGCCAATCATCTTTGTCGGCGTGCCAAACAAGGCCCAGCATGAAATCAACTCTTCGACACTCGAGGTTACTTCCCAAGAAGTCACGAATCCGCAAGCAGATGGTATACATCTGAAGATTGACACTGTCATCAGGAGTGGTAGTAGTTACCACCCTAAGATCGATGCCTTCCGTGCCGGACTGTCGCTGGAAGGCCAGGAGCCCTTTCTTTACGTCGAGATTCCTGAAGCGAAATCTGAAGCAGTAACACGTATCACTGTCGATCAGGATGTCAAGTTTGCGAATGGAGATGCATTCTCGAATTATACAAAGACTGTCCTGGGTAGCGAGACACTTGAAATCCACCTTGATGGCAAGACAAACATTCATCTGTCTGGTCTGCCAGCCATGGATGTTGATTACAACAAAGTCGTTACGATGAAAGGTATGTCTCTTGTAAAGAGATGTCAAAAACTGGTACTAACGTGTTCGCAGGACTAAACAAGCTTTCCGGGCTCAACATAACCGACGTTCGCATTCTCTCCGGGAAGAACGAGATCCTGTCAGACGGCTCCAACCTCATCGCCAACGTTAGCATCCCCAACCCCTCTGTCATGACCCTCGACCTGGGCAACGTCACCATGAATCTCGCCGTTGCTGGCACTGCGATCGGCTACGCCCTCATTCCGGATCTTCTCCTCAAGCCCGGCGAAAACAAGTTTCCGCTCCAAAGCCACGTTGAACAGCTCACTATCCTGGGGCTGATCCAAAACAAATACAAAAACGGTGTGCTGCCGCTTGATATTGTGGGCAACTCGAGTGTGAAGGACGGCGTACATTTGACGTACTACGAAGATGCGATCAAGAGTAACGATATCAAGCTGGATTTGAATGTTGGACCGGCGTTGGCTGGTATTGGAATTAACATCACTAGCTTTGGGTCTTCGTAGATCGCTTGGAGCCTTCGCTATACTTTGGGTTCTTGCTTCCCAAGGTCACACGCGACAGGTTCATGAACTGTTTGAAGTGCGCCTGCTCTGATACCAGAGCTCGAAGAGATTGTGTCCATGGAGGGTTTAGTGGTTTATGTATGATACCTTGTCGTTGCAGCAAATAATATTCGTCAGACCATGCACTCAGTTATTTAACATGTTTGAATACTGAAGTCTGCAGTGTCTTTGCATTGGTAGTTTGAACGTGTCAAAGATCACCCAAGTGAACCGATTACATACATTCCCTCTTAGTGTTATCTTGTATGGGTAGAAACGAAGGACTACCTGATCTAACATGTCACTTCCCAATACTCTTCTCGGGCAGCTAGGGATGGCATCCTTCGAGTTAAGGTAAGTGCTCTGTCAACCCACGCGGCTCTTGCACTGAATTGGCCAGATCCGTTGAGAGCTCTCTCCCAGAATGCTCAGACTAGCCAGTTACTGCTTCTATACTCCCGGGAGTACTTCGGAACTTTGCCAACGTCACTACTACATTCCAACCATGACGCAGCGTACTGGCAAGAGACATTGAAGAGAAAAAAGATCAGTGCGCGGTGGGTTCTACTGGTATATAAAGTACTCTATTTATCGTCTTCCTCCATTTCTTCTCATCCCAACTCACTCGGGCAACTCTCCGACTCATTCCCTCTATCTCGCTTTCCCTTAGCCTTTCTTCTTCACGTTGCCTGGACTCTCTTTTACCATGCACCGATGACAACCTCGTTGGTATCCTCTATCGCCTGGACCTCTACTGTCTGTCCCTCGCTGACACGACTGTCTCCGCATTCCACCAGCACGACAAGCTGCACAGCCAAGTGACCATCACTCGTTAGTCCACGGTCAAACCATCCACCGCCTCGCTAAGCCATACCCGTCGCCATCACGCCCACCGCTTCATTGTGTCACCGAGCAGTCACCTCCCTTTGTTCCTCCGGATACAACAGGGTTCGGTGGAGATATACTTGGACACACTGAAGGTAGGGTTGGAAATGATGAATGAAAATGTACCTGTTTGACTATCGAGACTACAGCAGGTGGTGACCAAACATCCATTGGACTGATCCCGAAAGTTGCCCTGCTAGCTCCGGCTAGCATGCACCGCAAGGGATAGGCTACGATTTGACGCTCGTTCTCAAATCCTTCTCGATATCTCACGCACAAAAGTGTCTTTGACCTCAGAACGGAAATTCGATATCACGAAGATATTGATCTCTTGTCATCACCGGTCGAAGATGTACTGTTTGACTACCCCCCTGAACCCCAATCCCATATGCAGCAGCGAATCACCCTCTCACTCCTCGATACGCATCCACAGATCTTCTCATCCCTCAATCTCCCATTCGTCAGCGAAGAACTCTGCAATGTTCGCTGCAGCCTGCCGACCCACTGCACCGTCCAGTTTCTCCATACAGCCCGCTGTACCAAAAGTAGCACCCAGAGCTAGTACCACAAGCTCCCTCAGACTACCCGAGACGTCACTCAGAGCGATGACTTGGGCTTCGCTCAGTGGTGGTTCGGTCGTGCAGTAGGGGAGCAGATCGTTGACTGCATTTCCAATGGCACGAGCTGGCTGGCGAGGCGGCGGTGGTGGCGGCGGCACGGAAGGCACGTTGTGAGATGGATGAGAGATCCGGGACTGATATTGTTGGTGAGGGTACAGCTGAGTACTAGGCTGAACGTGACCGGTTGCGCTGTTAGCCATACGTGGATAGGAGTCAGTTCCACGGGCAGAGGCGACGACGTTGGCGGGATAAATAGTAACGTCTGAAGGACGCATTTTTGGGATATTGGACTGCTCCTTCTCGTCCAGGGAAAGCGCAGTATTGTTGGTGTAGTGGGAAGCACTCGTCTTGAAGGTAGGTGGAGGCTTCGGTAGTGATTGCGACGGACTAAGGTTCAAAACAATCGAATGTCTGGTCATGAGATGTTCAAAAGGTGTATACTGTCTGCAGTCGTTGTAGGTGTCATGATCTAAGCATGGTGTCATGGAGGGTGCGCAGACGTAGATGGAAAGCGCGACCAGGGGGGTATGAACTGGCCACAATAGAGAAACAGATCATTAAAGACAGAAGACCGTTGAAGACGTCTCTTTGGGATTTGATCTATCTTTAACATATCGAAGTAGTCAAAGGTATCCTAGAACAAACTGAGTACATGCACATTGTACATTATAATTTTACAATTGGAGAATGTGATCATGGACCACATGCGCCTATGAGTTGAAATGGGTATCGAGAGAGGAGATGGTAGTGATGACGCTTTTGAGATACCACAGCCTCAAGGTCGGCCTCTAAGCTCGACCTGAACGACACAGGACCACTAGACCGAGTCTTCAGCCTTCCCGGATGTACATTCCCAAATCCTTGTGCTGAGATGGTTTACCGACTGGATGCTGCCCGTGCGCCATAGGCGTCGCATCTTCCGTTTGCGCAGCATTGGTCTGGGTCTCAACGGATGCCGGCTTCGCCTCGGCGCTCACAACTTCAGTCTTCTTGTCTTCCTTCTTCCCACTGCCCTTCCAGAACCCCAGTAGTTTTGACGATGCGGGCTCTGGGTGTTTCGCCTTGAACTCCTCAAACTCTGCCTTGACTGCCTTGAGCTCAGCCTGCACCTCCTCCAAATCTTCTCTTATATCGTCCCTAGCATTCCGAGCCTTTCTTCTTTGCCGCCACTGCTCAACAAGGATCACAGCAATACCCACAGCAAATATGAAGGTTTCAGCGGCGAAGTTGGCGCCCATCTCGATAGCCTTTTGTTCAGACAAAGGTCGTATACGCGGCTTGATCCTCTCTTCTGCTTTCTTCTTGATTGCGTCTCGTTCCTTCTCGGTGAGAGCTTCTTCTGCTTTCATCTCCTCTTCGGTAAGGACCGTGGGGGCCGCTGCCTTTTTCCGCGCAGCTTCTGCCAGCGCGACTTCTTTCTTGATTTGCCTGTCTATAACAGCAGGGTCCTGCAGGAGGCCGAGGCGCATGCGCATATCGACGCGATGTAGACCTTGGGCGAATTTGACGCATATTCGACGGAATCGGTCGTGTTCGTGGGCATTGCGCTTGATAGCGTTCTGAACCGAGTTAGCTAGGACTATGCACATCGGAAGCCAGTCGACGTACTGCTACGGGCTTTGCGAGAGTCCGGACGAACAGTGATGTAACCTTGAGCGTGAGAGACATGTTCGGTTACGAGAGCGTTTCGGAGGGCTGTGGGGAGGTATAGAGGTAATTGACCGGCGAGCGGTTTTTCATTCCAAGCTTCATACGATTAAATACATGTAGAGAGCTGCATAGCGGTCCGCGGTAAGATTATTGGTGGTGTTGAACATAGTTGCAGGTTCGATGTTCAAATCGATGCTGCCTTGCGCTGGCCGGAGATCCACCGACGGCAATGGCTTTGAAGAGTGGGACTAGCATCTCAGCGACAACGCGGGACACATGACGAGATGCATGGACACCTCACAGTACTAATTCGAAACAGTCTTGGTTTGTCTAGCACCGTTTTCAGTGCAAGTTTGTGCAAGCCGGTGTGCATCGAGCGGACAGTACCGGGCACCGATTGGCCGACAGCCCTAGCAACGACGCTAAGCGGGCCCTTGTTTACATGCCATCAACACTCTACGACCTTGTTCTTGATTTCATCATCTCTCCATTCACCACCACCACGCTAATGTCTGCCTCGACGATACACGCAGATGCCCCGCCGGCCGTGGTTCAGGACCCAGAGGGACTCCAGTATGAAACGGGAGCACAGCTGGGCAAAGGTGGCTTCGCCATCTGCCATCGTGCGAAGCTGCTCGGGCATGAGCATCTCGGTAGCTCTACAGTCGCTTTGAAGATTGTTAAATCTAAAATGGAGCCTCCCAAACTGGCGCAAAAGGTACAGGAAGGCTGCAAGGGAGAGGTGTACGTTTGCTGACGCGCCGCAGTTTGTCACTGAACTACAGATCCACTCGAAGCTCTCTCATCCCAACATCGTCGAGTTCTTCCGCGCCTTTTCTTTCGAATCAAGCACCTATGTTGTCCTGGAGCTATGCGAAAACGGTTCTCTTGCCGATGCGATCAAGAAGCGCAAATACTTCACCATGCCTGAGATCAGGCGATTTATGATCCAGACATGCGGCGCAATCAAATACCTACACCAAAGGAACATTGTACATCGCGACCTCAAGACAGGGAACCTCTTCCTCGACCGCGACATGAACGTCAAGGTTGGCGACTTTGGTCTTGCTGCACTACTGGTGTCGCAGAGCGACTACGGGGCGATCCGTCGAACAACCATGTGTGGTACGCCAAACTACCTTGCACCAGAGGTCTTGGAGAAGACAGGGAAGGGTCACGACGAGAAGGTTGACCTGTGGGCTATTGGAATCATGATGTACACATTAGCAGTCGGAAGAGCGCCATTCCATGCAGCCAAGCGCGAAGACATTTACAGGAAGCTGAAGGCTCGCGAATACACCTGGCCAGACCTCGCCAGGTTTGCCAACGAGATTACCGACGACCTTCGCGATATCGTTTCGTTACTGCTGGTGCACGAAGACGAGCGACCGACCCCCGACCAAATCGTTGCCCACCCATTCTTCAAACTCGGCTATATTCCGTTAGAGTTGGACAGCGGATGTACCTCCAGGGTACCGAAGTGGCCAAAGAACCGCCCGCCGACAGCATCAACTGTCAGGCGTGGATATACCGAGGAATGGTGGCAGCTCTGCAAGTCTTCCTCTGTTGGCGAATACGAACAAGGAAAAGCATTTGGTACTTACGGCCGCAGGACAAACAAGACCGTGGCAAGGGACTGTCAGAAAGAGATCGAAGCTGGCAAGCAGCCAAACATTCCATTCTCCAAAGACGTCGTATACGTACCTTTCCCTGCTCGTGTGCAATGGCCGCACCAACCTCCAGGAGGACTCAGTGAGATATCGGAAGAGAAAGAGTCGTCATCGGAAAGCCAAGCACTCTCAGAGACTACCGGAAACGAGCGGACAAAAAGTCGTGCGGTCAGGGCCCCAAGACGAGAGCAACAGCCGATGCAGACATTGAAGGAAAACGTAGAGCCCGTACAAGAGCCCGAGCCTGCGCATAGAATACTGGACAAACAGCCGACCCGATTAAGAGCAGCCCGTAAGATCTCGAATCCCGGCCGTGTTACTGCGAACACGGCTTCTGCGCCCGCTCCTCTACGCGTTCCTCGGGAGGCACGAACTTCCACACGAGCACGGACAGCGAAGGAAAGCGCAAAAGAAGCACCAAAGACAACATCAAACGGACTTCCTGACCTTCCACCTTTACGAGTCACCAAGGCCAGCACTCGCGAGAGCGTTAAGCCGGAATCGACGACTCAAGCAACCTCAACGAAAAGCGCTGCCCGTTATCGAACCATCAGCAACGATATGCCTGCCACTGATCCGGTGACTGTTTTGGCGCGCTTGATGACATTCCGGGATAATCTTGAACGAGCCCTGGACAAAAAGCCTACGAAGTCGAGAAGAGATCAGCCACCGCAGTTGCCATTCGTCGCAAAATGGGTAGATTACAGCCGGAGATATGGAGTGGGTTACGTCCTCAATGATGGTAGTATTGGAACCCTCCTCTCTGCAGAGGAGCAGTATCCGGTCACCATCGCGTTTGCCACGGACGGATACAACCATCTACGGAAGGCGGGAGGCAACCGGGAACTCGCCAAAAGCGTTGCACTGAACTACTATACGACGGTCAAGAAGGATCGGGGACTATCACAAATCGAGGTACTAGAATCGCGGCGCGTTGAGGAGATTCGAACTGTTTGGCACAAGTTTGGAAAATACATGTGCGCAACGTTTGGTGACGAAGAAAAGCCACTCAGAAAAGATCCCCGCGTGAACTTTGTTCGATTTTATCAACGCCTGGGTAACGTTGGGATCTGGGGTTTCGACGATGGCTCCTTTCAAGTAAGCGCTTCTGACACCTTTGTCAAAATTTATCTAACTGTTCTCTAGTTCAACTTCCCTGATCACACCAAGCTCGTTTTGTCGTCGGACGCAGGGTACGGACATTTCCTATGCCTACCACTTGATGCGACGTCTCTCCTCGAAGAGACTGGAAACGTGCCGTGGAAGCACGTGAAGGCTCGAGCACATCTGCGAGGTTCACTGCAACAACTTCTATACGGCTCAGCCGACAAGGAAGACAGTTACAAAGAGCTTACAGAGGGCAACCTTCTTCGCGCAAAGATCGAGTTCATCTACGCTGTGGTCACGGAATGGTGTCAAGAAGGTGGCCTGGGCTGCCTCGTGGATCCCAAAGTATATTCTTGGGGCGGTCCTCAGCTGGAAGAGTCCAAGCGTTTGGACTGGGCGAGCGTTGGGCGTTTTGGCGGTGATGTTTTCTCATGATGATTGAATGACCAGCTTCAAGCGATGGCGTTTTTGGATTTTGGGATATTTTTACTGGGAATTGGGCATTACCACGGCGTCTCTGCTATTGAGCAGTGCTGTTCGCTTTCGTTCGAACACTCATTCACGACGGTTTGCATGTTGAGGCTTTTCCTCGTAGCGATAACTTTGAATACGCATCTGGTCGCGACCACCAGAATGTTGGTGCCTAATGTCCAAACCTGTGACACGTCACGAGAAATTAAGCGTACGCGGCAGATTCGGGCTGTTCTTGTATTGCGCCTCTACTGCGAGAGTATTTGATGCGGAAACTGGGCCGAGCCTGGATGGGTCGCAGCGACGGTGATTGAGGGATGGAGCAACGCGAAGATCGACGGTGATACTTGAGGCAATGTAGTTATAATGAATAATAGTCGCACTTATGCAAGACGACCGACGATGGAATTGAGGGAAGATTACGAAGAGATTCCAGCCGCCGCGGCAGCGTACGCGTACTTCGTACTGGAATAACTGTGGCTGTGCGGAATGGGGCGAGTACCCATTCCGAAGCGCCCGATTCCACGTCCAGGGCTCTGACGTTGGCCTGTCTTCGACAACCGCATTGCAGCCATCCTTACACACCCACACTCTCGAGCGGCTGCTCTTCCCATACCGATCATACCTGGCTTAGCCGTTTATTATTTGAATATTCGCTGCATCCTGGAATCAGCAGCGTAGTCACTACCCCACTGGCCGGCTTAAGCTACAGGTCCCAGCTCGACGTCGGGCACCAATCATGGTAAGATGCAGAGAGGCTTCGAGGGAGGAACACATACTGATATATTCCATATGTAGGGGAAAACCAACCGCGCCGCGCGCAAGGCCGGGGGAGGTGCCCAGCCAAAGGCTCAGTTCGCAACGAAGGCCGTCTTCGAGACCACCAAGAAGAAGGAAGTTGGTGTATCAGATCTTACCTTGATCAGCAAGGTCTCCAACGAGGCTATCAACGAGAACCTCAAGAAGCGATTCGAAAATGGCGAGATATACGTGCGTCGACCTGCTTGCGCCAGCCCCGCGTCGCACAGAGACGCAGCGATAGAGTAGGACAGCGACTGACTATGGGCGCAGACATATATTGGACATGTGTTGGTGTCTGTCAACCCGTTCCGTGACTGTACGTACGAGGGTCTGCGCTTGAGAGGGGAATGCTGACAAGTGGCAGTGGGCATATATACCGACCAAGTACTGGAGAGCTACAAGGGCAAGAACAGGCTAGAGGTGCGGTGCACAGCTGTTCACCGGCATGCAGAGCTAATTTGACACAGGTACCCCCTCACGTCTTCGCGATCGCCGAGTCCGCCTACTACAACATGAACGCATACAAGGAGAACCAATGTGTCATCATCTCTGGCGAATCAGGAGCAGGAAAGACAGAAGCGGCGAAGCGACTTATGCAATATATCGCCAACGTCTCCGGAGGCAGTAACTCGTCTATCCAGGAAATCAAGGACATGGTGCTGGCCACCAACCCTCTACTCGAATCCTTCGGAAACGCAAAGACGCTGAGAAACAACAACTCGTCGCGGTTCGGAAAATACCTCGAGATTCATTTCAACGCGCAAGGAGAACCGGTGGGAGCAAACATCAACAACTACCTACTCGAGAAGACGCGCGTGACTGGTCAGATCACAAACGAGCGCAACTTCCACATCTTTTACCAATTCACAAAAGCCGCATCCTCGCAGTACAGAGGTACGCTCAATCTGAGTAAACACAAGATTTGCGCTGACACGAATAGAAATTTTCGGCCTACAACAACCGCAAGCCTACCTCTACACGAGTAAATCCAAATGCTTCGATGTTCCAGGAATCGACGATCACGCCGAGTTCGACGATACGCTAAATGCTATGAAGGTCATTGGACTACAACAAGCTGAGCAAGACAACATCTTCCGAATGCTCGCAGCAATTCTGTGGCTAGGAAACGTGACGTTCCGCGAGGACGACTCGGGCAACGCAGCCATTGTCGACCAGTCGGTCGTAGACTTCGTGGCTTATCTTCTCGAAGTAGACTCGTCGCATGTCAACAAAGCCCTTACCATTCGTGTTATGGAGACAAGTCGGGGAGGGCGACGGGGTTCCGTATATGACGTGCCTCTAAATTGCGCGCAAGCAAGCGCAGTCCGAGACGCGCTCTCAAAGGGAATTTATTTCAACCTCTTCGACTGGATTGTGGAGCGCGTCAATGTCTCCTTGAAGGCCCGAGGTGCGACCGCCCAATCCATTGGTATTTTGGATATTTACGGCTTCGAAATTTTCGAGAAGAACAGCTTCGAGCAGTTGTGCATCAACTACGTCAACGAGAAGCTACAACAGATCTTTATCCAATTGACGCTAAAGGCGGAACAAGAAGAGTACGAGCGGGAGCAGATCAAGTGGACGCCCATTAAGTACTTTGACAACAAGATAGTGTGCGACTTGATCGAGGAGAAGCGACCACCGGGTGTTTTTGCTGCTCTGAACGACGCTTGTGCAACAGCCCACGCCGACCCAACTGCCGCGGATCAAACGTTCGTCCAGAGACTCAATGCCCTATCGTCGAACCCTAACTTCACACCTCGCCAGGGCCAGTTCGTCATCAAGCACTATGCTGGTGAAGTGTCGTATGCGATTGATGGCATGACCGACAAGAACAAAGACCAGTTGCTGAAGGATTTGCTAAATTTGCTCGGCCAAAGTAGCAACACCTTTGTACATACGCTCTTCCCGAACCAGGTAGACCAGGACAACAGGCGGCGACCTCCGACAGCTGGAGATAAGATCAAAGCCTCTGCCAACGACCTGGTGACGACTTTGATGCAAGCTCGTCCGTCGTACATCCGTACCATCAAGCCCAACGAGAACAAGTCGCCCAAGGAATTTACCGATGCCAACGTACTACATCAGGTAAAATACTTGGGTCTGCAAGAAAACGTGCGCATTCGAAGAGCCGGATTTGCATCACGTCAAACCTTCGATAAGTTCGTGGAACGATTCTTCCTGCTGTCACCGAAGTGCTCCTACGCCGGAGAGTACACTTGGACTGGGGACTACGAGACCGGAGCTAAGCAGATCTTGAAGGATACCAATATTCCAGCAGAGGAATTCCAGATTGGTACAACGAAGGTATTCATCAAGACTCCCGAGACCTTGTTCGCCTTGGAGACCATGCGAGACAAATACTGGCACAACATGGCTATTCGTATTCAACGTGCGTGGAGAAACTACCTACGATACCGAACAGAGTGCGCAGTGCGGATCCAGCGGTTCTGGCGAAAGCTCAACGGAGGGAAGGAGTTCATCGAATGGCGAGACCAAGGACACAAAATCCTCCAAGGCCGAAAAGAACGCAGGAGATACAGTTTGATTGGTTCCCGAAGATTTATGGGCGACTATCTCGGCATTGGAAATAAAGGTGGCCCCGGTGAGGTCATTGCCGGTGCCATTGGCATAGCCTCGAACGAGGAGGTACCATTTTCGTGCAGGGCGGAAGTGCTCGTATCGAAACTCGGTCGGTCCAGTAAACCAGAAGCTCGCATGCTGATTCTCACGAAGAAGAACGTTTACCTTGTCAAGCAGGTCATGGTGAATCGCCAAGTTCAGATTCAGGCCGAGAGGACAATACCTGTGGGCGCGATTAAGATGATTAGTTGTTCGACACTCAAGGACGACTGGTTCTCGATCGGCGCTGGATCACCAACAGAGCCTGATCCACTCGTGAACTGCGTTTTCAAGACCGAGTTCTTCACTCAACTGACGAACGTGCTGCGAGGTTCATTGACACTTCAAATAGGCGAGACGTAAGTCATACGATTGATTTGCATCTGAAAGTGGCTAACACATAGTAGTATTCAGTACAACAAGAAGCCTGGCAAGCCAGCCCAAGTCAAGGTCGTCAAAGATCCCGCAGTACCGAGAGACGACCTGTACAAGAGTGGTACTATCCACACTGGACCAGGAGAGCCACCCAATTCCGTGTCCAAGCCCACGCCCAAAGGCAAGCAGATCGCTGCGAAGCCCATCACAAAGGGTAAGTTGTTACGGCCCGGTGGCCCTGGCGGAGGTCCCTCGAAGCTCGCCTCTCGTCCAGCACAACCGAGACCTGTGCCCACGCCTGCCGCCGCGCAATCGAGACCTGTGCCTCAACCAGAAGTGTCGCAAGCCAGGCCTGTTCCGGCACCGGTTGCTGCCTTGTCGAATGGCATGGGCTCTCATGCGCGTACTGCGTCAGCAGGTTCATCACGCACGCCCCCTCCACCTCCTCCGCCGCCGCCAGCGCCAGCTCAACCGAAGGAGCCTCGGTACAAGGCGTTGTATGACTTTGCAGGTCAGAGCGCTGGGGAGCTGAGTCTCGGGAAAGACGAGATTATCCTGGTCACACAGAAAGAGGGCAATGGTACGTACATCCTGGCTCACCGATAAATAGACATACTAATGGATTTGTGACAGGTTGGTGGCTAGCATCCCGTCTCGACAAATCCGCCTCGGGTTGGGCACCTTCCGCGTATCTTGAGGAAGTTGTCCAACGTGCTGCCGCTCCTCCTCCACCCCCAGCGCCACCCGCTCGCCCTGCGAACGGCAAGCCTAAGCCTCCGGCTCCGCCTGCCAAACGTCCCGCTGCCAGGAAACCTGTTAACGGGGACTCTGGACGGGATAGTGGGTATAGCGGCAGTGGAGGCAGCACGATGGAGAGTGCGAGAGATAGCAGTGGTAGTATCGCTGGTGGACTAGCAGAGGCGCTTAGGCAGCGTCAGGCTGCTATGCATGGGAGGAAGCAGGATGATTGGTAGATTCAAGCTAAATGTATCGTCAGGGGTGCCAACGAGGAGAATATGAGGCGATGATGAAAACTTCTGATCAGTGGTGTAGCAATCGTATAGAACAACTGTCTTGAACCATATTTCCTTTACTAGTCTTTATGCCCTGGTTATGATGTGAGCATTGAGGCGTCATGTTTTTTTGTGAACTCTTGTATCAAAGGAAAGTTGTCGGAGTGCACTACATTGGTCTCTTCGCACACATCGATCCGCTTCAACATTCGGCCCCCGGTGATCGCAAGATATCGATTAATGATGTGTATACTGGTCAGTATGCTATAGAACCATCTCGTTATTTTGGTACATCATGGTACTTTCACGGTATCGCTAGGGACAATCACATGTCATTCCGGAGCTAGGGGAGCTCAACATTACTTCAACTAAAGAGAGGGAAGAGCGTCGCGGATCGAGCTTCCGAAGTCACCTACCTTAGACAGTTTGTCCAACACCAGCGGAACAGAACGCAGTGCATCTCAACCAAGTATTCGCTAGTACCAACTCTTGATGGTCGAACAATCATGATGTACTCGTAATAAAGTACTATAGTACCTCTTTATTTGCTATGCCTCCGACGATGTCCCGACCAATTCGCTCATAAGTCAGGTGCCACATGTCGTGGTGATTTGGGTCTATCAGGTGGTGCACGGGCTGGTAGCCGACCCTGACAGTAGTGTTTGGATAGATTCAAGTGCTCGTCGGAATACGAATTCGCAGATGAAAGCACGGTGAAGATAGCCAGGCTTCGCGACGATCTTAGTCGATTGAGGTTCAATCACGGCCTCTTGAGCACGTGCTGCGTTGGTGGGGCAAGAACCCGTCGAACGTCCAGATGTTTCCATTCCGACTCTCTGGTCCGTTCATTGCTTACAACATCCGATTGCTTCGATCAACCACAATCAACATTCGCTTGGCCTAGGCGGAGACTTGGTCAGCGTGATATGCAAGCCAGGATGCCGACGGTTCACTGGCCCGGGTTCCCGCTAACATACCCGCCTCTCGGGCCGCTACAACCTCACTACGAAATTTCCCACCACTGATTGGTATGCAACTGTTTTGTATCATCCTTTGACTGCCTAATCTGCTCTTCGAGAGCTGTTTTACTGCCACTTAGACTAGCCTCGGAAGTTCAGGTCCGCCACGATCACTGTCCAACAAAGAGAAGGCGACCAATCAGGCCCCGCGCTGCTTACCTTGGGAGAAGAATGTCTCGCTGCGCGGCATCGACTTGCATACCTGGTGTGCATGCCACCTGTTTTCTCACTGTGTTCTACGCGGCATGTCTGGCTCTTACCTGCTCGAAGTCTGCAGCATAGTGGAGAAGTAGGCATTGCGATCATACCCTTCGCGTTACTCTTGGGTTTCGCCACAAGAAGCCGTCATGACGGATCTAGATTGAGATCACACACAAGCCTTCCTCCTGGCGACAAATCGAGACGGGCGCGTTAACTTCGGTTGATTGCACACCGCCGACCAATAGTACTTACCTTGTAGATCTGAGACGACGTGCCTGCGAGCCGTGGCTAGGGACAAGGCTTGTTTCCAATAGATCCGGTACTCGAGCGTTTTCCCTGGGTCCATGCGTCAAGAAAGAGTCGCATCCAGCGCTGTGCAAGTACTAAAGGATGACAATCTACTTCGATTGACTGCCTCTGAGTCTGCTGCTTCTCCAGTTTGTCATTCTTCCCTCGCTTACATCTTCTTTCAATCCATCGCTCGTTACCGCACCGGTTGCAGTGGCAAGAAGCGCGGCAATTCGCTCGAATACTCCGCGTTATTGAATGGTTAATTCTGGTTGATCTGCAATGGCTACCATCAACCTAGGAAACGCTAGTCCGACAGAAGATATCAGACAGTACGACATAAAGCACGCAGCTATCCACATCCAACCGGTGACTCTCGATACACCCACATTGACGCCTGCCGCAACACCAGAGGAGGCTTCCCCCGCAGAAGAAAAGATGGCGGGCAAGAAAATATACTCAATGGAGCGGCCGGATGACAGGGCGAGAGAGCTCGCAGCGAAGCTGACTTTAGAAGAGCAGGTACGTTCTCCTTCGCTTTCATGGTAGGGGCTTTCGAGATTGTGGCGCTCGACATAGCCAAGCAAGATGAGACTTCACACAAGTTCTTATCAGTCTTTCTTGCGTGTCTTTCTAGCGATATAAATCGTTCGCCAGCAGCAACATTCCATCTTGAATTGACTTTGCGGAAGAAATTCTAGCGAGATTGGCTTTCGAAGATCGGCTTCCAGAATCAATGGCTTTTCTATTCGCTTAGAATCCCACCTGACCTCGTTAATCTATTTTAAAAGCCGAAGCAGCCTCGAGATTGAGTCGAGCTGACCATTCCAGATCTCACTACTTGCAGGAGCGGACTTCTGGAGGACTGTAGCCATACCCGAGAAGGGCATACCGTCAATCAAGACATCTGACGGACCCAATGGCGCTCGGGGAGAGTTCTTTACTAACGGCACACCTGTACGCACTCCGGCTTGGCACTGCTTGTTTTACGCTGACGAAGCTAGGCCGCTTTATTCCCTTGCGGCATATCCATGGCCTCCACGTGGAACTTGGACATGATCGAGGAAATCGGCCGTCATCTCGGAGAAGAAGCAAAAGCACGTGGCGCTCACGTATTGCTTGCGCCCACCGTGTGCATGCACCGATCCCCTCTTGGTGGCCGCAACTTTGAGTCTTACTCCGAAGATCCTTTTCTTACTGGAAAGCTTGCTGCATCGTATGTTCGCGGTCTTCAGAGCAAGGGCGTCGCCGCCACGATCAAACATTTTCTTGGAAACGAGCAAGAAACTGAACGACAAGCGTACGATGCCATCATTGCTGAGAGACCTCTGCGTGAGATCTATCTGAAACCATTCGAGATAGCTGTTCGAGACGCATCACCCTGGGCGCTCATGAGTGCTTACAATATGATCAACGGTGTTCACGCTGATGAGTATGAACATTCGATCAAGGAGATCCTTCGAGGCGAGTGGAAATGGAATGGTGCCATCATTTCTGACTGGACGGGCACATATGCGACTGCACCGTCAATAAAAGCTGGTGTTGACATTGAGATGCCAGGACCAACAAAATGGCGTAAAGTCGACCAAGTGAAAGAGTGCCTGGAGAAGGGTGAACTGACACGTGAAGATATAAAGGAATCGGCCGCTAGAGTACTATATCTCGTGGATCGTGTCAAGGGGCTGAACAACATGGCACCTGGAGAGCCGGAGCGATCGATCGATAATGTAGAGACGCGGAACCTCATTCTGCAGGCTGGTATTGAAGGATTGACACTTTTGAAGAACGAGAATAGTGTACTTCCTATCAAAAGCGCGAAGAAGATTGCGATGATTGGGCCAAATGTCAAGCGGGCCATTGCCAGTGGAGGAGGAAGTGCAGGTCTCAACCCGTACTACAACGTTACCCCTTGGCAAGGCCTTCAGAATCGGTTTGACGGCGAGGTTACATTCGCTCAAGGCTGCGACAGCTCAAAATGGCTACCGCTCGCCTCGCCCTACTGTCAGTTCAACGGCGAGACCGGCGTGCGGTTGGAGTACTACAAGGGCGACAGATTCAAGGGTGAGCCGGCGGTCATTCAACACAAGGTCAGCACAGATCTGTGGCTATGGGATTCTGCGCCCATGGAACTTCTTCCAGACTTCTCCTTCAAAGTCAAGACTACACTTACTCCTAAGACGACCGGCAACCACAGCTTTAGCTTTGCGTCAGTCGGACCAGGGCGGATGTACATCAACGGCGACGTTTTCATTGACAACTGGGACTGGATTCAAGAAGGCGAGGCTATGTTCTCTGCTTCAGAGGATGTACTCAAGTCAATCCATCTCGAGGAGGGCAAGCCCGTGGAAATCCTGATTGAGAGCACCAACGAAGTACGGCCCGCATCGAAGGTTTCGGTTATTGGTCGTCGCCACGACTATGGTGGCTGCCGAATCGGATACCAAGAAGAGGACAAGATTGATCGTTTGCAAGAAGCGGCGGATGTAGCGCGTGATGCTGATGTGGCCGTAGTGGTTGTTGGATTAGACGCCGAGTGGGAATCGGAGGGATACGACAGGCAAACAATGGATCTTCCCAAAAACGGGTCGCAAGATCGCCTGATAGAAGCTGTTCTAGCTGCCAACCCACGCACCGTCATCGTCAACCAATCTGGGACACCTATTACCATGCCATGGGTACAAAAAGCACCAGCCATCCTTCAGGCATGGTATCAGGGGCAGGAAGCCGGGAATGCTCTTGCGGATGTACTCCTCGGTAATAGCAGTCCTAGCGGGAAACTGCCAACGACCTTCCCTGTTCGGATTGAAGACAACCCTGCGTACCATAACTGGCCTGGCGAGAACCTGAAGACCGTCTACGGCGAGGGAATTTACGTGGGCTATAGGCATTATGAGCGTTCCAGGATCGCACCGCTCTTCAGCTTCGGACATGGTCTTACATACACCACTTTCGAATACGGAACACCGAGCGCTAGTGATACTGTACTCTCTGAAGATGGACAGATTATCATTACTGTACCGGTGACTAATAGCGGCTCAGTAGCTGCACATGAGATTGTTCAAGCATATGTCAAAGACATCAAGTCGACGCTCCCACGTCCCGAGAAAGAACTCCAAGCCTTTGGCAAAGTGTTCTTGCAACCTGGCGAGACGAAAGACGTAGTCTTGACTCTGAACAAGTACTCTGTGGGGTACTTTGACACCAGTCTTGGGCAAACGGGTGCCTGGATTGCTGAGGAAGGAGCATTTGAGGTATTGATTGGTGCTAGTAGCGCTGATATCAGGTGAGTTTCTTGTCCGATTTGTTTGAGCGAAAGTTCACTGATACATGATGCAGGTCGAAATTGAGCTTTGAGGTCAAGGAGAGCTTTCAGTGGATTTTCTAATCCAGGATGTGGCGTAGTATCGAAGGAGATCTGTCAATGAATACCACGAGTCTTCTTACATCGGTTGTTTTGGAGGCGTTTGTAGTAAGGAATGAATGCGTATGATTGAGTTGACTTCAGCGAGCGAAGTAATGTACGCTGGATACATATTTTGATGTTTTAGATTTGAATACAAGCGTGAAGACCCAGTACCAATTAGTTTGAAGATATGCGACAACCTAAAGAGGTCAAACTGGGTGATTTCGGCATATGGCACTTTCTCTTTTGGTAAGGCTGACGGCCGAGTGGCTCGGCAAGATGACGCGCTGATTTTCTGCCACCGCCTTGCGGGCCGACAGATGTGCCGATATTCAGTGGTCCCTGACAGAGAACCTTGGTTGATCAGAACGCATCATCCCCAAACTGTCCCTACGCTATTGCGCTTTTTGAGGCGATCGAGACTGTCGCATACATCTCCAGCTCCGTATAACCCTCTTTCGGCGCTCGGCTCACGCGACTTCGGCAACCGTACCAGCTACAGCCGCGCTTTTGCTCCTGATCAACAGCGGGCGACCAACTTCTGGAAACGGACAACACAACACCCACCAAACTTGGTACAATAACACAGGCCGTCCATGAGCTCCAGCAGCCTTTAATCCGTTCAAAACACGATAGCGCGACCATCGAACCGATCACGCAAGCTTCCTTATCGCCGGCGAGCCTGGTAAAGCCGAGGATATGAATACAGCGCATCGTGACGGGTGGCCGCCGTCACAGGCGGCGGCAGCTGGACAGGGCCAGCAGCAAACAGAGCAGGGTCAAGGCCAGGCGCCGCGGCCTCTAGGTCCCTATGGGTGCGTACTTGCTCCCTACCGACTCCCCCATAACAGACACGATGAGCGAAGATGCTTCTGAGCTCCTCTTCTCACCACCTTTCGACTGGGTTCAAGCTGATTTTGAGAGCGATGACAGACCAAACAACGCGACTTCACAGGGTCCTTCACATGCCTCACCTGCACAGGGTCCCGGGCCAGTACTCCCACCACCATCTGGTACGTAGCGCAGGCAAACGACGCGCCTGTTCGCATTGCTAACTTCATCACAGGTGGCGGATATTACTCGTCGAACGCGGCGACGGCCCACAACCAGAGCCTCCCCACTCTTCCAGGGCTGACGGCGCAACCTCAGCACTCATCACCCCACATGTCTGCCCAGCGACCGCCATCTTCAGACGCGGGAGCGCAGGTCCACCAAGGCCCCCAGGCTCCTCCATACTCGTTACCGGGTATATCGCAAACTCTACAGCAGCAACAGCAACAGCACATGCCGACTTCGGAGCAGGCCAACGCGGACAGAGAGCGCGAAATGCGCGAACGCGAGACCAGAGACAGAGAGATAGAGTCGCACGCTATGCACCAACAAGAAGACTTCGTCAAGCGCGAGGCGGAACAGCGGGACCGAGAACTTCATGAGCGGCAGCAGCGCGAGCACGCTGCGCATCAAAACCACTCTGCGCCAATCCAAATACACCAGCCCGTGGCAGTGGCACCATCGACGCGAACGATACACGGCCCGAACGGTCTCCTGGGTCAGTCTGGGCCAATGAATGGACCCCTCGCGCCACCCATGGGTGGCCCCAATCCGGGTGGGCCTATGTATGGGAATGCGCCCGCGCAACATGAGCAAACAACACCACGCATGCAGCACGCGGTGCAGGCACCTACCCAAGCTCAGATGTTGATGCCTTTTGCTGGCCCTCCAGGATCCATGGCCATGGGTCAGGGACAGCAGCCGATCCTTAACGACGCCTTGAGCTATCTGGACCAGGTCAAGGTTCAGTTCGCGGATCACCCCGACGTGTACAACCGATTTCTCGATATCATGAAAGACTTCAAGAGTGGTGCGATCGATACTCCGGGGGTCATTGAGAGGGTATCAACTCTCTTCGCGGGCAATCCGGCCTTGATCCAGGGCTTTAACACGTTTCTGCCACCTGGCTACAAGATTGAGTGTGGCACGAATGGAGACCCAAATGCCATCAGAGTGACGACGCCAATGGGCACCATGGTGTCGACTATGCCTGCTCCAAGGCCACTCTCACCGCCACGTAGCAGTGCTGTCAATGGTAACAACGCCTCACAACACGAAGGTACTTACTACGAGACTGCCCAAGGACGCCCTTGGCCTCAACAGAGGGCTCAGGGACCTGAAGGACAGGAATCCATGTTTTCACCAAACAATCGTACTTTGGGACAGCCTTTGTATGGGCCACAGCAGGGGCAGCAGGGCCCAGCGCCGCATTCGCCTGAGGTCACCTCGCGACCTCATCCTGACCCTGCCGGATCAGCTGCCGCGCTAGCCCACCAGCAAGAGCAGAGAGGTGTTTCGCAGCTGCAGAATGCAGTATCTGCTGCTACTGGCCGCTCACTGATGTCCCCGAGTGTTGATGCGGGTACCTCGTTACAAGGACAGGCTATGAACGGTGCCGCTCAGCTTCCACAGATGGGTGGAGCTGCAGCTGAGAAGAGAGGACCTGTCGAATTCAACCACGCTATTAGTTATGTGAACAAAATCAAGGTGACAACATCCACTGTGGAACCTGGAGACCAAAATGCTAACAGTCACGTAGAATCGATTCGCGGCTCATCCTGACATTTACAAAAACTTTTTGGAGATACTTCAGACCTATCAGCGAGAGTCAAAACCTATCCAGGACGTATACGCCCAAGTTACCCACCTGTTCGGCGGCGCGCCTGATTTGCTCGAGGACTTCAAGCAATTCCTTCCGGAATCAGCTGCTCAGCACAGGGCGCAACAACAGGCTGCCAAGAACGCTGCTGAAGACGCAGTCATGCTCAGCAACGTACGAGGTGAATCCGGTTATGGAGCTGCCGCGAACCAACAAACTCCTGGTCGTGCGGATACATCAAGGTTGCCTCCGATGGGTAACTTCGCGCCTACACCTACGGCGAATCGCGACAACAAGAGGAAACGAGAGCGACAAGGACCTGTGGCTGCGCCCATGCCCGCGCCCATGTCACAGGAACTACCAACCTCGAATGTTCGAGGCAGCTACAATCAGGCAAACGTTAACAAGGTATGTAAATGGTTTCCCACTATTACGGGCAGGGTTAGGTTATGGTATTCTTTTTCTCTATGCGGCACGTGCATTGCCCATAAACTCTACCCAAATCCCTTCATCTCCCTTCCCATGGCTATACCTTATTTCCATTCCAGCCCCACCACATCACAAACATTACCATCAGGACCATCATCACCATGTTCGATGGTGGTGCCATATTTTACACTCACCTCAATCCGCAACGAAAATGCAGCGTTCTTCGAGTGGAACAACAGACAACAGGAGATTATCAACTAACATGTCAAAGCGCGCGAAAACCGGACACGGCGCAAAGCAGGCAATCCCCGATGGTCCGCCAGTGTCGCCTACTTTAACACCTGCGCTGCCCGAACCGATGCCACCGACGACTACTACATCACCCAGTCAAGACGAGCTTGCATTCTTTGACCGCGTCAAGAAATTCATCGGAAACAAGAACACGATGAACGAGTTCTTGAAGCTCTGCAACCTTTACTCGCAAGATTTAATCGACAAGCAACTACTGCTCTACCGTGCTGGATCATTCATCGGTGGAAACCAAGAACTCTATGCCTGGTTCAAGAAGTTCATGGGTGAGGATGAAGAGCAGCAGAAGACTCGTCCAAAAACCGTCAACTCGCGTGTTTCGCTTTCGAACTGTCGCAGCCTCGGCCCTAGCTATCGTCTGCTCCCTAGGCGCGAGCGTGAGCGTGTATGCAGTGGGCGCGACGAACTTTGTCGATCGGTTCTGAACGACGAGTGGGCGTCTCATCCAACATGGGCTTCTGAAGATTCTGGTTTCGTCGCTCATCGTAAGAACACGTTTGAGGAGGGCTTGCACCGAATCGAGGAGGAGCGACATGATTACGACTTCAATATCGAGGCTTGCAGTCGCACGATCCAGCAGCTTGAACCTATCGCCAACCAACTCCTTACGATGAAGCCGGAGGACAGGGTAGGATTCACCTTGCCGCCTGGACTTGGTGGACAGAGTGAGACGATTTACAAGCGTGTCATCATGAAGATCTACGGCCGTGACAGAGGCAAGGACGTGATTAAGGAGCTCTTCTGCATGCCCTGGAGTGTCGTTCCTGTCCTTCTCCATAGGTTGAAGACTAAGCTTGAGGATTGGAAGGCGGCTCAGCGTGAGTGGGAGAAGGTCTGGCGCGATCAGACGCAGAAGATCTTCTGGAAATCGCTGGACCATCAGAGCATCACAGTCAAGCAGGCCGACAAGCGTCAGTTCCAGCCCAAGTCACTCACGAACGAAATTCAAGTCCGATACGAGGAACAAAAGCGACTTCAACAGATTCAAGAGATATCGCAGCCAGATTACCAGTTTGCCTTCTCTTTCAGGGATGAAGAGGTACTCTTTGACGTGGCTCGATTGATGCTCACGTTTGCCGACAACAACAACAGTGCCGACTTTGCGAAGGTTGTACCTTTCATCAAAGAGTTCGTTCCACTTTTCTTCGGTATTGATATCGCCAAGTTCGAGCAACGAGTACAGACCTCAGGACGTGATACACCAAACGATTCTGGAGAGGACACTCCCTCTCCAGATGATGATGTCTCCCAACGCTCGCAGAAAGTAAAGAAAGGCGACCTCCGTCGCAACGTTCTCGACCCCAATAACAAGCCACGGAACAAGGAAGATAGTGTTGCGTCAGCAAGTCGAGATAGTACTCCAGATACATCCGGTATGGACGACGAGGCTGCTGGTGACAGCTCAAACTCCAATCCTCGCGCAGATCAATCAAAACGTGAATGGATAGAGTATGTTACTACCCCCACAGCCTTTGGCGACAAAGAGTTCGAGCATGAAGAGCCCTACCAACGCGTAGAGTACAACATGTACTCCAATGCTTCCATATACTGCTTCTTCCGCATGTTTGTCATGCTTTACGAAAGGTTGTTGAAGCTCAAAGAGAATGAAGAGGAGGTCCGAAAGGTCATCACGCGGGCCAAAGAGCCAAAGGCAGCGCAGAAGCTGAAGATGCTTGACAAGCAGCCCGAAGACTTCTTCAAAGACACATCGTCATCAGCGAACTACTACCAGCAGCTTCTCGACATGTTCACTGAACAGATCTCTGGCGAAGTAGACATGAACTTCATCGAGGAGACCCTACGGAGGTATTATCTCCAGATTGGGTGGCAGCTGTACTCGTTCGACAGACTGCTCAGCTCGCTTGTCCGGTTCGCGCTCGCTGTTGTGAGTCATGATAACAAGGATAAGAGCCTTGATATCTACAACCTCTTCAGGAAGGATCGCATCAATGATACTACGACCCACAAGAACGAGATCAACTATCGAAAGGCTGTTGAGAAGTTCGCGAAGGATGCTGATACCTACCGCATCACCTACGTAAGTGAACGTCACGTCCCTATCAACGACTATGTGTTAACATCACTGCAGAACCCCACCAAGATGGAAGCGCATGTGCGTCTCTTCAAGAGGGATGACCCAACTTTTGAGTTCAACACGCTCGACCGAGTCAGGCGCTGGCGAGCATACGTCGCCTCCTACATGGCCGTGGAACCCACTGAGGAAGTCGACCTGTCCCGCGTACACTACCCTTATCTCAAGAAGCGTCTCGCGAAAACCGCAGATCTCTCCGAGGAAGAGCGATTTGACCACGTCAAGCACAACGACAAGATAACCGTCTCCATCAGCCCCGCCGCTTACATCATGTCCTTCATCCACAGCGAGCCCTTTGGCACCGGTGGTGTTCAGTATTTCTTGCAACCAGACGCTGTACGTGCGGGTCTGAGTGAAGCTGTACCAAAGCCGACTGAAGAGTACAAGAAGCTCAACGACGAGCGGAGGGAGAGGGTTCAGGAGATTCTTGTCAGGAACAACAGCTGGATGAAGGATCTTAGTCGGGACGATGTAGATGCTAAGAAGGCTGCTTTCAAGAAGGATCTTGAGGAGCCTAGGAAGGTGGCTGATAATGAGAATGTGGACATGGACGGCGTAGACGGTTTTGACTAAGTACTTCGCCGCTTAGTTTGTAGAGCGACGTGGGGTGGTTACGCACATCGTTGGGTCTCTGGCGTTGTGTGAACTTGGATGTCACAGTGCAACGCAGGCTTGGTTCTCTACTGACTTTTTTTTTCGCGATTTGGTATCGGCATACATGTGCGCGTTGCGCGTATGAAGGAGTGCAGCATAAGGCGTGCCTTGCACAGCACGACATGAGTATTTTCCGAGACGGCGCTGGCGGCGTTTTCAAGGATGATAACCCGACTCGACTCTTCATCTATATCCACTTGTGTTTTTAGGATTGAATGTTATTTCCATCTCCCCATATCTTGCTGTGTCTTCCACCTTACAGTCTTCCCTTTGAAACCTCACTATCATACAGTCACTTGACACTCTTCTCCAGCCACTCCTCCCACTGCTCCACCGTCCACGAACTACTAATCTCGTTATTCACAACACCGTCGAATACAACCGTAGGCGTTACATGCACACCCGTCAATCGATTCGCCTTGACCTGCACCTTGACATCATCGGTAACCCCATTGCCTGAATTCAAACTCCCGTCCTCACCAGGCTTATCACTTATCTCCAACAACCCGTATACTTTCCCCTCATCCACACCCACAGATCCAGCAATCTTAGCCAGCCTCTTATATGTAGCATTCCTCGTTTCATTCACTAGACTGACATCGAAAAAGTCTTTTTGCTGGTCGAATAGCTTCTCTGAGAAGTCCCAGAATTTGGTGCTGTCGATTTTTTGGACAGCGTAGCCCGCTTCGTGGACGAGTGTGGAGGATGGGTGCCAGGGTTGGATTTGTTGGCGGAAGATTGTTACGACGCGGTCGGAGTACTTGTCGAGAAGTGTTTTGCGTAGAGCGGAGCCGTAGATTGTTTTGAACATTTTGGCGGAGAAGGGGCAAACGTAATCGAGGTCTAGGGTGTAGATGTTAGTCTAACGGAGGACGTTGGAGGGAGGGATTGGGGTATGTAGACTATATGTCTGAAGTGGGAAGAGGCGATGGGAGACGTACAGAGCTCGAGGGTGTGGACGGCTTTGGGCTGGATAGCATTGGAGGCGAGCTTCTGGCCGGCGAATTTGGGTGCGAGGGCCATGGTTGTGGTTGATGCTTTGGCTATTCGATAGATTCGAGAGGACCAATGTGTCTAGGAGCTGAAGTCGGGCTTGCAGAACTTATGTAGATGAACAGACTATTGGTAAAAAGCAATGATTGTATGAGAGATTGAAGATGGGCTAAGAGCACGCAATGGCGAGACCTATGCATGGCTTCGGTGCTTCATGTATGACGAAAGTGGGGCCGGATCTTTAGGCATGTGAAGACAAGGGCTGGCGACACTCATCTCTAGTGACGCCGGTTCGATCATAAGAAATCATGCGGAGTTGATGTTCAAATGTACTCATATTGTCTCACGATTGATTGTTACAGCTTTTACATCGTACAAAGCGTTAACTATGCGAGAGATGAACCGCGCTCAAGGATAGCTCGCCCCTCCCCCACCGCGCTCCACCACAGCTGTCGCGCTAACTCCGCTCACTCCCGAGCTTCGAGCTTCATGCAGCACCTCGTCATAAGCGGCCTACAGTAGGCGTTATTGCTTAGATATCCACGATCTTTACCTACACACTTTTAGTAACTTTCTACTTCGCAGCAATGTCTGATCCCAGTTCAACAGACGACGACCTCCTCGCCCGCCTCAATGCGCTCAAGAAATCCTCCGTCAGCCTAGATACCAGTCACAGCGCTTCAACAGTACCTCCGAACCCTCCCAAGCCAACTGATGACCTCGCTGCTCGATTCGCACGTCTTGGTAGCGCGTCTCCATCGGGCTCGCCACAGCCGTCGCGTACAACGTCCACGAACAATGTAGGCACACCGGTCATAGCGCCAGGAGCACCGAACTACTTGGAAGGAATAGCCCAGGGAGTAGGAGGCTCAGATGTGGAGTTCAATGAGGAAGACGAAAAGAGCCTAGAGGAGTTGCTTGGTGAGCTGAATGGCGCCGTGGGTGATCGGAAGGAATGGGACGTGTCCAAAGCGGAACAACAGGATGTCGGGAAGTTGTTGAAAGATATGCGCAGAATACTGCCAGAAGTAGTGAACAGCCGGACAAAAGACTCGCAAAACGGAAGTACCAAACGCCATCAGCCATCCAAGGAGGAACTTACAGATTGGGAAAGCATTGAAATCAACGTCGGAAGTGGAGAGGTTGGTAGAGCCCAAGAAGATACACAAGATCAAGACGACGAGAATGAAAATGGCAAGGAAAATATCGAAGACGATGAGGTAGACGATGTGATAGCGAGGGTCATGGCAGAACTCGAGATTAGCAAGAAATACGATCCTCCTTCTCCTCCATCCGAAGATGACAAGTCAGAAGCAGGAGACCAGAAGAATAAGCTGAAGGAAGATACCACGGATGATGGCTTCACTCTTCCCTCCGCCCCGGATACCCTCCCCGAAGACGATTTCGCACGCAGCCAAGCCATCGAAGATGCCTTTACCGCACGCTTGGCCGCCCTAGCTGGCCCTTCGCCATCACAGACAGATTCTCTTGGTCTCCCTTCCGCACCATCATTCGCACCTAGAAACAAGCCACCCGTGTCTGCAAACATTCAGAAACAGGTCGACGACGAGATTGATACCTGGTGTATCATTTGCCAAGATGACGCTACGCTGAAGTGCCTGGGCTGTGACGGTGATTTGTATTGCCAGACTTGTTGGATGGAAGGGCATAGAGGGGAGTCTGCTGGGTTAGAGGAGAAAAGACACAAGGCCGTGTTGTACTCGAGGAAGAAGAAACAACAAGCTGCTGCGTGAGAGACCAGAAGGCAGATTCGTAAAGCAGCTTGCACGTGAGACTGGAGGTAGTACTTTACAACGCGACCAGTACACGCACAGCCTGCAGTGAGAAGGGAAACCGCCACTTGGCGATAAGCGCTTCCCTCCTCTGCCCTCGGCGCGTTATCTCCAGGCTCTCTAATTCAACAACAGCCTGTCGACTCTTTACACCGTTAATACAACTATGGGGTCACCATTGTTGATGTCCTCGAAGTTCTCATCCTGCTACGAGACGTTGAAGTCGCTGCCTGGAACAATGGCTAGCACTAGCAAGTCTCACGTTGACCGCGAAGCAATGTATGTGTTACATCTATTGTTGTGATCGTGGTCATTTGACTGATATTGTGAATAGTACTGTGGGCGACATCCACGAGTCCCACCTTCTCCGTCTTCCTGGTGAGATCAAGAATGTAATCCATCACTACGCACTGGAAGGAGAAGTACACATCAGGACTTATTCTATACACCATCACGACACCCACAATCGCAAGAACCGTCTCACCCTTCCTGCATCGTGTCGCCAGATACAGCTAGAGATCGTCTTGTTGCCATATCAATTTCTCACTATTCGGTTTGCCCGATGGAAATTTCGTGCCTTCTGTCTCACTCTGAGCTCTAGAAAATGTCAAGCTATTCGAAAAATACACATGGAGGGAGTTGAGAAGGATTAGGCTATCGACATTGTATGAGGTCTGAAAGGGCGTGGTTTTGTTTCACTCTCCAATCTCCTGCCTAACCTACAACATGTACATGTAGAGGCATGGAGATCTCGTTTTAACGTGCCTGGTGTAGACTCTGAAAACGGCTATGAGCCATCGTCCCGTCATTGGAGTGTGGCATTCGAAGGATGGCTGCGGAAGGATCTTCAAGAACATGTGGACTTTAAGCTTGAGTGATTTTCACCTTACTAAGTAGAAGGTCAAGTAAGGGTCACATCAGGATCGATTTAATTTCGTGAGAAGACCGGTTGCTGGTCGAGTCCAAAGGCAGGTCAATGAAGAATTACGTCGACTCATTCTCCGTCATTACGCCATCTTGGAACTCGGCATTCGTTAGCATCATATAGTGTGTAATGGGCACTGCACGCCTGCTTTACGTCCATTGCTTCAACTGCAGAAAAACTGCATCAAGAAGTACAAAAAACAACATCTGCAGCCTCGTCCTAAAGCTCGCTACAAGTTTCATATAAGGTGATCGCTGGCTACATTTATTACAAGACCCAGTTACGGAGCACGGCCATGTTCATACTTTACAACCTGAACATCACCCCTCTATTTTACAGCATGCCGAACCACACCATCAGCCACCCACTTGCCCTCGAACTTCTCCTCCAGGACCCTCAGCTTGCTAAAGAAGACATCATCATCTACATATGCGCCCTTGAGCCATCGCTCGCCCTTTGTAGCGTCAAAAGCCTTCCTGGCATGCAACACCCTCCTATTATCGAAGATAACACACTCGCCCTCATTCAGCCTGTACTCGTAGAGATTCTCTTCCGCACTAAGCAGCTTCTCATACGCATGTGAGGCAGCAATGAATGAACGAAGCGAAGTGGAATTGCCGCTGCCAATACGCGCCTCGAATGGGCCCTGGAAGGGTGGAGACCAGTTTATGCGGCGAATGGCGAGGTTGGTGGGGTCGCTGTAGTTGGGGTAGGAGAATGTCTCAATCACTGGTCGTGTGAAGTGGTAGTGGTAGGTTGAGTGGTGGTAGTGGTATGTCACGGGGAAGGTACACAGGGTCCTGAAGTGGCCTTCGGATTGTCGGCGGAGTTGGTGTGCTGCGGCGAAGGAGTCCGAAAAGAACGATTCGCCACCTGGTGTTCGGGCTCGGAGGGAGTGAAGGAGTTGCAGATGAGGTGGGTTCGATGTGTATAGGAGATCCATGTGTAGACCGAGATAGTCGGGCGTGTAGGCTATGTTCTTGGCCTTGGGTTTGGAGCGGACGTCCCATGTACGGCCGTAGAAAGTGTCTTTGAGCGTACCGATACGGGAGGCGAGGGAGACGACAGATTCCTCGGATTCGGGTACGTTCTTGATGAAGAGGAGGCCATATCTGTTAAGGTGGGTGAGTGCTTCGAAGAGAGTTTCGTCTTGGGACATGTAGGCATCGTAGTCGATCCATTTATTGTCTTTGACGATCCTATTCTTGTCCCAGAACACCCTGTCATCGTGTCGCACTCCACCACGTAACTCAATTTCAGTGTTGAACGAGCGTCGTAGCCAGTCGATAGAGTGCCGTGTGCGATGCTCCGGACCAAAGCCTTTGACATCTGTCTTCCATTGGAGCTCGATACACGTCCCCTTTTCCTCGTCAAGGACAGTCTTACAGCTGCCCTCTAAATCCTCCGGTATATCTGAAGTCTGAAAGCGCTTATTTTTGCTGTCAGGGTCCATGCATTGCGTACACGTGCAGCTGTCACGGAGGAACACAGCGTCGAACACCTTGGAATCCCCATCGATGTTCACAGCAATCCTCTTCGTCGGGCTACCATCAATCTGGCCAATGCATTGTTCATCATGAATGAGAAGTTCTTGCTCGTTCGACTGTCGCAGCTCTTGTTGTTGCTGTAGCTGTTCCTGTTGTTTGGTTGGCCGGAAGGGACCATGGGTAGCGGGGCTCCAATCAGCATGCTCAGCCGGCTTAGGTGATCGCCAGAACGAATTGAAGAAGAAGCGCCGTCTCTGAACAGCAATCGAAGTCCAGGGAGAAGAAGTTGAGACCTGGGATCTTAGACTTCGTAGCGGTATTTTGGTGGTGATGGCCGTAGACATGGTCGGTCGCAGCTGTTAGCAGTGACGAAATACGGTGGGGTTGTTTGCTTTTCAAAGTCAGGGAGCTTGGTGGAAACAATCAACCCGTAAACCGAGGTCTCTATGTACCCTCCGCCCGGCACATTTGCAATCAAGAGTGTCCTACCGAACGTCCGCGGTTGATATCTAATAGCGTGCGCGAATACAGCACGTGTGTCGATTGACGCGCTGGGCGCATGTCTGAGGGTGTCGCACAGCTGAAGCATGAGGTACGAGCTTGTTTATCTTCACTGTTTATCAACGTGGCAGGTGGGCAGGCGCAGGCTAATATAATTGATAGGGCTCCCAGCGGCAGGTTGTCGTCGCAGGTGCGGTTGCAGGCCTGGTTTCGCGGTATGTTCACACCCTCTTGTTTGCGGATAGTGCTAACATTGCGACAGCTTCGTGATAGCTCCCCTCGACGTCATAAAGATCCGCCTGCAACTCCAAATCCACTCTCTCTCCGACCCTGTTAGCGTTCGAAATGTCCAAGGACCCGTCTACAAAGGGACACTAGGCACCCTCAAACAAATCCTTCGCGAAGAGGGTGTCACGGGGCTATGGAAGGGCAACATACCTGCGGAGCTCATGTATCTGACGTACGGTGGTGCCCAATTCTCTGCCTATACATACATGTCGCACTGGTTAGAGACCATACCGCCACCATATACGCTGCCCAGTTCGGTCACGAACTTCCTCAGCGGTGCGAGTGCTGGTGCTGCTGCCACGACAGCGACATACCCGCTCGATTTGCTTCGCACGCGGTTCGCTGCGCAAGGAAAAGATCGCGTTTATACCTCCATTATAGCATCGATTAAGCACATTGCGCAACATGAAGGACCGAAAGGTTTCTTTCGCGGCCTCGGCGCAGGCGTGAGCCAGATTGTGCCGTACATGGGCCTTTTTTTCGCCAGCTACGAAAGCTTGAAGCCCATTACCGCTTCCTCTCCCATTCCGCTACCACTCGGAAGCTCAGATGCCGTCGCTGGTGTCATCGCGAGCGTCCTTTCGAAAACCGCCGTCTACCCGCTCGATACCACACGCAAGCGACTGCAAGTTCAAGGACCGATGCGCGACCGATACGTTCATCGGAACATACCAACATATGCCGGTGTCATCAGTACTATTGCGCATATATGGAAGCATGAAGGCAGGCGAGGCATGTACCGCGGGTTGACGGTCAGTTTACTGAAGGCTGCGCCAGCCAGCGCCGTCACGATGTGGACCTATGAGCGGGCAATGGGACTTATGCTAGCTTTTGACGCAAAGCACAAGGACGATTAAACAGCCCTTTGGCAACTTGAGTATGCATGGACCGGCGTTAAGATACCAGAATCTGCTTGTATACAGACTATATTTCCTGAATCGAAAGTACATCGTAATTCGGTCTCTACGAAAGGATCATGATAAGTTCCCAAACTCGCCGTCCTTGCCCATCCACGTTACCTTCATCATAGGTTGTGCTAGGAAATCCTCAACCCCCTTCTTCGTCATCTCTTCGCTCCACCCTCTCCGTCGTAAAGTCTGCTGCAGTATGAACGCCAAATCTATGTTGTTTACAGCTACCTCCAGCGTCTCACCCTTGGAGCCTGGTATCACAAAATCTAGGTATAGCTGTAAAGCCTCTCGAGCAGCGAGGTAGAACGGTGTTAGAAATGGTCCTGGCGGTCGTGTACGCTGATTCGAGTACGGGCGAGTGAGAAAGACATGCATGGCGACAGGCGACTCGGGAAGAGGTAATGATGAATCGGGTTGTGAGTCTGTGGGATTGATCTGTTTTGTGTCGAAGTTTGGGTATTCCTTGCTGAAATCTTCTTCGAATTTTGAAATTTCTTCTTTCGTCTTGACGTTGTGATTGTTGAGTAGCCAGTTTGTGTGGCCCAGTTCCTCAATCCTCTCCTCATTCTTGTGGGCGAGAGCCTCTAGTGCTGCTAGAAGTGAGTTGATTGACATTTCGTTTGTGGATGTGTTGGTAAGGCGTTAGGGAGCTTACGGAGTGCATTGTTATATAAGAAGAGAGCTGAGTGGTCGCCGTGGTGATGACAATTACGCTCCGGAATCATGAATCGTGGCTGTGTGTATGATGTGAAAGAACATCAGGGATTGAAGAAGTTGGCCAGGATTCGCATTACGTGAATGATATTCTGTATGCGCATCTGGTACGCAAAAAGCTCGAGGATCTGATCCATTCTCCTTCACCTACGCTAGGAGTGAATGTCGTGACAAAATGTTGGGCGCAGTAAGTTTGAAATGTGCAACGCATCTAACGATGACTCACCAAGACCATGAAACAGTACCCAAGACCAGTTGATATAAAGATATCGCAAAGACATCTGCTGTTACCCCGTCAAAACTAACTCTACCAACAGCTATGTAACCGCTCCCTTTACATTTCATAGGTGCACTAGGAACTGACGTTGTCATAGTGCATATCAACTTTCTCTCCAGCCTCACACCAGACTTGTCAACAATCAAGCCAATCAAGCCGGTCTAACCAAATTTAGTAAGATCTTAGCCTACTCGAGCTAGTGAATTACCATATTAGGTTAGACCGGCTTGATTGGTTGATTGTTGACAAGTCTGCCTCACACTGGGTCTACATATCAGCACCGAGTCCGTACTGAAAACGACAGCAAAGTATATTGCAGTTATCCAACCATAGAAACAACCTTGCACATTATGACGAACCAAGGGTGGATCTGCAGCGATTGCGGAGCATTGAACTATCATGATGGGTGGTACTGCGAGTACTGTACCAAAATTTAGAGACAGCTCTTCGTTGCATCGGAAGCTAAATCAATCGAATTACTTCTATATTCCATACTCTATTGTCTAATGTAAAGAACGTTGTTGACCCTTGAAGATCCCAAAACTCAAGCTCACCCCAAGATATACTGCGTTACTGAACCGCCCAAACCAAGAAAATATGTAAACGAGTGACTGAAATACAAACCCATCTAATAATTACCGCTTTGGCATCTCTCCCAACCTCGTTGCTCCATTGCCCCTCAAGTTGTAACCTCTCAATTCCTAGTAAGCCTTTTCACAATGGAAAGTGAATCCACCAAGCCAGATCTGGATCGGCTTGGTAACATCACCATCCAAGTCGACAAAGTTCTTCGCACGGCCATCGATATCGAAGATCCAGCCAGGGATGTTGAGGTTGACAAGCTGACATTTGGTCGTATCTTGGAATCTGGTGAGTTGGGCCGATGTACCGATGATATTGCCAGCACCAGTGTCAATGGCACTGCCGGCGAAGAGCGAAGATATGTGGTATGGGGTACCGTCTGCAGGGATAGTGGCTTCGGCATTGGCGCCACTTTGGTCGTTGTAGATGCGGAGAGTGATCTGAGGAATGGGAGAGGGGATCGCAGTCGCCGCGGTGGTGAGAGCGAGAACGACTGTTGCGAGAGTGGTGGTGAATTGCATCTTGGTGATTGAATTGATGGATTGATGATGTTTGAATGTCTTGTCGAAGATTGTTGGCAATAGCAGAGAAGTTTGGACTGTTGTGTGCAGTGTTGATGCTGTTGATGATGAGCTGCTAGAAAGAGACGACGGCTGACTTTATACCTTGTTTACTCTGTATCTCAGATGTTCTCTGCTCCCAATTAGGAGCCGGTCGTGACACTACCTACCTGAAGCTATTCGTAAACATCGTCGATGAGTAGCCTGCTTGACGACCGCCTTTCTTCAGCTACACCACAAAGCGGTCGCCGAATGATCGTGAGATGACATCTCGTTGAGTAAAGAACATTATGTGAAGTACCATACGAATTCTTCTTGGTCAAGGTTGGCGTGTGGCACAGTCTTGTAATGGGGCTCCCATGGTTACATTGAAGCTTACTCAGAGTGCCGAATGAGTTTACTTAGCCGACGATATGCAGAGCAGCTCCTAGAAACAGAGTGTAACTCTGCGGCAATATCGGTGCGAAAAGGTTGATGCAAGTAATGAAATGGCGGTGATCGAGGTAGAGCTGAAGATGGCTGGGCGTCAACTCAGCCTTTGCGGGTCTCGTACTGTCAGCAAACGAGTCCAAAGCGGGTTTCTCGCAACAAAGTACGAAGTGGCATGATAGTAAAAAAAACAAGCCTGAGGTCTTTTCCTGCGACCCGTGAAGCCATCCGAGCCATGATCTGATGAATTTCTTCAACGTTCGTGGAGCGCATGCTCGTGATGCTGAAGTATCTTGATTGCTTCTACAATCGGTCCCTCGGAGATCTCAAGTACAGTAACGATAGCATGGCGTTGCCCGCGCCGCAGTAAGCAAAAAGTCGCGATGAGAATGTATGAATGTGAAGTTCGGCACACGTGAGGCGCTAGCCGTGCTGGACACAGACAGGAAGCTCTCCACTCCGCTCTTCCCTCCGGACACGAAACCTCATCATCCCTGTCATCGCGCAGAATTTGGCTTCGGGAATCCATCATCTGATATTGTGCTTGCAGGCTCATCTCCGATCGACTGAGCGCAACGAATGCCTCCTTGTCGTGGACGCGACGCAGTAGTGCGTAATACACGTCACATAAACTCGCACACGGTAGCAGCCGGACCACGGCTACATATAAGCCATGCATTATCACCTGACGGCAAAGCTAACAAGTCACCACAGCTCCGCAATTCCACTCGTTATTGAGAATGCGATTAATGAACTTGGCATAGAAACAAGCGTGGCATTGGCGCTGGCGATTGCGTTCGCTCACACAGTGTGAGACAGATAGGGCAGCCAAAACATCAAAGCGTTTGACACCGATTGCATATATCTTTACTGTATGGATCACACGCCCAATATCCAACTCCTGCTATTTATATCCTTGTCTGCCTCGATACAGTCTGGAACAACTAAACGATCTTATCCTTCTACTTCGCGACAAATCACTATGACATCTCAGTTGACTACAGGATTTCTGCCGATAACAATATCACTAGCAACATGAACAAGTACGATCGCATGTACGTTGTCTCTTTTAGCGCCATATCTCGAGTATAGCTGATTATCTATAGCATCCAGCTTAAAGAGGAGAAGTCGCCCTTTCTTCAGCTCCCCGCAGAGGTCCGAAGCCGCATCTACAAGCTTACGCTCTATGAGGGCATCGTGGACTTCAGACGTCATTACATCAGTTAAAACAAGCCGAAAATTCTGGTGCTTCTATGCACATGTCGTCAGGTCCATTGCGAGGCCTCAGTACTCTATTTTGCGCTCAATACATTCCGCTTCGACTCCGATAAGTTACTAGGCAAATTTTTCGGTACTCTCGCTCCGGCGAAACTCAATGCAGTCAATTGTATGCGTGTCGCGGCCGCTTGTGTGGCATTGACCGACACGCATGCTAACACTCCACGGTTGAATTCCAAGACTTGCGACTCCACGCATTGTTCTTGCTCCAGGAGGTAACAGTCCATGCACACTCACGCGAGAAAGATGGCCGAATCTTGATACGATCGGGGTTTATCTGAGGCGGGCAACTTGTAACATGAGTCTGGAAGTGATATTAGTCCAAGATGAGCCGTACGAGGTCGCTATGAATGAAATATGGCCAGCCATGACGACATTCGATGATCTTAAATAGAATATGTATCAAGATCACTGCAGACCCTGATACTCGTGCGAGAGTTCGTGTTTGTATGAATATAAATGTCCAAGCGTCTAGGTATATCCGGAACCTGGTGTGGCCGGTGTGATGAGCCAAGAAAGCGAGACAAGAGAAAGGTTGCGAGACATAGATGAGATGGATATACGCTCGATTGTAAAAGCGTTGATGCCATATGCCTCTTTTACCAGATACATAACTCTTGTCGCTTCAGTGAGTAGCCAAGAAAAAGTGTGTGACGGAAGACTGAATCAACGAATGCTATTTGGAATATGATATAGCATTGTGTATATAAACCAAGCGTGCTTCTAACTATAGTACAGAGATGGGAGATAAGAATGCATATCGAAATTGTGGGATTTCAGTCAAGGAAAAGACAAAGGAGCGAGTAAATGTAATACATCCGCGCCGCCTCCACACGGTCACAGTCTAGTAGATACCCCACTCAACATTCTGCTTCATCATGTTACTCTTACATACCATCCCCCCCTTGGCACCGATTCTGCCGCTTCCGCCAAACTTCTCGATAGCTTCGTTGATGACGTCCATGACATCCTGCCCACCAACTTGGAAGTCAATGTTACCATTGAGATTGGTAGCCTCAACGCCGAAAGAACAACCCTTGGACTTGGCAATCGCGCACTGCTTCAAACTGACAGTCTGTATTGTCCACTGAGTATCCCTATTGCCCTCGATGTTCTTGACAATTTGGCGGCAGTCTTCAACCTTAGGAGATGCTTCACTGCCTTGGTTCTCAAACGTCGTTTCGCCGCAATGGTCCTTGCCTGGTAGAGAATCACAAGGGTAATTGTCACTAGAGCCCCCATCGCAACTGTCCCAGGACTGGAATGCACGCCCAGGACTACAGACAGGAAGGCTTATGTAGCCTGGAGTCGTGATGTCGCCGTTAAACAGATCCTCTTTGACGCCTTTGTCGTCCACGCTTGCAACGTTGCCACCATTCTTCTTGCCATTCCGAATGTAGGTACGGACAGAACCCTTGATCAAGTCTTCCATAGTAACGCCACCGAAATCGTGTCCACCTAGTGAGCCAATTCCTGGCGGCGTAGAGAACTTATTGTCTACAGTTTTGACAGTGCAGAAATTGGGGTTAGACTTATCATAAACACATGTCTGTGAGGTAGCAGGTCCATCTGGGTAGACCAGATAATACTGTTTCCCATCGATGCAGGCGCCTGTTGCCTCCATAGTGTCATCATCGAGGTAATCGTCAAGGGCCCTGCGTTCGTCACAATCGTAATCGGAGTCCATCACAAAGCTGTACCTTTGGGAGGCCCTCCAGAGTTTAGGGGTAGAGAATGCGAAAACAGATTTGGTAATGCTGGCTCTCAGCTCGGGTTCGAGAAGTTCCCTCTGCTTGTCGTCTTCGTTTTGCGTGGATTTACCCCCGATAAGCTTTCCGTTGGATATTGTGTCCCAAAGAAGTTCGATGGAATCATCATCGCCGTCGAACAAATTCTGCAAGGACTTTGAAGTCACATTGCCCCTGGCCTCGATAGTTTGGCCCACGAAATTCGCAAAGGCGTTCTGTCCTTTTTGTTTCCACTGGCTTTGTCCGCTGGGCTTGACGTCTTTGGCAATGGTTGTGCTCTGTCCAATAAGGTTCATGGTGGTATCTGTCAGGCACCAGGTTACTCCGGGCCCGTTCGGGCCGGTATGCCAAGCAATCGCAGTATATTAGCCTACCTTACCGCTGTTGTGGCTCGACAGCGGTTCGTCTCTAGTCTTACAAGGCAATAAACCTCTACCTCCACTATCGCGGTGCATCTCGTATCTATGAAGACTCTATTGCTTGACAGTATCCTTCGCGTTGTCGAATGCAGAACCACCCTTCTCAACGAAATAGGGCGTGTTCTTGAGAACGTTGTTGAAAAAGGGCCCAGCAGCTGACAAGGTTCCGAGGGTGATGAGATCGATGAGGAGCAGGAGCATAGTGTCGTCTTCCTCTTCTATCGGCGCAAAGTTGTCCTACTGCAGGAGTCAGTATCTATTTCACGCACAGTTTGAGCATAAGTTGCTTACTATCAGTTCACCCAAGCTCATACAGACAGTCGAGGCGACATTGAAAAGAGTAGTGTGATAATCCGCGTACATGTTGTGGATGACTACCATCGACTCGAAGATGAGAGCCCCTGCGACCCCTGCAAATGGACCATTCATACTGTTGGTGCACGCATCACCCCCGGTCGCCGAACACATGGAACTAGACAAGAGCTTCCTGCAATCCATTGCGCTAATTCTGAGCGTGTTTGCAACGGACGCCGAAAAAGTCATATCTTCCCTATTGTGGTCCGTGTCTTGCCAGATTCTGACGATGTCGTTCCACGCACCATCTGCGTCCAGACCTTTCCAGCGTTCAGCGGATGTGTAGTCGTGTGGATATACAATGTACTTATCCGTGCAGTCGTGGTTGATCCAGTCGCCATTCCGTGAATTCCGACTTGGGATCTTCTCCGGATTTGACCTTCATCTTGAATTCTGCCCAGCTTTTTGCCGGTTTCGGGACGTCGTTGTAGGTTCGTAAGTCACTAGCCCAGTCGGTCGTACCGCCTAATCCCCAAGCCGAGTACAAGGTTGAGCGGGTCTGCTTGGTCTTGCTGCTCATGTAGCTGACCCATCGGGTATCATCGTAGACCAAAACGTCGCTGTTGCTGCTAGAATCCACAAATTGCTTAACAACGCGACCTGCTCTCTTCTTTCCTTCGATGATCTCAGCAATCTCAGCATCTGCGATGTAACCGGCTGAGTTGGTGCACTTGCCCTTGGTCGCATCCGAGTTCATTTGGCTCCTAGTGTACAAGCAATTAGTACCCCAGCATCCGGCTTCAGCCATACTAAAGGAACGCCCATAACTAGTTATGCCAACGATGACCTTGTTGCCGGGGACACCTGCCTTGGTAATCATGGCTAGAGATTGCTTAGTCTCTGTCAGGTTAACCTGACTACGTAGGCGGTTGTCTGTGTCGCATCCTTCTTGTGAATGTGCATTGCCTGCATCCCATTGACCATGCAGGTCATAGGTCATGTAAACGATGTAGTCCACGACCTTGCCGATGCTCGCAATAGGGTATTGCTTTAAATACCAGTACGAAGACGGTGCACAGATAGAAACAGTCTTCGATGAGGGCAACAGGTTCCTCAGAACGGCAAGGAAAGCCAAGTAGTTGGGGCCGTCTGACTTGCTAGCAGCGGGTATGCCGGGAATGTCAGGAGCTCCCGGGTATTCCCAATCGATGTCGACGCCGTCAAGGCCATGCATCTCAATGAAGAGAGCAACATTAGTAGCCATCTTCAGGCGGTTGACGGATGTAACACCGTTACGGAAGATCGAATATGTCGCGGGCTCGGTCGAGAAAGCCCAGCCGCCAAAAGAGAAAATCTTGTTAGCTCCCTTAATGCGTTTGAATTCTCCAAAGCTGTACGTGGATAACTCATCACCAGCTTCAACCTCATAACTGGAAGTCGATGTGCCAAAAGCAAAATGGATATACGTGTATTGCGATGTATCGATTTGGGAGGCATCTTGGAATAGGCACTCTCGATTCATGCCGTAACCCTCAAAGTATGCAATCTTCATCCCTCTGTTCCCACTGCCTTTGATAATGTCGGTACCGCAATTGGAGATACAACCGTAAGTGCCCGGTTCTGCAGTTCCGGGAGCTCCAGTGTTCGTATCGACACAAAGTTCCTTAGTAATACCGCATTGGCCCCAGATGTTGCAGCAAGCATTCAAAGGACAGGGATTGAGATCAGCAATATTTCCGCCACTAGTCGGTGGTTTCGAACCTGGCCTTCTGGGGGCCACATACTGCGTCGGCGATCGGGGCAGGAAAAGGTGGTGTTCCTGTGCTCAGACACATGATTGTATCTATAACCAAAAGCTTGCAGCCATTCCAGCCCCAGGTCTCCTCGTTGAAGTCCTCGAGATCTTACTTGGTGAGACTGTATTCGGCAGCAAGGTTGTCACAGTTGTCATTAGTCTTGACTTGGTACGCATGACATGAGCAATCGTGTTGGGCTTAGGGCTGAAGTCCGAAAGACTTCCGCTAGAGCAACAAACATGTTGCTTGGGTATCGATTTGGCGCAAAAGCTTGACCCGGGATTGTATTTGGTAAATTCGGTAGGCGTTATACCACACTTGGTCGCCAACGCCGCACAGCTGTCTCCGGATTCAACCTGAATAGCCTCGCAGAGCATGAAAGTGTAGTGCTTTGTGGTGAGCATGGTGCGTAAGATACCGAGAATGTCGTTTCTGCGCTTGCAGGCTCGTCGCGTTATTCGGCATGGTTGCGTTAGTAGTGCCATTCATGGCTAAGAGCGGCGTCAGGAATGTCGCCTGACCGGAGAAGTTGGTAGAACCTGAGAATGGCAGATATGTTGCGTTAGTCCAGGTTTTAATCGCTTCCTGAATAGGAGTAAAGGTGGCGTTGCTGGTAACCATAATTCCAAAGATGTGTGTGCTGTCGTGCCCGGGTCCGCAGAGTTGCATAGCCATGCCTGGAGCAAAGACATTGAGGTTCCCGAGATTGTCTTCGAAAGTCTTCAGGGCAGCTGCCATCCCTTTGTTAATCAGGTTTTGCCAATGTAGAGGCCGACAGTAGCTTGTCCAGACTGCCCGAACATGATGAGGGGTCTCTCCGTAACCCCATGTCCGTAGTCAACATACTGGCGCATTTGCTTGAGTACAGAACACAGACTCGAAGGTGCGAAACCGAAGTCCTCCTCCCACTATCCAACTTCGAAGTGAACATTCGCAGGTTCGACAGAGGCAACCTTAGCCGTTGAGGCATCTGGTGGAAGTGTGGAAAAGTCCGGGCCGAATGACGAGCACGCATGTATGCGGTGAGTCTCCGCTTGATCGTCGACATTATTGTAGAGAGAAAAATCGTAAAACAACGTCTCTGGGCAAAACTTGATCTGTCTGAAGTTTGGATAGACGGACCAGTTTCTTGAGTTGGGTCCAGGAATACTGCATCGCTCAGGACAGGGGTTGCTTGGCGTCGCGAAAACCCCTTCGGTAAAGGACGAAAGAGAAATCGCCCCAAGTGCAACTGTAAGCCATGATAAAGTTACCATGATGTCACAGCGCTCTGAGAGAGGCTTTAACGAGTAGATTGTGGTCTTTGGACACCAACGAGAAGACAGTAAAGAGTGACCTTCGACGATACTTTCTTGGATTAGAGCGCAATGAGACTGTCTTTATAGTCCTTCTGGGGCCGTCGTTTTATCTCCCCTTGCCACATTGAACGCCTGGGTTAAACCGAGCGGCCGTTACAGATCCCACAGGATTCACCCTCGAGGGCAACTCATCACCGAGCTTCACACTTTATTATAAATGATACCACATTCCTGTATAGTTCATACTGACATTAGGAGCACCACTCGACTTTTAGGCAAATCTTCATTAGCTTAGCTCGGAATGTGGGTCTCTGTGTTGCCCTGCGCTAGTTCTTCATTGTGAAGGCACGATGGACTTGCAAAGTACATTCGATCTTGCCTGAAGGGAACTCTTGGAGCTATTTGGGCCGTGGAAATGAGTCAAGCCATCTATTAGCTGGTCGAGGGACATGGCCTTCACTGGTTTGTTGTAGTATACACACGAAGGCTTTGCTACAGAGCAGAGGCATGTTAAGAATCACAGACGTGGATTCAAGCACCCCGAAGGCAATGGGAGAAGTCAAGTCTCTATTTGATCGAGCAGTCAAAAAGATTTCTTTGTTTGCTCCACTTTAAAGCAAAAATATATCACTTTCCCCCAGTTCCTCAACCCAGGATATGTTTACATGAGAAAGTAGCTCAACGCTCCAAACGTAGCCATCAAGCATGCCATACCCCCAACAAGCAGCTGTTGAGCGGCACTCTTGTCGGACGGGCAATCGACTGGTGGGTTACGACGAGAGCACAGTTGTTCTGGTAAAGAGGCTGATATATTTGAAGCAGCGGCAGAATCGATCTTGACCCAACAAGGATTGGGAGTGACAGTATAGTTGGCCACTGCTGCACAGCGTCCACCACTGTCAGAAACTTCCTCGGCATCCATGATCTTGAGGGCAATTCCCTGATCCTTGCTGCAGTTCTGGTCTTTTGTTGCAGTTACAAGATCTATATCCTGCGCCGACTTTTTGGTGGTAAATGTGATTGCCGAGCTTTGCATGTAGCCAGTTAGATTTGTCCCTGTCCAATAGGGCTCCTGGGTACAATTGGACCAGGACAGAGTCCAGACTAGTCTCCAGATACCCTCGGTATCGAATTGATCGTAGTGGCGGTATTTGAGGTAAGGGTCGGTGCTGGACATGTTTGTCCATCTCAGGTCATCATGAAAGTCGCTGAAGCTCCCTTGGTCGATGGTCGACCCATTGGTCACATTCCAGACATGGAGTTCGATACTGATATTGAGTAGTGGCGCGAGTTCGGTGTTTTGAAAACCAAAGACGATAGGCACATATGGCGCTGGCGCATATGTGTCGTTGCGGGGGAACACAAGGTCTACCTCAACAACGCCCAAGGAATCGCTGGCGGCCGCATTAACAGCCCCTATGCAGATCACGAAGAACGAGCCAACCCAAGAGATAATGTACACTTAGGAGCGGGCGATGGCCGGAAGACTGCCGAGAAAAGAACGGTGTAGAAGGAATTGTGGCGTCAAGGCAAGTAACTCGGAGAAGTGATGGAGTGACAGCGCAATGGAAGAAACTGGTTCAGCGGAGCGAGTTTGGTATTGGAAGGACTAGCGGGCAATAGGGACAATGCGAAGAAAGCTCTATGCCTAGTAGAAGAGAAAGCTTGTAGGTGGGTAAAATAGGTAGTCTGAGCTCTGGACGATATTGGACCTAGCTCGCCCAGGGCGGGGACCCACAGGCGGGATCCAAAGGGTAGACTATAGCAGGGGTTGATGCCGTGAGAGCCGCCACGCCACATGAACGGACCGCAATGCGAAGCGCTGGAGCTTGCGAGACCCTGCAGTAGTGGTTTCTTGGTATGTCAGGGCCTGTGACTTACATTTTAGAAATCCGCAAGATGACCATCTGGATCCGTCCTAATCAAGGGCCTGTTTGGTGATGTTCCACAACTCGTGTAGGACGTAGAATAAAAAGCAAACCAATAGTGTTTTAGGTGAGTTAGGAGTAGAAAGGCGATTCATGTGCATAGATAGAAGACCTTAGAACGTTAAGGTGCAGGATAATGCAGGGTAGGAATAGGAAAACAGCTTTTCTAGTAAGTTCTCTTTCTATCATACATGCCTCCGCATCCTACATAGGGTGTTTTAGTACAGTTCTACACTCCTACGATTTTTAGCGCGTGAGAGAGGTAGGACAACTATACGAGTATAAAGGAGATAGTACAGCAGGAGGGGCAGCAGCCATACAGACGTAAAGGAGGGAAATGTATCCATAGGACGCCTCTTACGTGATTTTAATTGAATAGGTCCTTTTACGTCACCACTTGACCGGATGGTAGCCTACGAAGACCTCTAAGGGCTCGCATCCTACACATATTACCGAAGGACCATCACCAAACAGGCCCCGTATCAAGCCACGCAAGCCATCTGTGGTTGGGGAATGATTCTTGCAGGTCCGTACAAGACTCTCCTTCCTGCGATCACACATGCAGTGTGCCTGTACAAAAGTCCTATATAGGAAATTAGCACTCCGATAGATTGACCATGCAGAGGGGCAGATCTCATGGTCCAGGCGGCAAACGCCTTGTAACCCTTAGTCGTTGCTTAGCTGTTACTCAACGTCAACGGAGAAAAGATCGAAACGGAATGCCTGGGTTCCGCTTATAGTTCAAGTGGAATTTAAGCGATGGCCGACTGAGAATTATGTACTATGTAGTTATGCAGTTTTTCATACTACCATGTGGCCCAAAGCCCCCCAAAGCGGCTGCTAAACCCGCCGCACCCCTGCGAACCAGCCGTTGAGCGACACTCCTATCATCAGCGGGACAAGAGGACCCAGGTACTCGAGTCGCCTCACAGTAGAGGGAAATCATGGATGAGGAAAAGCTTGAAGCAGCGACTGAGTCGATCTTGAGGTGGCAAAGAGTCGGAGCTGGAGTCGACAAAGCTCCAGAAGGTTTTGAGTTTCTGATAAGGGTTGCTAACGGAGAAGCTCCCTCATCTCAGGCCGTAGAACAGGTCTCTGCCAGCCTGTATCTCCAAGTTCGTGAGGCCGATATCTAGCTAAGGGTTCACAAATGACGCTAACTCAGAATTCTGGATAGCAATGGTAACTGAAAGATTTGCGTCAGAGCACAGGTCTCGTTACGAGGAAAGGCGAGGTTTATCTCCATCACGCCAAGGGCTGCGTTGACGGCCCCTGCGCAAGCGGCGAGAAGCAAGGCGGCCTGCATGTTGACAGGAACGGCAAAAGGCGGTTAGCGATATGAAGCGAGGAGTGCTCCGATGTTGGGAAGATTAGGGAGAAACGTCAGGACGGAGAAACATGAAGGAAAGGATTCAGGCTACAAGTGAAGGATTGATATAATGTTTTGGGTAGTCATGCAAGATACCTTGCTTGATAGCATCTGGTGGCCAATAAAGCTGCGTTGCAACAGCGCTTGCGGCTGAACTGCCTTGGCACCCGCTTGGCATCCGTGCCTTCGCTTGCACTTCCGCCAGAGCCGAGCCGACCTTCTTGTTCTTGACATTCCCACTCACGGGCCATTTCCCAAGCGTTCTGGCAGCAGCTTCAAATGCAGGGATAAGTAGGCTATCGTCCCATAGGCGGCACGATTGCGGCTTCACTACCAACATAGCGAATTACTTTCACGCGCCCGTTGTCAGCCTTTCCCACAATCAACTATGCTGGCCGCGGTCAGGAACAATGGCCTGCCGGCTGGCTCTCTGAACGCTAGAACAGGAAAAGGCAAGCAAGAGAGCGAGAGACTTCGACGAAGAGTATACGAACTATGGCTTGGAGCGTAATTGAGTCTGCATCTTGCCATCAGGACACCTACCTTCTTTTACTCTACACTCGTTTCAACAAATTTTTTTCTCCGCAATATTGCGAACTTCCAAACCCCCTCAGACATGCATCTGACACATTTGTTTGCCACTGGTCTTCTTGCAGGATCGGCCTCAGCATGGCCCGCTCATCTTCGTCGAGCTGTTGATTGTGCATTCTCCACTACGGCTGATAACGGTGCGACTTGTGAGAGCTTTGCAGCCATCTGAGCTATGGCTATTGACGAGCTCGAGCGGTTGAATCCCGGTATCAATTGCCCCCCTCTGGATTCCAATAACGAATACTGCGTGATCGGCACCGTCACTGACGATCCGATTACAACTACCACTTCCGTGGCCACAACTACGTCTGCAACGATCACGCCGGCGACGACGACGACGACGACGACGACGACCGCCATCCTCTCCACAACTATCACCTTTGCTACGAGCACGAGTGCTTCATCCACGACCACCAAGGCCAGTACCACCACCACGGCCGGCAATGGTATTGCCACTTCCATGCCCACACAGCCCGGAATGGTTTCCAACTGCAACAAGTTTCACTATGTTGCATCAGGTGTAACATGCAGCCAAATCCTAAGCTATCAGCAGATTAGCCTTGCTGATTTCGCGAAATGGAACCCTTCTGTAAACAACGACTGCTCCGGCTTGTGGGCTGAAGTCAACGTCTGTGTTGGTGTCATTGGCGGAACCCCCGTCACCACGACCGCTAAACCGTCAACCACTACATCCGCGGGAAATGGCATTCAAACTCCCCAACCTACCCAGCTAGGCATGGTCACCAACTGCAACAAATCTCACTACGTAGCATCGGGCGTGACTTGCAGCCAGATCACAAACTACCAAAAGATTAGTCTCGTGGATTTTGTGACATGGAATCCCACCGTCGGCAGCGATTGCCGCGGCATGCAAGCTGGTGTGAATGTCTGCGTTGGCCTCATCGGCGGTAACCCCCCCTCTACGACTACCCAGAAGCCGACTACTACTACTACTACTACTACTACTACTACTACTACTACTACTACTACTACTACTACTACTACTACTACTACTACTACTACTACTACTACTACTACTACCACCCCTGCTGGCAACGGTATCCAGACCCCTCAGCCCATCCAACCTGGTATGGTAACCAACTGTAAAAAGTTCCACTACGTGGCCAAAGGCGTCACTTGTCAGCAGATCATCAGCTACAACAAAATCACTCTTGCCAACTTTGTCAAGTGGAACAATGGAGTCGGTTCAAACTGCCAAACCATGTGGGCAGAGACTAACGTCTGTGTTGGTGTTTGAAGAGCTCGGGAAACTTCGATTCATGTATTCAATTAGTTAGTAATGTAAACGAGAGACGATAGTATGTGTCGAAGATTTTTCATAGTTAGATGATTGTAATGTAGGTTAAAGACCTTCCACCTTCACTTTGCTTTCCTTCCTCGTTTGCTTCCTATCTTACTCTCCAGCAGTCCTTCGCTTTCAATATTCTCTAAACTTTCATCTCCCTCATCGCACTCACATAGTGGTTTCGTCAGATTGAGACGTACACACAGCATCCATGCAGCATCATTCCCACAACCATGTGTTTTCCTAGGCATCGTGCCCATCAAGCGGGATCACTTCCTCAGCGATTCATTTCAACCAGCTTTGTCAGCCTTATACAACGAGCGAGCGAGCTCCTGTGTATCGATGAGAGCTACTACAGAGGCTATATCTGTGATCTCGACGCCTGCCTGGTAGAGTGAAAGAGACCCGAGGGGTTTCGATTGCCAACAAGGGTAATAGAGCGTGCGGCTAGGATTTGTCTCTTGTCCAAATCCATTCCTATCTGTTGGGCTGCAAGATGCGAACTTGTGTGATCCGCAACACAACCATGCCGTCTCCCTTGTCATAGTAAGAGCAAATGTGCTCGAGGACAGTAACACACCCGCTCCTGCTTTCTCTTTACACTTACTCGGCCGTATCGAAAATCATACGTCTCGGTGTGAGAGGAAAGGTGGGGAGGATATATCAGCGTTCACATCCTCGAGCTTATGAGACGCCTCGCGTCTAGTGTAGACGCTCCGGTTGTGCGGAATCGTTCGTGATTTCTGTCAGTGATATCGAAGGAGATGAATCTGAGGTCTGTATCAGACCTTGGCTCACCTTAGTTGCGTGCCAGCAGCTGGTGAGGGAGGCGGCCCACTTCTTCGGATGGGTTTGGAGTAGGAAATATGGACTGAACATTAATACCGAATCTTGATCTGGCGATTGCTTGGCCTGATTAAATATTAGCTGCTGCTACGTAAACAATGAAGATGCGCATCGGTCGCAATGTATACTTGTGTTTAATCCAGACAGCCACTGTGTGCGAGATGCCACACTTTGATCGCCTCTCGTGATTCTGTGATGTGCTTTAGACGATAAGCCACTTGCAGCTTTCGAAACTCACGCGGTACCATATAGAAAGGGATTTCAAATGGAATATTCCACAAAACAACTTAAGAATATCACTCTGTATTGAGCAGCAGAAATCAGCTACAAACCAATACATGTAAGACGTTGAAGTTGTATTTCTCAGTTCCGGACGTTGCGGAAGAGTACGGAAATTGTTTTCGTGAAGTATATCACGACCTAGGTACAGCCCGACAGTGGCGTGGCGAGTACGGTAATTGCTGGGGCGTGGCAGGGTAGTCCTCTCAACTGTGAGGCTTTATGGGCATGAAACTGAAGCTGAGCGTTTGAAAGCAGAGAAAGCACCAGTCCACAGGCATGAACACGTGTATTACATCCATGTCGGAGCACCAGAATTCGCTTTTCGATTGAGAGTATCGCTGATATCATATCCATCATAAGGGTCATAAGCCCATACCAAAACAACGCCATCTACCCATGTATGCTCATAGAAGCATTTTTCTTCTTTCGCCCCTTACAAGTCCAGAGAATCTGACCGACAAACTACTGCGCAGCAGGAGCAGCATTGTTAGAGGTCTTTCCGTTGGTAATCTTGGGGCCAACAACCGCCTGCTCAAGCGCTTGCTTCACATCCGCAACGAGATCCATCTCATCCTCAACACCGCAGCTAATGCGGACAAGATCGTCAAAGACACCAGCAGCTTCACGCTGCTCTTTGGGGATACCGCCGTGTGTCATGGCACTGGGTACTTCAACGAGCGATTCGACTCCACCTAGAGACTCTGCGAGTGTGAAGATCTTGGTTGCTTGGCAGAAGCGCTCTGCAGCTGCGTGGCCGCCCTGGATACGGAAGGACAGCATACCGCCACCCATTCCATCGCGGTGCTGCTTCAGCGCAATGTGGTGTTGTGGGTGAGAAGGCAGACCCGGGTAGTTGACGGATACGACGTGTGATGAGGCCTCGAGAGCCTTTGCAACGCCCGTAGCGTTCTTGGTAGCTTCCCGGGCGCGAAGATGCAGGGTCTTGAGACCGCGGTGTGCAAGCCAGCAGTCGAATGCCGAGGGAACAGCACCTATGGCGTTCTGGAGGAAAGACAGACGCTCATACAGCTCATCCGAGTTGAAGGCCGCAGCACCCATAACTACATCGGAATGTCCGTTGATGTACTTGGTGACTGAGTGCACCACGATATCCGCGCCATGGTCCAAGGGGTTCTGAACGTACGGGCTCATGAAGGTGTTGTCCACAACCACCATGATACCATGCTGATGCGCAATCGTCGAAATCTTGCGGATATCCACTAGCGTCAGGGTAGGATTCGACGGCGACTCAATCCAGATGAGCTTTGTGTTGGGACGAATAAGCTCGGCGATGTCAATCTCAATGCTTGGGCTGAAGGTAACCTTGACATCGTGCGTAAGAGCTACCTTGGTGAAGTAGCGGTGGGTTCCTCCGTAAACGTCTGAGACGGAAACGACATGTGAACCTGCGGCGAGCGATTGGAGAATGTTCGCTGTAGTAGCGGAACCAGAGGAGAATGCGAGTGCGTAGCGGGCGTGCTCGAGGGCTGCGACGGCTTTCTCAAAATTGTCTCTAGAAGCGCATTAGCACTGAGGACGTGAATAGTGTCGCCGATACGTACCGGTTCGGGTTCGAAGAGCGCGAGTACTCGTACTCGCCTATTGGCTTCCCAACAGCAGTTTGCGCAAATGTTGTAGAGAGCGAGATCTGCCTCGATTAGCCAGACGTATGTAAAACATGCGCCAGAAGTACATACAGACTCAATGACAGCTCCGGTGACGGGATCATGAGGACTTCCGGCGTGTACGGCGAGCGTACCGAATCTGTGGACTGGTGACGGCGCGCGTGGCGGGGTGTCGATGGGGTGCTCGGGAACCGTCATGTTGATAATCTGAATACTCTCTGGATAGTGGAGTCGGTTTGGTGGTACAAGGGAACTTGAATTCCAAAATGCAGTGAGAGTAGAATAATTTAGAACAGAGTTCAAGCTTCCGAGGTGTTGACGTCTATAGGTGAATTATTGTTCTAGCGACAAATCCTAGCGCGCTTTGTATCGGTGGTGCGGTCGACCGTGATGGCGCGAATGAGAATAATTCTTTCTGGCAGAATTTCCTTTCAAAGTGGAGATGAAAGCATGGTAGACCATTGCTCATGACTCCCAACCTCTTATACCTATCAAGCCCCGTTCCACATCTGACATTTCTCAGCAACAGATTAATCAGACCGGCGTTGGCTCTCGAACCGTGGCATGTACAGCTCGGCCCAGCGCGCGTTGGTTTCGTGAGCAAGCGGCGATGGTGTCATAGTATTCTCCGATCCGCCTTCTGACGGCCTTGGCAGCTGTTGATTACACATCGCGCTGCGGGTGCCACCAAGTACAGAAGGTTGTTCGGACGAGATGCTATATGTAATTTAAAATACGTAAGCACGTTTCAGCATTGGGGCTTAGAGACATGTGATTTGCATCATAATCTGGTCTAAGTGTGGAGATATCAATACGTCTATGAGGGCGCAAGTGTCTATGGGTATATTGGGGGTATCATGGTGATGCTTAGTATGGATCCTCCTCTGGTCTGCTCTTGAGTTTCACGTATCCACTTATGCCTTTCTTTCGCACTGTCTGCTCGCTCTCAGAACCACCACCTTTACGTGATGGCGAAGGCTTTCCATTCGTCGTGGTAGACGTAAGGTAGCTGCGTCCATCGTCCAGACCTGTGTTACCACGCCTTTTCTCGCCAACTAGAACCGGGTCTTCAGCGATCAAATTCTCCATGTCTTCCCACTCCTTTTGGTTGAGCACGTCCCATTCTTGTGCCTGTTGCTCAGCGAGGAGGAACCCCTTCAACTCGTCAACAATCTTAGTTGGCGACAAGCCCCACCCGCTGATGTATTGGGCGTTCTCGGCGATGCCTAGAAACGAGTGCGAAGTGGCATGCGAAAGCTGTCCGAAGCCTACAGGTGATTTGCGAAGAATCGACCTAGAGGATTTTGAAGCGGTAATATCTTTGTCGAACGGGTTCTCGAGGCGTTGGGGATTGTATGATTCCTGCGCAATCAGTAGTCGATACAGATTGCGACCAATCGAACAGGTGTCTTCCCACTGTTTGAAGCTGTCCTTCATGCCCTGTGTTCGGCACAGCCAGGCCACATCGTACGCAAGCAGGGATACGCCTTCGATGAAGGACGAGTATGCAGGAGGATCTTCGGCGGAGAGGTGGCTCAACGGGCGATCAACGAATAATGCGCGGGGCTTCGGAAGATGTATACGTGTCTCAAGCGTGCGCGAGGCTTCCGGACTGGCGCTGGATGAATGCGATGGTGTTGAGCCAGGGAAAGGTACTTTCTTGCCCTGGTATGAAGATGCTGGACTAAAGATGGTAGGTTGAGGATAGTCGCTATGGGGGAGTGTGATTTCAGCTGGGAGGCGTATACCGAGATAGGCAGCGACTCGAACGAGAAGTTGGGCTACGGCAGCCAGAGAGGCGGATAGGCCGTCGGGTGCTACGTCTGTCGGATGGTTAGCATACCGTCTCCATATTTGTGACCAAAAACATACCGTTCAGATCTCGAAGGTCATGGATCCGCAAGCGCGTGCCAGGCCCTATATTAAAGACCTCTTTGATGCCACCGTCTCTAGTCTTTCGCCGCTGCATCTTGAGTCCGGCGAGCTTCGCAGCAGTTGTGCATAGCTGCATACGCAGGTCGATTGTATCGTGATGCATCTTGTCTGCGTTGTAGTCGGACCTCTTGACCCTCTGTTGAACCTTGTCCAGTTCATTCGCCCGTCGCGACTCGATGCCGTATGTGGCAGATGAGAGGTCTGACTTTCTTTGCGCGTTCACCGCGCGCTTCGCCTCGAGTTGCTTCCTTGTAGCCTCCATTTGTTGCCGAAGCCGATCAGCATGCTCTGATATCATGCCTAATCGCTCTTGAATCTCCGCCGTCTCTGCTTTCGTCCGTTGCCAGTTCAGATTGTTCGTACACTCTTGCCGGTCGACCAAGAGCCCCCCTTTCGAGTCTGCGAGGGATACATGCTGGATCGCCTTGTCTTCCGAGCCATTAATGATGGCCTTGACGTGTTTCTCGACGGCATCGCGGTCTATCAGCGTCTTCGCGAGTTGGATGCGGGGCTGTTCGAGGTATGAGCGGGCGCAGGTCATGCAGTGGAGCGGCTGGCCAAGGCTGCCGTCTCTCCCACAAATGTCGCACTCCATGGTTGAGGGGAGGTTATGCTATGTGATTTCGCCTCCAGAAAAGCCGTAAGGTGGTAGGTCTGGAAGGTACAGCGAGACCATGGTTGGAGTGATTCGTCGCGGGGGGGTTGGCGAGTGCCTATGTATCCATGGGGATCAGCCAGTAGGGTGCCCGGTGAATATCTAGGCTGCGTGAATGTTATCGCTCGTGTTAGTAGTAAAGCATAGGTCAAGCACCCAGACGAAGGTGGATGAAAAGGCTGTGTGACTGAGGCGGTACTTGGGCAGAGGCGCGAGTCGCGAGTCAGACGCTCCTTCCAACGTCATGCCGCGACTGACCAAAACGGATCGCGCTAATGCACGTGGTCTACTTGCGTAAACACACCTTCGTCTACTACTGGAGACCTTCAGTCTGATAAAGCTGACTTGACGTGTTGAACATCTTCTTGATGATAATAAGACGCGGTCTTGATCATTCCACTTACCTCCAGCACTGACCGCCGCAAAAGGCATCGCGAATGAGTAGAACTTCCGACAACGAATCCGAATCATCACTCCCGTCTCACACTTTGCCAACATTTCCTTCTTCGCCTCCAATACTGACTCGCTTATCATACATCACCGAAATGGATACAGGTCCGGCTTTCAAGTCAGAGCCGTCCCTCACTCAGGATGCTCAGGCCGTGCGGCCGCCGATGAGACGTGTGAGCTCAGATGAGACAGAGCGCCCACCTTCAGCTCAGCGCACGCAAGATGAGGTCGACGACCAGACTGATGCAGCCACTGGAGAGCAACCGGAATATGACGATACTGATCCAGCAGACAGAGTTAAGGACTTTGACTGGGAGGATCTGGAACTACGGTACCATCAGGCCATGGAGGGTTGCCACAACGAAGAATCAGAACTGATGCAGGAATGGGAGAGTCTTATGGCTGTACTACTATCGCTATCCCTTTCCCAATAGCGTTACTGATCACCTTCCCAGTACTTCCGTATCTGGGCAAATTCAGGAAATGAGCATGAGACGGGTCGGACCTACTCAAGGTAAATATGCCTTCTGGAAAGTCGTGTGACCTATTGACCATTCGCCTCAGGCTTCGTACACGCATGACGTATGTCCAGAATTCTGAAGAGGAACTAGAGCAAAAGCGAAATCACTGTACGATCTGCCTTGTCTTGTTTCATCACCTCCACGTAACTAAAATGCTGTAGATGTCAGCGTGGTCAAGGCCTTCGAAAGTGCGCTCAACCTCCTCAAAGCCAACGGTATTGGTCGTTGATGCTCATCAACCTAGGCGTCATCTACCTTGCTCACCATCCACCGCAATCAGCAATCTTATGTCGACTCTCACGTACTGATACCCCAACGTTATTGCCTCAACGATTGATGCGTTCGTCCAGCCCCCAAATATGTACTCCACCAACGATGCATTCAATGCGTTGCTCTATCATATAACGATCTTCTCTAGTACCAGAACGAGCATATGGAAGGATAATCAGTCGCAAAACACGATACCTGTTTGATATATCACTTGAAAGACATTCATTGCCAGGTGTCTGCTCTATTTAAAACCCTAAATCAACCGCTCAAGATTCTATTCGAAATTCACCGCCCATTGCCGAGGTCTATATATGGTCCCCATGCCTTCCATAGATGCGCTAAACAATGAGATGCCCATGTCCTTTTCATGCGAGGTATACTATAAATGGTCTAAACCTGGTCTAGGTTTGTGATAGTGATGATGTGGTGCGTGTTTCGTCTATAGGAGAGGGTTGGAGCGGTATTCGGGAACGACGCCGTTTGTTTGCGACTTCTCGGCCTGGTTCTCCGTCTCGAGCTCGTTGCCGACGCTGTCATCTTGCTCGGCAAGCCACTTCTCCGCCTCGAGAGCGGCAATGCAGCCAGATCCTGCACTGGTGATGGCCTGGCGATACCGCTTGTCCTGGACGTCACCAGCTGCGAAAACGCCTTCAACACTTGTAAGACCCTCTCCGGGCTTGGTGATCAGGTAGCCGTCCTCGTCCATGTCGAGCTGTCCCTTGAACAGCTCTGTGGCGGGGTCGTGTCCGACAGCGTAGAACAGACCCTTTGCTTCGAGAGTCTGCTCCTCCTTTGTAGTGTTGTTCTTGACCACCAGATGCGTCATCAAGCCGTTCTTCTTATCCTCGCCCTTGATCTCGCTCGCGCTCGTGTTGTACATGATCTCGATCTTGGGGTGCGTTGTCAATCGGCGGGCGTTCGTTCGGCTGGCGCGTAGCTGGTCTCTTCGTACGAGTACGGTAACCTTCTTCGCCTTCTTGGTGAGGTACAGAGCCTCCTCTACTGCCGAGTCACCACCTCCAATGACGACCAATGGCTGGTCACGGAACATCGGCAGGGAGCCGTCGCATACAGCGCATGCGGATACACCGTTACCCCAGTACTTGTCTTCGCCCTTGAGATCTAATCTCCTGGCCTTTGCGCCGGTTGCGATGATCAAAGCATCAGCGGTGTGTTCCTCCTCCTCGATCTCCTCCTCATCGCCCATGGGATGTAACCAGTACTTGAATGGGCGCGCTTTTAGGTCGACCTTCGCGACGGTCTGGGAGATGATTTCGGTGCCACAGGCTTCGGATTGTTCGCGCATTTGTTCCTGTATAACGTTAGTACTAATTGGCGCGTGGCGGTCGCGTAGCGTTACTAACCATGAGCTTTCCGCCTCCGATCTTGGTGAAGCCTGGGAAGTTCTCAACTTCGTCTGTCGTGGTCAATTGACCACCTGCGGCGATACCGAGAGCCATGAAACCCTCGTACATGACGGCTATGTATTGTCAGCATGTGGCTAAGAGTGCTCCATGGACCATGTCTTACGGTTCAGATCCGCTCGCGCGGCATAGATAGCTGCGGTATGGCCTGCTGGCCCCGAGCTGTGTATGTTAGCATCTTTCTCAGAAGAGACTACAGGCGCCGTCGATCGCAGAACTTACCCAATAACTGCAAACTGTTAGCACTGATTCAATCACAGATTACTGGGACGCAACTTACTGACTAGTTTTGAATGCATGTTTCGCGACTGTAGTTTTGAAAAGCTCGAAGCAGTCGAAAGCCCCGCTACTGGTGATACGCGCTGATTATGCGATGCCGCAGCAGCGATGGGTACGGAGAATAAGGATAAGTTGCGGGGAGAAGAGGCCCTTCGAAAGATTGATGCGAACACTTTGGCGGCGTGTGCGAAAGTTCGCGTCTTGCGTGCAAGATGTGGTTGCGGGCGTGTGGGTCGTGTGCGGGATAGTGGGATGCGATGTGGAGGTATAAAGACTGAGCTTCGGCGGTGCAGAAGGTGCCTTATGGAAGAGGGACCAAGTGGCAGAGAAGGAGTGGGAAAAACGGTTTTGATGTTGCCGCAGCGGGTTCGCAATAAGTGGGCGTCGTCTTTCTAGCTTCGGAGGTTCCGCGATATTTGGTGGATTACGGCGAGCCGAGGCGTGGTGGGGGTTTTCAAGATGCAGATCGTGCTCAACTCTGAGTTGCAGTCAATATATATGCAATCCAAGATGGAAACGAGGCCAGCGCAATGGGAAAAGGAGAGCAAGACAGCAAAACACACCTTATTTGCAAATGCAGCACATGTCAGACGGAGGGAGATTTCTGCTTGCAAAGAAAAAAAGTCGGCTGCTTGCTTTAGATCTACGCCATCGGCGGCCGGGGTGTCATTCTTAGAAATCGACCTGTACTAGACCCACGTTCCACGCAGTCCACGCATCTTGCACATCTCGCTCGCAAATGTCCGATGCTGACACGCTTATGCGCGACACGATGCAGCTCCCGAATCAGATGCCTCGGCAAAGCTGTTCAGGAGTACCGTCCGAATTGTTGCAAGTTCGTCCGGTGATGGGGCGTGGTCTGGAGAGGCAAGTGTTTGAATGATTACAGTTCATGCACGTTCTGGAGCCGCACACGTCACGCTTCACTTTCTATCTTCGTATATCGGCCCCGCGCTTGGGAGTGAGCACTTCAAGTCCGTTGTGGTCTTGCAACGCTGCTATCTAATCTTCCGCGCCTGGACGCTTCCTAAGATTCTCCACATTGTAGAGCATGTCTCGCACTGCTTTGTCATCTGCGAGCAGGTTGTCACCACCCTGTTCGAAGCTCTTCAACGTGTTTGACAGCTCTACATCTTCGTGCCATCCACCGTCTTGCTGTCTAGCGAGGCATTGCAGTCTTGGCGCCTGGTCTACATGTTAGTTGTCGTCCATGAAGTGCTGCTGAGCGGGCTGCGTACCTTGTCCTCCCGAACTTCGGTCGTTGAGCCTGGCTTCTGGACGTTGTCGATCGAAACGGCCAATTTCAACGAACCTGTAGAGGTGTGAATGATGGCAACGTCAAGCGCGTTGCCGTTCAATGGAATGGGGTATCCCGTAGTGGATCCACCTAGTGTGAAGTTGAACAGCGCGGGTACACCCTCGCACGCCACAAGGACGGTCTCGGCCTGCCAAAAGTCAGATGGAAGCTGGAAGCACTCGGGCTCTTAGCGACACTCACCCCGTCTCTACTTGGTAGGTTCCATATGCCCGAGACCGCGATCTTGTAAGCCGCGGACTCTATTCCTGTTGGAACCAAGTTACGTCCCTGAAGATGAACAAAGGCAAGATCTCGAATAGCCAACTTCTCCTTCAAGAGGTAGTTTTGCCAGTCCCATACAAACAAGTGATCATCGCCTCCACCAGATATAAGTAGACTGGACTGTGTGAAGCAAAGTCTACTCACAAATGCCTCGTGGCCGAAGCAGAAGCCCTCGATAATGTGTGCTTGCGGCGGGCCCCTCGAGATCCTGATATGCTCGTCCCGATCTCCTGTGATGATGTAGCTCTGGCCATCTACTTTTGTATAGGCGACATTTGTAAGCATAGAAACGTGGCCGAGGAGCAGCTCATGCTTGAATCGCATAGGCTCTTTGGACCTCGCTGGCCCCTTTGCTTTCTGCTTGAGCTGCTCTTCAAGAGTCTTCCTATTTCTACCAGAGTGAACAGTCAGGGTAGTAGCGGAAGGCACCCATTCTTTCTGATCCGGCTGTTCAGTCGCCGGTGCTTCGAATTGCTCTTCTACTTTATCGTCGTCAAGCGACGGAAGAAGTGGCAGTGCGTATACATCGCCAAACTTGTCGGCACATAAGATAGCCGCGTTATCGGAAGTGAGAGTGATCGAGGAAGGTCGTCTTGACATGCACCTTGTTCATGTCAAATTTTGGACTGGTCTAACCTGTCGTACTTCTTACCTTTCGCTCAATTGCTGTAGCCGATTCTGGGAATCAATCTGGAAGACGCGGATACACTTGTCTTCGCCAGTGATGCCCACCAAGTATTTTCCATCACTCGAAAGGATGAGACTGGAGAAATTCGACTTTTGCTCTATAGGTTGTTCCAATTTGATACGTTTTCCTGGCCGCTCTTCGGAATCGCCCTCCTGCTGATCCTGCTCGTGTTAGCGATATGCAACCATTTCCACTACCACACCAAATGCCACAACATGAACACATTGTGTTTATCATGCCATCACTCACTTCAATCTGAGCGTCTTGCTGTGGCCATGTCGTCGTTGTTCCACGACTGGACTGAACTATGATCTTGGAGCCGCTCGCACCAAAGACCGTCCAGTCTTCTGTGGATACTGAGCTGCGCGCCACAATACACTGGTATGGAACAGACATGATGTTTGCGTCGGACACTGCCTTGTGGAGTTGATACTACTTTTCTGTGAGGCTCAGAATGCGCTAGCGCGTTAGGCGAGCAGGGGCCACCCACAGCAGACGACCTCGATTTTCGCCGGCCAAACTTTCTCTTCCTCAAACCATCAACAACACCAAAACTAAGACCTTAAACATCCCTTTGCGTCACCGAACACAATGGGGGGCAAGAAAGAATCCAAGGCCGCTTACTTCGAGAAGCTCGAGGCTCTCCTTAAGGAGTACAAGAGCATCTTCATCGTCACCGTCGACAATGTCTCGTCGCAGCAGATGCACGAGATCCGTCAGTCGCTCCGCGGCGAGGGTGTCGTTCTCATGGGAAAGAACACCATGGTCCGCCGTGCTCTGAAGGGTCTCATCAACGACTACCCTGAGTACGAGCGTCTCCTTCCCCACGTCAAGGGTACGTCTTCCGATCCACGCGACTGCCGCGCACGGCATTGACAATAGTATAGGCAACGTCGGTTTCGTTTTCACCAACGCCGACCTCAAGGAGACCCGTGAGAAGATTCTTTCCAACCGTGTCGCTGCTCCCGCTCGTGCCGGTGCCGTCGCCCCCGGCGATGTCTACATTCCCGCCGGAAACACGTAAGAACATGTCTTGCGCATACATATGGAACAAACAATTGACACATGGCAGTGGTATGGAACCCGGAAAGACCTCTTTCTTCCAGGCTCTCGGTGTCCCCACCAAGATTGCCCGTGGTACCATCGAAATCACCACCGACTTGAAGCTCATCGAGGCTGGTAACAAGGTCGGTGCCTCCGAGGCTACCCTGCTCAACTTGTTGAACATCTCTCCCTTCACCTACGGTATGGGTATCTACCAGATCTACGACAACGGCCAGACCTTCGATGCTTCCGTCTTGGACATTGAGGAGTCCCAGCTGCTCAAGGCTTTCTCTTCTGCCATCGCCACCATTGCCAGCATCTCTCTGGCTACCGGTTTCCCCACCCTGCCTTCTGTCATGCACTCCGTTGTCAACTCCTACAAGAAGGTTCTCTCTGTTGCCATTGAGACCGACTACGAGTGGGAGGAGATCTCCGAGCTCAAGGACCGCATCGCCAACCCCGACAAGTACGCTTCCGCTGGCCCTGCCGCTGCTGCTCCCTCTGGTGGTGACGCCCCTGCTGCTAAGGAGGAGGCCAAGGAAGAGGAGAAGGAGGAGTCTGAGGATGACGACATGGGCTTCGGTCTCTTTGACTAAGCTCCTCACGTTTGCGATGACATTTCTTGAGAGGTATCGACATGACTACGGCCTGTCGAAGCACGTCTTCATGATATAGACAGTCAACGACAATACGATCAGATGAACTCGAACAAATGTTATGCCCGTGATGCTCACAAAGCATCCGTGTCAAGACATATCTCAGGTAAGCCCATACCCTTTACGTTATCGCACTGCTATGATTATTTTCTTTTTAACCCTGAGATTCCTCGGTGAGGATCAAAAATACAACAACAACACTCTAATTTTTTAATGAGCACCCTTCTTCCAAGTCACTCGTTCATTACTTATGGCAAGGCTCGAAACTGACTTTGAAACAGATCTACTCCTAGCTTGCGTACCTCGATGTTCTACAAACTGGTGATGCATATGTATTGAACTGCGGCTGATCAAGCCTTCGCCAGACCTCCCGCCTTTTCTAGATCTATGCGCACCCAGAAACATTTCCACAGCGCCTTGCCTCCCAAGCTTCTACACACGCTTTCGCTCTGTGCATTGCCCATGTACACGTCCGCATGCGACCATGCATTCCCGTCGTCGTCTATCGCTAATCCTGGTGCATGCTGTCGAAACAGCTTCGCTGCAACGGCCTTGGCTATGCCCTTGCCTCGATGCACTTCTTCCGTATGTAAGGTAACAAGGGATCCATCTAATCCAAGAAATGTCCACGCTACCGCAGTATCTGATTCTTCTTCAAATACACCCACGCTCTTTAGTGACATGAGTGTCTTCGTCGTACGTGGAATAGATGTTCGGGCCTTGACAAGATCAATATCTTGCTCGCGCACCTCGCCCCATCGCAGTCCCTTTGGCAGCTCCCGCGTCTCCGGTAGATCAGAAAGCTTGAACAAGAACTTGTTTAGCTCAGCATCGGGGCCCGGAAGCTCATCTCGTAGGACTCCTGCTTCGCGGAGGATTTGGACTACGTTGCTATGGCACGCTCCCAACGTAACAACCTTTGGCATGAGTAGATGTCGCATATATGTTCCTGGTGAGAGTTCGTATGCGCCGGAAGCTGGTGGAGTTGGGTGTTCTTTTTCGTGCTGCTTTGCCAGCTCCAGAGCAGGCAGGTTATCGGAGCGTATCGGTGGAGTGGGGAGTGTAGCCATGTAGTCTATTAATGCCAACACCGCCTTCTTACTATCTTGATGAAACTCTGGTGTTGAATTCGAGTGACGAGGCTGTTCTGCGCTACTGAAGATCCATAGCTCGGTTTCTGGGCGCATTGAACGATCAAGGTATGCTGCTGCCCAGCACTCTGGGATTTGAGTGGCTGACGGAGAGAAGGTGGCAATTATGTGGGCGTGTTCGGTCCGGTTGGGGTGTTGAACCCTGTAGACGAGGTTGATACTGTAAGGTAGAGCGGATTTAAGAGCGCGTTGCAGGATGGGCGAAGAGGCGGCGTGGGCGTGGACCTCCATCTTTGTCCTTGGTACCGAGAGACTAGGCATATAAGCAATAGCGAGGATCAAACAGCTGGTGTTTCCCAGATTCAAGGTTAAGTAGCTATGGAAACTTTTGAGTCACGACGTAATGGTTATGGTTATGTACCTTCCGTGTTGGGATTGATTGATGACTAAGACCATGTTGTCTTCTGAATGAAGCTTTCTCGGCTTGACCAAGCTACAACATCCCGCTTCTCGAGCCTCAGATGTCCAACTACGACGGCTCTCACAAGCAAACTTGAGGTTTAATATCACAGATATTGTTGTGAAGCAGAAGTCTCGGTTCTTTGGTGGATCGACAAATCACTGAAACTTTGAAAAATCTACTTCGCTGATTCGACGCCTAACTCAAGTTGGGGGAGAAGAGGAGGAAATAGGCTTCGTCGAAGATCTGACGGCATACGAGGATTAGAGCAAATTTATTTGTTTTATTACCTTTGTTGCCTTGATGATGTGTTCATTTGTTCCCAATTCGGCCGGCGGAGTCGTTGATTGGATCTACTTATCGCAAATGAGCTGTGCAATCTTTAGTTTTCATTCCATTTGTACAGTCTGGGGGACAGATCAACTGATACCCGAACGCGAAGTTGTATATGCAGTTACTGGTCCCGACGGATAAGCGGAGAAGGGGAGATGTGAGTTGGTTCTGCGTGGCGCTAATGCATATACGTAGGTGTTGTAGGTGCAGCTCAAGACTGTTCCCTCTTCCAAATCGAGAGTTTTCCCCAACCATTGCTTACAGTTCAAGTGTTGGGCCTCATGGTGTTTCGTCTAACAAGTCATTCTCAAGCAGGCGCGGTAGGTTCGTCAACTTTCGTATTCATGTTGTCGAGAAATGTATGAAGACATGACTAAGAGGGATTCATGGTCAAGGATAATAATTATCTGGATATATGGTCTTCTTGAGCAAATCGATTAGGGCACCTGTGAGCAACGAGATTACTAAGAGAGAATAACTGAAGCTTTATACTGGCGAGGTGGCGATATAAGAGTCTTGGTCGTGTAGGCACAATACGGACAATGCTCTCGTGGTACGGCCAATACTTGCTGCCTAAGATTTTTAAATCAATACCAGTCACTTTCACACCTCTCATATTGCCGCAGGCTCCTAGTGCTTTCAGTGTTGTAGTGTCGAAGCTGAGTTTATTAAGATCCAGATTCGACTTAGATAAGTACTCAGGAAGAAGCAGCAGCAGCAGCAGCAGCAGCGTAGTTTCAGTCTTGCTACCAGTGATCCCTTCCAATATCGCCTGTGCCCTTCCTTCGATCCATCTGCGCACCTGCACCTACCTACGCACAGGAACTACGATCCCAAATTATCCTCATCTTACTGTATACTTAATCTGCTCTGCAACACTATCCTGCGACACGGTGCGCTCATAGTCTCTTGTAGACCCCCTTGCGCCCCAACAGACACTGCACATATTCGGTTTGTGCCCATTCACCAAGCCAACTTCGTTCATTGTACCGCCGTTATCGTTCCACATGGATACGGCGCGCAAGTCACGCCAGGCATCGAGGTTGCTGGTTCCGGACAAGGTATAGTAGATGCCACAGTCTTTGGCGAGGGCCAGGATGGGTGGGAAGAGGAGGAGGGTGGCAGTAGATAGAAGACGCCTAGGGAATGGTTTAGTGTGCGAGGTTGTAAGAGGTTCTTCGGGGTCATGGGCTTACAGTATGGCGGGTAGGGAATAGCAAGTCGATAGGAGTTTAGCAGGGTAGCAGGTAGAGAACTAGCGTATTTAGTTAGTTAGATAAAGATGGAACTTTATAGAGTTTGCTGGTTCGCATGTCTCTTTATACAAGAACTCTTGCTCAGCTTCTTGTGGGTAGTGATCGGAGCCACCTGGACACTATGGTGATGCTTAATCAGGTAAAGACTTTCGCCCAGCCTTTTCCAGTCATTATTTAGGGCCTTTTACGGTCATGTCTTAGCTCAATCAGGTGATACTTCTCTATGTAGAGTATTAGTGTCAGGCCTGGCTGACGATATATACTATCCTGCACCCTGATCAGTAGTTCACTGATCATACGTACCTTTTTGGTTGCATGGCGTAGTGGTGCAGGGCTGCGTTCCTGACAATTAGAGCTGTACCGTAGTATCCACTATGATTATCACGCTGTGGGATGCTTACAAAAAACCTCAATTTAGTATCCCGCAAGATTACGCTCAAATTGACCCCTTATCTACAGACCCATAGCGGCCCAAGTACATCAGAGACTACGGCACTATTGCATATCTCGCATGAGTTCATCTCAAGTAGAGCGGATAACCAGAGTCTAGTTATCGAGTTCACAATTTGTGGCGAACAAGGAATGTTGTGGTTCCATCAGTGACAAGTATAGACTTGACAAGTATCCACTTCAAAACAAGGTCGTAGACGTAAGCAATTGCCTAGAAATTGAAAAAAAAGGTGTTCGTGCTCAATGTTCCGTGCTCTAGATAAACGTTTTAGGTGATCTCAAAAGGAGACAAAGATAGAGCTCAGATATAACTTGTCGAGACAAAGGGTGCCACCAGCGGGGAGCATATCCACGTTTCGGACAAGGCTTTCTGGAGACAACACTATGGTCTGGCTGTGCGTCAAATTTAAAGATAAGCAACCTGAGGTGTTCTTTTGGGAGGACGAAGAGATGAGTTTATATAGTCCAGCGCTGTTGGTTCAAAGTTGTGCTTTTCGGCTAAGAAAGAGGATGTGCAAAACGATGATGGTGAAAACGAGTATTCATGACAATATTGGTTATGGGGTATCACACAGTCTACATACCCACTCGTATGTTTGTGTAGCCCATAGCTTACAGCTCATCCCTCTTTCTCCTTTGTCCACTTCCTTCTTGCTCTGCTTGTGTCTCCTGAGCTTGCGTCTGATCACGTTTCGCGCTCTCCACATCTTCCTCCCACATCTTCTTTTTGGGATTTCTCGGCTTGTCGCTCTCCTTCAATACGGTCCCGTCACCGAGAGTGACCGGGCCCTCGTCTTCATCCTTCCTCTGTTGCCTGAACTGTGGATGATCAGGCACCTCTTCCTGTTGCTGGTGCTGATTTTGTTCCGCCATCTTTCCTACTTGCTGCGAGTATGAACCTTGTGGACTAGGATCCTGGCCTTGTCTGTGTACTCCGCCTCCTCGGCCGACGGGGATGTAGTGTGGTTGGGCGTTGGGATCGCGTCGGGGTATGCCACCTGTTGCGCTAGGCTGAACAATGAGAGTTCTGGAGGACGATGATACTGCGACACTCGAGGATGCGGCTGAGGATGCGGCGCCGAAGGGTAGGACGGCGAAAAGGATGCGAAAGGTAAGCTTGACCGGCCAGATGATGAACCAGGTGAGTGGTCCGTATAACCAACGACGGAAGACGAGCCAGATGATTGTCGTTATGAGGATGTAGAAAGTAGTCTCAAGATACCACGTGTCACTTTTTGTGCTCTTCAGTAGAGTCGAAACCAAGTTCTTGCTGTTGGCTAGTAGTGTGTTCAGATCCGAGTACTGTTCCCCAAGGTCTTGTAGTGCGGCGTTGGTCTGTTCAAGTGTTTCTTGTGCGAATCGAGAGCGCGATAACTCGTCTTTCATCAACTGCGCTGTTCGGCGCAGAGCAGATGTGACGTCTGAAGAGGCCTGAGCGACGACTTCGCCTTCCGATAGCCCTTGTTGTTGCTTTCTTTGGCGGTACGTGGAGGATGGGGTTGAGGAGCCCGATTGTAGGTTAGAGAAGAGGAGTTCGCGTTCTTTGAGCTTTGCGCGGTCGGCGTTGTGCTTGGCCGTGAGTTGTGCCTTGCGGTATTGTGATCGCGATCTGCAAAAAGTTAGGGCCAGCATGCCATACCAGGGGATTTGGTAAGGGGAAGACTTTGTCACCTACGATCTCAAGTCTTCTGTCAATCTCGCAAGCAGTACAGCAAGTCTGCTCCTCTCGCTGTCTTTGCTACTATCCCTTCTTCGTCCAGTAATGCCCCCTTGTGACGTAACGTCTTCGACTTCTTGCCTCAGAAGTTCAAGGTCCTCTTCAATCCCCTTCAGTGTCTCATGTATCTCAGCACTAAGTTCCAACCTAACATCACCTTCCTCGGAATTATCGAGTGGCTGCGAGCCTGGCTGGAAATCTAACTTGGCTAAACGTTGGATAAGTTGGCCGACACCTCTGTTCGCTTCGGAGAGGGCGCTTAGGCGGGTGGTGAGAGATTGCGTGGTGGAGGGAAGAGGTGCCATTGTGGCTCGGAATGCGGAGAGGGTTTGGTCGATGTATGCAACTGCCCTATGACGGAGATGGCTACGGTGGGCCGTTTGGCGGGGTGAAAGAGCGTAATGTGTTTGGACGGCTAGCTGTAGCGTGGCCCGCACAGAATCTTGAGCACGGACGTATCGCGAAGAGGTTGCGACGAGCCTAGAAGACGTCGATTGCGGTGTAATCTTGATCCAACAGCTACTGGTACCTTGTCGCATCTATCTATTTTCTACCTCTTCTGACAAGCCATAGTCTGCATCCCCGACCCATCACTCCGCTCCCGCCGCAATGATCACCAGATTCCTGACCGACGTCCGCGTCACATTCAATCCCTTCTCCCCGCGCTCAAAGCCCGCTCGTCTGTTCCTATCATTAATACCACCGAATGCACGTGCAGATGGCATGAAGATTGAGTCCAAGATGCTGCCGCGAGACAGTAAAGAGCCTGCAAGCTTGGGTGTCAAGTTCAGTACGTACACATGTTCTGTAGACCTAGGTTGTGCATCTGGAGCAAAGAGCTAACATGTCTGCGCAGAGGACGGCAAGGAGATGAACCTCGACCTCAGCAACATGCGCATAACACAAGTCGTCGAGGAAGTCGACAGACATTCACGCTCATTGGCACGGAAAGACGAATTGGCGGGCAATTGAGGGTCCAGCATGAAGGCATGAATGTACATATGTATCAAGATACAAAGCATCGGTCGGCGTCACGGCAATGTACTGGGTTGGGCTGAAATGACGTGTTGATCCTTTTTCTCATGAGTCTATATACCGTCCTCGGTCGGAGTTAATCATGCACGTTTATCTACCATTGACCATCATTTCCCCACTCCAATGATATCCAGACTTCTGTCGTCATCATGGCTCCCGCTAGAACTAGTTGGACGGGGCACCGGAGATGTAGAACCACTTGTCGATGCTGGGGTCGATGGGAGCGGGCGCCTTGTTCTCGCCCTGGGGAATGTTGAGCGAGCTAGCGTCGGTGCGGTCAGGAGAGTGTGAGACGGTGGTGTTGGTGCTATAGATTCGTCAGTACAGGTTGTCCAGCAGTTGCTAAGTCGTCACATACAGGCTGATCTCGTCCTTGGGGGTCTTGCCAGTGGCAAGCTTCTCCCAGGCCTCAGCACACTCGCGGACAATGTCCATGGCGTACTTCTTGTTCTTGCACTCGCCGGAGAAGGCGAACTGGTTCTCAGGCTTGCCGTCTGGGATCTTGTAGATACGGAACCACTCGTTTGTGGCACGGAGGAGACCGGGCAGGTGGCGCTCGACGTCCTCGACGTCGTTGAGCTTGGGCGCCAATGGGTCGTTCACGTTGATAACCATGATCTTCCAGTCGGTCTCGCCCTCGTCGAGCAGAGCCATGACACCGAGAACCTTGACCTGGATGACCTCACCAGGCTTAGCGACGAGCTCACCAATCTCGCAGACGTCCAACGGGTCGTTGTCACCCTTGGCCTTGGTCTCCTGGTGAACAACATTGGGGTCCTCCCAAGTCTGTACAACATCAGCACCTGTGTAGTATCCGATATCGGCATCGCGTCATCGTACCTGAGGGAAGGCACCGTAGTTCCAGAGGTAGCCCTTGTGGGGGAAGCAGTTCCTCACGAAGCGTAGCTTGCCCTTCTTGGTGTCCTGCTTGATGGGGTTGAGCTGTTCCTCCTTGGAGATCTATTGCGATGATTAGCCTCGTTCTTCGCGCGAAACCTTGCATAGGCCACAGAGCAGCCAATTGGCATCAACGCACCTCCATCTTCGCGTTGGTCCAGCGGGGCACCTCAACAACCATGTTGAGGATCGTCTGCTGCTCGTTGGCGTAGAGCGGGATGTCGTGCCATGGCGAGACGAGCTGGCCGTCCTTCTCGATGAAGACGCGGTGCTCGAGGGTGTTGGCAGAGCCAACCTTGCGTGTGGTGTAAGACATGGTGGATGTGCTCTTCGTAGCAGCTGTGCGAATGGCTGTGGAAGAAGAAGCTGTGGAGTTTAGATGGCCTGCAAGTAGACGAGCCCTAGAGTTGATTTTGTCGTTGAGGGGTCTACTAGTGGGGCTGGCAGGCGGGGAGCTCTGTTGGGAAGGCGCCACTGTGACGAACGTCACCGCCGACTGTCTGCATGAGACAGTCGTCGCAATAAGGAAGGGGAGCTTCGACCGGGGGATCAATCTCTGGGCGGGACGGAGCCGCAATAACGATTGACAGATGGGCATACAGATGACACTCGTATAGTAAACTACTAGATGGAAGCGCAGCCGATTCTCCTCTCACGCGAAGCCCAGACCGAGGATCAAAATGCGACCTTGAGGTACGGGAGCGGAACCCGGAAGCTCCAACTTTTTGTGCACGGACACCGAGGCAGCTTAAGTCGGCTTCCATCGTTCAACACTTGTTTCCCGATTCTCGACATCACAGAGTGTTCTCATACATCCTCCAAGCATCCGCTTCACTTGTTAGGGGTGGCTTGTGAGCAGCTCGCGATTCGAGAGGGTGTTCTGACCTCAAAAACAATCATGAGCTAACGCGCCACGCAGCAGCTGTCACAACATCAGTACAGCTTATTGGGCCGCCAAAATCCAGGAGCCACCGTGTCGTTTTCTTGCCTCAGATCTTGGACAGGCTCGTCTACAGTCCCAGTAAAAGCTTCATCCTCGTCGTTCATGTCCACATCGTCCTGAAACCCATACGGCATGGGCTCTTCCGACAGCCCTTTCCAATCCTGGTCATCGTATTCTATTCGATCGTTCTGGCCCAGATAATCTTGATCGATGTAGCGACTTTGCAGAGGATCTTCATCAATTCCCAGTTGCAGAGGTAGTTGCTGGCGTCGTGCTTGTTGGTCATAGATGCTCGGGCCAGCAAAATCCGGTACTATCGGACCATGATAAAGCTGATCCGCGAACTGCACAGTAGGAGCCTGCTGAGCCGCACTATAGAAGCCCGTCCTGTTTTGTCGTAGCCTCGATTGCGGGTATACTGGTTGTGTTTGCTCGGTATGCCTCCTATGCGGTCCAGCAGCATGGCGTCTCTGGTAGAATGTATCGTTGCACTTTTGCAAAACCAACCCCAGATCCGAAGACGTCGTTATCTGGACCTTTCCAACAGGACTATATTCACTAGGCTGGCCGTGGTGTCGATACTCAGCAAGAGCGGGTGCTCCTGAAGCTGGTGTTGCGCCCAACTTGGCGCCCTTTGGGCTGCTACGTGGTCGAGCATGGCAGGCGTCCGTGAGATGTGCAGATGCAAAAGGTGGCATCGATGACGGCGAGCAAGCAGTGTTGGCCTCATGTAGCTTCGCAGATCGGTCGACGAGATTCGGCCGCTGTGGAGACGAGCTGTGTTGAGGGGACGATTGCGACCTTGAAACTCTATCATGTAATGGATCCAACGATGACAACCTGAAGCGATCAGCAGGCATGCTGTCAGTTCTTTGTTTCGTAGCTGATCGGGGAGGAGCCGGTAGCTTGAAGACATTGTGCTCTCTCTTTTTCCTACTGTCAGAATTACCACAAGAATCTATATCGCGCGAACTGAAACGGACAGGAGGTTTGCGAGGTTGCTCCGGCATTGTGCTAAGCGGTCGAATTGACTCTGACCAAGATACGTAGCTATTACTGTCATGGCGGCGGCCTCTACTTCCGAAGCCCAGGTATGATGCTGGGTCCGCTACCTCAACGGTAGGTATAGGATTTTCATTCACAGACGGCTGATCACGACGATACCGCTTGGTTCTCGATGTGGCATATTCTGGGAGCGTATTACTGTCCTTCTCGACTGATACCGGGCGCACTGAGGTAAAGAAAGCAGAAATCTCCCCCTCCTTCGTATGAACATGTTTTCTTTTCCGTTTCTTTTGGGGTAGGTCAGATCGAGGCGTAGACTCTGGTTCGTCCTTGTGTTTCTGCAAGAACTTCATTTCAGAAAAGACTAGATCGGGCACTGCAACATGTCAGACGGATAACGCGGGATCGGCTCCCAAGGCACCCTATCAACGATGCCGCAGGAGGAAGAATGGAGTGCTCACGTCCGCGGCCCTTGATTGTGGTAGACGTCCGTCCCTTGTTGAATAGTCCTAGCTGCTCTCGTGGCTTCAACTGGTCCAATCGTCAGCACCATACAGTATGGTCCAGACAACCACATAGACATCTTACAGTCAACCGATCCCCAGACACGTTTCTGGACTGGAAGGTCTGCATGACACCAGGTGGCTTCTCGCCCTTCTTGCACCGGCCCTTGCGCCGCGTTTTCTTTGATTCGTTCTTGTGATCGCGACGTGCATGGGGGCCTGGCTCATACCGCTCCGGACGCGACTTTCTTCGAGGTTTGCGCGCATACCGGTTGCTGCTAGAGCTATCACTGCACGCCGCCGGGAGGGCCTCGCCAGCACTATCATCTACTGACTCATGCGGAGAAGATGCAGGCGGACGGGGATCGAGGATCGAGCTGTCTGATTTGCGTCGACGTTTTTGTTTAGCGGGCTCTGCAGTCTGTTGATATCTAACGGGCTCGCGTGGTGCTTCCGGTTGCACTGTCTCGGCTAACCACTTTCGAATGTCCATGGTATCCTGCATTCTAGACGAGCCGTTCCGTTAACGGAGTTTGATCGCTTCGCTGACCTGGCGAAGCTGTAAAGCTCGAAGATCGATGTGGTGCTACAATGTGGCGCAGGTGAGCGGGTAGTCGCGATGGTGGGTTAGCGGTTTGTGCGATGAGTGACGACTGAGAGGTGCTCATATAGTCTGGGACATATCAAACGTCTGATGGTCTTTTTGAAGCAATCAGGCGTAGTATCATTGAAGGTGCTAGTGGGTGCTGCGATCTGAGGCTTCCGTCATCGCCAATGCCACTGCACTGCTGGAGGAAGGCACGATGCATGACGCGAGCGAGTCGTCAATGTTTGATGCCTTAGTATGCTCAATCACGGCAGCGAAACGCTCAAACACCTCTCTTTATCTCCATATTGTATACGAGGTCCCGGCATCATTGGATGACTTGTCTTGCCATAGAACCGATCACCACGAAAACGTCGTCTTGGCATCGTGCTGCCACACGCGTTGTGCCGCTATCGCAAGGAGATGACTGCGAAGTCTTCTTTTTATTGACGTCCTTGGAGATGCACATAGTCATGATACAGGACAATTTGTTCAATTTGCGCTGCCTCGGTACATCTCGGTAAATGCTGCCAGGCCGCCGCCTTTCAATTACTGATGATGATGAACACGTTATCAGAGGGTCAATGAGACAGTTCGACATGTCCCGGCACAACGAGTTGCAGCCATATATCTGCAATCACTCTTCTGATAGAGTATTTGCAGCTTTCTACATGTTGACGTCGCACGCACGAGCCAAGCTGGAATGCAGAGGGCCTGGAAGTTTAGTTTAGGCCCGATCCCCACACCGTCAGACTAAGGATGGCGACTTGATAAGCTTCTTTGAACCACCACCTTCTGTCCAATGCCTGTCCGCCGTTGAGCTTTCGTCACAGCCCGATATTTTTGTTGTAGCCACGGGCGCAGATCGCTGCTGTCTCGAGCACGCAATCTGTTCCATCCGCAGGCTTGTCCATGCGCGTGTTTCGCAGTGGCCCAATGACGCTTCCGCACTCATGCCGGCACTCTGAAGAGGGACGATGGATCGGGGCACCTATCAGAAAAATCGTTTTCTCTGGCTCGTCGACGACCATGTAATTGGGTATACCTGGTCTTAGGCTAACGTGGGCTGCATATACCCAGCATGAACACACAGACACGGGACAGACTAAGAAGCCCGCTTGCCGACATGTATGGCAGAACCAGTATCTGCACCCTGTCCATCGTCAGGTGCGGGCTCCCAGACAGGGCATTGGGACAAGTTAGCTGTGAGAGGCCAATTCTGTTTGCTCTGCTGCAGGCCATGTCCGAACTACGAGACGGGCTGGTTCGACTGGCTGGAGAGGCACATTGCACCCCGTCGCTCGCGGCCATCCACGTCGCTCTATAAACCGGGCCCTCAGCTATCCAGTCCGTGCGCCAACCCTTTCCTTGCATCCAGCCTAGCGCTCTTTCACCTGGTGGAGGGGTACTCATATCGTCGCTTGCCCCGCCAACCTAGACGCTTCACTATCTCTGCTCCTCACCCTGTGCCATCACATTATTGCGACAGCTTGCAGCCGACTTCTTCCTCCTCTAACTCTTCAGAGCAATCGCTTGCGCCATCAACACCAATACAGCCTGGTGCTACAAGATCAAATGTTCGTTCCGTCACGTTGCTACATACTGCCTGCACGGGAAGCCGCGATGGATTCCTCGCCTTCCTGCACTTTTCCTTCACTCTACAACTCCTGTCACTACCTGTCTTGAGCTTCTTTGTATCGCGCGCTTTGTTTCGAGTTGCGAGAGCTAGTATTGAGACCGTTCAGTGTTCGACCCAGACATCACTCACCATGTCTAAGCTCTTCATTGGGTAAGTGCGCATTCTTCTCACGCCGCCGGCGCGACTGACTTTTCACAGAGGCCTCGCATGGCACACCGACGACCAAGCTCTTCGTCAGAAGTTCGAGGAGTTCGGTCAAGTCGAAGAAGCCGTAAGTGACACGTCACTGGACGAACCTTTTCGTCAAGGTCAAGCAAATGCTCACACCATCTCAGGTCGTGGTTAAGGACCGCGATACTGGTCGTAGCCGAGGCTTTGGCTTCGTTCGCTATGCGCAGGACACCGAGGCCGACGCCGCTATGCAGGCCATGAACAACGAGGAGTACGTACTCATTTTTCCACGTGTCTTCTAGTTACCAGAATGCGTGAACTAATGTGCTGATTCTCCTAGATTCGACGGACGTAGGATCCGCGTCGACAAGGCCTCCGACCGTGCTGGCGGCGGCGCTCCTCGTGGCGGCGGCTACGGAGGCGGCGGCGGCGGTGGATACCGTGGAGGTTACGGCGGTGGACAAGGAGGTAAGCTTCTCACTTCGTATCCATCATGGATCTATATTAACTATGTCCTCAGGCTATGGTGGCGGTGGCCGTGGTAAGCACATCTCGCCCATCTATTCACAGTGAAGACTAACTAGGAAAGAAGGATATGGCGGCGGTGGCCAGGGCGGCGGCTCTTGGGGACCTTCCCAAGGCGGCGGCGGCGGTGGATACCAATCTCGCGGTGGCTACGGTGGCGGCCAGGGCGGCGGCCAGGGCGGTTATGGTGGACAAGAGGGTGGTCAAGGTGGTGGCCAGCAATGGTAAACACCTCGACGAACCCTCGTCCTACAGTCTTGTGCTCCTAGAATGACCGAAAGTACAAACTTGCTAGTTGAAGGCAAGAGTGCGCCTGGGCTTGGAAGTGGCTTTTACACGGAGGGGATCGTTTGGATGTTAGCCGACAACGCTCCTCGTTCGAATGGACATCATCATCCTCGTGGACGTTTCATATTATGTTAATGGCAGTAGGGGTGGTTGGTACTGAGAGATGAGATACCCATTGAATCAGGAGGTGCTGCTACTCTGTACTCGTCGCGCGACCAGATTTCTGTTCCTTTGCACACTATCCTTACGGTCTCTTCGTAGTCTTGATGGCTTACCATCAATTCAAAAGCTGTGTCATTTGAACGAGTCATTTGAACTTATCCAGAAAAGTGACCACTAAAAAGCAAATAACAGTCCAGCCCAAGCAGGGAGCCTCATCCGCCATCGCCTCGCAACGGTGTAGCACAGTAGGATGTGCGCATCTCTTTGCGTCACCCATAAGATCACGTCACTGCTGTTATGATGAGGCTCTGCGGTCTTTTACGGGTACCTCCACAAGACGTATGCGACGACGCTATCTCCCCTCACCACCCACTACATGGGGCACTCTTGACGGCAGCTAATTCATTACTTAATAGTATGCACGAGAGCACAATCTCAGCACATCAGGAAAATGCTGCAGCCAAGACAGCGCATTGTGACCATCGCTGCATATTGCATACACAGCCGCCGACAATTTCTGCTGCAGCTGCAGCACCAATGCATAATAGAAAGGCAAGTTCCTGCAAGTGCTGGCTGGACTGTCTGCGGGAAGTCAGGCGCACTCCATGCTGCATTTTGTATAGCCCTCGCGCATACACTTCCGCGCCTTCGCATGCTTTTGCTGCTGCCTAATGTGATCTTCATTTAGGACCATCAGAGCGCCAGGATGCGACGTCGAATATCTTGGGGCAAGGAAGCATGCTGACGACCCCGCCTCACCACTCCTCCACTATCGCGGCCCGCCAATACCCACTACTCCATCACATCTGCTTTGCTTGTTCTACGGCCGGCTGAAACGACTTCAAGTCCATCATGAAAAGTTGGAACGGGTTGGAGGATGCGACGGCGCCGGTCAAGCCTCAACGGACCCCGATGCGATGGCGTGCACTGTCTGCGACTTTCGTCACACTCGTGTGCCTCGCAGCAGTGGATACCATCTTCCCTGAATTGAAGAACTGGGATGTGTCCTCTTTCTTGGACAAAGAGCCTGCGTTGCATCATGCTGCTTTTGAGTGGTCCGAGGTATGTTGAGAGAGAGTATTCCTTGAGCGTCGCACCGCACACGTGGGGTCTGCAGCCACTTTGGCCGGCATCTTATCAGATTGAATGATATCGCCCGCCCGAGTCGCACAGCAGATCAGGACTTTAATGCCAAGAGATGTCGAGGACGTATGCCGGAGCACCACAGGCGACTCCCGTCTCATAAGGCTCAATAGAAAATTCTGATCGTAATTGGTGGCCTGATCGTTTTACATGCTGGCATGCCAAACACCGTATCAACTTAAGCGAACTACAGCTTTCCACAAACCACCTTATCAAGGCCGCTTCAGCACACTATAATATCACTAGTGAAAGGAAGACTAATTAAGCTCCAGATCACTCCAAGTGAGCACCTAGAATTCCACAAATGCTTTGGCGAATTCGAATGCGCAAAATTAAGCCTGCCATTGGACTACTTCAACGGAACCCACCCTGATCATACCGTTGATATCGCCATCACCAAGCTACCAGCCAGAGTCTCTGTAGATGATGCCCGCTATGGTGGCCCGATCTTATTCAACCCTGGCGGTCCGGGTGGTCCGGGTGCAGCAGTTGCGATCATGATAGCACAGGCGCTACAACAGGTCGTGGACTCTAAGGTTGAGACTCTCACTCCATCCACCGATGCAAGATATTTCGACATCATCGGCTTTGACCCTCGGGGAATCGGTTGGACGGAACCGGCCGCTCGATGCATGCCAAATCGGCCTGCTTCGTGGTCTTGGAAGTTGAGAGAAGAGACTGAAGGCCTAATCGGAAGCTCAGATGCAGCTCTTGGTAGACTCTGGTCTATGCACCATGCCTTTGGCGCATCTTGCAAGCTAGCCGAAGAAGATCAAGAAGGCCCGGATATCAAGCAGTACATGACGACGGCATTCGTTGCTAGAGACATGTTGGAGATCACCGAGAGACATGCTGAATATGTGGCAAAGGAGGTGGTTAAAAAGGCTGCACAGAGGGCTGGCAAGCGTCCGGGGTGTGATAGCTCCACATACGTTCCAGGAGAAAGCAAGCTACAATACTGGGGCTTCTCATACGGGACGCTACTTGGGTCCACCTTCGCATCCATGTTCCCCGATCGTGTCGGACGTCTTATCCTCGATGGAGTCGTCAGCGCGTACGATTACCAACATTCATTAGGGAATGGAAGTCTCACAGACGTCGAAAAGGCCATGAACTCCTTCTACACCTTCTGCCATAACCTTGGTCCCGGCGAGTGTTCCTTGGCCACTGCGAACTCAAGTGTTCTCGACATAAAAGAGCGTACGCAAAACATTATCGCGTCGCTATACCATGATCCGCTTCCCATTGTTTCGTCAGACGGTCCAGACTTTCTTACTTGGTCCGACCTCAAACTAGTGATCTTCAGCGCGACCTACCTGCCACGCCTCATGTTCCAATCCGTCGCCGACATCCTAGCTGCCATCGAACAAGGAGGTGGTTCGGTGACCGACGAGCTCGCTGGCATGAACCACTACAATCATGTCTTTTCCTGCCCTGCCAACGGTACAGAACCACTTGACTTCCTAGATTACTTTGTGACGACTACGGCCATACTATGCGGCGACGGCGTAGACCAGACCCATCTTACCAGAGACGAATTCGAGGCGTACTGGGAGATTCTAGACACTCTGTCGCCGAACTTCGGCTCCTACTGGTCCATGCTCCTTATGAGTTGCGCAGCATGGGAGATCAAAGCCAGCTACAAGTTTGAGGGTCCCTGGGGTGGTAATACATCGCACCCTATTCTCTTCATCAGCAACACGGCAGATCCCGTCACACCTCTTCGCAGCGGACGCTACATGCATAGTCTCTTTCCCGACAGTAGTCTTTTGATCAGCGACCATGCTGGTCATTGTTCAATTTCCGCACCCGATCTATGCACTTTGAGCCGTGTGAATGCATACTTCCAAACTGGTGAGCTGCCGTCGCCAGGTACTCTTTGTGTACCGCCGCCTAGTCCCTACAGTCTCAACTCGACGGATCCGGATAGTCCTTTCTATGATCCCTCATTGGAAAATGCAAACACCGTCATAGACCAGGAGGAAGACTCTGATGGAGTAAGGCTGCTAGGTGCTGGTGAGTGGTTGCAGAGGCGGGCTGCTGTAAGCGGTATGTTCGGCATGAACATGCCTGGTGGTGCAAGGATGAAGCAAGCTATTCAAAAGTTCTTGGAAAACTCGCTATCAGGTTGAGCTCGGGTTGAGTTTGCCGTAGCCAAATATGTATTGTAGCAGCGTTACTCCCCTTCTATCCCTCGCAACTCACTCTTCACTCGGTAAATCAATGGTTCACAAGACACTCTACACTTGACTACAATTACTGGGAACTTCCCTAGATTGCCTTGTTTCATAGAGGTATCGTTGGAGTTTGAAATTTAGAATGGCCCACGTCGCCATGCGTTGCGATGACCCAGAGTAACGCACCCACGACATAGCATCGCATACACCCTACTTTACATTAAAGCAATAGAACAAATCTCATCATGCTCAATGACCACCCTCCTAAATCTCTACCCATAAAAGTTCACCTTCAGACTCTCGATCTGGGTTCCATCTCTGAACGTCTTCCGACACATCAATGAGATGCCCTTGTATTTAGCGACAAATTCAGTGAGACCCGAGGTAGCTTACGTTAAATACATGAGTTGAACGTGTTCGGCTCGCAGGAGATCGATAGCTTCGATAGCTCGTACCATCCGTTAAGATGGCAGTCAGTTTTTGCTTCTTAGTCCAAACACGGAATTCCATCGAAAATAGATCCCACCACATGGACATGTAGTTCGAAAGGAGTACAATCACTTCCAAGAGAGTAGGGAGGTGACTCCATGTACAAGGCTTCTTCATGTGACTCATGTCCAAATCGACATTCACCCGATGATCGTAAGTTGTCTCAACTGATTGAACAAATTCCATCTTCCACTGCCTCATATTCGACAACGAGTTGGATGCGTCGAATATGTTATTGACAATCACCTTGAGAGAGCGCAATTCGTGAAAGGTGGCGGATATATAGGCTTTTGCGGTTTCGGACCAGATTGTTCGGCAACTGTAGGGCCGATTAAAACGATTCCATGCCCTGTTGTAGTAGCCGCAGTCTTTTCGACATGTTCCCAAGTCAATAGTTAGATCAAAGACTCCTTGGCTTGTTTCAGCTGGGAGACGCAGGAGTGGTGAGTTTTCATAGTTGGCCTGAGCCCTATGCAGATTTGTTAGTTGGTATGTTCAGTCATTCTGGTGATTGACTGTACTTACAGTACTAGGCATGCGGTAGTGGGAACTAGACCGAGTGGTCCACTGCATGGGAGCATATTGAAGCGTTGCGATGGAATATTAGAGCCGTGTTACTGTTAAAGAGTTCAGGATATGCTTATGATGTAGTGATTATTGATGGGAAGCAAGAAGTCTAGAAGGTCAAAATAATCATGAGCTAGGAAAATGGAAGCTGCACCTTCTGAGCACCAGAATCATCCGCTCTTTCACGTTTATACAATCTAACTATCACTTACCACGTTCCGCATATTCATATATATCACCCCTGTACCTGCACTCCGCATCGAACCTCTAGTGCCCTTACAACTCCCTCAAACTTATGTCCAAACTTGTTGTCACATTCCTTGTACCATGGTTCTGCTCCGCTAATGGCTGCCGCGCCTGCTACTTCAGATACTGTTCCCAAAACAACATACCAGCCAGCCCTAACAGAGAGGCAGCCTCCATGAGTATTCGTGCTTAGCCTGTCTCATCGAGCTCTTGTATCTCACCCTTGAACATCCGGTATAAGATCTGGTATTCAAGGTACGTTGCGAAGAGGGATAAGAGCACCACTATAATGGTACCTGAGCTGGTCATGGAAATATTGTAAGTGGCAGATGGTGATATAAGCCCGGTTGGTTATGCAGTATCTTGGCGGAGATGGGACGGATGAGCGGATAATACATGGCAAATACCAGTACCATTATACGGTAGGGGTCGTGTCGTATGCTTGTTCGTGACGAAGCATATGCCCAGAATGTCACAACAAACTCTCATCATGGACACATGAGCATGACAGAAGTATCAGAACAAAGTATCGAGTTAACACGAAACTAGTATACATACAAATCCAACTTCAAAACGCCCAATCACGCCCAACCCGGTTTTTAGGCAACCCAAATGCACCACCAGCCAAGCCAAGTATGCGTGCAAGCCATCTACTCCTCTTCTTCCTCCTCACTATCCTCCTCCATACCCTCCGCAGCCTCAACCTGGAAGCTAGGCGCCTGGTCCACGCCAAGATAACTATCACTGACCAGGAAGCACGTCAACTCATGGTGACCCGGCTTCTCGAGCGTAAACTCAAGTACAGTCTCCAGTTTCCTCAGAATAGGCACCTTCTTGATGGCAAGCAGCGTGCGTTCTTTCTGATCTCCAACCACCAACCACCAGCTCTCCGTCTTGTCGGCAGGGTAGAACGGTGCGTGGACCTCCATCTTGGGTTCCTCGTCCTCCTCAATGTTGCGGGTGATGCGCACCTTGAGTTGGGCGGGTGAGTTAGAGGCGATGGATTCGGGATCGACGAGTTCGTGCTCGATCTCGATGTTGGGGTAGAAGTTGTTTGTGAAGTTTGCGATATCGGCGAGCTGGCGTTGGTCGACGTCGAGCGCGGAGATGAGCTTCTTGTAGTCTGGGTTTTCGTCTTCATCCATGGCGTTGATGAAGTCATCAACGTCATTGATGCCGAACTTTTGCGCTGCCTTGACGGTGTCGGCGTCAAAGTGGGGAATTTGCTTAAGAGGAGAATCCTTCTGCCACATGGCTTGAACAACCATTTGGGAAAGTTCCATGGCAGACATTGCGTTGAGATGAGCCTCGGATGAGAGAACGTCGACACTGGCGCTGAGGATATTGAGGACCTTTCGCAGGACAACTTCTTGATCCTTGGCCAGATCGATGGGGAGCTGCATGCGTGAAAAGTGAGCCTGAAGAAGAACGAAAGCCTTGAAATGTGGCGTCTCGAAGTTGGGCTCCTGCATCTTGAACGGAACGCGATCGTAGATGCGCTGGAGGATGTGGTCTTCATGTCTCCGTATTTGAATGTCTTCAAATTCAGTGGCGGCTGTGATGATCTCCAGTACACCCTTCAGACTCGTCCTGCCGTTGAGCGACATCATCAGGGTTTGCATAGTGATGAACGAGATGTTGTAGTACGCTGCGATCATGCATGGGTTCAGTGGCGTGATAGCATCCTCGTCTTCGTCATGCTCGATCAGATTCGCATCGGTCAACTCCTTCAGGGTCTGCTCAACCATGTCGGACAGATGCGCGCTCAATCCCTCGTGCGATGTGTCGTGAAGGTTGTAGTAGCTAGGGTTGGCGAGTAGGCGGCGGTAGAAGTATGTGTATGTTGACCAATCGACGGCTTCCTGTGTCGATTCAATCGTCTTCGCGCTGATCTCGGCAACGAAAGCGTCGTGAAGGTAGTCGGGGAGATAACTCTCAATCGGCAGAGCCTCATTCAGAAACTTCTTGTAGTACTCTCGCTTCACCGCAGGTAGCATAAGCACACCCTTTGCTGACTTGTCCAGTCCTACTCTGCCGGCTTTGCCGAACATTTGCAGGATGTCACTGATGGGGTAGTCGACGTACCGATGTTCGCGGCCCTCGTAGAACTGAGTGCCTTGAACAACGACGAGATGAGCACTGCTATCGATCTCCCAGCAAGAGTCACGCGATACAATGAGTACCTGAATAGCGCCAACCTTGAATAGATGCTGGACAGCCTTCTTGTCGAAGGAGTTGAGAGCTTCGTGGAAGTATCCGATACCATGAGACAGGGATGTAGCAAGGGCTTGCTCGTTGATTTTCTCAAGGATGGGCTGAATCTCAGTAACTTCAACGTTGAGGAAACGATCCTCATTCTCGTCGGCTACACAAGCGTTGAAGAGATCAGCAGCGGAGTTTCGGGCTTGCTTCCTGTTCGGAACGAAGACCATGGCCGGCTTGTCCGGAGACATCTGTGTGATGGCAGAGTAGGTCGGTCTGGCCATAGCCATCATCAAGGATGGGAAATGGGGAATAGTAAAAGACTGGATCTTCAACTCAAGCGGTACTGCCCGGATAGCCGAGCTGAAGTTGTAGATGGTGTGCTTGGTCGCACCAATCCATTCTCCGATGTCTCGTGCATTGGACAAAGACACGCTCAATCCGATGATACGCAGCTTCGACTCTAGCTGTGTCGCCATCGCCTGCATACGAGAGACGACGATTTCGTAGACGTGACCATTCGTGCCACCAAGCATGTGCAGCTCGTCGGCAATCATCAGAGCAACAGACTGAACATTCTTGCGGCGCTGCCACTGGCGGGAAAGTGAATCCCATTGAGAAGGTGTAGCCAGGATGAGATCACCCTTCTCAAGCAACCGGAGGTCTGCTGTGGTTTCGCCAGTGAGCTTGACGATGTCCTTTCCTCCACTGAGACCTGTTAACCGTTCGTTCCAGTTCTTGTACTGGTTGTCGACGAGCTCCTGGAATGGCGCAAGGTAGACAATGCGACCTTCGTTGTTGGTGGCCCAGTGTCTCAAGATGGCGAATTCGGCACAAATAGTCTTGCCAATACCTGCCGATGCGCCAACAAGGGCATTGTCATCCGTTGTATACAAGGTGTTGAAAGTCTGTGTCTGAACCTTGTTGAAGCGCCCGATGTTCTCGTACAAGCCCATGTATTCCTTCCTCTTCAGGGCAGAAACAGGCAAAGGTTGCAGATCCAGAACGGGGGTATGAGCAGGAAACTTTGCTGGCAAAATCAGCTTCTGGAAAGAGACGGCAAGCTTGGTCTCAGATGCCATCCATCGGTCGGAGAGGACGGTGATGAAGTAGTTCGGTGGCATGGGCTCGTCAATGGGCACTGTCACCTCCATCAGGTGTTCGTTGGCGTCGCCATCAGAGTAGTCCCGTCGAAGGATGAACGTGTCGTGGAACAATACTTGCTCGCCGTCACAGTCTTCGACTAGAATCCAGAATGCTTCCGAGGCTCCATGGAGCTCTGTGTCCCAAACAAAGTCAGGTCGGATGGTGAGCTCCAGACGGAGTAATGACCTTGTCACCGGTCGCGGTGTTGCTTCGATCTGTAGGCGTGGGAACTTCTCCACTAAACCACAGACGAGTTTGCCAGCCTTGGGCATACCCAAGAGCTCACCCATGCTAGGCGGATCAAGGCCGAAGTAGCTCGACCAGCTGACATCGATACGCTCAGCTTTCTGCACAATATCGCGGGGGCAGGTGGGGAACTGGCGGAGAGGCGTCATGGTTGGCCACATACGTTTCTCAGCCATCTTGCACATGTCGAGAGCGAGCTTTGCAACTTGTGACCAGCCCTTCTTGAGACAGATCTCGAAGATAGCGCGAAGAATACGCCCAGCCGACTGGGTGACGTAGACCAGGTCAGCCATCAGCGCCAATCCCTCGAGCTTGAGGCGAGAGATATAAGCTTGAAGAAGGACGTTGATCTTGGCTTGGGCCTCTTCCACACCCTCCTTGACGGGGATCGGAACTTTTCCGAGCAACTTCGCAAGTTCGAGCTTCTCATCCTGGCGTACGGGGATGTACTTGAATTCTTCACTTAAAGCGAAGACTCGGAATAGCTCGATAGCGCTGATACCTGGCTGTATGTGCATGTTGTATGTTGCCATCGAATTGTGTGTGATGTAGTAGTGCGAGGCAATTCTTCCAAGCTCGGTCGGGTTGAGCGCACCGGTCTTCCTGTCGTACTTAATGAGACTGCACTTCTCTAGAACGTGCGCAGCAGCGTGAACAAGATCCACTCGTCTTTGCTCCAGAACAGTGTCGTTTTCGTATTCTGCTCCAACCCGATACAGAGCTGGCGATCGAAGCATTCGGACGAAGAGGTATGTATAACCAAGCCAGTCAACCGCCTCATCTCTGTTGCGCACGTTACCAAGAACGACCTCGGCGTTGAGGTTGTCTGCGAGCTTGCTTATGAACTGCGACTCAATGGGCAACTGTTGGTTGAGTAATGATAAGTAGTACTGAATCTCAGACTGTGTGGTAATGATGATACCCTCTCCATAAGTATCGTATTGAGGTCGACCGGCACGACCCAACATCTGGAGAACATCCTGAGGACTGAGTTCGACCCAGCTACCCTTCTCAGGGGAGTAGATCTGCGTTCCCTTGATGATGACGGTATGCGCGGGCAAATTGACACCCCAGGCTAATGTTGCTGTGCACACGAGAACTTGAATAGAGCCATCGGCAAACAGATCTTCTACGGAAGTACGGTCTGCTCGCGACATACCAGCATGATGAATACCGAAGCCGTAAGGCATGAGGTCCTTCAGGTCTGTGTTCTGAACCGACTCGGATTCTTCTCTCAAGATCTCCCGACTGGCAGCATCTGATCGAAGAATCTTGCCTATAGACTCTTCTTCGAGTGCCTTGTCACGGATGTACTTGGCAGTCTTCGCAGTTTCCTTTCGGGAGTGTACGAAGATAAGCATCTGATTACGATGCTCACCGACCTGTTCCAGAACCTTGGTGTAGCAAACGTCGTTCATGGTCTTCAGTTGCTTAATGGCTTTCTTGTCTGTGACACCGATGAATTCCTGCTTCAATGGACACGGTCGGAAAGTAGCGTCGAAGTGGAAGAGACCCTTGTCTGGGTCGATACGCAGGAAGCTTGCAACATCGCGGTAGTTGGGAAGGGTTGCACTCAATCCGACAATGCGCACATGATCACCAGTCTGCTCGCTGCGTCGCAGAGTTCTGCTAACGATGCTTTCAATGACTGGACCACGGTCATCGTGGAGAAGATGGATTTCATCGATACAAATAAGGCGAACGAGGTTGATGTAGCTGGTGTCAGTAGCCTTGCGGGTGATGACGTCGTACTTCTCAGGAGTGGTGACGATGATCTGAGTTTCCGCAATCTGCTGCTTGGTAAGTTGGCGATCACCAGTAAGCTCAGAGACCTTGATGCCGTAAGGCTCCAGACGCTTGCCAAAGTTACCGACTTGTTCAGCTACAAGAGCCTTGAGTGGAGCAATGTAGATGATCTTGAAGTCGTCAAGGGCAATCTCTCCAGTCGTGGGATTTCGGTGCTTGCCAATCTCGCGGAGCATTGTCAACATAGCGACGTTGGTCTTTCCGGAACCAGTGGGAGCGCAAATCAACATATTTCCGTCGTCGTTGAATGCTGTCGGGAAGCACTTCGTTTGGATGCGGTTGAGCGATTTCGAGTTACCGAAACCTGGCCGCGCCCAATCTGGTAGCTCAGAAGTAGGCATCAGTGCAGGCTCGTTGGGGTCGCGCTTCGCTTTCGGCGCGGGCACGTGGATCTCCTCATAGCCCTTGAATTGACGCCGTGTGGATCCCTGAGGCAGCTTTACGCTTGCGTTCGTCATGAGATGATTGCCCTGGTCGAACACGATGTTGTCCAGATTTACGAGTCGGCTCGATGGTTGCAGGCCACCCACGATACCCTCCGGTTTTGCATCGGCCATCTCCACGTCGTTTGAAGCATCTGGAAGGCTGATGTCCTGTAGGTTAAACTTCATCTTTCCAGTGCCCGCGTCAGCTCCATCCTCAGCCTTGATGCCAGTCTCTCTTGCGCGCAGCTCTTGTAGGATCCGTTGCTGACCGGCAGCTTTCATCTCCCGCTCAACAGCTGTTCGCTCATCATTGTCTTCGGCCGCCCTTCGCCACCTCGTTACCCAGACGACCCTATCGCGGTTGAGAACGAGTTTCGCAACCAGCTCGTGATGTTCGTAGTCGAAAAGGTCCATCAGATCATTCTCAATCTCACGGAGCTCCTTCTCCTCACCATCCTCTGAGACGCCTGCGAGAAACTTGAGGGCGTCCTGTGTCTTTTCTTGCTGGATATGCGCATCTTCGTATATTTGTCCAATCTGCCGTTGTAGCCAGTACGCATCGATTTCGTGTGCGGGTATAAGTTGGTCTGCGCCGTTTTTGCGGTCTGAGGTGGCCGTGTCGCCCTGTATTATCGTCTCCTCGGTTTCTGCGAAGCCTCCACCTTTTTGATCTTGGTCCTCACCAATCTGCTCTACGGGAGCCTCTGCTTCGTCTTCTTCATCCGAGGTATCGGCATCTCGCACTTCGAATGTCTGGGGCGCGTCTTCGTCCTCCTCTTCGTCGTCGAATACGACAGCTACACCCTGGTTGTCGCCAGTGTCCGCGCCGTCGCCATCTGCCATCTCCTCGTCGCCACCTTCCTCGTCGTCCTGCGCATCGTAGTCGGTAATCTTCTTGCCAAGATTCATCAGCTCGTTGAATTCCTTTGCGCCCATTGAAGTGCCAAGAAGATCGTCCACCTCCTTCTTCTTGTCAAAGTCCTTCATGGTGTCATCCTTAAGATATTCGAGAACCGCATCGGCCGCACTCCGAGTAGTCGCAGGATCAACGTCGCCGAGGGATCTGCTCACGATGGTTGTAATGAGATCGAAAGTCTGGCGCGTCGCAGGAGTCCGAGGCTTGTATGTGAGCCCTTCGATATTGAGGTCGGCAGTCGCAGTGGCTGAAAAACCGCTGGTACCGTCATCCCGTTTCCTCTTGCGCTGCTCTCTTTCTAGAACGTCGCCGCCCTCGCTCAAGTTTCCTCGCTCAACGCCGGGTCCCTTGAGCTTCTTCACTTGCGCGTTTGCGCTGTCGCGGGCTGTGCGTCCACCCATGTCCTTAATGTTGATGCGACCTGCGAGCGATTCAGGATCGCCAGTATGCTCATCCGGCCGACGCGACATGAGACGCCTGTCGGCCTGCAGGACCAAATTCGACATGGCCGCATACTTGTACTGCCCGAGGTTGTTGTTCTGGTCCTTCGACATGGTTGCGGTGGGTATCGTAGTCTTGCGCGGCTTGCGCTTTTAGTTTCGCCTTCTCCAGTAGGCGACGCGCAAATTATAGGACTTTGTACAGCGAGCTATCGTGTCGCCGTGTCCTTTAGAGCGAAGAAAAGAAAATAGTCGTGTGATTGATACAAGTCGGGCTGTGGACGCGCCCTAAGGTTGGATGTAAGTGAGAGGCAACGGTCCGAGAAAAATGATGGCTCTCAGAGCTTCCGACAGGCAGCTAGCACGCACGTGCCACCATCACTGTATGATGAGCCTTTCACGTCGTACGCGTAAATTACAGCTTCAATTTTTCGACTAACGTCTCAATACCAAGATGCATTCTCAAGGTTCTCAAGCGCTCTTAAATCATTACGTAAACTTCCTTGTTAATCCGTGAGCTCTTCCAGGCTATAACAAGGAGAATTGCAAGCTTCCCCATAACTTAGAGTGAAAGAGAGACGCGTCAAGTGCCCTCTAACATGGAACTTGTGTATCAATTGCTACGGCTGATCCAGGCCCTGGAAATTTGGAGAAGTTGTGTTGTTGCAATGGAGGTATTAATGCAAGTGGATACGAAGGTCATATCGGTGACTTGATGATAACACACCATCTACGAGGTTGGTAACTGGTCCTTCAACCATGCGCTCCGAGTATTCCACAGCTCGCGCCGACATGCGCCTACCTTTTGCAAACAACTCCTACGCTTATGCTGATAAATACCTCGTCTCCCACAGGCTCTAGCAATATCTCGACATCACATCTCTTCACTCTCAATACCCCCCTCTAGGCTGTTCAACCTCCCTCGGCCTTCTTCTTCTTCTTATCCTCTATCAACTCGCAATTATCCTCGGGCACTTCATACTTATCCACCATGAACTCCAGGATGTCATCGCTCAGATCACCTTGCACTGTGATCTCCTCGCCACCACCTGGGATCTTGGTCACACTTGATCCCGTCGCGAACTTCTTGCCGAAGTCCTTGGCCACCTTCTTGATGTCGAGTCCGAAGGCTTCCAGACCCTGTACGGCGGTGACGTATTTCCGCTTGTTACGCTCTATGCGTTTGATGAGAATCTTGGAAGAGGCGCGTGTCTCGGCTGCTCGTGCTTCGGCGGTCGCGGCTTTGGCGGCTTTCTTTTGTGCGTCCTTTTCAGCGCGTTTTTGGGCGTCGACGGAGAGGGAGGCCATGTTCTGCTGTAGCGCTTCTGAAGGAGAGTTAGCGAATGGTATTGTAGTTGGGGCGATCGTGTGGTATAGGCTTCTCATTGTGATTGACTATACGTACCTGCTGAGTACAGCTTCGCGTGCAAATCTGGATGCGCCTCTGCTAGCCACTCTTCACACTTCTTCGTGGTGCCGCCAAACTCGCAGTACTAATCATGATTCACATTAGTTAGTGAATCTTGTTTATCGCGTCTCGGTGTCGTACCTACTTCAGGTGGTAGACTGCATACTGCTCCTTGTTAGCCGTTGCCGCAGAGTGTATCGTGGACATGCTTGCCTCCGCAGTAGACGACCGGTTTTGGTAACGCGTCGGCCGACATCTTGTGTTGTTTTAGTGTGGTTTGAACTGTTGGGTATTGCGAAAGTTTAAGAAATGCTGGGTTGAGTGATGGGAATGGGTGTCGACGCGAAAGAGAGAGCTTGGTGGGGCAAGCAAGTGTGGCGGGGTATGTGATGTACCATAGTGCAAGGGTCCTTCAACCCTTCAACGCGACTAACACTTTCACTAAACTTTAGAACTTAGAGCTGCATTGTTTCGTTTAGGATTGCCATTAATTGGTAATACATCGACTACTTGATCTGATTCTGCAAGATCCTAATCTTTGGCTCCATCCGTATCTCAGCCCAGTAACCTCGCAACAGGTTATTCCTCAGTAGCCTTTCCAATCCATGCCATATCGCTGCAACCTTCAAGGCCCACTTGTCTTGCGATATGACCTTATTTTTTACCTTATCCGGATACTCCACCAGCGAGCCACTCCCCTCTCCTGGCTTCAGAAGTTTGACCCCTCCAAACCCATAGACAGTATGGACCACCTCCCAACTACCGATCACTTTCTCTGGTCTCTCGGCAAGAACATAGTCGAACTTGACCCAGAACATCGGGTCAAGAAGGGCGTTGGGATCTTCAGTCTTGTCGTATGCCCACGTCCTGCTGTTCAGAGTATCTTGTGCTTCAAGAACATCAAGCACGGTTTGTGGTCCCCTGTGGCTCTCAAGGAAACGCGTGACACCCGTTTGGCAAGCAAGGTTATCGAAGTACACGCTGAAGTGGTTCTTATCCGGATGCTCCATCTCTTTATGCAGGGTATGAAGAGCTTCGCCTCCGGGATAGTTGAGGCTAGAGATACCCAAGATCGCAGTAGATGCAGCGAACGATGCTAGAACTGATCCTAGCAAGACCAAGCTCAGAGTGGCGTATACGACGGACTTTGATCTGCGAGTCCAGATCCAAGCTGCTCCGTCTGCGGCTACTGCGGTTAGACCCGGAATCACGTAGAGAATGAAGCGCCATTCTTTGTGCGGAAGGAAGCTGTATAGCGCCACAAAACTGAGTAGTGGAACGAGCAGGTCCAAGCTTCGTCTAGACGTCGACGTATTCAAGACTGCAACTGGAATGCAAATCAAAAAAGTCGCTGGGTTCAGCAGCAGTCGCGGTAGTGCATTTGCAAAGTAGTAATGCCATGGCGACACGCCCCAATCAGCTGAGTGTCCTTGGATAGTGTTGTAGTAGAAGCCCGTCCACTCGGGCCATAGCGGGAAGGATTGCCAGAAGAAAGAGTCTAGAGGTACCGTGCAGAGAAGACCGATGACGAGGCCACCAATTCCAGCTGGGATGATGACGCTTGTGATGGATATCCTTCGTGTGACGAACAGATAGATGGTGATTGTTCCAACCAAGATTGCTAGCTCCGAGCGGAAGACTACACCGGCAATCGTAAGTAGATACAAAGCCAGTCGATAGTATCCTAAGATATTTGAAGTGCCCCATGGCACAGTATATGCGAGCAACAAGCTTCGTAACGCCAGGTTACCTACATCCATATCAGCCAATAGGTGCACGAGACACATCATAGGAACTTACTGAACACGAAAGCAAACATATTGGGTAGCGTCCTCGAAGCATAGTAGATAGTATGGAATTGGCTCGCTTGAAACAAGGCATACCAAACACCGGCACTAGTACCAAAAGCTTTCTGCACGCTCCTGCCGAATGCAATGAGCGAAGCCGCATTGAGTAGACCAAGTACTGCCCTGACTACGCAGACATAATCAGTCTCGATCATTTCACATGCAGAACCTCCATGTTTACTCACTGAGCAGTTGCACCTGCGCCATGTCCCCCAACAACCCAACGAACGGCCTGCTCAAGCCACTCAAAACTAACGCGCCCGCAAAAGTCCTCGGCACGCTCCCGGGGAAACTGACATGATCGTAATTTGAAGTCAAGAACTGATCAGTGTTCTCTGTGGGTATCCCATGTACCAAGATATCATGTATAGCCTGAATATTGAACGACTCTTCAACTTTGGTGTATGGCGAAACGAACAGGTGTACTAGAACGAAAGCCGGTATGAGGAGGAAAAACGGCCATGTTGGGAGAGACATGGCATTCGTCAGATTTACAGAGCATCGAGAGCTCTGCGAGAAGGAGGTGGGGATGATGATGAGTTGTGGTTGGAAGATGCGATAGACGAATGGTGTAAGCCGTTGCTTTTAGGTGATCGTCCAATCACGTGTCTTCGTGATCCACCAGCCCTAGTCGAACGCGAAACCTCCATCCACACCCGCATCATCCCGCCCCTGACCATCTCTCATAACTCCACGCAAATGCCAGCAGGATAATGGAAATCTCCCAATGTGCAGTTCCGGCTGTCTACGTCCTGATTTTTTTTCTCGGTTATCCCTCACAATGGCTGTTGATGCATCTGGAGCCCGCTCCGCTCACGAAGAATGAGCTCATTCTGTCGAATGTCATTCTAGTATTGATATGGATCACGTATACGAAGAGCGTTTTTGTTGATCCGGGGACAATACCTAAAGACTGGACTGAAAAGCAAGAGTTGGGTGGGGAGAAAGGGAATGGCAATGCTGGTCTAAGTGGGAAAGAGACGGGTGTAGACGGTGTGGGAAAGAGCCGGAAATGGTGTCGGAAGTGCGATGCTGCCAAACCACCTAGAGCTCATCACTGTAAGGAGTGCAAAAGGTAGATACCCATCTTATACTAAGTTTGGAGATTGCACGCTCGATGCACCGCGAAACTGGATATGTCAACCCCGTACTGGCACCGTGGTTACCTCTTCTTAGAGTATGCTCGGGGGGCACGTCGCAAAGGAGTTTAGGACTTTTTTTGTATGGAAGTACAATGCTAACCATCCCTAGATGTATCCCCAAAATGGACCACCACTGTCCCTGGACAAACAACTGCGTCAGCCACACCACTTTCCCCCACTTCCTCCGTTTCCTCCTCTACACCACCCTCGGACTATCCCTCCTTCAATCCTTCCTCTTCACTCGCCTCTCCCACCTCTGGTCCAACTTAGACATGCCCTCCTACCTCGGCCCCACCCCCTTCCAACTAGGCCACCTCTTCGCCGTCCTAATCACAAACTCAATCACCCTCTTCGTCCTCGGGGTCCTCTTCCTACGAAACCTCTGGTGCCTATCCATCAACCAAACAACAATCGAAGGCTGGGAAATCGAGCGCCACAAAACGCTTTTACGTCGTGCCCGCCAATACGGCGGCTACCTGACCACCCCGGAAGGTGCGAAGATGCGCATCCGGAAACAAGAATTCCCCTACGATATCGGTATCTGGTCGAACATTGTCCAGGGTATGAATTCGAGGAACCCGTTGAATTGGCTTAATCCTTTCGCTGCTACACCCAGTTTGAGTGGTGGGTTGAGTTTTGAGACGAATGGTTTTGAGGACGAGGGCACGGTTTGGCCGCCTCCAGATCCGGATCGTGCGTATAGGAGGAATGCGACGGCGGTTAATGCTGATGCGTTTCGATATGCGGAGTCGGACTTGAATGCGAAGGATACCGTGGCTGCATTTAAGGCGAGGCAGGCGGAAGACGCAGTGAGGAGGAGGAGGCCGTATGCTGGAGTGGTGGATGGGGAGGCGGCGGACGGTGAGATGGGGAGAAATGAACAAGACTTTACCTACGGAGATGATGCTAGTGATGAAGTCGAGGAAGAAGAAGAGTTTGAGACGAGAAATGGTGCAAAAGAGCGGGAAGGCGAGGCAGCCTGGCGGAATTCAGAGGGCGAGCGGCTGAAGGATTTTGGTGTGGACGAAGATGTGGAGTTTTACGATGAGCAGGATGATGATGTGCCATTGAGCGAACTTATTGCTCGAAGACAAGCCGCTTCTACAGCCAAAAACAGCCACTGAAATTGCAATTACGTAGCATCAATATCATTATCAATGTCAATTCAATCAAATGACGTTCACAGCATTTTGTTGCAGAAGAGATGGTGTTGTACCCCCAAAACATAACGAATGTTGTGAAGCTCGTGTGAGCAAGAATAAAGATCTAGACCAGCAACCCAGTAGAGAGCAGGAATCGAAAAGGTATTGTGGTCGCCCATATGTGTCCTCTCCTACTCCAGCCAATCGTAGCCCATTTCGTAGCAAGATCCTCGGATGACATCCAACAAAACATTTGTGCAGATCCGTTCCACGCCTCATAACCTCAAACATGATCCTCCGACTGTGAGCGACAGTTGTACGTTTGTTACAATCTGACCATAACGATGGTATCAATAATCCCGTCTCTTCTTCATTCTTCCGGGATCTCCTTCCTTTCCGATAGTCATTGTGGCGCACGAATGCTTTCTGTAAACGTGTCCTCGTTCTTTTCGCTTCATACTGACTACCGGAGCCCGAGTCGACTAGTACTCGTTCCCGTTCCCGTTGTGGACCGTGTATCCAAAGGCGGTGCCGTCTTCGGCCATCTCGGAGTCGCCGCTCAGTACATGCTGTTGACTCTCTGGGCCTGCGGGCCCGCCGGACCCGGATGAACCGAACTGCCCAGTGGGTGGCTTGTTCTGATTTGCGAGGAGGGTCTCGTACCACCAATCAATACCAATAGTTCAGATAAACGTTTCGGCCAAACAGTAGGCAACAAAAGAATGACAAAAGGGGGGATAGAAAAGTTGGCAGCTTACTTCGCGATACCTGGATAGGTAGATCTTGAGGGCTTCCGAGTAATTCTCGAAACCGAGCGAAGTCATGGCAAAGAGGATGTCCTCGCCGTTGACAGTTTTGCGCTTTTCCTGTTGGCACTTTTCGGAGGCTGTGGCAAGACAGTCAGTGGCTGTTTCGGAGCAAGTCGGAGTAAGACATACCCTCGCTGGTGATGAACGAGATGAACTCGCTCACACACTCCTGCATGCATTCTTTGGCCTCTTTGGCGATTTTGGCGTTGTCGGGGAGCGCCATCTTCATGATTCGCGCGACTGGAGCAAAGTTACGTATGTTAGCATCGGAAGCTGTGCTGCTGTTCGCGTTTGTGCTCTTTGGTGTAGACAGTGGCGGGGAAATGGACGAATATGGAGAAGAGGACGACATTTCGCAGGCTGCACGCCGGCCGTTTTCCAGGCACACAAAGAACCTGACTGGCTGGCGGCAAATACAGCTTCCCGTCATTCGACGCAGAGACGCGCGAGTGGAGGAACTGTCGGCATCCAGAGACGCCCGTTGGAGCAATCCGTCGACGTGCAGGCTGGAGCGAAACAGTGCGCAAATCAAAACAACGAGAGGTAGCAAAGGAAATAAACGTACCATTGGCGATTGGAAGCCATCGGTCTTGCTCCTTGACCTCGAATTCGTAACCTATCTGAGCTGTGTTCTCCTCTGTGTTCCTGTCCATGGGCTGTTCTTCGTCAGGAGACTGGACTGGTTCCACACCCTCCTGCTTTGGGGGAGATGCCGACATATTATCGGTTGCCTGCTCGGAAGCGTATGCGCTGGCGACTATTCCGTTGGCGACCACGTCACTGGGAGAGACGACGGAACAGCTTGGCGGCCGAGTATGCAACCTGCGGTCAGTGGTGTAACGAGATGCCTGGCGAGGGAAACGGTTAGTGGCATGCAGCAGGCAGCATGGGATGCAGCTAACGTACGTGGGGAGCGGCGACAACGGAGAGCACGGCGCAAGAGAGCGTCGAGTGAACTACTACTAGAGGTGACGCCTGGGGCTATTTGCGATGCTGACGTCGCACCCTCGATAGAACTGGCAGGAGCGACTGGCAACAGTGGCAGGCGCGACCGCGATCGGGGCAGTCGCGACACAGAGCGAAGCTGGTGTATTACTCGCGGCGGCACGATATCGTGTGCGACGATGGCGATTCACCGACCGTGTCGTGAGAGTAGCGGTGGGACGATATGCAGGTGAGAGTGGCAGCTAGCAGGCCGTGGTCCGGGTTGAATCAAGGGCGTTATTCGGGCGCAGTTAGGCGTGGGTGTTGGCAATGGAAACTTGACGTCGCGACGTTGGAGCAATGAATGACGCGCCTACCAATAGGAGCGCGAGGAGAAGATGGGGGAAGATGGAGCTTGGACGGGCGATAGCGTTGGTGCGTGGAGAGATGGTGGATTTTGGATTTGCGACCATGAGCGAATGGAATGTTGAGGACGAGGAGAAACTCGGCCGTCCGCACCAATACCGGCCCGTGCCGACCGAACCATGGCTCGAGTCTTCTCCTCGCGACACCAACATTAAACCTTGAACGCATCTCCGCAGCATTCTTACAGTACATGTCCATCTGAACGTTCGGACCGGTCACATCACCGGCATATCGTCTGTTTGGAACCTTGCCTACTACAGACTCCTCGGGCTAGCTGGCGATCCTGTATGCGAGTTGCATCAGCAGCTATCATTCGACAGCCCTACCACCATCACCCCACGTCCTATATCTCTGCCGCGTAGTCACCACTGCAGCCACAGATGACAATTACCAAAAACGTGTGTTGTCCAGGCTCCTCCTAGCATGATCCCAGCCTTCGCCGACGTCAGTAATCATCGCTGTTGGTTGGGCTCTTGCACATATTGCGTACAGCCTTGCTCCAGCTTCACTAAACCAACACACGAAATGACGTTCAAGCCAGCCACTAACAACTCAACCCGGGACCGTTCGTCATCCTCTGTGAAGACTTTGCCGGTAGCCTATGAGCTACGTGTCCGTTTTCATGGGTGAGATGGTGCAGATCAGTGCGTCGGTTTGAGTAGGAGCCGACTGGACAACGCATCTTGCAGAGACCCCCGGGGTTGAGAGCACGTGCCGAGGCAACGATGCAGTCCTAGATTCTTCACTTTTGGTAAGCACATACGCAGTTTGGAGCTTATGGGGTAATTCAGGTTGCATGTAGAGATCATTGGTAGGAAGGTGGCTGAGAGCCCAGCTACTTGGACCTGTTATGACTGGTTCAACCATGATATTGCTAGATTTTCGTATAGTTTTGTGAGATATACTACTCGATCCGTATAGACCCCATTCACCGGTAAGCCCTCAGTTGTCGTGAAGAGGTTGTGCAGTTCTGCTGTGGCATGCTGTGCAAGACCGGAATACGGAGAATCCCAACTATGGCTGTATGCTCCGTCTCGAAACACACAAAACCCTTTGGCAGGGTCCCTCTCAGTTTACCCCAATTCCAATCACCGAATATATCGCTGCCGTACTCATCTACATCATCTCATGTGGCTCCCAGCATATGCCGTGTGCCCATCCTGTCAAAGGGTTGTTGCATGACTGGTACCCCTTTATTGCCCTGGCTGTTGGACGACTTGGACATTGTTCTTCTTCTGTAGGGGCAGTATCAGTGGTGTAATTTTGAAACAGAAGCCTGGTTCGATGCTGTGCAAAATTCAAGCGCAATGAAGACGTACCTTCCACTTCTCCATCTCATCTTGCTTCAACTTGTACTGCTTGACTAGCTCTTCCAAGGCTTGCTTCAGGCCATCGGAGTTGGTCTGCAAGATCGGGACGACGTCCTTGACCGTTCTCTCAGTCAAGACACCGTTGATCATGCGGAAGCATTTACGGTCTCCCGGCAGAGGTTGTAGCGTCTCCAATACAAGTCTGGTGACCGTCAGCATCGGCTATATTGTAATGATAATTCAAAGCGGTTTAGTATGCTGAAAAGTATCAAGTCATGGAGCAATGCAAAGCTGACGCAATGGAGAAGCGGTGTGAGAAGGTTTGTGAAGGATTGCATAACGTGGCTTCGCAGTTTCGGTGTTATGCAACTTACTTGTGCTCTTCGGTCTCCTGCTCGATATCGCCAATCTTTGAGGCAATTGTTTGAAGCGTGTTCTTCACATAATGTCAATTTGGGTCTCCGCATTTGCGTGCCGTCCTTACCTTGTAGTTTTGATATGTAGTTTGGAGCTCTATTTCGAATTAGTAAGAATCAAGAGTTCAACGGAATACAACCACATACCTTGCTGCTTCTTCAACTGCTGTTGAGACGCCATCCTGACGACGTGACTTTTTGACGTGTGCTCTGGGGTGAGCAGTGTTGACGGTGGTTGCGGGGAACTCGGAGGAGAGAAAAGATTCTTGACTCGATGCGTGGTACGTACGCCTAAAGAGGAAAGGCACTGGTAATGTCGAAAGAAGAGTAAAAGAACGCGATATGAGTAGGAAAGTAAAATCTCACAAGTCTTGACGCCCTTGATATGAAGTGGCTCACAAGTGAAGGCGTGCGCGCTCGGACGTAGTTCACGAGATCTTCAACGATTCGTCGGCAACTTCGACGTCTCCAAGTTCCCGTCCCGGCTCAGTCTACCATCACCACGGCCTCCTACAGTCCTCTCGACTTTCGCACCAACTACCCTCGCAAACACTAAAAACCTGTGCATACCCACAATGCATCCCCATCTCCACACCGAAGAAGTCCAAAAGAGTGCGCCACCCCTCCTCTACCAATCCTACAGCCGGTCTTTCTAACACCTACCCACCAGACTGCGCAGACGTCGTCGCAGCCCTAGAAGAATGTCACAACCGCGGATTTCTTTGGAAAGTAACGGGAAATTGTACCGACGCGAAATTTAAAGTCAACATGTGCCTGCGCGGGCTACGACTCGAGAAGACAAAGGCGAATCGCGAGGCGGCCAAGGAAAAGAGGGAGAGGATACAGAAGGTATGGAAGGAGTTGGACGAGAACAAATGAGCACGAGAAAGAGGAAAGGCCTTTAAAAGAGGTGCTACGCGCTTGTGCAGAAGACGCTGGGAGGGAAAGGAATTGCATATGGATGGGAGTTTACGGATACGATCACTAGAGAGCTTTCAGGCTTCTGTATTATATCATGGCAGGACTCAGGCGTTACGGGAGCATTCAGACGCATTTATGAACGATGTTCATAGTATTACTACACGGCTAGTCCAGCATTTCCCTGCTGAAGCTAGAAACTCCAATTCAAATAAACGCTACTCATCATCAGAGTCGTCGCTAGATCTACCAGCCACTGGTGTATTGCCAGTCATAGGCGTAGTGCCCAGACTATCTAACCCTCTCTCCATGATCAAACGGCCTCCCTCGACGCCATTTGCAGGCAGCGCTGGAAGTCCAGACTCTTGACGTAGCTTCTCATACTCGTCACCTGTTTTCTGCAGTTGCTCCTGGAGATACTTCTTCCGCTCCTCAATCTTAACCTTGTCGTCCTGGAGGTCTTGTAGCTTCTGTAGAATCAGGTTCTTCCTCTGCTGCTTTGTCTGTATATCGATTGTGAGACCTTCTAGGACTTCGTCTAGATCTGGAAGGGGCGTAATGCGTGGTGGTGTCTTCGTGCCGTCGTCTGCGTCTTCGATCTTTTGTCCGTATCGCCCTGCGCGTGCTTGGGCTGCAGCGAAAGCGGTGTTTCTCTCTTCGTCTGAGTCGTCTGTCCCGTCATCCCCTGAAGCACCCTCGGCATCATTGATGAGCTCTGCCATTTCCGCGCGCCGTCTTCGTTGCGCTTCCCTTTCTGACTTGCGACCGAGCGATATCTTGCCATCTTCAACAAAATCGTCGAAACCTTCGGCTATGTCCTCATCATCATGTACCAGACGCGTCTCTGCATACTTTTCTTTCGGTCGCAGAGAAATTTCATTCCTGTGCTGCCTAAACTCATCATCTCCCTGGTCGTCAGATGCCCATGCGCGGTCGTCGTCATCCATGGCATTCTCTTCATGGGCCAGGCGTCTTCTCCGTGCCTTCTTCTCTCGAATCTCAGCTTCTGTGGGGATTGCAGATGACGTCTCGAGCGATGCGACGGGGCCGAATTTCGATGCAATGTCGAGGGCTTGCGTCTCTTCTTGATCGTCGGTGGACGTATTTAGGTCCCGAGGTGTTGATGGCGTCGAGTTTCGCAGCTCTGCTATGTAGTCCTTGCTATACTCGGTTGGTCGAGCGGCTTCTGGTACGAGGGGGGAACGCGCCCGCAGTTGCGCACTCTTCTCAAGGGCTATGCGACTGAGGTTCGCCTTCTTTGGGGTCACGACCGCCGCATCACTCGATTCGTCGCCATCGTTTGTGTCTTCGCCCGGTCCAAAAGACACTCGTAGGGATGAACGCTTCTTCGCTTTACCAAGCGTCGGCCGCTTGACGACTACAAGGCCAGTTAGCACGGAGCCACCTGAGTCGCCAGCTTTCAGGTTGGCCTGGAGAGATTCGCTGTGAGTTTCCCCAACGTCAGAAAAGCTGGCAATTGCGACAATTTGTGACTGACCTGTAGGCTTCTGTACTTCGCTCGACGAGTTGTTCGCGCTGTCGGTGGTGGATTCGTCGTCGTCATAACTGCCAATCTTGCGTGCGACGCGTGCAGAACCGGATCGCTTCATTGTGAGGATTGTTATGCTGGAAGTCCCTCTATTACTTGGACTTTGTGGGGATGGTGTGAACGATAGACGTTCGCGCGCACATGTCGTGGCTGCCGCCTAAGCACGGACCCTCCGCAAAATCCCATGGAGCTATCCCACTATGCGCAACACTGCTCTTGCTCGTGAACACCACGCGCGTCTCTAGCTCACTCACGACCAACACGAGCGAAGCCATTTGAAGCCGTCCCCAGGAACTTGTACCACCACACTCGAGTCCAAAACAGATTACCAACGCCAAGATGCCTCAAGCACAGCCGGAGCTCAAGAAGGTGAGTTCACAACGTCGACATATGCCTCCAGATGCTAACCTCCAAAAGTACCTCGAGAAGCGCGTCCTTGTTCAGCTCAATGGCAGTCGCAAAGTCATGGGCATCCTCCGCGGATACGATGTATGCATCTCCACTCTACACCACTTCTAGACTCAGCTAACATTGCGCAGGTCTACCTAAACATTGTACTCGACGAGGCGCTAGAAGAGAAGGCTGGCGGCGAGAAGGTGCGCATCGGCATGGTCGTCATCCGAGGAAACGCTGTGGTTATGCTTGAAGTATGCAATCCCATGCTTCCAGAGAAGGGAACTTGGAGCTAACAGAGTCGCAGGCGCTTGACCGCATCAACCAGGACGTACCCAAGATCGGACGATAGAAAACTACACGCGCAGGCGACCAGTATTACGGCTTCTGTGATACATCGAACGAGAACAAGAGCGAGGCAGATGGGCAGAATCCGGGCATTATAAGGCGCATGGGCGTTTGAGGCGCGAACACTTACGGGTATGCCTCACCAGGCCCCTTTCTACGCCTTTCTATCCAAAACATCACAACCACGGAGGACATGTTGCGGAACATCCATGGTGACATTTCACATCTACAGGACGATATTGTACCCACATGATACCAACTTGGGCAAGTTTTCTGAGGCAGGGATAGGCTTGGATCTCGATAGAAGAATCTGGTAGAGAAAAGTGCAAAGGCGCCCGGCTATTACTATCTTCAGAGTCAGAGAATCAACAAACCACCTTTATGGCCCCAAAATCACGCATTCCAGTACACTCGAAACATGATTTACACCGAAACATGATTACTGACGACTAGCTTACACAGATCAGGGTACTATAACTTGGCTTTCTCCTCGTGCCCACTCTTGAACTCTTGCACAAGGCCCCATGCAATCTCCGCATAAGGCTTCATCATGGCCGCATACGTCTGCGCCTGCTCACTACTCGCCTGTCTCAAAGCATACCGTGCCGCAATTCCCTGCATGATGATAGCACTTCTATACGTGCTGAACGCGTCCCCCCAAGTGAAGTCAGGCCTTGGATCCCAGCCCGCGACCTCCGAGTACCATGCAATCAGCTGCTCGCGAGTAGGCAGACCGGGTGTAGCACCGGGTTGGAAACCCTTATGCGCACGTCCAATTGACATGGCAATCTCATTTGACGCTGTCACGTAGGGTGCTAGCACGTTGTTCAGATCAGACAGCGGGTGTCCGATGGTACTCATTTCCCAGTCCAAGATACCAATCACCCTGGGTTCTGTCTTATGAAAGACAACATTGTCGATCTTGTAGTCGCCATGTACAAAGGTCGCGCGGTCTTTCGGCTGTGTCTTTGGGTCGCTGAAGAAGGCTACCATGTCGTCTTGATGCGGTATCTTTCCTACTGGTTCCCCGGTCTCCTTGTCTTTGGCGGAAGCTTGCGACTGGGAGATTGTGTTGAAGGTTGCGATTTGGCGGTTGTAGAAGCCAGAGTTCTTACCGTATGAGGCGAGGTTTACGGAAGATGGGGATACGCGGTGAAATTTCGCGAGCGTGGTAATGGCGGAGTGCCACCTAGTGTAATCTGTCAGCGAGGCGTTTGTGTGCTACTCGGTCGTGAGTGCTTCATACATCTTCGTTCGCTCTTCAGCCGTTACTCCTGGAATCGCGGGATCCTCGAAGATGCGCCCATCAAGGAAGTCCATGATGTAGAAGTCCGTGCCAATGACATCTTGGTCTTGACAGAGACACAGTGCGCGCGGAACAGGGACATCGGTTTTCTCCAGTGCGTGGATGATTCTGTATTCGCGATCGACCTTGTGCGCAGTCTACATAATTCCAAGTCAGCTCACGGTGATCGATTTCTCGAATAGAGAGCTTCATGGTACCTTTGACAAGAGTTGGCCCGGAGGCTTCTTCCTCAAAACGTATTTCTTTCCATCTTTATCCGTCAACTGATACGTCGGGTTCGACTGTCCATAACCAAACTACCTCATCAATTAGCCCATCGTCACCAAACAGCGTCCCCAGCTCCTCCGAACCAAACGTACCTGCTTGACGTCCAGCGGGACCTTGATCTCTGGTACATTTGCAGTGATGTAGCGCTCTAACGAGGCAATGTCAATTGGCTGTCGTACGTTGCCGGCCATATTGAGAGCGTCTGTTGAATAAACATGGTGTGGGCGCTGGAGCAGTGATGTAGTTGGCGCGGTTGACCATCACCGAAGCGTGAGCCGAGGCAATTGCGGAACATGGGGAAATGCGCTCGGTCGGCGAGTCGGGAATGGCTGCGACTCCGCGGTTGCCTGAGTCGATTCTGGATGGGATATGCAACAAGTTTGAGGCCTCTCGAATTATTAAATGGTGCTTCCAAGAAAATGATTTTGGAAGATTAACGTGCTCACTATAGCATGCAACTCTGGATATGGTGTTGTTCATGTGTTCACAGAGTTTCTAAGCCGTCAAGCTAAACTGCATGTCTGATTATAACTATTTGGTTTGCAAGTGTGCTCTGAAAATGAGATCCTATTGCACGCGTGTTGACATCTTTGATCAACCTAGACATCGCACATCTGAGCATGGCGGCTGCCGGAGGTCTGACTGCCCGCCCCGCACCCGCTCCTCTCACGTGCCCACGCGTTCATGGTGCAAGGTTCAGTCTCCTTGCGTCAGCAAGCAAGGACATGGTTTGCGTCGGGGACTAACTACGCGATCTGACTATGCTTTTGTGGCTTTGAGCGGGAAGACACGAATTTTGGATCCTAGTAACATTGAATTAATGCTAGGATAGTTGAATGAAGTGGCTGACAATGTGAAAGTCATTTCACTTTACGAAACCCCCTACGCTTCATAGCATCGGTAGTATTGTCAAGTATGCAGACGACGGTCTCATCGTCGCGAAGCGCAAGACCGTTATTATGGTGTCATTGGTACTGAACCGTCTTGCTTTTTGTCGGTTCCAATACTCGGTGATCTGCACGCTACGGTCGCGTACCGCATTTCGTACGACTACTGATGACGATTCTGACGATACGTGCAAAGTGCGAGAGGATGGGTAGATGTAATGTTCGAGTGAAATGATGGGTTGCGCGCAGAGAAAGGAGGGACGATTCCCCTGACGTGACAGTCATGATGGATTGGGCAACGATCGGTTAATTAATCGTGCTCCTCAGTCGCCGCTACGTTGGCAGTCCAACCCCTGCCATACCATCTCATCAAAACAAACACCGTCCTACCTGCCCTGTGACACTCCAAACAGGTCGACCCTGTCAAACGAGCCGTCCGGTATGGCCTATCCGCATACTCCTAGGCGTCTTGGAGCACGCCCTGCACTTCACCCTACTGCCTCATCGCCCAACCTTTCGTTAAACGCCAGCAGAAACATCGCACGGCAGGCATCTTTATCAGCATTAGTAGGCGCTGGAGGCTCGCCATCAAACAGGATGGGCGCAGACGGAAAGGACATAGATGTTGGCGACACAGTCGATGTCCCCGGCGGCATGATAGGTGTTGTCAAGTTTGTTGGTAGTATTCGGGGCAAGCAGGGCGTCTTCGCGGGCGTCGAACTGAACAGAGAGTATGCAGCGCGGGGCAAGAACGATGGCGCAGTGGATGGGTACGCATACACAACGCTTGATACATGTGCGCATACTTACTTCTCTACAGTACGCAATACTTCGATACTTCCGTTCCCGGCTCTGGTATCTTTCTCCCCGTACATCGCGCACAGAAACGGGTCTCAGCCGACTCGTCCGACTTCGCACCCGAGCCTACGACGCCGTCGTACCACAACAACTTCAGTCTCTCGACCACAGAGAAACCCAGCTTCAGTCCGGATACCCCGTCCATGTCAAAACCAATGTTCTCACAGTCAGTCGGGCCTGGCGCCCGCGTGCCTAGTCCAAAGAGATTGCCCTCGTCAACAAGACCCTCATTCAGGCCTGAATCTCCGTATCGTCAAAAACCGAGTCTCGGTGCAACACCCGCCAGGAGCGGCGGACTGACACCTTCTGGCTTCTCCAAGAGCGCAATCGGCGCACCACCGAGATTCGCCAGTCCAGCGCCTCCTCGTTATGCTAGTCCTGCTCCGAGGGCTGCTCTCCCACAGAAGCCACGAACACCCGGCCCGCAACGACCCTACTCGCGAAGCAGTTCCCGTCTCGGTCACCAAGACACTATCGACGAGGACAACGAGACCACGCCAGTCGGCGCAGCGCGAACCAGCAATGATTCCATGGCCAGCTACAAGCATCGTAGGCCGGGCTCTAGGCTAGGCTCGGCTCCCAACGAAGAAGTACAGCGGCTCCAAGCGCTGCTGGAACAGAAGGAAAAGCAGCTCCAGGAGCAGGCTTCGTCGCTGAGTGAGATGGAAGCAAGTTTGACGGAAATCCAGAGCCTGATACCCGAGGACGGAATGGATATGGGATCCGCACATGGCAGTAGCGAGCCGACTGATGTAGCGCAACTACGAGCACTTCTCAGGGAGAAGAACGATAAGATCGCCATGCTCACATCTGAGTTCGATGCACATCGATCCGACTTCCGAAGCACAATCGACACGCTAGAGCTAGCGAGCACCGAAACAGAGCGCGTATACGAGAAGAAAGTAGAAGAGTTACAAGAGGAGTTACGCGAGTATGCATCTCGTAGTGAAGACGTAGAGACTGTAGCAATGCAGTTGAAGCAACTGGAAGAACTCGTACAAGAGCTAGAAGAAGGCCTAGAAGATGCACGTAGGGGCGAAGCAGAAGCTAGAGGCGAGGTCGAGTTCCTGCGGGGCGAAGTCGAGAGAGGTAGATCCGAACTCCGTCGCGAACGCGAAAAAGCCGCTGCTGCTCTCAAGGGGGCAGGTGCAATGGTCGACGCGCCAGGGCAAAGAGAAGTGGAGCAACGCGACGACGAGATCCGTGGTCTAAAGGCCATCATCCACTCCTTGAGCTCTGGTGGAGGAGATGACCGGCGTTCACCTTTATCGCGGCAAAACTCGTCCGTCGACGCTGAGGAACTCCAAGCCGCCAAAGCGAACGCAGAACGTCTCGAGCGCGAAAAGGAGGAACTACGCGGTCTCATAGAACGCAAGGCCTACCGAGAAGAAGAGCTAGAACGTGAGCTCGAGAAGCTGAAAGCCCAACTTGGCCTTGCAGAGCAACGGGAAAGCGTAATCAGCAACGGCATGTCTGAGCACACCGCCGTACCAGAAAAGCCATCAGAACGTGACTCAAAAGACACCATCATGAACTGGAGAGAACCACCACAGCACACTCGTCGCGATGCGCCTCCTGCGCTCTCCATAATGCCAGAATCTGACGGACGCTCCTCCGCCAACAGCAGCCTCCTCTGGTGCGAAATCTGCGAAACTGGTGGCCATGATATCCTGAATTGCTCCGCTATGGGCGGAGATGCTTCGTACCCCAAGGAAGACGGTCTACACAATGGTAAGGACGTCGTCATCGAAGGCCTCCGCGGTCTCTCCATCTCCTCCGACCGCGCCCGCCCGCCTGCTCTCAGCCCATCAAAACCACCAGGCAGCGCGCCCACTGCTCCTCTCCCTACCCCTTCATTGAACGCGTCGAACTCTGATCTTGTGCCGCCCAAGGGCGCGGCTATCGCTGATCCGGACAAGTGGTGTGCCCTGTGCGAGAGCGAGGGACATGATGTTACGGCCTGCCCAAATGAAGACGCCTTTTAGAACGAGGGCGATCCAAACGAGTGGTGTCCGTTGTGTAAGAACAATGGACACGATGTTAGGGAGTGTCCGTACCAGGGCGGATTAGCTCGAAAGGGGCGAAGGGGAACGGTTGAGAGAGAGAGCATATGTCGTCTCTATTTCCGTATTGTTCGTCATTATGCGTATGATATCCCCCATGATTGAATCATTTCGAGTCTGTTTCTTTTTGGCAAACTTTGATGGTAGCGACATGGGCCTCCTCCCCTCCTCTAAACCATCTCGTAGGCATATATAATATCATAATCTTCTTCTTCATCTGGTCAGAGACGGGGTTCGATAAGTGTATAGCACGATATCGGTCAATCAAACAATGAGCTTGTCTGCATTGGACTAACTAACTACTTGTACAAAACACTGATTTTCCCAAAAGAGTCAAAACGCCCAGGGAAAAGAGCTCCCTTAACTATGCATGCACAGCAAATGTATTCCAATCAAGCCTTCTTACCAGACTTGTGCTTCTTACTCTTCTTTGCAGCACCCTCCTTGAACTTCTCAGCCTCCTTGTACGCCTCCTCAACCGCCTCACCGACTTTCCTCTTCTTCTCCCCTGTCTTGACAGCAACGGTCATGCTACCCGCTCCGCCCTTCTTGGCTGCATTCTGAATAGTGCGTTCGGCTTCTTCCCAATCAGCGGCTCCGGCACCAATTTCGTATCTATTAGGTGGCAATGTTAGTGGTGCCATTGAGTGATATGTTACGATGGAATGTAGGAAACTTACTTATGCAGAGGTAGAGCATCAATCATACTTCTCTGCCTCTCCTTGTCCTCGGCCAGGAACTCATCACCGCCTTCCCTAAGTTCCTCCTGTAAATCTTTCTCGAGAGGCATGAAGCGGTGGGCGTCATCAACGGCCCCGCCATCAGCGCCGTTTTCCTCTACTTCCATAGCGTCGGGCATCGTCTCCTCAACAGCGCCTTCTACGATACTGCGGAATGCTGTGGCGGCCTTTCGTACAATCTTGACGAACATGGCCATCAGCTGGCTGGAGTTGAGGTTGAGTTCCTTCTCAACGTCCGAGAACTCTTTGCGTTGCAGACCGATGGCGAGGAGCAGTGCCGTCTGGACACCGCTTAGCTTGACTTGGCCCTTAAGACGGCCGGTGAAATAGAGTGTGGCGATGGGAGGAAGCATATCGAGGATGACATGGTAGTCGAGCATGTTGTTCGCGTACGAATCCAGACGCTTGAGATCGAAGGGTGTGAAGAGGGCGTCTAGTTCGGCTTTGCTGATGGGTTTCGCAGCAAGATCGGCGTCTAGCTTAGATCCTGCTGATGCTGATTCCTCTATTGAAAGAGAGGTGATGGAAGGGAATGAGCGGAATTGGTAGGAAAGGAGGGAGAGGAAGCGCTTCTGGAAGTCCTTAGCGAAAGCGGCAACCCAGCTTCCATCCGACGAAGTAGTCTCGAGCGAACGCAGCATGATACACGTATGTTCTCCAGTGAGATCGTTGGCTGTTTGCCTTAGGTAGACAGGAACGAATGATGCACGTTTCCAGAACTTGTGGAGTTGGGACGTAAGGCCATACGAAACACCAACATAGTCGAGCTTTGGTGACCTCAGCTCTTGTAATCGAGCAAACAGCGGTGGCATTTCATTGGCTTCCCGAATCTTGACGTTGTCCTGGAGGAGCGATGCGTTCTCCAAGTCTTCCTCCGTCACTCTTCGCATCTGTTCCACCACCTGAGGCTCAGTTTCCGACAAGCTAGCAAGTTTGCCGTCGTAGAAGTCGACAAGAAGCTGTAGCGCCTTTGATCCGTAACCCATGTTGACATACTCAGGGTTCGTTGCTATCCGCACAATACGAGCTCCGGAGAGACTTGCGAAGTTTTCGTCTTGGAATTGCTGTGAAACGATCCAAGGGATGAGATCACCGCCTGCGCGTTGTCCTCTACTCAGACTGTTCAGCACGCTTTCCCTGCTGATTTGACCTTCTAGCGCTACTTGAATCACACAGAGAGGCTCAGGGAGCTTGTTCTCTTCTGTGGGCCCGGTAAGCACGAAGAGCTGATGCGCAGGCGCATCCGACATGAGCTGGAGGTCGTTGGGCGTATTCTTGTAGTGACTAGCTACGTACAACGCCATCATCTTCTGGAGGAACTTCTCTGCAGCAGGATTGTAGGAGAAGAGTGTATCCCGGTTGACATGAAGAAGCTGGCATTTATCTGGGTGCGGGCATCCTTGAGTGATCGATCTTCGGGGCAGTGTTGCATCAAGACATAGAAGATCGTTCATCCATCGCTCCACAGAATCGCCTTGAGCATATCGAATAGGCTCTGACAGTGTAATTTCTCGGAGCGATCGGCCGGTCATGGATGTCTCAGTGCCGTCCTTTGTTTCCTTTCCAGTCGAGCGATCCACCACATGCGTTGAGCCACTGTTGCCTTTGCCTCGCGACTGTTCGCGAAGTTGCTGTATAAGCTTCAAGGAGAGGGAACGGCCAGTTCCTTCGTATCCGTTGATGGTCGATGCCATGAAGACAAGGTATGGACCCATGAGTTTCCGTACGAGTGGCAGAGGGATTGCCGCGGCCTCATCAATTACCAACAGCTCTGCTTGTCCTAGGACGTGCGAGTCTTCGGGCCTGATGTATTGGATGACCTGTCGGTGTTGTCGATGTAATTCGATTCGTACGATGGCTTTGTTCTGATCGGGCTGTGTAGACTGCATGATGGTGTAATCTTGATGATCTGCGTAGTTTAGCGAATCAAATCCCTTGAGGATAAACTCGAAGAGTGTCTTCAGGTTCTCTGGGCTGGGCGATGTGATGTAAATATTGCTGTATCCATGCGCTACTGCTGCTGCCACTGCAACACCAAGAGCTGCTGACTTTCCGCGTCCACGAGCTGCGGTCAGGGTCACGGTGCTGCGAAGCGTCTTCTCGACAATGGCCTCCACGAATGTCAACAACGCCTTCGCCTGGTCTACGGTCTTCGCAAGCTTGACTAGGTCTCCTGTCGGAGGCGAGTCTGCCAACGACTCCTTGATCTCGGCCAACTCTTTCGCCTTCGGTGTCTTGCCCTCCAACTCTGCGTCTGGTGGCGGCAACTGCTTAACATGCTTTCCACCTGAAATGGGGAGCACGTTCAGCTCATCGTCGACGACCAAACAACTATCGCACTTTCCGAGTGACAATAAGAAGCGCTCGTTGAATCGCGCTACGACATCGCTGTGAGCCTCCGTCCGATATCTTGAATGAATGTCCATGGACATTGTGTATAGCTGCTTTAAGCTGCTCATGCCCTTTAGCAGCAATATGACCAATCCTCCACCTTCGACAGTCTCTATTGTCCTTGCGAGTAGGTTTGGCGTAAGCGCTTCGAAGTCCTGCAGGATACACATGCCGTATGTGTTACCCAGAATCTTCTCGGTTTCCTTATAGTAGACATATCGGATGTTCTGCGTCGAGACGAATAGTTCGAATGGATCTTCGGTGTCGACGTCTCGGATTCCGCGCTTGATCTCGTTCTTGATCTTCTTTTCACGCTTCTTTCGGTGACTTGAGAAGCCTAGCAGCTTGTTCTTGTATGCCCACAGCACCGACTTGTTCAACTTGACATCCACGTTGAGTAGAATGTGGTAGAGGTTGACAATGACGTCTTTTTGGCGATCACCGACAACTACGAAGAAGCTGCGCTTCTTTTCCTGGGCGCCATTGCGGATCAAGGCCGGAATACGGGAGTCGATGGCTTTCTTCGGCATCTTGAGAGCTCCGCAGGCGTCGCCGCCTCTTCTTCGATAACGAGCGAGTCTCGGGTGGCGCAAGCGATCTGTCAGTTGGGTTCGGGTCGCGGAAGAGTCTTGGTTAACTTGGAGGGCGGTGACTCTTGTGGCCCTGGTTGTGGTGGGTAATGAGCTTCGTAGTGAGGAAAAGTTCTGGCTGTCGCGAGATGCCCGAGAAAATAATCCAGGGATCTCTTATCGATAACAGCACAACGCGCTACCCATATGCGCAGCGCGAATGGAAACCATGACACTACGATTTCAACTGTGTGTACCAATTTCCATTCTCTCAAATGTCAATGCAGGTGATAGCAGGTCTCTTGCAGGTAAATTCCGGCGAGCTGAATCTAGATTCATACGAACTTCTTCTCAATGTGACGGCCTGCATTCTTCCATCACGACGAGAACGCATTCACAACAAGGCGCGTCGTCAATCAACATAGAACATATCATATCATGAAAGATGGCTAACAAAACCCTACTCCGTCTTCGTCGCCTTCTGAGCCTCCGTGTACTTATCCAATCCCACATGCTCATTGATCCAGTCTAACACAACCTTATGCCACATGAGACCATTTTCAGGCTTCAGCACCCAATGGTTCTCATCTGGAAACGTCAAGAACTGACTTTCTACTCCTCTGCACTGCAGCACGTTAAATGCCGCCAAGCCCTCACTAATCGTGAGCCTGTAATCCAACTCGCTGTGAATGACCAGCTGAGGCGTGGCCCAATTCTCAGTAAACCTAGATGGGTCCCACTTGGCCCAGTTTTCAGGGTTGCTCCAGAGAGTGCCTTTAATATCGTGGAAGGGGAAGTACAACTCTTCAGATGCCATCTGGCCGGACATGCTGAAGACGCCATCGTGGGTTACCAGTGCTTTAAACTCGCGACCGAGAGGGTGTCCTTGGATCCAGTTCATCATGTATCCGCCATAGGACGCACCAAGAGCGACGGCACGCTTCGTGTCGACGTAGCTGATGTTCTGTTTGATGTAGTCGAAGCCAAGCACAAGGTCCTCGTATGGCAGACCACCCCATTGGCCCTGGATAGCATCTGTGAAGGCTTGGCCGTAAGATGTGCCTGGGATAATAAGTCAGTATTATTCTGGCTGTACGTCTTACTCTGGATTTACATACTTCCAGTAGGGTTCGGGCAAATGACAACGTAGCCTTGCTCTGCAAATACGGCCGGGTTCCACCGCGTACTCCATCCATCAGTCCATGCACCCTGCGGTCCGCCGTGAACAAGGTAAGCGAGTGGATAGGTTTTCTTGGATGAGAAGTTGCTGGGCTTTACAACCCAAGCATGAACCTTGGTACCGGATGCAGCACCATCCCAGTGGATTTCATTGATCTGATGGCGCGACAGGCCAAACATAGAACCAGAACGCGTGTTCGAAGAGATGTACTTGGTCGTTAGATGGTCGGGATCTGAGTTATATGGCCTATCATCGATAGGAAGTTCGTAGACAGCTGTGTCGCTGCTTTGAGTGCTGAGAGGGACAAGGGAGTACAGGGAGTTCTCGATTAAGCTGGTCGAAGTCACGAAGATATCGCCATTCTTGAGAACTTTAGCCCCACCAATAGTCCCACCTTTTACGAGTAGCGATGGCAAGGGCTCCTTTTCTCCTCCAGGTTTAGGAGGTCCGGCGCTATACAGGTTTCCACGGCCATGAGACTCCGCAGTGAAGTAAAGGCGCCAGTCGTCGGGACTCCAGGATATCGATTGTGGGCTTCGGTCCCATTTGCCTTTACCGTCATCGGAACCATAGAGCAGGGTGACCTGCGAGGGCTTCTTGTAATCGTGGATGATAAATGGCTGGTTCTTGTCGGACTCGTACCCATCGGTCTTCATGGAAAGAAAAGCAATCATGCCGCGTGAGTTCGACCAGACCGGAGATGTGCTGGCACCTTCGAAGCCCTCAATAGATGCCTTTTGAATTTCTGGCATATCTTTCGTGTGGAGGTCATCCCAGAAGCTGTCAGACGCGGAAACGTAGATGTTAGTCTTCGTATGCGTCGCAGGATTCAGATCAGGATCCTTTGATGTGAAGACAAGACCGTATTTCGATATGTCAAAGTGGTCTTTTCCACCAAAGGGTTCGATGGGTGACTCCAATTTCGTGCCCTTCAGTGCATTCGTTAGAGGATGTCCAAGCTCGACAACGTGGGACTTTTCAGATTTCTTCTGAAGGAGTTTGCCAAGCCATATCGCGTTCCGGTTCTCCGTCACGTAGTGGTCCCAATGACGGACGAACCCGGACTTGTATAGCTTTCCCGATGAAAGTGGCTTCTCGGCCCTCTCTGGGTTAAAGAGTGTGCCATCTGGCTTCGCCTTGCCGACTACAGCAAGACCGAAAACGCCGTTTCCGAGAGCATAGATCTTAGAGTCGTTCACAGGCCCTTCAATTGTACCAGCAGTATGTTTGCTAAAATATCGTTAGCTGCAGTGCACTTGAGATGATAGTGCGGACCAACCTCTTCTCAAAGTTGTATGGAGATCCAACGACTATGTTTGTAGTACCATCTTCATTCGACTTCAGCAGTAATATGGTCTCATCATCAAGCCATGTAGGCTCGCTGAAGGATGCATCGTCCGTCACGAGACTAGTTTGCTGGGTTGCAGCGTCCAGAATACGGATTTCAGATTTCTTTGAATGTTCAGAGAAGCTGTACGTCGAGACTGAGTACAAAACTTTCGATGCATCGGAATTTGGAACGCCCCCAGAGCGGCGTGGTGCTTCTAAGAGCACCTCGGGTGTGAATTTGGCGGCTCTGATCGTCATACTGGTGTTGGCTTTGAGAGAGGCTACCTCTGTAAGATATTAGTTGGATCTTGAGGATGATGCAATTCCCAGCTCCAGATTGTGTGCTATTCTGTTGAGCTCACTATGCAGCTACAAGGTCTTTAGGTGCTTGATAAGCTTCAGAAGCGGTGTAGACTCAGCTCCATGGATGACGAGCATATATCCAAACTCGATGTTGGGCAAGAACAAATTCATCGCGTTATCAGTCAGATAACTGGCTAACGAACGCGAATAGCTTTTGCTCATGGCCCAATGTCTCTTGCTGTCAAACTCCATAGCCCCATAGAAGCAACGACCTGGGACACCCGCCACGTACGAAGGAAGTATACGGATCGATAAGGAAGGTTCAGAATAGCGACTTACCAATTCAACAGATTCCCTCAGAAGACTGACAATGACTTTGCGCGACTCGTGGGTGATTGTATTAGACGTGAAGCAATATATGGAAGAGGGAGCACCGTGGTAGATGTCTCAAGATCGACCTAAGCGGATGTGGTTGGCTGATCCCCTCACGCCAGCCACCCCACCGGCTAGCGTCGCTCTTTGTGTCATCACTCACCGACGTTTGCATTGCCCCGCCTATGATATTTGTCCGATGTCCAACAACCCCGATCGCTTGGTAAATGCGAATCTCAGCTGCCCGCGGATCAACATGAACTATATAATATAACCAGTTCAAAAAATGTCCAAAAACAAGTCCAGGGACAATAAAGTCCTGTGGCGCAGTGGTAGCGCGCCGTTCTTATAAGATTCGTCAGACTCTTATGACCTCATCAAGGTTATGCGGATGCCGTGGGTTCGAAGTACGTGATTTCCATATGCAATAATTCGATTTCCTGTACTAACAACTCTCCCAGCCCCACCAGGACTAGAGATTATTCTCCTTTTTTTGCACTTTTGTGTGTCCAGTATGCTCTATCTCGCCCAGTCTGCCTGTCAAGGTCCCGCCTTTTTGTACGCGTGGTTGTCCTGACACGATGAGGTTTTTTTTTACACCCCTTAACGCCCACTGCTTTTAGGGCGCTATGTGGATTTAACGCTCTCCATGCAGTCATGTAAATAACATAATACGATCTGATACTACTTCTTGAGGGTTTGATAGTCACACCAGTTAGGCCTACCGATATGATTTCGCACATCGCACCCTTCGTCAAAATTGCTATGCAAGCTAGTATCCTTTCTGTTCACACTCGCAAGAACAAGCAAGGTCTAGGAGTTACATGAAAATAAAAGAGCCGAAGCTAAATCATCTTACCTAGCTAAGATGAACGAGTATCGCGACTGCAGAAGCCGAAGGACCATCTAGCTAATGAACTAATACCTAGGTATAGACACATGACTAACTACAAGATCACGAAGAGGCACGCCTTCGTAGCATTTTCCAGCTTTACAAATCGACTCTTTCCTCCCATAAAAGCACTTCCATTTAGTCAACCCTAGACCGCAAGTGCTGGCATACGGGCTCAACAGCATCTTCTTCGCAGCCACCTCGAATGAAACATTTACCTTCTTCTCACACGCATATTGCAGCGTCAGCTCAACCAGCCGCCTCTCCAAGCCCGTCCTATAGTACCCTTGACTATCTACGACGATCCTCTGCAGTCCATCTAACATCCTGAGCGCCCGCTTTACCATCATTGATGACCCTCTCATTGACCCAGCCGATTGTACGTACTCCTGGATTGCTAATCGCGCAGTGGGCCATCGGATCTTCAGCGTGCGGATGGAAGATATCCGAGTGGGTGAGAGGAGGTTTAGAACAACGAGAAGATCCAACATGTTATGGCAATGGATAGTGTTGCAGGAGAAAGGGAGTAAGTGAGTCTCCAGATAGAATTGTCGCGATGTGAAAAGAGCGGCGAAGGGACTGGTTAGTATGTTTCGCCTCTTGGTCTCCTTATTAATGAGAGGGCTGCTTGGAACGAGCATGTCGTTGTCGCCGATGTCAGCGCCCATGGCTTCTTCAGTTCCAGTCTTCTTGTCTTCTTCAGGCTCGACGAAAAGCCTTTGCATGAGTGTGGAGTCCCATGGGAGCAGTTCGATGGTCTCACCCGTACTGAACACATACTCGTAGATGCGCTTGCGGATGCCGATCGGTAGGCGTAGAAGCGGCGAGTCTGTAGAGTTCTTTACACAGAGATCCAACATCTTCTGCGTGAGCTCTAGCTTTTCGGCTTGTGGTTCGTGCTTCTTGGGCTTGAAGCGGATGTTAGGTCGCGGGTCCAGAGGCGGTGTTGAACCTGGTCTTGTCATGTTGGTTGTTGTATTGGAGAGGCTGTGGTGCTAACAGTGAGACTGAACTTGTCTTTTGTGCGTTAAGTGAGATGTGGTGTTGGAAATAGAAATAGTTGGATAAGCTTTTATGTGAGGGAGTGGTGCGTATCGTGGTTGTGATGAACTATGGATTCGGGTTGTAGTGAGAGGGAACCTTGTTAGCAAGGACATGGGCAGATAAAGTGAGGATGGTCGCACCGAGTGCGTGCGACGTGAGACACAATTCAACAATCCATACAGACAGCGCTCGTATGATCATGTCTCAGGTTTACTTCACCCATGGTCCACCGTCATCACGAACCGTGTCAGCGAATCGCAGAGAGTCGAAGTCCAAAATCTACTATCGACGCGAAAGCCGTTAACGAGGATACCAAAATAATGTATTAAAATGTTCCGAAGAAAGAGAACTCGCTGTTCCAAACCCGCTAAACACACCATGGTATACGCTACGCCGTCATTATGTACCCTGGGCCGCAACCGCAACCCAAACAGTCATGTACCCGTTCATAATCTCATTATTAACCCGCGTCTAGCCAGACGCCAATTGTATTAAACAGCCAAAGCATTCCCTACTTGCCCTTTACCGCCAAATTTGCCATTTCTTCTTGCGCTTCGGTACAACAAAGCTTTCCTGGCTCATCTCCTGCTCCTGCCCATTGGGGCTCTCCTCGTCTTCGTCGGCGCTATCAAAACTGTCTTCATCATCTTCGTACCTGCCTCCACCGAGGTACTTTGCTCCAACCCCAGCACTGCCATTCCGTTGTGGGTAGGCCGGGTAGGAAGAAGTACGGTCGTAACCGCCTCGTTGTGGTTGTGCAGCATAGTCTGCACGTTGAACCGGTTTTTCGGTATACTCCGGATCCACGACATGCCTGGGTGCTATGGCAGGATGAGTCTTCCCATCTCGGCCACCGCTGGTGAAGTAGTCACCGCCTGCTGTGTCTTGTCTGGCTTGAAGGCCCCCTCCATCTCGGGAGTAAGGCGAGTTCGGACCGCCACCGACGATCGCTGGATGTGGCGGGTATGATTCACGCTTCGTTTTCTTTTGCGAAGGTGTATGAGCGAGGACATGTGCATCATGCTCCCACTTCTTGTCGTGTGAGTGTTGGTTCAAGATACCGCCCATGGACCTCCTCTCGACTTTCGGCTCTACCTCTGGGGAGGGCGCAGGCATTTGTGACTTGTGAGACGAGTTATAGGTAGGCTGCTTGCGTGTGGAGGCGGAGCGGGATGGCACCACTGTCGTTTGAGTCGTAGTCTGGGTAACGGAAGGGGGTACCGGCTGGCTGACGTGCCGTTTTGCGGCTACGTTCTCCCAAGCAGAGGCTCTGGATGAAGTACCCGCAGCTGCATCCATGCTTCGCCGTCCATAGCTTTGTGGAGCGAGGTCGCGAGTGGTTCCATTCGTCTGGGTCGGAGCTACATTTGCAGCTGTATTAGCATGGAAGCCTGAGCTAAGACGATTCTCACGAGCAGCAGGAACGGTGGGAGCGACAGCAGCAGACTCAGAGTCACGCCTCTTGCCGGATCCAAAACCTGGCATGATTATCCGAGGCCCGACCTTGTACCTTTGCCGTGTGCGCTCTTCTTCGTCCTCACTAGACATCTCTCCAAGTTCGCTTCCGCTCTCGCTGCCCGAGATGGAGTTTCCATCATCGCCGATCGTGGCCTTGTGCTTTCCACCAAAAGCACCGAAGAAACCACGGGACTTGGTCCTTTCTTTCTCGACAACGCCATCCTCAGGCTCGACATAAGTAAGGGCTGGTACGAGTAGTCTATATGGTGTTGTGATACCTGCCGGATCATGCTGTGATACTTCGACGTTGAGACAAATGTCAAGTCCGCCCTCGAGGTTGATGAATTGGCCGTGGTGTTGCGCACTCTTCTTAGTCAGCACGCTAGGACGGCGGTGAAAGTTGGAAGGCCGATCCTGTGACACACTGTGCCGGCTTAGAGGAGGCGTTGCACTCTCGGGTGTCTCTGGACGGGCGGCGTCCACTGATGCACGGCGACGGAAGAGCGATGTCAAAGAGTTGCGTCGCGAACGAGCGGGTCTCTCTGGCTCAGATCGATCAGGCGAGAATGACGACTGTGGTTGATGGTGGCTGATCTGCCCTTCATCGGCAGCGGCGTATGCAGGGTTGTTACGATAAGACAGAGGCGGTCCGCGGCCTCTTACTGAAGGTCTTCTCTGCTGACCACTGAGTCTTCTCACCAGCTGCCCTGGTGCAAAGTCTGACATTGATCTTCCCATACGCGGTCCGTTCGTCGGAGTCATGGGCGGCGATGGTGTTCCTGGTGGCGAAGATCCTGGCTTGTACTCTCGAATGCTGCACCAGTTTCGGTGGGGTAGCAGATGGGTGTTGTTCCTCTTTTTACCGTCAACGCCATGAGTGAAGAGGGGTATCATGTCTTCGTCCGTTTCTGAATCGAGATGATGGATCTTGTTGCGCTTATTGATGATATCTGCCATCACATCTGGAGGCGGGGTGTTGACTATGGCGGAAGACACAATGTTTGGCATGTATCTGTGATCCTTGTCCTTGGGAACGTTCAGTTTCTTGTTGCTGTAGAACTGACCGACAGCTGCCAGATGAACGTCACCACCAAGTATGGTAACGCGCACAGATTTGGTCGAAGCAATATGTTGCAGTTCCTTGATGAACCAATTGCGCTCTTCCTTATGGTGCTTGGCTGTCCAATGGTCATCTAGGTCGTCCAAAATCTCAACCCCTCCATCGAACTTGTTGACAAAGTTGCCCAGCATCCCCGCACGACCGAGAGCCTTCAGAGGATCCATAAGCCTGCTCGTAAGAATATTTTCGAGGAAGTTCAAGCGGGGGTAGGCGATGGGTACGCCAAGAAGCACAATCAAGTGCTTAGTTTCACCCTTGATTATCTCATCTTCGAGACGATCGAAAATGATGTCGTAGGAGTCCTCAGTGAGGATCTCATCCCGCTGTCGCTCTGTACGGCAGTCGAGACCAAGGAAGGCTACCTGTCGACCAAGTTGCATGAAGACGCTACGAGAGCGCTCTTTTATGTATGGACCTGGGCTCTTTCCCAGTAACCAAGACGGTTCGGTCTTGTCGGTTTCGGCTGGAACGGACTGATGCTGGAAGAGCATGTAGTATTTGAAAGCAATAGCACCAACACCAGTGAATACTGGTGTTTGCATGAAGTGATGAGGATATGATCCGAAGCCGTCGATGATGTCGTGGTCATCCCAGATATTAACCATCGGAATTTGTGAGTTGGCCATTCCGAAAAGACCCTGCGAGAACCACATCGCGTATCGATCAAGGTAAAACTGCTCAAGCTCATTCTGCATCTCTTCGGAGAATGGCTGGTGGTGCTTGTGCATGGGATTCCTGTTTTCGGTCCACTGTCTGAACAAGGTTGTCTCCCTCATTGCAGCGTCGTTGTAGATCTGATCACCTCCACCGATCATTACATGGAAAGGGCGCGTCTGGTGCGTGTTCAGTACATCGCGCCACAGCGGATCTGGACCAGAGAACTCATTCGAGTCAACAGTGGCCGAGAAACCGTTGCAGCTGTGGAACATGATGTTCATAGACTCTCCCTTGGCTGGAACCCAGAAACCGATGGCAGGGCCTTGGTTAATCTTGTACGCGATACGTGTTTGGCTACTGCCAAGTTCGACTTCGATGTTGAAGCGCCAAAAGGTCACGCCTCGCTCAGCGTACAGGCGAACACCAGGAAAATCACGAACCTTCCCCAGCTTCTCACCGTCCTTCTTGTGAATGCGGGTGGACTTAGCACCCGATCCGTTGCTTGTGTTTCGGGTCTGAGAGAATAAGCCAGTGTCGTCTTCAACTCGCGATAGGTCCTCATTCTCCGCGAGTTCATCAACCGGCTTGACGTATAGTGTCTTGCCAGTACGTGACACTTTGATCTGACCTTCGATGGGATCGACATAGGATGGATCCAGCTGATCCTGACTGATCTCTTCCGGTGGAGGAGGAAGTATGTCCATTGGCTGCTTGAATAACCTTAACGTCGGCGGCTTAGAATACGAAGAAGAGGCATCAACAGTCACAATCATGATGCTGCCTCGCCAAATCTCACGCTCCCTCCCTGGTACGCTACGATCTCTTCGGAGACCGGTGTAACGCAAGAGTGGCCCGCACTTCAGGTACAGTGGTGGATTGAAAGCAGTTGGTGTGGAGGTGTCGTCAGCATAGCCATCGTATGTTGGCTCCGCATATCCACTGGAGCGTCTTCGTCGGGAAGCCTTGCTTTCTTCCCACCACGCTTTGTTGCCACTGTTGGCTTTGACCGGAGCGTCCAGATCTAGATCATCAGCAGTCAGAAGACCGATCGGTGCACTTCTCCACTCCTCGAGCATAGGAGCGGGTGTATACGTCCTCTCTGGCTCATTGTGGCGGCTGAAGCGGTGACGTTGTTTTAGTTCGGGATCATGCTGTTCTAGATCTGACTCGGACTCGGAGAACATGACACTTTTGCGGTTGGTTTGAGGGACAGGTGGAATCTGGACGGTCCGAGGAACCGGAGGAATCTTGCGTGGTAGTTGCTGATTTTCGTTTTCTCGTGGTGTTCCTTTGTAGTCAATAGAATCTTGCTGCATCTCCATCTGTGCGGACATGATTCCGCGGCTGTCTCTTCGTCCCTGGCCTCTTTTGCTCTCCGAACGAGACACATCAGACGGTGTTGAAGTATCCCGAACGCCCACCAGACCGAGTCCAGAGGGGCTAGCTACAGCCTTCCTAGGTACGTTCTGTGAAGGAAGTGTACTCCGATCGCTAAAGCTACCAGCTCCCCGTGAACCAGCAGGTTCTTTGCCCTTCAAACTGCTACTTCGCGGAACGGCAACGTCAGTGTGTGGTACCTGCTGATAGCCTGTAGGAACGACTTGTGCCTTCTGCATAGTTATTGGTTGAGCGGACTGAACTGCTCCACCTTGAGCATCTTCGGGATGCCATGGCTCGCTGAGATCATAGGCATAACCATCATCTGATTCCAAGTCGCTCATGGGGGGAGACATGGGAGGAGACATGGGTTTATCCTGTATCGGCATGGATACCTGGCGTCTGCCATTGGTTCTTGGGGCTGAAGCGCTGGACTTTTCCGGTATGGGCACAGAGACAACTCGTTGTTTCTGCGCCGCTTCTTGTTGTTTCTGTGCGGCTTCCCTCGCTCGTCTTGCCCGCATCTCGGCTTCGGCCTTTTCTTGGGCGGCCAATTCTGCCTCCAAAATCCTTGCTCTTCTCTCTTCTTTGCTGATGTCATCCAGCTTTCCTTCCAGCTTCTGAAGGGGCGATCGATCGGGCACAGAGGGTCTGCGCTGAGAGCCGCGTCGCTCGACGGTGCCTGCCAGAGGTTCGACCGGGGCGTATGGTGGTGACCGCAGCTCGTACAATCTATTGGCGGCCGTCTGTATAGTCGCTTGTTGTCTGCTGGGGTTCAATTGAATAGCTGGGTCGCGCGATCGACCGGAACTGGAGCGCGCAGGCACTCTGACGCCTTTGGCATATGGATCTCTGTAGGAAGAGGGTGGCGCACGAGGTACTTCTGGAGCAGCCGGCACAGATTCGCTTGTTGCGCCTGTCGTCGGAGGCGGTATATGCCTGCTATTCCGCCGCCTATGCCCGCTGCTAATGGTAACATTGCCGTTCAAGGGCACTGTTGCGACAGGGCGCGTAGTGTTGCTGGGTATGGAGCTGGACATGTCGGGCTCTGGTGGGGACGCGCCTGCGGGCTGCGCATCAGCTGGGCGGCGATAGGAATTGCGCTTTTGCGGGTTGGCGTCTGGAGCTTTGAGTAGAGTAGGATTGACGGCCCGCGATGCGTGGGAGCCGCTGTTCCTACTGTTTTCCATGATGCGACGAGATCATGGGATCGGTCGTGGTAGTGGTGAAGCAGGCGGGGCGTATCACCGTCTTGTGGGAGCTGGGACGAAACTAGGTCGGGCGCATCTACGTAGCTACGTTACACTATCACACCAAGTCTTAGAAGGAAAGTCCTCAATTGCTGTCCTTTGTGGTGGTAGCTACCTAAGAATGTCGAATGCGGAGATGCGGCGGAGGTGTGCTAGGATGTGCAATAGGTGAAGATCTAAGGTACAACGGGGCGCAATGACGATGATCGGTCGCGGGAAAATAAGAGGATACTATGTACAAGGGAATAAGAAGAGTGGTACGCATGCAGGGAAGGAGCAGTTATCCATGGCCAGCGCATGTCAGAAAGGTGGTGGCGGGCGCGGTAAAGGTGGCTGGGTGGTTGACTGCAAGATCTTGGACTGGACAGGCATCCTCCACACAGCTCGCACACCCACGCCAGGGCAGGTGCGGCCACTAGGGCCACAAGGGGAAGGCGCATTCGGGGGTTTATGGTTGGCATGGGAAGAAGCCACGGTCGACTCGCGGAAAGTCAAACATCAACGTTTCACGCATCTCTCAGACTTGACCAAAGTGGCTCCAAGTGAATTCTTCTTCCTCTGTTCTTGCTACACTTGTATTGTTCACCACGGCGCACATCACTCGGCGCGCGCATACGGCCTCCGTCCACTCTAATACCCTGTCGTCGTAATCAGTCTCCTCAATAAGCTGAACACCTACCCTTTCAACTCGCCCGACCACAGTATTCTCACCACCCACCCATACTTCCCTACGCGGGAATACGGTCGCCTACTACCAGGGCACACCCGACAACTGTTTACGATACATGATCGCAGCCGGCTGCACTTGATATCCTTTAGGCGTCTTCGCCATGCGCATTCACTTTTGGAGCCTGCTCACAGCGGCGACACTTGCTACAGCCGGAAAGCATCTGCCGCCCCGCAACTACTCGAGCCACGACTACTATGCCATTCACATTTCCCCATCCGCATCGCCATCAGACCTCGCCGCGCATCTTGGCCTGACGTACGAGGGTCCATTTGGGACGCTCGAGGATCATCATGTCTTCAAGGCCCCTAAACATGGAAACGATATCGTAGACGACGCACAACAAGAACTGAAGAGGAGGCGGCGGAAAAGAGAAATCGGTCTCGAGTACCACCCTCTCGACAGCATCCACTTCACCCAAAAGCAGAAGATCAAGGCGCGGCATTGGAAGCGCAGCGTGATACCCGATCGGCCAGATAGAGCCCCGCCCGTCACCCCTGCCATTCAAGCCCAGCGCGAAGTTGCGAGCAAGCTACAGATCAAGGACCCCATCTTCGAGGAGCAATGGCACATCTTCAATGTAAAGACACTCGGCAATGACATTAATGTTACAGGTGTGTGGATGCAGGGCATCACAGGTGAAGGCGTCACCGCATGCGTTGTTGACGATGGCCTGGATTATACCAGCAACGACCTCAAGGACAATTTCTTCGCCGAAGGCTCCCACGATTACAACGACCATGAAGACCTACCCACCCCAAAGCTCTCCGACGACCGACACGGTACACGATGCGCTGGAGAAATTGCTGCAGGAAGGAACGACGCCTGTGGTGTCGGACTTGCCTACGATGCGAAGATCTCAGGTGTGCGCATTCTTTCGGGCGATATTACAGATCTTGACGAGGCCCTCGCGATAAACTACGAGATGCAGAAGAATGACATCTACTCATGCTCGTGGGGTCCACCAGATGATGGTAAGACCATGCAAGCTCCAGGCATTCTTATCGAAAAAGCCATGGTTACTGCTGTCCAGCAAGGTCGTGGTGGAAAGGGATCCATCTATGTCTTTGCGGCAGGCAACGGTGCTGGGAGCGACGACAACTGCAACTTTGACGGCTACACCAACAGCATTTACAGTATCACCGTCGGCGCCATCGATCAGAATAACGGACACCCGTACTACTCCGAAGCCTGCTCCGCACAACTAGTTGTGACATACAGTAGCGGTGGCGGCGATGCCATCCATACAACAGACGTCGGCGCAAACAAGTGCACCAACCAGCACGGGGGTACATCGGCTGCCGGACCTATTGGTGTAGGAGTATTCGCTCTTGCGCTCCAGGCCCGTCCTGAGTTGACTTGGCGCGACATGCAATGGCTCACTGTCATGACAGCTGTTCCGTTCGATACGCCCAGTGACTGGACCAAGACCTCGATCGACCGCATGTACAGCCATCAATTTGGATACGGAAAGCTCGATGCTTACGCGATCGTTGAGAAGGCGAAGGAATGGGAGCTCGTCAAACCCCAAGCTTGGTTTTACTCGCCATGGATGCACGTGAAGAAGGCGATTCCCGAAGGCAATCAAGGTCTCGCCAGTGTCTTCGAAGTCAAGGAAGACATGCTCAAGAACGCCAACTTCGCTCGCGTTGAGCATATCACTCTCACCATGAACGTAGAGCACACGCGCCGCGGCGATCTCAGTGTTGAACTCCGATCTCCAAGCGGCATGATCTCGCATCTCTCCACTGCACGCAGCGGCGACGATGCGCCCTACGGTTACGTTGGCTGGACCTTCATGTCCGTCGCTCACTGGGGTGAAGACGCCATTGGCAACTGGACCGTCATCGTCAAAGACGTCAAACCCGGTAACGCTAAGACGGGTACTTTCACTGACTGGAAGCTCCGCCTCTGGGGCGAATGTATCGACGCCTCTAAAGCCAAACTCCGCCCTATTCCTGACGAACACGAAGACGACGACCACGATAAGATTGATGATCATCCGGCGCATACCACCAGTGTTACCATACCCCCTGGTACCACACCTACTATGACATCTATCCCCGATGACCACCCTGATCGTCCCGTGAACCAGAAACCTTCTCAAACACCGGCTAACGGTGGTGTACAGACGACGACTTCGGCAACTGCAAGCGCAAGTGCCACGGCGTCTGCTGCTCCATCTGAGAACTTCCTCCCCAACCCCTTCCCATCCTTTGGCGTGTCGAAACGCACGCAAGTCTGGATATACGGTGCTCTTGCCTTGATTATCGTTTTCGTTGCTGGTCTTTGTACCTATCTCTTCATCGCTAGGCGCAAGCGCATGAAGGAATCACGCGATGCGTACGAATTCGAAGTGTTGGATGACAATGAGGATAGGGACGATGCGGGCTTACTTTCTGGTGCTACCGGTAGGAAGAAGCGCGCTAAGAGGGGTGGAGAGTTGTATGATGCTTTTGCTGGCGAGTCTGACGAAGACTTGCTGAGTGATGATGAGGGCGACGAGGGCCCGTATCGGGATCAGGATAGATACAACGAGAAGTATGCACAGGATGAGGCAAGTGACGACGAGGGCAGTGGCAGTGGAGCAAGCTCGGCGGGGAAGAGGCAGTAGGAACGTCTTCGTCTCTAGCCTTCAGTGTTTTTGTATAGTGGTTTTATGCGAATCAGATCATTGGGCGGCGTCTATTTTGCTTAAGAAATACGTTACCTGAGTATCATTTCAGTGATGCCCACGAAAGTAGATGTGTAAGGAATTGGTTGTTATCGGACCAAGATAGATTATGAGAAATTGGGGGTATCATATTTGCGCGCGTAACTTTTCCCAAACTTGAAAAAATCTAAGCAACCTTCCTTCCCACATTGCCTACTCCCCTTCCTACAACGCTAACGACGATTTCTTCCTTCTCACCACCTGCCTCCCTGAAGCCCCATGCGCTGCCTCCGAAGACCTTGGAATCCCGCGCGAGTTGTATGATTTCCTCGCTGCCTAGTATATCCTTGCCCAGCGCCACTCTGCCTACATCCTCGCTACCCATGGCCATGAGCATGAGAACTGTGGGCGCTGCCACATTCTCCACACATCCTCCTTGTGATATCTTTTCGAGAAGCTGGTATGCGCACTGCTTGCCAATCTCATCTGCGGGCACGCCGCCGTCGGGTGGTGAGCATACGTCGGCCGAGTATATGCATCCGGTGCTGGTCTCCGCAACCAGGCTGATTCCGAAACCCACTGCGCCTTTGACTTTTCCACTAGAGTGACCTTTGGCAGTTGTCGGTATTAAGGGAGCGGCGCTTGCATCGGAGAAGATGTATGTATCCGGGACGAACTTGTTGAGAATACCTCTTGCAGTGAAAGTCATGCGCTCGTTGTTGCTTTTCGGTACCTCGACGCAGTACGCTACACCTCTGATCTTCTTGACCCTTCCTGGGTTCAGCAGATGTAGCGTCTTTGGTAGACGAACCTGGTGGTTAAACACCAGCTGTACCTCGCCTCCCGCACCTTTCCCTCCTGCAGGTGCAGAAGAGCGCTTGAGGATGCGCAACTCGATATTCCGCTCGATAGCAAAGTTTTTGTACAGTGGGAGGATGGCTGTGCGAACTGTGTCTGCGGAGATGTCGCCAGCGATTGTGGATGCTGTAACGCAGCCTTCACCGTAGAAGATGACGTTCATGTTTCCCTTGCTGAAAGGCGCAAGAACGCATAGCGGAACTAGCCACCAGCTCACACCCCTCTTTCGGCACTCTGCTGGTATCTCATGCCTGATTACGCCTCCGCTGGCTCCTAGTCCCTCGGCGCTTCCGGTGATCAGACCGGGTCTGTAGACCAATGTCGTACCCGTCATGCTGAACTGGATCTGCGAGCCATTTGTAACCGAGTCGAGCAGGCGAATGAAGTTGGTTTCATGGCGTGTTAAGCCGGGTGTGGTTGAAGAAGAGCGAATTTGCGAGATACGGACAGGTCGACCAGTGAGTGTTGCCAGGAGAAGGCGCGAAATCATGTGCCGGTGACCGGTGAAGTTCAACGGCTGCTGCAGCGCTTCGTCTAGAGCCATCGTGAGGGTTTGTTGAGGAGGTTCGTGGTGCTTGCGAGGGTTTGCGACGGAGTTAGATTGCCCATGGAACTTTTTTTGGCGGAGCTCGGGCGGTATCGATAAGACTAGCGTGAACGCGGTGTTCGCGTCGTCCACGGGTGGAACATCCGAGGGCGCGTTGCATCAACTCGAATCTTTGCTGGTACGACACCGCTTTCACGTGCATCAACATCGCTTTTACTTCGACAACTTTCTGCATCTTTGCCTTTCGTTGAATTTGCATTGTCAATGCGCGGCAATGGTAACATTAAGTAGGCAAACGCCTAAATTGTTAAAGAGCATTGGCGGAAAGCGACATGCGGGTGAGGAGGACCACGAAGAACCGGCTCCCAAGAGACGAGCGAACGGCGACACTTCCCCAATAAAGAATCCAGGAGAAACCGATATCAACGCCGAACCTCTGTCGACCGACGACGAATCGCACCCTTCCCCACGGCGGCCAGCCAAGCCCTCGCAACCAGATATACCTACATCAAACAGTGCTGAGATTCTAGGTCTAAGGAGACCTCAGAGGAAGCCCGGTGGGAAGAACAAGCTTGAAGCAATACGTCCACCCGCAAGAGGGGCCTATCAGAATGGTCAAGCGCATAAAACGACAAGAGGGCTCAACGAGAGTAAAGAAAGTACCCCTGCGTCCTCTGCAAAATCAGCCAGCGATGGCCCAATCGAGTGGAGTATGGAACATCTTTCTCAGAAGAACAACAAGAATGGCAAAGGTTATGGTTCCAAGACCAAGAACATACATGCACCACCCGTGAAGAAGTTCGGCAAAACAGCGTCCGGGAGTACTGCGCAAACCAATCGAATAAAGAACAACCCGCAGAAAGGCACATCACAAGCCGATGCTCAGAGTGACGGAAATATCTCTGGTATAGACGATGTAGAGCTCTTTGCGCTCCCGGAAGACAGTGACAGACAACAAAAGATGAATGATCTAGGACTACGTAAAGTGGAAAAGAAAGTGAAGGGCACAAAAGGCGCAAGCGGCAGCGCTACGCCTACCGCGTTCGACGACGACGAGTTGGACAGAGAACTAGGAATCAAATCGAAGAGCCCAACGTCGCTGAAAGCAGAGAAGGCCGCCAGAACCGCCCACCTTATGAACCAGCTTAGCAGTTGGAAGGAAAATCAAGGACCATCGTCCTCGCAACCAGATTCCAGCGCACCACAAGAGGCCCTTGACGACATTGATAGCTACATGAGCAAACTTCCGCAAGTAGAAGAGGAGGGCTCGCGATGCTTGTTATGTTCGAAGTCCGTCGAGCAGGAGGACTACTGGGACTTCTGGAAAGGCAAGGAGAAGACGGTCAAGAACAAATCTGCGTTCTGCCATACACACAAGAAGAAGTCAGCACAGAAGGAATACACGCAAAAGGGGTACCCTGACATCGACTGGAAAGCGCTTCCTAGGCGAATACGTAGATATAAGACGACTCTATCGCAGATACTCAACAACAGCCAGTCTAGTATACACAGAGACCGTTACGAGCCATTGGCGCTGACTGGGAAAGCAGCTGCCGTACCCTCGCGGCGAACAGATCTAGCGGAAGATGTTCAGGAGGAACTGGAATCATATGCTCTTGACGAGAAAGCCGCGTACCCAGGTTACTATGGTTCTCACGGTCGTCGCGTCATCACAGAGAGCGTGATGGATACTCTGAAGGTCGACATCAAGAATTGCAAAGATCGCGTTGTGCAAGCATCTGGTATCGCGGCCTTTGTACAGGCTGTGATGGTTCCAGAGGCGGCTATACTGTTGATCATGGATGACTGTGCTGTCGACAGGGAGGAGGCGGATAAGATTAGGGAGAAGACGTGTGATATGGGTCTCCTGTTGAATGAGGAGATTGAGGACGAGCTGGAAAGGCAAGACGACAGCGATGACGAGAACGAGTACCAGTATAAGTGATGGCAGGTGAAGATTTTGGACCTTGCCAGGTTTGTCGCGAGCGTTGTTTCCTCCTATGCTTTGCGTTCTCGTCGGCTTCGGCCAGATGTTGCTGCGTATTCTGATACCCAATACTATTCTACGCTGCTTGCATCGCGCGTAGTTCATTCCATTGCACCCGCATCACGCTTTCGTATTCTCACAGTAAGTATTTCCTCTCTAAAAATAATTTGAGAACCCTAAGCGACCAATCCCTCCCCTCACTCGTAAGCAATATTGGTCTACCACCACCTTCGTTCTCCCTAACCTGAGTCCTCGGCGGCTCTGATCGTAGTTTCCAGGATCGCTTCCCGAATGCCTCACCACCGTGCCTTGAACACAGGGGTTCTGTTTAGACCCAGACATTCCGGTATATATCATGTACTTGTTTATTGTCAATCACCTTCGTCACCACCACACACGATTAGCGCAACGCAACGCTTGGCATTGCGTCTATATAAATATTCTCCCCTGTCCGCATAACACGTTCTTCATATGGCGTCTTTGCGCCTCTCCAAAAGACTGAGTGGCGTAAGTATGGCGTTGTTTCAACAAAAAAATCGAAGGCCTCGATTAATGTCTACGTCCCTTCTTCCCTGTTCAAAACACCATTGACAGACGCACATGTTCACACGTCTTCAAAAGCAACTCCGAGGCATCGTATGGGCTGTAAACGTCGGACCTACCAAACGACATGCATCCGGCGAAGGTGTATGGCTAGGCGAATTAGTACAATTGCTACTTCTATCGGACCAACAAGCGACGTCGTCTGTCGCTGCATCTGCCCGGGAATGCTTTAATATAAAAGTAGAAGTCAAGGACTGAGGACTGAGGACATGGGTACGTTGGTACATTGTTTTAAAACGCAATATCAGCCAGACATGTAAGGTAATTTCCGTCATTGCGTCTTCGTATCGCGGTGCAGAAGAAAGAAAGACTGGGCCATCAGTTGTGTGCACCAAAGGTTTTGTAGCTGGTATTCCAAAGCATTTCCTCTGGCAGCGGGATGTAAATGTTTTTTGTAATTTGACAGCAACAGCCCATAGTTGCGGAGACATTATCATCTGCTGAAGACCGGGAAGACTGGCACATGCTAGATTTGCCTTTGTCTTTTGGTTATCAAGAGGAGTGGCCTTGGAAGGGTCGCACTGATAGTTCTAATATATATACATTGGAATGATAGACCATGGACGGTCATATAAGACAAGAAGTAATTTGGAGTTTGTGAGGTGGAAAAGTTTGAGTACTCCACATGCGCTACTTGGTTCTTGTTTTCAATGTACATGTTGTTTCTCCGAGACCGGAGGGAACATGACGGGTGCAACGACGGTTTTTAAGAGGCCAGCATCAGGGGGTCGAGACAGAGTTGTCATGTCGGATAAGCTATTTTCCAGTCAAGCTCAGTCTTGAAAAACTCAAGAGCAGTCCAAACATAGACTCTCGCTTGTTGTTTTGATAAAGCGCAGAGCCAAACCCAGACATGAGTGGGCACCTAGACATTTTCGGTTTGGGAGAACGACAGGTAAGATAACAAGTCATAACGTGAATGTTATCTTTTTTATGGAAAGACAAGGAACCGGAAGACGACATCGTCAGGCCGTTTTCTAATTTTAAGTTGGGAAGAACACGGAGAAATGATATGCCAGTTGGACGCGCAGGTTTTGAACCTAAAATAAATGTTGTAGGAGGAAGTAAGGCGAGCGAACAGAGACATTTATACATGCGTAGCGACTGCGTTTATAGTGACATGCAACGGGTATATTTCATTTCGACTCACCAGCCACTTTCATGAGCGCTTCTCCAACACGCTTTCCCTATATGCTTTTGTAGCTTCCAATTTGCGCCGTTCCCTTGTTGACTCCAATGTATGCTATACAACCAATTGTCTACCCATCGAGCACGCCGCTCTCCTTGAGAGACCGGAAAAGCTCCGGTTCCAGGAACTTGCTAATTGTGACATCCTCCGCAAGACCCTTCCTCCTTCTTGTCTTGAGCACGAAATCGCGTGCCAGTTGTTGTGCAGTTGCGGGCTCGAGCGGCCGGGTTGTGATGTCTTTGTCAAGAGGATCGCCGGGAACGATGGACCAGCGGTCGAAGACGAGAGAGAGGGAAACTTGGCCTTGGGTGTGAATCTACGTGAAGTCAGTACATGTACTCTAGGTCATGTCAGTGGATATGGAATCTGTGTACGTACCCTAAGATCGGTCTCGAAACCGAAAGAATCGATGACCGGAATAAGACCACGGACGTTGTAGAGCGGAGTACCCGCAATGGGCCCATCCTGCAGGACGTGTCCTCTCCTACGTGCTAAGACTGTGTACAAGCTGCTCTTGGTGTCTGCAGGACCGGTCATGCTGCAAGAATATACCGGCTCCATCAGCCTAGGACTCGCCATCAGGAAACTGGAGTAACAAGCTCGCCGACTCGTAGGGATGATCTGGCCACCTCCACGGAAGATGGCTTCTGGCGCAAGCTCAACATCGGTGATGCGGAACTTTGTGTTGCGAATTGGCTCTTCGCAGAGCGGGCCTTCTCGGGTAGCCCAGCTGAAACCCTGTCGAAGTGTGTCCCGGACTGAACGCAGAGTCTTGCCGTCGACCTCTGAGGGAAGTGTGTCGTTTTGTAGGATGTTGGCACCCATATCGTCGGGCCCGAAAGCCCAGATGTTGCGTGAAGCGAGCAAGTCGTATCCGTAGTTCTCTTCGAAGAACTTTCCAACTACTCTGACGGGATCCTTGATGTTGACCTTTCCAGCCTCGATGTCTTCCGCGATACCTGGGTCTAGCGGCTCGGCAATCATGGTAAGCTTGTTCTTCTTGTTCGGCGTGAGCGCGTAGCATTTGATGGCCGACATCTCAACGACCGTCTCACAGAATCTTGTGACGGGATCTGACACCTTGATCTCCATGTCAGCGTATAACCGACGGAGATCGTGTAGGACACAGTCCATGTATAGCTCGCCAGTACCGAGAACAACGTGCTCTCCCGATTCTTCGACCTTGGTTGTGATGAGCGGATATGACTTGTTGATCTTGCGCAGACCGTCAAGCATCTTGGGTAGTTCGGAGGGGTTTATGGGCTCGACGGCGACCTTGAATACGGATTCGAAGAAGTGGCGGATGGGTCGGAAGATGTAAGCGTCTTCGTCTTCGGGGAGTTTGGTGGCTACAATAGTCGCCGTCTTGACTATCGAGTTGTCGACACCGCCGAGCAGCACCCAGTTACCTGCCGGAACACCACTGACGGGGATGTTGTATCTTGACTGCGCTATCCATGTGTCCGTAACCGTCGCAACGACCATATCTTCTTCATCCTCAATCGTGTAGCCTTCACCAAGTACACGCACCGACTGCGGCGAAGTTGCGGTACCACTCATTACGCGGCCTAGTGCGGTGAACGATTTCGCGTCTGTCGCATTGAAGAGCTTCGTAACGTGTATCACTAGAGGTCCGTTCTGATCGCACCTTTGCATGGCTTCAGCGGTCTTTGTATCCAGTGGTCCAGTGTAGTGTCGTTGTAGTAGTCGCTGTGCTCCTTCTTCAGGCGATGGAACGTGTTGGGTGATCATGTCTACGAAACCCAGAGACGGTCCAAAGTACTGTTGGCATACGAGTCGCATCAGCTCCTTCGCGTCTGTCTTGTATTCGGATGGCTTCAGTCGGATGCCTAGTGTGTCGAGCGTGTCCTTGAGGTCATCCGGGCTCTGGCTAAGTGTGTGTGAGTAGATCTTGTAGACAGGTTCCAGAATCCAATGCACAAAGGACCGTTGTGAGCCCTCCTCCTGCCGCTTGCGACTGAATTTCCGGCTCTCAGGGTTGTAAAAGATGTCGCCCCAAAGTCGCATTGCGAATTTGTCGATATCCAGGCCCTTCATCGGAACGCCGAATCCAGGCAGCTTGGATGGGCCAGGGTAAAAGTCAGAGTACATCTTCGCGAAGGACTGGATGGTGAAGCACCATCGCATGCTGGAGCAAGCGAAAGCGACATTGCCTTTCTCAGGGCTTACCCGTCTGCTCTCGCCGCGTCCCGGGATGGTGTTTTCGATGACCGTGTTGACTTCCTCAATTACGTGCTTGATCTTGAAGTATGCGTCGCTGGGTGGGAGCTTAAGTTCGAGGATCAATCGGTCCATCTTGTTGACTACAAGTGTGAGGGGCAGATCTTCCAGCACCGCGTGCTTTATAATCTGCTCTGTGTTTACTTGGACGCCCTCAACCACGTCCACCACCAAGACTACTCCGTCGACCAGGCGCAATGAGGCGGCAACTTCGTCGGCGAAGTTTACATGTCCAGGGGTGTCGAGAATGTTGAAGAGATGCGACTTCAACTTGGTGTTCTGGAGGACTAGGCTCATGGGTGCGGCCTTGATAGAGAGGCCTCGTTCGCGTTCGAGCACGTGTACGTCGGTGTATCTCAGCTGTTCCTCCCGCTTCTTTCCCCTCTTGTAGTCCAGACGATCTTGGATGTCGTGTGTCTCCATGACCAGCATATCCATGAATGCCGTCTTTCCATGGTGCAAATGTCCAGCGATGGCGATATTTCGTATCTGATCGGGGAAGTTCATCAAATCCGTCAAGAGCTCCCTTGAGTGGTGCACCGGGGGCAAATCTGTCTCTTGAATGGTAAACTTCTTCTGCACTACGGGCGCGATGATGGGCTGCGCCAGCGACTGCGTGTCTTCCTCGTGCACCAATACTTCGACATCTGGGCCATATACGTCGGACGCGGAAGGGTAGTATTGCTTGTCTTCATGGAGGATTACGGCGTTGGATGGCCCTTCGTCCACCTCCATCAATTGCTGATCATTCGTCTCGGGCTCGTCCTCGTCGTCAAGGACATAGGCGTCTGCTGCCTCGCCGGTGCTCTGGACATCGTCGTCGGACTCGGCCTCGCCAATAAAATTTCCGAACCTGTCACAAGTCAGTCGCGTAGTATTTGTGCAGCGAGCGGGGGTGCTCACTCGTCGTAAAGGTCATCCATGGTGGCGGTATGGGTGGGTATATGCGCGGTGATGATGCGCGTCGAGCTCGAAGCTGTCGCAAAAGTTCAGAGGGTGGTTCCGCGGGCTAGCGTTAGGCGGTGAGAGCGGAGGTGCCGGTCAGCCAATGGGCCTTCGAGGCGACGCAGGGACGAGTTCTTACCCTGGCCGCCGTTGTCGCGCCAGGCTAAACTTCAAAAAGATGTCCCTGCTGTAATCGGGGTATTTGTTCAAAGGCACGCCTGTATACCCTCTCTGCACTTTCCACCCGCTTTCTCCCACGTCCAAGATACCCAACATGTCGTCCCTCCCCCCAGTTTACATTGTCTCGGCTGCCCGTACGCCTACGGGCATGTTTTTGGGGTATGTTTTCCAGTGAGAGAGAAGAGGGGCAACGCCAACTCACGCGACAACAGCTCCCTCTCGAGCCTGAGTGCTGTCCAGCTGGGCTCCCACGCCATCAAGGGTACGTAGGCTTGCTATAATTTGAACGGCATATCAGGCTAACAACGCTATGCAGCTGCTGTTGAGCGCGCTGGTATCAAGCCCACCGACGTCGAGGAAGTCTTTGTTGGCAATGTCCTCTCCGCAAAGTACGAAATACACCGAATGTTTCGGGGGATTTATACTGACAAGCCTCTAGCCTTGGTCAGAACCCAGCCCGTCAGTGTGCCATTGGCGCTGGCCTCCCCGAGTCGACCGTCGCAACCACCATCAACAAGGTGTGCGCCTCGTCCATCAAGGCCCTCATTGTTGGCGCGCAGACCATCATAACCGGCAATGCGGACATTGTCGTCGCAGCAGGCACCGAGAGCATGTCCAACACCCCCCACTACCTCCCCAACCTGAGGACCGGCGCCAAGTTCGGAGACCAACCGCTGGTCGACGGTCTGCTGAAGGATGGTCTGACCGACGCATACAAGAAGGAGCATATGGGTCTGCAGGGTGAGGAGTGCGCCGACGACCACGGCTTCTCTCGTGAGGACCAGGATGAATACTGCATCCGCTCCTACAAGAAGGCCAACGCTGCGCACGAGGCTGGCTGGTTCAAGGAGGAAATCGCCCCCATTGAGGTCCCTGTAGGACGCGGCAAGCCTCCGGTCGTTGTTGACCGCGACGACGAGCCCAAGAACGTAAGTCGCCGCCTTTGTCATGTTCACTAATCGGCACTTTCTTACTCATCACTCGCAGTTCAACGAGGCAAAGACCCGCACACTGAGGCCTTCGTTCAAGCCTGGAAACGGAACCGTCACCGCCGCCAACGCTTCACCGCTCTCCGACGGCGCTGCTGCTCTTGTCCTTGCCTCTGAGGAAGCTGTCAAGAAGCACGGCCTCAAGCCCATCGCTAAGATCCTCGGCTGGGGTGACGCTGAGCAAAACCCCTCCAAGTTCACCACTGCTCCTGCGCTCGCCATGCCCAAGGCTCTGAAGCACGCAAAGGTGGAACTCTCCGCTGTCGATGCCTTCGAGATCAACGAGGCCTTCAGTGTCGTTGCCCTCGCTAACATGAAGATCCTTGGTATTCAAGAAGACAAGGTCAACCTGCACGGTGGTGCTGTCGCCCTCGGCCATGCGCTTGGTGCTTCCGGCGCCAGGATCACAACTACATTGCTCGGTGTACTACGGGAGAAGAAGGGCAAGATTGGCTGTGCCGGTATCTGCAACGGTGGTGGTGGTGCCTCTGCCATCGTAGTTGAGTCGATGCAGTAGCTGTCCCATCACATTAATGACGACGCGTAATGCTAGATATGAATCAAGATAATTATACGTACATCACGGGCCAGATCTTTACACCCGCCTGCAACAAGCATATATATTTCCAGAGTTTGGTTAATCGTCTTGAACGAATCATTGGTCGAATAGTTGGTTTCAGACGGGTGGAACACTGCGCTCGCTTCGGAAAGCGCCAACACCTGCGCGCAGCATTGGCCAGCAACCGCTCTCCTTCATCCCAACCTCCATCACCACGCGTTTCAATGCGTCAACAGCGAATCACATTTCGGCAACCACGGCAAATGCCTCAGGCCATCAATAATACCCGTAGTCTCCGCCACGTATCGACAAGGATGTGCGCTTCTGTCTGTTTCAAGCACCTATGTCCGTTCACCAACGGGCCATCCGTCCCATTTCTCATGAAACAGCGCACGTTTGGTTAAACATCCGGGCAGCCTTGCCCAGCGCTATCGATCCCCCATCATACGTGCCTGACTGGTTCCTGCAGGTCCCCTCAATGTTGCTAACCGGAGATCAACTTGGTCCGTCTATAATTCCCGTGATGTTGAAACCAAGCCCATGTGCCTAACGGGAGATGTACACTCTCCCGCACTCGTCTAGTCAGTAGACGAGGCCCTTGGGGCGAATCGATGGCTGCCATGTCCGGGACGTTGGCACGGATCCATCTTAGGCCTGCATATATAGGTAGGTCGTCCCTTTTGGACCATCTGGTACCTGGTTACATTGCCATCTCGTACTGCCGTCTCTTCAGTTCTTGTGTCTTTTTTCTTCACGCGTCTAGTACGCAGTCACTCATTACTATCTTCTTTATCTTTCCGCGTCTTGAAGATGCGTTTCTCCACACTCACTTCGGCTGCGGCCTTTTTCCAACTGAGCATAGCTGGCTATGTTCTCGAGGATGACTACATGACGGACTTTTACGGGGCCTTTGACTTCTTTACCGGACCCGACCCCACAGAAGGCTTTGTCCAGTATGTCGACGAAGCTACGGCAAGACAGACGAATCTCATCAACTCGTCTACTTCAGCGATATCATGGGGCGTGGACACACAGAACCAGACTCCAGAGGGTAGGCCCAGTATTCGTATCGAGAGCAAGAAGACGTACGATAGCGGGTTGATTGTGGTGGATGTCGCCCACATGCCCTTTGGCTGTGGCACTTGGCCAGCGTAAGTAGACTGGACTTGATATAGATTTACGTCGCTGACATGTCGTAGCTTTTGGACTACCGGTCCCAACTGGCCAAAGAACGGCGAGATTGATATCATCGAAGGCGTGAACGACCAGACGAACAACGGCATGACCCTCCACACAGGCCCAGGTTGCCAGATTGGCGAAGACACCACTCAATTCGCCGGTTCCGTGACTACGGGAAACTGCGATGTCGCTGCCGAGGACCAGTCAAAGAATGCAGGATGCTCCATCGAACACCCCTCGACCAAGAGCTACGGTGCAGGCTTGAACGAGATTGGTGGAGGTGTATACGCGACTCAATGGACCGCCGAAGCCATCAGTGTTTACTTCTTTCCGCGCGACTCCATTCCGGAAGACGTTCTCGGTGACAGCCCAGACCCCAGCGGATGGGGCAAACCTGCTGCCAAGTTCGCCGGTGCCTGCGATATCGAGAACACATTCAAGCAGCAGCAGATTGTCTTTGACACCACGTTCTGTGGACAATGGGCGGGCAGCAGCAGTGTTTGGAACGCCACGGGCAGTTCTTGCAGCAAGAAGGCATCAACATGCGAGGAATGGGTACGGGACAACCCAGAGGCTTTCACCGAGGCATACTGGACGATCAATTCGTTGAAGGTGTACCAAGACAATGGTGGATACGGCTCTGCTCCTCAGCCCTCTTCGGTGCCAGAGCAGAGCAGCGCTGCCTATTCCCCTGTCCCTGTTCCATCGGAGACGCCTGCCGTGTCTTCTGACATTCCCGTGCCGTCTGGATACCCTGCAGTCCCAACTTCGCTCATCACCCCCTCCGTATCCGGTATCTTCGCACCTATCCCGACGAGCGAAACACTTTCGGTGGTCACCTCTGCGCCCCCCAGCGCCCCAGTGGCCTCACTTCCTGCTGACGATGCTTCTCCCAGCATTCCGTCTGAAACACCAAGTCCAATCGTCGCACCAACCACGCAGATCAACGCGCCAGCTCCAGCACCGACAAACAATGGTCCTATGTCCGGTTTCCAATGGCCCAAAGGTGGCGGAGGTAGTGGCGATGGATCTTCCAACGAGACGTCACCATCAACGACACCTGCCGCGTCGCTTCCTGAGAATACTAGCAGTCCTACTCAAAACTCGAGTGGCGCAGTAGCCGCTCCCAGCACCGCACAGAGCATTGCTCAACCTTCAAATGTACCCGCTGCATCTCAAGCACCTGCTGCGCCCGCAGTGCCTGCTCCAGCGCCCACCGATGCTATCAAGGCCCCTCCAGCAGACCCAGCCGCTCCCACCGTCACAGACACCGTTCAAGCCATACACACAGTATATGAGACGGTGTATGCTACCGTCACTGCTGGCGCACCAGCCGAGACACCAGCACCTGCTGCCGCTGCCAGAAGCGCACGCATGGCAAGACATATCAGGGAGCACAGGCAGAGGCTTACAAGGCATCACGCAAGGCACTAAGCGGTGCTAGATGAACGACGGCGATGGTTTTACGAGTCACACTGGTTGTTGACTTGGTTGGTTGGTTGGGTGGTTGGACATGGCGCACATATACCCCTGGTTTCTTTGTATATATCTTTTGAACATTGGCAACAATACATTTGGATTTGATCTGCATATGTTTTCTTACTGATTGCTGTGATGTGCTATGATCAGCTCGTTCTGAGGCAGACGAATAAGCAAAGCTTGCCACTAAGTCAACGCAAACAGTGTAAAAGGAAAAAACTTGTCTCTCCATGGGGCAAATACAGTATCCAAGGTTCCTATTTCGTTTTGCTCCTAGAAGAGAGTTGGACGATACACCCCTCACGTTCGCTGCACGCCCACTTGCAGCTGCTTTTTGCTGCCCTCATCCGTACGCTAGCAACTGTTGTTACACCTAGCGAGGAGAAAACAAAAGACCGCGAAAGCAATGGCAAAAAGATAGCAAGCAGAAAAGAAGCAGTCGCAGGAACCGCAGCCCTAATTAATCGCCTGCCCCACAGCTAGCTAGCTAGCTCACTATCTGCATCGACAACGAGCACCAAAAAATGGCAAAAAGAATGTGGACGCTGTGGGAATTGAACCCACGACCTTTCACAAGTTACGCAGAAGTATGCGAAGCGACTGAAGTTGAATGTTAGGAATGAGTTGCGAATGAGTGGATGTTGGTGGTGTCTTACAAATCATACCCCTAGACTTCGGATTGTTAGATATTGTGTTGTAGAGTTGGAGCGAGTGGCAGCTTACCCAAGCGCCCGATTAGGTAATCGATGAAGATTTTGGGACCCGTGTAATATATATTGTTAAGCCATTGTAGGTGCGAGTGGAGAACTACCGTCGAGACGCTGCTCAAAGTGGGGTTGAGGGTCGGATTCTGGAAGGTGGGGTAAGGTACAATTCCGACGTACCTCGAGAACAAGCTGCTTGGTATGTTATTACCTCGAACACTTTGGCATTCGTTACTAACTAATTTGGTCACCAACGCCCCTTTGCAAGTAAATAGAATATCGCCTCAGCATAAGTAGATGATCTCCCTCGTGCCTTCTTCCTTCAAAGCATTCTGACCCCGTTCATCCATGTTACTCATCTTCGCAATACCAACGCGTCGGAATGCTCGGTAACGACCTTCCTTACCCCCATTCTTATTTGACGTATACGAAATCGAGGCTTCGTATTTCAGCAACAAGCAGTAGAGATATCCGTCCTGCTTCCTCACTGTCCGCTCCCCATGAGCTGCTGGCATACAGTACATCTGTGCGTCGGGTCGAAAGATGTCCACGTCAGAGTCTGGAGCGTCGAGGTAAATGTTGGTATACTCTTTTGGTCGCTTTGGTTGAGGCTCGATCTTTAGACGCCAAGCAAACGGCACTCTACGCGAAACTGGCAATTTGTACAGTTCTATGCGGCGGAGATGGCGAGGTGCAAGGAGTAGTCGACCGGCTGTGACCATCCCAAAGGGGTTCTTTGGGTCGGCTAGGCTGATGCTATAATCTACTGCTTTGAAGAGCAACTCTTTGGTAGAGTCTGACGGCGATCTGTAATCCGTGACATCGTTATATGTGACGCCGTGTGGACTGTCAATTGAGGCCCAGGAGAACGAGGGACCGCCTTCTGGGTGTCGTCGGGCGGGGTTATCGAATGCACCGTCGCCTCTGCACGCTTCTTTCACGCACCAAAGCAACTGGCTCTCAAGGTGATTGCTCCAAAGTCCGGCGACGTATTTCTGCCCGGGCTCCGTTTTGAACAAGGATTCCTGAAATAGCTTAGCGACACCAGCTAAGGCGATGAGCTTGTCTTCGAACTTGGTAAGCTGCGTCTGGGAGTACGTCTCCACAACCGTTTTCCATAGTTCGTATGTGTACAAGTTCCGTAAGTGTAGGTCTGGGTCCAGGATACCCTTCAGCCGCATCTCCCGCGACGCACAGCCAACAGCGGGTGTCAAATGTTTTAAACGCCTTGTTTGGACGATAGCCAGCTGCTCATTAGAATGGTTCTCGCTGCTTTGAAACTCACAACATTCCCATGCAAGTTGATTGTAACCGAAATGTAGAACCCGTGGCGATAGCAAGCGCTCCTGGAAGACCCAGGCTCGTCGGTTAACGGGGGCCAACTCCACCAGACTCTCCCAAGCGGAGTTTTCAATCACTGTGCATCTCGTATAGGCATCCAGTTCTGCGGTGGCAGCTCTCTTCGGTACGAGGGGGTTATCTTCAGGGTAATACACGTTGACGTTGTTCTCCCAGAGGTGCTCGGGTCGCTCATCAAAGAACAATCCCCCATTTCCGTCGGACGAAGCAGTTGCGGAGATGTTCAGGAAGCCCTTTTGGTACACAGTTCCCATGTATCTGCTTTGCTCGAACCAGTCTTGTAGCTGATCCTGTGCCCTCGAGAGGGGTTGTCGAATACAAAGTGAATCAATCCATATGAATCCGACCTTGTCTAGGCGTGAAGCGAACACAACTGCGTCTCGGAATGTTTTGGGCAGCTCCTGGAGTCTGATGCCCTCCGTCTTGAAGCGTCTCTCAGTTTCAGATGTCAGCCTTAGAGGAATCACGCCGGGTATCGGCTTGCCCCAGCAGTGGCTTAATGTGACATATCGATCGTCATCGCGCCTTGACCTGATGCGATGATCCCTACCGCTCGTTGCTTGCAGGCCTAGAGATTCTGCTGACTCCACCAAACGAATTCTTGCATTTCTTGGGTCCTTAAAACTAACACGCAGCTCTTGCAAGTCTAGTAGACGACGAGGATACCATCTCTCGCCAGGCGCTTCCCAAGACTTTGCGCATTTGCACCTCTTCATCCACGTTTGTGACGTGTCCAAGAAATCGTTCGACGTCTTTTGGCGAGGAGCCACATGAGCTCTGGGGTCTACATGTGTCAGTAAAGCATCATGTGAAAGGTCAGGGAAGCAATACCAATCTTGGCTAGGAGAAAACGACATTCGCGGCCCTTCCCAAGTATAAGATCCAATGTGAACTCATATCCTTTCGAACCATGAGGCGTTTGATGTACTTTCTTCAGGCAAGCCTGGACAGTCACAGGCTGATCTCTCGAGATATCAGTGTTCTGGCTCAGCATATGAGCAAGGTGTGTGCAGATTGGACAATGTATGCCGATTGATTGCCGGAGCGTCTTTGTGGATTTGTGGTGCTCAAACCAAAGGTCTGGGGCGCCAGTGAAGATAAAACCCGTCCGTCGGGTAAGCATGCTGGTGCATACTTCGCAGAGCATATTGAAGGGAGTTGTAAAGAGTTCGCTGTGATGGTATGTGCAGGTGGTCTTTGTCTGGAGTATCCAGGTACGTGATGTGCTGCACTTTACATACGTCCGGAGTCACCATCATTGTAGTGGATATTACAATGTAGGCGCTTAGGTGCTGTAATCTAGGGTTGCGTGCTATATACGTCGCGGCGCTTCGCAGCTCCCAGCGGGAAAGAAACCGCGCGGCTCTGCCCGGTCGGCGCGACAACTCTAACAATAGTGTCCTTTGCACCTTACCTAGGTATGCTGCATGAGCTAATCTAGGCGCCTCTCACATAATGTTTCAAAGTATGAACCACATCATCTCCATGACTTTGGAAAAGCTTGAACTTTACAACGGCGTACAGAGCTCGAGCCTAGGCTATCTCAAGACGCGTGCGCACGTGCCTGGAAGGCGGCTGTTGAGAAAGAAGACGTCTGGTTATTTTACCAAACAGATATTTGCCATCAAAGATAGCGGGAAACGACCAAGGCACGTTGCGCATAGGTTTGGAGCCCCAGACAACTGTATCGATGAAGAAGGGCGCTGGTGGAGGTGTGAATTCGCTGTTCGCGACGACCCTATCATCTTCGTCCTCCACACCTTGCTACTAGGAGGCTACATGAACATTTTGTCCAAGGTTCCAAAACCTAGGTACTTCTTACTCAGTAAGATCGCAAGGCCTTCTTTCTACCTAAGAAATAAGAATACTACGTGTGTAAAGGGCAACCTAGAAGTCTACAATGTTGTTAAATTTTTCCGATCTTCTTATCATTTATCAAAGACGACAACCGCGCCATTGAGACGACATACTTGAATGAGACCAAGCTCATTACTTGGGTACCAGGAAGCCCAGAAAATCCCTCCACGGATGCATGGCTCCGTGGGGATGATACAGGAGGTGCTATCGCAGTTCTAGGCTGGCTGGAGTCCTGAAGCTAGGATTCATTGTGTGATCGGTGGGAACGTCCATGAAATGGGCTGTAGCTTGAGCCCATGCTGAACTGGTGGTGGGATCTAGCAACCGTGACGAGGGAGACGTGTCCATATACAAAGAAGCGATTGAGGTCAGTTTGGGCTGGACGCAGTAGGAGTAGTACGAAGAGGCCCGTCTTTGATAAGTTACATTGAACACCCTACCTAGGTAGATAGAGGTATACATTGCCATCCCTCTTGTCAGCACATCACCGTAAGATCTCATGAATACCTTTAGGTAAGCCTTCACCAAGCACAAATTACAGAATAACGAGCTTCGTCGTAGCGCAAGTCTGGTGATGGCTGTGATTGGCTTAGTGCTACGATACAAAGCCGTCACGAATCACGACTCCACGCACCGACCACCCCAACCACCCTGTCCACTATTACTACCGGGGCTCACACGCGCACAGCTCGCCAGCGTACCCTCACCGTCTAGTTTCTTGTCACCTGACCTTTAGCGTGCCAAGCATATCTGTCTATATATTCCAGCTCGCTCCCGAATCTAATAGGGCATACTTACCTTCTTGCGATTACCCAGCTCAAAGATTGGGTTAATCTGAGCGTCTGGTCTGCATTGCACAACGCGGTACTGGATTCTCACGAGCTTCCTTCGGGAATCTCGGCGGGGCAATTTTTGCTGGTCACACGTCTGTGTTGCTTTTTCATTGACGACGTCGCTTTATGCGGTGTCTTGAGGAAGAAGAGTTGGGTTGTGTAGCGAGAGCAAGAGATTTTTGGTTTGTTGTGAGCGCTGTAGGACCGGAAGGTTAGGGGTACGCGTTGCATTGCTTGTTTCGCCTTTGCCTGGGTATTCTTGAGCGCCGATGGCTTCGTAGCACCAGCCTCTCGCGCACACGTTCCTGAGGATCGTTGGGTCACTAGGTCGCCGCCAACCGACTGCGGAATATCATCCCTAGGTTCGTGTCACATTGGTGTGTCGCACTGCGCTCAAGCGTTACTGCAGTTACCGTCCTGCGCATCTCGACAGAATGTTGAGTGAGGTCACTCGTGCCCGGTGTCACTACGCTGAAGCAATTCTCCGTCGTCTGCTACTGGATCTCCAGGGTGTTCGTGGGTAACATGTATTTGCGGTAGTTGAACTCATCCACTGCGAAGCGCAGGAGCCTAGGCAGCAGTATGATCTCAGTTACAAACTTTTCTAAGATGATGCGGCACCCGGTCCTTGACCCTCCCACGTCTTCCACGAAGCACATGTCTACGTCCACGCTAATAGTCCATCAGCGCTCCCGCCATCCTCCGCTGGTACTTCTCAATCACCTCCTGGCATCTTACCACCACCCCGGCAGCCAGCACTCGCACCCTCTCGTCCTCCTCGCTCCCCGTACCTAAGCCTTCGAATACCATCCTCACCCAAGTCTGCGTCTCTATAAGCTCCTTGCCTTGCTCCGTAGCTACGCGCTCCTTGTTCTCGTTTGTTTCAAGCAACATCAAGAAGCCGAACAAGACGGCGTTCAGTACATTCTTATCCTTACTCGCAAGGCCGCGCACCGACAACAGTAGGTCCCAGTATTCGTGCGTCATCTGCGGTAATGCGAGTGTGTTCGGGCCAGATGCGTTCAGTAACAATGACAAAGTCTGTAGAAAGGGAGGGAGGAGGTGAGTAGACGCATAGATCGAGTCGCTATTCGCGCGGATCTGGAGCCACCAGCGACCCGTGATTGGAAAGAAGAAGTTATCTGCCACGATCTGCGCAAGTGCGTTGGGTATTGGCTTATGGCGCTTCTTCTCGACTTCCATACGCGAGGAAAACGTTCGGACTTTCAGGATATTGGGGCCGCTGAGCTGATCGGCTGCTTGGCTAGCGATGGGTGATAGCATCTCACGCGCCATGCTGCTTGAGATCCTAGCTACTGTAGGTGCATTGCTTTCCTCGGCGTATATTTTGTGGAGGTGTGGTGGGAGCTGTTTGCTGGGGAAGTCTGGCTTTGCAGGTACCAGGGGGTCGGTTGATGTGTCCTTCATTCCTGCCAATTCACGCGCTCCAAGACCGAGAGTTGTGAGCATAGCGATGCGTTGTTGTAGACTATAGTCGCCTGAAAAGAAAGACCGAGCGAACCATTGCGCCATTTGCGCTGGCTTCGCGAGAAGTACGGCGATCAAAGCTTGCTGCCGTTGTTGCGCGAAGCCCTCTAGCTCTGAGTTGTCTTGTAAGCCCGTAAGTAAAGTGGCCAATTCTTCGAGATGATCGGTTACTTCAGTTCCAAAGTTCGCTTTACGTCGAATTAGGGACGCCGCTGTGGCTAAAGCGAGTTCGTGGCGATCGTAGTTCTCTTGATCTCGTAGCCCTGCGATAAGATCTCGTATATAGACGGGCGCAGTGGGCTTGTTGCGGTTGATAGCCGTCGGGTCGTCTGTGTCATCTTCCGGATCGGAGTCTGGCTTCTCGTACACCATCAGGTCTGCATCTTCATCATCAGAGTCTGACATGACCTCAACGACCCACGGGCCTTGTATCTCGGTGATCGCCGGCGCTTTAGATACTTTGGGTGTTGGCTTGGGCTTCGTCTGGACTTTCTTTGTGGACGAAATGTTCTGACGTTTTGTCTTGAGATCCTTGACTTCTCCAATTTTGTCGTCGACCTCAGTGAGACGTTGATACCAGCTCGCTTCTTCTGCTTCCACATCCTCTAACTCGAACTTGAGCTGAAGATCTGGCTTGTCCACCATTTTCGAGATCGCAACGCCGACTGCGATACCCAAGAAGCGAGCCCGTGTAGATGCCGCACCTATGCGATTCGACATGCCGTTGACATGATATGTTGACTTTGCCATCATGTTGAGAAACATGGGCTGCGAACGCTTTACGTAACCACTGCATAGTGCAAGAGTCTGGGCAAGAGCTGGTCTTTGTCAGTTGAGTACAAGCATACCGTGTAGATATTACATACCTTCTTGCTGAAGTATAGGCGTATGTCTGATGTATACCGAGTCGCCAAAAGTCTTTATAAGGTTCTCAAGAAGATTATGTAATTTCTCTGCAGGTTGTTAGTTCCAAGTCGCCACAGGTGTATGTTCCAGACTGACCCTCATCTTTTGCTAGAGCAGCCAAGACACTGCGCCGGGCCAACAGAGACTCGTCAAGCGCAGGTATTGTCGATCGAGTAAGGGATGAAACGAGATGCTCTTTCAGAACGTCGTCGTCCTCGATAAGTGTGTGAAATAGCGCAGCAGCAGAGGACACAGTGCTAGAGGCTGCAATAGGCCTGTCATCTTTGCTAAAATTGTCTGTAAAGAAGTACTCTTTAACCACAAAAACGGCTATTGCGTTGAGGTATTTCCGCTGCTCAAACGTCTTCATTTGAGACAGAAGGTTGGTGAAGCGCTCTATCGAGCCAAGATCAATCAATGTATCGAAGAGAGAGGTTATAATGCGATCTATGCTGTCAGAGTGGATCCAAATAACTAATGCGCTGACGTACCAGTATAGCCCAAGCTTAGTGCCTTCGAACATAGCTCTACAGCGGCGGCGAGATACTCCTCGCTATTCGAACTGTGCTCGAGCAAGATGGCGATGTTGCGTCCTAGCCATGCCGCATATTCCTTACCATCGGCTACCCAGTTAGTTTCTCCATACGTCTTATCATTCTTTTTAAGTATGTCTTCAGCCTCTGCTGCGATTGATAGCAGACGACCAGACGCGACTTGCGCGAGGTACTCTCTCCAGATGAGTTTACTTTGCACTGGGTTCTTGCTGAATGCTATGACGTCTTGTAACACGAGGTGGGATGTTTGTTTATCCATTAATATATAGGATAAGACATCGAGGGTATCTGCGATGTGCTCGGCTGTATTCCGCGCTTCGCCGGGAGCCTTCTTCTGACGACTGTCTGCAATGAGCGTACGAAGCCTGGTGTTGATGTGTCCGAGTCCTGTAGGGTTTCGGAGTATTTTTGCGAGGTTTGAAACTTCGGCTGAGCCTTTGATAGTTCTCCAGTAATTCGGGATGGTATCGTTAATCAGTTGGTGCGCGATGCTTGCATTCAGTGGTTCCGGTAGCAAGAGGCTAAATCCCTTCGTAGTAAAGTAATCCAGAACGGCATTGACTGTCTTGCGGCTAGGTTGATTCTTGAGCGCTTCAAGTGCAGAGTCTGTAGAGTTGACAGAAACTGCATCTTCTTGTATGTTCAGGCTCTTGACTTCTTGAATGAGAGGTTCGGAATTTTTGACCTTTTTGGTGGATACGGCTGTTAGGAAGTCTGGCATGTTGCTGAGAAAATATTATCTGACGTATGAACTCGCACCAGATCGACTGAATCGTGCGAACTGGTATGTCCAACTATGTCTGTGAACAACACGAAAGGTACGCGCGCGATGAACCTTACCCAATCGGTGTTTCCTTCCCCATGCGCAGGCCCGCAGTCTAGCGCCTTGGCGGGCCGTCTACACTCTGATGCCTACAACCACAGTTCGCTCCACTTGACTCTCCCCACGTTCATCTCCCACACATATCTACAGAATGGCTGTTAGTGTAGGTGACATGAGTGCGGCATCGACAAGTAGCCCGCGGGCACGATGGTAGGCTGGAATTATGGAAAATGGTGAAGCTCTTTACTGATATCATGCGATAGGAAGTACCTGGACAACTTCCTTACTCGTAAGGGACCATTCACAGATGAAGACGCCTTCATGGCTGGCGAACAGGTCATTGAGTATCTGAGCAATCTCAAAGTTCTGTAAGAAACTCAGGTCTTCTGAGGGTTAAGAAATTACAACTAACAACGTGCAGTGTCATGTATGTTTGTGCCAAAGCTTGATGACAAGAGATAAACAACCCTTCTTGACATCTTTGCTTACCAAGTTCTAGTGGAGCCGGCGGTCTGGGCTGCGAAATCCTCAAGAATCTTGCCCTGTCTGGATTCAAAGACATCCACGTTATTGACATGGACACCATTGACGTCAGCAACTTGAATCGACAATTCCTCTTCCGAGCGTCGGATGTAGGAAAGTACAAGGCTGAGACCGCTGCTGCGTTCGTCGAAAAGCGTGTGAAGGGCGTTAAGATCACTCCGTACTGTGGCAAAATCCAAGACAAGGACGAGAGCTACTACATGCAATTCGGACTCATAGTATGCGGCCTGGATTCCATCGAGGCAAGACGATGGATTAACGCAACACTTGTTGGCATGGTGGATGAGAACGACCCGGATTCGATGAAGCCGTTGATCGATGGAGGAACAGAGGGCTTCAAAGGTCAAGCACGTGTCATCTTCCCAACTATGACCTCGTGTATCGAATGTCAGCTGGACATGCATGCTCCTCGCGCAGCAGTTCCTCTTTGCACACTCGCCACCATCCCACGTCAACCACAACATTGTATCGAATGGGCACATATCATCGCCTGGGACGAGGAGCGCAAGGACATAACTCTTGACACTGACGACCCAGAGCACATTACCTGGCTGTTCAACAAGGCCTCCGCCCGCGCTAAGGAGTTCAATATCGAGGGCGTTACCTACAGCATGACGCAAGGTGTTGTCAAGAATATCATCCCCGCTATTGCGAGTACGAATGCCATTGTAGCGGCCAGTTGCTGCAACGAGGCGTTCAAGGTGGCAACGAACACGGCGCCCTTCATGGGGTTCCCAGGCACAGACAACTACATGATGTACACCGGTGATGACTCTGTATACACGTATACCTTTGAGCATCAGAAGAAGGACGACTGTCCCGTCTGTGGCGCTGGTAACATTGCTCGTCCTCTTCAAGTTCTTCCTGGTATCACCCTGCAGGAGTTCATCGATGGACTGGCGGAGCGACCAGAAGCGTATGTGTCCCCTCCACACTCATCCTCCATTGTTCCTGAGGCTTTTTATCGTATACTGACTACCACAGTCAACTCAAGAAGCCGTCCATTCGTACCGGCGAGAAGTCGCTCTACATGCAGCTTGCAGGTCTCGAAGAGCAAACACGTCCTAATCTGGAGAAGAAGATGGTCGATCTTGTTGAGGAGGGCGAGGAGCTGCTCATCACAGATAGGAGCTTCCCGACACAGTTCAAGTACAAGGTTGTATGGGCGTCCAAATAAGTCTTGATGCCTATTAGCCGCATCAAGCTGCTTGTCCGTAATGAGCTGGCCGAATGATCTGCGGTACGCGTCGCGCCCAATATAGAGACCTCGTAATGGCGCATGTCCTGTACATCAATGCCATGTAGTAGAAACGAACAATCGCATCCTATACAATCATGAGTCTTGAATATCCATAAATGTACAACTGCAATACACATGTTCCACATGGCCCTTATTGTACAACAGCCTGTTTCTTCTCCACGCCACTGACCTCGACTGGCCCCTCATCCTCGAGTATCTCTTGCCCGAACGGCTCTGCGTCCCCATCAGGCACCCTGCGGACCTTCAAATGTGCCTCGGCTCCAAACATGCCCACAACGCCGATCCTGTGCTCAAGAGGTCCCCAAATCTTGACTGGCGGAGCCTCGCCCTTGAACAGCTCCCTTCCAGCATGTATCAGCTCGTTCGCTGCAAAACTGCCCTTGGCGTACTTGGGCTCATAAGGCACGCGGTCCCACTCCTTCTTTTGCAGGCGCAGAAGCTGCTGCTTCATGCTGTCTGAGATTGTTTCGCCGATACTCACGTCCGCAAGGGAAGTGGGCATTGATTCGTCACCACCAGCGTTCTTTCCACGCTTCTTCGGGCCACCGTCGCCACGGTTGTTGCCTGTTGCACCAGCACGTTTTCCACCTGGTCCTGGTCTACCGCCCTCTCGGCCGCGTAGATTGGGGCCACGCACGTTGGGTCCACGAGCAGGCCCACGAGCAGGTCCGTCAACTGCTTGACGGGTTATACGCAGTGTGGAGGGGGCGCGGACCATTTGGCCCTGGGGAGGGGTCGAGCCGCGGGTCGTCGTTGGGCGTGCTGTGTTGCGGGCGAAGCGGGGGTTTGCGTCTGGCTGCGCATCGGCCGGGGCAACGTCTTCGGGGATGAAACCATCTTTGTTGACCGGAGTGGAGGGCGAGCGGGGGTTTCGTTGTGCCATCTGACCGCCTGGAAAGGAGCCTCGAGCGAGTGCGCCGGGCTGGATGCGGCGATTTTGGAGGGAAGTGATCTGCTTGAGAGCAGTCGCTTGTCGAGCTTTGCGTGTATTTGGCGCTGAAATTTGATCAGCATTGACTTAGTAGCGCCATTGAGCGTCTTGAAGGCGTACGGTGGGCTGGAGATGCGTCGCTGGGTTGCTCTTCCAGTTTCTTCGCGGTGCTGTGGAGTGCCCTCGACGGGCATTTAGGCAATGCTGCTACATCTCCTATTAGTGAGCGCCTCAAGGCACCCATTGAAGGGCACATGTGTCGCTGAGCCATATTGTGTGGATGGCCGTCTTCGATGCTGTCACCACAAACTCCAAAGTTTCGAGATCGCGAAGTCTTGGCGGACAGAGATCTTGCCATATGGTCCTCCGCACCACGTGCTCCGTCTCTCACCTACGGACTTTATGGACGTTGACAGACCTTCTTTCTTTCCACGAAACCGATCATCTCATCTTTAACGAGTTGCGCTTTATTTTCGAAAAATCGATGTTTTGATCGCGAGCGCGTATCTGTCGCCTGTGTACAACGACATCCTCAACTAATCCATCCCAACCCATCTACATTGCCTGATCGCCCAAACAATCGACACTCATTCTGGTCTCACACTAAAGCTGCGGTTCTACGATATAATACACCGTTGCTTTCCCCCTCAACTGTGTTCTGATCGGACGCTTCATCACACAAGACGATAACAGGCGCGTATCGTAGCCTCGGCCGGCCCTGCCATCAAACGCGGTCCTTTGTATTCGCATTTCCCCGGGAATCCTTTCGTTGCGTTCGCATATTTTGTTACATTCTTTTGTCCTCAAGAAAACGTCATTGCCATGCTCCGACGCGCCCCCACCACGATTACGCTCACACAGGCCGACATTGAGCAGTGGGAAGCCAGTCGCCAACGTAAACTCCACGAGGCTCAGCAAAAGCTCGAGGCTGAGGTGGCCGCAAACCAATCCACTTCCGACGGAAAGTCTAAGGAGTCCAGGCAGAGGTCTACAAAGGACCGCATCATGGGTGGAAGTGGCCAGGGCCGCTGAGCAAGTCTTTACAAACCATCAGATGGTTGACATGAGCCTTTGCCTTTTTTGACATCCTTTGCGCCGATCTTATATTACGCCTGGCATTCTGCTTGATTACCAGCAACGCTCAAAAGCTATTTTGAACGACTGTTTTGGCTTGCTTCTGTATCACGACGGTCTTGCGAATTTCTTCGGCGTTTTTGGCAGAGACACACAACTGTGGATCACCATTAACGGTTTTGGTGTGTTGAGTTTCCCCAAAAGCGGCCTCATTATCTCTCCACTCACATGTAATAGGCCTCCTACGTCTGTCCGAACCATTATACTAGAAAATGTTGGATTATATATAGGGTCGGGAACTGATCTCCCTTTTGGAGCCACTTGTAAGCAGTCATAGAGGTGACGAACGTTGTGATTTGACCAACGTTGAAGCAGACTGAAAATCTCCAAAGTCCTGTCTGCTTATTTCAGCTCTTTGGCGAGAAATCATCAGGTTGGGAACATCGATAACCTGTCATCCCCTAGTAATGACATGGATGAATCATGAATTGTCTTGTTCTCACTGTCCTTGCCAAATTATTCACTTCTTCCGATGCCTGTGAAAGTTACGCCTATTGCATGCTTCAGATCTTACCGACGCCAGTAGTAGTAAGTGAGGATGATAGCATCTACACGATTGATATAGTCAACGACCGGAATACTCAACAAGCCCCATACACTTCTACTTTTGTATAGAAGAAGCGGATAATGACACTCAAGTCACATTTAAGCGACATACTACTTTTGCCCTCTCAATAATACGCAATAAACCAATAGCATTTCTCAGTGTCAAAATATGTCAACGAGGCGTGCCGTCCCGGAGCGCCTGGACCCTTCCAGCAGGCTAAAAGTTGCTTTTTTGGCGACACGGGAGGCCAGAATCCCTCACCGACCCTTCGACTCAGCATTACATATACAATGATTGGCATGCATCCCAGCGAATGTCCCGTATATACGATCGCCCAAGCTCTCGGTAGCGTATCTTTGTGGTACAAGCGATCTGACGCCACGAGCCTTTACGTACTATGCAGTCGGGTAAACCTCCTCCCTACCGCCAAGCCTAACCCATCAGCGATGGCTAATTCTTAGATGACCACCTCCCCAAAATCATCATAAAGCCATCGAGCCGTGTTATAGAATCACAATACATGCATAAGCGAACGCGATGCGGCTCGTGGCTAGTAGTTCCAACATCCCGTTCGGACATTGATCCCGAAACGACAGCCACGGCCGTTGACAAACGCCATTCCCGTGGTGGAAGTGTTGCACTGATCGAGACCCTTGGAACGGGACGTAACGTGGAGGGAAGCGGAATGGGGTATATGTTACTCGGATCATTAGAGCTAGCATATCGATATGGTGCTTTCTATAGAATACTGCGTAGGATGCGGGCCCTATTCGTAGGGCTGGGTATTATAAATAGCAAACATGGGTTTGGACATCGCTTCGCGATATGGCGTACAGATGGCGAGCTGATCGTATTATTGATATGAGCTATAGACGGGGCAACGTCTCCTAATTTGCAGTAGCCGCCTGTCAAGTCACCTTCACAGGAAGGTCGTCATAGCTTTATGACAAGCTCGGGTTGTGCCCAGTCGATGATGCATGCCGCCAGCCGGTGCCTGAACGTCGTAGTGAATGGTGGAAGTTTGAAGGAATATGCAGAGGCGTTAGAACCTACATTGTCTGTCTGCCGCCCTTGAGAATCATCTCTTGGTTCATGCGGAGAACAAATTCTCCGCCTTCCGGGCAAATCTGAGACAGTCAATCGCAGACCGAGCAGGCCGTGATGCCGTAGCAGGAAAACCAAGGGTCTCTGGAGATGCAAATTGCCGCATTTTGCTTACAAAGGTTTTGATGAGCTCCCGAAGGCGGAGCATACTGGCACACAGCACCCCCAGATTCAGCCACAAATACTTCCTGTCGTCTTTGCGGGCCGACAGCTGTCAGATATTTCGAAGGATTTAGTGCCGTTCATAGTGTAGTTCGGGGTATCCCCCTAATCGTAATGGCGTGCCGCCTCTGCGGATACTGTGCTGCCTTTTCTGTGTCCTATTTGGGTCGACAGCATCTGCTTGTGCGGGCCATTGAGGTCGTGAAGTGCCCGAAGTGTCTGTTAGCGCACCTGCAGGACCATGGGACAAACAGCTTGCGGTAGATCAGACACGGAAAGCCAGGTAGCTGGGTTAGACCATATAGAGTAGTCTGAACTGTACCGGACAGTTGGTGACACCGTTCGACGACGGTCTCCTTGTAGGGCACAAGGCTAGTGTTTAGTATCGCGGGATACGTACACGGGGTTGGTGAAACTGGGCTCACATGGAGGTGTGAACCCAAGCCCTGGAGACTACCGACCCGTTTGAACATGCTCTCCATTCCCCGCAAAACTAACTGTCGGACGCGAGCGACTCCGGGTTCGTCTTGCCATCAACCGTTCATTCAGATGTATAAGCCAACGTCATCTAGGGAGTGAGTCTGTTGAATTGTCCGCCAATCATAGCTGTGTGCGTCTACAGCCCAAGCGATGGCTAGAAGGCGAAGGGGCTTCTGCAGGCACAGTGCAGGACTAATGCGCGTTCTCCGCTCGCTACCTCAGACGGACCACACGACTTCTGAGGCGTAGCGCATGTCCACAGGCCAGTAAGAAAAATTCAAAGCCATCGCGAACGGAAGCGGGGCATAGGAAGGCGGTTGTCACTACGTAAAAAAATGCGTATGTTTGAGACAGAAGGTTGGGAACAAGTTGCGAGAGCCAGCTCGCGTGCCATCTATGGATAGGTACGAGAGCGGGGGGAGGACTCGTGCCTAACCTAGACACTCTCGTCATTCGGACAGCACAAGCCCCTTGTTCGCAAGAAGATCCTACGGCGCAGCACCACAATAGTGAAGAAGCTGTACTAACGGAGACAGCATCGCATCCAGATCAAAACAATGAGGAGTTTTACGCGTCGGTACGCGTTTGTTGGGGAACTCCACCAAGAGGCGCTAACGCGGCAAAGAGTGCTCGAAAACACCGGACGTTGCAGCGCTGACTACGCCACCCAGGGTTCACCGGAGCCTGATAGGAGCAGCTCTCCATCGAGACTCTCAACGCTCTGTCAGACCGGAGAATTATGGGACAGTTCGTACTTTCCGCGACGTGCTTACTTTTCCCCATATGCACAGCTAGAGTCAATGAAGCTGGAAGCTTCGTCATTGGGGGGCAACGATGGAAGGCGTGTGAGTGAACGATGACCCGAAACCAGTTGCAGCGATCTATTGACCCCCCTCAACGATCCTCGGACGTTGCCGATGGTTCCAATCCAAGGCGCCAGACAACTCTGTACGAGAAGGCAACATTGGCAAGGACATAGATTATCTGGATGCTTGCCTGATATCGTTCATTCAGTCAGTAGCAATTTCGCAGATCCATGGTGGCTGAACTGCCAATCCAGTGGGCGGCCTGTCGAGTCTCGACTCGATCGCAACATCATCGGAGCAGATGAACCGGAGTCTTCCACAGATGTTGGAAGGGCGGATCTATGACCTCAACTTCCGCTAGCAACTCCGCCGTATTGATCTCAACTAGACGCCCATTAGTTGCGTTTAGGGTACTGTCGCGCTTCAGTGTGGGAAACCCTTTTCGTATTGTCGCGAATCACGATCCACGGGCTGCAAAAGAGGTGGTAGTTGACCGTGCTGCTTTCGGCTCCTTCGAGCCAGTGCCCTTTCGCATGCGAACCCTGTTCCTGAACCCAACCGGCATCCTTGTCTGCAGACCCGCCTCTGCTGCGAATCCTAGTCGTCTTCACATATCTTGGCCACTAAGCTTCTGGGGGTGAGGCCGCGCTAAACTAGGGAAGAAGTGTACCCGCAGGGGTAAAAGTGGTCTGTTCGCTCATGGATCGCCGCACCCACTTGACCTACCCCCAGGCCGCCCAACCAGGAGCCACATTCAAGACCAGGCCGTCTTCCTGCATCACTGCGGCTTCGCTCTCACGCCGTGGCGGCTTTTCTTACTTCTACTATAACGTCCCGTCGTTCGTTCGTTTTGCATTTACTTTGGCCCTATGCGCCTCTAATCCGACCATAGAACCTTATTCACTCTTTAGACTCTCCGCGTTCGAACTAACGGTAGTCACTTCTCTCCACACCGTTTCGTTTTCTCATCTGCGACAATCGTTCCGTCTAAAACTGCCATTGCTGTCACCGGTTTCATCTACACGGCATTGCCTTACAAGAGCATATTCTATAGCAGCCTACGTTAGCACTGAGCTGGATTGCAGCATCAGTCACATCGGCTGACCCCACGTACCGTCTATAAGCTCGATACACCGCAACTCCAGCCAGAGTGGGGATCACCGCTGGAAGGACTCCCATGCTGCATATCTTCAATACGCTTCGGTGAGAATAGAGGGAATTTCGAAATGGCCAACAATGCTACAAGAACCGAGCTTCTTCGAGGAGTGTGCCCGGCGCCTTTCTACGATGCATCACAGTTTGGATTCGATGGATGTAGGTTCTCCAACTCTGTTCTCATATAAATGCTGACAATCGCAGTTGTCGGTGGGAGATTTTGTGCTCCGTTTAAAGACTCCGTTTGCTGCTTACCATGTCCTCTCACAGACTTTCTTTACCCAGAGAGTAAGTTCCCATACTCTATACCTAGGCGTCCACCTTGCTGATCTTCCTCAGGCTTCAACACCTCATACCGCGTGGCTGAAGCGCTAAATGTAGCTGGACTCATCTGTCTGGTCATATTGTTGATCACGTACCTGGTACTACCAGCTGAGAAGACTCGTCGACACTACCTCAGTTACTGTCTCATTATAGCCGCGATTCTCATGGCAGTAAGTGTGACTTCGGCTCAGCTAACCTTCATTGTGCTGATCGACTCTAGCTTGGTTTTGTCGTACCGTTTGGTGCTCAACCGGAGCAGTGCTACGATGAGATTACTCCCAACGATATGTACTCAAGTCTAACGTGTGCTTTCTCTGGTGCGTTCCTCATCTCTGGAGGCATGTCAATGGCGGTTTGGATCTTCATACGTGCGCTCTCCATGCATCTTCAGATCTGCTGGGATGTCACGCCAGGAAAGAAGTTCTTTTACTGGGCACAGGGCCTGGGTTGGTCCGTTGCGGCTACTTTCTTTACCATCACGATCACGATCACTGGAGTCTCCTTCAGATTCGGAGATGTCTGCCATGTCAATTCCGAGCATTCAATGAAGGACTTTTGGGGTCCCTTGCTGGCCATTTCAGGCGCAGCTATGGTCATTCAGGTTGCTACGTAAGTTGTTGAGCCGATTCTGAAGTGAATTTACTGATGCCCACTTTAGCTTCGTATACTGCATCAAGGTGTACCTCCAGAACATGTTCAGCGACGACAAGACCGAAACGCAAAGCAGTGCTGGTCTTCCCTCTTACACGACCAGCTTACGAAACCGTTCAGCACGAGCTGTTTACCGACGTGTTCGTAAAGTCCTATACCTTCAATGGCGTGGCATAACGATTGTGGTCTTCATCCTTGTGGACGTCATCTTCTTCTCCGTCGTGTTCATCTGGCTGAACTCGATAACATCACACGCTACTGAAAACGTCGAGGAGCTCTATCCGTATATCGTTTGCTTGATGACCCACCCCACCGATCCGGAACCCTGCTTTCCACTCGGCCAGGACATGGCCGTCGACCAATCTACAGTGACAGCGATCTTGATGATGCTCTCGATCGCAGGTCTTCAAGTGTTCTTCTTGCTTGGTCGCTGGAGCATGGTAGTTGGATGGCGAGATTTGATTAGGAGCAAGTTCAGCAAGAATCGCGAATTCGTATCTCTGGACGCCAGGAATCCCACGGAAGATTTACGCCACTTCGAACTCAAGAACTTCGACGAGCCGCAATCACCCCCCAGTGCATACAATACTCCGGGACTTGCTAGCTACGCCATGGGAAACGCGCGGTCTGACACTCCTGATCATTTCCACAAGGAAGTACAGCGCGAATACAAGAGTCCGACATTGAGCTTTTCGACTCCAAGACCCCAGTCTCGGTCGGCTACCCATGTCGACTGGGATCCTAGGTCATCAATGGCAAGAGGAGGACTTGGGCTGCATCCTCCAGACTACGACTCTAAAATCTGAGCATGAATACAAGAAATTTTCTTCGCTACATTTGATCACGTCCATGCTAGTGTTGAATCTGCGATCACCATGCTACAGGCATGATTTCAGCCGTCTGATTTATCCGCCGAGTTACGCGAGCTGCATCAAGGTTCTAAAACTAGCGGGTTATAGTCGTGGAGCTAGCACACTTGGCCATGCATCAGCATTTGGCTATGGGTTACGATCGAGAATCCGCGGCCGCCTGTTGAAACGATGATACAGACCAGCTTTGACTAAGCGATCTGCATGTTACCGATTGGAGACAGGCCCTGATCTGCAAACCTAACTTTTATATCAGGCGCCAAGTTGGAGGCACATTGACTGGGGGCATACCACATGTTTCGGGTACGAAAGCCTTCACGTAATATACATGGCTCGTCCATCCTTAGATGCAGATGAGGGTTCGGACATTATTCTATTCGTCCCCGCCACTTATCGTCATCTACCAGAGACCATGTTGAAGGGCATATGCAGATAGTACTTTGTCGATTGGAGGGCAAGAGCTTCGTCTTCGGGGTAAAACGTTGTAGCCCCTTTCTCTAGCTATTTTCTTACTCTTCACATCCATTCTACGGGACCGAATTCGGTCCATTTCATCATTTTCCGTATCAACGATGTAGGCGACTGACACTCGCCCTTGTACGGAGTCGATCTTCCGCATGTGCCGGGTTCAGCATCGCATGAAGCTACATCGTCGCCAGCTTCCACAGTCCTCTTCCGCACGAGCTAAAGGTCCGGTTATCTTGATAGTAGCTCTACTATCACAGTTCACACATGGAGCAAGTATAGAGAAAATCTATAGCAGGGAATACAAAATGAAAGTATTGACAAGTATCAATGAACCTTACTCGCACTCGCTTGTGTGCACCCGTCGCCTTCCGCATAGATCGGCTGAACGTCCAATGTCGTTTCGTGATCGCTCTTGAACGGGCCGGGACCTGGCATCTGCCGGCAATATGGGTAAATTCGAAGCATTCAATATGTCGATCTTGGTAGGGCCAAGGAAACTTCGCCGAGCAAAAAAGAACCAGCCTAGAAGAACGTGGCAGTGGGAAGCATATCCCTTCTCCTTGCCCAGGGTCCCTGGGTTGAGGCCATCAGCAACGTCGCAATACAAACGAACCTTGACTAGTTCTCCCATGCAGGGACAGACGCACGCGAGATGCTGCGAAATTTCTCCATGGAACAACGAATCAACGTTATGCCGTGCTGACGCTCCATTCTTCACCTTGCCATTGGGTCACTATACCATTTTTGGCGGGTTCTTGAACGCTCCGCACTCCGTACCTTTTCGCCTAGGAGCAGCGACGCGACCAGAACTCATTAATGTAATGCAGTCTCAACCTTCAAAGCTCTGTTTCCACCTCCGCGGCTGCAGGAGCAAGAATTCAGGTAACATTTATCACATGCATGGAGGGATCTGCACTACTCCTTCCCCAAGCACATCCTCCTCAGCGAACGGCCCTAGTTTCCAGAACACCGTTCACCGGGAAGACACACGACTGTTATGACGGAGGAACCTCATGGAAAGAGAAGGTCCTCCTCCCACGTGTGGGTACACAGACGTATCCTGACAGCGGCCCCTTGTTTTTAACGGTATAGCGAGACGCCTCTTTAGGCGCAGGCATGAACGCGTGCTCGGCAGGAGCTGCAGGAACAGGTATCTGGGCCGCAGAGTGGTTGGCCTGATGCGACATGGGTGTTGAGTGGTCCGCGCACCGTGAGAAGGATTTATCCAACGGCTCGGCTCAGCCGTGTGAGCAACCGAGATTAGGAGCTGATGTGTCCCTGGGGGAAGAGATGGGCGAGCTTGACACGATGTCGAATGCAGTTACTCGAGCGTCATATCTTCGGCACTTATAGCCTTATGTACTGGATTATTGACGGCCCGATAGAAGTGTAGGCGACGCGGGTTGTGGAAGTGTCTCAAGGTCGAACAGTGAGGCCCACACCAGGCATGAAAGGCGACTCGTTCTCATGTTGCACACGACAGATGCACGCAGGGCTTCTGACGGACTTTGTGACGAGATCCCGTTTCTGCGTACGCTTGGATAAAGAGAAGCGAGCCCCGTTTGTAGAACGACTTGTTCTCATGTATATTGCCTGTTGACTCAGGATCTCCCTTGGTGTAGGACTCCAGCAGCTACACAATCAAGCACGGGATGTTCTTTCCCTATCGCCCTCGAACCTATCTCGTATAACGAAGGCCGATGGCGAGCCTACAAAGTATGCTTCTTGACTCCGCAATACTGGAGCTGGAGAAGTATCGCTATGTTTCTGCTACCGTGAGCGCAGGCCTATGTTATGTATCTCAAAAACTCACTTGCACCAACCATCCAGCAACAGCTTTTCACCCTGCCTATTTCCGCTGTGCCGTCGACTCTTAAGCTGACAAAAGTCTTGCGCATAATACTGATGAAGTCTCGTTCGTCTGTATATCCTGAGTACGACAGAGAAGATCGATAAATGCAATCTTACTTGCTGATGCGACAGCTTCTACCTCCAGCCATTGATTACAGTGCATAACACGTTCGGAACGTTCTCAAGTTCTAGGCCCCGACCACTGCGTTCCAGAGCGCAAATCAGGCCGTTAGCATCAGCATATATCTGAACTCACATGGGATGAATATTTAACACAGACGCTTCTCTCTCAATCGCGTCGTTCATATTGGTGATGTTTCTCCATGACACCGATCCCAAACCCCTAGGCCTGCCTAGCTCTTAATCACACTAATCATCTTCGAAATATGTGAAGTGCTGAAGGTAATTCTAAGTTCGATGGCGACATACTGCACTATTTGCACGCACGTATCGGGCTATGAAACCCGACCAACGTCATGATTTAAAGGGTCAGGTCGAACGGTAAGGCAGGCGGTACCCCACCATAGCGTAAACGCACCAACTTCTTCCCCACCTCCAACGTCGTCACTAGACAACAAAGTAATTCTGTCCGATCTATCCATCTTTGCATTCAGATACGCTATTAATCCGCTCGTCGCACTGTACACTTTGTCGCCAGACAGCCGGTTCTGGCAGCAGAAGGGAACGATCTCTTATCTAATCTACAACAAGCCCTTATCTCCTAAGCTAGCATGGTCGCGATGGGAGGAGGTCCTGAGCTCCCGTCTAGAAGTGGGTCGAAAGAGAAGGAGCTTGTGCTATGCGCATTACCATGGCCTCAAGAGCTATGTGAGCGCGGCATGAAAGAGCTGAGAGAAGCTTTCGATGATGTGGAAGTAAAGTACTTTCAAGTCAAGTACGACGATGGAAAGTCGGAGATGGATGCACCAGAAGGTAAGACAACAGTACCTATGTACACCTGCAGTCGTAGTCACTTCCGGAAAAATGCCGGACGCAAGGCGACGGGTTCGCGCGTTGCCAATGGGTCAACACCCGCAATGCTCTACAAATTAATAAGCTTCCATGCTTACCACCTTTACGCCCGTTACCAAACCTAACTGATGTCGTTGCAGATCTTATCAAGCGCACAACCTATCTTGCAACACTCTCATGGCTCCCGGAATCAGCATCGTCGATCCCTTCTACCAAACTCATCCAGTTCTTCTCCGCAGGCACAAACCATGTTTCTAACCATCCGATTTACACTGACTCCAAGATCCCGTTATGCTCTGCAAATGGTGTTCACGGTCCACAGATTGCCGAATGGGTGATTATGATGAATCTGGTGCACAGTCATAGCTACACCAAGCTTTACGACAATCAGAAAAAGAAGGTTTGGGACCAGAAGGTGGGAAACAGTGTTAGTGATCGGGTAGGGAAGAGAGTGGGTGTGTTGGGTTACGGGAGTATTGGTCGACAAGGTATGTCTACTCGTGTTCTATTGGGGTTTGCCTTACTGGACCTGCGATCCATCACGAGGGGACGGTTGAAGACATATGTTTCTGGAATAATTTGGATATCTGGATGCTTGGCTAACGCACATCAGTTGCTCACGTAGCAAAAGCAATGGGCATGGACGTAATAGCCTACACTGCTTCACCACGCAAGACCCCAGAGTCCAAGCACGACAACGGCTATATCGTTCCTGGAACCGGTGATCCCGATGGCAGTATCCCCAGCGCATGGTACAGCGGGACTAGCAAAGAAGACGTACACGAGTTTCTGAAACAGGAGATTGACCTACTCGTCGTTTCTGTGCCGTTGACGTACGTCTTGTTCCCACTTACAAACGGTATATACTAACCCAGAACCCAGGAAAGCGACGACACATCTCCTCTCCACTGAGGAATTCGACCTCCTACACAAGTCCAACCCGAGAGGTACCTACGTCGCAAACATCGCACGCGGGCAGATCATCGACTCGAAGGCTCTTATTACCGCATTGGAGAAGGAGCATATCAGTGGCGCAGCCCTTGATGTTACGGATCCTGAGCCTCTGCCTGAAGATGATCCGCTATGGGATGCACCAAACGTCTTGATCACACCCCACTGTAGTGGAGCATCAGACGCGTACGCCGACCGCGCGTTCCAGGTGCTGATCGAGAACATAAAGAGAGACCGAAGTAAGGGCAAGCTGATCAACGAGGTGAACCGTGAGAGGGGGTACTGAGCTAGCAACGCAACCGGAACTAGAGCTTTATAGAACGTTCAGCTTGATTGAATGGATCAATGCAGGGTATCTTAGACGCCCTGGGTAGACTCCGAGTAATAGATCATATGCCTAATCTTGCAAGACCTCTCTTGCTTTTGTCACGATAACCTGAGAACGAGAATTCCATGCGCACATCCAATGTCCGTGTATCACCGCCTATTGAATATGCTTGAGATCATGCCGCCCGCCAGGTTTCTCGCGAGTCCTGAACCGTACATGGCGTTTGAGGCAAAGCCAGTCGCTTGGCTGAACTTGTCGCAGCGCGAGAAGGCGAGCGTATTCGTAATCGTAAGGACGAGCGCGATAACTGTAATGAATATGTTAGCCCACTGCCATGTCTCCTTTCTTTTCCCCACCAATAAAATATAAGTCGCAACATACCAACAAGCGTCAACCAAATAAACTCGAAGCTCACTAAAGCCACAATCGCAAGCAACACCCACAACACGGGCTGCGCATACAGCGCCAACCAAAAGAACCTCTTATCTGTCGCATTGATCTGTCGTCCAGTCTCTGGATCCAGGCTCTCGAATACCCAGCTACCGTCTCCGGTGTTGGCGTCGACCTCGTTCCACCATCGTAGTCCGACCAAGCGACGACCTGCGATGTTCTTAAGGTAGTAGAAGTCGATTGCGAGGAGCAGGATTGTTACAATGAAGATGAGGACGAAGTTTGACGAGAGGAGGCGGAGGCCGAGGAGGTAGACTAGCAGAGAGGCTGTGGGGGTGTGTTAGTCGTGAATGAAGTGTATAGATGTTGGTGGTGCCTGGACAGATGGACTGAGGAACGTACAGATGCGGAAGAAGAGGAAAGTGAGTAGCGTAATGGGATGACTGCTGAGTCTCCAGCTCAGCGAGCCAGGCGCTGGCTCTTGTTGTGCGTTCTCCATATTCCTTGTGCCGTGGGTGGGAGTGGTGCTATTGGGAAACAATCCGAGACGTGGGAGGATCAGCTTCACGTGGCTTTCTCAGGGACGCGTCGGCGATCGGCGTTTTGGGGGCGCTTTGGTGGAGCTGGCTGGAGCTGCGACTTCCCCGCACGTCATAGGCTAGCTAGCTGGAGTGACCGAGGTGGGTAACGGCTATATGACTTTCTGTAATTAAGACTCTTATTACTTTGCTGGCTACGACGAGCATCTAGAGACTGGTGCTCTAATCAGTTTGCAGGCAAAATGGCAGCACCAATTATACGAAGGGCGTGCATGTACGGTATGCCATCACCATTCTATTTCAAGTCTACTTATAAAGGTAGTTTCACAAGATACCATACTAACATTGCTACCACAGTGCCGTCCTCTTCGAAGAAAATGCTCGAAAAGTCATTCGCAATGCACGCCGACAACGTAACCTACGACCTCGAAGACAGCGTAGCACCACACATGAAATCCGAAGCACGCTCCAACCTCCGCGACATCCTCAACAAGCAGCGACCCAGCGGCATAAAAGAAATGTGCGTACGGATAAACAGCGTAGATACCGGTCTAGCGCTGGATGACTTGACAGAAGTGCTCAAAGGCGAGCATCTCGATGCTATTATGCTGCCAAAGTGTGAAAGCGCCGCGGATCTACATTTTGTCACAGATGTGATACGGCATCTTTCCCCAGAGCGACATCCCAGTGCGGGGAAACAAGGAACGAGGGAACCGGTGCGCATAATAGCGTTGATAGAAAGCGCAAAAGCGATACAGAACTTGAGTTCAATCTGTGCTGCTTCGCCTTACATCTCCGGACTTGTCTTCGCAGCAGAGGACTTTGCAAAGGATATGAGTCTCACACGCACACCTTCACTCATGGAGTTCCTCTACGCAAGGAGCGCAATTGCGACGGCGGCTCGAGCTGCTGAACTTCCCAGCACCATTGACTTGGTGTGTACGAGTTACAAGGGGGAGCAAGGACTCAAGACATTAGAGGAAGAGTGCCTGAATGGAAAAGGGTTAGGCTTCAACGGCAAGCAATGCATACATCCAAGTCAAGTCGCGGTGTGCCATAAAGCCTTTAGCCCTGGGGAAAAGGAGCTGGAGTGGGCGACAAGGATAGTTATAGCGGATGAGAAGGCAAGTAAAGCTGGACGAGGCGCCTGGACATTGGACGGCAAGATGATCGATGCGCCGGTAGTGAAGAAAGCGCATGCAGTGCTTAAACATGCCGAGGTATGTGAAATGGACGTGAGTGCTGTCAAGGAGACATGGAAGGGACAGGAGCCCGAGTAGCTGCCAATGCACATTGGTATCTTGGTATTGATCTCCCTACATGAGGGCCACGAGAGCACTCTGTGACTACCTTCTACACAGTAATCATGACACTGGCGTTCTTGTACCAGCTCAGCAACGGATTATCACCATTCTTCGTAGTCGTCTCCGCAATATCTGCTCTGCCAGCCATGAAGTCTTCGTGTAGGTATGTTCGTGCGAAGCGTCCGGTTATTGCCGTGTACATGGGCTCCATGACTTCAAAGTCAGTGGGAAAGAGTATGTCAAAGTAGCCTTGGTGCACCTAAGATGTGTCAGTAGCTGTCCTACAATGAAATGGTATATAAACTCACAAGAGGCGTCGAAACAGGAATCATCTGCCTCTTGTATCTCGTTTGCACAACTGGCGCATTGATGCCCTCGACCGCATCGCCCAGTTTGTGGAAATCGCTACTAATCAACTTGTGATTTGGAAATTTCTCGTATAGCATGTAGAAGAACTGCATAAGCCGTGTCGGTATATACTCTGGTATGCTCATATTGGAGCGAAACGGTACCAAGCTCCTCAGATTGTTCATGAGCCGCGAGCCTTGCAGCGGATGAGGATAGTTGGTACAAGCAGCGTGTCTGCGCTCAAGGAACTGGGTAACGAGGGGATCTATGGTGCGGGAATAGTATTCGAAGAGCTCTCCACGAGGATCGACGACGACATGGGATTGATACGGAAGGCCCGTTTCGAAGTCGTACTTTAGGGCATCGTGTGCGAAGTTGTCGAAAACTTCCAAGGCAAGGAAGTAGCAGGGCGAGGAGACATAGATATTCCAGTCGAAAACACTGCGATTGATGATTTCCACTTTGTCAGAGTGTCCTCGCGCATATGCTGAGTGTCCTAGACCCTTCTGTTGAAGGTCGGCCAGTTGACTGGAGATTTCGATGATCTTGAACTTGGTTCGCTCGTACACTTCGGGATGCACGTCTCTTATGAAGTCAAGAATGTTCAACATCATCGTACCGTTACCCGCGCCCATCTCGTATATGTTCAGGTCATGGTATGGGTAGAAGTTGTACTTGTAGTCTTCTACAAGGTAGCGTGCGATTGCTTCTCCGTAGTAAGGTGAAAAGAGTTCGGTCGGCGTATGCCAGAGTTGGCGCAGGTCATTCGGCTCTTGATAATCGAGATCATCTTCGAAGGCAGTGTAGCGATGCCGCAGTTGCTGGAAGAATTCGTGCTCAGAGCTCATGGAATTGAAGTCGAACGGTTCGCCGGGAGAGAAGATGACAACTTGCTTCGAGAAGTAGCCGTAGTTGGGGTTATACAAGCTGTCTATACATCCATTAGCATATTATCCTCATTTATAAGGAACCTCTAACCTTCTATGAAGTCACGCAATAGCATCTTGACTCTGCGCGGTCTTTCTCTCCTACTCCGCAGCATGTCCGCGGTAACCATTGGATATCTCTCGAATTCTTCCGCCCTCTCTTGGGGAAATACATTCTTCCTCGGTGTCCATCTGCTCTCCCGCCTCGTTTCTCCCTCACCCAACCGTGTGACCTTCCCTCGTCTTTGCTGGTGTGGTATGCGGGCGCCTGCGAGCGCTGGTCGAGCTCCGCGGGCAAGACATTGCGACGCTCGATGCGAGAAAAGCTGGCGAAAGAGCTGCGTGGCGAGTGGCGAGTCCATTGCCGTCTGAGACGATTGTCACGAATGCGTCGCGACGGCGGTGGTAGCTTTGGCACCTAGGACTTCTCCGCGCGAATGCACGTGGTGAGCTTTGCGGGCAGTCGTGCCAAGACGGGGATACCACAGAACTCCGACTGCCTCAACTTTCGAAATGCACATCTTCAATTCCAGATTTTTGCAATGTCTGATCGCTCCAGATATTATATTCTTGGGGCTTTCCTGTTGGGCATCGCCCTCACTACTGCATACCATAAGAAGACGTCGATAGAAGCATCCGATGACGCAAGTCAAAAACGACTTTTGGCACACCAGCAAAAATGGTTATCGCAACTCGCAAAGATTAACGACCTAGAAACGTTGAAGAAAAGTCTACTAGAGTTTGGCGAAGACAACGTCGCAGATGACATCAAAGAAGGCATCGAAGGATGCATAGGCGGCACACCTCTCATCAAGATTAAGTCGCTTTCTGAATTCACAGGATGTGACATATTCGCAAAAGCTGAGGTATAAAGATTCATATCAACTTGCCTTGAACATTTCACTGATGTGGGGGTCACAGTTCCTTAACGGAGCCGGCAACAGTCCGAAAGATAGGGTCGCTCTGAGCATCATCGAAATGGTATGAAGAGCATGCACTGTGAACGACTATGGTTTTAGTTATGTTTGTTGACTTCCATATCAGGCTGAAGAGAGGGGGCTTCTCGTCCCACACTCTGGTGACACCGTCTATGAAGGCACTGTGGGGAGCACTGGCATTTCACTAGCCGCCATCTGTAGAGCACGAGGCTACAAAGCACATATGTGAGTTGTCATCTGAAGCGCAAGAATGCTCGCTAACAAGCGGAAGCTGCATGCCAAATGACATGGCAATCGAGAAGTCAGATCTTCTCCTAAAGCTTGGTGCCGAAGTAGAAAGAGTGCGACCAGCGCCTATCGTGGATCAGAAGCAATTTGTCAATCTCGCACGATCACGAGCGGAAGAGCATACTGCAAGTTCCGACAAGCCAGGAAGAGGATTGTTCGCCGATCAATTCGAAACAGAAGCCAATTGGCGCGCACACTTCACTGGCACAGGACCTGAAATCTACGAGCAAACTGGGCGTCATGTGGATGCTTTCGTTAGCGGCGCTGGTACTGGAGGGACTATCTCTGGAGTTGCCTTATTTCTGAAGTCCAAGTTACCCAACCTCAAAGTCGTTCTGGCAGATCCTCCGGGCAGTGGCTTGTTCAACCGTGTCAAGTACGGCGTCATGTTCGACCCCAAGGAAAGAGAAGGAACGCGGCGGCGCCACCAGGTGGATACCATCGTCGAAGGGATTGGCATCAACAGAGTGACACATAACTTCGATGTTGGCCGAGAGCTGATCGATGACGCTATCAGAGTGAACGACGACCAAGCGAGTTCCATGGCGCGCTGGTTGGTCGAACATGATGGCATCTTCGTTGGAAGCTCTAGTGCTGTGAACTGTAAGTTTTGAAGTGTTCAACAACAGACGGCGCTAACATATTGAAGGTGTGGCTGCCACGAAACTTGCAAAGACACTCGGTCCTGGACACCGCATCGTCACGATTCTATGCGACAGGTAAGACAGCGTCTCAAGATTTTGAGGAATTACTAACTTCTTCACAGTGGCGCAAGACATTTGAGCAAGTTCTGGAAGAATACCGAACCCATTGGTGGCGCCGAGAACGATGTGTCTCTCCAAGCCATTCTCGACGCTTAAGACATTGTCTTATCGTCGCCATCTGACTTCGATACTTTATACATTCCAAGGGCCTCGTTACCTTAACCAAACCACCAGCCAGTTTCGAACACGAAAAGTTCTTACAGATTCACCGTTGATCACATCTGAAACAGATCTGTACAGCAGCGTTCAGACCATGAAAGATTTGCCAGCGCACCACAATGTCAGCCAATACGCCACCGCATTCTCAGCAAGGACAATCAACCCCCCGCCCTCATCAACTACTGCCATCAATACTATGGAATGCGCAACATTGTGCAGCAGCTTCCATCATCCACTCGAAGACAATGGACACGTGACAGAAGAAAGACAAAGGTTCTACTCTTCACGAGATACTGGGAGTCAGGATAGCAGGTCTTAGGCGGCGGTGTCTTAACAAAGAGCAAAGCTCCAACAATACTCATTCTATTCTGACACCCGTACTCTCCGTTTGTGTCGCCTTTATATACTACGGCGGCCCCTCAACCCTGCTCGCTGCACACTCCCGGCTGTTCCATACCAAATACCACGCACCTTTTCCCGCAGCAAACTTGCTCAGTTAGCAAGCATCCTTACCTGAACAGCGTGCTTTCTATCAAACGGACATATGCCTAATCAACGTATGAGCGTTACAAGCGGCATCAACAAAGCAAACAGACCAAAGTCGAGCATTTTACAAAGGCGAGCAGCAAGGAAGATGCGACTATCCAATCGCAATCCGGCCCTTGCCCACAAGATTTCTGAAATGCGCCTGACTATCGCTCCTATAGTACATATCGAAACAGGGGAACCAGCACCCGACTTTCCCTCCACAATGCTCGATCTTTTTCTCCTAACGGAAGCTCAGCTCGACGCGCTAGCTACTTACTACTCCCAAACGCATGTAACATACCTCACACACCAATACCCACAGACAATGAACTGGCAACAGCCTTTCTTAGATACAAGTGATACTCTGCCGGAAAACTGTAAGTTAGCGGAACTGGAGCGATTGAAGATCAAGATGAGGATGTTTGCGAGATTTATTGGTATGAGGGGTGCGGATACGCCGCGCTGGGAGTATGATCGTCAGGTCGAAGTACTGAGGAACAAGATACAGAGTATTCTGGAGGAGGAGAGGGCGCTGAGAAAGTTTTACCGAGGCCCTGTAAATAGGCCTTGACGGCCTTCGGGAGTGCTGGGTACCTGGTATCAGAGTTGGATGGGAGAATGGGGAAGAGGGAATATCGCAGCATTTTTGAAGCGTTGGATTAGCGATTCGTATATGGCCGCAATACATCTTGTTGACGATTGTTCACTGTGCTTTACAGCAAGCGGGCGGTAATGTCTACATGCGCTTCGTCGTGATCTGAGTCTTTTGCATCCTGCTGGAGATAGTGAGAAACAATGGGTAATAGGGAGTATCGATATGACACCATGTCGAAAAGAATTTCTTCATGTGCTCTCCACGAAGCATCGTAATCACCTTAGCGACAACGATGAATATACCCTGGTAGAAGACCGTTTCGATTGCAGCTCGCATGCAGCAGTCATAGGATCATCATCATGCGGACATGAGGTTCACTTTTGCATCGTCGGCTCGCTCATGGCCGACGCTTATCGTCGGTTGTCAGGTATTCGGACAAGGGCATACATGATCAACTTGTAATAAGGGTTCGAAGATTACCCTAACCGCACATTTGCAACCACACATGAGCAAAGAATTGATGTCAAGCATGGCTCAACGAATCAAGTCATCATCCGTAGGTTTACAATCCACAAGTTCCTTGCCCAGACCACACTTGAGCGGTCTCATACGAATATTTTAAAAGCCTCCAACCTTTACCTTTCGACAACTCGCCAGCACCTACTATCCAGTCGTGGTCACTTACAAACAAACTCTCCGCATCATGAAATTCAGCACCAAAACCCTCTACGCTGCCGTGTGCACTGCTGTTGCAATCATCGCACAGGCTGCCGCTCTCGATATCTTCAGGCCTAAATCAAGCACCATATTAGCGCAAGCCTCGAGCATCAAAGCCTTGAGCAACGAATCCAGTCGTCTCGCACCCCAAATCAGGGACACCAGTGAGGTGAGATAAAGATCCTCTTCTGAATAGAACAAAAGTCTTACCAAATAAAGTGTACTAAGAAATGCAATCATGAAGCCTATAAAGAGGCCAAAGAGGCCCATGATGCTAAAGAGGAGCGCCTCGTTCTTGGATCATGGTTGGATTGTGTGGTAGATTGCAAGGATGTTGCCACAATCAGTGAATTTCGGGAGAAACTCGAGCTGATGTGTCTTGCATTTGGGGAGGTTTGATGCGAAACCGAGAGGCCATCCTCAGTGTCACTACAGAAGTCAAGGTGTTGTGAAGAACACTAGCTCAGTTTATTTTATTCAAGGGAGTTAGATTGAAAAGAATTATCGGATCAAGTTATCCTCGATAGTACGAATTGAGCTGGTCAATTATTTGATGTGAAACTATACCTCTTTCGTGCAAGCACCAACAACACCGCGACGGGAGATCGACAGGGCATCGCTAAAAGCTTCGCTCGCGTGTGCACCCATGGCTAATCAGCACGTTGCCAACACCTCCTCCCTCCTTACGAGGCGCCCAGACCCTCGGGTCCTCTCTCGCGACCAGCAATATCCGTAAATATGCCACCACGCGCGCGTCCCCGCCATCGACCGTTAACCGTCGCTACCGTATGCGGAACCGCTTCGCTCATCCTACCCACTGTCACACTCATCCGCCTCTATGCCATCTCCCAACTACCCATATACTCTATCATATACGCTGGCATCATCAGCGGCGTCACATTCCTCTTCTATGGTTACGACAAGATGCAGGCGCGGAACCTGGAGTGGAGAGTCAAGGAAGTGACACTACATACGTTGGCAGCAGTGGGAGGATGGCCCGGGGCGTTGGCGGGCATGCACTATTTTCAACACAAGACGCGGAAGATGAGATTCCAGGTTGTGTTCTGGGGAATTGTGTTGGGCTGGGAGGGTATTGCGTGGTTGGTATGGAGTGGTGGGGTACAAGTGGGATGACGAGGAGAATGGAGCAAGGCTTTTCAAGACAATAGAGAAGATTTTCATTAGGAGCATCGAGGACAGCTACAAGAGTCATGACGGTCGTGAGGGTATAGCCCAAAACTGCCGGAATGGTATACAAGGAAAAGGCCGCCTCGAGAGGAACCACAAAGGTACCACCAAACGCCTACCGAGGGTATGCCCAGCATCGCTCTTCTGCTATCGTACAGCTACTCTGCTTTCTTCTGGACCGTTCTCTGGGCTACATCTTTCGTCTTGCCTGTCATCGTTGACACACGTTCGAGTGCCGCCTTCGGATAACTCTGCACCGTCTCCCAGTTCACTTGGTCCGAAACACTCTTGGACAGGTTCGTCGCGGACTCCCAAACTTGGGTGGCCGTTCGAACTGCACAAAGAAGAGGCATTAGCGACCGGTAAGCGGAGATGTGAGTCTATCAGCGGTTTCACCAGCTTGCTCTCCGATGGGGTTCTGCATAGCACCGCCCGCGAGATTGCTGATGCCCTGCTTGAGGTTCTTGACGTCTTCTTGGTCGGAGGTGGGGAGTTTGTTGATTTGGTCTAGAAGATGTCAGTGTTTGCCCAGATGGTGTTTGTGCATGGCGAGTATGGCAAGACTCACCCTTGGCCATGTAGGACATCTTGTTCTCGCCCATAGTCTTGAGGGCCTGGTTCTCCATCTTGCGCTTCATCTCTGGGGAGATACCGAAGAAATAGAAGTAGCCCGCAGCCAAGGCTACCAGGCCTGCGAGGATGGTGAAGATGCCGATACCCATGGTAGAGATTTTTTCAATGCTCGTTTGTGTAAAGTGGTCTGTATTGGAAGTGGTAGTGCAGCACTGCTGTAGAGGAGATTTGGCAGAATAAAGAAGTGATGTGCGTGGTATGATGGGCGTTGTCGATCACGGCCCAGATTATGTACACGGAAGGGCATGACGTAGGAATCGCAAACTTGCCAGCCTTGCGCCTGCGGGACCAAACGAACGGTTCCCTTCTTTCTTGGCACCGTCTGGGCCCTACCTTCTGTGGCGCATGCGTTTTGCGAACATTGAAGAAGCTCGCGTCTTGTGAGTTGCACGGAGACTACATTTTGGATGCGCGATGTATGCAATCATCTAGCGGCTGTTGCGCAGGTAGTCTCGGCGTAATATGCTTAAATGCTTGGTGCGATACGAAAAGTACGCACTCGTTCGTACTATAAGAGGCATCTAATGTCCAGACCCTTGAAGTTTATCATTAAGAAGCTGCGAGCAGATAAACGTCCATGCTTTGCGAGTCAAGATGACAGGTGCCACACCCTGCTGACACTGCCTGACGCGTGTATGCTGCAACAGGACCTGTATGCAATGCCTACCCACTCATCTTCATAGTATGTAGGAGGATCGCATCTGTTGTCCATTGAGCCTGACGTAGACAGCCACGAAGAAAGCGTTGAGGGGGGCCGCTGCTAGCTTTTGATCCACTGGCAATTGGTGCTGCGCCTCAAACCCTAGAGGCCGCGAGGCGGACACGACCCTCGAATGCGCCTGCCCCACAGCCAGGCTTGGTGCTACTCCAGTTCTCCCAAGACGCTCGACCTTTGTTGCTGGCCCGATTCAATTCTGTGCCTCCTTTTCACGACCTTCCTTTGCAGCCTTGTCTTTTCCTCATACGAGAGCATTGCTACCTAACTGATTCTTTACCCCTCACCAAACCCCCACCACGAGCTGAACGCGCCTGATAGGCAACCTAAATCTCACCCTCAGCCTGAAAACAAGCTTGCGGCAGTCATATAACTGCAAACCAGGTCGCCCATCATGAGTTGTACTCCCCTCTCAGCGTTACGCACCGCGATATCAAATACTGACTTGTCCTTCAGTGACAAACATGCTCAACAAGCTGCACGGCCAGCCCGAGAGCTATGATCGCAAGTCTGTATCCTCGTGTCCCGCGCTCCTTCCTGTACTGAACATGTCAATTGCAGATCTCGATACCGCTTCGGAAAGACATTAGGCGCCGGAACTTACGGTATCGTCCGAGAAGCTGACTGTCCCGAGGGCAAGGTCGCCGTGAAGATCATCTTGAAGAAGAATGTGCGCGGCAACGAGCAGATGGTTTACGACGAGTTGGAGATGCTGCAGCGCATGAAGCACCCTCACATCGTCAAGTTCCACGACTGGTTTGAGTCAAGGGTATGCGCGACACGGTTATCATCGATAGGGCTGTGAGGCTGACATCTGCCAGGACAAGTACTACATTGTGACCCAATTGGCGACCGGCGGAGAGCTGTTCGATCGTATTTGCGAAAAGGGCAAGTTCACAGAGAAGGATGCCGCCGAGACAATCCGACAAGTACTCGATGCAGTCAACTACCTCCATCAGAACAACGTCGTCCACAGAGGTATGTTCTCCATGTCTAATACAAACCCAGCAGCTGACCCCTGAACAGATCTCAAGCCAGAGAACCTCCTATATCTCACACGCGACGCAAACTCCTCCCTCGTACTTGCGGATTTCGGTATCGCCAAGATGCTCGACTCGAAGAGCGAGGTTCTGACCACCATGGCTGGGTCGTTCGGATATGCTGCCCCCGAAGTCATGCTCAAGAAGGGTCACGGAAAGCCTGTTGACATGTGGTCTATGGGTGTCATCACATACACACTTCTGTGCGGATATTCGCCATTCCGGTCAGAGAACCTCGCAGATCTGATTGAGGAATGCAAGAACGGTCGCGTCATCTTCCACGAGCGATACTGGAAGGAAGTGAGCCAGGAAGCCAAGGAATTCATCAAGAAGCTGCTAGAGCCCGACCCGAACAAGCGACCAACCAGTGAAGTATGGCCGAGTAGCCAGCGTCTGTTGAAATGCACTAACGATACTAGGCTGCCCTTAAACACGTCTGGCTCAGCGGAAGCACTGCTACGGACCACAACTTGGTGCCAGAGATCAAGGCTTACGCGGCAAAGGCCCGCCTCAAGCGCGGCATCGAGCTCGTCAAGCTTGCAAACCGCATCGAAGCACTCAAGATGCAAGAAGACGAGGAAGAGGATGTACCCGGAGAGGCAGACATGCCTGCTAATGCCCGCGAAGCTGCAGGTGAAGCCATCGCATCACATTCAGTGGATAAGGGTCTAGCAACCAAGGAGAACGCAGGCACAGGTAAGGGACCCGGTCGCCTGAGCAGAATCGCCAAGGGAGCCATCTTCCGAGAAGTTGTGCTAGCCAAGGTGCGCGAGATGAAGGAGCAGGAGGCGCGAGCGGAATTCGAGAAGAAGGCATCGGAGCCAGTGAAGAAGTGAGAATGGAGAACCTGGACGACTTTCCTTGTTTCTGGTCTGATCCTACAAACATGTTGAGTTTGCTGCAGTATTAGCGGAGGTCTGATTATCCCAAGTATACCCCTGGAAGACAGCGACCAGGCCCCGCTACCTAAAAGCAATTCATTGGTAATACTCAGACGTACGCAATGTGATGCTAGAGACTAGAAGTGTTTACCGTTTGTCGATGACTTGTTGTGTCGAACGACGATTACGGTGCATCTGGTGATGCAAGGGGACCGTGCGCGATTGCTTGGCAAACCTGCGAACCCTAGATTGAACACTGCGGCGCGTCCACCGGGTTGACGACCGAACGCGCATTTCACTGCACCGCCGCCACGATCCTTACCCGCCTCGGGACCCTCTGCAAACCGCTCAGATAGACTACGCGATCACGAATCAACCGGAAATGGAGAGCGCGGCCAAGCGCAAAGCCGCCAGCGCTGCTGTGGGTGACTACGACGGTCGCCCTGCGAAGCGACAGAAAGCGACGGTACGTGCAGTCCATGGTGGTGGTTGATGCATCGTCGGTCGTGTTTGGGAGATGTAGGAGGCGCGATGGTCGCGAGCGGGATGGTCCTTAGACCAGGAGCGCGACACCTGGGGGGTTCGACGAGTAGGCCATCACCGCCGTCGGCCCCTCATCGCCCTCAACACTACGCGCGCGCCGGCGATGCAGTCAGAGACGGAGGAATTCTACTCAAGCAATCATGGGAACAATGCTGACAGGGGACCGCTTCCATGCAGGCCGAAACCCCTTCCAAGTCCGAGACGGTCGAATCAACCACAATAGCGGGCTTGAAGTTCCTCGACAGCTTGAAGCAGGCCAAAGACAAGACGTACGTGCTTGGCTTTTCAGACCTTCCAACGAGCATATCTGGGGACTTCCACTAACAAGCTGCAGCGGACGACCCATCGCAGTCCATTTCCTTGCTCTTCCGGACAAGGCTGAAGTGCCTGACTACTACGAATACACGAAACTACCTATTGCTATAGATACCATCGAGGTATGCTCACCCTTTACTTGTGCACAATGCCCAGCTACCCCATGCCCCTACATCACTGTGCTCCCGGACAATATCTCTACCTTATCCCAACTGACTATCGTGTCACCGACTACCATTGCCTACGCCTCAATCATCGACCTGGACAACTGCTAATGTAACATCTAGGATAAACTCAACAACGGAGAGTACGCGTCACTAGCCCAAGTCGAGAGCGACTGTAAACGATTGGTCAACAATGCGAAGGCCTACAACGACAAGAACTCCGTCATATATCAAGATGCCGAGCGTCTACGCAAGACCGCCTCGAACTGGATGGTGAAGCACAACCCGGCGTACCGTGACGGCAACTATGTCGCAGCGGCCACCCCGATCCCAGGCGAAGACAACTCCACCCCTTCGAAACCTCCATCCCGCGTTACGGCAACCCCAAGAACTGCACACGCACATACACCTGCTACGATAGATACAGTTGAACGCCCTCGAAGAGCGGCCGCTATTGCAGCATCAGCTACACCAGCACCATCAAAGCTGCGACAGTCAGCATCCGCTGCGCTGGAAGATGATGATGACAACAGTGCCGATTACGCAGGGAAGACGTTTCAGCAGGCACAGGAGCAGATCGTGAGGGAGATAATTGACTATGAGGAGTAGGTTATATGCCCTGCGTCGCATTGTCTCATCACTAATACCCTCCAGTCAAGGTCTCCAAATATTCTTACCCTTCCAGAACCTCCCATCGCGCAGCTTGAAAGACTACTACCAGCTGATCAAAGACCCAATGTCGCTGGCCGCCATACAAAAGAAGGTTCGCGGAGTGATCGGACGCGACGCCCCGACAGGACATACACTGTTCAAGAGCTGGGACGCTTTTGAGGATGCATTTAGTCTTATTTGGAAGAATGCTCGTATCTACAATGAGGACGGTAGCGACATCTACAACCTCTCGCTCGAGCTTGAGGTACGTACATCATCTCTGCTTCCTCCTTACTCAGTACTAACCAGCACAGGAAATCTTCAATAAGAAACTCGAAGAAGCCAAGTCTAAAGTCAGCGAGCCAACGCAGCCGAAGCTGAAGCTTAACATATCCAGCGCTGCAGCTCCGAAGCAACAATTGAAGCTCAAGCTCAAGCCGAGTCCGGGATCAGAGCGTAACACTCCAAGTGCCCGTGATTCTGCGACGCCTGGTGTCATTGTTGACAGCGACGCTCTCCTGCGACAACAACGACATGTGCTTGACAGCATGGGCAATCGATCGTCTACCCCATCTGGGAAAGCTGCAACGCCAACAGCAATTGCCAATCCGTTTACTGGACCGAAAGGCGGCGCGGCAACGATTGCACCACTCTCCGCCGCTCAAAGCAAGACTGCAGGGTCTCCGCCGGCAGTCAATGGTGTTAAGCAAGACGTGCAGTCCCCTGCTTTGAGTGCTATCAGGCCGGCCAGTACCGCACCGGATAGCCAGGCCTCGCGACTCAGCGTTCCGGCGCAAACACCACATCCGAGCATGGCTCCTCCACAACATCAATCTCGTCCGGCAAGCGGCAGTCCGCATCCGAATGGTGTTGGGCTGCAGAACGGTACTCATATTCCTTCCTACCACGCGCCAACTTACTACGCGCCTCCGGCAGTGGCTCGTGTAGATAGTTTCAGAAAAGTACCGCTCAAGAGTAAGTGCAAACTACCCATTCAGTAACACTGCAACTAACACACATAGGCGTTGATGAAGCATTGATACCTAAAATCACACTAAACACTCACCCCGCGCTCAACCCCTCCAAGCCATGGTCTGTTCACATCCCAGCGAACAAACAAAAGACCATGTACAGTGCCACGATGGTGGTTGCACCAGCCAACTCATACATCCAAGTCATACCCAAGGTTCCCATCGCTCTCACAAGTCGGATGTATCGCCTTTTTGTTACTGTCAATGGCAACAAGACACTCGAAGCAAACCGAGTTCCTGTTACTGCAGGCATCAACGGCACGAGCCCTGGCCCTGGTTACGAGGGTGGTAAGAAGAAGGGCGAGCCACTGTTCGAGGCGAAACTTGTCGCTGGCGTCAACCGCATCGAAGTTGAGATTGTTGCAGAGAAAGATCGCAAGGGCCAGCCTGAAGGTGGCAGTGCAAAGAAGGAGGATGTTGAAATTGAAAAGTGTACAATCTTCCTACATCTCCCCCGGAATTAGAAATCTGGCGACATGAAAGGATAGATATGGGGGAGAAATGGTTCAATTCATTGGTACTATAGGGATTTGTGTGTGTTGTTTCTCGAGAGCTTGGGGTACTGGCGTTTGCCATGGCGGCATCAGCATCAAGATAACGGGAGTCACGGTGCTTGCTTTTGTTGTACGGCGGTATACCTCAGATTGGATGGGCGGAGAGAATGGAAACTGGGGACTGGATATTAGTGGAGGAAAGGAAAGCGCAATGTGAATTTTGCGTTATAAGACTAGAAGCGTGTCTATCAAAACGCGTTATCTAGTCAGTCTTTGAGATGAATCAACTTTTCAAACTGTGTAGTCCTGGTGCGTGTGGGTATATCGTGTGCGTCGTCGTTTACTACTACCAACTTAATGAGCTTACTCCCAGCTCGCCACCAGATCTTGTTTCCTGACCGGGATGCACGTCTGGGAAGCCAAGCTTGAACCTAGGCTAATCTTTCGGGTGAGAGGTGCTTTTCTGTATGCAGACAGGGTATTCCTGCAGTCAGCTGCAACTCCGGGACTCCACGCGCTTGCCGTCCGAGGATGCGCAGCGGGCCGTACAAAAAGGAAACTCAACATACATATAACGACCTGGGTGCTAGATACCTTTGTCTCAATTTCCCACGCGCTTTGCATTTACACCTTGCTTACTTCTTCCATCGCAAAACTCTCCTAGACCGATAGCCATGTCTCCCTCACTCGTAGCTCCCTCACCACCTCAGCAGAAACCGGGCCTTCTCCTCGTCAACCCACGCCTTCGTGACCCCAACCCAGACAACGCCGACACATTCCTGCGCTGGACAAAACTGCATGCCAGAGACTTACTCAACGTACCCGATTCTGGTTCCGGTCATGTAACGCATGGTTTACGGTTTTGCGCTCCAGATAGCGATGACAGGTATTCGCATGCAGAGGAAGACGAAACAATGCCAAAGTACCTGTACACTTTTCCTGTGTCGGACATTACGTTTTTGAAGGGAGAAGCGTATAACGGGGTCAGTCGGAAACTGAATTTGGAGAAGACGAGGGAGTTGGAGAGTGGAGAAGAGGCTGTTGGGTTTCCGGAACAAGGAAAGGATGAGGCGATGGTGTTTGATATTGTGGATGCCAAGTTTGCCGTTTATGAAGAGGTGGAATCGGCGTGGTTGGGGAGTGAAGATTCGTTCCAAAAGTTACCAACCCATCTCACTTCGAGGGGTGGTACGGGGCCGAAATCAGTTCTGGTTGTAGTACACGTCGATCTACCGCAAGCCCATACGACCACAGGTGTCGAAATTGTTCCCGAGGCTCTTCGATCTTCCCTCCTCAACCTTGTCAAAGCCGCTGTGCCTCCAGCTCTTAAGCCGTATTCTTCACTGTATCGATGGTCTGGCGTTGAGGCACAACCCGATCATCATCCGTTGATTAGCAAAGACGGACGTGGGAATTGGATGGTGCTACTTTTGCTAGTTGACGAAGAAGGGAAGACGTTGATCAGAGAACATGCTGCAATGTTAGTGCAGGGTTGGGTTCAAGAGGAGAGGGGCAAGCTGGGTGGAGGGAAGATTGATTTTGGGGTCTGGGACGGGGAGGTTCTTATGGGATAGTATTTGTTTACTTGATCTTCTCTTTTCCGAAGTTAGTGTCTAGATGTTAATGGACGAAGTTAGTATGTATCTCGCAACCGATGCGTACTGGGACATTGCATATGCAGGTGCCTCGGTTATGGAAAGTGACATCATCCCGCGTTAGCAGAGCTACACACCGTCACCAGTATGCTTTGTATCTTCACATATCTCTGTATCAACGTCAAGACCAAAATCGTGTAACATGTCATCATCACCGCCCGAAAAGGAAACGCCTTTGTCGAAGCTAGACAACGAATTATTCGACGTGGCGCCAAAGACCGACTGGCAGAGGTCCATGTCAGTCGCCTATTCATCATATTGTCTATCACATACTAACACAACACCAGCACCGAACGAAATGCACGTAAATCACCTCTTCTCCGCTTACCCCGTGAACTGCGCGATCTCATCTGGACCTTTACTTTCACACGGACTATTAAACCAGACCGGAGAGAAACTTCCCCCAATTCTGCGTTCAGCCCCCTTGTAGTATGCCGACAATGCTACACGGAAGCTGCCAAACTTGCATATCCCTTCCTCACTTGGTCCTTTAGCTGTCAGCCGCCCTTCGAGGACTTCTTCTGGTCACTATGCGATAGTGAGAAAAACAGGTGTAAGAAGAGCTTGATACGTTCCATCCAAATTGGCGCCGATCCTACGGATTTGTACCAGTTGGCCGAGAGAGAAGATCCCGGATACGACGAGGAGGAGGAGAAAGCTTTGAAAGCAAAGGAAGATGAAGACGAGTATAGTCGTGTCACATTTCGTGCCTTTAGGAATCTCTCGCACCTGGAGCTGTTGCTTTCCACTACAGAGGTTTACTTAGATCCAGATGATTATGAAGACATGAAATACGACGACACTATGCCGCTGCGGTTCGATAGCACTGAGATGAGGGAGGCCAAGGATAACTTCACTAAAACTATGAAGCAAAAGGTTCCTCATGTGATCGTTACGTATAGAGAATTTGGAAATACCTTGGCCATGAGAAAGTACTGGAAAGAGCAGGATCTTTGAGATGGGGTTTCTCGATGCTGAGGAAGTGGCGAGAGGTTCAAGCGGGTTTGAACGCCGATGAATAGCATGATATGCTTTCCCCTGTGTCATTTTCCCAAACGTAATGGAAAGAGATGAACTTAGCGAAGGATCGAAAAAGCAACGCAGACCTTCGGTTGCCTTGCATACTACCATCCTTCCGTCGCTGTGAAAAAAGGTCCCCAGTGTACGCGCTGTTCGGACAGTGGTGTGGAGTGCAGGGTGAATATCGGCGGTGATTGGAAGCGTGTAGTCGGCTTACATGATGATGATGATGATTACATTATGAGATATCAGCTCGAAAAATCACGACAAGCTATCGCTAGTGCACTTGGTGCATTCTGGTGACCTCCCTGTACATCATGCGGGCCTTCTGTCTAGCAGTTCTTGACTACAAGCTTCAAACAGCTTTTGCGATCTGTGCGAGGAAGAACGATCGCTGGTCAACAAAGGGTTCGCGCCTGGAACGCTGGACCGCAGGGTCATTACTGCGCTACCGTTTGTCGGCGTGTATGCGAAGTATACGAAAAAACAAAATCCATCCGTTGACTGCCACATGGCCGAGGTACAGCAAAGCGGCAGGACCGGAGCCTAACCAGGTCATCGGACACGGCATTGCAGAAGCAGCGGAAGCCACAGCTGAGGCTCTTCGTATTTCCATACCTCTAATGGAAGCCAAGCTTTCGCGTGAAGGCTCAGCGGACTTGGCATTCTGCAAGCCAATATTGGATGAGGCGACATTCTCAAATAGCAGCGGGAGGACTACGAGAGATGAGTTTCGCAAAGGTCCCGCATGGGCTGATCTAGTCTCTCGCTATTGGGTACTGAAAGCTTCAGCTTGCGGGACTAAGACTGGTGCTAACATGAAGACAGCGAGGGAGCAGGGAGATAATAGAGACGGCATGGAATGTGCGTATATAGGGTGAACGTTAATGTGCCACGGGTCCAGTGAAGGACACAAGAATTTCCTTTGGAAAAGACGCTAAGAAACATCAGAGTAGGTACCACTAAGACATGTGTTTTCTGCTAGAACAGTGACCCCGAATCAGCGTAACCTTTCTCGCGTGTCCAAGTGCCGTCGCGGGGTTGTGCAAGGGTAAGCGATCGTGTATTAGTGAAAAGCCTTTCATGCTAGATATGTTCCGACACTGTACTAAGATAAAGCTCGGTTCGGAATCGATTGCGAAATAGGTGTGTAGAAAACGCTCACTTGGGTATAGCGACAGGATGGCCCTGCTACCTACATTCAACGACGCTGTATGTAACACGATCGGAACAGTCTGGAGCTTGTACTTTTTTCTGATTGTCTGGGGTGATTTGACAGCTGTTGAGGATGACTGATCGCAACGTCAAGCCAACAGTACAGACGTGGCATCTGGTGTTGAGCCGAACAGCGTGGGGAAGGCTACAATCGGTTCTGAACACCCATCAATCGAGAACGCTGTTGTCAAATCAGATTTTGGTCCTTTCACGCGATTCTTTTGGCGGTTTGATGCGGAAGGAAAGCAAAAAGCATCTCGCACACATGATACCATGACTCCGTAATGCTGATGCTGTGTGTACAAGGCACGAGGAGATGAGCCGTGTTTTCGGCACGCATGATCTCCACGCAGATGATGTGTTATGGGGTAGCTGAGGTCGAGCTATGCAGAGGCGTCGTGGCGTCGAGGGCTTCGAATCACAGGCTCAGCGATCTCCACGCCAAGCCCGACGGGCGCTAATCTAGCGTCGATCGAAGCATGATCACAGTCCAGACCTCCCTTTCCGCATCTTCCCCTTCACACCTCTCCTTTTACGATGAGTAGAAACAGCACCAGCGCAATGGCAAGCATCCGCAGCCAGTCCCCCAGACTCACCATTGCTATTCCTGGACTGACCGGACTCTCAAACGAGCCTGCCAAGTTGACCGGTCTTCAGCGTGCCATTATGGCCTAGTATTAGCGCCTCACGGTTCACACATGCTGGCAACACTGTTCAGCCCTAGCAAGGCGAGACTGCCATAACTGTTTCAATGGAGGGCCTTGATCATGTTGACCGCTCGTATCAAGGCGTTCGCCTAGGCATGCAGAACGCCAGTCATGGACGAGGACCTTCCTGACTATACCTCAATCTTTCCGAGTTGAGACCATCTCGCCAAACCTTACCAACCCAACTCGGCCTTCCCGGAACTTACTTTGCGGCTTGTTGGACTCCCCTCAAACGTCTGTAGTATTTGTCGCGCATTGAAGAAGAGCAAGGAGTGATCGGGTTCCTGTTGTCGAGAGGATCTACCGAAGTCAGAATTGAGTCCGACTTCACATATGCACAATTCGGTAGTTGAAATTAAATTACTTCTGCACTCGGTAAGTGAAGTATGAACCGATAATCTTCCGCCACCATGGCCTCGCCGTACTACTGCTTGCCAAGTCTCGTCAGCTTTGGCCCATCGCCTAGCCCTTGCTTGTACCAAGCCTTTCAAGCTATGCGTGGGCATGGATCCCACGCTCTCGGTCTCTCCAAGAAGTAGTTCGAAGCATACGGCAACGGGGCGAGTGTCGACACATCCAGACGGTAGTAACGAAAACGCCAAATGGCGTCTCATACCGCTCCTAGGCTTCACACGGCGACCTGGCGCCCTTGTAGAGATGGGTCTTGACACGATTAGGGATGGTGAGGTCTGTAGCATGGCTGCATGGCTGAATAGCTTCAGAGTAGGCGTATTCGAGACCATATAGCTGTCGTACACAACGAGCTGTGGGAATATAAAGTGCTCATAGACGTTCGTGTACAACGGAGCATCAGCCCAGTTCATTCATACTTACTCATCTCCTCAGCTTCATCCGCTGCCCATACGCAATGAAGAACTATATTTCCATTGGAGTTGCAGCCATCTTGGCGTCACAAGCATTGGCTGGTGATGACGCTTGGCTCAGCCCAGTGTACAAAGAGATCTTTCAAAAAGAGCTTCCTATGCCTAAGGATAAGGTCAAGTCATACACCTACAGGAACGAGACTACAGGGAATGAGATCGACTTCTACGAGGTTGACGTCCAGCCCTTTTTTCAACAAGTCTATCCTGGGTTGAAGCCTGCTAGACTCGTTGGGTACGATGGAGTATCGCCTGGGCCTACTTTCAGGATGAAGAAAGGTCGAGAGGCCATTGTTCGTTTCAAGAACCATGGCGACAAAGCTCTCTCAGTGCATCTTCACGGTTCTTACAGCCGCGCGCCTTTCGATGGTTGGGCTGAAGACACTACCAAGCCCGGTCAATACAAAGACTACTGTAAGTACTAGCAACTGTTATCCTCGTACGACGTGTTACCAACAGCCCTCAGACTACCCCAACAAGCAAAGTGCACGAACATTATGGTACCACGACCATGCCATTCATCATACAGCAGAGAACGCCTACTTCGGACAGGCAGGCTTTTACATCCTTCACGACCCTGCTGAGGACGCACTGGGACTTCCTTCAGGTTCATACGATGTTCCTCTGGCATTGGCGTCGAAGCAGTATAACAGCGATGGCACACTGTTTGACCCCAAAGACGAGACCGATTCGCTCTGGGGCGATGTCATCCACGTCAACGGTCAACCATGGCCCTACATGAAGGTAGAGCCCCGGAAGTACCGCTTCAGGGTACTCAATACAGCCATCAGCCGTGCATTCAAGCTCACTCTCGAGGACCCCACTGCCAAAAAAGTCCCTTTTCATGTCATCGGCGCGGACACTGGCCTCATGACCAAGCCGGTGCCAAGCGACAACCTTGAAATCTCAATGGCCGAACGCTGGGAGATCGTGGTCGACTTCAGCTCATATGCCGGCAAGAACGTAACGATGAAGAATGCTCGCGATGTACAGGCGGACGAGGACTACAACAGCACTGATAAGGTTATGCGGTTCGTCGTCGGTACCTCCGTCTCAAGCACAGCCGGCAATGGCGCTCTCCCGGGCTCCCTACGCACAGTGCCATTCCCACCCAAGAAGAGTGGCATTGACAGGAGGTTCAAGTTTGGACGTACCAATGGACAATGGACTGTCAACGGTGTCACCTTCGCCGACGTCAACAACCGCATTCTTGCGAAGCCACAGCGCGGCGCAGTCGAAGTTTGGGAGCTTGAGAACTCATCCGGAGGTTGGAGCCATCCCGTTCACATCCACCTTGTTGACTTCCAGATCCTTACGCGCACCGGAGGTAAGCGAAGCGTCCTGAACTACGAAAAGGAGGCCTTGAAGGATGTCGTTCTGCTCGGTGAGAACGAAAAGGTCACAGTTATCGCTCGTTACGCCCCTTATGATGGTGTATACATGTTCCACTGCCACAATCTCATTCACGAAGACCATGACATGATGGCAGCTTTCAACGTCACCAGCCTCGCTAATTTCGGCTACCCCGAGACAACAAAGTTCATCGACCCGATGGAGGAGAAGTACCGATCCAAGGATATCAACGACCATGACGACGAGTTAGAACACATCTATGAGAAGTGCGGTGAGCTTGAAGCTCTAGAGGCCTATACCGAACCTGACAAGGTAGAAGAGGCTCTTGTGGAGTACTGGGACAACGGAGGAAAGGGACCTAGCACACTAGTTACCAGCACTCGACCAGCTTCTTCTTCGTCTTCTTCCGTGGCGACTGCTTCTTCCACGACGCTGCAGATGACCACTTCAACTCCTACTGCGGCTAAGGCCAGTTCTTCTTCAGCCAAAATAACTTCAGCGCCCAAGACGACGAGTTCAAGTACGAAGAAGGATGACAAGAAGACATCAACTTCGTCTACCAGGAGGAGATAAGTTACGATAGAAAGATTTCACGGCGTTATATTTTCAGGTGTACATAATCTTTCAAGGCGTTCTAGAGGCTGGCAGGATACATATCATGATGACACGACACTCCTCCGATAATACAAATTTTCAAACAATATTCATTATCCTACTATGCTAGCTTCTCATGCCCACTGGTACTAGGACATAGTCCTTGCTGCTACAGTGACACTTGAAATAATCAAAAGCATCAAGTGCAGTCATATACTAGTCACCCACCACTAGCCATTCGTCTCTGGAGAACAGGCTTCCATCTCAATTGTGATCTCCAAGCTTTCTTGTCCAACCCTCTTCTAAACCTCGAGATAGCGCTGGACATCCTACTGCTCTCCTTCTTCCTCGCAAAAACCTACTTCTTGTGCAAATCAGAAGCAGCAGTGGGCACTTCAAGGAATTGCTTCATCCCGTCGTCTGTTGGAATTCTAGAGTAAACGCTGAAAAGCTTCACTAGGATCAAATATTCCTCGGATCTATGCTTTTTCTTCGTGTTGACCAGGTTCGCAGTACAAATATCGTCTACTCATATCTTTTCACCTGGGATAGTCCTTACTGGACTCAGGCAATGTAATTGAGGAATGGAAGAACAGTGGAGTGGTTGCCCACGGATGGGGCGGGGCCGGGGACATGTCAAAGTGCCAAGACGCTAGGCAGACCGCAATGCGGAGAGTCCGCTCTGGGGAGACCTAAACTGAATTTCCAATTGTTCACGAACCCTGTCTTTCCTTAAACAACTATCCAAAATGACGAACCTAGACATGTTGCTCCTCAAAGGAGCCTCTGCGAGTAACCCAGAGGAGGGTCTACAGGAATTGCGATACTCAATCTTGACAAAAGGCATACCCGCCAACAGTGAGGGCATGGTATGTTCTCCACACTGCCCCATGCGATTACATTGCGCATGGGCGCGCTCTAGAATTACTCAATGATTTCTAAGTGCTGATTCCATGTCGGGTTAGTCGGAGCTACGTGTATACATATGGCTCATCCTCCTCAACGCGCCTCCCCTCAAGACCGATGTATATCTCGACCTCGTCCGTCAAGGCGCCTCTCCAGCGCACGCCAAAATTCAAAATGACACCTTCCGTACATTCCAAGGCGATCCTCTATTCCGACGACGCGTCACTCAGAACAGCATTACGCGTGTGCTCAACGCCGTCGCGTGGAGGCTGAACGATGCGCATGAGGCACGCGTCAACGGGTGGCAGTCTCCACCAACACTATCCGAGTTCGGCGGTAGTCCAGATACCTCGATGATGTCGCGCCCATCCCTTACTGCAGGCACTCGTACAGAAGCGTCGACTACGAACGACGCTGAGCAAATTGGATACGTGCAGGGCATGAACGTCCTGTGTGGTCCGTTCCTGTACGCGGCAAGGAGCGAGGTTGAGGCTTTCACGGGTTTCGAGCGACTCATCACTTACGAGTGTCCAGGCTATGTGAGGGGATCGATGGAGGGCGTGCACAAGGGTCTCGCGCTGGTAGACAGGGTGCTAGAGGTAGTCGATCCTAAGCTATACGGCCATCTTATGGCACACCACATGGAAGCCAAAATCTATGCTTTCGCATCCGTACTCACCATGTGCGCATGCACACCGCCACTACCCGAGGTCCTGCAGCTTTGGGACTTCCTCTTCGCGTACGGACCCCACCTGAACATCCTGTGCATTGTGGCTCAGTTGGTTCTTATCCGAGGGGATATTCTGAACAGCCCGAGGTGAGCTTACTCTTTGAACTCATTTGAAGCAAGACTGACGTATCTATAGTCCCAACACAATCCTACGCAATCTGCCTGGCCTCAATGCTCAGAAGATCGTTGGTGTGGCTATGAGCTTCGCCGGCAAGATACCTGAAGACATGTACGCTGAGATTGTTAACCACGCAAAGTGAGCTGGTGTAGAATAGGGGGGATGAAATATGATATAGCGCTTATGATTATGACCTCACGATTAGATGATACCCACGGGAATAGATAGCTTGCAAACGTAGCAATGTATGAATACTACGTCTCAAATGTGTGATCTCAACTAGTATTGCGGTAAAAAGCACTTCATGTGTCCAGGAAAAAAGCTGAGCAGCAAGTATTCCAATCACTATAGCGCTCACGGAATATCGGCATCGTCATCGTCCCCTCCGAAACCGAAGCTAAAGCCTCCATTTTCTTCCTCTTCCTCTCCTTTCGTCAATTGCTCCCATTTGCCCCTGGCCTTCTTCCCTTTCCTTTCCAGTTCCGCAAGGCCCTCCTCCAGCAACTCAGGATGTTGTTCCTGCAGTCTTTCTACGAAAAGCTCGTAAGCGCGATCGCAAACATCCTCCTTGAACCCACTGACTTCACCCCTCTGATCGCGCAGGAAACCCAGTACGTCCGGCAATTTCTTCCGAGGCACAAAGTTCTGCGTGAGCGCAAGGCTGTCTTCGAGGTTGAGGACGAGGTGGAACCAGCCGGACGGAACGTGGAGGACTTCACCAGCGAAGCAGATACCTTCTTTGCAGCCGGGTGTTTGGCGTGCGAGTTCGTGGAAGGTGAGCATGTATTCTGCGATACTGAGTGGAGAGGTGATTTCTGACTGGTCGTCACTGACGATAACGCCCGGTGGAGGTTCGATGCCTGGGCCGGCGGGGAACATGAGCCAGTACTTGCTGCCCGTCAAGACAGCATTCCAAGCCGAAGTCGCATTTGGGTCTTTGTGGAATGTGGAGCCACTGCGCTTAGGGCCCATGATCATCCATCGGCAGTCGGGACGGTGCTCACCTAGGACGCTGAAGAGATCATCGCCGAAACAGGTCGGGCTCCAGTATGCGGCTTCTTTGGAATGTGGCGCCGCTGTAATGTCTATGCCCGTCTTTTCGGCAAATGCGCGATCGAAGAGGTACAAGGGTGACTCGTCGGCGTTGTCGTGCATATAAGACATATACTTCTTCATGGGCCAGTCTACTGCTTCCGCGCGGAATTTGGTATCTGGAAACTTCTCCAGAAGGTACTCAGGTGTCCAGGTACCATACACAGGCCATTGTTTGACTGGTGTGGTAAGCACGAAAGGCTTATCGACCCAAGTTTCGGCGTACTCTTCGTAAGTCAGATCCGACAGTCGAGCTATCTCATTGTGTTTTGGGATATTGAGCGCGTAAGTATTCAGTGATGTATGGGCGCATTGGAATGGTCGATAAAGGGTATCCGAGAAGAGGTTCTTGCAGGATATGGAGGTGACGATTTCCCTGGGCGTCTTGAGGTAGGTTGCTCGCCACGATCCCCGCCATTCAAAGTCTTCAGCTGGGGAGCTGTTTGGTGGTTAGCATTCGCTTGTAGAGGAGCTGCATTTTGTTTAATATTATTTGGTAACAAGCAAGCGAAGAAGACATATTATGAGCGGTACAAATAAGGCAAAAGCTTGCTGTGACAATGGTATCGCCTTGCCAGCAAATGCCAACATTGGCCTACGTCTCGTTTTCGCATATATACCATGATACAATGTAGACCCAAATCGAGTAATACACCTGCAGTTGGATTTTAATACAGCGAGACCCAGGGACCGGACTGATCCCGCACGCGCCTGTTGTCTTACGAATACACAGCCGGAGGACGGTCAGGCGTGCCGTCACAGTCATACCGCGTCGAGAGAACTTACAACGAAAAGTGTCCTTCGCATACGCCTTCGAGCTGAATATATGACTAGGAGATGACTGGACATGTAGGCAATAACTGGGTAGCGGAAAGGAACGAGAAAGATGGAAAGTGCGAAATGTTGCGTGTATCAACCGCGGAACTCACCTTACGAATAAGGCCCGCCATAATTCGTCCAATCTAGTGAACGCATACAGAGCCCGGCACGTACTTCCCAAGCGTATCAAAACGTCAGCTTCGAATGACTCAAGAATATGGCTTAGCAGTTCATCAGGCAGGCAGGCGAATAATCCGCATCTTGACTTGATATTCTCGGATGCTGTCAAAGCATTTCCGGCCGGCTTGATACCCAGGGGATGCGAGGGAACTGCGATTGCCGCCGCCACATCTTCGTCGTCGACCTCGATTTCTGTCGCCACCGAAGTCTTGATTCTTTTCGAAGGTCGTGATTCGACAGTCGTCATGCCAGGGTGATCCAGGATGCCAGGCGCCATTTCAAAGACGGATCGGAACAACGGTTAGTGTTTGCTCAGTGCAGACGCTTTCAAGGCTGCAAGTAAACTAAGAGGCAAACCCTGGAAGTGAATGAGAAGAGTCATAGGCTGACTCTGGAACGAACCAGTGGAAGTGAAGGCGAAGTTGAGGTGGGAGCCCGTGGGCGCTTTGGAACTAGCGTGCTTTTAGCACTAGCCGACTGCTGAGATTTTTTGTGGCCGACCTCTTAAGCCAAAAAGCGCCCACCTTCTCACTCCCTCCACCACCAAATCAACCACACAACCCATATTACACACTACCCTAGATACCCATTTGATTCTCTTGCAGAGGATCTGGTATCTAGTTTTTACAACACAACTTTCCACATACGCGGCGGTATCCAGAGGATCCTCCGCTTTAACCCCGCCACGAGCAACACTTCGACTACGGTCCAGTACCAGTAGTCACTACTCCAAGTCGCAATCATGGCTGACAAAGGTCTTGAGGATGTGCCCGAGGGTGAGTTCTTCTCCCAGTGCTACCCCGCCGCTCTTCGAAAATGCGCGCCCCGCAGTGCGAAAGCGACGGCGACGATAGCCTCAGCCGAGAATAATGCTGCGAGCCCAGGCTAACCCACGCGCAGGCCAGATCGAGTCCAACTACGACGAGATCACCGACTCCTTCGACAACATGAACCTGAAGGCTGAGCTCCTCCGTGGAGTCTACGCCTACGGTTTCGAGCGCCCCTCTGCTATCCAGCAGCGTGCCATTATGCCCGTCATCAAGGGTGAGTTTGCCCACACATACCCCCACTACACCACCACCACCACGACAGCAGAACAAGCAACTGACAGAGGCTAGGCAACGATGTCATTGCGCAGGCCCAGTCCGGTACCGGTAAGACGGCTACCTTCTCCATCTCGACCCTCCAGAAGATCGACTCCAACGTCAAGGCCTGCCAGGCGCTTATCCTCGCCCCCACCCGTGAGCTCGCTCAACAGATCCAGAAGGTTGTTGTCGCCATCGGTGACTTCATGGACGTCCAGTGCCACGCCTGCATTGGCGGTACCAGCGTCCGTGACGACATGAAGGCCCTCCAGGACGGTCCCCAGGTCGTTGTCGGTACTCCCGGCCGTGTCCACGACATGATCCAGCGTCGCGTCCTCAAGACCGACCACATGAAGATGTTCGTCCTTGACGAGGCCGACGAGATGTTGTCTCGCGGTTTCACCGAGCAGATCTACGACATCTTCCAGCTTCTGCCCCAGAGCACCCAGGTCGTCCTTCTGTCCGCTACTATGCCCCAGGATGTCCTCGAGGTCACCACCAAGTTCATGCGCGACCCCGTCCGTATCCTCGTCAAGAAGGACGAGCTTACCCTCGAAGGTATCAAGCAGTTCTACATCGCTGTTGAGAAGGAGGACTGGAAGCTCGACACTCTCTCCGACTTGTACGAGACTGTCACCATTACCCAAGCCGTCATCTTCTGCAACACCCGCAGGAAGGTCGACTGGCTCACCGACAAGCTCACTGCCCGTGACTTCACTGTCTCGGCCATGCACGGTGACATGGACCAGGCACAGCGTGATGTCATCATGAAGGAGTTCCGTTCCGGATCTTCCCGTGTCCTCATCGCCACTGACCTTCTCGCCCGTGGTATCGATGTCCAGCAGGTCTCCCTTGTCATCAACTACGACTTGCCCGCCAACCGTGAGAACTACATCCACCGCATCGGTCGTGGTGGACGTTTCGGACGTAAGGGTGTTGCCATTAACTTCGTCACCGCTGACGATGTCCGCATGATGCGCGAAATCGAGCAGTTCTACAGCACACAGATCGAGGAGATGCCCATGAACGTGGCTGGTAAGTGCCTATCCATTCCGAGAACCTCAAACTTGATTGCTAACGTTCTCGACAGACCTCATCTAAGAAGTTGTGCACTGCTGTCTTATCATCGCCGCCTCACTCTGCCCACTAACGCTTCAGTGGTGCATTGGATAGAGGCGGTGATCTTCTAATACGAGTACGCCTGCACGGTCAGGCGTGCTCTCTGTTTGGTCCGGTTCAAAAGTGGTTCGAGGTAGGGCGAGTGATCGTCTATACATCGCGGCATCTCGGCGTTGGTCTCTCATGTGCGAAATGATTTCCCTAAAAGAATGTCTGCATATGATAGACTCACGATGCTTAGCTGACGGATGGGTCTTTTTCTGCAATTTCATGCTATTTTCCTATGTCCTCGAGGATCTGCTGCACGTCGTCAACGCATGCTCACACGGTGGGATATGTAGCACTTTTCCATTGCCACGCATGTCGATGATAACGATCGGGAGTTTCCTTTCATATAGAGATGCGATTCAATTGCATGGAATTTACTTAACCCGCTCTCCTGTCGTGACCCATTGGTGATCCAACCACGGGCTATATTTGCCAACTGTTGACGTTGAATACGACTGTCTCCGCACTGCGTCTAGTTAGGATGCAGGAGGTTCTGGGGCTGCCACGAGGTTCCTGCATGGCGCCGCCTATCGATAACCTCGGCCCTTAAACCCCACTGAGGCTCACGCTCCCGCTCCGACACCCGCCCATCTCATGAGACCGACAGCATGGCTCGCCGAAAGCAAAGCCATTGCGAGCATGGCGCTTTCCCAACGATCAGTTGTACGTCTGTGCCTTCGGCACTCGAAACTTCCGCTCCTTTCACCACGTCATAGTCTACATGTGCCATCTGCTAATTACCCTGACAGCGCGCACTGGACCGTCTCCGCACATATACGCCCCCGCCGACGCAATGGTACAATTGCCCCCTTACTAGACGCGCCGCCGTCCTCATATTGCTCTTTCCAGACCGGCATGGAGAGCTCAAGGTGGTCCTTACGATGCGGAGCGCGCAGTTGCGCAACTACGCAGGACAAGCTGCGCTGCCTGGAGGTACTTGCTCAGATGATATGGGGGGATGACATCAGACTTGCATACTGACACGGTCAAGGCAAAGCTGACACGCTCGACGAATCTCCATGGGACGTCGCGCGTCGCGAAGCGGATGAAGAGATTGGTCTTCCTATGAATGAAGAGAAACTTCGCGGTTTTACTGTGGAACACCTTTGCGAACTGCCCGCAAATCTGGCGAAGACTGAACTTGGTGTGCGGCCCTGCGTCGCGTTCCTAAGCCCGACCCAGGCTTCATCGAACAAATCTGCTTCCTCGGAAGCTAGTAACCTCTCTGTTGAAGAGAAGCTCATGCCGCGCCTCGACCCTAGAGAAGTCGCTGCCGTTTTCACTGCGCCTTTTCACAACTTCTTGCGCAAGGAGTGGGAGGGTGAAGGCCCACCACCGGTCCAGAAAGACGGCAGGCCCGAGAAGTGGTATCGAGGTTCTTGGACAAATTGGCACGAATCACGCTGGCGAATGCACAACTTCTACATGCCACGGCCTCCTCCTTCCCCCACCCTCCTACGTAAACCCTCGCGATCCTCTCCGCGATCCTCGCCAGAGGTTTTGCCGCAACAAAAGCTGCCAGATGGAGATGATCCGAGACCGGAACCTAGCGCGATCGACACCCTGACGACGTTTCGAGTCTTTGGTATGACAGCTAGAATACTAGTTGACGCGGCCAGAGTAGCATATGGCGAAGAGCCAGAGTTTGAGCACAACAGTCATCACGGAGATGAAGAGATGATAGGAAGGTTGTTGAAGATGGGTAGACTTAGTGAAGTGAGAAAGAAAGGCGAAGTACTGACCCGTGAAGTGCTCCGAGAGGCTAGTAAGATGTAGGAGATTAAGAAGGCGATTTGGTCTAGATGCGTTCACGAAGTATTCTCACCAACCGCTACTTTAGAGGTGACTGGGAAGGCATGGTATAAGTAATAGCCACACATTAATCTCTACATGAGGTATTCCCACTTTCATTTATGGTTGTTTCGTCTTTCAGCCGAGGCCGCAATGTGGATCTCGCTGCACTCTCAGAGATGTGAGGCAACAAGGCTCGCCGAGTGTAGGAAAGGATATCGATGCGCGACCGATCTGAGCTAAGAAAAAGATCTATCACAGTGGGCATCGTTGGAAGAAGGATTGATTTTCTAATCATAAGCCGGGTATTCTCGGGCGTTCTCTAGGCATGTATTACGTTGGATCACATTCAATACGAGACCTCAGCGGCGTTACTTAGATGAGAACACATGCTAAAGGCGCCCAAATATACAAACGCTTCACTGTATGGTGCTGCGTCTCCGCAGCACACTTGTATCTTTGAAAAGTAATGAATGATTAATCTCGTTCTCGTTCACGTCGCCGCATAAGCCGACCGCGAGTATATGAGCGCAATTTATGTATGGTCAAAGATGCGACACACACACATGTTGACTTGGCGAACTCTTGTCTCTTCCGCAGTGCTCCGCGTCGCGCCGTCCTGTTCGCCCGCGAGCAACGAGGTGCATTTTGTGATCAGAGCGATGTTGACATGTGAAAAAGTGCCCAAAGGCACTCCTTGGCAAGTGCACGGCGCAGCCCGCTTTTTAGCGTTCAGCCTCATGCCCAGGTGCAGATCATCATCATCCGGCAGCTCTTGCCCCGTTGATTATCTTCACGTCCCCTTGCCTCTGATCATTCACAATTTGCATCAACGTTGGGCTCTGCGCGTCATCGACGCATCGACAGCACTGCCTCGAATACTGGATCACGGTCCGATTGGTCGTTTGAATTTGAAAAGGTGTTGAGAATGCACCGCCCACGCCCAGAAAGCACTTCTTCATCACAGACCCACCGTACGCGAAGCAGTGCATGTTATCCACCTACAACGGAGGCGTGGCAAAGGTAAAGTTTACAGATCGTCGACGAATCGAACAGCATGTACTCTTTCTCTACGAACGACCTCCAAGGTTGTACGCGCTCACCTTGCGGCAGCATCAAATGTATAGGCAGGCTTCTGGAACGTACGTGGGGGCCCGGCGCTTTTTCAAGAAGTCGATGAGTTAAGATAGGCTTTTTTGCCTAAGGCTTAGCCTTGGCCGAAGCAGAGTCAAACACCAGAGTGGATCTTGGGCGAGGTTTCTGGCATTGTTGAGACGACTTCGAGATTTCTCGCGACGATCTTGGCCCGACAAGGTTTGTGCGCATGCAAGCATCAAGTGCCGCCAGTGTCAAACTTCCCTCAACCTTATCTCTGTTCTAGTATGCGGCTGTGGCTTCATCTGGCTGCGAAACGGTGGCCCCTTGTTTTGGTGCGTCTTGCGCGGGATGCTTGGCATCAAAGCCGACGCAACGGGCTCCGCTTTAAGCGTTTCGTCATCCGTTTCGACGCCCCTTTTTGGACCACGAATCACCGCCGCTCAATAGCTTGAGCCGCATCTTATTTTCTCCTTGCCCATGTTCCGCGCTTAGGAATATACCCTGGTAACTCGGAGGGTCCCGGACCGCACCATCTCATGGTGCTCCAAATTGGAGACCGCCAGCCAGCCGACTAGGGGTTCTCTGAAGTCGAAGGGACTCTCCCTGCTCCGCGGCGCGAAGCCGATGCCGTGTCAGAGCGATTCGGTCCTGTTGCCCTTGAAGCGATGCGTCAGGTTTGCTCTAGACCCTAGAGATATGGAGTAAGAAAGGACCCCCCAGTGTTGTTCATATGAGTTGGGAATTACAACATCGAAACTGCGTAGACTCAACACACGAAATCATCCGGCGAACATTAAGTTATCCACAGAGTACGCAAGCAACATAGCCACGATGCAGATCAGAGAATGCGATAAGCATTCGTCTTGAATGTTCTAAGCGACGGAAGCTAGGTCAAACGTCTTGGCGCGTCGTGCACTACCAAGGTGGAGTTTCCATTCCTGGGACTAGATGAAGCGAAGACGACCTCAGGTCGTTATCTAGAAGCACGTGCGTTGGCTGCAGCCCGGAGCTTATTCGACGCTTTGATGTGGATACTAGGAGGATGTACGCAACACTTCATCCTCGCCAAGCACTCTGAGATCCCACCATTGCTCCTTGGAGCCTCTCTGACTAGCTGCCAGAGGTCTTTGGGCGCTAGATTGGTACGCGGTTCGAAACAGGACCGATAGTAAAGAGACAGCCCCATGTTGATCCCGCTCGGCGCGTGTTAATACACTGGTGTAGTCCCGAGCATCGCCTCTTGGGTTTCTATCAAATTGCCCCGTGCAGGTCAATACTTGTCCCTATTGCGCGTTTTGTGGTCATAGTTTCTTTCGGGTTATTTCCTTTATCTACCATCACGTCCATCTTTTAGTCTTCTTACGGTGCAGGCCACCTATTCTTTCACTTCACAATGGATACTCGCTACCAACCAGAAGGTTTGTCCTTTGGCACAAAGGATAACTTCAGCCCTAATTTTGAGAATGGTCGATTTCCTCTCGCATCTGACCAGCAACAACAATCCCAATATTCCCCTCAGTCACAGCAACTGAGCCAGTATGGCCTGCCTTCCGGGCCTCGCATGCAGACCCCTCAGCAGCAAGGACAATATGGACTGCCTTCTGGACCTCGACAGGCACAACACTCACCTCAGTCAAGCCGGGATGTGAACAACTACTCCCGCTTGTCAAACCCTCAGCAGCAGCAACAGCAGCAGCAGCAGCAACCATCAGAGCAACAACAACAGCAACAGCTACATCCAAACCAGTACCAACCTCAGCCTCAGCTGGCGCCTCAACAGAGCCAGTTCGCCTTCCAGTCTGGAGAGACCACTCGCACCAATACATGGGCGAACAACACACCGGCAGCGCATACACCAGCGCCTATGTATGCATCTGACGCAGGATACTTCCCCGGCCCAGTTGACGCTAATGGATATCGCGTCGATACGAAGGAGAGGCCACAAGAACCAGAGAACCCCTTCAGAGACCCAGCTCATCAGTCTCCGCCACCGATGGACGATATCGACCTCGAGAAGCACAAGCATGACGATGGGCACTCAGGATGGGACAAGCACACTAAGATCCCCGGCAGGAAGGACCCTAATCAGCCATATCTTACTTTCGGAGAACGAATCAGACACTACACATGGGCGAACTACACGCTGACGATGGCCACGGGTGGTCTCGGTACGCTTATCGCTATCCAGCCCCATTCCTTCCCCGGTCTCATTACCATCGGTGCCGTTTTCTACATCCTCAACCTCATGCTGTTTACTGCTGTAACAATGACCATGGTTCTTCGTTTCACCAAGTATGCTGGATCCTTCAAGGGCTCCATCACCCACGAACGTGAAGGCCTCTTCCTTGGACCATTCTTCCTCTCTATCGCTACAATCATCACCGGTACTCAGAAATACGTCATAGAAGCTTACGAAGTGGATCATCCAAACCGAGCTTGGGCAGTTACCACGATGGCAGTTGCCTTCTGGGCCTATACCTTCTTCGCTTTCTGCCTGGCTAGCTTTCAATACTCGTTCCTCTTCTGCTGCCATACGTACAAGCTCACCAGCTTCATGCCTTCGTGGCTTCTTCCCATCTTCCCTATCATGCTTTCTGGCACGATTGCATCGACCATTGCCGCTTCACAGCCCGTGTCTGCCAGAATGCCAATTCTGGTTGCTGGACTTGGATGTCAGGGTCTTGGATTTACGGTCGCTATTCTCATGTACGCGCATTATATTGGTCGTCTTATGCAGGTCGGATACCCCGATCGCGAGCATCGAGGAGCCATGTTTATCGCTGTCGGACCGCCTTCTTTCACCTGCTTGGCTTTGATCGGTATGGCCAACGCTCTTCCCGATGACTTCGACTTGCAGGGAGACGGCCTTGTGGATGCCAAGCTACTCAGGACTCTGGCTCTCATTGTTGCGCTTTTCCTTTGGGTTCTAGCTATGTGGTTCTTCATGGTCACTCTCATCGCTGTAAGTCCGCCGTTGTGTCTCATCTCAATGACTATTACTAACATTACCTTTAGGTCATCAACTCCTGGGCTGTCTATTTCCATCTCGGTTGGTGGGCTATGGTTTTCCCCAACACCGGTTTCGTCATCGCTACCATCTCCATCGGCAATTCCTTGAAGGACGAAACAGTGCTCTATGTCGGGAACGGTCTTACCATCGCCGTCATCACGATGTGGTTCTTCGTACTGTTCAAACACGTCCAGGCCATCTACGTCGCAGATATCATCTATCCCGGCATGGACGAAGACATTGCGGATCACTAAACGCCAAACTTAGTGACTTCAACACCATCGCTCTACGCCGTGCGATCTCTGCTGTCAAGCTGTCTTAACGGCGTTTTCTCTTCCAGTCCGATTCTCACTCGTTGTACAACCACGTATACGCCTCACGTGAGCCAAAAGCATCACGCTCCTTTATACCCCCTGTTTTATTCTCTCTGTTCTCACCATCGCTTCTTGCTTTCTCTCAGAAGCCGCCAGCAGGTCTCAACGCTTCTACCATTATAGAACACACTCCTCCATCCATTCCAACCGTTAGACCTAGGGCGCCACAACAGAACAACTTGTAATGCACCATCTCAATCTCACTCTTTGTATTTCAAGTTTATCTTTTTCCTATCGGCTTTTGCATAGCGTCGGCGTAAAAAAATCGGGAAGGGGCAACAGATACCATGGGCAATGATTTCAAGTTGCGCACTGCACTTTGATGGGCATATAGAACGTCCAATCCATATAGATCCACAAACAATGTTCGAATGCATGCGCGCGTTTGTTGCTCTTTCCCACCATCTTGGTGCTTTCTCTATATCTTTTTTCGTCACGCTCATTTCCAGCTCCTCTCCAAAATCATCGTCTAACCCTCACTACTGCCTCTTTCCCTAAGCAACCAGGACCACATCCCCAGAACTCCATCGTTACAACCCCATCCCATCGCATCTCCGCCCCCACTCCGCGCAAGACAAGGCTGGCGAGCACACAGACAATCACAGACAATTAAAACGGCATATAACACACTGCATGAAACACCTCAACCGTCTCACATCCTAGTGGCCGCGCCAGCATTACACCTCCGACCTCCGAGGACTAGTATGAAAGCTTGGCCATCTTGGCGGAACTTCATCATTTCTGACACGTACCTGCCCCGTTTGAGCCAATGGCCGACTAGGTAACGAGGCGGACAAACCTCCGGCGGTGATCCGTGCGTCGCGCTGCGCCTACATCTTTTGTTTGATGCACAGAAGCCAAGACGGTCTTGGTTGGTACTTGATTTGTGAAAAGAATGTCTTGGTGATTCAAGGCAAGTCTTGGTCCGTCGAGACTTGAATCGAGAGATCGTGCAGTGATTGGAGACGGTGATGCATATCGGAGCGGAACGGAAAGGATTGCGTTGCTACAATACGCGTGTGTACACTGCAACCGGATGAGATGGGATGCGGGCTTGGCGAGAAGGAAAGCATGTATATGGATTGTACGGTGTGGAGTACGTCTCTGACAGTATAGTGGGGATGAAGTGGATGGAAGATGGAGAGTTGAGGGGGAATAGGGAAGGTGGAGATGTAGATCGGTGTACGCGTGTTGTATGGTACTTGACTACGTGTGAAGCTGACCAGCGCTTCGAGACGTTTGACGCGTAATGTTGCGATGCGGACGGAGTTTGATGGGCCATGACGTATATTATTCTACAGCGAGCTCTTTGGTGCCTCCTGTTCTTTCATCTGCCTTACCAGCCTAAGCGCTTCATCAAGTCCTCGTTTGGTGTTCTCAAAGTACACGTGGGAGAAAGAGCTGCTGGCTTGTCCACTGATGGTTCGTGCTTGGATGCCGTGGCTTATCACACTTCCCTAGAGCGGTGTTAGCATGAGCTGTCCTCTACACATGAATTCTTTCATCGCAACCATACGCCAGATACAGTTCTTCGCCATGTAAAGAACAAGAGAAGAAAAGGCAAGAGACTCACTCTCATCAAATGAAAAACCCTCGCAACATCCCATCTATCTCCTCTAGGATCCCAGCCCGCCTTCTGCTCATACACATCCAGCAATTCCCCCATCCCCGGCAACCCATTCTCCGCTAAATTCTCCTCATCATAAACATCTCCTCCCTGATCATCCCTCACCACCTGCTGCACCGTAGGTCCCCCAGGAATCCCACTTTTACTAGCCCGATTCCAATATGGACCAGTCACATAAACAACATCCATGAGCGGATGCCCCAACGTACTCAGCTCCCAATCCAGCACAGCAATGACTCTCGGCTCCGTAGGATGTAGAATGATATTATCGAACTTGTAGTCACCATGGATGATGCAAGTACGTTCCCTGGGTAGATGGCTTCGTATGTAAGCTACGATTTCGTCAAAATGGGCGTGTGCGCGACCGAGTTGTTGGCCGGTAGCGACATCGCGGACTTGAGCTTGTTGAGCCTCGATACGGGAGAAGGTGTTGCAGTGGCGGGTATAGAAGTCGGTTTTCTTGCCAAAGGAGGATAGGCCGATGGTGTCGGGGTCGATGGAGTGCAGCCAGGCCAGGGTGGATATGACGGATTCCCACGCGGCGCGGCGGTCGGAGATGGAGAGCGTGGAAAGATTAGGATCTGTTATTATGCGCCCGTGGATGTATTCCATGATCTGTTTTTTGGGAGGGGCATGTCAGATGATTATGTGGAAACAGTATGGGAGCGGGACGTACATAGAAAGCAGTTCCGATGATTGAAGCGTCCATACATAGACAGTATACTTTCGGGACCGGGAAGCCTTCAACTGTTCCTAGCGCTTTCAATACTTTGTATTCTCGATCGACTTGATGAGCTACGGGTGAGATGATGGTTCCACTGGGTTTCTTCCGGAGGATGTAGCGTGTACCAGCGGCATCATCAACAAAGTAGGTCGGATTACTTTGTCCGTATCCGATCTTTGTCGATACTACAGGTGTCTTTAGATTGGGTATCTCTCGCTGCAGGTACGACCCAAGCTTTTTGTCGTCCAGATCATGTTGTGTCTTCTCTTTCTGTGTACCAGCCATGGTGAACCAATCTCTGCTTCCTTATCTCAGATCCAAGTGTAAGAATATCTCCAGGGAGAATACGCGAGATACATTATGCTACTAAAGTTATGCATTGGAGACAGTAGTGTTATTCGAGTAAGTTGTGTCGATCAAAAGGTTAGCCTCGGGAAGTCGCATATGAGGGGTTCTGGGAATAAGCTAGCTCGTGCTTGCGGGGCGGGATCTACGACGAGGTGCAGTTATTGCGAACAGCATGTCGAGCAGATCGGATAATGAAGATCGTCAGAGCTGATCAAAACAGGGTTCCAGTGAAGTAATAAAGCTGAATTGATAAGACCTCTACGCTAAATAATTGCGCAAGACGAGCATCCACTATACTCTGGGTATCCCAAGAAAAGCTACAAAAAAGCCCAACTGCAACGCCAAGGAAGGAAGAAGATAGGAACAAAATCCCAATCGACCATCTTCTACTTTTCTACAACTTAGACACAAGAATAAGAAACCTCTCACATGGCGCCTCGTGTCTGAATGTAACTTTTCCAAGTAGATACTCTTCTCCTCTCACGACGACGCCTCACTACCCTCGCTGCTGAAGTAACTTTGATCCAATCGTAATATCCACTCAATCTTTTCCCTCTCGCTCCTCGCTCGGAAGATATATGTGTTGCTTCTGGCAAAGACAGCAAAGACGACGTCCTTATGCACACCGGCATTTCCTTGTCCGTTGCTTTGCTGTCCGCCTCCAAGTAGTTTCGCAATCTGTGGCGAATGGTCAATGCGCGCGGTGCTGACGTTAATGGCGTTGATTTCGTCGCCATCTGTTGAGTAAATATGAAGGTATGGCTTCCGTAGCTCGACATATCGCCGGATCCAGCGCGTGTTTGTTGGATCTGGGGTGAGGAGGTAGGATGCTTTCATGAGATTCGGGTTTTTGCTGATGAAGCGGACGGTGGCTGTCAAGCTAGGTGTTGGGCTGGGTGACGGAGAAGAAGAGCGAGGCGCAAAGGCGGCGCCATTGGCGGGTGGCTCAAGGTTTGTGGGGTTGAGAATGATTTCCGCAGGGGCTTGCTTAGTTTTCCAGAGCGAGATCATGCGTTGTAGGAGTGCTATCTGAGCTTCCTCCAAGGGCTTGTCCTTGGAGGAAGCAAGTGCGGCGGCCGGTATGCTCAGTGCCTTGGATGACAAGACGGAACGCGCTGTTTCTATATCTGCGATTCGGGCGCGGCGTTTTTCAACGTGGATAAAGTCACGCACCAAAGAGACACCACGCGGTGTCCAACCTGCGAGCTGCTCTTCGCCCTTTACGTAGTCATCCTTTGTGTTCATACGCCAGAGGTCTGTCGCGCGCTTGACGGAAGTAGGCCGGATAGCGACGTTGAAGATTCCTACTGTCGAGTGAACGACTTTTACGGTGTTCCAGATACTGGCTAAAGAGAAGAGGGACGTTTGGCGCATGTAAGAGCGGCCCCGGATCTGTACGAAGAGGTCGAAGGAGAAAGACATCGGTTCGATGAGCTTGGAGGATGTGACGTCAAAGAGGAGCGTGACCTTGACGCGGAAGTTGTCCTTTGTCGCACGATCGAGAATTTGTGACGCATGAGCTGTGCTGTCCCATCGCCCTACGAACTTGACATTTGTGGTGCCGTCGGCGTTCTTCCTGATGACAGGGGGAGAGATAAGATCGACAGGTACTTCCTTTACGGGTGAGCCGTAGTTGGGACTGTTGCCAGCCGCATCGACCATTCGGATATGACCCATGCGTACCGACTTTACATCTTCCCATTGTATCGTATCTCCAGAAGTGTGGGTAAGATTGACAACGATGCGACGCGCTAGACCCTGGTGAAGTTGATATACCCCAGCGTCCGTAACATTGCTCTGTGTTACCTCGACGGGCTGGTACGTCCCGTCATCCGTGATCTCCTGGATCTGGATACGTGAGAAGATGTCATGTGTGTCCTCTGTATAAAATTCTGACTCTGGCAATCGTGCGTGGCGGCGCTTTTGCTTGGGCTTTTCTGCTGAGTCGCGCATGTCGTCCCAACTCAGAAGCTTATCGAGGTGGATGTCCGTGACCTTCGCGAAGATAGAGATTCGAAGAAAAGTCTCACGCGGGCTCGGATAGGGAAGGCTCATACTGTGTACACTCTCGAAGCGGATAGGACCTTCGTTAAAATCGGTAATCCAGGTTGTGGTCGTGGCTCCACTCTCATCAGAGATACCAGGTACGAAGAGTACGGCATGGACTTGGGTGCCTTCTCGCTCTGGAAACCCAACAAGTTCATGCATACCAACATTAAACTTCAGTGTAGTGGAAGGGGCTTCCGCAGAGGAGGGTTCCAGTGATAGCCGGATGATACCAATAGGGTTTGCCGTGTAAGGAGAAATGACATCCAGGCTGAAGTCTCGCACTCTTGACTCAAATACAGCAGCAAGCGGGACGTCCACATCGCCAATGCGCGAGAATTCGGGCATGCAAGGTTCGGAGAATGGCGACTCAGGGTTGAAGTGTTGGAAGTATTCTGGCCGATTCATATACTGGTGCATTTGATGCATCCGTCGTACGCGATCGCGTAGCTTCTGTAATGACCACAGATGTACCACCTCCTTCTTGAAGTCGATAACGCGAACACCAACACATGGCTTAGACTGGCTGTCGAGATATTCATCGTCTTCACCGGGGATACCCATGTTCACCAAGTCGTAAGATGACGGAACAGTGTGGCCAACATCGACGATGCAGAATTGGAAGACCACGTGCTTGTCCATCTGTTGGCTCATGACTTGAGCCTCCTTCAGAACAGCTGCATTTTGCAGAAGTGTCTCCGCCATAGTAACGTACTTTCTTCGCCGCCACTGTTTGAACACGGTTCGGATCAATTCCAGTTGCTGTTCATTCTGCTCGTTGTGCGCATCTGTTGTTTCGACTTCGGGAGCCCCACTGCTCTCAGGTACGCTCTCAGGTACCCATTCGTGCCCAAGCTCTTTCATTTGGCGCGCAAAAGCCTCTTGTTGCTGCTGCAACTGCTTCTGCATCTCTTCTTTTGCAGCCCGTAACTGTTCCAACTCAATCTTGGCTTCTGCATCAGCCTTCAGTTTCGCACTGTAGTCCTCTTTCTGCTGGTCCATGTTGTCTTCCATGTCTTCTCTTATCTCCTCCATCTTTTCGCTACCGTCTTGTCTTGGCGTAGACGGCATCGTCAACATGGTGTCGAGCGAGAAGTTATCCAATGTCCCTCCAGAAGCATACTTTTCTCGTACAGGATATGACGACATTGACTCTGTATCTCCCTCGTCGCTGAATATCCGACTCTCGGGGCGTGCTTTGCGGGTCTCGCGCAACCTACTGAGATCTTCGAACAGTGCCTCAAAGTCTTCGTCTGGGAGATTCTCGATACGTTTGTCGGGCCCCAACCACGCAGTAAGAGCTTCTCTGCGTGCGTAAGAGAATTCGGACTCACGACCGCGCTGCCAGAATGCAGGTGACCCGGCTCTGGGACTGTCGGGGTCGAAGTCAGAGTTTGCTATGCTGATGGCGCTGTACGATCTGTCGTGACCGGGTCTTGGTGCGGGCGAAGGAGAGTTGAGCTGGCTGGCGGTAACCGTCTGTCGGAGCAGGCTTGTGCCTACTTCAGCACGCTCGGCTCTTGCCTCTTGGGGATTGTTGAAGCGGAAGATGTGGAAGTCGCCAAGAATGATGCGGTGGCCGCTCTTGAGTAACCTTGGCTTATCGATGCGCACACCATTGACCATCACACTAGCTGTTTCCTGAGGTATTACAGTCACCTTGCCGTCTACGTTTTCGAAATGGCAGTGCTCTGCAAGAATTTGTGAGCCGTTCAGGCGGATTTGCGCGGTCTGGCCCTCAACATCAGAGTTGCCTACAGTCGTCGTGCCCGGTTTGAGGTTGTAAACGAGGCATTCAGTCAAGAGTGGATCATCGCTCAAGTTGACCAAATGAGGCATGTTCTTTGGTGTTGACAGACCAACGAAACCCTTCTCGATGCTGATACCAAGCTCTTCCAGTGCAGCTTCTCGCTCCTTGTGGATCTCTTCTGTCTTTTGCAGTTTCTCTTCCCAGGTTTGATTCAACTCGGTATAGAGTTTCTCGGACTGATCAAGCTGCTCGGCAATTTCAGCTTTGGAGACTTTCTTGATCGAACCGTCTGCTTGAGTGATAGAGACGATTTGCTTTTCCAATGGCGTGTCGGGTGCGTACTGTTCCTCCATAATGCCGTTTGCTCCGGCACCCCCGCCCCCTCCTCCGCCTAGTTGGGACCGCAGTTTTGACAATTCTTCCTTGAGTTCTCTGATCATGCGCGCGTTGGGGTCTTCGTTTACGACAGCATGGTTCTTGATGCGCTTGGCGGAGTCGGCGTAGCGGAGCGTAGAAAGTGTCTCCTCAAAGTTGATGTCGGCCGGAGAAATGGCGGCAATCATAGCCGTCATACTGTTTCCTCCTAATGAGTCTTTCAGAAGCCATGTTAAGATGGAGTCTCGATATGGCACTTGTGTCTTCTTCTTTCCCCCGGATGACTGGTCTGCAAGCGCTGCAATGACACGACCAAGTGTGGATAGTGACCTGTTGATCTCTGCACCCTCTTTCAATCTTGCACCAGTCGCACCAGTGGACTGAGCTCGTTCTGATCCTGCCAAATCGACCAAACTGATCTTGGCCACCCTCTCCCCGCTCATGCTAGTCTCGACATCGTGGCGCTTCTGGGTGAGGGTAAGGGTGAAAACAGCGTGCGATCGAGAGGACGTCTCGTTCATGTTGGTCGCAGCCACAGTACGGGCCTTGTTTCCTTCGTCCATGAGGTTCTCGATTTCCGGAAAGGACTGGACGACCAACTTGGCCAGGTCTTCGACATAGGGACCGGTGGACGGATGCTCTCGAACTCGTAGGTTTCCCTTGTTTGACGGGTTGAGCAGATCGCGTACGCGCTCGTTGTAGATTTCCAAGTACGACACCTCCACGGTGCAGGATGAATTCTTATCTGCTTGTAATACCTTGATTCTCTCAAACATGTCCTGGCAAATCTTGGGGATGATTCCGTACTCGGCGCCATAACCCATCATAGAGTATGATTTTCCAGAACCCGTCTGACCGTAGGCAAAAATACAGTTGTTGTATCCCTGGAAAGCATTGTCGAGCAGCGGCTTGCCCAGGTCTTCGTGGAGGTTGTCCTGGCCAGCATAGTTGGGAGCGTCGCGGTCGAAGGACCAGTATGATCTGTCGAAAGCGAACGTCTTGGTGCCTTCGGCGGCGGCTTTGGCGGCCTTTCCTTTGACATCGGCATGTGATGGAGGAGAGAGAATGGTCTGGTCGCCCTTCATCTGCACGATACATTGTGCATTGCGCGCCTTTTCTACGCCTTGTTAGCCACAGCCGCATGTTGATGCAAGGGATGCATACCTCGGCCGTTGAAAGGCCTACATCGCACCACGACCTTGATGTTCCCTCCGCCGGACGCCATGATGTGTGCTGTAAATTAATTCCCAGGAATCCGGGGTATACGGAGAAAGGAGATGGCAACGGGGTGCTCGGTCTATGCAGCGGTCAGACGCGGAATCTGGGAGACTTCATGGGCGGCGACGACGGTGGACGGGCTTAGTGGGGAGTGTTCGCGGTTCAGGGGGTGGTGTAGTAGTGCATGAGTATTTGTTGTTCTGTTGATTGAACCACCAACTGCTCAAGATTAGGTACGCGATCCTGGCACGAGTCCTAGACCCCTGCAACCGACTGTTACGCTTGGACTCGACTGTCGCGCAGCAGACCCTGACGGGGTTTAGAGACACTGACACCTCTGGAGATGATCAAGACGAATCAAAAGACAAACATGATGACATATCGTCTGTCAGACACGCTTTCCACATCTCGAGGGGTAGCTCCAAATCGCGTCGGTACCTGACATGTGGAATGCTGGGGGGAGGAGACCCTAACCTTGCCTGCGTCATTCCTCACCAAAAATAATTCACCACCGCGACAAACCCACGCAAAACTACGCGACACGCATTCAACGCGTACGATTCGATGTCGGCGACAGAAGCGACGAACGACATGTTCGCACCGCCCGTGAACCGCGCCATGAAGGTGCTGGACCGCAGCTTCTTCCAAAAGACCATCCCCACCTCGGCCGCCCGCATCTTCAACCCCAAAGACATATCGCGATGCCGCAAGGAACTCACCGCCAGCAAGGACACGCTCCCAAACAACCGGATAGACCCTATAAGAGTCGACCCTGATTCGGAAAGAGCGTCCAAGGGAACCAAATGCCTGCTTTTGCGACCAGAAGTTGTGCATAGTGGTGAGTCACGTTGTGCTAGTAGTACACGAGAGTACTGAGTCTGAAACCAGGCAGATCGAACGACATGGTCCTCTAAGCTACAGAGCCTCGAGCAAGACGGCACACTAGGCGTGATACCCTACCAGCTGCAGCTCGACTACGACTACTTCACTTACTCCGAAATAACGAGCGCTATCATTCCCCCACCCGAATCCGTACACGACGATGAGATTCCCCAAGGCTTCGCCCTCGCCGGTCATGTCGCCCACTTGAACCTCCGCGAACGATACTGGCCCTACAAACACCTCATTGGGACTGTCCTTGTAGACAAGAACCCCATGGTCAAGACTGTCATCAACAAGCTCGACAACGTAGGCACCGAGAATGCCTTCCGCACATTCCAGTACGAAGTGCTCCACGGGCCAGACGATATGAACGTCGAATTGCGCGAGCAAGGATGCACCTTCAAATTCGACTTTGCAAAAGTATACTGGAACACACGTCTACACACAGAGCACGAGCGGCTCTGCAACATGTTTCGCGAAGGCGAGGCAATATGCGACGTCATGGCCGGCGTAGGCCCCTTTGCGATACCCGCTGGAAAGAAGAAGTGCTTCGTCTGGGCCAACGATCTAAACCCCGAATCCTACAACTCGCTCGTCGGAAACATCAAGATCAACAAAGTAGGCGACTTTGTCCGTTCCTTCAACACTGATGGCGGGGCTTTCATTCGTCAAGCCTCTGCCGATTTGTTGACTAGCGACGAGCACTCCGTCGCCATCTACCCCAAGACCAAGTTCTCCCGCAGCAAACCAGAAGAAAACAAACAACCTGAACCCCTCAAGACGCTTGTCCAACCACGCTTCTTCTCACACTACGTCATGAATCTGCCCGCCTCTGCCATTACTTTCCTCCCTTCCTTCATTGGCCTTTACGCCAATGTCCCCGGACACCCTGCCTCTGAGATCAAGAAACTCCTTGCACCGCATACTTCTCAGAAGCTGCCGATGATTCACGTACATTGTTTCTCGACCAAGAGCGACGACAACGTGGAGGAGATTAAGGGTATCTGCGAAGAGGTTAGCAGACAGTTGGGCACAACCATTACACCAGATATGGAGGATGTGAATGTATATGATGTAAGGGATGTCGCGCCTAAGAAGAGGATGTTCTGTGCAAGTTTTAGGTTGCCCGAGGAAGTCGCTTTTAGGGAGGTATAGAACTCTTCGAATGTGCCTTTTATATGCTAGTGCATACTGAATAGAGTGTGATACTACATAACAGTGCTAGAGTTAGAGTCGAGTCTGACTCGCGCATTACATTGCTCTCTTCCACTTTCCTCATAAATCCATCAACATCTCATCCTCGATATCCTCATCATACTCACCCTTCACTGCCTCCACACTTCCCTCGCCAGCTGTCTTCATGATCTGCCCCTCATCCTCCGCCGTCAGATCTACAAATTGACCCATATCGAAATCAAACTCTTCGTCGTCGCGGACCGTCCTCTCAGCTTCGACAGCAGGCTGCCGAACCACGACATCTGTAGCATCGCCACCTTCCTCTAAAATATCATGTTCGACTGGTCCGACTGCACTGCTCACTATATCATAATCCATACCCTCAACCTCCGGCACAGCATCATTCACCTCTTTCCTTGCATCAAGCGCCCGCTGAATGCCCTCGTGTATCTCACACCTCGTATCCACGCCACCGTTCTTCTCATACAGTTGACACAACATAGCATCAAGCTTAACGACCCACTTCATAATCTTCTTCTCAAACACAGGTTCAGCAAAAACATTGTATGCGTCTCCACATGGGTAACCCCATTCTGGGCTATTGCGCCGCATATCCAGTTTTCGAGAGCATTGCATGATGGTGTGGATGCTTGTAGGAAGGAGAAGAATAAAATTTTGGATGTGGGAACCTTTGGGTGTGCGCTCGAGGGGAAGTTTGGAGGACGTTGTTCGTTCGAGGGTGTCTGTTGTGCGGCGTCTGGGGCGACGTGTTTCGCTGGAGATTTCGTGGGGCGGGGCAATGCGAGGCTCGTGTCTTTGAGAGGAGTTCTGGGGGTGGGCTGGAGAGCTAGAGTGTTGCTGTTGTTGTGATCTGAAGTACGCCTCCATTTCTTTGGCGCTTTGGTCAAGATGGTGCGTGTTTAAAGGCACTGCTACTTGGCTGACTCTCTGGGAAACGAAGCGACATTCGCTTCCGAGTGAGGAGGACTTGGGAGTGGGCGATTGAGGGAACGGGTCATGATGGGTTTGGAGTTGACGCAATGCGTTGCGCAATTCCAACCTGGTACCATCTTCGTCATGGATACTGAGAGAATCTCTAATACCGGCCGATCGCTGATCAAACGACATCGACATCTGAATCCCTGCAGATGAAGCACGAGGAGAACCTTGTTGTTGGGCAAACCCCTGTGACTGCTGAGCCGTATTTCGAGGATCAGTGTTCATTACACGGTCATCATCAAACAGCAGATGATCTCTGGTCCCCTTCGCGCGGGGTTGTGGTTCAGCGGAGAGAGCTCGAGAATGACTATCCGCCAGGACGTTCCGCTGGCCGTGAGGATAAAGTTGTGGTGCATTATCACTGAACGGGGGCGGCCGCCCCCTAAGCTGATGTATCCCCACCCCAGAGTTGATGGATGTGATCGAAGAGCCAGCTGCCTGAACATCTCTACTGCGACCGAAGAAGTCACGAATATCACTGTTGTCATTCAAGTAGAGTTGGTTTGGAACTGTGTGTTCAGCTGCGTTGAGGATGGGTCTGCGTGGGGCAGACAAAGTGTTAGCAGGAAGTCGTGGTCCTTGGTTCATCGCAGCATGCTGATGACGAGCTGGTTGGAAAGACTGTACGCCAGCTAGAGATGTTCTAGATCCTGCATTACATGACACTCGTGTTGATGGTGCGAAGGGCTTGCCTGCGTATGCCTGTGGAGCTCTTCGACTACGTAGAGCTGAATGTACTGAAGGAACTATACCTTGCGGGCTGGTATTTGACTGACTGAAGCTTGAGAGCGGTGAGTCTGTTGGATGGATATCGGGTTGTTTAAAGTGGTTCGACATGCCGGTGTGTAAAGAAGAGGTGCTGAACTCATAGCGACGTTGTACATTTGTCGTGCTGTCTTGTGTACTTTCACCGGAACTACCTGTTTCTGAACTCAGCTGCGGTACATGCTGGATACTGCGCTCCAGTTCAACATCCGATGGAGACCTCGCTATGTTCGTTCTTGACGAAGTTTGAGGGGTCAGAGGAAACACTGGGCGTGGCCGATGGGGAGTGACAGCAGGACTGGGAGAGCTAAAATGCGAATTGCCGCCTCCTTGGCTTTTGGCTGGACTCAGCAACTGTCCATTGCTGAGAGCTTGCTTAGGCTTGATCGTGGCATTCATTCGAGCAATAGTCCACGGGTTAGATATCTGTGCCGCTCGGAGGCCTTCCTCTTCCTCGATCACCGGTGCATGTTCTTGTTGCAGGAACTGCAGATCATCTTCGTCGATGCCATACATGCTTGACCTCCAACGTGGCAGCGCTTGCGTCAGATTGGTCGGAGATTCCTCGATTGGGCTAGTAGGCTCATTCTCATGAACCATGGTGGGGCTTTCAACGCGACTTGGTAGCTGTTCTGGCAAAGCTCCGTACTGCTGTTGTGCAGAATTCGGTGGTTCAGCCTGGTGAACTTCCTGAACGGCCTCAGGATAGTAGGCTTTGAGCAATTTGTCAACAACACCAATTACTATGTCGCTGTTGTTGAACATGATATCGTCTTTGGCTGGCTCAATGTTGGGGTCGTAACTGTCAGGCGGACATATTATGTTCAAGCAGAAAAAGGGATCTTTGACACCGGCGAATGAAGGATTCGACTTGCGAAGTCGGTCTTTATAGGCTCTGATGATCTGATTGGTAGTACCACGACTACTCGACACAGGTCTCGCATCGATCGAGACGAAGGCCCCTTGATGAGCTATCTTTGACCCAGTAGCGCCTGGCTTAGGTAGGAAGGCGTGAACTTCGAAGCCATCTGCTTCCAGAACAGTCAAATCACACTGTAGAGCGCAATCCTTGCCGATGACTTTTAGGGCTGCGTCTTCGATGTTGGCATCGGTCTTGGGCGCATAGACAAAGTCACCGTTGTTGTTCTTCGCTTTCAGCACGCGGAGTCTGAATCGTATAGTAGGTCTGGCGAGCGCATAGGCCTGCATCAGCCGCCGAAGCTTCGCCAGCAACTTGGCTGAATTCTTGCGCGCTGTTTGCTTTCGGACTGGTATAAGCTCGAAGAATTTGGTGACCTTGACTGTCGTACCAACTGGGTGCGAGTCATACTCCACGCTGCATACTTTAGTACTAGATAGCTTCAGGTGCAAGTACTGATGAGAGTCTTACGAAGCAAGCTCGCCGTCACGACCATATTTGAGTTTAACAGCGGCTGGCTCACCTTCTACTCGGGTAGTGACACACAGTGAGCTACTCATCTCGGCCATGCTTGAAAGGGCCTCGCCACGAAAGCCGAGCCATTTCCCTCCGACCTCTCTCAGATCATGAAAGTCTCTAATCTTGCTGGTGCAGGAGCGTCGGCATACAAGCGAGCGGTCTTCGGTTGGTATGCCATGGCCGTCATCCTTGACTTGGATGGAGTCGATTGTGTTGGCAGCAATATCCACAAAGATACTCTTCGCCCGAGCATCCAGAGCGTTATCAATGAGCTCTTTGACGACAGAACTGGGATCAACAAGGACCTGTCCGGAACCAATCTGTCTTGCTGTTGTTGGTGGAAGGGTCGCGATACCGGGTACAGTAACGATGTCAGGGCCTCCCGCCATGCTGGTAGAGGTGAAATCGGAAGTACAAATATCTCATTCGTGCATGAAATCGAAACGGGGTGAGACTCGTGGTTTGGTAGGGCCACGGTGAGTGTTTCCATCGTGCCTACCTCTTCCAGCGGAGCCGCGCTCGACGTGGAAAGAGCGACACGCGACGTGCCGGGTGCCTTGAGTGCGCCATCGTGCTATACAAAAACTTTTATGTTATGTGAACATTACCATGTAGATCACATACCTATATGCGATGTTCTTGGTGACAAAGGTTAGCATGCGTCATGGAGCGAGGCACCAAATGTGGGGTTGCATGCTCTCTAATTAACCAATCACAGCGTGCATGACCTTGGGGTTCGGGAAAACTGCTACTCTTAAAAAGGCCCGTTGTCGCGATTCTGATCGCTATGTATCTCTAGTCGATTGCTTACTTGCTTCAAAGGTCGCGCGCAGAAAGTATCTTGGTCGATAGTATTGCGGTCACATTATCAACACTTCGCGACTTTTCGCCCCAGGAGTACCCCAAGGTTTTCCACCTGCACAGGTATGTCCTGAACGCGGTCACCACAAGACTCGTATTCATGCTGATAATTTAGTCTCTTAACACGAAATCTATACCATGGCCTATGCGACTGATGCTGCGCGGTGGCGAGCCCTCACAGTAAGGGACGCGGACGCAAATGGACACTTCATCTATTCCGTCAAATCGACACGAATCTACTGTCGGCCAACATGTCCGGGACGACTGGCACGTAGGGCAAACGTCGGCTTCTATGCGACACCATTGGAGGCTGAGGCAGCTGGTTACAGAGCCTGCAAGAGGTGCAAACCCAACACTGTACTTGAGGATCCACAGGAGCGAGCAGTGGAGAAAGCATGTATATTGATCGACGAAGCCTTGAAGAATGAGGACCCCAGTTCACTAAGGCTGCAAGACCTTGCTAAGAAGGTCAACCTCACGCCGCGGTACTTTCACAAGATCTTCAAGGACAAGACAGGCTCTACGCCAAAGGAATACGCAAAGAAGATAGCGATCGAGCGCACCAGCCCCAGCACCATATCCACCTCAACGACAACCGCAGATGGAGGCAACCAATCGCAGAATTGGGATACATTCGACTTCAATGACCTAGTTGGTGTGGGTACAGACTCAAGTCCCCTAAACATGAATGATTTTACTGTGCCCGAAGGGCATTCGTCTATGATCCATCACGATCTCGACTTCGACATGAGCAATTTCCTTGAGTCTTGGGGCGACAGCTATGCGTTCGACCAATCTGTTTCATGGGTTTCTGAGTCCTTCTTGGAAATGCCAATCACGACGGACTTCTACAAGAAGGCAGAACCATCTGTGTCAACACTTGAGCTGGATGCTGCTGCGTTGCTCGACAGCAGTAGCACGACTAGTAGTCTGCAAACCTAGTTTCCATAGCGTCCACGTATGAATGACCGCGCGCATTTCACAAGATGTGCACTATGCCCTTGCTGCTAAGCAAACTCATGCAACTGCCATGTAAAACCCTATCAGCCTTCGCTCGCCAGCCGAGCTGGCTTCATCATGGGTCACCGAGCGAATACCGCGCTGTGTTCGTACGTGACGCATCGCGTGCTGCGATCGTTTCGGCCGTCGTGGGATGTTCTCGTAGCCTATTCTCTACATCGTCAGCAACAGTTCGAAAATCGATTCCGATAATGTACGAGTGAGGATGCTCTTCAGAGACCAGGTTATAAGCAGCGACGGCGTAGCATATGTCGATGCTAGCCATACCTTTTCCGGCTCTTCCTAAAGTATTTAATGGTCGATGTATATCATCTTTTGAGCTTCGTATGCGCATCGCAAGTATGCGGGTGCTGTAGATAAAAGGAAATATTGAACGTACCTTGCGAGATGAACTAGTGGGAGCAGACACTGTAAGTTAGTGGTCTACTATGAGTGCTGAATTGGCGACGCGCGCCGCTAGTCTGTACAGCATCACGGAGCTTGCGCCATGGTGATGAAGAGTTGGTGGTAAGATGCAGAAGGGCAGAGGAAGAAAAGTTAAAGGTTCCGGAAGACGCTGCAGAAACCGCCGATGGGACCCACATACAGGAGGCGCTAACGGTATTCACTCACAAGAACCGCTAACATGTGTGCAACATGCCTTCTATGAACTCCACGTCCCTGACTTTTTGCAGTGAATGGTGTATTCGTAAATCTAACCGTCGAAGATTCTGTACTTGCTTCCGTACAATTCGATATCCTTATCGAGCAGTGGGGTCTACTCTCCGACAGCCTCCCAAGCACTCAACGGATCCGCCCAAATCTCCCAATGCCCTATCTTGCCCTGCTCATCAAACCCACTAAATCTATATATGAACTGTTCGTCCCATCCCTTGCCTGTCTTCTTACTTGTAAATCGTCCCTTACCAACCACACTTACCATTCCAGCCTCTGCATCCACAATGAACCCCTCCTTTCCCGGGAATGCATCATCGGGCAAAGACATTTCCAGTATATCAGTCATCACCTTGAAATACCCCTCGCACTCGTCTTTGCCAAAAAAGGTCTTGGCTAAGAATGGTAGCCGCGAGCGTGACCACTCAGGGCCGTGCTCCGTGATCTTGGGCGCGTTGCCAAAGTACTGCGATAGGAGCTCTGAGGGAGGAGGCGGCGAGATCAACGCGCGGCAGAAAGAGTGCGTTGTCTTCCGCAATGTAGTGTTGTGTGTTGAGGACATGACTTGTGGGTCTTTCTCTGTGAAGGACCTTGAAAGACGGTGAAGCGGATGTAGAAGTGCTGGGGATCCTCGTAGTAAGCGATGCACGTGGGACTGTTGCGCGCTGATCGGTATGTTTTCCTGCGGTTTCGCACTGTCCAATACGTGATTTGATGCACGGAGATGGTGGCCTGCGTACCGAGCGGCTGTTCCGTGTGGAGAGGGTGAGAGCTAACGGGTTGTCGGTTCTGTTGCGAAGCGGTGGGCGTCAGCCAAAAGACGCGCGTAAGACTTTAGTTTTGGGAGCCTTGAGCGTCAAGTAGACAGTCTTCGATATACAGGATAGATGTGCTAGGACCAGATGTCTCGGGTATGTGCAATATGGCCAATCGTAGAAGATGCGAGAAAGCATGTGCGATCGACGATAGCTTTGACGGTATGCACGAAGGACTGGCGATGAAGTCATCGTGATGCTTGCGGACAGCATCTGCACTTCCATGTTGCTCGCAAGCATGATCGTGCCAAAGAGCATGTTCTACCTAAGCATGATGGTTCCGTCTTCCCGAGCCGTTCCTTCTCACTAAGTCTGGAGTTGCCCTGTATGCTAGAGGGAGGTAGTCATCTGCATCATGCTCCCCCACTTTAACTCAGGTGGCAGAGATAACGAACCATTCACCAACAAGTCCATCCACGACCCATGGAACTGGATATTCTCAAATGTTCAATATTTAACAATGGAATTCCTGCGTGCCCAAAATTAACCAATTACTTTGACCGGCACAGCGTGCCGTAACGGCGTACGTCAGCAAAGCCGTCACCTAATCTACAGCGTAGTATGCATATGCGGCTTACATGCAACCATGCAACGGCGCTGCGGAAGTTCCCTCTGTTGGCTCCAACGGAGTTATTAGGATGAGTCAGATGGGAGGCATGCATCGACTGTCACCAGTCGCTTACAACCACGTCTTAAATCTGTAACTGCAGTGTGAAGAGCAAGTAACTGGACGGATTACTGCATTGTGGTAGTATTAGATTTTTGAATTTGATCAATGTTGCCCTTGGGCTCCGAATATGTCCTAGACAGTAGAGAAGCCTGTTGTCCACTTCCAAGATACTACAAACAGTAATAGCAAAATGCTTCGCTATGAGCTAAGTGTCAAAATACTGTTCCGTGGTATCCATACCGTGTCCTACGGCCCCATTGAACGCCTTTCGCTATGAGGTTATAAAAGTACAATTTCACCGCCTCCCCACGTAATAAGAGCGACCTCAATCCATGGCGGTAAAGAGACATACCTGCCGGGCCATCTGACTCGCAAGCAAGATCTCCCTGAACACTTGGTCCATACCGCCTCTGAAATGAATCGTATAGCTGTCCACTTTGCCCTTCCTTCTTTTTTCCCCCCATACTAGTTTGACTGGCTTCGCGTCATCACATCGCTTGCCCGTCCTGCTTCCTGGTTTCACCCAATCTTGCTGGTATTCGTACAAGGTCTCTGGCATTGCATCGTCATTCGGATCCCCCTGCTTCCACACAAATCGCCGTCCACCGTACGTAAATCGTCGCGGGGACCACGGGATCTTCTGCTGCCTATCTGGGTATTCCTTGATCGGTTGCGAAAATGGACCGCGCAGATGTATACACCGCGATTTGTATGCCGCATCTTTGGTCGTCATGCGCTTCTTGTCGATGCCGGAAAGAAGGATGGATATGCATGGCTGTGGGAACTCAGCGACGCGGAAAAATTCGGCAGCGTTAACTTGGCTATCGTCGCGATGGGTGGCTTCGAGCATATATAGAGCGTATTTGTTCGAGTGGTCGCGTGCGCTGTAAATGTACTTCCTGAAGCCTGAAGATCCCGTCCATTCTCGTGTGCGGTGCAGATTGTATGTCGTGGTAGGTTGTGTGGGATCGAGTAACGAATGGTACGGGATGTTAGGTGAAGGGAGTTCGTCAAGTGGAGCATGCGAGACAGGCGAGTATGAGGTTTGCCATGTGAGGAGGTTATGGATCTAAGGTTTGTCAGCTGGGACTTGATAATGCCACAGAGATTGTTACTCACTGCAGATAGACTCTCGCTTTCCTCGTCCAAGTCTCCATTCGCTCCCCATTGATTCGGTGCGGGCACAAAGACACACTCGTTCCCCTCTTCATCAATCTGATCGCTCCCACTTTCAAGATGCGGTCTCAGCGCCCTCTGTCTCTCTTGGTGAATGTTTATTTGCGTCTTGATTATGCGTACTTGCTCGTCTGAGTTGTCGTCGGGTGATATGCTAGCATGTGATTGCTCAATCTGTTGCTCCAGCGCCAACGCCGCTGCCTCATGTTGCGAGTAGGAATTGTCGTAGAGCCAGGCATGTTCAGATTCGAAAGCAGAGCTCCTCAAAAGCTCCAGGTGCTCCCGTGATGTGAGTGCTGGACGACCCATGGTTGGGCTTTGTGTGGTGGTTGAGACCAGGTTTGCGAAGATTCGAAGGCGATTTGTTCCAGAGCGAGGGGTAAAAAGCAAGTCGAAATGAAACGGGGTTGTGATTCAGCCTGGGGTCGCGCAGGAACAAAAGGAATATAGAGGCACAGGAGGAATGAGGGACGGCGGGCAGAAGAGCGTAATCATCGTAGCCAGGCTGGCACCAGCTGATGAAGCACCATCAGGATAGATAGGCGAGTAGGGTCGTGTTGGATCCCCGTCGCGCCCGTCGCGCCCGCCGCGCCCTGTCATACCGACCTTCTGCTGTTGTGGCACATGGCGTACTGGGGCCAAGTTGCGGTGGCATGGGATGGAGATGCAGTTGCGCTAGTCTAAGCCGCATGGGGTAGTGCGAGATTGGAACTCCATGTTGCAGGGCTCTGGCACAGGATCGGAACATTTCCTCTACATATTAACCTTTCTACTGTTAGCAGTGTTGCAGTGCGGTTAGTCGCATGCCCTCGGCGGTCCCGATAACCTGTTATGCCTCCCGCGTAATAGCGTGAGGATGCCGACATGCTGCCTTTACGCTTCACCCAACATGGCATGAGTGGAAATTGCCATTGCGTCTTTCGTATGTTCCATCCCCTGCATGTCTGCCTCAGCGTAAGACCAGACCATGCCGCATGCGGCTTCGCAATGACGAGGCACACCGTCCTTACAGCACCAGACTGCGGGCGCTTAGCAGGCATCGGACTCCGAACATGCGGTCTGTTCTCTGTCCTCCCACCCCCCACACACCACTCATAACATCCCGTTAACAGCCGTGGCTTGCGCCGCCTTCACGATCCCTGGATCCCTAGCGTCTTCGAGAAGCGTTCGAAACGTTCGATACGAACCCTTACTTACTTCTCACGCAGGGTCAAAGGGTTTCGCGGTGAACAAATGCTGTGAAGCGCGCTGGGCATACGAGGGCAGCGTCGCGTTGGGACATGGCTGCTGACGTGCGCTTACCCCACAACCGTTAATTCGTGGTGCAGCGCTCTTCGGCTCGCCTTACGGAAGTGAAAATATCATCGTCTCATCATCTCAACCACGACTACATATGCAAAAGCTAGCATTGTCGCAAAAGAATATATTCTGCCTCTGGGTTGGGAAGTATGACGGCACATATCGAAATAGTAGACAAGAATGCTTTCAATTGCTAGAGTGACCATTCAGACCCCAGCACGGACGGCCCCCAAAGAGTCATCGGCTTATTAGCGACATACGCGCAGGAAGAAGCGTCGAATGCTCAACATCGCTTCTGTTCATTTTCGGTCGTACTGAAGCAACCTGATAAGGAGCTGCGATCATCACAAGCATCGAACCCGCCACGAGAACGATGAACCACTGCGTTGGTAAACGTGCCCACCTAGTCCACTAAAACACAAGAGTGACTTACTGTCGCTGCTCCAGATGCACCTCCTTCTGACTCCAATGGGACCCTAATGGTTTAACGGTGTATGGAAGCCAAGCAATATGGAGACATTCCCACATCATTCCCGTACCTTCCGCTGCCTTGGTGCGACGTGTGTTCTGTGCTGGGACTAGCAGTAGTCCAGGAAGAGCTCACCAAGAAGTCCTTGCGTATGATCACCATGTGTCATTGAGGGCCGTTAACAAGTACACACCACCGGTCTTCGAAGGAAACACGCGATTTATGGGCGAACGAGAAGTTAAATCGCGTCGTAACGGAGTCTTGAAGGAGTATGGAACAACGCGCCAGAACGCCGGACAGGTCGCCGAACTGTGGCAGGATGGCTCACCGCTTTGGTTGCTTCGTGATACTGGCTGATGCTTCACAGCATCGCGTGGATGGTCACACTGTCAAGCTGCGATGCAAGGTAGGTTGATTCGACTTCATTACCAGTGCTGTGGTTCCGACTAGTTGAGGACATTATTGATACATCATGCTTCTGCAATATCATCGACAATATACTACTCAAAACAAAGGATCACTCTCCTTGATCGGAACTAACTCGCCCTTTCCCTTGAACGAATCCACGACATGCGCCTGCTCGCTCAGCATAAATCTCGAAGTCTGGTTTCCCACACCAGCCAGGCCCCTCCATCTATCCAGATCCTCCTTCTTCCTCTTATCGCCCAGCGCCTCCTTCGCCCTTTTCCAATGACCTTCCGAAAATGCAATCATCGTCGTCATCTTTTCCTCCTTGATGTCGTAAACCGCAGAGACAATGGTACCTGTCTCTTCAAGCCAGTTTATCTGCCATAGTTCACCAGGGCGGATGCATTGGTATGTTGCGCGTTGGTAGTTCACGCGGCCGGCCATCGGACCACCGTGAATGGCATAGACAACACGGTCAGAAGAGAAGCACCATAATTCATACCGCCACTTTTCAGGGTTGCCGTTGCTGTCTTGCGCGTCGTAGTCGTAGATTAGATGCGTGTCGAGGATGTCTTTGTCGAAACTAGGGTCGAGAGATGTGTTCGTGAGGAAATCGGGAAGATTGTCACCTGGAGCCATTGTGTTTGAATTTTGGAAAGCTTGTTCTTTGATAGTAGGAGATGTGATGATAGTAAGAGTTCAACAGGGAGGGCGTCAGGCTTGAACATAGTTGATGCTCGGCACTACCGGATCGATGACGTATGTACAGTTTTGAGAGCTAGATTCCACGCGACGTGACACTACCAGTAAGTCAACATCCCAAGGTCTAGATTGGCCTTTGTGATCGGTCCGAAGAAAAAGAAATATAGTTGAGTGCGCACATACTGTTGACTGTACTATATGCCCCTACTTACGATCATACCTAGATGATACCTTGCGTATATACTTCTTCCTCACACCTACTCTTACTCTTTGAGCAGCGAATTGATTCACGAGACCAGAGCCACTGCATTGGTGATTTGGACTGATACTAACATGTTATCTTCCAATGCCTTCTCAATGGAAGCGTCGTGGTACAGCTCGGACCTGCTTTACGCCTGCCTAGATAGGAGCGAAGATATTGCATGCTGACATCCTGCCATCGAAGCCAGGATATAGCGATAACCCCAGTTTGACGAGACGCAGAAAAACAAGAGAGATGCTCTGATGCGTACTGCAATGTCCTTTCCAGCGGAAGTCGAGCTCTGGAGGAATGCGCGTAGCGAAGTTGGTCCGAATCTCTGTTCCTGATGGGCCATCCGCGAGAGTTTCATGCAATCTGAGTAATAATAAATAGACCTGTTAGAGACTTGTTGTTAGTGAGGAAGAAGAAAGAGTATAAGAGGAGAACGCAGGGTTGACGGAGCTCAGACCACACCGCTAGTGGCTTAGTGCGAATGACAGAAGGTTCGTGGATCTGTCCATCAGGAGTAGGCAGTACCTTTCCTTTGTCAGACAGGTACCGTACAAGTTTTCGGACGAGTAAACTTCCAGAATCCTTGAGTGGGGTACGGTGTGTGGGATTTGCTGCGACGCGTCCACCTTACTAGGAGGCTCTGATTGATGATCTGGGCAGTTTACAGTAAAATGACTAACCACATCGGGTAGCATTATTTCTCGACTAGCTTACCTGCCAACACGGTCCGATCAGTCAAGGAAACATACTCGCTGGCTTACCACATCATAGCAAATTTTTGGTCTTGGTACGCGACGGACGAATTTTGGAGAATGTTGCAAGAGCTACCAGTTTAACGGTATAAAGGTCTGGACATCTGCAAGAAACAGATATCCAACACACTCACAAACACATTCTCAACACTCAGCACTTCAATCAACTACCTGAAAATTGATCATCTTTATACATACCAACTATTTTTCAATTTCCCAGTTCCCTCGAACAAACCATCCACAATGTCAACTCCCTCTCTCCGCCAAGTCATCGGAATCCCCAACTCAACAGCATCGGTCAAGGATTCCGTTCTTGTAATTATCGATGCTCAGGACGAATATATCCACGGTAGTCTGCCTGCTCAGGATTACAAAGAGGTCAATGTCGCGATATCCAGCCTCCTTGATAAATACCGAAAGCAAAATGGCCACGTCGTCCACGTTCTGCACAACACAGGCTCCGACGAAGCACCCATATTCAAGCCCAACGGCAAGCTCACTAAAGAGATGGACGGTGTCGAGGCCATCGACGGCGAGGCCATCGTATGGAAGAAACATGCCGGATCATTCTCGGAGACGGACCTAGGGGAGGTCGTTAAGAAGACTGGACTCAAGAAACTTGTACTTACGGGCTATATGGCGCATGGTTGTGTGTCAAGTACCGCTCGCGAAGCGACCACATTGGGGTACGAGACTCTTGTCGTTGAAGATGGTGTTGGACAAAGGGACATGAAGGATATTCCTGCTGCGCAGGTCAAGAAGGTTGCTTTGACGGAGATTGATGACATGTTCGGAACTGTTGTGAAGAGCTCAGAGATCAACTAGACATATGGATTTGCTCTAGTCGATACGTTTTAGCTTGCTGAGCGGATATGTTGGTATGAATAAGAAAGTAGCTTTTCTTCCAAGGGCATCGACTGTTTATTCCTCTCCTATGAGTGTTTCCGCGGTCTATATTTACGTTGCGTACTATCAAGTCATGTCTCATTCCCACTCAACTGTGCAGATACTCTTATCTAGCAATTAATCAACAGGTTGCACCCACTCACACACCCTTCTCTCCATAGATAACAACCTGTTCGGTTGATCTTCGCCTAGCCATAACTCCTTGGATCCGCCTCTCATCTAGCGGAGCTACACCAGCTCGCCTTGCCTCCGTCTCTGTGAAGGTGCCGTATAGATCGGTGGGATCGATCTGGTCCATATCAGGAATGGGGAAGATCAGGTTGAGAACATAGAAAACGATAGCGCTGATGAAGAATCCTAATGGAAGGTAAGTGAACATGTGATCTCTAGTCTGCAAGGAATTTCTTACCTATCAAAAAGGCCATATTGTAGAGTTGTACCAAGGACCGCGATGGACTAACGTCTCCTCTCACGGTCACCACAAGGCCACCAATAGTTGGTGCCCAGCCACAGAGCCAAGACGGTACCGCTCTCCAGTTGAAGCACTTGGTGAAGTAGTATGAAGAGTCCTCTGTTCGGTATAGATGACTCAAGCGAATCCTTCCCTTTCGTAGAAGACAGTAGTCGCATGACATGATACTAATGATGGGCGCTAAGAACACCGAAAAAGAAGACAAAACGGCGATGAACGTGGTGGCGCGGTTGATAAGTTGCCAGGGCTGGACGACCCATGCAGCCACAAACGTGATAATAGCACCGCGACGTATGTTGATGTAACGTGGAAAAAGACCAGCAAGGTCGATTCCACCAGAGACAGCGTTACCGCAAATGTTCTCGAACATTGCAGTGAAGGCGAAACCTGCAGCCAGGAAGAATACACCCGCACGGGACCGCGATGAGCCGTTTCCATCGTCCATCATGCGCATGAGTCTAAATGTGGGTGTAAGAAGTCAGTATGTGTCTCACATACAGTTCACACTGTGACACTTACAGATCTGGTGGATTCCAATAGATCTCGCCATAGATCTTTTGCCCCGAAGCGGTGGTAACCAATCCAACTAATGAGACAATGACGTTGGTGATCACACAGCTAGCGATGGTACCGTAGATATAGGGCCTTCTTGAACGTGCATAGCGTGAGAAGTCGCTGCCGTTGGTGATACCAGCAGCAAGACCGCCGATGGTTTGGTTTATACCAGCCATGATGAGCCATGACGTACTCTAAGGGGAATCTGAAGGGATGGTCTGGCCAGCGTTCCAGAGAGGGCCTACGCCTTTGGCAGTGGTCACTGCCCAGATCATCCATGATAACATACCTAAGCCGCACCATATGCACACTACAAGGAACGGAATCTTGAACTTCTCTGGTCGTAGCCACAAGAACGGTGTAGATAGAAACCAGAACACCACAAATCCTACAAACTGGTCGGTCGTAGCAGGGAAGCTAGGGCTGAAGGTATTCGGCATGCGTGCGTACGAAGGCCAGATCGCAGTCAAGCATACGGCGACCAGACGGCCGCCATTCCAACCTGATCTGGATCAGCACCCTGATACCAAGCTCACTCTTATAGTAAGCCTGCTTACATTGGACGGCGTTCCAAATGAAGTTAAGTAGGATTCTCTGCAGCAAAGGTATGAAGCTTCCCCGCATACCCCAACTATATCTGTTCTGTACTGTAAAGCCAATATGCCACTTCAGTCCAACCCAAGCGATAAGTGTAGAGAACAGAGCGATCAATATGCTGCTCACAACGATGATAAGGATAGCCTGTGGGACAGATAAGCCCATAGCTTCCGTGACTATCAGTGATCAAAAGTCAACAAACGGCACCTGCTGTCACCTACCTAAGAAGGTGCTTGGAGTCTGCCAATTTGCGAGGTTCAGCGATGCAATAGCCCAAACCCCGAAGAAATTGAACCAGCCCCATGTCCTCCGCTCTGGCGGTAGAGGGATCAGATCGCGATTACTCCATGCGTCCGTTTGTTCGTGCTTTTCGTCGTTTCCATGCAGACGCACTTTCTGGTGGATTGTACTCAGTCGCTGCCTCAAAGTCATAATACAAGTAAGTAAACAAGTTCGTCAATATTCAGTGAGGCTGGAATAACGGTTGTTGAAGAGGGGGATGGTGATAAGCTCCTTCTTATCATTGGCGCTCGCGGATCTTCCCCCATGTTTCCCACCTTCCTAAGGCAATCGCAACCCATGCGTACTCACTCTTGTACATCGGCACATACTCCCCAAGGAACCAGCGACTTCATATAGGTTTGTGCTGCGTCGTTCAGTTGTTGTGGTCGACGAAAGATGCTTTGGAATATAGCTGGCCGCTGTCAGCAGGGCGGCCTGAGGCGATGTTTCAGGCGTCCAGCCTCCCGCGGCTACACAACAGGCACCAAGATCCTGTTGATCCCTCACTCGCCCACCCTTTACGCATACCCCACAAACCTCGCATAGACCTTGCTTTCCACTAATACATCTGCTCCTTTTGTTCATCAGTACATCTAGATCTATCGCTTGTGCTCAACCTTCTTCTTGGGCGCCTTGCGCCTTGCGAAGCGTTGCAGATCTCGAGGGGCAGGATATGTTTTGGATGGGGGCGAAATCTTGCTGATCTACCGATACTTGAAAACAGTCTCTTTCACTCCAGAGTCTCATCTGCCTACACTATCCTTGAGTCGTCACATTAGCAGAGAACACTATGTCGTCGCTGAATCTCAATCCTCAATGGCAGGGCTGGCAGACTCATCGCCGCCAGCAGTCGCCGCCACAACAGCCCGTGTACCCACAAAACCGTTACTCGCCGGCCTCTTCCCCCAACCACTCATACTATGGAGAGTACGCACCTGCCCCAGGATCCTACATAAAATCTTACTATAGCGAAGATACGCCGGTACCGATCATCGCAGAGCTGCCAGCGCCCTTGCCGCCAGCTCCACCCACTACGACGTCTGAGGAGCAATTGAAGCAGGATGAGCTACTTGCACATAGGATGCAACATTTGGAAGTGGAAGGAAATCGTCAAAGATCGCAAAGTGCAGTAAGCCAGCATGCCCGCCCTGCGAGCATGATGCCGCCCAGCACCCAAGGGTTGTCACCACTGCTACATCAACAGCGATCTGCGCAATCTTTACGACTTCATTCGAGAAGCGTCTCGTCTTTCGTCGACCGGCAACCAGTAAGTATGGCACCAGTGGTCACCCAGCAACTTGCGACTCTGCCTCTCGTTCACCAGCGTTCCGCCCAATCGCTACGACCCCATTCGACAAGCTTTGGAGCTACCACTGAACCATGGAGTCCTGGATCATTTGATCCACCGCAAGATCTAAGTAGGTTTAGCACCTTGCCCGAAGTGGTCGTGGAGCAATATCCTGTATCTTACAAAGAATCCCAGTCGCCGGCTGAGAATCCACCAATTCCAGTGTTACTGGGTCAACAACCCATAAGGCGCCCATCAGTCGCACTGGAATCATCATCGTTGCCCGGATATCTCGAACAATACCGCCAAGCACCGTATCCGCCTCAGTGGAACCCACCACCCGTTGTTTCAACCCTGTACGCTCACCAGGAAAGCAAACGACCATCCGGATCCAGCTGGCTGGACACACCAGACTCGTATGTCTGGCGAACAATACGTCCCTCAGAGCATGCGCGAACTCCCGTTCCACCTTCGTACTCGTTCAAGTTCAAAAGCACAAGTGGCAGCTTCCGCAGCCCCAAGCTTTCATGGACGATGACATATCCCGAAGAGCCCACCGACTCGAGCAAGAAAGTTTCCAAAGCACAGCAAGCTGTTTGGAGTTACGATCTGAAGCTGGACCCTAAGACTAATTTACGCAAGTCCGAAGTCTTAAGCTCTGGAGGTCCAAATGCCAGATCTATCCTAACAACCTACGTGCATGCGCTCAATTACAGTTCCTTGCGTTTCATTGGCCCAGACGGATGCGCATACATGTGGGTTACGAGCACCAATGTGTCATCCATCCACGGTTCCAGGTACGACACGCTGAGGCATGCTCTCTTCGTCGCCATGGGGAATATTGCCGATCCGCTATATGGTAGCATCGTTGCAGACCATTGCTTCTGGGACGGTTATGTTGATGAAAGCGGAGGGTCTTTGCCTGATGAATCGATTCATGTTCGTTCGGGAACTGTGGATCCAGCGATGGTTGTAGCAACGTTGCAGGTGATGAAAGAATGGGAAAAGCATATGCTCAGACAAGAGAAAAGGAAGAACCCCAAGGCCTTCGCAGCAGCGGAAGAAGAAGCCAGGAGGTACGAACTCGGAGCCTCCAGCTATTGGAAAGCTTGAGAAATTCTACAGAACCAAATATACCAAACAAATTGAAACCCCACTCAGGTTTGGCGTCAGCAAACCAGTGGAGCCTTACTGCGGAGTCCAGGTGACGACTCCTTATAGCAACTTTCCCCGAGCAAGTGCTTGGCCTCGGCCTCATATCGCAATCTCTCTGCGCCGACGCGTAGATATCTGGTGTCTCGATTTATGGCCGCATGCGACTGTCGCTGCCTCATACTTTGTCGACCCATCCTTTCACAGTCGGCGGAATTATCACAGCTTCCACCAATCACGGCGCCAACCTACAGAGGGGGTTACGCATAGAAGCACGCATTGTTCTAGGCTTGCCCTGCGATCGGATGTGGCGGTCCTACCCGCTGATGGTTCGTTTCGATTACACGTGTAGCGCGTTTCAGCGCCTTAGTTCCCGCGTTCGGGAAATAACACATCATTTGGGTTCTCTGATAAGTATCAGATCGCGACCATGAACATAGCCACAGCAAGCCACTCGTCATTACTACTCTTATCCAATCACTCGTTCACCTGTAATACACTCATCTAACGATGCTCTCTCTCGTTCTTCTCAGCGCAGCGCTGGTCGCCGCTCCAGCTCTGGCAGCGCCAGCCCCCCAAGGCATCACCATCTCCAACTCAGCCACACAAGTACCAATCAAGATGTGCGGCACGGCTCAGAACATCGTATTGACTGACACTCCATGGATTGTATACAACATGTTCTACAACCAGGCGCAAACCAAGGGTAGCATGTGTACAGCATACGACTCCGTGTCGGCCGGCTCTGATGGAAACAAGAAAATTAAGTGGAGTGCGGTTACCGACATCGATTATGTCAAAGCCACGTACGCACACTCTGAACTTATAGTTATCAACATTTGCATGATCGAGTTGCTGACATGGATGTAGCGACAATGTCCCCAAGGGTTACACATTCGTCGGTCTGACCCAAAATCTCGAGACTAGGCTCTCCGCCATCAAATCAATTCCCGCAACGTACGAGTGGACGCGCACCAACAGCACCGCCTACAAAGGCAACATCGCATTCGATTTTATGACATCTGACACAAAGGGTGACTCTACATCTTCGTCCGCCCAGGAGCTCATGCTCTGGCTCGAATACACTGGTGGCCAACTACCCATCGGATGGCCCGCTGGTGCGAAAGCCACAATCCCCGACTTGTTTGGTACAAGCTGGAAGTTGTACCAGGGCGTAAATGAGGACACTGGCATCACTGTCTCAAGCTTGCTGCCTGACAAGTTGTTCAAGAGTCCCTTCAAGGGTGATTTGAAGGAGTGGCTAGAGGCACTTGTTAAGGCTGGTGTATTCAAGGAGAGCACATATGTCAACGTAGGCAACGCGGGCACGGAGCCCTTCTACGGAAAGGCGACCGTAGACGCTACGTTGGGTCTGCAAATAAACTTGTAGGCCTTGCGACGGACGCCGTGACGCAGTGTTCATCATCCTCAAGGATAGTCTTCGCGCAAAGGATCTGATTGTGCGTCGACTCTTCCCTCTTTCACTTCTTGTACCTATTTTGTTTCTGGAGCATACTATAAGATAGTCCAAAAGCTAAATCTCGCTAAGAACATGAAGATTTATCAGCATAAGTTGACTCTTCATCCCACCATGAGCATGGTGAACGCCATAGGCTTATCCGTAGTCCCAGAAGTATTGCGGCACAATGCTGTAGTATTCTCCTAGCCACAAAGGCGGCTTACCTCACAGTGCGTTTTGGAGAACTGTACAACGTACATGCTCAATCGATTATAAGAACTTTTCTGGCGTATTCCATCTTGTCCTTTATCTCACTCTGTGAGTTGTCAGCGCTGGCTCGGCTTCATCAATAATAGGCAACCTCGCAGGCAAGTATCATAATGCAACTGATCTTGGTGATCAGTGTAAGCAGGACCTTGAAGCCGGATACGCGCCGGTACTTACACTTTCTTTGAAATATTTCTCGTAGAATGGTTTCTTCTATTACATCTGGGCATGTGGGCACTTCTGGTAGGCGGCTAACCCTAGCCCCAATTGCAGAATCTAGCTTATCATCGACATGCATGTCTATCATATCTATATATGACGTTCCTTATCTACCCGCCACTGAGGAAGCGAATGATGGAAATGACTACACAGATATTCTGACTGGGGTCACAGATGCCGACGAAGTTTACGCCGAGCAGTGTGAGGCTGCGACTACAACTAGAAGTTTAATGCGCTCGCTGGAGTGCTTTGACTCTTTTGACCTTGTACCAAAGGAGAGTGATGGTCCATCGTCCACGACAAAGATACAGACGAGGTCCACTGCCACTTTAGAGTCGATCCAGAAAGACGAACAGCTGGTCTGCGCCTCTTTCTGGGGAGCCTCAGAGTATGCAGAGCTTCTTTTCGGTGCAGAGACTCTGCTTTCGAGCGATGAGGATCTGGCGCTCCGCAGTATTTTCGCTCCTGGTTCCACACCCGAGCCCGTGACACATCTGGTTGCACGTACTCAAGAAAAGCCTTTACCGACTCCCGAACTCCTCGATACTAGCTATCTAAGAATCCAAGCTACTCTTGCAGTGCATGCTTTCTGTGGCCACGTATCGGAGACTTTGGACTTTGATGTATCGCCGGTAATCGAGAAAGTCCAGGATGTCGCATCCGATTCTACGCCCAGGCGGCGGGGCCGTTCTTTGGTGTACTCACGCTCGCCAATTTTCGCAAGGGAGACACTATTTGAGGAGCCCTTTCACCTCGACTGCGACCCCGTCCTCCGATATACCACCGGTCGTACGGTGCTTCCAGGGATGGATCATCTCCGCGGCGTCACTGCTCGCTCCGCAATTGTCCAGTACGACCGCGACATCGCAGAACTGTTCTACGCTACTAAATCCTTCTTTGAAGATTGTCAAGACGGTGAGTGTACGTGCCTAGATGGTAAGATGCACAGCCTTCGTGCGCCTGGCGAGAACTTCATGCTCACTGATAACGACGACGACTTCGGCTTTTCAGTCACGCCTCCTACGGAAAAGGACATATTTTCTCTTATAGATGATCTCGTCAACGTGGACATATTTGATGTAAGCGACGACCAAGGATATGTCTCGGAGGAAGCGCTAAATCGTCCAGGTGTATATTTTGACACCACGCCACAAATCGAGAAACCCTCCATGATATTCAGTCAGCTTTTTTATCCATCTAATTTAGACGGTGCTACGTCTCTTTTATGCGGCAGAGAGAATGTTTCAGATACTTCTGATACAGATGCAGAGAGTTTGTCGTTGGCTCAGCCTTCCGAACTAACTCATATCGACACTGACACCCATGAGTGCATCAACTACACGGCCTTCAACGAGCTCCTCAAGATGGAACGGAACGGAACACGTCCAGTCATTCACCGAGACATTGCTGATGAGGACTACGAACCGGAGATCGGTCTCGCTGAACTAATTCATCTTTACCCGAGGGTTGAAGGCCGTGGGACCCTGCTACCACTGCCAAATAGCTCGAACCTAAGCGTAACTAGCTTGGAGTCCAATTCAGGCATTTCTCGGCCACCGGCACCCCTTCAGCCTAATATCAATCTTCAACCCACCGTGCGCCAACGATGCAAACCATATGGGCTGTACTCTAGCAATAGATCTCAACACCTGCGCCGCCTTCCGCAGCTGAGGCTTGCTACTCAGCTCTTGCCTAAGCATAAGCCCTTGTCTATGGTTGAAGAGGAAGAGCGATCATGTTCCAGCTCGTCTTCTCCGACAGGGTCTCTGGACTTTGCCGATCATCGAGGGTTTGTGAAGCCGCTGGACGATCGTCGATTAGACTTCCTAGACGATGACGATGAATGCGAGAATAGTTTGGAGTGGCTAGTGACGCCAACGTCAACTCCAAGTTGCATATGCGAAAATTTGTTCAGTGATGCTGTTTGGGATAGTGTACCGGACCTTACACTCGCTCAGCTCAACCAGGAATCACACGCAGCGATTACGCCAGCGTCGGGGCTGCCTCCTTCACCGCTTCTCGAAGCGTTCGAGATTGAGATCCATAGTCGGCTCAACCTCATGTTCAACTGTATGAACAGCGGGTGCTTTGAGGAGCTCCCAGCTCTTAGTTCTGACCTTCACTGGACACTGTGCGCTCTTGCAAATGATTACCCCACGCTAACTTCATTACGTAGCCTAGGCGTAGCTATAGAAGTTCTTGTTGAGCGAATGGTAGCCTCCACTATTGCTTCTTAGTTTAGCATCTGCAGCTGCCAGTTCGTTTTTGACAGGCCGAATGACGCTGATGTAGGCGCTACCAGAAAACTCAAGCTTAGCATCCTCAGCTTTTGTCGACATTGAATGGGTCAACACTCGTTGCCTCATTCGTGGTAAATAATACTTACAAGAAGTAAAAAAAAAAAGAACTTCGCCCCACACTGGTGTTGAAGTTACTAGAAATCGATGTGACTGTACCTTTCCCGAAGTTTGTGGGTACGTTTGCAACCTCAGGCCGTATTCTTCGTGTCTCGCGGGGCAGCTGGGCCCGTCGTTATCGCTACCAAGCTACGTGTTGGAGGTCATCCTGGTCCTAGTACCTACCCACAATGAACCGTCCAGTTTCCCTACAGCTGGTATTGACAGTACGAATGGTCATGATACATTCATCGATATCCTTACTTTGATGTGGTGAGAACCATTCCGAGCATCCTGCTCAACTGCTGGTTGCCAATAGTGTTGTCACTTGTATGCTGGTCGGTACCGAGACCCAAATCTGGAGCGAGAGCCTAGCGCGGCTGGACCACCACCCGGTGCTATTAATGGTATCAATCGGTGGGAGAACCTCCGCTGTTGCTCGTATCAGCAAAAAGCTCACCTGATAGTGCACTGAGTTGATGATGCAGCGTTTCAATGACGAGCATTGCGCCCAGAACCCATTCATCTTGTGCATCCAGTGGATGCATGCTGTACATGGGTGCTATCTGGTCAAAGCGCTCTAGGCATATTCCTTGTCGTTCAACAGGATCTCGTCATCAGACTCCGTAACCGTCGCACGCGTTTACATGTATAAGTTTACTGTTCCGTTGAAAAAACACCAAAGACGGTTAAAATACGCGAAGAGCACGGGTATCACAATCTGCAATCGAAATCATGATCAGGTAGCGAGACATGTATAGCAGCTGCCATGCTCGTAGACGTCCAAGACAGGGGTGTCTTTACCATTGGACGTGACTGCAGAAACAGCCACATGAAAGTGCGAGATAGGATCTGTCGGTGCATTCGAACGTTCTAGTAACAGGAGTGCCGAAATCATAGTCGTGCTCCGCTTGCTCCGATCGGCAAGAAGCTTGAGGGAAATAAGCTTCCGCCACGTTCTACAAACAGGGGGAGAAGTGTCGAGGTGCAGGCCCAGTCTGCACTGGCGTCGATGTCTGATGTATGTGGCTGAGATGCTATCTGACAGACGCTTGGTAATAGTTTGGTGTATTTTTGAAAACGGTGATCCTACTGGCTACTTGTGCAAAAATACGAGAAGCACAGTGGAGAGAGAAGGCACTCGCCCAACCCAACGCTTGCATTTCGTATTAGCGTGCACGGCTCTGCTCGCGCAGGCCACTGCAGGTCCAGCCACGCTGTTTGCGTAGTACACAATCTAGGGTGAATTTGCCACATTCGTTTGTAGGTGCGATGTACGATACTAAGACTCATGGACGCTTGGTGGCAGCGGTGTAACGTTCATGTCAGGTCGGACAGAGACGAGCGCCATCGACCATCAGCGTGATGCTTGTTTCACGCGTAGGCTACCCGAAAGAGTAAGACCAAAATCTCGTAACTGCAAGTCAGCATATGTGGCGTCGCTGGCGAAGGGGTCAAAGTATTGACTAGACAACGAGGGAAGGCGACAGCACAACGCTCATCCGCTCACCGAGGGTTTGTTATCAAAGACCCGTTTGAGTATAGCCTCCACAATGCGTGCAAGTGGAACTAAAGAAACCAAGACTCGGACTGGTGGGGCGCCCGAGGCTACGGCCCTAGTGGATCTCCAGGAACGTGGTCGGCTATCTTTGGGAGCGGTACTTGGGTAGCATAGCAACAACGGAAGTGTTGCCGAATGCGCAGTCTGGCGAACATTGGTTGTTGAGGCCTGGCGGACGATGAGCTGGGTGGAGATGACGGTGGTGAAGGCTGGGTTCCGAGCGCTCCGGCTTTCGTGACTGGTGGTTGATTGTGCGCTAATCTCAACACGGTCAAGGCGCGATGCAAATATAGTCCACAACGGTCGCCCATCCCGGCAACGCTAGCATCATTGTGCGGTAGGGCTGTGCCGTTACTCGCTCAACCCCTGCGAGTTCTTTTGCTGATGTTACTCTTCGGGATGTTCACGCTATCGAGAACTCGTACGTAGAGCGGAGCCCTTCACATGGCGACATGTTACTTCGTGTTGACAAAGCGGAGACGGCATCGACGTCAGCCACATGGAAGTGTATGGACAAGTCTGAGGACTACGGTATATAACTTTACCTCCATCTCATCCATCATACCCATCTTCATCCAACCATTCACCTTCGCTTTCGAACCAACACTCGCTACAGTGCCATCACAAAAGCCTTCTAATAATTAATTCCACTCCAACAACTTCCGGAACTATCACCAAGAGATCAAATCGGCAAAACAATCAAGATGCGTTACTCTTACGTTGCTGCTACCCTCGTCGGTTCGGCCTTGGCCATGCCTCAATATGGCTACTCAGCGGTTGTCCCTACTGGATACCAGCCTGCCCCAACTTCTTCAACGCCATATGAAGCATCAACTCCCAGTGCCTACCATGCCTCGACTCCTGTCTCCTCCAAGGGCTACGAAGCATCCACACCCAGCTCTGAGGTCCACTACCCAGCTAGCACGCCAGTCTACGAGGCGTCGACCCCTCCTGCTTACAGTGCTTCCACTCCTGCAGCGAGCTCTTCGGCCTACCACGCCTCGACTCCTGTTTACAGCGCGTCGACTCCTCCTGCTTACAGTGCTTCCACTCCTGCAGCCAGCTCTTCCGTTTACCACGCTTCGACTCCCGTCTACAGCGCGTCTACTCCTGCAGTGAGCTCCTCGGCCTACCACGCCTCAACGCCTGTCTACAGCGCGTCCACTCCCGTCTACAGCGCGTCTACTCCTGCAGCGAGCTCTTCCGCTTACCACGCCTCGACTCCTGTCTACAGCGCATCGACCCCAGCCTACAGTGCTTCCACTCCCGTCTACCCCGCCTCTTCTTACGGAACTGGTTATGTCCACCCTACCCCGAAGCCTTCATCGGCTTCTGAGTACCCCCACTCCGACTACGTCACTACCATGACCTCGACCCACACATCTTGGGTGCCATGCAGCACCTCAGTCGGTCAGGGAGAGCACTCCAGTGTCATCTACTCAACCTACTTGACACCAACCTACTCCACTGTCACTGTGACTTCGACCGTCCACGGCTCAAAGCCTACACCTGACAAGCCCGTCTACCCTGCTGGTACCCCGGAGGCCCCTAAGCCAACCTACCCTGCTGGTACTCCTGAGGCTCCTAAGCCAACTTACCCTGCCGGTACCCCTGAGGCCCCTGCACCAACATACCCCGCTGGTACTCCTGGTGCTCCTCAGTGCCCTGCCCCGGTCACTGTCACCAAGACTGTGCACGAGGTTGAGACCAAGACCGTCACCGTTGGCGGTGCTTACACTCCAGGCCCAGCCCCTTCTGTTGCCTACCCTGAGGGTCCTAAGCCGTCCACTCCTGCGGAGCACTACTCAGAGGGCCCCAAGCCTTCCTCCTCCGTGAAGCCCTACCCCGAGGGTCCTAAGCCTTCATCTGAGGTCAAGCCCCCTTACCCATCCTCCGGTAGCTCGATCCACTACACTGCTTCCTCCGCACCTTACCCGATTCACACCCCTTCCTCATCTAAGGGATACCCGGCTGTGACTCCCTCATCTTCCACCAAGGAATACCCAGCATCTACCCCCTCTTCCTCATCTAAGGGATACCCGGCTGCTACTCCCTCGTCTTCCACTAAGGAATACCCCGCTGCCACTCCCTCTTCTTCGACCAAGGAGTACCCCGCTGCCACCCCTTCAAGCTCAGCAGCCTCCTACCCAGTGAACACTCCTTCGTCCTCGAAGGTTACTCCTCAGCCTACTGGCTACGTCGCCTACCCCCACTACTAAGCTACTCGGGTAGCTTGAACACTTCTACTTCACATCATAAGCAACGATTACGGGCTGCATAGGTGTCTTGACAGTAACTTGGAAGCTGCAGCTCTTGTCTTGTAGAGCCTTCATTCCCTCACCTTGCATTGCTACATCATTTTGGTTTAGATCTTGTTGTTTTCACGCGTTTGGAATTTCTCGTTATACTTCGGCTGTTTATATTCGATGAACAACTAGTATAGAATGGTTACGATGGGTATGAGTTCAGTAGTAGACACAAATTATGAGCCAACTTTTTGTCACTCCTTCAAAACTGCTTGCTCGTCTTTATTCGTGAACACGCAGTGGCTTTGAAGCATTCGCGACAACCACTACTAATTTGGTTAAACCTCGAGACATTCAATGACATCGACGCAACCATTGACTCATCATTCTCGCACACACACACACATATGCAAAAGCGATGAAAAACAGGAGCCCACGCCGCGCTTATGCATGCATGCATAAACAATACACCCCGTAATCGTGTTCCTTGCGACGTTCCCGAATCTGGCAATCTTCCCGCGCAATCGATAGTCTGGCTCGTATCAATGCGCGTGAACTTTCCTTCACATCATGAGGCCGGTTCACGAACGTGCATCGTGAAATGTGCGCACATTGTGGCTTCCTTCGACTTCTGCAATAGGAGGTCGCGTGCACCTTGATTCAAGAGACGAGCCATTGGCTTTTGATACCGAACTTGTGAACGCACAGGATGAAGGATTTGTAGCCAGGCATCTTGAAGGATTATACGAGCATCACTCAGCAAAGCGATGTGACTGGGAGTAATCATTTGGAATAAAGGCTTGCCGCTGTTATCGGTTGAGTATAGTGCCAGAGACACGAAGGAGTGGAAATGTAAGCCCAGCGAAGCATGTTTGAAAGCAGTTACCTGCAAATGAAAAGGATTTTGTAGGCACAACTAGATGATCAAATCTAATGAGAAAATCTAATGAGCCAAATTTCGCAACCCTGCCATCTGAGAGATTGTGCTTCCCAATTCACGCTACTCTTTAGACTGATAATCAGGCGACTTAGTTTGTCTCCAGGAAGAAACACGATCTTGACTACCTAGGTAGCAAAGAGATAGAGGAAATACTACGCATTGTTCAGTGCGAAAGCTTTTTAGCAGAAGACACCTTTTTCGTGTTGTGAATAAGACAGGAGAAGGCATTTGTACCGCTTTCCTATCTTTTCTGAGCTGTGACTAGATTCTGAACCTATACTCGGTGTTGATTCCAACCCTAGGTACTCGCAAGAGGGTCTCTAATATGTTGATATATCGGATCTCCTCTCGTGCGACTCCCCGGTCCGCCAATGCGCTCATAGTAAGAATCGCAACCTTGGAAATGTTACACCCAGGATGCTCAGCTATGCACTCGTCATCTTCCTAACAAGCGAAAAAGGTGGACGGTTCTTCGGGTATAGCCCATAGCTGCACGGCGGACGTGACTGCGCGGCCACCCACGCCCGTCCACATCTCGCGCGCTTCGGCTGGATAGTTTGCGATGAACTCTGCTACATGTTGCGGCGATGGCTGAACATGATCCGTAACGGTGTCTCGCGCGGCGTTGGATCTGCAGAGTACTCGGTCAAATCCTAGCATACGGATCCCTCTTGTGTCAGTATGGAGTGAATTCAGAACAACGGCGAGAGGCTAAAGAGACGGTTTCAGGGACTGTAAACGTTTTCGTAACGGTGAGTATGTGCTTACAGGGTCCTCTGGAGTCGCTGTTGCCAAGAGAAGGGTGGTGCTGGCGCAGAAGAATGCGGAGAGCTTCGTTGCGAAAGTGAAGGAATGCGAAACAAAGGGAGATGACTAGCAATCCAGATAGATGGTGTTATGCCGCCGTGATGGTGTTGGATATGTTTCATCTTCAAGTAAAGTGAGAACACATTTCACATTTGAAGCATCAACATGTAGATGATAGACATCGATTTGTCCGGGACCATGCGTACGTCATACGCCCTGCGTAGGCAAGCAGTATAACTCCAACACGTCTCCCCTCATCTCCTTGACCGTGCCGCAACCCCTCTTGAACTCTGGACGTAGCTCGCATATGCTGCAGCAGCCCGTATGCTTTATCCAGACAGCATTCGCATATCCAACCCAGGTTGTTGCAGCACATATAAACACCGAGACAGCTCTTCGAGTTCCACAAAGGCAGACTGTTACGTGCCAGTATGTCTACACCACGACCACATTCGCCACCGCGGCTAGAAGGCTCATCAGAGCCTCGCAAGAGCGTACGTCGAACGCCCATACCGTCTTATCAAGGCCAAACTAACTTTGATCTCAAGATGGTCGGCGTCCCAGAGCCAGGCTTTGCAGGCCCATCGAACCGCACCGGTTTACTCCTCGAGTTCTTCGCGACGATGAAGCGCCCGGCAGATTTCAAGTGCTTCCGCGCAATAGGCCATGACGGCACCTGCAGGACCATACGTTGGCTACCGGGCCCCTCAGATCAGCCGACGGGTATGGAGGTCTACGACGCACAGCCCATGTCACCTGAGGTGCTAACGCAGTATCTCAATCGGCAGGAGTGGAGCCAAGAGATTGAAAATCGCTTCCGTGGTGTTGATGGCAGGAATACGCCGAAAGAGTAAGTGTTGCGTAGATCTCCTCTTCACTCACATCGTTATCTAACACTGTCAAAGGCAATGGTCCAACCCACTTCCTGGTGTTCTACCTCCTCCAAGTACTAAGAACGAGCGGCTAGCAGAGAGGGACCGATTCAACGAGGAACAAAGAATCCTAAGAGAGAAGATAGAAAGAGGGGAATTGGAGCCAGAGTACTCAGGTCCAGTTTGTGGCGCTGTGCGTAGTAGCTATGATTTGCGACCACGGTAGTGTTTGTCGACTCAGTTGTTTGGAATGGAACTGCTAGTTCGTCTTATATGTTGCGTGATGTGAGAAATGCCTAATATTGCTGTTCCCTCGGGTCCTGCTTCGCGAATTGGGTATATACTCGGGGACCAAAAACACAAATTACTTACAACTATCCTTCCCCTATCCCTTCTCTCCTAAAAAAAAATATTCACAATCATTCCAAGATCCTACTCTCTCCATTCCTCATATCTTGAAACCTCACATCTTCGAATTCGCCCTCATCATCCGCCCTCGCCTCTTTCAAAGCATCTTCTACTGTCCAGACTTTTCTTCTTAGGAACCAGCTTATGAAGCCTCCGCCCTTCTTGACTTCATCGTGCGTCGCGACCCAGTATTTTGCTCGCAGTATACGTTGCGCGAGGACGCCATTCTTCGCACCGAGGTTGAGTTGCTGGGCGGAGGATATGGAGACGTCGTGTAGTCCGTGGAGAAAAGCGAGGGTGTGTAGTGGTGGGTCAGCTTTGGCTATCGGGCTGAGGGCTTCGTGAGGGATGCCGTGTGGTGTGTAGATTACACATTCTGCTTCTTCGCCGTTGATATTAGATGAAATATCTTCTGCTCCATCACCATTTATGCTAAGACTCGAGAGACGTTTCTTAGGCGTGGCTGTCGATAGAAAGGGATGAGTGGCGAAGGTAATTAGGAGCGCGGAGTGGTAGTAAAGAGAGTCTCCAGACGCTGTGAGACGCGATATGCTGAGCCATGAGGGGAGTGGGGAGAGGCTGTAGTCGTGCCAGTCGGCATTGTCGGTGAAGGTGGGTGTTGTTATTACGGTGCGGAAGTGGTTCCAGGAGGATATGAGGTTGGCTGCTTGCTATGGGGGTTGTCAGCACAAATCTCTGGAGATGTATGAAGTTGAGGATATACTTCTGTCGCGAGAACAGGCACATCACGATGTACCTCTAGAAGCGTCTCCTTATGGCAGTGGTCGGTGAACTCATGGCTAACAGCCACACAGTCCACATAACTCTCCTCCTCTACCTCTTCTATGTTTCTTTTTCTCCCTTTCCCTTTGAACCGCAATCCACCAGCCATTATCTCCACCTGTCGCGCCAATTCCTCCACTTCGGCAACACTCTTGACAGCGCTCTCCGTCGCGTGGAATTGTTGACTAAACCACTTTGCGACATCGCTCTGCCCGCCAACAAACCACGGATCGATCAAAACATTGTAGTATATTCGGCTCCCATGTTTAACTGCATTCGCTGGGCGTGGTATTTGGAGGAGCCAGGACGTGTCGGCGTTTAAGTGGTGGAGGATAGGTCGGCGCGTTGCGAGAGCGCGAACGATGGAGTCGCGAACTTCGAGATGTAGTTGTGAAGACGGGTCGTCCATCTTGGGACGAGTCTGATGGTTTGCGCGCTGACTATGGTTGCGCTATAGTTATATGGTTGCCCCGGGTATGTGCACTTCAGGGCAACATTTGGCGCGTCGAGGGCGAATGTCGATGACAGATGCGACGGAAACACGCTAGTGGGAGGCTGGGGGAATGCAGGTCGATGACGCACGGAACATTTTAAAACCCGAGGCCACAGTCTTCAAGTCGTTACATCATCACAACTTTCAGCCTTGCGTTGTTAGAACCAACCATGAAATTAGTCCAGAGTCGTTTATAATGAGATCTCGACATAGAATAATCGATACATTGCGCTACTGCTGTATCCCAGAGCCATCGCCCAGTCAAACGGACTGGATCGCAGCGAGGTACCGCCAGCAAGACAAGTGTTCGTCACACAGATCTTACTACAAGCTTCGCGGTCTCCTCCCGAACATGGCACGCCTTATTATCAGACATCTCATGGGCACATCTGTACGAGCTTACTCTGTTGACCGGCCCGTAATACGTAGCATCTTACACCCAACATAATGACTGCGATTGGTCGCAATCGTACGACAATCAACAGTTGATGTTACACTGTACATGTATCGTCGGTGCAATTACTACATTGAGACACTGGGTTATCTGAGCCCCCTTTACAGAGAAAACAGGTAAGGATGTGGGCAGAGGAAGTTGGTCAGGTATAGGTTACTTTATCCTGTATATATTGCCCCCAAAACGAATGTCCTAGGAAGAAGCTTCGTTATACTTTACCAGCATTCAGCATTAGCCTCACTACATATTCACCATCTCTGGCAACTTCTCACGCTTCCATTAATCCTGTCCGCGTTTACTCTACCTAACCATACCCTCGCTTATAATGAAGACACTCACCGCAGTCACGCTGCTCCTCTTTACCTCACCCACTCTGTCCTCCGTCGTCTTCTCCCTATCCTCCGAGCCAAACGGCCAAGGCCTATACAAATCCTGGGTCGTAGATCGCTGGAAATGCCAGAACCTCGACGCCGACATCGACAAGCAAGCAAGCTGGGCTTTTGTAGCTGCTGGCCTCGCAAACGGGTGCACGCTGTACGAGTGCGTCAAACATCTCCCTTCATCTTGTTCTGATCAATAGGTTGGGTTTTAGTTGACAATAATGTAGAAATGTGAATTGTACGGGGAAGAGTTTATACGTCGAGAAGAACAACTCAAACATTCTCGGTCCTGGACCTGTCAATCTTACGGACTACGACTTTGATAATATTGCTAGCTCGTTTACTTGTCTGTGAGGAGTGTATACGCAGACTTTAGATTTGTAGATATGAACGTAGGAGAGCATATAGTATTTTACAGACACGTAATGCAGCCCTACACGTTCTGGTTGTGCATACGTGGTTCTCACAATGACCTCCAGAAGTTGCTATTTAACACCGTCCGTTGCCCACATTAACCTGAGAGTTTATGCAGCCCATGTATAACCCTCTGATAGACTACTCTTGACATGAAGCCGCATTTATACCCTGCTATATCCCAGGCAGGCTGTTCGAGGTCGATATCCGCCCCACTGCTAGACAGTAGTTGCACGATTTCTAATTGCTTCAACTCCATTCCCAGCTGCACCGCCCTCCCACAAGAAAAGGCTGCGAACCCAGCGCCGTCATGCCCTGGAACAGATTCAGTGTTATCACACCCAACCGCACATGTTGAAAGCTCTTTTCTGCACCTAGGTATTGCAAATAGAGATGTGTAGTCAGATCGGTGGCCCTTGCGATATTGAACTTGCACGTAGCGGCACGATCTGGCCACCTAGGGTTTTCTGTGGTTCCCAAAATAGATGGAACTAAAATTTGAGACTTTTCATAGTCAAACAGTGAATATGGTAGGGGTGAATATATGCCCCAAGTTGAATGGACGAAATTTTCGTTTTTGTGTTCACGGGTAAGGGACAATTCTTGGGACTGATCTAGCGCGGAGAAGCCAACACCTTCGTGTATAGTTACAGATAAGACACCAGAGGGACTTGGCGAGTGAGGGAATAGCATAGGTCAGGGGAATGAAATGCTGTCTAGAGATGTATCAAGTGCCGCGATTCACGGTTGAGGTAACGGCCACATCTCCACCAAGTTAGCTGGACTGCATTCTGTTCTAGTCTTAGGAAGATAGCGCGACTAATGCGCTTAATGTATATTAAGAAACAAAACTCATAGTATACTACATGAAGGTCAAGATCCCATTTTCCATCCGTCGTCGCTTTGCAAAGATATAAATCAATATGGGGTCCATGCCACCAACGCCGTTATTATGCAATGCTCATCTATCTCGACGATGTTCCAACATCCCCAAGAGGGAGAAGAAGAAGGTAGTCGCTGGGGGAAAAAATACAAAAAACAGTTTCGCCAATCTTGGTTGAAACACATACGTACACACGTATGTGAAAGTGAAAATAGAGACGAGGTTACGCGAACAAACTGACGTAAACAGGTAATGGAACCGGTAGGTAAAGATGATGAGCTAGACGCTCAACCCACGATCCGTATGATGTGTATGGAGGTCGCAGTGGAAGAAGTCGTTTACTGTGATTTAGGCACCGACTCTGTGTACTTCGCTGCCAATTCTTGGGCGATCTCCGGCGTCTTGACAGCATAGAGAACGGACTGCAGCCCGCCTTCCTTGGCAGGCTTGGTCGCCATGACCATCTTCTTGCTACCGCCAGTAACAGTGGCTGGCAGCGCAGGTAGAATTTGGTAGTTGAGCGGTGTAGCACCGCTCGGGATACGAACGCGCACAGAGCACTTGCCCGTCTGCTTGTCCTTGAGGATCCAGAGGGGGCCCTTTGCGATATTTGTCCAGCCCTTTTCTCCCTCTTGATGCTTGGCCAGTACGACTTCAGTGTGGAAGACAATGTCGTAGGTGTCAAGCTCGTCTTCAGTCAGTTTAGTCAAGTCGATCTGTTCTTGCTTGCCACCTTCTTCATCATCCTCTGCTGCAGACGCTGCACTGGTCTCGCCGGCTTCAGATAGAGGCGTGCCAGCGCGCGAAGAAAACACGGACGAGGTCACAGAGTTGCCACCTGATGGCGCAAAGAGCGATGATCCACCTGTTGATGGAGCAAAGTTGAAGATCGAGGCGGGCGGTGGTTTCGCAGGTGTGGTTGAGAACTCACCCGCTGCAGGGGTGGCAGGCTGGAAATAGACGTTCAACTTTGGAGCGTCCTTCTTCTCGGTAGCGGGAGCTTGGCCGAACTTAATCGGAGTACCGACCTTGAAGGTCTGATCACCGGCAAATGTATCGGACTTCGGCGGCGCAGTCTTGGATGCAGCACCAAAGTCAAAGAACTGGAAGGGCTTGTTGGCGGGGGTGGTAGTACCATTAGTCTGGCCGAACATAGGAGAAGCGCCACTGTTCTCCCTCTCTGATTCGGAGTCAGTGTCCTTGGTCATCCTTGAGAGTAAGCTGCCCTTGGGGGCCGTATCTTGCTTCTGGGTGTCTTCAGACTCTGTTTCCGATCCGCCGAACGCGCGATTCGTAGGAGGTGTGGCTGGTTCTACTGAACCCACAGTCGCCTGTTGCTCGCCATCGTCTTCGTCGGACTCTTCTTGGTTGTTGGAGGATGGTCCTGACAGGTGGCCGAATATGTTGGGCGATGATGTTTGAGAGGCGGTAGCATCAAAAACCGATTGACTACCTGTGGATGGGGCAGGACTGGCAGCTTTAGAAGTGGACGCACCACTATTGGGCTTCAAAAGGCCAGAGAACGGGTTATCTTTAGGCGAAGTACTACCAGATGATTCGGCACCGGGTAGGACGAACTTAGTCGAAGCAGCAATCTCCTTCTCCTTGGCGAGGCGCTCAGCCTCAGCCTTGTCGTACCTCGCAGACCATTCCTCCTTGGTCTCATCATCGGAATCATAGTCCTCATCCATAGCCTTCTTCTTGCGTTCCGCGGCCAGCTCCTCATACGTCTTCGCGGTCTTGGTGAACTGGGCCATGAAGCCGCCTGCCGGAGCACTACCAAAGTTTGGCTTGAAGCCAGCGGAGCCCGATGTGCTAATCGAACTACCACCGAAGGTTGGCTTGAATCCAGTAGAGGCCGATGTACTTGTGGAGCTACCACCAAAGCTTGGCTTGAAGCCGGAGGAGGTATCTGAACCGTTGGTAGTCGGCGCTGAGGGTGTGAAGACGAAACCTGTAGTTGGTGCAGCTGGTTTCGAGGGTTCCGTGGCGGGCTTCTCAGCCGTCTTTGGCGCAAAGAGACTTGTCGATGATGTTGCCGCAGGTGTAGAGGGCTTGTTACCGATTGCCTTTGCAAACATGTTGGATGTTGCCGTTGCCGGGGCATTAAGCTTCGGCGTAGAATCCGATAGCTGAGGAGTGGGACTAGCAGGTGCTTCGGTCGCACGAGCTCGCTTGGAGGGCGATGGGTCACGACGGACTTCGGGGCTTTCATCGCTGACCTTCCGCTTGGTGGACAGGCTCGATTCATTCCCGGTGATGCCTCGTCCAGCTGCACGTTGCTTCTTCGCGTTGTCAATCTTCTTCTTAATGTCCGAGGCATGTTGGTAGTGCCAAAGCGACACGCTTGACCAATCCGCCGTGAGAGGAAGGCTGCCCAGCTGCTGTCGGTACTTGTCGTTCAACACCTGAAGTTGAGCGGTCAAATCAGATATTTGCTTGAGTAGGCCATCGCTGCTTTGCGCGCGAACGGCACCTGGAACAGCCCATTCTTTCGGGACGTGCACCTTGGGAACCTTGGGCATCTCAGATGCTTGTGAGTCTCCGTTGAGATTTGACATGGCTGGCGTGGGGGATGGCTGCGAAGGTTCCTCCGAAGCGCTGAACAAGTTGGGGCGATCTGTCGAAGGTTTGGACAAGGACGCAAAGGGATTGGAAGCCTCGTTGGTGGTGGACTGTGCGGGTGCAGCCTTGGGCATTTCTGATGTTGATTGTGGCTTCTTGAACAAATTGCTGGAGTTGTTGCTCTCGGGCTGGAACGTCTGTGAGAAGAGACCAGAAGTGGTCTTAGGTTGAGCCGCAGTGAACATTCCGCCCTGTGATTTCTCCACGTCAGTGGTCTTCGCCGGCTGCGGTGTGCTGAATGGCTGGAATAAACTAGACTTTGGTGCTTCGGGAGCTTTCACTGTTGCTGCACCAGTATCCTTATTGGCGCCGAATAGGCTAAAACTGGAACTGCTACCTGTTGTAGCAGGTGTGCTGGCTGGCTTTGGAAGCGCCGCGAATGGGTTTGACTTGGTGGTGTCTGCTGACACAGTGCTGCCAGAGCCAGACTCCTCAGGTTTCTTGAGGTTGCTAAACAAGTTCGATGATGTACCCGCTGCCTTCTCCTCCGCAACTGGCTTCTGTGCAGTGGCATCGCGCCAACCCGTTTCAGTGGAAGACTTGTTTTCTGTGGTCGGAAGGTTCGCAAATGGATTGCTAGGGGCTGAGCTTGTGGTCCCGAAAAGGTTGGTTGAGGGTGCGGTTGATGTCGCACTGTCAGGCTTCTGCGCAGTTGCACCGAAATTGAACAAATTCGATGCCGGAGCGGTCGCGGTAGCACTTGGTGTGCCTTGTGTGCTTGTGCCCAAGTTTCCGAAAGGATTGCTTTGCTTCGAAGTCTCCGAGTTGTTCTCGCTTTTCTGTGCATTGGAACCGAAGCCCCCAAACATGTTGTTTGAGGGCGCAGGCGACTGCTTGGGTGCCTCATCCTTTTGTGTATTGGCACCGAACGTGAATGTGCTTGTTTGGGATGGCGCCGCCGGTTGTGCTGAGCTGCCAAATCCGCTGAACATGCCGCTCGTAGCCGGCGTGCTTGCAGTGCTCGAGGCTGATGTGGTGGAGGCACCGAATGTGAAAGGTGTAGATGCGGGAGCAGAGGTGCTCGTAGCGTTCGGGGCGCCGCTCGTAGTACCAAACATGCCACTGGGGGCAGCACTCGACGTTCCAAACATACCACCTGAGGGCGCAGCACTTGATGTCCCAAACATACCGCCTGAAGGTGCGGCGCTTGATGTCCCGAACATGCCTCCCGACGGTGCAGTACTCGATGTTCCGAACATACCTCCTGAAGGCGCAGCGTTGGATGTTCCAAACATTCCGCCCGAGGAAGTTGAGCTGGTAGTACCGAACATGCCGCCTGACGGTGCCGAGCTTGTGGTGTTGTTTTGACCTAGGCTACCGAAGGGATTACTCTGCGCCTGAGCATTATTTCCGAACATGGATGATCCGCCGAATGCAGGCGCAGGGGTGCTTCCGTTGGTCGCGGGTGCCGAGTTCGCGTTCGCAAATGGGTTCGCACCTCCAGCTGTGAAGTTGAAGCCCGCAGATGAAGGTGGTGTGGGGTTGAAGCCTGTGCCTTGGCTACTTCCTCCGAAAGCTGGAAAGGATGAGCTAGAGAAAGTGTTGCTAGGGGCAGCGGGCTGCGCAGGTGGGAAGCTGTTGGTCGCGCCACCGCCGAAAGCATTGTTGCCGCCGAAGCCGTTCGCGCCGTTGTTCGCGGGGGCGGGCGCTGAGGCACCGAAGCTGAAGGCGTTTTGTTGTGGTGCGCCAAAGTTTGCGCTCTGTGAGAGACCCTGAGCGCGTGCGTTAGCCAAAGCCTCCTCCTTGCGACGCATCTCCTGTCGCCCTTTTCGGGTGTAGCGATCTGCCGGCATGATTGCGCAGCGGTCGATGGGGTGGTAGAGGGGGCATTGCGTTGTTTTGGGTACTCACGGAGGAAGCGCCTGGTGGTCGACGGGCTTTCGCGGTCTTGATTCTGGAAACAAAGAGTCAGCAAGCGAACGCCAAACAACATCATCGCGAAAGGAGAGTAAGATGAACTCAAAACCACAATAAACAAAGGGTGACTTACTTGCGGGATGCTAGCTGTGCTGCCGTTGCCTTTTGGGGCACATCCGCGATATCGTCGCGCTCTTCGTAGGGGCGTTCAGGCTTTCCCTGGCCAAATATGTTTCCCCGCTTGTTGGACGACATGGTCGCGATCACTTCTGGGGTGTCTAAGTGATGGATGCGGTCGGATGATGGCTGGTCGGGCTATAACTCCATGGGACGCGCGTGGTAGATGGAGATGAGTTTGAGGTAGGATGTTTTTGATGTTCGGGAAGTTGCGACCCGTGCTCGACGTCAGGGTGGGCCTTAGTCATGGCCTAGCAACGCGACTCTTCCTCTCACTGAGACCGACTCCAGCAAAGTACTATGCGCATAGACACGCAACGAAAAACATGCATGCAATGGAATGGGTTGATTTTCTTTCACTATCGCGTCTATTCTCACAGCTACTACGCTGCCAGATATTCGACCGTTACATGTCTACTAACTTGTTGGTTGAGTAAAGCCAGCTTATGGGTTTGCAGCAATTTCAAATACAAATTTTGCGACGAGCCTAAACTGGTTCTGATAATGTTGAGTATATTCTGTTGGATGGATAATATAGTAGTCCTCACCAACACATGCAACCAGATTTCTCATGTCGTCTGTTCCTAGAAAAGGCTGTAGGGATATTCTAGCATGTCAAAAGTCGGTGCGACGCGTCGTAGAATACAAAGAAGGGAATGTAGCCAACAAAGACTACTTGTGAAACACGTTTCACAAATGCAGAACGCAAAGCCACAGGACAAGATGTTTCCTCGTTCAACATATACTTTAAAAACGTCTCCTCAACGTCATGTACAACAAGCGGTAGGATGACGGGAACCGGCTTCTGATGTGCTTAGCGTCAAGCGTCCAAGGCGGATACTGACTGTGTAAGACTGAGCAAACAGATCAAGGTCTCCAAGACTGGTATGGACATGTCATACTACTTTGTCGGGATCGCAGACACGTGCACGAGAAAGATCAACAGGAACATGGTTGGATGAAAGTGTGGGGTAGACGTGTTTCATCTATGGATGTTTCAACCGCGCTGTGGTGAAATAGCGCGCACGTGAGGTACCGCGACAATGCTTTTCCAGGCCAGGCCTTCTCCAGCCGTCCTCGTCATGCGGCGTTAACACTAAGGCGCGAAGGATAACAGCCTTGAGTATGAGGTGGCTTAGACTAGGACCAGGTTTGGGTGATGGCGGGGTAAGCGGAGTATCATGAGATGGCAGTCAATTCGGAGCTGGATAGAGCACCTGGTATGGCTGAATCGTACTTTGTTTGAGACATACGAATCGCCAGTCGGCTGTAAGAATCTAGGTCAGCTTGTTGCAGACTGCAGTGAGTAGTGAGCCGCAAGCTCCACTCGTGACCTCTCATGATCCAGCTCGCTGCGCGTTACGATGCTGCTGTGCCACTAGATTGCGTGGAGTTGCTGCGCGACAGGCATCCAGGCGGGGCGAAAGAGGAGAGAGATCGAGCATTTTGCGGTGCAAGCAGCCATGAGGCATATCTCGTCGGACGGCACGGTAGCACTCTGTTCCGTGGCTCGCAAGCGGTGAGGTGCTCCTGGCCAGTCGTGTTGTTATCTCGATCCAAGCAGACGGCGACTCCGCTCCAGCCGGTCTCCTCTCCTACCTCCACACACCCACGCGACAAGACGCCCCCGGCAGCGCATATAAGCACTCGCCTCCCCAATCGCCGTGGGCGTCTGACATGTCGAGTGGTGATGCTCCTCACATCACTCCAGGCAACGTAATCTATCAGTCACCACTGCCTAGCCGTTTAGGCGCTTAGAGCCGAGGCCGCCTTGGACTGAGCGTTCGCAGCGTCCCCAGCGTTCCCAGCAACCAAGGAAGCGTCTTCCGGCTAAGTAACCGCCGTTTTCCCTGGTGAATACGCCATCGGTCGTCGTCAATCTTGGAATTGCCCCGGATCATCAACAGCGGCCCGCCCTCCCAATACTTGACACGGTGGTTTCGTCACCATCGGCTGGGAACGCTTGACGCCCGCGGAACCATCGGAACATCGCGCTTGTCCTGACGTTCACGTTGGCTTGGTGATGCCACTGCGTGTAACTTGACGCTGATCCCTCCTGGCCTACTTACTCTGACATGCGCCGATAACACGCGCGAGCAACCTCCCAACATGTCGACCCGGCATGCGCGTCTCCACAAACGAGGATACTCCGCCTCAGCTGCTACGAGCCCGCGCCCTCTGAGCCCCGTTGCCGACTACGACGCCTTTACCTTTAATCGCTCGGAAACGTCCAAACTCTACGAAGAGTCTTGGATAGAGACACAACGCCCCATGCCGTCCGCAACTTCTTCTCACCAGCTCAAGATCAAGCCTTACCTGCGCAAGCTCTCATCCTCATCCAAGGAGAGCAGTGGGCTTGATCTATCACGGCCTGCAGCCGAAAACGACCTCACTGGTCTGGGCATATCAGAATATGGCGCCTACTCACGGTCCATATCTGACGTTACTTTTTCCCATGTCAACGGCCGCCACAGACACAATCGCTCAACGTCCAACACGTCGCAGTTTTCCTCTTCCTCTGGTCTGCAGCGACCGACACCCCTGCCTGCCATTCGCCAAACTCCCCAACCCTACACACCGCCAATAGCTCACTCGTCGCCGCCATCAGTCCTTGGAAGCGATCACGAAGGCGATGATATCATGTCCGACGATGAGTTCCGCCTGAGACAGAACGCGTACGAACCAGGACGCAGATCCGGTTCCATCTCCTCGGCACAGGGAACATCCCTACGCATCCACACCAACAACTCATCCACCCGCCTTGCTGGCAGCTACTCCCAGTCGTCCGTCTCGCTCACTTCCCCAGTTGGGCTCACTTCCCCAATTGGCGTACCCCGGGCGCGGGGTGACACACTCAAGTCTATTGACACGACTTCACCTAGCTCGCGCACATCCTTCGACCAGACATACCGCTTCATCCGTGGCGGCCGTGACTCCCCCGTCGACCCTGCTTCGAGAGCTGCATCCATCCGTGCTGCGCGCCAGAAGTTCGAGGAGGAACAGCGAGCCAAGGAGCGAAAGTACGAGAAGGAGGCGCACAAGCAGCAGGAGCGCGACTACAAGAAACAGCAGAAGAAGGAAGATCACCAACGTCGCAAGTCAGAGACCCTCGACCGAACCGACATAAACCGCACGCGCACTGTATCTACCGACTATGAGAAGACGCCACGACCCTCAGTGGGAGGTCGTCCTTCAGTGGGTGGACGCCAATACTCAGACCATCGCGAGGCGCACTCCAACTCGCTGCCGAAGCTTGTGACGACTGTCGACCCCGAAAAAGCAGCCGCCTTTTCCGCCACGCCCAAGGTTACAAAGAGCCGAGCCGCGAAGGGTACATGGCAGCGATTCGTCATCTGGCTCAAGACCCGACTGCTGCGCATGTCGGGAAAGTAGGTCGCGTGCACTGCCACACATGCGCAGCAGCTGTAGGTATCGTCGACGCGTAAGCAGTCGGCTAAGGTACCACTCCGCCACCCCTCTACCCTCGATGCCCTATCTTACCCCTCTCACTTGGCCCGTCACTTGAGCAGATTGGTTTCGCATCTCATCCTTATACCCGATTCATTCTTGCATATTCATTCTTGTTTTTAGCATGGCGTTCGGTCTAGGATAACGGCCTTTTTCATGACATGCTTCTCCTATGCTTATGCTGTACATTTCGCGAGCATCTCCAGGGGCATGGCATCTTACCTTTCGGCGCATCGGTAGAGAAATGCTTCGATTATTGCGTTTCCCATTTTATGCGTCTTTGTTACTCGATTCCCAGGCGTTAGATAGTTTGCTCAAGACCAGCACTGAGTGTCTGGCGGTTTGCGGGTTCCTTTGGTACAGGGACTGGGCTCGCTTTTGGTATAACGCTCTGGCTTCGGTCATTGAGCTTCGCAATTGCATTATCTTTAACGAATCATTGTCGGTCATATGTGATGCCTTCTACCGTGATCATATGCCGCATCTTGATACGCTTGCGGCTTTTAAAGTGAGAATTTTTGTCCGACTGGTGATGTCGTGATATTTGCGAGTGTCACGTATTTGTGAGTAATGGCTAATTCAGGAAAAGTAAGCAAGAACGCTTCTCCACAACCACATGGAATACCCATCACTGGTTGCGACGTGCATATAGAACTCTTGGCAGCCTCTTAAGTCCGGGATTTACCCGCACATCATCATCGTTCAGCTCACATGCAAAGCTTTCCCCGCATTTGTCGCCCCGACGACTACGACATGAATCAGCCTCAATTATAGTCGCAATGCCTCTAAGAAGCCTGCCGCGAGGCTCATTCGCCCTACGAACCGCCAGGGGAGGGGCGTTATGGCGGACATGCGGAGCTGGTGCGGGAGTGGGAAGAATAACGCAGAGACGATGGGCGAGTGAGAAGAACAAGATGGGCAAGGATGACGAGAAGCCATTTTACCTCCAACTCAATGAGAGTATCTACGAGCGTGTACAGAAAGAAAAGGCGGAGCAGATCAAGATTCAGTCATTGCAGCAAAGAACGGCAAGAGGACAATTCTTTGCAACAGTATTCGGTACTCATCCTTCATACACCTCAACGGCCGCGCATACTAACGATTGACTAGCATGTCTTCTTACTGCAAGTATAGGCTACTACTACGGCCAGATGATTCCTCCCAAGCCAGACATGAACTCGACTGCACCGCTCGATACCTTCAATCCCCCTAAGCACAATATCTCAGAAGCAAACATGGAAGCAGCCTGGACAGATCTCCGCGACATTGTCGGCAGGGAGAACATTACACTGGACAAGAACGATCTAGAGTCACACAGCGGATCTTCGTGGTCTTCGCATCCCTCACAACCAGGCGATGTGCCATTCTGCGTCGTGAAGCCGGGCAGCACACAAGAAGTCAGTGCAATCATGAAGATCTGCCACGAGCGCAAGATCCCAGTCACTCCATATAGTGGAGGCACGAGTTTGGAAGGCCACTTTGCGGCAACAAAAGGCGGCATATGCATCGACTTCAGTCGCATGGACAAGATCATAAAACTACACAAGGACGATTTGGACGTTGTAGTTCAGCCGGCAGTAGGTTGGGAACTCCTGAACGAGGAGCTTGCAAAGGAAGGCCTGTTCTTTCCTCCCGATCCAGGTCCAGGCGCAATGATCGGCGGCATGGTCGGAACAGGATGCTCTGGCACGAATGCTTATCGCTACGGCACAATGAAGGATTGGGTAATATCGTTAACCGTGGTCCTGGCTGATGGAACCGTCATCAAAACGCGACAACGACCGCGAAAGTCTTCCGCCGGATACGACCTCACGCGCATGTTCATCGGTAGCGAAGGCACTTTAGGCCTTGTCACAGAGGCTACGCTCAAGGTCACTGTAAAACCACAACACACCAGTGTAGCCGTATGCGCCTTCCCGTCTGTTCGCGCAGCAGCGGATTGCGTCTTCAAGGTGGTTGGCGCCGGTGTACCTATCGCTGCCATCGAGATCCTCGACGATGTTCAAATGCAATGCATAAATGACGCGGGGCAAACATCCAAGACATGGAAGAACGCACCGACGCTCTTCTTCAAGTTCGCCGGTACCCAAAGTTCCGTTAAGGAACAGGTCAGCCAGGTGCAAGGCATGGCTAAGAAAGCCGGCTCCGTTAGTTTTGAGTTCGCAAAGTCTGAACAAGAGAAAGAAGACCTGTGGCAAGCGCGAAAGGAGGCACTATGGAGTGTCATGGCCAAGGGCGAAGGTGATCCAGAGATGGGAGTTTGGACCACAGATGTAGCCGTGCCGATATCTAAGCTTCCTCAAATCATCGAAGAGACCAAAGAACAAATTCGACAGAGCGGTCTGCTCGCCAGTATCGTAGGACATGTTGGAGACGGAAACTTCCACTGTAAGCCCATCCTACCCCTACTCTTCCCATGCACCCCTGCTGACATGTCTTCTCAGCAATCATCCTATATAACCGCAATCGCGACCACGAAAAAGCGTCCCACCTCGTCCACGAAATGGTCAAACGCGCCATCGAACTCGAAGGTACAGCCACAGGTGAACACGGCGTTGGTCTCGTCAAGAGAGATTACCTACCACATGAAGTAGGCCAAAGTACCGTTGATGCAATGAGACAGCTCAAGAAGGCTTTCGATCCTCTTTGCTTGCTCAACTGCGATAAGGTCGTTCGTGCGACACTGCCTAAGCAAGGGGAGGTTGCTGAGTGGTAAGGTGGTTGTAGTGTATAACGAGACTTTTTCGTGAAGATGAATTGCATGAAGCTTTGCATATTCTTGCTGCCCTTTCGCCGTCATCTTCATGCCTACATATTTTCCGTCTTCTAGGACCAAGGCTTCCATACTCAAACAAACAGCCCATATACCCAATATCCAGGCCCCCTCCACGCCCCGTTGAGAAACACCTTTTCCTCCTCATGCTTCCATCCCAGTTTCTCAAACCCGAGTTTGACCAATACTTTTATGCTGCCGGGGTTGTCTTCGTCTACTGCTGCCTCGATGTAGGTCTTCCTTTTTGCCTCTCCTTCTTCTTCGCCGTGGTGTTTTTGTGGTGACGACGACGACGACGACGACGACGAAGATGGAGATGAAGACGAAGATACAAAAGCGGCATAAGCGTTCAACAGCGCATGTCCCGCTTCTGTAGCGTATCCTTTGCCCTGCGCTGAGGGGAAGAAGGCGTATCCTAATGCCCTCAAGTTTTCTGTTCTTGGAGGAGGAGTACCTGGTGGTGGAGGTGACAAGGGAATGGAGGGACCGGTAGGTTGAAGACGGAGGCTTATACTGCCTACGTGCTCTCCTAACCCGGTAATGTCTTCCTTTTCTCGCCCCCTTTCCTTCTCGTCGTCCTGCTTATCTGATTCGCACGGTCTAACAAAGACGGAATAAAACATGCTATCTATTCCAGGCGCCAACTGTTCTTTCATCCACTCGTAACTTTCATCGAGGGAATGCGTAGGGCCGTGGAGACTCCATCCTGTGACATCGGGGTTGGACCAGTTTTCGTGGAAGAGGTGAACGTGTGGGGAGGAAAGGGATGAGGTGTCTGTTAGGCGGACGAGGGTTAGGCGGGGGGTATGTAGAAGTGTGTCCATGATTGTGTTGGCAGGAGGGCAGAGGGTGTGCTGGTCGAAGATGTTATAGCCCTGGAATAAGTTCCTATAGGTATATATATATTTAAGTAAGATGGGATTTTATGGAGGAAGCGATGTTGAGCAAGGTGTGAGTCAATGATGCTTAGTGATGGAGCTTTTCGTATAGATGTGGAGATCGTATAGCATTTTGACTCATCCAGTTGAATACTTTTTAACTTTCATCTGAATGTCCAAAATCAGGTATCGTTATTATTCATCCGTGTAAGAAATATGCTGAGGTGAGATTTCGCCCAGAATGGATCCACGTGAAGACGCATGGACGTGTCAACTAGCGCGTCTTCTTCGCGTCGACATCTCAAGATTCCCTGCGCTGACCACAGTTTACCTCTTCGTTCTACGAGCAATGGCCAGATGATTCACCGAATCCATCCTACAGATTTTGCAGCTATGGTATTGATTATGCTATGCTGTCCCTATACTAAGCCTCGGAGGACGATGACTCATTATGCGACGACCTCAGTCATCAGATCCTCTGGCCACCGGGGCTGGTCTACACCGTTTCCTCGCGTCCCTACATTGTACCCTAGCTTCACATTTCCCTGTGGGTATTGAACGATAGGCTTGACTCCCTTTACGTCCTTGCCAATCGCACCTGCGTGTCGAACCTCAAAGAAGTCCGGTCTGAAGAGCACGGATCCCGAATTCTTGGCCAGCATCTTCATGTAATGCGGCAGCGTATACTGCATATTGTGGTAGTGTCGGAATACCTGACGTTCGTTGTGTGTCCAGACGTCTTCCCAGACTTCTTCAGGATAAGTACCGACGCTGTTTACGAGCCATTGGGAGTAGTAGTTCAATGCCACCTGCAAATGTTGGTATCAATAGTGTTACGCGCCTGGAGGGATGACTTACATCAACTTTGTAGGACCCACCTTCAGCGCCTCGTCGAACTAAGGCGTTCAGTACGCCGATGACACCAGAGGTACCAGTACAAAAGTCGCTGTTGGGGAACACGGGTGTAACTGGCTCATCGTTACCCATCGCTCGTCCAAACTCCATCGATACGCCACAGCACGCATCGGAGATTTGCTGCCAACCACTACGATAGGACCAAGGTCCATACCAGCCATAGCAGTTCTCCCGCACAACGATCAACCCCCGTTCCCTGTCTTTGGTCAGGTCCAGTAAGCCTTCAGGCGAGAAACCATATTTGTCTAGCACACCAGGCCGATAACCTTGCACTACAACATCAGCTTCTCGAACCAATTTGCGCAACTTTTCTCGGTCTTCTTCTTTCCGGAAATCGAGGTGCGCATTCCACTTTCCCCAGTTAAGATCGACATGTAGCATGGACATGTCAGTAATGTGCTCCGCTGTTACTCTCATCACCGAAGCGCCTAGTTCAGCTAACCCCCGGGTTAAAGCTGGTGCAGCGATGACACGAGTCAGATCGACTACTTTGAGCCCTGCGAGTGGCCTCTTCGCAGATGTCTCTGGGCTATCTGGCCACCAGCACGCCGGCTGCTTTTCGTTCTTGATGTCCTGGATTTCATACAGACCAACATGGGCATTTGCCTTACCATGCTCGCTCTTTTTGAACTCCTCAGTCGTCCAGCAGATCGTTCCAGCTTGCTTATACACATCCGACGCCAACTTCTGCATCTGCCCAGAATCTATTTGCGCCAACTTTTCTTCGTACGGTGTCCACGGATCTTTATCCTCCTCTATGTTCATGTCATGCGGCAATCCGACACTTTCCTGTGTGGGATCAGGATTCATGGAGCCGTGCAAATGGAAATACCTCCCATCCTTGCACCGATAGATATTCGTAGCCGCCACACGGTACATACTCCTGCTTCCATCATGCTTGTCGCAATCCTTAAAATACTTGCCATATGCGGTCGATCCCTTTGCGAATGGCTTGGTCAGGAACTCGATACTCTCGCCTTCCGGGTCGATGACGTTGAGCAAAATGGACATGAAGAAGAGCTGTGCATGGTCGCTTTTAAGATGATGTGCGTTAGCTACGTCAGAAGCATACTTTTGCGAAGAAAAGTTGATCCGGCAACTTACGTATCTATAACGGCCTCCTGGGGTTCCAAGCCATATTTTCTCTTTAGGAGAACATTAGTCATGGCGGCTTCCAGCCCCTTGAGTGCCGAGATGCTTTCGGCGAAGCGCCAGTTTATTGGTATACTGGGCTTATCGGTGCCTTTAAACTCAACTGTCTTTGCGCATTCTGCGATTTCTGCAGGGAGTGTGGAGGCAATCAGGGTGTTTTTCAGGATACCGTTTTCAAAGAGGTGTTGAGTTTCGCGAGGAACGGAGTAGCTCTTGGAGCTTCCGTTTGTGACATTGGCGAGGCCATTAGTATGGCCGTTCGTCCCGTTACTTGTCATGATGGTGGATAGTGTCAGGTGGTTGGATTCTTCTGGGAGCTTGAAAGCATAACTGTGGATTGTGGGTAACAAGTGCTTTATTAAACTGATCCATCCGAAACACATCTAACTCGGGCCGATCATTTACTGGGTCTCATACGAAAGCGCAAGCCACGCCAATCGGCTCATCAGCTAAATTGCCTTAGTCGCCAACGATGTTGTCCAAGCATTGCCGATCACGGTAGATGAACGGATATTGGATTTCGCTAACGTTGGGATACCCGATTCGGTCCTCGGTAGATCGAACTAGTCGAGTCGTCCAAGGTGGGGTAGCACCCCGCATCTAGGTCTATGTTACGCACGGAGAGAATGCGGTATTGTATGTAGGGTGTATGGTGGGAGGGTTTAAGTTGGAGTTGTGTTGCTATAGTGCTGGATCTACGCCATGCGCATGCTTATGCATCGTCATCGCAGTTTTGAATAGCACATGTAACCATTTCGCGAATTACTTTCTGACCAAAGAGACGAGCTGTCATGTCCTCATCTGGCTGCAGCACAAGATGGACGACGCAGCGGGGGACCCGTCCAGTACGAATAGCGAATTGCTCGGGCTATAAAGGTAACACTAACCCCATGTCTAGCCTTCATCTCAGGTTAACATGTCATAGGCGATCCAGGATATCATATGCGCTATCAAGCGGAACTAGGAGACACAGATTTTATTACTGGTGACTATCTTGCTGAAGTCAACATCGCGGAGAACGCCCAGGCACATGCAGAAGGCAAGCATCCCGGTTGGGAGAAGACAGCCTGGGATGGTATCGAACAGACAATTGATCAGTTGAATGAGAAAAGAATCAAGGTCGTTGTTAATGGGGGTGCGCATAACCCCAAGGGGCTAGCGGAGAAGGTGCAAGAACTCGTAAGTCTGGATGTCTCGACTCAGTTGCTCTGATATAAGGTTTACTCAGATTTATATAGGTTACGAGTAAAGGCTATGACTTGAAGGTAGCGTACGTGTCCGGCGATAATCTGATCGACGAGATAAAGGACATCAAAGAGAAAGGGTTACCGCCGCACCTAGATTCCGACAACAGCGAAGTGACGGTCGCGGACCATGCGCTTGATATTTTGAAGAGCGATAAGCCGATTGTCAGTGCAAACGTCTACCTTGGTGCTCGCGAAATCGTTAAAGGCCTCGAAGAAGGCGCAGACATTATCATAGCCGGTCGTGTTTCAGACGCCAGTCCTGTCATCGGTGCCGCGTGGTACTGGTACTCGTGGCATGACACTGACTTCGACGCGCTTGCCGGAGCGCTTATTGCGGGTCATCTCATTGAATGCAGTGGCTATGTGACGGGCTCAAACTTTGCGGGGTTCTACGAGTATCCTTTAGATCAACTTTACGATCTCACGTTCGGTATTGCGGAAGTTGAAAAGGATGGAACGTGCGTTATTACGAAACACGATGCAAAGAAAGGTTTTGTGACCGAAGACACTGTCAAATGTCAGTTTCTGTATGAGTTGCAAGGAAACATCTACTTGAATAGCGACGTTAAGGCCATTCTGGATCAAGTGCAGGTCAAAGCTGAGGATAGAAACAGGTATGTCCGAATATTTCTCACCTAGGTTCTTCATTATCGATAGTGATATCGCTAACGTCTGGATAGAGTCCGCGTATGGGGCGTCAAAGGTGCTCCGCCTCCACCTACTACCAAACTTGCCATCTTCTACCAAGCAGGTTACCAGTCTGAGATTGTCGTCAATGCGACCGGATACGCCACCGCCGAAAAGTTCGACCTCTGGGAGCGCATGATCAAGTTTGGCCTCAAACAGAAAGGCATACTGGAGAATTTCGATATCCTGGAATTCCAGCGCATAGGAGTGCCAGAGTCTAACCCGAAGAGTCAGCTCAGAAGTACATCGTATTGCCGTATCTTTGCAGAAACCAGCGATCCGAATGTGAACCTGGGATTAGCGAGTCTACTGGCGGACTTTGCAATGCAACACTACTCAGGGTTTCATAGTACAATGGACCATCGCACAGCAATACCGAAACCGTACTTATCCTTTTATCCGGCGATTTGGCCGCAAAACAAGCTCAAAACAGCGATCAACATGCTCGAATCTGGTGAATCGAGGACACTGACCACTACGCCGCCCCCAAAGTCTGAAGAGATTGGAAAACGACAAAGTTACGAGACTCCGAATCCGGTGGATCTTCAGGCTTTCGGTCCAACAACGCGTGCGCGGCTAGGAGACGTGGTGCTCGCCCGCTCGGGCGACAAAGGCGGCAACGCAAACATCGGCTTTTTCATACCTACCAGCCTACCGTCCTCCTACTCACACGCATCACCCCTCTATGCCGAAAGCTGGAACTGGCTCCGCAGCTTTCTTACGATGCCTAAACTCAAGGAGATGTTTGGAGAAAGTTGGAGCGACAGATTCTTCGTGGAACGAGTGGAGTTCGAGGCTATCATGGCGGTACATTTTGTGGTCTATGGTGTGTTGGGTAGGGGCGTTAGCGGGAGTAGTAGGTTGGATTCTTTCGCGAAAGGCATGGGTGATTGGTTGAGGGATGTGGAAGTCGAGGTTCCAGTGAAGTTCCTGGAAGGAAGGGTCAGGGGGAAGGCCATTGCTGGAAGGTATGCGACAGAGGCATGAACAAAGAACATGGTGCTAGCAGCTCCCTGCGATCACGCTTGGTGGATATTGAAGCGTGACACTGTGGCCGAAATTTGGGCTCAATGGTCTTCGCCAAGCCGCGATGACGTAGAAGGCTAGATGACAATCAACATGTTTGTCCACGCATGCACAGCCACAACCCAACCTCCATACATCATCATTGAACTGCGCCCATTTCCTTCATAGTGTGTCATAGCAGTCATTCCTCAACGAGGATCCTGTCAAATACCCGTCACCTTCCCAGCGGCTATAACTAGAGCCTCATGTACAAATTCTAGCCCCCAAAGCCACCATGTTCAAGAAGTGGAAGGATAAGATCAAGGGCGATGATAGCTCTTCAAGAACGTCATATGGAACAGACGACCACAACCGAAACTCGAACAACCCCTACTACAACTCACCTCAAGAACAGCAACATAACATAGCGCCAACGGAGAAGTATCAGGCCCCTCCTGGCCCGCCGCCGAACCAGGCTTCATCCTCATCGAAGTCTGAGTACTCCGCTCCTCCAGGACCCCCACCAAGCCACGGATCTTCGTCTTATACTGCTCCCTCCGGACCTCCGCCTAAACACGAGTTCTCAGGCTACGCACCTCCAGCAGGACCGCCTCCTTCATACCCGCAGCAACCGCCTCCTAGTTGGGATCCTCCGCCATACCACGACTGGACTGTCATCCCTGATACTGCACTTCTCCCTCCACCACCGTCAATGGGTTACGATAGTTCTCCCACTGCTAACGCATCTACTGCGGAAGGTGATCGTGCCTTGGCTTGGACAAACATGAATCCTCTCTGGCCACCACAAAACCTCCAGCCTAGCACTCATGCTGCGATTCAGAATGGCCAACTAGCTCTGCTGAAAGCGCCGTCGTATCTGGGTGATCTACTCCCTCAACCTCAAGCAGGTCACTGGCGGTGTCGCACCCATGCGAAGTGCAAGGATTCGAGCATCCTCACAAATCTGCCCATGTATAGCGTGTTCTGGGACTCACCGCTCAACACACAATGCTCCAAGACTATCTACTTCGAGCTAAAAGTCCTCGGCATAGGTCGCGGTGGCTTCTCATTCTCAGAAGCAGAGGCCGGCATTGCGATAGGCTTCGTCGCACCACCGTATCCTACATTCCGTCTCCCGGGTTGGGAGCGTGCCAGTCTTGGTGTACATGGCGATGACGGGAGAAAGTACGTCAACGATGCATGGGGCGGCATCGACTTCACCTCGGCCTTCAAGCCCGGCGATACTGTGGGTATCGGTGTCACCTTTTCAGTTCCCCGGAATCCGCCTTCGTATGAGCAGTCGCAGCAGGGAAGGATGCTGGATATCGATGTTTTCTTCACGCGTAACGGGGTGAAAGAAGGCGGCTGGGATGGCAACGAGGAGCTCGACATCAGGAGTGAGGGAGGTAACACTGGGCTGAGAGGAGAGTGTGATCTCTTCCCTGCGATCGGTGTGTTTGGTGGTGTGGATTTCGATGTCTTCTTCCATCCATCGCAGTGGCTCTACCGCCCATACTGAGACTGCCTGTACATTTGATCCCGGCTTCAAGTAAAGGACATACGTTGCTTGAGGTGAGGTGAGGTCTTTCGACCTTGTCTTACATGTCTTACGGCTCATTTCAGTTCCATTTACTATCTTCTAGCCTACTCATTGACTCTACTATCATCTTTGCGGTTCGCTGATTCGAGCTATCTCATACACCCCAATATCTACAATATTCACAAGTTCTGACCTCACCCTATTAACTCCAGTTTCCACAGAACAATAACATGTCTGTAAACACGTCAAACACACCCCAAGACTTCGGCTATCCTCTCATGCTAGAAGATTATATCTCAGTCTCTCCCGCACCCACCCGCATCGCAGATCTTTGCGCTACCTGTCATATACCCGGTGCGAAGAACAGATGCAGCAAGTGCAAAACATCCGCTATTGCTCGCCAACCTGTCAAAAACATGATTGGGACACCAACCACAAGCTTATTTGCAAGATGTACGCAAAAGCTATTCAGGAACCCATACGTGATCCCATGCGGCATGTCCTATACTTCCCCGAAACTTCTACTGAACCCATCTTCTCCATGCTCGCCTTCGACGAGCAAGGTACAGTAGGCGGCCTCGAACATCACTTCACAGGCGCATCAGCTCAAGAGATCAAAAGGCTCTCTTTCCACAACTGCTATTTGCCATACTTTGTCCAAATCAACTACGACACGAATTTTCGTAGAGAGCGTGCACTCGCTGAGAACAAGAGCTTTGGACTGCCGTTTCGAGGCCCAGTCGTTGTCTTGACGTATGACTTGGAGATTGCGCTGAGTGGTCCGGCCTTGAATGTCGATACTACGATCATGGGCCCATTGATGGATTATGTCAAGCTGTGTCACGAGTATGATGGGCCAAAGTTCATTGAGGTAAATTTACTGATTACGTGAGGGAGAGGAGATGTGGCTAACATTACATTGTAGCAACCACAGCAAAGGTATACCAAGTCAGAGCTGGAAGATATCATGGGTACGCCTGCTAAGTCCGGTTGAGGAATGATATGAACCGTGTGATTATCGCTGTGCAGACAGATGAACAAGTGATTTTGGCTACGAGAGACAGGATGCGTTACTCGGAATATGAGAATGCGAGCTGCTAATGTCTTTGTGGGGGTTTCCCTATTCATTGGTGCATGAAAGCTCTCATATCAATCTTGTTTGAGGAAGAAGCTTTGATGCCAAGCAGAGACATTCCATGAACTTGATGAATCTTGCCACTTGTTGCTCATAGGTGCTTCAAAATAAGCTCAACCTCTGTATCTGCCGCTTCGATGATATGCTCCGCCTTATAGTCCGGTCTCCAGCCTACATTGTAGGCCCTCTTTGTTTCAAGTGTGCATCTACGTCTTGGATCAGCATCCGAACCGTTATTCGCGATGATTCACGTAGACTTACTTTCCACCCAGCTGCACTGCCACCATTTCTTTAGGACAACCCAAGGCCTGCGACATCTTGTCTAGCGCTGTATCATCTGCCCTCTTAACATCGGCGCTGCCGATTACTCCGCGCTTAGCAAGAGCTTTCGCCATGGCGGCATAGATATCGTACCAAGCCACACTACCAGAAGAAGCAAGATAGTACCCGTTCTGCCCAGACTCTGGATTCTCGTCGCGTATAATACTTTTCAGTAGTTCCACATAGAGCTTCGTGTTGTCGTTAATGTGGCATACGGGCCAAGTCTGACTGGGCTGTTAGTATGCCGGCCTTTGTCTTGACAAATCTCTCATTGCACCCACCCAGCCTTCGGGGTTAATATCATATATGGCTCCAGTACCCCTTGCAGCTTTGACCACGGCAACGGTTTGAATCGAGGTTTTGTTACCGAAACCTTTTCCTTCGCCATACACGATACATGGAATGAAGATGTAGCTGCGGACACCATATTTCTCTGCCGTCTCAATAACGGTGTTGTTCGCGTTCGTTGCCTAGGGTTGCATGAGTAAAGATGATCAAGATTTAGACCTTGCATCCCCTCATTGTCTCGAAACTTACTTGCGTTAGGAATTGATGCGGAGCCTTGGAACTCTTCTGAAGGTTGTACAACTCTGGGTCGGTATCAAGAAGCCTTCGATCGGTAGTCATTCCTGCATGCTCACTAAAGATCTTCGCGCCGCTGGTATGCAGAAAATGCACTTCCTGTCCAGTCTGCTTTTTGACCTCGGCAAGAGCTTTGATGAGAGGTATCTGCATATCAGAATTCGCAGCATCTATGAGGAAGTAGATGACAAAGATCTGCGCATCCACCACGCTCTTCGTAACACTTTGTTCATCTTGAAAATCGAGCATAAGGGGTTTTGCTCCATATTTTCCCACCGCTTCCGCCTGTTTCTGGGATCTGACTAGAGCATATATGGTCTTGTTGCCTGGAAATACAGTGTCGTGTAGCTGTGCAAGAAGTGAACCTCCCAGGTACCTGTCATATTGATGAGTTACACATGTAGAGTTTATTAATGGAAGTGCACTCACCCAGAGGCACCGGTGATTAGGATGGACATGGTGACGAGCAAAACTCGGGTGCGAGTGGGTGACGAGTGAAGTTTTTCTTTCTGAATACAATTCTATGGTCTGTCAAGTCCGTACAAACAAACGCTGAAAATCAATGCTTTGTAACGGCCTGTTTGGTGGTCGGACGAGTGCCTAATTCCACGAATGACGTAATGCTTACTCACTACGATATGCTCTCGACTCCGCTTCCACTGTTGAAGAAAGGTCGCACTCGCTGATCATGACTCTTATGGTTTTTCTTCTGACAACCTTTCTGACTTCTTGACAGTCTTTCTGACTTCCTTCCGTTAGCGGCCTACATGATGCCAGTGCAACGGGCGAGTTGTGCGCGTGCGGTCAATTCCAGTTATGACTTGTAACCGATTGATCGAAGCACACTGTCCAGCCATGGCTATAGGGAGCCTGCAGCTAGTTCAGTTGACAGTACTGCGGAAACGTGTGGCGAAGTTGCGTTGCGCAAGCACCAGAACAAGTTGAAACTGTCACGATTCCTCAGCCACGGATCCGCGGCCGTTCGGCAAAAACAATCTTGCCTGTACGAACAGTTCCGGTAAGTGTTAGTTTTGATGAAGTTCAATGGTTCCTCCTTTGAACAGTTTGTGAGACGAGGGTATGTAGTCTATTCAGCCGTCGTTCTTGATTGGAAGATCAGAGGTGTGTTCGTTAGGCTCGCCGACAGCCAGGGAAGTGCCGTCTTGATGTGCGATGATAGCACCCTTGTCAGGAAACCGAGCTTTGCATCAGCTGCGAGAAGTCGCTTCAACGCCATCTACAGAACACTGAGCCAAGGACGATTTTGACTGCTCCGTGGTAGCACATAGCAATTTGAAGTAGTTATCTCCCAGTAGCTGCGGCTCCAACATGGCAGCGATGTCATGTTTCGAAGCTCTTCCTCTTCGTCCATACCAACGACCAAGCTCCACAAGATACTCCGTCCTCGGAATCCGGTTAAGTCTAGAGATCGACTGTAGAAGTTTGATAACAAAGTCTTCCACGTCTTCGCCGTCGTTTAGCCTCAGTACACCATCGAGCGCAGGAGTGTAGATGGCGGAGTTGGAGATAAAATATACGTCCGGATGCTCGTACATCGGAGCCTCGTGGACCATGGCTGCGGCGTAGATAAAACGATAGTAATCTGAGCGCCACATAAGGTTCGGAAATTGATATAAACCACCAGCTTCTTCGGGGAACCAGTCATATTCAGAAACTTCGGTACCGACGAGGCGTCCATGCAATGAGGTGTAAGGAAGGCTCCATCCCAATCGATGATATCAGCAACGCTGCCGGTCCCGTCAATCAACATATCCTGAAGGTTTAGATCTAGGTGCCGTATGGTAAAGTTCTCAGCTGCCTAATTGAAGGCAGGCGTGGAAAAGACCATGTCTTGAATGTTGCGCAAACCGACTGCGACAGAACTCAATGTCTCGGTGCCAACGGGCCCCACTCTGCGCAAACTCAGCCTCGGTATCACGGGAGTCTTCTAGAGGACCTTTGGTAATGTCTTGTGTAGATGACCAGGGATGTATTGAGTAGGCTTTCCGAGATCTGTACTAGAAGTCTACTTTCCACCCAGCTGCACTGCAACCATCTCTTTAGGACAACTCAAGGCCTGCGACATCTTGTCTAGCGCTGCATCATCTGCCTGGACTATGGAGTTGCATGAATGGCGTAGACTAAGAGATGCAGTAAACCTTTGCGACTATACACTGGTTCGTAAAAATGCTTGCAGTAGAGTCGCTGATAACTGACTGCGTAACAAGTTCGCGGGTGTCTACAGCTGTAGGTGTTGTGATGATGAGGGTCTCCATACACTAGTTTCGCCAAAAAGTAACAATATATGCCAAGCTGAGGGAGGAGCAGCTGGAGTAGAATGAGATGGAGGCGTTGATTTACAAGTACGGGCAGCCTCTGTTGGTTGCCGCCTACAAGCTACAAGCTCAACTCTACGAGCTGTTTCAGTATCCAATTAGCAAAGCGCCTTTAGAGTGGAAGGAAGGCCTCCAGGATCTCGAATAATACACTTGCTATAAATTCGCCCAGTATTTCGCCTGGTCGCACAGAACGAAGGCACAATTCTTCTCCTTCAGCGAAGATGAAAACCTAAAGAAGATCGGCACCCTAATTTTGTGCATCGAGGAAGAATTTGACCAAAGACGAGGTTATTATGCTTGTAACGTTGGGATGTCGCGTATCTTTGTTTCTGAGCGTATGCTCATCGACTATGATCAGTTGAAGACGGGAAAGAGAAAAAAGATACTAAAAATAAGGGCTTTGAGAAAAGAAATGGGGGTACTGCGAAACCTGGGAGAACAACGCTGCAAGAGAGGATCACAACCACAACTATTGGCAGTCTCTCGAAAGCGTAAAGGAAACACAAGAGGTGGCTCCAGAAAGGATTAGTCCGTAGTTCTCCTCGAGGCTGGGTGGAAGACTGGTTCGCGCGATACCCAAGCTTTGATCTTTGATCGGTCTACTTCGCCAATCTGGCATATATATGGGAAGGATAACACAATGATAGAGAATGAATTTGTTCAGCAATTAGCGTTTGCTTTGACGAAAGTGACTCCGTGATACGATAGCTGCAACCCAACGCAGCTACATGCGGTTTGTCTAACCATGCAAGACTAGAGGGATCATGAACACTAGCTTGTCAAACAAGTGACACGTAACTGAACTGCTGTTAGGCGTATAGTGAAAGTCCGCTGGTAAGTAACTCGGAATTAGGGTGTCGAGAAATCAGAAGAGAGAAAACACAGAAGTTTGGGGGCCATTGTGTGCCAAGATTGTTAGCCGCTTCAAACTAGCCGCTGCGGGGCTACGAGCCGCAGAGGCTGGGTGGCTGAATGGAACAGAAATAGATTGCTTCAAAACGTTCTTGATCATTGACGATTCTTGTACAGGAGGGAAGTGCGACTTTCGTGGGCTGTCAACATCGGAATTGATAAGGCCAAGAGTTTGCTTCACAACAATGTAGTAGCATAGTAATTAGATTACATGGATCTTTACACATTCGCCCTATCATACTTTCAGCTGCCAACAATACGAGTTGCAGATATCAGGCGGTGAAATATACGCGAGCGTAGGAGTCGGGCGCAGATTGATGCGTGCTTACAGCTGTGCCTCAACGGACGCCTGGTCTTGGGATGCAGGCCCTAGCAGGAGCTGAAGTGCAACGCAGCAGAACATCATATATAACGCGCAGCCCTGCTGTAGCTCTGCATCACCGAGGACGCGATAGATATCATGGCCTCAACTAACAATGTAACCGGCGCGGAGGCGAAAGCAACTGAAATACTAAAGATCATCGAAAAGTACGGCCTGAACTACGAGCGGACTGGAGTTTGGGATGGGTTCGAGACGTTCCTCCCCGTTGTTGCGAGCCAGGTAGAGCGCAAGGAACCGATTCGCATGCTACTTCCTGGGTTTCCTTTCAAGTCGCCAAATACGAAAGACAAGGTGCTGGGTGTCTTGCCGGATTTAGGCGAGGAGCTTGCGCTGAAGCATCTCGATGGGCTGTGCGAGAAGATTAAAGCGATATACGAGTATGGCGCGGAATGCCACATCACTTCGGATGGCCTCGTTTACAATGGTGGGTGGGACGGAGATAATATTGTGCCTCGATATATAGCTGACAATAGCAGATCTGCTTGGTGTGACTGATGAAACCGTGTGGAACTTCGGGCAGGGCGTGCGACAAATCGCTGTAGCCAACAACCTCCAAAATCTCAGCTTCTTGCGACTGTGGGATCTGCTCGACTATCCCGGAGACTTTCAGTCAAGAGAGTACTACTTCGAGCATGCAGCAAATATCCGAAAAGAGCTCAAGCAACGTTATGGAGATCCCAAATTCGAGGCGGATATGGCCAACACGTCCACCAGCGACATGCAGATGACGCATACCAAGTATCTCGAGTTTTTGAAGCAGGATCTGGCTTTCAATGATAAGCACAACGCACTATCGCCAGAAGATCAGGCTGCGAATATCGCCAACACGGCAAAAGAGATGATGGGTCGCTGGAAGGCGTTTTCCGCCGCGCTGGCAGCCGTACCTACACAATACGTCCGTCTGTCAATTCACGATTCGGGGGGTAAAGATAAGCTGTCCATGGCGGTCATTCCGCAGCAAGAGAAAGGTGCTTTGGGCGCGACGCCATGGCACTCGACGCTTGTGATCGAGGCAGATGGAACATTGCGTACGGTGCAACGGTGCAAGGTCGACGAAGGAAGCTATCAGCTCGTTCATCGCGATGGCCGACCGTACTGTTTCCGCGCAAAGTTGGAAGCCGAAGAAGATTCGAACAAGACTTTTGAACAGCTGTATCCTCATGGTCTCACCATCCGAGATCGCAAGGCGGTTACCCCTTGATGTGGTCGGTGAAGGAGAACAATGTAAACATATTTTCAATCAGCTGTCAAATAGAAGAGGTGTGCAATTTGCATTAAAATCCGGTAAAGGTCGCAGTGATGTGAGTCAGATGTACTCGGTTCGAACAGATATCGTACGAGTGGGTGGGTTACAAGACTAGATTAGTACTTAGCTCCAACGCGATGGGAGGATGATTAGCGACTAGGTGCGTTTGGCGAGGCTGCGAAACTCCTCGGAGCAGCTCAATTGTATGGTAGAAACATGGCGCCCCTGTTGACCCCATGGCCCAAATGTTGGTGATCGGTCGATGGATAAAAGGATCAGCCGCTTGTGGCGCCGTGATGCCCGCGGAGGAGAACGTTCGCTCCGCCAAATACCATGTGTCTTGTGTTTGTATGACCACGAGACATCGTTTCTTCAAGTGCAGGGTGCATCGGCATATGTAGACAACAGAGTTCAGACAAAACTACGGGGTGGATGCAGACCACATGTGATTTCGGCTCGAGGCGATCGGATTCCGGCAGATCTGCATTGGGAGCACTTGCATCTTCGATGGTGCCCCGTGCCCACCCTACAATCGACGCCAATACTTGCCGAGAGAAGCACCGTCGCTGTCAGAACCAAAGGGTCGCATAGTAATAAGATAACCGAGTCCCTGAGCGCGTCGTCTCGCACACGTCGGCTTCTTTAGAGGATGCTGCAGCCATCTTGTGTCTCTCTCGCGACTGTCACATCTGCGTCGGCAGCAACATGTATATGCTTACCCCTCCCCCAGACGAAGGCCTCGGAACTCCCCCCATGAGGCCCGAGTATGAATGCGCATACGACTGGACGGCCGCCCTGCCTGAGACGGACCACGTCCGCTTCTTCCGCGATACAGACTGGTCGCGTACCAGTCTGGGACCATTGAGCACGTGGAGTCCGACGCTGCGACTGTTTGCAAGTTATGTTCTTTCCGATTCACGCGGAGCCTGCCTCTGGTGGGGAGACATCTCTAATCTCACGGCTATATATAATGAGGCATATGCTCCCCTTGCCGCTGGCGTGCACCCTAAGCTTATGGGGTCCCTTTTCCAGGAGGGCTATCCGGATCTATGGCCGTCCATTAGTCAATACTTCATACAGGCCAAGCGAGCAGGTACTGGCGTAAACTACAGTTCTGCCACGCCCACCGTGGTTGAGCGCAAAGGATATACCGAGGAAACCTTTTTCTCGGGGGGATTTGTGCCAGTAGGCATGCCAGGCGCCGTCGAGGGCTTCATCAACACGACGTGAGTTACGTGCAATGGACAATCTGAAGGACATGGCCATATCAGTCACAAATAACTGTTTCCAATCCTAAACTGACACAAGACTAGCTACGAGGTCACAAGCCAGAAACTCGCCGAACGCCGCACCAACTGTCTGAATATACTTGCCTCCGTCCCCTCTCAGTGTGTCGACGACGTCTACTCCCACATTCTCACCACGCTCAAAACGAATCCCAACGATGTGCCAATGGCCATGCTCTACCGAATGGATGAAACTCCAGGCTCGAATAAATTAAGACTTCATGGTCATATTGGACTTCCAGAAGGACACAGCCTCGTCGTTGAAGAAGCCACCATTGACAGCGAGGAAGGATTGATCCCGGATTTGCGACGAGCCGGTGCAGACCAGATGATTATCGAGCATGACGACCGATTCCTGTCTATCACCTGGGGTGGTTGGGGTGCGCCGTCCAAGAAGATTGTCATATTACCTATTATGTGCGGCACACGCCTCTTTGGCTACCTTATTTTTGGTACAAATCCCTATCGCCCGCACGATGACATATGTAAACAGTTCATTCGAGATCTGAGTCGCATGGTTTCGAGCATTGTATCGTCTGTCGTCGATTACGAAGCCAATAGGAAACGTCAAGAGCAGTTGGAGGCCGATCTTGCTTTTAGCGATCTAAAGCTACGCCATCTGATTGATCATGCGTCTGTGGGCATGTGTCATGTATCCCTAGATGGTTATATGCTCTGGGCCAACGATCATTATTACGAGCTAGCCGGAAAATCTGCTTCAGATCACGCAGTTGGCCTCGCGTTTCTCGACGCCTATCATGAGGATGATCGGGCAAAGGCTGAAGACGTTTGGGAGCGTCTGATCAAGGGCGCCGACCACGTTACAGCTGACTTGCGCATGAAGCGCATGTATACGCCTCCCACGGGCGATCCTGAACCTGCCCAACTCCAAGTTCTAGCTTTCCCATACCGCGACGAGCATGGAAACGTGATCAGTGTGATGGCTTGTACGACTGACATCAGCAGACTGTGCTGGGCGCAGACCTTTCAGGCTCGATTAGCCGCTGAAGCAAGAGAAGCGAAGAGACAACAAGAGGCCTTCATCGATGTAGTCTCGCACGAGATGCGAAACCCATTGAGTGCCATCGTGCACTGCGCAGATGCGATTGCGAACGCGGTCGAAGAATGTCAATCTCAGCTCGCCAATATACCCGTACCATGTCTCGATGTCCTAAATGACAACATGCAAAGCGCAAACGTCATCATGCAATGTGCGAACCATCAGAAACGAATCATCGACGACGTACTCACTCTGAGCAAGCTCGACTCCATGCTCTTGTCTATAACACCTGTCGCAGTCAAGCCCGCGAAGCTCGTGGATTCTATCGTCAACATCTTCCAAGCTGAGCTGAAGACGAACAAGATATCTTACAACATTACACCAGACTCATCATTCTTGGCCCTAGGCATCGATCACCTTTATCTGGACCCGTCTCGAGTGACTCAGGTATTCATCAACCTATTAACAAACGCGATCAAGTTCGTCAAGCCATCGAAAGAGCCGACTATCTCCATCCGCTTCGGTGCTAGCACATCAGATCCCCGTGACCTCTTTCCAAAAAACATGTTCTGGGCTACAGAGGGCAAGCAAGACGGCGACGTTACAAGCAATCCGGATTGGGGTACCGGCGAAGAGATCTATCTCGCATTCACCGTCAAGGACTCTGGAATTGGCTTGCAAGAGAAGGAAATCCACAAGATATTTGAGCGTTTTCGACAGGCGAACGTGAAGACGCACGTGAAGTATGGAGGCAGCGGGCTGGGGCTGTTCATCTCTAAAGAGCTCACTGAGAAGCAAGGTGGTGAGATCGGTGTCTCGTCAATTCTGGGCCAGGGATCGACATTTGGATTCTACGTCAAGACGCGAAGAGTGGAATGGAAGCCCAGAACTCTCAAAGAGATGTTTCAACAAGCTGGGCAAGAGGCAGCGGCTCGACAACTCCATGTGCTGTTGGTGGAAGATAACATCATCAACCAGCAAGTTCTCGGCAAGCAGCTCAAGAAAGCAGGATGCTATGTTTCAGTTGCAAACCACGGTTTAGAGGCTCTCGAAATACTGGAAAGAGAAACGTTCGACATCGTTTTGATGGATCTGGAGATGCCGGTGCTCGATGGGCTTGGCGCGATGCGCGAGATTCGGAAAAGAGAGAAAGAACAGGCGTATTTTTCCAAACGGTTGCCCGTCATCGCCGTCACAGCGAATGTTCGAAAGGAACAAATTGATACGGCTATTGCTGCTGGAGCAGTAAGTACCCGAAGTTTGTTAGCCGTGGTTTTATACTAATGAGGGTTACAGGATCGCGTCATGCAGAAGCCGTTCAAAGCAGCCGACTTGGTCTTCATGATGAAGTCGTTAATGCCGCTTACAGCGCCCTCGTTCATCGAACCGCCGACACCAGGACTGGGCCTCAGGTCGAGTGCGCTGGTACCCTGAATAGAGCTATCTCAAGAACATTGCTGAAGTTGTTCGGTCACTAGAGTATCGGGGTCAGGAAGTCGCCATCAATTGTTTAGTGATCCATCGCGAGACGTTATGAAGATACGAGTGTTACCATTGGGTTGTGGGAAGTGCGCATGCCCACCGTCTACCCTACAGCTACGCATCAGGTTCCATACATATGTTGTGGTTGTTGGGACAGGAAGTCGCGACCTTATCGCTTCAAGCATTGCTCAAGTTCTAGTATGAACTTGGCTATAACATGGTCGAATATACAGCTGCAGTCGGTCCCAATCCGGTCCCATAGAGTACCACGAAAGGTATCTTTCAAAGCTACAGACAGCTTCCTCAGCCAACTGGGCACTACAGTACGCGAGGGTAGGCAAAGGAAGTAGTTGTTGTGGAGAACGGGGATTGGAAAACGTTGCACGGAAGTCGGCACAAGGTGCACGGAATCTTAGTGTTATGATCACGTCAGAGAGAGGCGGATATGATAGAGGTATATCAGCGAGGCCATAGGCTGTTATCGCCAATATTACCAGTACGTATTGTACGAGGTCTGTATAGTGACTCAGTTTCACGACCTGTTTGCGAATGTGCCCTCGACAATCGAGAAACATTACTAGGTAGGTCTCAGTACAATCCTATTGCAAACTCACCACTGGTACCATGGTTAAGGATGTACCCATTATCACTTTAGACGCAGCCACCGGCAAATCGGCGCCATCACGTAACTAACCCACACAAAGTCCAACTCAAAGTAACTACAATCGGATCATCATGAAACGAGCATCAACACGCGAAGGTAGACCTCCAACGAAGACTGGTAATACCATCAGGATAATTGACGACGGCATAACCTGGACATGTACGGGTATTTGGAGCGAGGACAAGCGCGCCACGTGGCAGTCAGAGAAGAAAGAGATCGACGCGCAACGGCTCCTTGATATTTTGTGCTTTGCGCTTCAAGGCGCATGATGGGTTTCTCTCGCATAGTATCGCTCGGATCGGATACACAATGATAGGCGAGATTGACCGACGGTCTGAAGTTGAGATGTGGGGAAATGAGAGAACTGGAATAAACAGCGGGAAAGTACGTCCAAGCCGGCGTTGACGCTGTGATACGCTCGTGTGGCGTCGGTCCGGCCCTTCGTTTGTGACGATGCCCGCTGCTTTAAACAATTAAATTGTAATTATGAGTCCGTTAGTCTGGGAGTGGCTGATGCTTGTCATCAACAACAACTACAACAACAACGATAGAAGTACAGGCCAGCCACAGTCAGTGATTAGTTAACAGGAGCGTTCTCCGGAAAGATCTACTGGTGCAATATTGCCCCTGCAGGGTTGACCGCTACAAGTCTCTGGAATTTTGTTCAATCTCCAAGTCCAACTCGACTAATGGTAAGTCCTCACTCGAGTAAACGAACATGGTGATGCAGACCTCGGAAGTTGAGACGAGTATTGTGGCGATAGAGACGATAGAACCGGTGGATAGCGACTTCCCGGATGGATATCGGCGGCGCTCCTATACACTGCATGGTGTTGATGTTTGAAGATGGTGTTGTGGCTGGCCTTAGTATCGAAGCCTATTGAGCCAGTGTCCCGTATGCGTCAGGCTACGGCTTCGCTCCCAGCATCAAGCCCGTAGAAACTGTCACACGTGCCGTTCAATTGAGAGAAGCACGGGGATGCATCTGAACAGCTTCACCGCTCGCGCCGCTCCGGCAACTACGTATGGGTATCGGTAGATACCGCTTGTCCGAGTGCTTCATGCGCTCGTCTGTGCGATGAGGGGGAATTGCTAGAGTCTCTTGGCGCGGGGACGCATTGGGCTCTATGCGAAGAAAAGGTCTTCCTCTTGATGCAGGAGTGCGATGCGCGAGTTAGTGGTCAAGTACTGACGAAGGTGTCTGACTCTTTCAAAAGAGAGAATGGTGTTGGCCCAAGCGCCAGCGATCGTCCGGAACGGAGTGTGGGGACTCATCCCATGTTGAAAGACTTTCTGCAACCCGCGGGCGTGCCCACACAATGCATGATAGTCAACTCGGAGGATGCCAATTGCGCGCTCGATATCCGCGCTTCAATCGGCTGGAGAAGCTTGTCGCGGTAGCTGCATTACATCTGCGGACCTGAAACACCGTCTTTTGCTGTGGTAGCCTTGGCCCCGGAGTCACTCAGTCTTCAAAACCACACTTACGCACGCCCAAGCAACAAACAAGCTCACGCTGACGTCCGTCATCTTTTTGTTATCTATCGCTCAAAGACTATGCAGTGTGCCTGTGCCGGGGCAGAAAGGTTGTTATCGACAGAAGGGTTATAAATGGCGAACAGCAAGTGAGTAATCGATAGTTTCTCGACTGGGTGGGGAAGCAGCCGCCATCGTTGAGAGCTGACCGCCTGCACGAGCTCACCGGACCTCAACTAACGGACTTCAGATACGAATATGTGCGCCAATTCGAGCAGCCGGACGCTTTACTGGCCAATACATGGATCGTAGTACGGATAGATGGACGTGGCTTTTCCAAGTACGCTCACCAATTTTCTCTCCTTCACTCAAACTTTCTCGGTCCGGGATATGCAGGTACCCGTAATCATGTTGCATGAACGGATATTGCTGCCCCAGGCCAACATCTCGGCTATTATATACCACCAAGCGGTTTTCGCTAACAATACGCGAATAGGTTTACGTCCAAGTATGAGTTCGTCAAGCCGAACGATAAGAATGGGCTCGATGTCATGAACGCTGCAGCCCAGGCTGTCATGAAAGAGTTGCCTGACCTTGTCCTTGCATTTGGCAATAGCGACGAATACAGGTATGTTGCATGTTTTTCATTCGAGCATGTTGTGTTTGAGGTAAATTGATGTTCCATCGAGGTCGCCCAAGGTTCCTGGCACGGTATATCCATGGGTGGGGTAGCATGTTTCGGGACTGCTTAGCTGACGTGAGTCGCAGTTTCGTCTTTCACAAAGACTGTGCCTTATTCGAACGACGAGCCAGGTATGGAGATACTCTCATTGGTGCAACTATTTTATGTCCGGTTGCGATTCGACCAGAACTGATCCAAGTTTAGCAAGCTGACTACGACGATTGTATCTACTTTTACCTCTTACTATGTGTGGTCCTGGTCTACATACTTTCCGGATAAGCCGCTTACACCTCCTCTACCCTCGTTTGATGGACGTGCAGTGTGCTATCCGAGCGACACCAATCTTCGGGATTACATGAGCTGGCGCCAAGTTGACTGTAAGTAGCATGATATATCGCAGTCTCCCCACCCTTTCTGGTTAGGCTTCTGGCTAAAGCCATCATACATGACCTTCTTCTTGATCTTGTTGTCGACCATGGACTGGATCTAACCATCGCGCAGGCCACATCAACAACCTTTACAACACCACTTTCTGGACTCTTGTTCAGCAAGGTGGTATGGGAGCTCGAGAAGCAGAACAAAAACTCAAGGGCACAGTGTCATCCGACAAGAACGAGATTCTATTCAAGGATTTTGGAATCAACTACAACAAGGAGCCGGAGTGCTTCAAAAAGGGCACAATACTATACCGAGACGTAAGAGATGCTTCGACCACATGCACATCCTCAATCATGTATCTAACAGTGACAGTTCTTCCCTACTCCGCCAATCGAGGAGATATCGTCACCCGTGCTGACAGACTTTCCCACGCCACCCATAGCTCAACCAACACCAAAACGAGTATCCAATCACCGGGCGTCACAGTCTATCGAGAGGGCTATCCCTTATCTGCCAGACCAAAAGGAAATGGTGGAGTCTCCAGAGCTCTGTGAACGTCCAACCTTCCTATCAACAACGTCGACTCCATCGCCGCCGCCTTCACCACCTACCATCTCGAGATCGGCATTTCCTAACCCACTAAGGTCCAACCCGATCAGATCTGAGAACAACAGCCCTATGCCAGGTTCCTCCATGCCGCTTTCGCCGCCATCGACTGCAACATGGAACAACAACTCCTCGTCGAACGGCAAGCAGCACCTACCCTCCTTGACGCCTTTGCCTCTATCTCCGCCGATATTAAAGCCAAGCAGCAAGCCTCCGCTGTCATTGAATCAGCCAAACCCGACAACACGCACCAACTTTTCCCCAGCGACACCACAGGGCGACTTCCCCGCAGATTTTCCCATAGCAGGTTACCGCCACCACACAACTGCAGTAGCTAGCCATGGATTCTCGCACTCTGCTTCTGCTTCTTTTACAACTTCATATCCACCTCAGGTAAAGCCTTCTCGACTCAAACAGCGATCGCCGAGTCAGCCTTCGCTGCCAACGTATTTTGCATCCTCTAGCGCACCCGCACCAAAACCGCCGTCTATACCGTTACGTATATCCAGCATTCCCGCCAACAGCAAGCCGCGCAAGCTATCTTTACCGGTCCATCGATCAACTACAACACTCAAAGCCACAAGGGACAGTTCCGATGAGAAGGAGAGTGTTTTCAGCCCCCGTGACACAACATCGACGCCACCCCGCAAAGTAAGCCCACCGATACAAAAGAACAAGGCTCTCCCAAGTCCTCCGATGAGTGCAGAGGAAGAGATGCGCACGCGAGAAAAGGTCAAAGGAAACAGTCCGCAGCAAGAATGGAACAAGTATGCCATTGCCTCCACCAATGGAACGGAGTCGCCCCAACGAAGAATCAGCGACACAGATAACAGAAGCGGTCACGTCTGGGGCCAAGGCAATGTCTCCCACCCTGGCATCGCAGAACTTCATGCCGTTTCTACACCAACACAGTCTACGCCTACATCAGCATCATTACAGTACCCCTATTCAAGTCCGGATATGCATACCCTACTATCCTCAACATCTACCGCAGGACCAAACTCTCAACCACACTCTAGTAGCCGACCATCCACTAGCCGCAACAAAGACGCCAACCGTCCCAAACCCTCCAAGTCGAACTCCTCCAATACTAAGCCGAATAAAGGCAAACAGCCACAATCGGAAACAGGAAGTTGGGCTGCAGCTACTACTTCTCAACAAGGCAACGAAGGCCGCCCGGTACCCATGAGTCGTACACAGAAGGACAAAGATAGGAAAAAGAGGAGTAAGGCGACTGTGCTGATGGAACATGTAGATATCATCAAGGATGAGTTTTGGGAAAAGAGACCTTGGATCTTGAGTGGGAAGACGGGGTGAGTTGGTTTGCGAGGAACGGTTTGGAGGGGTTTTGCGTTGATGATGTTTGCCTTTCTTTCTTTCTGGATTGATGATGATGATTTCGACGATGGGGATCTGCACTTATGGTGGAGATGGGGGATGTATGATAACGGACATTGAAAAGGTGATGGGGGTTGGATGTAAGATTTGGATATTGATGTGTTGTTGGTCTGAGTAATTGAATAGTACTCGTTCGTTACAACGTCGCGACATTTACGTTACACATGGGTTGTTTCGTACTTAGGATATACACCCAGAACTCTCAACTTGATCCTGTTTCGCGCCCCAGCTCTCTTCTTCATCCTAGGACTACCGCCACGATCTTACCCACAGTCCTCACTGCCTTTCCTGAGATCGCTTATCAACGTCTTCCGCGCTCTGATATTCCCAGTATTAAGATATGGTCCATGTCGTCAAAGGGGTATCCGAGATATGTAGCTCCTCGATCCACACTCGGGTTTGTAGTAATGGTCCTCCAACACCATCTGAATACGTTTCCAATAGCCGTTCGACTTGGAAGGTATAGCATGCATTGCACGACTGCCCAGTGACTGGCTTGATCAACTACTGTTCTCTCCAGCTATGCCCTTCTATCACCATTGTTATTACGCCATTGCTGCCTTTTTAATCTTCTTCTCCTTCTTGTCTGGCTTTTGCTTCTTCTCTTTGACTACTTCAACAGGCTTGGGAGAGCGCGTCTCGATCTTCTTCTGGATGCGACGAAGGACATATTGCTCGAGTGTCTGGCCCTTTGCCTTCGCGCGTGTCTCGTAGTCGGTCTTGTCCGCAGGCTTCAGCTTCGCAAGCTTCCTTGCTACGGCCTTCTCGTCATCCTTCGTTTCGGCGGCGTCATCCTTGACCTTCTTGCTCTTCTTGGTGGACGATGCATGTGCCTCCTCTCGCTTGCGCTTGTTCTTCTTGTCCGACTTCTCCTTGGTAGGCGCAGGCGTTTCGGTGTCGGATGCGGACGTTGGAGGTGTGCTCGTGCCGGACGCTGGGTTGGAGACGTCTGTAGTAGTCGCTGAGCTATCTCCGATGGTACCCCCTATAAGTTCGCCCTTTACGAAAAATCCATATAAACCGCCGCGGTAGATGCCTTGGGTTCGGATCTGGTCGAGTGTGCTCTGTGTGGGACATTAGTCGTGTGATTGCGCGCGTGCGAGGAGACATGAGCGCATACATCCTTGCCCGTACCAATACTTTGCAAACTCTGGTCGAATGCGCGCAACCACCATTGATCATCTGTGGTATGCGCGGCCTTCTTCTTGCCGAGTCCTAGTTGATCGTTCTTGTGCGCGATAAGAAGTGGCTTTTTAATACCGCGGCCGGTTTGATCGAGAGAGTGACCTGAGCCCTGCCAGCCTTGCTTGCGCAAATATGCCTCGGCGTTCATCGCAGGTGAGGTGGAGGAGTGATACCCATCTTCGCGCGTCTGGAAATTTTGGTGGGGAAGTCTTGGCTAACGCGATTTGCGGACCCCCGAGCCGTGACCAAAGTCGAGACCGAAGTGCCGCCCTAAACTCCTTGAGCTGCTTTACCTCCTCGACACAGATAATACCAGCACAGTTGTGCCATGTGTGCTCTAAGATAGTGTTTCTAACTAGTCGTAACGGTAATTTAGAATTGGTAGGGGGGTTGTCATTCCCAGTCTCCCAATAACTATCCTCCGACTCCTCAGCAAAAGGACGCCAAACAAAATCGAACAGAATTTGGCATATTTAGACATCACCGAAGTCTTGTTAAGTGACGCTTGTATGTAGCGTTTGATAGTGAGGAGGCCGAATTTATTTGTTTCTCGAGGGAGGCTGCCTAAGTTCCGACGGGAGACATATATTAACAAGACATTGTTAGCAATGTCTTAACATCGTCTGGTTCTGTGTTTGGGGCCATCTGCATCTCCGCGTCTTTATCAAGGTGACTTCGATCCTGAGCGACAAAGAAGTTCGATAAGACTTGCAGCAAGGTACACAACCCCTGGCCGACCAACAAAAGGAGTCGCAATCCCTCAGTGATACTTGTTTCGTCTTATCATTCAGGCGATTCTGGTTATCAAGCCAATGGGACTATCGACGCAGCATCCGCCATCATACAGGGTCGAGCACGATCAAACGGTGGAATGACGAGATTCAGGTACTAACACGATACGGACCAACCTCAGTTGATCAGAAAGAATATCGTTGGGGCGGCTACGCTGGTTTCCTCTCTTGTGACCACTTTCCTGCGATGCAGCCCTGGGTCGTTCCTCACCTCCGACCCTATTAATTCGTAGACCCCCTTCCCGACTCTCACATCACACCATTTCCGAAAGCACGGTCTTCTCCCCGGGTTCACTTCCTTTTACATACCATCTACCCTCACTTCAATTGATTCTGCTCCAAGATCAACTCTTTCGCCCACTACCATCAACTACATCAGCTCCCAATAATCTGCTTAATTCACCATGCCTACCACAAGACATACACGGTTTTTTTGGCTGCTGGCTACTACAGTTAGTGCTGCCATTATCCAGAGCAGATACAACCCTCAGTATGCGGGTATCCAATTTGCCTCGGACAGGAAGCTTTCAATCACCGTCTTCAGTGATCTCCACTTCGGTGAGCGTAAGTTATCACGTCTAACGTATGTTCAATATCAGCACTCACTAACAGCTTGTAGCTGATTCTCAACGCGGTCGGCCCTATGCAGACCTCAAGACGGTTGGTGTCATGAACTCCGTCCTCGACAACGAGAAACCCGACTTTGTCGTCCTCAATGGTGACCTCCTCTCTTGCGAGTGGGTGGGACCTGGAGGCGCAAATTCATTGATCGATCAGATAATGGCTCCGCTTGTCAACCGCAACCTACCTTTCGGCGCAACGTTCGGTAACCATGATGCTTCCAAGACTTGCAGCACTAGGGACATATCCGAACATATGTGGTGGGATATCAAGGGCCAGAATGGCAAGAAACTGTCTTATACAACGCAGTTGGTATCTGGCGAGGTTGATCAAGTCGGCTGGAGTAACTACTTCGTTCCCATTTACAGCTCTCAGAATGCTGCTGAACTGAAGATGCTCTTGTGGTTCTTCGATAGCAAAGGTGGCCGCAAGTATCAACCTAACGGCAATGATATCGGAGTTACAAACTGGGTTGACGAGAAGGTACTGAACATTTCCAACAGTGTTTGGTAAGACGCTAACTGTTGTAGGTTGTCGAGTGGTTCCGCAACACCAACAACGCATTCACCCAGCAATATGGTCGCGCGATCCCCAGCATGGCTTTCGTGCACATCCCGATACATGCAACGAGGTCTTTCCAACGGAATGGGCGTAGCCGCACCATGAACCCAGGCCTTAACGAAGAGAGCATCGGACAGCAGGGCGATGTACGCGACAGCACCGGAAACAATTGCAAGTATTCCGGCGCCGACATACCGTTCATGGGGGCGCTCGTCGAGACTGAGGGACTTATGGCTGTTTTCTCAGGTCACGACCATGGTGTGGACTGGTGCATGAAATGGGCCAAAGATCTCCCCGATACATCTCCTAGTAACGGCAACGGCCTCAACATCTGCTTCAATCGCCACTCGGGCTACGGCGGCTACACAAACTGGGCACGCGGCGCGCGCCAGATCGTCGTCAAAGAGGACATGTTGGACGCGAAGGTCGTGGACACTTGGATCCGTATGGAGAATGGAAAGATTTCGGGTCGGATTTCGCTCAATGCTACCTTCGGTACAGACCAGTATCCGGTGGTGGACAAGTCCAAGACCTCATAGCCTAAGCCAACGCGGCTGAGTCCACCCCGTTCAGACGTTAGGCTGAGTATATCTTCCTTATTGAATTGTATCATATCTTACATACCGGTGAAAGTCTGAGGGCGTATGACATGTATCATCGTAGTTAGCAGCTCAATCTAACATCGCTCCCTGTTGAACATGGTCAAACTTGACGGAGTGCTATATCTGCTTACCTTGAAGCAGTTGTACATCCCTGAACACTGAACCAAAATGGTGTACTACTATGTAGGTTTCAAAGTTCCACTTTTGTGCAACAACTACCATTAAGATCTGAGCGGACATAAGAACGTGTTGAAGGGGGCTGTGCATGACTAGGCTCTAGACAAAATCCACTGGCCCACCTACGCGCTCGAAAGGGTAACCGAGCCATATGACGTCAGGTTCTTCGATTCCAAAACACCAACACTAGGTTCCCGAGCGTATCCGCACAGTCTCGCCAGCGGAGTAAGCGTCTTCATGCGGGTCTTTTAGCCGCTGCTAAGCATGGCGAAGCATTTTTGCCCGTTGTCCTTCGTGATCACTATATCGCTCGTCGCGCCCTGAGCGTGGCTCCTCGCACTGACGTGTTTGTTGTGCACGTTTCCTTTTTCTTTCTTGGATACCCTAGATGAGCATTCATACTGTCGTTCATCCTTCATTATGTCGTTTCTCGAGCGTCAAACGACGCGAATCACCGGTACCGAACATGACGCCCGCCGGCGCAGCGTCCTCAATCCCTCGTCTTCGAATAAGGTGCCCAATGCGAAGAAACCACGCACGCGACCTCCGGTGTCGATACGCGATCATCTCCCATACCCGAACTCGACCCTCTCCCCCGCTTCAGGGCCATACTCTATAGGGAGTATGGAGATAGAAGTCCCCGTCGAGGACCCCCGACCAATCTCAAACATAAAACGCAAGGGCCGGCACCTTCTGCAATTGGAGACTGTTTTATTCACACTATACTACCCTGCTTCATTTGGAAGTGGAAACGGAAACGCTCCAGGTGGGGAGAAGAAATGGAGTCGAGAGACATGGCTTCCAAGACCACGCATGGAAACGGCGAAGGGTTATGCGCGTTTTGCTGGCATACCGGGCTCCATAAGCATTGGGATCTTTGGCGCGACCACCATGCTCACGAAGTTGCGTGGTTATAGGAACGCACCTCCTGCGACTCATTGGCCTCCGGAAGACAACATGAAGAAGAACGGTTATAAAATTAAGAACCAACAGGGCAATCCGCCCGAGGGCATGAGTAGGGAACCAACCTTCCCTCTGCTGATGTTCAGTCATGGTCTTGGGGGCTCTAGAACTGCATATAGCAGCCTATGTTCTGAATTCGCGAGCTATGGCTTCGTCGTTTGCGCGGTGGAGCATAGGGATGGGAGTGGACCCCGGACCTTCATCAATCACAAGAAGCGAGGGAAGCGGAGGAAGGATCCCCAGGGAGGAGGCAAGGCGAACCATAGTGATTGCGATGGGGATGAAGAGGATGATGAAGACTTCGAGAAGTTTCGGCACTTGGACCACACTGAAGAGGAGATTGCGCAAGGCTATCACCATGTCGTACGTCTCCCTTGGGTTCTCTGTGGTATGCGGGTGTACGGGACGTAAAGGGCTGATAATCACAGGACTATATCTTTCCTAAAGACAACCCGATGGACACCGCACCGAATAACGAGCACGGCGTCGACGGTGAACTCCGAAGTGCGCAGATTGAGATGCGTCTCTGCGAGCTCGAGGAAGCCTACCGTGTGCTCAAGACCATATGTGCCGGTGACGGAGAAGAGATCGCACGGCAGAATCTACGAGGCGAAGGTTACGTTGGCGGCTCTTCTAGAGGCCTAGGTGGCATCGATTGGGCGCAATGGAAAAATCGCTTTCACATAGATAAGATGACAATGGCTGGGCACAGTTTCGGAGCAGCAACTGTAGTAGAAGTGCTCAGACATACAGAACGGTTCACTAACGTGCAAGCTGGAATCATCTACGATATCTGGGGGCGAGTACACCTCTATCTCCCTCGTTAAATCAGAACTAATACATTCGCAGTGCGCCTGTAAAGCCACCAGTGGATGACCCGAAGCACCGAATACACCTCCCACTGCTGGGAATCGCCAGCGAAGCGTTCATGTACTGGCAGAAGAACTGGGACGCATCCATGTCTCTAATGAAAGAGGCCAGCGAACATGGCGCCCCGGCGTACCTCCTGACCGTCCGGGGCTCTATACACATCAACCAAAGCGACTTTTCGATCTTGTATAAGCATGTTTCATCGTTGTTCATGAAGGCGACTGTTCATCCTCAGAGAGCTATTGACCTCAACGTCAGTACAAGTCTCGAGTTTCTTCGGTTAGTAACGCCGGATTCTGGAGGTGGAAAGTCTATCATCAGTCGATGTATGACAGATGAGAAGATATTGGAAACACCTCTCACAGAAGACATACCCAACGACCACCGACCTGACGACCAATGGATAGCCGCTCGTCTACGAGTAGACAATGAGTTCAGAAAAAGATTGGCTGCTGGCCTGCAAAGGAAGTTTAGGCGGAATTTCCAGGGCGGCATGGGCACTGGATACACTACTTCAGACGAAATGTGGTGCTTCTACAAGCCTTCTGATAAAAATCTGCAAACATGGATCAACGCAGAAGACAGGGGAGAGAAGCGCATAGACGAAGACCGCGCTACCGCATCAACTGAGGAGATTCAGAATAGTGACCATGCAGCTACCCATGCGCTTAAATCTACCTCGCCCACCCAGGGCGATGCCAAGACGAACGAAAGCACACTACCAAACAACGACGGTGAGAACGCGAAGGATGACCCCAGCCAGCAAACAGAACATGGGGTTCGGGACAGATATGATGATGCTGAGAAGGACACTCTGGGGAAGTGTGGCGAAACGGAGGCATTGACCGCTGCAGACCAGGGTGAAGATACACTGTCAAGTAATTGGTTGGGTGTGCTTCCCAAGCTTAGAAACGGACCGCGTCAGGCGTCAGCGTAGTTGCAGCGTTAGATTATGTGATCATGTTCAAGCTTTAAACGTATCTCACAAGGCGCTCGAATCGGTGGATTTAGATGCACATAAGTAGCAGCCGTGGTATAGTCATGTGAAGGCTTTTGGGTTGGGTATGCACAGTAGCACGGAATTAATGTCGCCATCTAGATCTTCTGGGGTCCGTATTGCTCGTACAGCCTGGACGGAAGGACATCAGTATCTCCAAGAATGTCGACTACAATAAGGTCAAGCTTCCACAAGACTTCTACGCATGCAATTGAAGCGTGTTGGCGTTATCTAGGTTTCGCAAAACTAGGCTCGTCATCACGAATCTGACAATGAAGCGCATGATGAACTAACCTGTGGATCGATTGCCAGATGACGGGATTGTCTTGGCAACACGTGACTAGCCTTGGTGCTCGGCAACTACCGAAGCGGAAATTTATCGTTCAGTAATCATTTTGCAAATCACCCCGACCTGCACTATAGTAACAAGACACACCGCGAAACAATTGGCCACACCCATCTACCAAGATCTGACAACCTCGGTCTCAACACATCTCGTCATTAACGATATCCAAGAACAGCTTGCAAATCGCAGATCTGTACGCAGGAATAGCAACGTAGATGGTACCACCGTCTCAGTGAAGCCACACGGCGGCCATGAACCCCCAGTGACACGGTCGTGCAATCGTCCGCATCTTTCGTCCTACAGGAACTAGCCGCAGCTTGTGCGGAGACGCGCATTAGCCTTGTGTAACAGCGGACCCTTGATCGATCTCGAACCTTATGAGTTGTAGCGGCCGTACGCTGAGTCGGGCGCCGGACAGTCTTTTGCTTTTCCATGCAGGCTGGCTTGCGTCACGTTGGATTAGTTCTGGACACCATACGGCCCAGCGACCGCTGTTTTACATATGCACAACGTCTTCCCGCTATTTTTATGCGAACCGCGATTACTTTATTGAGAGTCTGTACAAAGGATTTCTGTTATCTTACAGGTAAACGAGAGCGGTGTTTCAAGAGTCGGATCGGAGTGATAGCAACCCGCTGATTCCGACTCCACTTCGTTCTACGTTCCTTAGCAAGTTTCGCTACTGGTTCCACCGAACCCCTTCGGGAACATACCTCCGGCGTCCTTACTTTGTTCGTTCTGCAGTATCAGAAGCGAATACCAAAACTATGACGAGCTCAGAATCGGAAGAACAACCACAGACATCGCGAAAGCGCTCGCGCAGGAGTAATAGTGGCGATGATGGTGGTGCTGGTGGAAAGAAGGCTAGGGGACGGCCCCGGGTAGATACGCAGGATGCCACAGCCGCAGATGTGAGTGGAGACGTCGTGTCTTTTCTTTTCTCTTCACCCTGATTCGTGGTTGCTCAATCTTGCAGCGGGATGGAAAGTGGGAGATGTGCACCTGCTCTGATTGAAGAGGCTGTGAGGCAGGTGTCGTTCTTCAAGCTCGACCCGCATCGAAATCCATCTTCAGCGCCCCCTATGAACGATCCCATTCTGCCCACAATGCCCATCTCATCACTATCTAGCATGACCCCTCTCGCGACTCAATGTCTCATACTACGCGTCGACGGTACTGACGGATATGGCAGAGACGAAGAACTCAAATCCGTCTTGCTCAGCGAGCTTATCGCCAACGGAAAGAGACAACGATCTCATCGCTAAAGAATCAAAGCTCACAGCTTCACTCAATTATCGAGCAGATGAACAAGACTTTTCTAAAGTTGAATGAGTCAACCGTAAAGTCAGGTCTGTTGCAACTGAATCCGACTTTGGCTCAGGAGTTCAAGCTAGTGACGGAGACATTCGCGAATTTGGTCAAGACGGCCAGCGAGGGTCAATACGAGGGAGACGAAGATGTAGAACAAGGGGATCAAGGAGTTGAACGCAATGGCGCACAGAGACCAGCCGAGCCAGATACCGAAGCTCAACACGTTGGATGGGGCTATTCCACAGTCCCGAAATCGGATGTTCAGAAGCGCCCGCAACAACAATTATCAACACCGGACAGCTACCTCGCGCATATCAGTGCTGCTTATGGCAACGTAGACACTAGCCGGAACGACCTAGTGTCATGTCGTGTGTTCCCAACTGGTGCTGTTTTCGATCAATCGAGCCGGTCTTCACAACGTACAGTAGATCCACCGTCTTCGCATACTTCATCGCAACCGGCACAGCTCCCCTTTGGTCTTGTAGACCTACTCGGCCAACAGCAAACACCCTTCGCACCGTCAAATCCGCATATCTACTCCGTCCGTATACCCACGCCTGAAGCTATCCCACCAATAAATAGGCTTCCAACCCCACCTTCAACGAAAGCCCCGACGAAAACACTCCGACCGGTGACAACGTACAGTTTTGAAGAAACAACGTTTGCCAGGCGATTGTCCAGGGCAGCACTTGAGACGGGATTCCATCTACTCAGTCGCGCCAATGATCGTCCTACGGTACGTACCCAAATAGCCGATGTACGAATTGCCTTTCTGGCTTCACTATCCTATTCCCATTGATTGACGGAAGACTAACCATTGTAGTTAGGCGATACAGCGCGTCTTCAAGCTCTCTCTACCCCACCAAACTCTCGATCAAATACGGAGCCGCTTCCGGACTATTATGTCCCGTACTATTGAGGAAGATTTGGACTGGTGGGACTCGCCCTTCATCCATGTCGGCGGTGCAGGAACTCACTATCCACGACGGGATGCTGCGGGCAACTTAACATCGGTCAAAAATGGATGGCACGTGCGGCAAATTGGACCACCAGAAAAGAGAGTGCATATAATAGTGAATGCAGAAGACGGCAGGAGTGAGGAATTGGGCGACATGGATCTGAGTGAATTTGAGGGAGAGTGGTTCGATAGCCATGATGTGCAGGGGTACTTGGAGGATAAATACGCGTGCAAGCTCAACCCGAGGAGCTCGTTTGCGGAGTGTATCATCGACGAAGAGGACGAAGGGGTGTCCGAAGTCCACACCAGTGCGCTACGACCACGTGCAAGCATACCAACGGAGCTGCCTCGTCTCGACCAGAGCTCTGCCAACCCATCGACAGCCTCGTCAACCACTTCGACAAATCGACCTAGTCAGTCTTACAACATCGCAAGCGATGGAGCCTTCGGCTTAGACATGTCCTTCGGTCACGCTGGCGACTTTCCCAAGCTCGTCAATCACGATATCTCGTTCGATCAAACACTGGGATTAGATCTCGCCCCAGGATACAATTATGATTTCTCGCATTCCGATGTCTTTCATGCGGGCGACATGGATTTGAGCATGAACATTATGAACGACGTAGCGGCAGTTTTGCCAGGGATGAGGCATGGGCGGAGGAAGACTGCCTGGGTTGACGTTTCGAGACTCATCGATGGTGAGTGAAGACAATCACGAGAGACTAACGGTTGGCTAACAAATTGACAGAAATTATTGCACGTGGCGTTTGTCTTGGGCGATCGGCGGGATACAGGCGCAAAGATGTGGATTTAGCGGTGCGGAAGGCTTTGGTGCACGAGCATTGAGCTGATCGCTACAAGTACGGTGTGTGAATGTACCGAGATACCCAGGTACTTACCAGAAGAGGTAGCAGGAGTTTTGCTTTTGAATGCAATTTCTGCAGGCGACACGAGAAACTTTTGATGATTTGACGAAATTTGTTTCAATAGAATTGTCAACTTGCATGCATATTGCGCATGACCAGTTACTGTACTATGAGTATACCAGAACGTTCCATCACGTTGCTTCAAAGGCATTGTTCAGCTGGCTATGATCAGTGTCACGTGAAACGCTAGCGTAGCGTTGGGCGCTAAGGATTCGGCGCCCTCAATGATTGCCGGGACGCCGCTCACTATCACTCATACATCCACGACCACGAAAGCTGAGGGCACCCGAACACGTCGTACAAAGCCTCCCGTCTGGGCTAGCGATATCTGTAGAAGTTCTTTGACAGCGCAGAAGCTTCCTCAAGCGCGCGCACCCATTTGCAGCCTCAAGCGCTGACGTCGCCTGCCTGGCTTGCCTGCCTATTCCTCAAAGCCTCTGCACGCGAGCAACCATCGCAAGCCTTTGTGCAGCCTTCACAGAGCCCATATCGTATACTAGATAGCTGAGACCATACCAAGCAGTCGCATCATGTCGAACTCGGTCGTGGTTAGTATCCCCAGGGCGCGCATGCGAGCGGTGGAAGGGTAAAGGCAGGCTTGCTAACAGCGACAATCAGGGCGGCGTCTACCAGACGATTATCGAGAAGGTAATCCAGACGTCGCAGAATGACTTTGAGGAGTCTGGCGTCGACCACAGTACCCTCGACGAGATGAAGCAGGTATGTTGCAACCTGGCCTCTGCATCTCAGCCGTCGCGCCTTTCTTTCCTTTGTCGCAGCACCACTGCGGTCCCTTCACCACACCGCTTGTTGTATTTCTCACTTTCCTTGTCGAACATTCTCTCGCATCATTTTCGCTGGCTGCAGCGATCGCGTAATGGTCGCCTGGCCTGGGATGTTGGGCGGCTGAAGGCGGGGCGGAGTTGCCGGTCGGTCTGGCAGCTTCGGGGGCGTCTCAGTATTTGGGTCACCTTCTTATAGCCCCTGCACAGCTCCCCCACCCGCCAAGACCAACGCATCACTTCCCAACAGGGTATAGCCCGTCATGTGACGGCTGCTCTTATATCATGTTTCACTGCACAGCCATGCTGAGCATATACTGATCATTACTAGGGTTGGCAAGAGAGGCTATCTGCTCTCAAAATCGCTCACTTCCCTTGGGATCCTGCTCCTGAACCTGTTCGTCAACCGCCGACGGTGCCGTCCAACGTCAAGGTCGACAATGATATGCCTCCTGTCTCCGGACCTCAGGAAGGTCTTAACTACCCGAATGTGCCCGTGAAGGCAGAGGGAGGATACCAGCCACCAGTTGCTAACTATCCTCCAGCCCAGACTGCAAACAATGGTTACGGGGGCAGCTATGATCAGAACACACAGTTAGCGAATCAGCGCGCGGCTGCTCTAGTCCAGCAACGCATTCAGCAACAGGGCCATGTTCAGCAGCAGAACTTCCCCAACCTTGCTCAACAAGGACATCTACCCCAGATGCCAATGCAAAACCAGCAGCAGCGAATGATGGCGCCGCAGCAACAGCATCAGCGCCCACCGCAACAGCAACAACAACCGCAACAGCAACAGCAGCAAATGCCGCAACAGCGTCCCCCACCGCAAAACCATATGTACACCTCCCAGACTGACGGTTCAGGTGATGCTATGGCCGATTGGGAGGCCTTGAAGGCTGCACGCGCCGCGGATGCAGTAGAGCGCATGGCAGCGGATGACTTCATGCGTGCCCGTGTTGATGCCATGGCTATGCGCCAAGACAGTGGACTCATGGTGCCGCTCGACTCGATGCCGAAGGGCAAGAAGCGAAAGGCTGCCATGCGTGTGTTACAGACCGAAGACGCAGAAGCATCGTCGAGCGCACCGGGCCCTGCTCGCTTCGATGGCGACGATGATGTCAAGCCTGAAGAGGATCCGGATGACGCGATCAACTCTGACCTTGATGATTCCGAGGATGAGCTCGGTGATGGCGACAATAGTGATGATGAGATGGTCGACTATATGCTCTGTACCTATGATAAGGTTCAGCGCGTCAAGAACAAGTGGAAGTGCACCCTTAAGGACGGTATCCTGACCACAAACAAGAAGGAGTAAGTTTCGTGCTGAGACATCGGAAGAAAGCTTGCTAACGAAACGAAAGATACCTATTCCACAAGGCAAATGGTGAATTCGAATGGTAGAGCATTCGCAAACCATTGCTAATGCCCGTGGTAGCTGAACTCGAGTTCTAAGTCGCTCCGTGAAGCGCACGAACACCACTCGATCGAGACACGAGTCTAATACGACTGTAACATAGGATCCGCTCACCTCGTTCCCTCGTTTACGACGACCATAGCGACTCGGTACGAACATGGATAGTGGGCATCAAATTGGATACCAAAGCCTAGCACTACCTAGGGCAAACGCAAAAAGAAGAAAGAAAGTAAGATATCCCACAATGCATTACATGAAACTATGGCTTGGACGATTGGGCGTCCGTAGTATTCCGGGTTCCCGTTAGTTAAATTGAATTTTCAGTCGAGGCAAGACTGGGGGTCTGACTGGCTTCACATGACAAAGCACAGGCGTATCGGCCCCATCACGTTCCACATTTCCTTTCAAGTAGAGTTTTCCTAGTCCAGTAAGAGAAGCAAGCCTTTGAGTTTGGGGGTCATATCGATGATAATACTTTAGCACTTTCATGTCTAGGTGACTGCTCTCTGCGTCAGTCAAAAGAAGGATATCAGCAGAACTATTTACACAAGGCATTGTATGATTGTAGAATTTTTTTTTTGGCTCTGTCTCGGTCTGGAACAGAGTATCAAACCGAACGAATAAACAAAGTCGGCACATGCTGAACACAAATCCACTGTTACTGCCGTGCTGCCCCTCGTATTTGAACTGCTATAGCATGTCCTCATCTCCACGTTCCCCATCACTCCCAGTGCCGTTATGCATAATAGTCTCGTCAACATCACCACCTTCGGCCTCTTCATCGTCCTCCTCCACAAGCGGGACGAATCGAAAGTCGACGAAACTAACTTTATCACCTGCAGCCCCTCCAGTCCCAGCCTGAGAACTCGATGCGCTACCACCCTCAACCTCAATCATGAACTGCAGACTCAACACGCCTTGGGTATCTGCTCGTATACTGACTTTGGTCGCAACGTTCATGGCGCGGGCAGCTTTCTGTATCAAGCTGAACTTGTAGGATGAACGTAGTACGGCCTGGGGGTCGCTCAGCTGGAAGGTTTCGAGCAAATTGGTGGGCTGTTGGTCTGATGCCTCGCTATTCGTATTGAGATTCGTGGATGCAGGAGTGCGGTAAGCGGAGGGCTGGGGCTGGTTGTTGAACTCGACGCGCGCGGAGCCTAGAGTACCTGATGATGAGAGGGCGAAGAAGGGTTTGCCGCGTATGGTTTTGGCGTACATGGTGAGCTTTTCTGGACTTGTGGATGATAGTTCTTGTATTGCGTCGTATAACCAGCTGCCCCGCATAATGACTTTGAGTGCAAGGGCCTGGCGGTCAAAGGGTATTTCGTCCGTGTACCCAGGCTCGTACGTCGTGAGGTCGCATTGCGTGCGTATGCTTGCCTCGGTCAGTGTCACCGCTAGTGGAGCACCGGGGCCATGGTAGCTTATCCGGCAAAGATTGTTCATGCCACCCAGTATGTTGTTTCCTGTAAAGGCTGTGCTGGTCGGGTAAGGAGCGTCGCGCGCCCATGGTGGCTTGGATGTCGAGGGGTCGGTGAGGCCGAAGATCTGAAGGGTCTCGAGGAGAGCGGGAAGCGAGATCTGAAATGCTGGGGTGGTAGTAGATTGTGGATCGGAATCGTCGTCACTGTCGGAGTGTTGGGAGTTCTGTAGTGGGGCGGGCGCATTGAAGGTGTAGGTTGTGAAGAGAGACTTGTCGAGGAAGGCAGATGCTGTAGTCGCGTTAGTCTAGAGATGGGCGAGAAGACGATTGCGCATAGATGTACCTTCCATGACACTTGCCTCGTCAACAGCGAGCTTGACGCCAATGTCGCTGATCTGGACATGAGCCTTGTTGGAGAAGGCGATGCAGCGAAGGAGCAGGTAGAGCTGTCGTGCAGAGCTTGACACTGCCGTGAGGATTGGGGGCTCATCTTGGTCCATGGTGCTATGTTATGAGTGTATGGGATACGGGGTATTGCGCAGGTAGATTCGTCTTGAACTTTTTATTGGTATTCCTTAGATTGTACACACTATGCCCCTAACGCCGGACGGAGAAGTAGGAAACTAGACGTAGACGCCGACTGCGCAGATCATGTAGACAGCGCCGAAGCTGTTTTGCAGTCAGTGGTCGCGCGTCCTGTATGTTTTCGAGGCCACGTACCCAAAGGCTAATGAAGCCGGAACACCGAGAACGGGGAGGTTGACGAGGGATCGGTCTATATGCGTATGAGTACAAGTGGGCTGAAGTAAGGTGAATGTGTCGCGTACTCATGCCGAAGAAAGTGGTCAGAACGAGGGCTGCGCATCATTAGTATAGCTCCACCAAGCACCATAGCAGAGCTTCCAACATACATATGGCTAGCAGCACGAAGCCGACTGTGAATTGCGTGTTCTTTCCAATGGCAGGACTGAAGGGCGAAGACGCAGCAGTCTCCCAGACATCTAGAAGTGGGCTTGACATGTTTATGAGCGTGCAATTGGAGTGGATCTTGTGTCTCTCTCGTGAAGCTGCTTTGGTGGCCTTTCGTGTTCACTGAACGGTGATCGGCCATGATTGGTGTGGGGCCGTTAGCGCGGGAGGCGCACCTTCCCCGACATTCAGTCAACACCACGCGCAAGGCCGAGAGAAGGCGCGACTGCACACCAGAAGGCGCCCTACACCGCAACATGGCGGGCGCAACCGATGAAAGTAAGTGCGCGCATCTTCTTCAGCTTCATGTTTGCCCACGGCCCTGCGTCGTCGTCGCCACAAACCTCACATGTCTCCCCGCAACAACATCCCGCAGTTGCGCGACGTGTTGGGCTATCCCACCTCTCCCCCAACTTCACCGCTCCTCAAACCTCCCCCCGTACCTCCTCTGCACCCACGTGAATCTTCCCCAGACATACCCCTCGGCGAACTGCAAGCTAACCGGTATCCGCCTGAAGCCAAGCGCAAAGCGACGACCGACCCTCCCAACGGCTCTCCGAAGCGCATAAAGCAGGACCCCTCGACACCCTCTGCTGCCGACGATGCCCCCGCGCCCCCCGCGAAACGCATAGTACCATTCCCGGAGAAACCTGCTGTCATAGAAGAGCGCAATGGGGAGATTGAATTCAGAGTGGTCAACAACGATGGGGAGAGGGAGAGCACCATCATCTTGACGGGCTTGAAGTGCATTTTCCAGAAACAGTTGCCTAAAATGCCAAAGGACTATATTGCGCGCCTCGTCTACGATAGAACACATTTGAGCATAGCAATTGTGAAGCATCCTCTAGAGGTTGTAGGGTATGCAGGGCCATTCGTCCCATTTACCGTCAGACACTGACAGTATCATTGTATAGTGGCATTACATACCGCCCCTTCGACAAAGGCCAATTCGCCGAAATCGTCTTCTGCGCCATCTCGTCGGACCAACAGGTCAAGGGCTATGGTGCCCATCTCATGTCGCATCTCAAAGACTACGTCAAAGCCACCTCGCAGGTCATGCACTTCTTAACCTACGCCGATAACTATGCTATTGGCTATTTTAAGAAGCAAGGATTTACCAAGGAGATCACTTTGGAGAAGTCAAGATGGATGGGTTACATTAAAGATTACGAGGGCGGCACTATCATGCAGTGTAGCATGGTTCCCAAGATACGGTACTTGGAAAGCGGTAGGATGCTTTTGAAGCAGAAGGAGTGCGCCAACGCGAAGATCAGGGCTGTGAGCAAGAGCTACGAAGTCCATGCGCCGCCAGCACAATGGGCAAAGGGGGAGCTCAAAGCCATCGACCCTCTGACCATACCTGCAATCAAGAACTCAGGTTGGTCACCTGTCATGGACGAACTCGCTCGTGCACCCCGCCACGGACCAAACTACAACGCTCTCCTCCATCTCCTCAACGACATGCAGAACAACAGCAACGCCTGGCCTTTTCAACAGCCTGTCAACAAGGACGAGGTGCTCGACTACTACGATGTCATCAAAGAACCCATGGACCTCGCCACCATGGAAGAGAAACATGAGAAGGATCTTTATCCTACTCCCGAGGACTTCATCAGAGATGCTAAGCTCATCTTTGATAACTGCCGAAAATACAACAACGAAAGCACGCCATATGCCAAAGCCGCAAATAGGTTGGAGCGATATATGTGGCAGCGGATACGTGATATTCCAGAGTGGTCGGTAAGTAATCAACACGCATGCTCAGTCTAGCAACGAACCATAGCTAACAAATCATCAGCATCTAGAAGGCGAGTTAACAGGAAAGTAGTAGGTTCGGTTGTCCGACTACTCTGGTTTTTCGCTGTGAGATGGGCATTGTGATAGCTTGAATCCTTCCATCAATAGTCTTGTTGTCTTTAGCGGCATTGGGAACGGTGTATGGTGTATGGTATGTCGTACTGATGAACGGGAGGTTCGGTGGGCTCGTTATACCCTTTTTCGTAAATCTTTGAATCAAACGTTCATATCAATTTTACCAACACACACGTTGAGACGGACCATCGTAGCATGTGTCAAGAGCATCTAGTTCAATGGTCACAAATAGTGGAAGAGTGACATTCTTAAAACGCAAAGGCAGGCAAACGAATGTTGCCTCTCCTACCACTAATCAAATAAAGGACAACTATGTCTCTACCACGTTGTCATACCTGTTTTATCAATGATCATGCTCTGTCACAGAGAATAGTAGTGCTATGCAAGGACTTTGAGACGAGGTGCAACACCACACAACAATCACAAAACGTGTGCTTGCATCTTTGCCTTTGTGTATTGTTTCCATATCACGAGATGACATGGTGTTGCACAAAGTACGCATCCATGAAGTCAAGTACGCAAGGCCAGGCACATTGGACTAGGAATGTAGGACCAGATTCTGTGCGCAACCAAGACGAAGCGGTAGGTAGCCTAGGGCTAGGCTTGTGCGTTACAGTGCCACGATGCCAAAATGTCGTATCCCGCAACCTTATTGTGGCATGTGTAGTGTACTTGGTGTGTTCTCTTGACGAGTTCTAAACGAGACTTTGTGGTTTGGCGATGTGGTATAGTGACGGCTACGACAGAGAAGCGAGCGACAAGCTTTGTTGACAGCGGACGAGGCAGTGCAGTGCGCAGATACTAGTTCCATAAGATGTTTGAGACGATGTGCAGTGTACACAGAGGATACGGGTGCTGTGCTCGTTGGAACCGATGGCGCGGGAGGAGGTTTTCTGGAAAGATGCCCTGATCACGGCTAGGGAGAAGCGTAATCTGACAGGCTGATAGTTTTATAACTCTAGAGCACAGATTAGTTACTTAGGCAAAAAGCAGGGAGTTTTGCCGCTCGGTTAGCAAGATAATTATAGTGTTGTGCACCGGATTTAGTGATACACCTTCCTGCCATTTCGAGGGGAATGCCTTAGACCTGGATGATGTGAACTTGGGCATCGTTACAACCTGTCCTTCGCAAACACCGCCGATCATCGGATCGTAATCTCGTTGTGACCTGCCAACACTGCTCGATAAGTCCTTCAGAATAGCGTGTTTGAATAGGCTCGTATATGCTTGATGTGGTTTACGTGCGAACACGTCCCTGACCCTTGCCGCACCTTCAAGAAGTGGGGACCATGTCCCGGACACTGATAGGAGCTGTCCGAGATGACGGACAGTCCGAATGCCAAAAAGTAAGTTGATCCGGTTTGCGAAAACAAATCGCATCGATTATGATCCTACGAGTCTGAAGTTGACCGACGGTAGGATTGAGGCTCCGCGGCTGGGTGTGCCGCTTAGTTGTTTGTATTCCGCGATTGTGATTGTAGCGGACGCCACGTGAGGTATGATTATGTACTGTAAATTGTAACCGGTCGCTTCGCGTCGGGTGAGATGGTAAGCCTGACAGCAAGTTGTGCCGAGGACACGCCCTAGTATTTTCCCTGACACATCAAGTTGAAGCTATGAGAAGTAACATTTCTCCGTCCCTGAGCATCTGTTGGGTGGAAGTTATGGAGAGTTGGTTTTGCAGCTCAGTTGGAGGTGATGCCAGCCCACACAATGGGCTACCGCATGGGGTTGGGCCCGCTGCGGGGGAGGGTCGAGGCTAAGAGGGCAAGGCCACTTACGCATCTTGGATGTCATTCATTACAGTACAGTGCGTCTGAAACCATGTCAAGATCGCTCCGTCAGCCAAGAGAGCGGCTATCCAAAGTGTATACACAGGCGAAGTCCGCAACATGATCCGGCGCAAACATCTCGATGCGTGTCCTCGTGATAAGAACCCCAGCTCTCATCACCTGCAGGATACCTCACAAGCGCGCTCGATGGTCGAGCGTGTCTAGCGCGGACCTGGTTATCGGAATGATGATGATAGCGCTGGCCGAGACCCGTTGGAAAGATAAACTTGAGCAACACCAGTCCAACACGCGCTGATTGAGGCGCACCGCCGTGTCTTACCACGGCGTTCGCGCGTGCTCCAGTGATAGGGGTGGGTCTGAGGGTCTCGTTGCGTCAGACGCTGTCCTTTGGTCTGATCTGCATTCTGGGGGGTCCACAGCACACCCACAAGACAGTACAGGAGGAAATTGACCATGGTTCGCAGATGGACTCAAGTGTGTTTCGGCCCCTGTTGTGATTGCTGCTAGATCCCGGTAATTGCTTCTGCACATGTCCCAAGACGGCGGAAACGTAGACCTCGGGGAAGACGATGGAGGTCGGGTTGTGAGGACAGAGGTGCTGCTTCGAGAACGCCACGCGAAGCCAAAAAGAGAGCCTCAACCGAGGAGGGGCGCATATTCGCCGCCGCTTATCACAGACTAGGTGGGTAGTCCAGCACGTTCATCTCCGTGATTGGCCCCAGCGCAGACTATCAATGCTGGGGAAAGATAAGAACCTGGTCGGGGTTGCAGCAGCGCGGCAGGCCGGCCGGTACTGGGAGAGGTTGACACGAGAGACAGGACCACGGGCAGCGAGTAAGCGAGCACCAACATGGGACGGTAGATATTCCAGAAAGCGGAGACGACCGGGAGCCAATGGAGCCCTGTACTACTGTGCTCTGGCCAGCGCAAAAGAGGAAGTTGCCAAGTGACCGTCTGGAGCCCGTTCAACTGTTTGTCTGGGCCAGCGACGGTGCGATCCCTCCACTTTGGTGGTAGCGCGAGCCACGGTGCGAAAATATAATTCCCGTGAGGGCCGACTCCAAGGTGAGAGCCAACAGTTCCTCATCGTTCAACCTCCATCCAGGAATTGCCCTCGTGCCTTTTAGTCGCCATGGCCGATATTCGCGACCAACACAACGGCTCCCCAATGCCTGGTGTCGCCCGCAACGACGACCCGGCACTAGACATTGCTCGCGAGCACGACCACCCACACGTGCACCACAGCGCGCGTGCGGCCCATCCTGACAACATTGTCTACACCACGGGAACCACGGACGAGAAGACCAGCAAGTTGTTCCAGCCCAGCGCTCTTGACAGCCATCTCCACCAGCGCCATTCTGCAGGTGACATTGAGAAGGCGGGTGGTTATGACTATGAAGTCGAGAAAGCTACCCGCAGCTCGTCTGATCCCGAGATGGAGGCAGAGAAGAAGCTGTGGTACACTTCCTTCTCTGCTTTCTACAGGGCCTTCAGATTGCCTATCCACGTTTTTATTGGAGCGCTCTTCACCGGGTAAGGCGCATCTTCATGTCCATTGTCTCGAGTGTTCCGGGCTGACAGTATCAGATGGTGGATTGCCAGTGTAGTCGTGCACCGCCATGACAAGAATTGGATCATTCCGTTCCTGTTCTGGTTGGCCATTATGATCCGCCTCATTACTCTGCACATTCCCATCACCATTGTCACCAAGCCTATGCACTGGGTCTGGGCCAACACTGGAACGAGATTTGCAAACCTCATCCCGGAGAAGATGCGGATTCCTTCCGCTGCTGCCCTCACTATCGCTGTCATCATTGTCGGATCCTTCGCCAGTAAGGAGAGCGAGGACAACACACGCGCCAACCGTGCCGTCTCGCTCTTCGGTCTCTTAGTCTTCATCTTCGGCTTCTGGGCCACTTCTCGCAACCGCAGCAAGATTGTATGGCATACCGTTATTGTTGGTATGCTGATGCAGTTCGTCATCGCACTGTTTGTCCTCCGTACCAAGGCCGGATACGACATCTTCAACTTCATCTCCGAGCTCGCCCGTCTGCTCTTGGGATTCGCCAGGGATGGTGTCGCCTTCTTAACAACCCCAGAGATCTCTCAGAACACATACTTCATGTTCAGTGTTATCCCTGCCATCATCTTCTTCGTCTCCTTCGTCCAGCTCTTGTACTACTGGGGCATCCTCCAGTGGTTCATTGGCAAATTCGCCGTCTTCTTCTTCTGGGCCATGCGAGTATCTGGTGCCGAGGCTGTCGTCGCTTCTGCGTCTCCTTTCATCGGTCAGGGTGAATCCGCCATGTTGATCAAGCCTTTCGTCCCCCACCTTACCATGGCGGAGATGCATCAAGTCATGTGCTCTGGATTCGCTACCATCGCCGGTAGTGTTTTGGTCGCCTACATTGGTATGGGTCTTAATCCGCAAGCCTTGATCTCATCTTGCGTCATGAGCATTCCCGCGTCGCTCGCCTTCAGTAAGCTGCGATACCCGGAGACCGAGGAGACTCTTACCGCCGGTCGTGTTGTTGTACCCGACGACGATGAGCACAAGGCCGCTAACGCCCTCCATGCATTCGCCAACGGTGCCTGGCTCGGTCTGAAGATCGCCGGTATGATCGTCTCTACCCTTTTGTGTATTATTGCCCTTCTCAACTTGGTGGATGGTCTCCTCACCTGGTGGGGGCGCTACATCAACCTCGACGGCGACTACGACTTGACGCTCGAGTTGATCCTTGGTTACCTTTTGTACCCAGTCGCCTTCCTTCTCGGTGTATCGCGCCAAGGCAACGATCTGCTCCTTGTGGCTCGTCTCATTGGTATCAAGGTCATTACCAACGAGTTTGTTGCATTCCAATCGCTCGTCGACCCAGACCCCAAGTCTCCTTACCACGACCTTAGCCCACGTTCTCGCCTCATTGCTACCTACGCCCTCTGCGGTTTCGGTAACATCGGTTCTCTGGGTACCCAAATCGGTGTGCTCAGTCAAATCAGTCCTGGTCGCAGTGGTGATGTCTCGCGCCTCGCTCTGTCGGCTCTCATTACAGGTGTCTTCTCCACCTTGTCGAGTGCTACAGTCGCAGGTCTCGTTGTCCTCGACGGGTCCAATTTCAGCTCAGGCTCGTAGGTTTCGAGTTGGAACTGTATGAATTGTTGCAATGTTGAGGAGTCGCTGTTTGGTGGTCCTAAAATGTTATGTTAGTTAGTTGTTCGGTGTACAAGATACCCACCTAGTAGTACATGGATCCTGTTGAGGAATGAATACTCTCACTTCAAACATCATCTCCCAAAGTATTCGAGTGCTATGTGTTTGTAACCAGGGGATGTGGACACAATATGGCTTGCATTCTCCGCCCTTTGGCAAAATCCTCCCTTGGCATCGCCCTTTTACACACGACATGTTGCCTCGATTCGGTTAGCGTCGTCTCCAAAAGTAGTAATCCCCCCAACGCGGACAACATTGCAATCTCGCTTGCAAATCATGCCAGCCTGTACGAATTGGTGAAAATGGCTTGTCGGTGACCTTGAAGAAAAAAGCATACATTCTCCATCTCGTATGTATAAGTGTTGCTGGTGCGACATGGCACCCATTCATGTTGACGAGTGCATGCTAACGAGCGCGACTGCCATTACCAGGTTGATGGTTTTAGTGCCTTGCTTGCTCTCTCTCTATGAGCCTGCATGACAGACATTGGATTTATTCGAAAGCATAATTGGGCGATGAAGTAAAGTGCGGTCAACGGTGCTAGTGTTTGCGCTGCTTTGCCAAACTTGAGCTAGCTTTGGCGATGGAGAGGCCCTGCCACTGCCCTCAATCGACGTGCTTGTAGTCCTCTCAACGTTCAAACTCAGTATTCCGTGCGTTTTTTTTCTCCACCTAGCACACGATACATACGCAAGGTCGATGAAAAGTATACTGAATAGTAGATCTCGATACACGATGCAGCAGCGACCTGCCAACGGTGGCGTTGCTTTGCGTGTCCCCGGCCAAATTTAAAACGCTATCAGATACGATACCAACGCGATCTGGCATCTGGGGATGCCAATCCCACCAAAAAGATAAGAACTGGTTGACATCCAATAACCGGTCACAAATGGCAGTTAAGCGAAACCGCTAAGATAGCCGTTGGAAGCTTGACAGACAGTAACAACTGCTTTCTCCGCCCTCCAACATCTCCTGCATCTTGTCATCGAGATTCTAGGGCTTGGCCTCTGGCTTGTCGTAGGTCATGGCTGCGATACTGCGAGTAAGTCCAGATTTGCTTCCCTTGATGGCATGCCTCTCTTGACGTCCGCGCTCTGGCTATCGTGAGCAGGTGCCCAACCCGAAGAACTGCGAAATTGTACGACCTTGCGATTGGCCCCAGCTCGTGCTGAGTAAAAAGTGTCACACAAGAAATTGCATCTTATCTTTATCGTTCCGCCGCGTTATCGGGCCATACCGGGGTCTGAAGATCGTTTCCACTCAAGACATGCGCCCTGCTATTGCTCAACCCCACGAAAGCCACACGAACCATGCACAACGTTGAATTTGACGGCCGTGATCGCTGTCACCATTAGTTGTTATCCGCCAATATGCATGCTAGCCCTATGCCTGACTATGCTTACCTTATGTGGCCGGCAGATGAACGGTAATGTTCTAACTTTATCTTGGTTGAAGCCCTCATCTAGACGTGTGGTGCCGTCGGCTTCTGATTGAAGCTTTCTGCATTGACTTCCAAGCGGAGCTAGGCAGTGAGCTTAAATACATCTAAGCTTCTCGTACTTCTTGTAGTGTAGCACTTTCTACTTGCTAACTGTTGTTCCCACCACCTTGGGCATCTTGTGAGCTCGCCCAGTATGAGTACATCTCCGCCGCTGAGCCAGGGCTTTGGCTATGGTATTGTCATCGGTTTAGGTTTTGCCTTCTCGTAGGTCTTACCTCTCATCGCAAAAGACCTCTTCTAACCATCATAGCTTTGGTATGATCTTGACGACCTTCGTCTTGAAGAGATACAATTATGAGCTCCAGACTTCGGAAATGTTCTCAACCGCTGGCCGTACAGTCAAATCAGGACTCGTAGCCTCAGCTGTAGTATCATCTTGGACCTGGGCGGCCACACTTCTCCAATCCAGCGCTGTCGCCTATCGATATGGTGTATCTGGACCTTTCTGGTACGCCTCCGGAGCGACTGTCCAGATCATTCTGTTCGCTACCATTGCTATTGAGCTGAAGCGAAGAGCCCCCAACGCACATACGTTTCTTGAGGTTATCAGGGCTCGCTATGGCGCCGTAACCCATATCGTTTTTATGGTCTTCGGCCTCTTTACCAACATCCTTGTTACTTCCATGTTGTTGACGGGAGGCTCTGCTGTGGTAACATCGGTACGTGGATCTACGATTGTGATACCATATCATACTAACATGCGAAGCTCACTGGCATGCACACTGCTGCTGCATGTTTCCTATTACCTGTTGGTGTGGTGCTCTACACCATGTTTGGAGGTATCAAGGCCACCTTCTTGACTGACTATGGTACGTCGTCCTTACCTCTACTTCTAGGAGAGAGCCGCTGATTTCAATCACAGCACACACTGTAGTCATTCTGATCATCCTCCTAATGTTCGCTTTCACCGCATATGCGACCAACGAGAATCTGGGAAGCCCTGGCAAAGTATTCGACCTATTGGTACAAGCTGCATCAGATCACCCAGTTGAAGGAAATGCCGGTGGTTCTTACCTGACCATGCGCTCGAAAGAAGGTGCAATCTTCTTTGTGATCAATATCGTTGGTAACTTCGGTACCGTGTTCTGCGACAACGGTTACTACAACAAAGCCATTGCTGCCAGCCCTGTTGATGCGCTTCCCGGATACATCATGGGTGGTCTGTCATGGTTCGCAATTCCTTGGCTAGCTGCCACCACAATGGGTCTCAGTGCCATCGCCCTGGAGAACAACCCTGTTTTTCCAGGCTATCCCAATCGCATGGCTGATGCTGATGTGACAGCCGGACTTGTATTGCCCACCGCCGCTGTTGCATTGATGGGATCAGGAGGAGCGGCAGCAGTGTTACTTCTCGTCTTTATGGCAGTCACCTCGGCAATGTCCGCAGAACTAATTGCTGTGTCCTCTATCTTTACATATGATTTCTACCAGGTAAGCATATATTCCTTTTTACAATGGAGAGAAATACAAGACTAACACTCCCTAGACTTACATGAATCCCAAAGCTACTGGAAAGCAACTCATCTACATGTCACACACCATGGTCGTAGGCTTCGCCGTCGCAATGGCAGCCTGGAGCACCGGACTCTACTACATTGGCATCAGCATGGGCTACCTATATCTTCTCATGGGCGTGATAATCTCGTCCGCTGTCCTCCCCGCCACCCTCACACTAATGTGGTCAAAGATGAACTGGGTAGCAGCAACCTTTACTCCACCCCTCGGTTTCGCGTGCTCCCTAATCGCCTGGCTCGTCACCGCCCAAAAGGAAAGCGGCGAACTAACGGTTCTCACAACCGGCGCCAATAACCCCATGTTAGCAGGCAACGTCGTCGCTCTCCTATCGCCCATCATCTTCATACCCGTGTTCACGTACGGGTTTGGCCCCCAGAACTACGACTGGCAAAGCATGAAGGCCATCCGCCGAGGCGACGACCACGATCTCGCTCTCGCTGCCAACGTCGATATAGAATGCATACCCGGCGAACAACGGCGCGCCATCGAGGCCGACGAGGAGGAACAGGCCAAACTACTCAAAGCATCGCGCATCGCGCGCTGGCTAACGCTCTTCATGGCAATCTCTTTCCTCATACTCTGGCCTATGCCCATGTACGGATCTTCGTACATCTTCAGCAAGAAGTTCTTCACAGGCTGGGTTGTAGTGGGGATTCTGTGGATGTTTTGTTCGTGTTTTGCGGTGGGGTTGTATCCGCTTTGGGAGGGGAGGAAGACTAGTGTTAGGACTTTCAAGTCCATGTGGGCGGACGTTACTGGTAGGAAGAAGCCAGGGAAGGGGCCGCAGATTGTGGAAGGTCAAGGGTCAGATACACCACCTGAGACGATGGAGGAGAAGATGGTGAAGGAGTAAGAACTGGTTGGAAGACATGAATGCAGCATTGCCGCTCTCAGAGTTTTGATATGTATCGTAAGACATTTTTCGTACACTGTAAGTTATGATACGATTATGTTACAATGAGCGTGGTGCGGCTTCAAGTGTCTGTTTCAGCAACGTCACCATATGCAAAAGTCTTCAAGCTCTTCAAATGTGGTAATGTTTTCATTTTATCCAAGATCAAACGCCTGCCCATATTCCCAGATGTAACACCTCCCAAGCGCAACGAAGCGCGGCGATTAAGCCATGACAAAAAACTCCCTCGAAGGACAATACACCGAGTCCGTCTTTTCCCAATGTTCGTAAATATCATGAAACTTCGTGTCCATAGGACGCTCGAAAGCCAGTTTATATGATTCAACGCCTTGCAATGCTTCCGAGACGCCTCGCTTGCTGAATGTGGACAAGAAAGCCATGATGAGACCCAGTTGTACGCTTGACAGATAGTATGAGGGTAGATGTGGAGAAGCCTTTCCGTAGAAAGGATCGCGTCACACACCCAAACGAGATATGATACTTACCAACTTACCGTTGCGCGTAGAGTCGGATAAATGATACCAGCTCCATTGCGCAAGTCGGTAGTTGTGATGGCCGTTCTAGACACTTGTCATCTGAGCCCACTGCTCCTCCTAGATTCACACCCGTTCTGTGTGAGCTCCTCCGCCGTCGGATGAAGTAACTTAGCGGATGGTCATCTGCTTGGTGGCGCTGGGCTTCATCGAAGCAGAGCCAGCGGCGGCAACGGAAGGCTGGCCGGGCTTCTTCTCAAAGATCTTCCAGAACTTGAGGGACTCGTCGGCAGCGGCAGTGGCGAGCATCTGGCCATCAGGGCTGAGGCAGCTGTGAAGGACACGAGACTCATGGGCAGGGATCTCCGTGTTCTTGACACCGGAGGGGTAGCTCCAGACGCTCAAGCTGTTGTCAGGGAAGCCACCAGTGCTGACGATCTCCTTGTAATGGGTGCTCCAGCGTAGGCTGGTGACCTGGGAGTCGGTGGGAATGTGGTTGATGCGAGCGCCGGTCGTGGTGTTCCAGAAGTAAATCTGACGGTCGTTGGAACCACCGCCGGTGGCAAGCAGGTTGGATTGCCATGGGCACCATGAGACAGCCTTGACAGCAGCACGGTGGTTGGTCTTGGTGAACTTGGGAGCGGCAAGCGCACGAGCATCCCAGATGTTAACCATGTTGTCGTTGGCGCCAGTAGCGAGCTGGGCACCGTCGGCGCGCCACTCAAGACCGCAGACCTCTCCGGTGTGGGAGACGAGCTCAGCAATCTTGTGTTGGGCGATGCGAACGTCGTGGTTGTAAACGAGGCCAGAGCGGGCACCGGTGGAAAGGATGTGCTTGTTCCATCCCATAACACCAACACGAGTCTCGTGGCCAAACATGCTGCGAAGCTTGGTTTGCTCCTCAACATCCCAAATCTGGACCTCACCTGTGCCGAGACCGACACCAACGTAGGCACCGTCGCCGGACCACTTGACGGAAGAGATGTAGGTGTCGGCAGGGCACTCAAGGAGAGAGGCTACTGTGCCGGAGTCGGCAGACCAAACGTAGACTGAGCGCTCAAGACCAATGGCGACCTGGTTGCCAGATGACCAGTCCAGAAGGTTGAGATAGTAGTCATCAACAAGACCAGGAGCATCGAGGACGCGCTCAGGTGCTGACGGAATGCGACGACGGCTCTGTGCGTTGACACCGCTGGTAGGCTTAAGAGGACGGTTGTATTGCGAGCGAAGGTCAATGGGCTTAGACGACTCAGGCGGCGCAGGCTTGAAAGCCAGAATGCGAGTGTTTGTGTTGATACCACATGCGGAGGCAAGAGTAGACTGGTATGCGGCCTGGCCAGGAGCAGGCTTTGAGCGTGATCGGGTCTCCTCTTCATCGTCCTCAAGACTCAGGCCCTCCAAGGAAAGTGTGACATCCTCCTCTGAACCACGACCGCCAAGATCGAAAGCACTGGCGGCATTGGCAAGGACGGTTGAGCCCTCCTGCTTGGAGCTAGACTTGGGGCGCTGTTCGACATCAAGCTTGGTGGCACCGACGCTGCGGATACCCTCGCTTGCCGTCCGGTTGGGAATGAAACGGTCGGCAGAGTTGTATGCAATGCGGGTCTTGGTAGGGCGAGCGCGAATAGCAGCAGCCGCCTCCTTCTTCTCCTTCTTTGCCTTGGCTGCGGCAACAGTACCTGATCCAGTGAGGGCCCATTCGGATACACCGAGTTCTAACCGACGGGGGGTGTGGGTGTGGGAGCGAGCAATGTTGGATTTGGGTGAGTCGCGGGTGGTCTTGGTGACGGAGCGCTGGATGCGGGACTTGAAGTCGTTGCCATGGATCGACTCGTGTGCCTGCACATCGGGAGTCTGAGTTCGCGGGGTGCGGGGAGAGGGTGTCAATGGCATCCGACCGCCGGCGGTACGGGTGTTGAAGACTGCAGAGCGCTTCTTGACCGGAGTCACGCAAACTGCTGTGCTTGCCATGGCTGCTAGGCTCTTACTGGACTAGGTTAGTTGGTTGCTTAGTACATATACGTGGATTGATGGCATACAGTATGGGGTTTGGTTTCTGCTATATGTTGTAAGGATTAGTATTAGACGATGCTGTAATCAATGCTTTGAAGTATTGATTCGAAAGTAATTGATTGGTTTGCGATCTGGAGAGGGAGATGCAGGGTAGTGCGGATGTAGAGTGTGTGGTAGTGGATATGTACGAGGGCAGGTATGGGGGCGTTTAAGTATCCTTTGTTTACGCTTGCGTTGACCAGGTAACCAACGTCAGGACCCTGCGCGAGGCTGGCTGGACGACGAAACCTTAGACGCATGACATCACATGATGGTGCTCGACCCTCGCCGATATCAGAGTGCGCCCGCTTTCTGAAGCAGCCTGCATACTCGCCGTGCATCTCCATGGCCTTGCTTTTGCGTGCAGCATCAATGATGGCTTCATAGGGTCTCGTCGTGCCAGACTGCGACGCATCAGCATTCACGTTGCCAATCACATACTCACTGCCACTAATCTCGGAGCCAAACCAAGGAATCTCCACAATCGTGCATTAATCTGTTCAGCTCCTCAGTGGCCAACTCGTGGGTGGCTCGCTATTCCCGTGTCTGTCGCAGGGCTGAGTCGTCGTGGGTCGGCGTTTCCGCTTGCAGCTAAAGCGGTGACGAGCGGCAATATGCACGGCCAGCCAACTCAACTTCCTCCCGTCAAACATTCTCCCAGCCTAGACAAAGGTCACCCCTGCCCACTGGGGCTCTACCACGAAACTAACCTCACGCTGTTCACCGCCCACTATCCATGGCACAACCCTCCGCTCGATCCGCTTTCCCGTCCAACATCCTCAGCCCCACCGTCACCTCTACACCCTCGCCCAGCCTCTCACACGCGAACACACCAGGATCCGCCAGCTCTACCAACAACACATTCCTCATGTCTGCGAGCCCCGTCCGAAGCCGCAGATCAGCCGTAGAAGGCTACAAACCGAAAATGATTTCGACAATTGGCGCCAAGCCCGCTTGCCTCGTCAATGCGTCGGTGACATATGTTGGCGATGATCAGATATACGCCTTTGGAGGCTTCGACCAGTACACTGACGAAGTATACAACCACGTGCTTCGTCTGAACCTCGTCACACGACAATGGAATCTGGTCGACAACTACGGGGATATTCCGGGCGTACGAATGGGTATGTGCTCACCGCTCTGTTTCCACATAGTACCTGCATCTCGACTGACACACTATTCCAGGGCACACTGCATGCCTCTGGCAAGGCAGCAAACTTCTCGTCTTCGGAGGGGAGAACGAGCATCGCCAACATCTCGCCGATGTTATTGTGTTCGACCTCAAGACCGCCCATTGGACGCAGCCCGAACTCCACGGGCCCATACCTCGCGGTCGCGCCCGCCACTCGGCCGTAATCTACGATGACAAACTATATATCAGCGGTGGTCAGACTGGGCATGACAGTGTACTTGACGACATCTGCTATCTTGACCTGAAGACGTGGACCTGGTCACGAACATGGAAATTCGTCCCTCGTTACGATCACGCCAGCTGGATCTGGAACGGTCGCATCTGGATCTTCGGTGGCATCAACGACGACATGGAAAAGAACAACGAGATCTGGTGGCTCGATCTCCGCGGCAGCCCAGAGTTTGATCACGCAATGAAATATGGAACAGGCGACCGGCAACTCACCTCATCCCGACATCGCTACCCAGTGCCGGCGTCTGGTCAGCTCGCGACCGGCAGTACGGGTTATACTGCCAACTCAAGCGTCCAATCGTACCATGGCATGGGTTCAAGTCGCTCACCCTACGTTGCGCCCGGGTCCATCTCGTCTCTCAGATTCCACTCCAGTCCAAACTTACCATCACAGGCGGCGGGCACACACTTTCACATCTTTTCATCTGGTTGCATGCTAGACTTCGTCACCCCAGCAGAGCTGAGTTGCGAGACCAGCTTGTCTAGTCTGGAGCTAGACACTCTGCGATGGCAGAAGCTCGCCGACGGAAAGGATCTTTACAGCCCAAACTACCGCTGGCACTATTGCACAACTAACCCGGAAGGGACACATGCCTGGCTTCTAGGCAGCCCGATCGAGTCGGCAAATGATGGGAACCACAATGGCGAGTATCTCAGCGATGTTCTCGCTATCGACCTTCGCAAGTACGGCATCCTGGGTAACGAGCTGGCCTCAGACACACGCTCCAAGATGATGCCCTCCTCTGACGCTAATGTCTCTTCGCATCTCACCGGTATCGGTGCGGATCTTTCCCTGACTTTCGATCAACCACCGGAGAGTGGCAGCGGCGCAGATTTCATCATAACGGCCGATCCTGACGATGATGACTACGTGGATGTTGCAGCACCAGATCCTAATGGCTCGTCAACTGCTGTGGGTCCAGTCTCGCGGCCGATACACGTCCATAAGCTCATTCTACATGCTCGTTGGCCTCATTTTGCCCGTCTGTGGAGCGCCCAGATGGCTGAATTTCATTCGAAGAAGATGCATATTCCTGAGCCATACTCGGCGGTTCGGGCCTTCCTGTTCTATCTGTACACCGACAGCATTGCGCCGAATCCGCAGAATGGACCCAGCCTAAACGATGTGGCAGGCATGCTTGTTATGTCAAATATCTATGACATGCCTCGTCTTCGCCTACTCTGCGTGAACCGTCTAGGTCGGGAGCTTGATATTGAGCATGCTGCCATAATTTGGGAGCGTGCTGCTACTGCTGGAGAGGACTGGCTCAAGCAGCGAGCAGCAACATTTTGCATGCAAAACTTCGGTAGAGTTGTCCGCACAGCGGGCTACCGTAGCCTCAGCCCCGCAAGCTTGATCGAACTTAGCTGTGAGGCCACTCCAGAAGCGCGCGTCGTCGGTGGAGAAGACCTGGATTTACTCAGCCAGCTCACCGGCCGCTCCTTTGGTGGTAGCAACCGCAAGCGGAGCTTGGGTAGCGCAGGTGTTCTTACTGCCGGTGAAGATGATGGAGAAGACGAGGTGGAGGATGATGGCATGGATGTGAATTAATTCACAAATGTGCGCGGAGGCTGACAGTCACATTATGGGTTTGATTCTTTTAGCAACTTGGTTTTCTGCTTTGTATCGTACGTCACAAGCATATTGGCGCGGCGTTGGTCATTTGAAGGGTAATTGGGAGGCGTCTACTGGCTAGATTTGATATATGCATTGCGTGGGCGCGCAGAAACTCTGGGGACGGTGTTTGAGCTCATGGTTCCTTTTTCTTGTTGATGGCACTCACGATAACATGATTGCACAAGTATTATACCGCTACATAGATATACCGAGTTTCCTTTTCGCTGCCTTGATTCGGTTTACTAGCCATATCGAATTCTTCGTCCACCTTTCTGCTCTAGCATTAGGCAACTTACTGATATCCCCTTTCGTTCTGCATAATGAATCGCATCTCGCCCACTGATCTTAGTACAGTTGTTCGCTTTGATGCTCTTTAGCGTCGGAAGCTTGTCCGCCAGCATCTTGATGGACGCTCCCGTGATATTAGTATGAGAGAGATCGATTGTCGTGAGTCCCGTTTTGTGGGTAAGGAGTTCCTCAATTGCGTCGTCGTTGCAGGGCATGGTGGCAATGTCCAAGGATTCTAACGCTGGTGTGAGAACCCGCGGTGATGCACCTAATATCGAATCATGTCCCATTGGAGTAAGCAATTGGCTGGAGTGTTCATGTAGAAGACCGTGTAGTGATAATGACTCGAGGGGTTTCCCGGGCAAGCATGTCTGCGTTTCGCTGTTGTGCATGCATACGTCTAGTAGCCTTCCCAATGCGTTTGTAGCTAGGCCTTCGAAGCCGAATATGGTTAGGTGTGTAAGTTCTGGGATGCAGCACCGCTCCAGGGCTCCAAAGTCGGTCAGGTTCAATCTACCGCCGTCGTTCTCTAGGACAAGCCGCTGTAGTGTTTGCGGCAGTAATGGGAAGGTCTGGAGGTTCACCTGTTTCAACACCAGACTTTTGAGCGGCGGCAACTGAGTGACCTCTGTGGGCCATCCGCGCTGGAATTGAAGGCCACCTATATTGGAGAGTGATAGAGATTCCAGGAATGGTGTACGGCTCAGTAGCTCGGTTAGCCCGAAATTAGCCGCTATGATGGAGGAAGACCAGTGTATGTTGAGTGTGCGGAGGTTCCCAAATGGAGCTGCCCAAGTAGTAGCGGTCGTCTTGCCCCTTAGCGCGCCGAAGGACACATGCTCCAGCGTAGGTCGCGCATGCAGTATCTCCTCCGCAGTGTCTTGCCGAATCTCCGGATGTATGGTGAACTTCTTCAGCTTCGGAGCACTCTTGACAATGTCAATCAGCATAGCTGGTAGGGCGTGGGGTAAGGAGATAAGTTCCAGTTCAGAAAGGTCTTTGGCAGATTTCGCAAGGTTCTTCATTACGTCCATGTGTTCGAAGCGATGGACAGTGACGCGTGTCATACGAAATTCTGAGCGCTTGAAAGCCGTATTGACAAAGGAGCGAGGGACAAGCCTACGGGCACCGGAGAGATCGAGATGCATCCAAAGCTTGGGTAGCTTGGAGAGATAGTCTCGCCATCCCTTGTTGACGCGCATGCAGTTGACCATGTGGCGGAAGGAGCAATACTCTAGTACCATCTCCGCTAACTCAGCAGGCAGAACTGTGAATGGATCGATGGCTGATGCAGGTGATAGTTTGCGTGTGAGCTTGTCGTGGAGTTGTTGCAAGAGCTGGTCATAGTCAGCCATCCGGTCGAGATGGTAAGCGGAGAACAGAAATTCGTTCATGAGGGAGTAGCAAACCAGTCGAGTCTTTCTTTCTTCTAAAGGAAGTCGAGTAGTTGGTCGTGAAAGAGACTAGGAGACGAGACGACAAATACATTACGTACCTTGAAGTTCTTGTCGCTGACTGGGACATTCTTCATACCATACTTGTAGATCCCAAGGGCTGTCTCAGGCTTCTCCATCTTCTCCAGCACATTCGCTGTACGTAGATATCCCTTCACATCCTTCTTGTTCAATCTGATCATCTCTCGGCCATCCTTGACAGCAGCGTTGAGATTGCCCAGTTTATCATGTGTCGCAGACCGATGATCGTATAAATCTGCGGTTGGACAAGCCTCAATGCCTTTTGAGAATGTTTCCAATGCTTTCTCGTATTGTTTTAGCTTGTAGTAGCTGCGACCGATTTCCCGGTACTCTTCGGGTAACATTGTGCGAGCCATAGTGATGCGAGTAATGCACGTCAAATTGACCGATGTTTGATCGTGGATGAATACACTTCAGTGCAAACAGCCAGGTAAGCCTATAGCGCGGCAATGATCAAAATCAGGGTAAATTGTCCAGTCGCGCAGTTACGAACTGAACAGTTCCGGGAAAGGAAACTGATGTGCTTCGGAGATTTGCAGGTTGCTTCCTGCCGTAGATCTTTCGTGTAAGAGACGTGGTCCACGAATTGCAGTGTTGAAACGCGTAAATAACGTGCTACCTGGGTAAAGTGCGGGCGACGCGACGCGTTCCGTCACCAAGGCCCAACACTAGTATGTGCGCACGGCCCTCATATTTCGTTGAGCTTGTCAACCCAAACAACGGACTTGTTCTCGTTAACAAAACTTCTTGTAAACAATGTGCATAACACACACACGGTTGTACGGGTTTTGGGTTCATTTTCTCGGACGATGCGTCGGCGATTCTTGTCGCTCGCTACCTGATTTTCACTCTTGCCCAGGTACTGGTAACGACTGACTCTGATTAAACGCCATGCGCAGTTGTCGCAGCGTACGAATAAACTCGTTTTTACTTCCGAACTTACTAGCACTGTACTGATCCTCGTCGTCGCGAGGCTGGTAGTTTCATTGTTCAAAGTGGTAGTACTCACAATCTCGCATAGCAGAACAAAAGTCATTAGTATGAGCGTACCAACTACGAAATGAAAACACAAAGAGTCTAGCCGTGCTTTTCCCCCGAGTTTGCATAGGCAAACCAAGCGGGTCGAGGTTAAGGAGAAGAACCAGGAAGGTTGTTGTTGTTGTTGTTGCTGACATGTGGAAGGACACATGAAAGGACACATGAAAGGACACGTGAAAGGACACGTGAAAAGACATGTGAAAGCCAGCTATCACGAAGAGGAAAAGAGCAGTTCCGCGGATGGGAGATGGGCGCGCCAGATACACCGAGATGCTGCCTCGGTTCATCACCGGGGCAGACATGGGACTGACCAACGTAGAAATGAGGGAGTTCAAGGCGTCCAAGCCCGAACTCTCGTCCGCCCCTGGGTCCGCTGTTCTGCGACTAGCATTGGCGACCACTGGGCGATGCACGACGAACCTTGTGATTTTAGCGATGGTGGGACACATGACGGTTGAGGAGGAGTAAATCCTGGAGATGGTTGGATGTCCACACTGCCTTTGGACATCGGATGGAATTATCGGACATTGGCAGCATCCTTAGCATATAAACTTGGTCTTGGGATCGGGTTGAATAAGTCGCTCCGATGTGAAGTCGGAGGTCGAATCAGTCGGGGCAGTAGTACGCCTTTATGCGGCACAGTGCACCACCATCACAATACAGTGGATCTGTCATCTCCAGCCCTCGCATTGAGCGGAGACCCCAGAGCTAGGACATCGCAGCAAACCATCCTTCAGTTTGATCTTCGCCGTTCTCCCCAGTCCCAGAGTCCTGGCAATGGGGTTGACGATGGTAACCAAGTGGGATTAAAGCAAGCGATTCTGTGGAGGCCAGTCACAACCATCATGCATAATCAAAAGCTATTGGCGGGTTTTGGAACGACCCTGCGTTCCAGGAAGTGTTAGAAAAGTGGAGTGTGATTATCAGTATGATTATCAATACGGTATTTGAATAAAGCGGAGACCCCGACATTGGACGGCATTTCCGGTGACAAACTGGAGTCTATGACACTTGGCAGGGACATGTGCGAGAGTGCGGTGTAGTGTACGCCGAAACGGATATAAAGAGGGTATTTAGGCAGTTATATGTGGAGTTACCATGTCGTTGGTGTATTTGGTGTGTTTTAGCACACAATGTTGGAGCCGTCTTTTCCGTGAATGTGGTATGCTTGCGGGAGCATAGTTTCGCGTATGGAATGATGGGGTACTGGAGAGATCGGCACATTTTAGCTGGGCCGCGGGGTAAATGGGTCATTATGGAGAGTTGTCGCAGTTCTCCATATTGCTTCCTTTGCATTGACTGGTGTTGCTTCCTCATGCCTGTGTGAGGAAAAAGGAGGATGTTGCGACAAAGCTGTCAGCGCGGATGGCCCGAAACAGGAAGGCCCGAGATCTGCACAATGAGAGCCTCATCCCCGCGCTAGACTTGGGAACTCCACACGAGCCCTTCCCGACTGCTAAGCATATGCATTGGCAACTTATCCCGCCATGGCAGAAAGCGCGATTATCGCATGCTACTCGCAACGTCGGCCAAGGCGATCAGCCGCACGGCGAAGTTTTCTAGGAACGATGCAAGCAAATGAGACTGCTGACACGAAGCAATCTATCTGGGTACCAAAGCATACCTATCTCCAGCCTCGGGAACCTCGAGGGCTCACATGGAGCACATCGCTATCACGTGCAAGGGAATGTCTCCTCCCGGCCGGCAGTCGTCTCCGAGCCCTGGAGCAATTCCGCCCGATGTTCGTTCTGCACTCCATGTCACACGAGTAGCGCGTCCGACCATCACAGCACGCATCGTCACCGTTGCAGAACATGGCGTGTTTAAGCTCCACCACACACGGTCCTTATTAGTTAAGATCATCGGCCAAGTAGCAGAGGCTGCAGAGCCGCATGCGCACGGTTGGTCAGACCCTGCATGGGGACGGACGCGAGTCGCCGGTGGATGACGTCAAGCGCCCTCTTGTTGAGATTGAAACCGTGCCGTATAGGAAAGCTGAGGACGCTATCCGTACACGGCGGCATGTAGCCCGAGACGGCGCCCTCTATGACTGGCGGTATGCTAACGAACGCTGAGTTGTTGCATCATTCTAACATGCGTGTCGTAGACTCTACGGGCGATTCGCGGTGGCGTAGTGCGCGAAGAAACTTCTTTTAGAATTCTCGAATCTCAGGCGAACCAGTCGTTCACCACTCGTTCGACCTTCATGTTTCCGCTAGGGCTCCCCAACATCACCCCAAGCCTTGCAAACATGACGTAATGTGGAGGTAACCTCGGGCTAAGAGAAGAGGCATTGTGTGCCGAGCGCGCTTGTGAGACCGCAAGCGTCCTCCGCTCTTCTCCAAGATTGGCCCAAGATGTTGCGCTCCACCAACGGACCCTGTTAGGTTCGCCTTGTCTCCACAGTTTATTTGCGCCTCTACCGCCAGCAACAAGGCTCGCAGTATTGCTACACCAGCCAAGGCCAAGATGTTGGAAAAAAATCCGTTATCTAGTTTTCTCCACGCGTCAGTCGTAACCTTGGTAGTGTATCTTTTAGTGGGCCGAGGATAGACGACCATTGACCACGTTTTTGCCGAAGACCCTTGTGCTGGTACTGCGATGATCATTTAAAGGTGTACTCCCTCCCCACGGATCTTTCCTCCCCAGCATCTCCTCACTTCTCTCCAGCTTTGACCGATACACCGCAACCATGCCGCCACGTATCAAGGAGTCTGAAAATGGTGTTCCCACCTACTGGGGTCAATCCGGTAGGATGCTACAGGTCCTCGTCACCATCGTTGCTGTTACCGATTTCCTCCTCTTCGGTTATGATCAGGGTGTCATGAGTGGAATCATCTCTGCCCCTGCCTTCGTCTCTGCCTTCCCTGAAGTCGACGGCGACTCTACCTACGAAGGTTTTGTCGTCTCTATCTACGCCGTCGGTTGCTTGCTTGGTGCCATCTTCGTCTTCATCTTCGGTGACAAGCTCGGACGTCGCAAAAGTATCTTCCTGGGTGCCGGGGTTATGATCGTCGGTGTCATTATCCAAATCGCCTGTGTTCCCCCATCCAGTGGTGCTACCGCCCAGTTCATTGTCGGACGATGCATTACTGGTGTTGGCAACGGTATCAACACTTCTACCATTCCCACCTACCAGGCTGAGTATGTTCCATTCAACTCCATCTCTCAAGATCTTTTGCTAACGACTTTTCAGGTGCTGCAAGGCTAAGAACCGCGGTAAAGTCATCTGTATTGAAGGCTCCATGGTTGCTATTGGCACGCTTATCGCCTATTGGATTGATTACGGCTGCCTTTACGGTCCTGATGACTTCACGTGGAGATTCCCCATCGCTTTCCAGTGTGTCTTTGCCATTATCGTCATCATCATGATGACTTCACTACCTGAGTCTCCCCGATGGCTCCTCAATCACCACCGCGAAGACGAAGCCGCTACTGTGCTTGCCGGTTTAAACGGAGTCTCCCGCGACGACCAAGAGGTTATTATCCAGATGCAAGTCATCCGCGACGCTGTCAACGCCTCCGGCGGTGGCGGCAAGGTCCCAACCAAGGCTCTCCTGACAGGTGGAAAGTCTCAGCATTTCCGCCGTGCTATCCTCGGTGCCTCCTCGCAATTCATGCAACAATTGTCCGGATGCAACGCTGTCATCTACTATTTCCCTATTCTCTGCCAGAGTGCTTTGAACACTACCCACAACCTCGCCCTTCTTCTCGGAGGAGTCAACATGGTTGTTTACGCCCTCTTCGCCGCTACCTCATTCTACTTCGTTGAGCGTGTTGGCCGCAGAAAGTTGTACCTCATCGGTACCGTTGGCCAGATGACTGCTATGATCATCACCTTCGCCTGCCTACTTCCCGGAGGCGTCAACAACGAGAACAACGAGGGACCTGCTAAGGGTGCCGCCGTCGGTCTCTTCTTGTACATTGCCTTCTTCGGTGTTACCTGGCTTCCTCTTCCCTGGCTGTACCCTGCCGAGATCAACCCTCTCAGGACCCGCCAGAAGGCCAACGCTTTCTCTACCATCAACAACTGGCTGTGGAACTTCTTCATCGTCATGATCACGCCCGTATTGATCACCAACATCGGCTGGGGTACTTACCTCCTCTTCGCTGCTCTGAACGCTTCCTTCATCCCCGTCATCTACTTCTTCTACCCCGAGACGGCTGGTCGATCCCTTGAGGAGATTGATCTCATCTTCGCCAAGGGTTACACTGAGAAGATGAGCTATGTGCATGCCGCTAAGCAGCTCCCCAAGATGGACGAGGCTCAGATTGCCGAAGCCGTTCGCCAGTACGACCTCTCTGACAGCGATGTTGAGAACCGCTCTGCGGCTGGATCACTCAAGGAAAAGCGTCAGCAAGATGAGGAGCTTATGCCTCAGGCAGGCGGACAGATGTAAGGTCTCGAAATTTGCAGGAGCAAAGATATGAGCGCTGGTCGTATACGATTGCGAAAGGGCGCGCTGTGTGCGCTTTAGTATGGGCGAGCTGATGTTTGTTATGCATAATGTCTGGAGGAATTATACCCGACGCGCAGACGTCAATCCATCTAGGCTCGAGAAGCATGTAGTAGTTTGCTAGGTCGCATACTTGGATGTATGCGGGAGTTTCTTTTTGTTTCTTGCTGTGTTTGCATAGTATCGCATTATACCATAGAACGACAAACGTCGTCAAGCCATAGATATCTATGATTATCTCTTACCACATTTTATCTTCTCTCATATGGGTGCGGATGTGTTTGCGAAATGAATGCGTTAATACTGACATATCCCAACATGGTGATATAGACGATTCGTTGACAGCGAACTGGCAATAGGCCAAGTCATAGGACTTGAATGTTATGGCAACTTCGTAGTGAGTGGCGAACACAGTTGCGGGGTCTATCGATGAACCGCCACATGATTGAATGCGATTTACAACTGTTGCTGCATACTTCTTACAACACTTCCGAGGGGGAGTGAAGAAGGGTGTAGTGGTCGGCACCGTCTTGAGATCCGTTCGCAGTGTGCACGTGCCTCTCGGAAGCGTTCCGATATTCCTTCGATGACACTTGTCTTTGAATCTTTGATGTAGCGATCTCACACCTCCTACCTGCAACCGAGCAACATGGCGAAGGCGAGCGTGTCGTTCGACACACTAGGCCCCTTTCTAGTGTGGCAGTTTCTCATACCTGTCGTAAGCATACCCCCAATACTTCTGCTGTAGCAACATCTAACGCGACACAGGCAGCAGGATGGGCTCAGTCAGTCCTCTACAGCATCTTCATTCGCGCCGGTGACTCCAAACCGCAACCTGGCTCCCCACGCTATATCAAGCATCGTCGCAACATTCTAATCGCCATCTATGCGGCCTACTTCGCCTTCACCATCTACGAAGTCGATTTCAACCTTCAGCGCTCCAGCAACGCATACAACGACCTCGGCGTCCCGATAGATGTCGACGAGAGCGGGCTGAATTCGCGTTTCAGGAGATTAACGATTCGGTATCATCCAGACAAGATTGGGCCGAACGTGAATAGAGACAGGGCGAATGACTTCTATGTTCATTTGAAGCATGCTAGAGACATCATACTCGATCCTGCGAAGCGCTTCGCATATGACCGCTTCGGACCAAGCATCTTTGCGCAATGCCAGAGCTGTTTGACCATCAAAGACTACACTGACAGTGCGCTGCTCACTGCAGTTACAACCTACGGCGCACTCCTCATTGTTCTAATCGGTGCAAACGCCCTTGGTTTCCTAACTGATGGCTCATACTGGCGATATCTTGGCCTTCTCGCCGTCGCGACTTTTGAAGTCCACACCGCTCTTCGCCCCGACCATCCTACCATCCTCTCAAAATACCTGAACCCACTCGTCGCGTCAACTCAATTACGTCCCGCATACCTACCTTTCCAAATCGTCACCATAATAAAGAAAGCTGCGATCTCCCTAACGCAATTCCTCGCTCTGCTTATGCCACTTTACCGTTCCGACCCTCAACACCCTACCAAACCTACCGACGATGCCGAAGACGCCCGCCACAAGCAACTCGACCGCCTTAATGGACTTGTTGCAGAGAGCAACAAGGATGCGAACAGATTACTAGAGTTGGAGAGTGTACCGTATAGGGATAACGAGAGGGCGAAGAGTGAGCTGAGGGAAGCACTTAAGAAATACATGGTGCAGAACGTGGTACATCAGGAGAAGGAGGTGAGAAACGCAATGGGCGAAGTCATGATGAGGAGAAGGACTGGTGTACCACACGGTGCGGTAGGCACAAGATAGGATCGGTCCAAACCAACCGACGCGTCGTAGCAATCCATGACTCTTCTACTCAGTCCCAAGGATACGGCACAATCCATAATTGACGACTTTGTATACCACCACTCGCTGTTAGGGATTCTGCCTCTGAATGTCCGGCCCATACTTCGTTATCTTAGTAGAGGAATGGTAGGTCAATCTGGTAGGACAGAAGGCGACCATGAGCAAGAGGAAACTTTATCTCGGTTGGGATCAATGACGGAAGCGATTTTCATGATTTGTTGTATTCAATGTCCAAATTTGGATCGGATCAGTCTTCTCTCAATTTGGTACAGTATCCGCCGTCCGTGAGATGATTAGTGTCCCGCTTTGTTGCCGTTTGTTGCTAAATCCGACTTTTGCCCCCGGTATGGAGCAAATTCCGATGATCCGCCAACTCCCCGCAACTCACCCCACACCTTCTAGGACGCTTCCAGCAACGTTGACAGCAGCTCCGTGGAACATCTCGCGGCCGTCGGAATAATGTTGTCCGCGTTAGCTTGTGAAAACGGCACGATGATGTCGATATAGACTCGGTCAAGTTGTCTGATGGCATATGAAGCTCAGATATTCATCAATTCTACTGCCTCAACTTCCATAACGCAGTAAAGACATCGGTACGTTCACAATGGCCTCACTTAGAACTGCCGCAATCTCACTTGCAGCCACTGCTGTATACGCCTACCCAACAACGGAACACTCTGGAGCATCGACGATAAGCATACCAAAGACTGCAGAAGGTGCCTCGATCCCACATAGCAACTCCTTCGCGTCATTCTCATTCGAACCCGCCTTCTGGGTTGACTTCTTCGGAAATGCTAGCAATCCGAACAACCTCACGTTCAGCGTTCTGGAAAGGATCCATGAGCATGGCGGAAGCCCCGTCATACGGCCTGGGGGTATCACCATGGACAGTATGGTCTTCGACAAAGAAGGCGGCGATGTAGTGCGTACCACCAGTCCAGAAGGCGGCGTATGGCGGACTACTGTCGGACCAGATTACTACAAGAGTTGGAGCAACTTTCCCAATGGCACCAGGTTCATATCAACTCTCAATTTCGGCAACGAGAGCTTGGAGATTTCTACGGGCCTTGCAGTCGCGTCGCTCACATACCAGCCTGACAAGGTCGCGTATTTGGAGCTGGGAAACGAACCAACCAACTACGAAGAAAGCAGGTGGAACGATTCGACAGCGGCCTATGTGCAGGAATGGAAACAGTACACAGCTAGTATTGATGCCGCGTTGGATGCGTTGAACAATTCGGATCTACCCCAAGAGCGCTGGTGGGCGTCTTCCGCAACAACGGATGACTCAGGCCTGGAGGTTCGACCTGCTGCGCTGATCCCAGCAGGCATCGACTCAGAGGACCAGGTCGGCGTCTATTCAATACATTCATATGCCTTCTCGACCTGCGATCCCGAACGCGCGGCCTTGGCTACCATCGAAAACATTCTCAATCACACTGAGCTCACACGCTACTGCGATGAAGAAATCTACCCATCTGCCCGCGCTGCTCTAGATGCAGGAAAAAGCTGGAACATTGGTGAATTCAACTCCGTTTCTTGTTCCGGCGCACCGAATGTTACCGATACATTTGCACAAGCACTCTGGGTCGTAGATAGTGAACTCATCTACGCGACACGAAATGCCAGCTCCACGCATCTACACCAGGGGGCTACACTTGCCCTCCAATCGAACCAACAGCTCAACAAGCCTGGTGCAAATGGCAGTCCCGGCTTTAGCACTTATTCGATGTTGTACCCCCGCGATAGCGACTTGAGAGGTCCATCACGTACTTTGCCTTCTTTTATTGCGCAACTTTTCATGGCTGAGGCTTTTGCTGTGCCTGAGACTCGGGTACGCGCTCTCGACCCACCCGCTGGCGTCGATTCGGAGTCCTTCTCTGCGTATGGCTTTTACGTAGAAGACCGCCTGTCCAAGCTTGCTCTTGTCAATATGAAGCCCTTTTATGCCAACTCAACTGAGGACTTTTCGGTACATGTCGATCTATCGGAAGCCGTAAGCCCCAACAGCGGATGTCTAGGTCTGAAGAGGTTGACGGCGCCTTTTGTAAACACTGGTAACAGTTCGTTGGTATCGTGGGCTGGACAGTCTTTCCCTCAGGGTGAGGCGATAGGCAATGTGGTAGTTGAAATGGTCGGGGAAGACAACGCGGTCGACGTGAGAGGTAGCGAGGCAGTGCTCGTGTTTTTCGACAAAGGCGACATATATGGCCTATAGATCTTGCCGTCTACGCGATATTTCCAGCATTGATGCCACAATGCAATAAACGCGATAGCAATAGACGGCAAGCCTACACCGAGAGCAATCTTAGCCTCGTCAGTGAGTCCTTCTTTTGACTTTTCTTTTGACGGAAGCTCGGTGTTCGTTGCTGTGGGATCCTCTGGTGATGATACTTTTGTTGTTGGACTAGGTACCACAAAGTGTGTTTGTAGTGATGTTGGAACCAATGTGCTAGATGAATAGATAGATGGTTCTTGACCTGATGGGCCCTGGACGATTTCGGTGCCATTTTCGTTCAGATAGAACCCGGACTGATCCGCACAGCATGCAGTATTCTTTTTACCGCAACAGAAACTACCGTCGTCACACATGGAGACATGTGTATAGTCCTTTTGTTGGCCTGCGCAGTCAGTCTCACCATTTCAGTGCAATGGCAGATAAACGTACCACATGCTTGCCATAAAGGACTGCAGCCACTTCCTTCCGCAGTCCAATTGCGATTGGTACATCCGACAAGAAAGTATTCTCCAGGATGAGCATAGCTCCTGCACGTGCCTCTAACACAGTCGTCGTCTCTGATGTTGTCTGTTCTTCCTATGTAACAGCACATGTTGTTCGATTCGCCACAACGGTTTGGAAAGGAGTCGAATGCGCCATCCCCTTTGTAGCAGCCCTGAGCGTTAGAAATACGTGTGAACGTGAGAATGAGCAAAACGACAAGGCTGACCGACAGGTAATGTAGTCTGAAGCGCGGCTTGATCTTGGTAAGGGTATCCATGTTGATAGAAATAAAGAAGCGGACGAGGCTATGGACATGAGATAGCGACTGCGTACTCACTGGGTGGACGAGTAAAGTATGTGAATATGTAGCAATGATATACCTACACTTGCGAATCTTATATGTACATTGCATGAACTGGTGCGTTTACTGCACTGCGCCTTGTCGCCTGCTGCAAAGGTTGCTGAATCCTCCATTTACTTCTATTTTCAATATTATCAAAGATGAAGAGGCTGAGGCTGAGTTGTAGAGTTGAGATGCTGGCATTGGCCGGTCGGCGTGGAGTTGCATCGTGGCTTAAGCCGTGTTACGCTGGGGGAGGGCAATCGCGATCCTTCAGCCCACCAAAATGGCTAGCGCATCATTTCTTCGGCACACGTCGCAGTTTCTCCTTTAACCAACGCAGTCTTTACATCACGTTTCATCAATCCTTTGAAGCTTCCAACGACGTACGATAAGAGATGGTCTGTTTCAAGGTCTCAGTCGGCGGTAGGCTGCGCAAGTTTAGTGCGGGCCGATAAAAGCAAGTGCCTAGCCACTAAATCTGCATCGCATGAAGGACGATACACAGCCGCAAGCCTCATCTCGTCTGGCGGCGCCACAAGACTCCTTTCACAAAGATTGAGATTATGCGTGATGTACCTAAAGAAGGTTCTAGAAGACAGCTCTACTACCCGCAAGCAAAACCGTTTTGATCCGTTAGACTAACTCCCACGCTAATGCAAAGCTTCTGCTCTCTAAAATCAAGAAACACGACCGTCTTCTCTTAGCTCTTTCGATTATATCGTCCCTAGATTTATGCGCAGTCCTCTCTCTTTCAAAGTTTCTACCACGCTTTTGAGTTTGAGCATGAACTGCGCAGCTTCATTCGAGAAGTGCTCATAGTCCCCATCACTCAAGGATCCTTGGGCTAGATCAATCTCGACCATGACCTCGGTCCGAGCTGTCTTCATGATAGAGAGAGCCTCGATGGTTTTGCAACACCGCTGCTCTTCAAAGAGCCGTTTTTCGGTTAACAGAAACGCAAAGTCAAGAGGCTGGATCTGTATGTGCAAACGTCTTGCATAATGCGCCGGTATCATTCCAAGCCCAAATCCATCTGTTTCAAGGAACGGTTTGAGCAGGCACAGCTCGTGGTGTGCAAACTTAAATGTACGGGTCCAATAGTAGCATTCGAGCAACTCTCTAGCAACATCACCACCCAGACCATCTGCGCTCAAGTATATTGCTGTGGGGTCTTCGATCCATTGGTAGGAGTGTTGGCCGCAAGGTTGTCGGATGAGGTGCGCGAAGCGTCGGGTGTTTCCAATTGCTGTGCGTCGAACAATGACTTCGTTGTCATAGGATCCCTGGACGCAGTATGTATACACGCGGTTACGGATTTCGCGTGGTAGACGTGTGTAGATATCTGAAGCGATGTCTTCGACACGAGGTGTACGAGGGTTTTGTCTATTGTTCCTGGCATGTCAGTCATGTTTAGCTCCTCTTGTGTTTGCCACTCACTGCTTCTTATACCGCTCAACGAGAAGCTCCATATTCCATACAACATTCTGTTGTCGCATCATCTCAAATCCGAACGATATATCGTCATATTTGCACAAATCGATCATATCTTCCTGAAGTCGACTGTGCTATCGCAATGAATGTTAGGGTAACATTAGACGTTGCGGTCCTTACCATATATACACCATCATCAAACAGCGGTGTCTTGTTCAGAAGTCAGACTCACCGCGCAAATGCACACAGATAACCACGTGAGAGCTAACCTGCAAGGATGCTTTTCGCGAATGGTTTCGCGGTAGATTCTCCACTAGTCTCGCCGCCACACGAAGTAATCCGAATTAGGAAAGCATTGCGCATGGCACGGATCCTGTAGGAAGCGGATAACAACAACAAATGCTCCAAAGTGTGACGTCTGACAGCATAAGCCCGAAAGCAACGCCGCAGTCGCCGATATGAGATGGCCCCAATTGAGGCCTAATTGATGGCCTTGAATACCGACTTCGCCGACCGCATCTGCGGCAGCCTGGGAAGGACTTCTGCTGGGTAAGACCTCTCAACTCTAGTTGGACATGGTAAGCGTCTGAACTACGTCGAAGACCCATATATCTATATATGCGCATACTTTAATGGTTCATTTTTACCTATTCCGTCGAATTGGTCGTAGGGAGGTAAGTGGGGTCACGTGCTGTACCCCACTACCTAGGTATACAGGGAAGTACAGAAAGCATCATGTATCCCACCCTTCAATGGTTGGAGACCGAAAACATTCACGGGGCCGAGCCCAGTCTAATAGGAGCAAATCATCCTTCCAATGAGCTCAGTTTGCCTACCTATTACGGTTCGGACCGTGGGTTGACAGGACCCCGCATGCGGCACAGCACGCTCAACGATAACGGCGAAGCATAATGACAGCACGCAGGTGTGCTCGACGAAACGCTCAATTCCCGCGGAGAGTCCACATCGGCGAAGTTCGATATTGTCTGACATACGTCGACTGTGCCACAGCCAGGTAAGACAGCGCTTACATACGCTCCGTATCGCAAATCGCTCACACCGTAAGCAGTACCCGGGCTATCATCGATCGACCGCAAAGATGAACATGAGTTCTCCGGATCTGTGTTCTAGGATCATGGCTCAAGATTAGCCAAAATCGGGTCCCATCCTCCCGCACGGCACGTCGCGATCTTCATTCACCAACATCTATCACAACAGCTGGGGTTAACGCAATGAAGATCTCCTAATACTCGCCGGGGCCGTACTACGATAGTACCGGGATTCCTTCACACCATTATCAGGACCGAACCGGGCGTCTTACCCACTACATCCATTACACCCACACTTGCTCGGGAACATCCTCTTCGCTTAGAGTGGAATCCTTCTGCCACTTGAGTTTTCCCACACCTCCACAGCCCCGTCTTACTATTTATCATCCACTACTCATCTTTGTGAGTCTAGGCTAGCCTTTTCCGTGCCAAAGAAGTACTAGACAACGTCCGGAACCGCGGACTCCACACCAAAGGATGATGGGGCTTCGTGGAGATCTTACAGTCAAGACGGCGAACTCGGCGCGCCCTGGTTGAATGCCTAACCAGACATCCAAGTCTTTGGTTTCTTTTCTCGAAATCTGGTCCAAAAAACTCGAGCGTAGCATATCGTTATCCTCCCTACGTCGTTCACGTACCTATCTCATTCGGCGATAGGGGATTCAGTAGCCCCCAAGGCGTAAGATATCTTGGTGTGTATTTGCTTGCCATCGCCAATGGACTGATCTTGTGGCGTTCATTTGAGCTCGAAGGATCCAAGCTAGTAAATGCGGACTTCACTGGTAGTCCACAGTCATCGGGGTTTGTTATCTCAGTGATCTATTGACAGATGATCAATACGGGTGCCAATACAGCCGGATACGCTACCTAGGGGCGATAAAGTGAGTGGGCTGTGAAAGCAGTTGATTTAACGATTCGCTAGCGATTACGGGAAACGCCAGTGTATTGTGCATTGTTATCCACATTGTAAACACAAGTGGAGTTTGGATGATACACTAGGGTATCCTCCAGGACTTCCTAACTCCTCAGGTCAGTGGCGCGCTATCGACAGCTGAAGAACAGGTATTCACTCTTCGCAAGAACGGAAGCCTTTTGAACCGGACGTAAGTTGGTGACTAGTCGGTTATTAGGGTGGCACATGAAGTATTCGACCGTCTTCCAGAGTTCATGTACATCCGTTTAGCGAAAGCACGTAGACCTCGTCTCTCAGCTGTCAGCAGCATCCTTTGAAAACCTCACTAAGGGCAACAAGACCCCTCACTGGACGGACATGGCGCATTCGGGGTGTGGGTTACGAGCTGTACAAGCAAGGCCGCGGTATACCAAGTCTTCGGCTGAAATTGTTGAGGACGGAACTACGTGTGGTGGAAGAGGGGGCTGGTTCTGGACGGCCTGATTGGGGCGGAGAACCGCAAGGTTTTGTTTGCTATGAAGCACTGGGGCGAATGTAGGGAAGACAAGAGTAAATGAACCAAAAAGAATAGCACAGTCTGCGTAAACGCTAGCTACAAAGAGATGACCTCTTGCTCTCATCGTCTGGGCATGTATGTAACGCTAACGGCATTGTGTGGAAAGACCGGATATCATAAGCTTACCCCCTCCGCACTGCGCTATCTCAACTATTGACAACCAAGAGAAAATATGTCTCTCAAGAACGGTATGACATGCAGCGGCAAGACGAATGCTGTGTACATCACTGGCCTGGGTCATGAGTACCCATCCCATTCAATCAAGCAGGAGCACTTCATGGACTTGATAGAGAGATTGCACCCGGACGAAATAGTATCACCAACGTTAGTAGTTCTTGCCCTTCCCTACGACCCAAGTCTCTCCACTTCTGACACGACAGAAGTTTCCAAAAACTCAGGCGATTCAATAGTAGAACCAAGATTCTCTCTCGCCCAATTACCCTCGACTTCACGAAATGGACAAAAGAAGATGCTATGCCACCAGGAATCGATTCTATCTCCCGCGTCTTTCGCACTGCCGGGGTACAGCTTGCTACCTCTGCGTGCAAAGAGGCTATGCGAGAAGCCCGGCTCGGACCCAGCGATATAACGCACACTGTAGCAGTGACTTGCACTGATCAGGGCAATCCAGGCTACGACCACTTTGTGTGCCAAGAGCTTGGGCTTCGGCCAAGTGTACAAAGATCGCTACTTCATGGTGTGGGTTGTGCGGGTGGTTTATCGGCGCTTCGTGCAGCTGCTGACATTGCAACTGCAGCATCACAAAGAGGTCGTCCAGCACGCATCTTGGTGATGGCATGTGAATTGTGCAGTCTCTTTCTTCGAGCAGAGTTGCAAGCAGCTCTTCAAGACGGGGAGCTACATGTAGGCCCAGCGCTATTCTCAGATGGCGCAGCGGCGCTAGTGGTGTGCAACGTTCTTGCATTAGAGGAGGGACAAAGGCCAGTGTTCGAGTTGATAGAGTGGGGCAGCATGGTGGTGCCCGACACTTCGGGATACATGTCTTACGATATAGAGAAGAATGGTATGTATCCTCTACGTTCGATGTCGCATACCTGTCGCTGTGAATGTTGCTAATACTGTAGCAGGCATGATAGCAACCATTAGCAAATTCGTTCCAGAGGTAGCTGTCAAGGCCATCACACCCATATTCAGGCAACTCCGCGGCACCCTCAATAAGACCCACAAGGTCGCATCGTTGATTAGCAGTCAGGCTTCGAGCTTCGATTGGGCGATCCATCCAGGCGGTGCATCCATCCTGCAAGGGGCCAAAGAAGCCCTGCATCTCACTGACGACCACATTCGAGCCTCGCTCGATGTCTACCAACATTGTGGCAACTCCTCAAGTCCGACAGTCCTCATCGTACTAGACAAACTCCGCAGGATGGGAGAGGGCAGAGAGAATGTGGTCGCGACTAGCTTCGGACCCGGGCTCACAATCGAGATGTGCATGATGAGGCGTTGTCGTCATATTGCTGCATCACCTCGATCGAAGTTCGGAAAACATATCAAGATGTATGCTTTCTGGCTTTCTTTACGCTCGTGTCTGCAAAAAGGAGGGCCACGAAGACAGCCAAGGGTAATGCAATGTGCCGAGGAAAAGACTAGTGGGTATATTCCGATTGTATGATAGAAAGTAGTGACATGGCTTAAGTTTCGGATTTTGGATACACACAAGATATATTGGGAGGACGCGAATACATCGATGCTTCGCTGTCTTAAGACAACGTCTAGCCGTCGCTTAGGATACACCAAAGAGAACCTTCGTGACTGCTTCTTCGCACATACATAGATCGAAGCTCTATACTCAGCTTGCCAGTTGAAGGATGTGGTCGCTCTCGAGAAAAGTTCGTGATTAGCAAAAAGGCTGCGTTGCGGTGGATGCTGTTCGAATGCACAGGTAACGAGATGTCCGCGGACTCCAAGCGAAAGTGGGTCCGACGATGACGTCAACGCGTCTCGAGCTCGACACAACGCGACTTGACATGTCACGCATCCTTCCTCAGCTTTGAGATACAGCCTGCAATACGAATATGGCACGAACACGCTCAAGCAAACATCAGATCGAGCAGAAAAAAGCACTGCCGGCCGTTTTGAGCGACGACGATGTCTCCGAACACGATGAGAGGCTGGCAACACCACCATCCGCGTCCTTCCAGGGCAAACTGAAGAAATACCAATACGCAGAGACAGGGGCAGTGCAAGATAACACGCCGTTATCTGCATCGCCAATAGGATCTAGAAAGCGCACTAGAACGACCGCGACGACAGCTGTTAAAAGTGTCCCCGAACTATCAGCAAGACCGAAGAAGAAGCGGAAGCCTAGCAAATATGCCGACCCATCCAAATATGCACATCTATCGCCATTGGTCGACATACTTGAGCCCAACCTAATATGTGTATTCGTTGGCACGAATCCAGGTGTTCAGACTGCTGCCGCCGGGCACGCATATGCGCATCCCTCCAATCTATTTTGGAAATTACTCCATTCCTCAGGGCTTACCGACCGTCGACTGAAACCTGAAGAAGACCGGAGTCTCCCTGACCTGTATTGCATGGGCAATACCAATATTGTCGAGAGACCCTCCAAAGACGCTGCCGAGCTCTCGAAAGAGGAAATTGCGGCAGGCACCGCGAAACTCGATGCCAAGTTCCTCAAATACAAGCCAGAGGCTGTGTGCATAGTAGGCAAGGGTATTTGGGAGGCTATATGGCGGTATCGTTATGGCAAGAACCTTGGCAAGAAAGATTTCAAGTATGGATGGCAAGATGAAGAGCACAACATGGGCAAAACCAAGGATGGCGAAGAAGAGAAAGATACTGACTGCAATGTATGGAAGGGGTCCAGGGTATTTGTTACTACGAGTACGAGTGGATTAGCGGCAAGTCTGAAGCCGGCCGAGAAAGAAGCCATCTGGAAACCTTTTGGGGAGTGGGTGCAGAAGCGAAGGGCTGAACGAGGCTTCGTGCCTCGGTCTTTGGAAGCTCAGGGAGCTAGTGACGAGACACTAGAACCTTGAGCGCCGTGAGTTACGGAAACTGCCGCTACATGTAGCTGAAGGCATCAACAGCTGGACATCTCTACAATTTGAACGAACCAAAGATCATGGATGAACTCTCTAGTCTTCACTTCCGTATCAGGGGGATGAGTAAGAAAGGCTTGTCCACCATTTCGGTTACCAACCTTGGGAGTCGCGAGTTGTTTCACTGTACAGAGTCACGGTCTGCCATATGGATCGACCCATGATTTTGGTACTGACAACCCTGGGGCCCCATTGCTTGTGTGGAAACTGCGCCTCAACCGCGCCACACAAAGACGGCATATTGGTTCGCTGGCTGTTTTCAAGGTCATTTTTTCTGCCAAGCCGGCTCTCTTCCAGAGTCACAAACTTCGGTTTTCGGACCGTAGATTCTCCACTTAATAATTGACGGCGTATCGACTTGGCGCCGGACGCATCCGCGCCATTCAAGGTCCGTCGCATTCACACCGCCGCGGATTTCGGGTCTCTTGGCAATGCTCTCTTCGCATATCAAACTCCAACAGTAGCACTCTGACAGCAGCTGCTTGGGCGGCATGGCCTTCTCAGAACATCATCCTCATCGTCGTTATTCGAATGCCAAGTCGACCGCATCCCCATGTTTGACTGAGCCACGATGACTGGGCCGTCTAATATTGCCTGCTGGAAAAAGTGGCGCCACAACTAAACTACGTTGGGATCTAGCGTGCGGAAAACACGGCAAGTTTGCATATGCAACAGCACTTCACATCACAGTGTACGTTTCCTAAAAGGGATTTTACAGCCCGCTCTCTTTCAGGAGTAATAGTAGGAGAGGGTCTTCAGAGAGGCCATGTAAAAAAACGTCTACTCAATGTCTATCGCGTTTGTGAGCAGACTTGTCAGCGTCACCCGACGACATATCAACACATTGCAAATCGTACCACTCACTCTCCTGCACGCGCACAATGATATGCAACCAAGTCATGCGCCTCAGATACCAAGACTTTGCATACGCGTATGACAAGGGTCCTGCGTCTACTGTTACAGCAGTGGCTTGCTCGACCCCACCCGTGCCATAGGAAACCCGAGCAAATGCCACACTTGTGGCGCCGAGCAAAGCTCATCCGCAGTATCTAGGTGTATGTACTCTATTCCGGCATCGACGCGGTCAATTGAGATGAGCACGTTGGTTCGTGCATAGCCTTTCCGCCCTTCACCTCGCAGATCCGCTGTTGCCGTTTGCCGAAAGCAATAGCCAGCGCGTCGAGGCCTGTAATCTTAAAAACACGGGTTTGTCCCCCCTAGATTATAACATTACTGTGCCACATTTCCCTGCCACACTTCCTCTGCCACAAAACACTCATCAGTTTCTGCCACACCACAAGCCTCACCAAGACCCGCGATACGCTTAGACGCTTCACCAGCCACGAATCCGCATCTCTATTCTAACGTCAAGTCTACAACGCCAAAGTAGCAGATATGAGCTACCCGCCGCAGCAACAACCTGGCTACTATGGCCCACCGCCGCAGCAGGGCTACGGACAGTACCCTCCGCCCCAGCAACAGGTAAGTCCCAAATATTTACGGTTTGCGCGAACCTGAGTTGCGCAAGTCAAGTCAGGGTGTGGCTGACACTTTTTTGATCCAGATGTACTACCAACAAGGACCACCACCGCCACAGGAGGAACCAAAGAAGGACAGGGGCTGCTTGACTGCTTGGTGAGTTTCTTCCTTCTCTTTGGCACAACCATGGTGACGAAATGATTCGGGAAGGCGGAATTAGCTAACACGATAATAGTCTTGCGACTTTGTGCTGCTGCTGGCTCTGTGGTGAGACATGCGAATGCTGCCTCGATTGTCTAGACTGTTGCGACTGCTGCTAGTCCACTTCCTCGAGCATGCGACAACGGTAACGACGGTTCGTTGATGGGAAGGAAACGGGGACAAAGGGGATGACCACACGCTCACTACATTTCCTTGATGTAAGGGCGCGAATATCCATGGGAGTTCGATGATGGGCCCACCGGGGGAGATTTTGGTTTACTGGCCTTGGTTCGTCACCGCAGTGACAATGGAGTTAAGTGGTATTGCCCTTGGTGTTTATAATTTTGGAAATTTACTTCCATTTCATCACGCTCCTTCTTCCGTCTTCGAGTGAGAGAATCACAAGTTGGCTGAAGTTTGTTATATCGTTCATTCCTTCCTCCGCTACGCTATGCTAACAATGACCCATATTTCATGACCAGTTTTAGGAAATACCTACCGTCACGCTCGTGAATACATACTTTGACGCCGACCGACCGATCGATCGAAACGAAGCAATCAGCGGACGAAAATCGTCGTGGTTAGTCCTCGTAGTTCTCCTCGAGCTCCTCTTGATACGCCTCTTGCGCCTCAATCAGCTCCTGGCGCTTCTCCTCCATAGACTCACGGTCGCTACTTGAGATGGAGCTACCGTCCTCGTCATGAGTTGGAACTGGAGGAGGCTCCTCAAAGGCTGGGTGGTTTGCATAAGGATCTGATGGGGGAGGTGCGCCATAAGCGGGATCAGCCCCGTAACCTGGGTCAGCACCATAGCCACCTGCAGCAGCAGCGGGAGCCGCAGGTGGAGGAGCGTATGACTGCTGCTTGCTCTCGTCGTCACTGTCATCGGCTGGAAAGTGTTAGGGTGATACTGTTATGACGTCTGGAGAGGGCACATACCGAGTTGATGGCCAATGAAGGCACCGGCTGCGATACCACCAACACCAGCGGCAGCGAGCATGGCAGTAGAGTGGCCGCTCTTCTTCTTCTCGGCCTCGTTTGTGGCAGCTCCTGATGGCGTGTAGTCGTGTCCCTGGTGACCGTGGGTGTTTCCGAAGAGGCCGCGCTCATCGTGACCGCCAGGCGGCATGTAAGGTGCGCCTGCAGGGGGAGGAGCATACGGGCCAGGCGGCAGATGCGCAGGAGGATCCCACTGTGTGCGGCCAGTGGCTTGTTCGATGTAAAACCAGCGCTGGCTGTTCTGGTCCCATTGCTGTGTCCAGCCTGGCGGCATTGGTGGAGGAGCTCCATAAGGCGCAGGTGGACCTACAGGTGTGGGAGTGCCACCGTATGGTTGTTGTTGCGGGTAACCTTGACCTTGAGGAGGACCTTGGGGTGGATATCCCTGGGGTGGGTATCCTTGACCCTGAGGAGGACCCTGAGGCGGGTAACCATGGCCCTGGGGCGGGTAGCCTTGATCTTGGGGCGGGCCGCCTTGTCCACTTTGTCCGTAGTAGCCATCAGAGAGTGCGCGATCACCGGGACCAGCACCACCTGGGGCACCATGAGAATCTATTGAAGTTAGTATTGTGCTTAGTTCTGGCAGTATAGATCCGCATACCGGCTGGCTTCTTATCGTCATCATCCATCAACTCCTTCATCTTCTTCCTGAGGAAATCCATGATTCTGATTTGTTACTTGACAAACGTGAAGCTAATCTGTAGCAATGTAGGGCTATAGCGTGCGGGGTAATAGGAAGTTCGGAGAGAAGAGAAACTTTGAAGCTTTTGTTGTGCGCGGGGTCCAAGAGGGCTTTAAAGCAAACGGAATCCGTGCACAGTCCGTTGTCAGCGGGGCATCTCAGGGCGCCCCCGGAGCGCACTGCCCCAGTTGTCTTTGAGCAAATGGCTCACGCTGTACACGCTTGGCGAGATGCAGAGGGGAAAGAGCATGGCTTTGAGTGGAGGGGCATATCAAAGCTGACCACTCCACTGGCAGGCGGGTTGTAAAAGTGGGGTTGATAAAACGGCCTGATACGTCTGGCGGCTCGCCGGAGCTCCATCGTTCGTAAGTGCTCCATTAGTGAAGCTTGGCATGGGCATATGAAGGTTTCTTCGCTGCGCGTTCAGTGTTGGGTCATGGGTGTATGCTGTCAACCTTTCGCGACGGCAAGTTATGCAAAACTTGTAATCGATTTTAAAATCCTCATCTTTAGTAGGTTGAATCGTTCTACTCTGCTTCGGCGGAGTATAAGGTGTCTGCTCCGTTTCGGAATCCCTCTACCATGATCGATGGGTTGGTGAATGGTAACGTGTGGTTGGTGACTGAGGCTTAGCGGTCGCATGCGCCATTTATTGTCAAGCCACGTCTGCCACCGTGGCTAAATTATGAGGCGCACCACGATAGCCGCGAACATCAAATCTCGCATGCCGCGTGATGTCAGTAGGGAACACGGGGGGTTACACATGTTGCACCACTGCGCACGCACGTAAAGGTATCGTTGCAGGCGCGGTCGGCCATGAAGCTGAAGGCTTTCCTTCTCCAATGGTATACCTCATACGTGGACGAGTCCGGCGACCGGGAGAGGTACTACATGGATACTTCTATAGTAACCTCGTGATCTTCGCGCAATTAGCATATGGACACAGATCTGATTCCTGACGTCCGGGTTTTCGTTCAATCAGTCTTCTCTCAACTCGGTACAATATGCGTGCATGCCCGGGTACCAAGGTGGATTGACAGGCTGTCACGTGGTCGTGACTCGCGATCTCGAACATCTCATCGGCCCGGGCACGGAGGCGGAACGGTACGCGCACGTGGGTATTACGCAACTCTTCAAGTAGCAAGCTGGCCCTGGGTCAAAAGACGCCGAGGATTAGCCATGTACTGTACTTGCGTGATTGTTTGGTCTTTCGCGTTTTGCACTCAGATGAGTGGATGGTAATGGAGGGTACGATACGCTTGGCGTTGTTTTTGTGTATTATGGATAGGAAGCAGGACCCAGCTCGGGGAAGGAGCCACCGATCTAGGGTTGAGCCGGACGAGAAGGCGGAATCGGAGCATCTATGGAATGTTTGCCTAAGCGTGAATAGTAAACGAAAGGACGCACGATATCTGGAAAGTCCGAAAGTGACTGACAGTTAGGTTAATTCAGGACGAATAGGGGTACTGATCAATTGATGCACGGGTATTGCATGCTTGTAGTTGGTCTGAGCCTCGCGGTCTAGACCATGACGTCGGCTCCATTAGAGGTCGACTCGAGGACCAGCAGCGCACCAACAGTACACAGCGCAAATTATGCCAGTCGTGAAATGCATGGAATGGGCATTTGAAGAATGCCATGTACGGCGTCATGGCCGTGTTTCGAATGCGATGCAGCCCCAAAATAGCCTGGAAAGCATCGCGAGTTGTTCCAGCTCCAGCCCACCCGATCGTGACCGCGATCGACTTGTTGCAGGGGAGGCCAAGCACGAACACAAGCGAGATCTGCATCCTCTTGACCCTACCGTACGCTCCACCAAATGCGAGAGCGAGCTGAAAACAAACGTGCAGAGCGTCTTCATGATGCCCTAAGGACACGACGCTCATCGAACTTACATTGCCATCGTCATCGTCACCTCATTACATCACCACCGCCTTGATCAGAGCCGAGCCCGCGAAATCCCTCGAATTCTGCCGCGGTGTCAAGATACTTAGCGCGCAACGCTGGCCATTCGACTGGTGTCATCTACTCGGCCCATGCGCGGTGCGACTGCATGCTAGATCTAGAGACCACGCTCCACCACACCGACCTTTGTTCATAGCGTGACGTTCGTGGGCGCGATCAACGGCTTTCGCCCTATCTGTTGACTCGCATCCTGGCCTTCCTATGTGGGAGCCGCGTTCAATCTTCACAGGTACTGACACGACATCGACGCCCCACGACACCACGCCCGAACAGCGGAGACTGAACATCGCCCTGCACCACGACTCTCTCGTTACGACACCCGGCGCCCTAGACCGGCCCATCGTCCTCGACACATCATCCAACTTCCCCATCCTACAGCCCCCATGGACGCCCAAGTCGCCACTTGACCATCGCGACTGGAATCAACCGCCGGGCTCGGCGCCGCTGCACAGCAGTCGAAAACACAGTGGGAAGCAGCCTGTGCGAACACCACCTACTGTGATTGGGATCAAGCGCCCTCCTCTTTTCAGCGACTCCACGCCCGCATCCGCATCTCTGCGCTCAACAGAGCCCGCCAGCGAGCCCTTGCACAAGCGCCGAAAAGCGCACGCGCGTTCGCGATATTCCCTCGACCGTTTTAGTTTCTCCAGGAGTGCGCAATTTCGCCTCGACGGCCAACCGACCTCTCCTCTCTTCTTCTCCTCGCGAAACACCCGACCGCAATTGCCCGCACGCTTCTCGAGTAGCGAGGCAGCAGCAAGGATGCTCAGTAAGACACGCGAGGACAGTGGCATCAAGACCGTCACACTGGCAAGGGGGACATTTAGCGGTCTCAGCCCCCCAGGACCACCAGGCGGTGCCAGTGGGCGCACTTCAGAGCGTTCAAGCGTGGCGCCTACAGCATCACCTGATTCGCGAGAGAAGAGTGATCCGTTGCGCATACTGGGGTCTATCGGCATAGTCGAACTGCTCGAGCAGGATGAGCGACCAACTTTCATCGTTGATACGGGCGATTTCGCAAACTACATGCCCGAATCTTCCCGGTTGCAGATACTCTTCTCCAACAACGCCCTTCGATCCAACTCATCCACTTGGGAGCTGGTAGCAGGGAAGCCGGCTGGCTCTCCGTCTGATCATGATATGGTGCATGCGACACAACAATTCCGAGGGTGGCTGCTGAGCACTGGGGTCCAGGGCGATTCCTCCGAAGCGAATCCTTCTCCGGTAGAACATGGTGGCATTGTATGGACATGTTACACTCTCCGGAAACGACTGCGCGTCGTCTCTGGTACCGTCTCCGCCCCTGCGATAGTTTTGCCTGCTACAGATGGTCCCAACGACTTCGCTATACCTTCGACTTCGTCTGCGGGTCTTGATTCTGGGATCAATGGCGATACCGCTTCATCTTCGGCAGATCAGGGTGAAGCACAAGATTACTTCGGCAGCACTATTCCTAGTAATCCTCTGGGCGAACCAACACCCCCAATCTCCGCGCCCCAACCTGAACCAGTTCGGAAAAGATTTGTCAATCAGGGCAATGGCATGATCCCAAGGCCATCTCAGATAGATATGTCGTCATTGGAAGAATCCTCTTCCTTTGCGAACGAGTGCGTATTGCGAGCTCACACTACAGGCGATGTTGACCCGTTCCATAGGGAAACCAACGCTCACCGGGATGAAAACCACGACATGGGCTTCTTCGACTGGACCAGACTAGCAATATCACCCTCTCTCCCCAGGCACATCCAGTTTGCGCGCTCAATCGATTGGGCAAGCACACCTCTAGGTCCGATCGAATACTGGTCCAATGACCTTCGCGCTATGTGTAATCTTATAATGTGGGTTGATCAGTCATATGCGCACTTCCTGGTAGGTCAATGCTAATGATAATCAGGGCAAGTCCTCACCCGGCCGCTATGTACTGGGGCGAAGAACTTGTGGCAATTTACAATGAAGCCTATATTGGTACGTTCGCCTTCGCCAGTATATTGACATGCATTAACACCTGGACTAGGACTCGCAGGGCAAAAACACCCCGCGCTAATGGGCCAGAGTTACAAAGTAGCTTGGGCGGAGATATGGAATGAAGTCAAGGGAGTATTTGCAAACGCACGTCTCACTGGGCAAGCGACCATGAAGGACGACGATTGCTTGTTTATGAAACGCAGCGGCTTTCTGGAAGAAACGTACTTCTCGTGGTCCATCATCCCCATGGTTGGCGAAGACGGTACGGTAATGGGTCTATACAACCCGGCTTTCGAAAAGACACGACGAAAGATCGCAGAAAGACGCATGCTTACGCTCCGCGAAGTCGGTGAACGGACTGCTACCGCTCGGGAAGTGAAGGGCTTCTGGGACCAGGTGTTAATAGCACTGACGGAAAACGAGTTCGATACCCCGGTAGTAATGCTCTACAGCGTAAACGATGAGAATGATAGTGACTCGTCTTCTTTACAATCTAGCAGCTTGCTTGGCTCGAAACAGTGTTTTCTTGAAGGCTCGCTCGGTGTCCCAGCTGGTCATCAAGCTGCCCCTGAGCACATCGACTTGAAAGAAGGACAGGAAGGGTTTGGTCCAGTTTTCCGGGAAGTAATGAAGACCGACAAGCCCGTGGTTGTTAGTATCGGCTCAGGCGACCTACCGCACGCCATGATGGAGGGACTGGACTGGCGAGGCTTTGGGGATCCCTGCAGAGACGTGGTAATCTGCCCGATACATCCCACGACAGGTGAAAACATACTTGGCTTCTTAGTCATGGGCATCAACCCGCGAAGACCTTACGACGACGACTACAACCTCTTTGTTCAGCTATTGAGTCGTCAACTAGCCACATCCCTGGCCTCGGTCGTCCTTTTCGAAGAAGAGATTCGAAGGGGACAGAGAGCAGCACGACTCGCAGCAGAGGATCGTTATAACCTTTCGACACAACTTGCCGCACGTACGCAAGAAGCCAGGGAAAGCGAGACGAGATTTACGCGAATGGCGGAGCTATCTCCGGCAGGTCTATTCATCGCTGATCACGTTGGAAAGATAACCTACTGCAACGACACGTGGTACGAGATCGCGCGAGTACCAAGAGAACCAGAGATGACGGATAGGTGGATTGACTATGTCAAGGACGAGGATCAAGGTCTCATCCTCGCACATTGGAAGGAACTAGTAAATGAGACGACGCCTATCAACATCGAATTCCGCTTCAAAGCGCCCTGGGAAGACCGCAATCACAACAAGAGTGAAACTTGGGTACTGTTCCAGGCGTATCCTGAGAAGGATGAAGATGGGCAACTCAAGAGTGTTTTCGGAAGCATCACCAACATCTCGCCTCAAAAATGGGCTGAAGGTTTCCAAAAACGGAAGATGGAGGAAGCTGTAGAGCTCAAGCGACAACAGGAGAACTTTATCGACATAACATCGCACGAGATGAGAAGTAGGGCTTTCCTGTACAAATCACTTATGCACACATACTAACGTCACACAAAGATCCTCTGTCTGCTATTCTGCAGTGCGCCGACGAGATTAGCACCATTCTAGGTGACTTCAGAGCTTCAGGCTCCAACGTCATCGAAGAGGGTGTTGTGGCTGATTCGATCGATGCGGCGCAAACAATTGCTTTATGCGCACAGCATCAAAAGCGTATCGTCGACGATGTTTTGACGTTGTCAAAGCTCGACAGCGCAATGCTCATGGTAACACCAGTGGACGCTCAACCCTTACAAGTGGTACAACGCGCATTGAAAATGTTCGAAGGAGAGGTGCAAACAGCTGGCATTCAGATGGAGTTTGTCCTAACCGACTCGTTCACAAAGCTCGGCGTTGATTGGGTGAAGATTGATCCCTCACGAGTGCTTCAGGTACTCATCAACCTCACCACCAACGCAATCAAGTTCACTACCACCGAGGAGACCAGGACCATCAAAGTCGTTTTATCAGCATCGCGAGTGCGTCCGTCGGCGAGCGAACATCCCACCGTTAGTTACTTTCCCATGCGAGCCAAAAGAATTGACCAAACCTGTGGACCCGACTGGGGCGATGGTGAAGAGATCTTCTTGGAGTTTGCAGTCCGGGATACGGGCCGAGGCCTTACGCCAGAAGAGAAGAAGCTTCTTTTCCAACGCTTTTCTCAGGCAAGTCCGCGGACACACGTTCAGTACGGTGGATCCGGCCTCGGTCTGTTCATATCTCGCGAGCTCACGGAGCTCCAGGGTGGAGAGATTGGTGTCTCCTCTGAAGCAGGCAAAGGCAGTACGTTCGCCTTTTATGTCAAGTGTCGGAGGAGCAGCGAGCCACAAGAAGCCTTGGAAGTACTTCCAACGCCATCAATGTCAAGGGAAGTATCGAATGCCAAAGACAAGGGCAGAAAGGAACTGCCTTTGCCATCCAAGATCGCGACTAAGATCAAAGACTTTGCCACCGTGCCTGGCAAAGACAGCGTTGTCTCAAAGGCCAAGCCAAAGAAGAGGGAACTCAAAGTGTTGATTGTGGAGGACAACCTTGGTATGTCCTGAGGTCTCCCCCATCAGTGTACTCTTACTGACATGCTGCAGTGAACCAAAAAGTCCTTCAGCGCCAGCTCCAAAACCACGGCATTCAAACGACTGTTGCAAATCACGGCGGTGAAGCGCTTGAAGCGCTCAAATCGTCTACTTATTGGGCCTCGCCCCATCAATCTCCCCTGGAGGATATATCGGTCGTACTTATGGACAAAGAGATGCCAGTCATGGATGGTTTACAATGCACCTCGCAGATCCGCTCCCTTGAACAGCAGGGCAAGTTCAAGAGACATGTTCCTATTATCGCAGTCACGGCGAATGCGCGGAGTGAACAGATCGCAACATTGCTTGCTGCAGGCATGGATGATGTTGTTAGCAAGCCGTTCAGGATCGGCGAGCTAATACCTAAGATCGAAGAGCTGGCAAGCAAGTTCGGAAATAAAGAACTACCAGACGAGGCTTCGCTCGACGTGCCCATTGGGCCGAGGGAACAGCCATACGGCGTATGAAAGACTTGCGTTGCGATTTAGGAGATTTGGATGACAAGAACAATTTTGGGCATACGTCTACGACGACGGTTATCGTGACGGTTACGCATACAAGAGTTGGGCTCGATGGTGTTACTGGGTCTCCGCATGGTGCATTGTTACTAGTATGCATGTCGGCATTTAATGTGTGTTGTTGCTTTATTACGGGTTTTGGGTCTATTGGTACAATTACGCATACGGAATATACCCCCAGGGAGGTTCAGGCGTTGGTTGCGAAACGGCATATGCATACATGCACTAGGTACTGGGCGCAATCAAGAGTGAAGACTAGAATGATTCTATACATCTCACGAGCCACCAATGAATGGAAGTTGATGTATGAGATAGTATGATGCATTGAAACGACGTGAGACCTCTAGCATGTAGGAGAAATATCGATATTTGCTCATACTCATACTCCACTTCTGCATGTCATGAGGAATGTGATTGCTTTCTGATTTTGGCAGTGAACATGCGCGCTTCTTTTTACGTCTTCATCTTCTCATTCATAAGACCCATAGCGTTCTATACGATACTTCGGTCTGTATTACCTTCCGCTTGACATGTGGCCATCCTCACACGCACCCCGTATATCATTTATCGCTCACTCTCTGCATCCCTCCATTCCTTCACCCCCTCCGCTTGCGCCAACGCCCTATTACATTCTTTGAGATCCCATGTCAATTCTTCCTGGTGCGAACGGCTCAGCGGTGGCGTATTGCCATCCCTAGTAAGTACCTTCGTGAACCAGTCTCTCATGTAAAAAAGACGAGGATCCCGCCAACTATCGCGAAATTGGCTCTGGCCTTCTCCCCCCTTCTCAGTTTCCTTCCCTTGATCAACAGCGGCTTTCTCGGCATTTCCTGTGAGCACCTCATCTTTCTCTTCCGAGTCTTCTCTCGATGCCGCAAACTTTTTTTTGGAGCTGATCAACAGTCGCCCAAGCGTCTCTAAAATGGCTAGTATTATCTTTCTCGAATCCTTCCGGACTCGCCCAACATGACGGCGTGTAAGAACGTGAGTTGCGATTGAAAGAGAGCCGACTACGGCTCTTCTCTGCCATCGTATGCTCATGGTGCGGCGTTGTGGTAGTTGGGGTGGTATTCAGTGGAAAGATTGCGGCTTGTGCGTCGATGCTGACCGATTTGGGGAAGTGAGGCGAGGACAGCGAGTTCCACTTCAGTGCTGAACGAGGTTTTCCAGTCGCGGTTTCTGGGAGAGAATCAGACTCTACCGGTGTTCCCTCGCCTCTGGGGATGCGTCTCGGGTTTTCCGTCGGTTCGATGAGAACTGCTGAAGTATATTTGTTGTCCTTAGCGTGCGCCTCGAAACGGTTCCCCAAAGCGAATTCCAGATCTTTCAGCCTGTTGGTGACTCCTTTCATCTCTTTTAGGGTTACCTTGCCGGTATCTTCTTGTTTGAAATCGTCTTGGTGCGAACTTTTGAGTGGTTGAGACCTTTTCTTCCATCTACGTTTGACGGTTTCCCAATCACCTTTAGATGGATTTTCTTCAGTCTGTGCTGGCTCTGAGACAGCCTGCGTATTATGCGACTTTGGCATCTCTTCTTCCGCGGTCGAAGCGGAATCCTCCACATGCTGGAAACCAGGAACTTGGCTGCACTCCTCTTTTGCCCGTTCCCAAAGATCCAACGCCTCGTCTACTCCCCACTCTTCTACCAAGTCAGATTTTTCATCCTGCAACTTCTCCAACTTCGCCACAAGTCTCCAACAATCGAGCCTTGTCCTCCTCCACTGTCGGGTCCAATCCCTATGGTTCATCCACTTCTTGACGTCGCCATCAGTCGAACACCAATCCGGTCCCGCGTTGGAGGAACCGAAGATGCCACCGCGGCGAGTCAATGCAGCTTGCACGGCTTTCACTTCAGCAATGCGAGCTTCTGTGAAGCAGACAGCACATACAGATTGTGATAAGCTGGGTGAAAGATTGGGTGCCTGAGTGTAGCTGTGATGGCACGGCCGCTCCATGGAAGCTCGTGTCGAGAATCGCGGGTTGTAAGTTTTCCTGCGGTTGGGATCTATCTGTAGAGATAGCGGCCGCGGGCTCGGCCGACCAGGAGAAGTGTTTGTTTCTCCTTGAAGTTACAAATTGAGCAGCGGTCTACGAGCAGGAGGTAAGTATTTTGCGTAAATTACTTCAAAGATCCGATGGTATGCGAAGGACCAGTCGTTTACCAAGCACTAGATGTGTCTGAGACCCACCTCTATCAAGAAAAGTTGAGTGACGGTATTAGATGAGATTAGAAAATAGAAAGGAGGAAGAATTGTTCCGTGAAATCTAAGCCAGTCAGAAAAGTGAGTGTGACAGTCAATGCGACATGGCTGGGCCGAGCTTTTCACCATTCACTTAGGTCTCCGACCCTACCCGTGTCAATGAGCACCTATCGCCTTTGCTATCACGTATCAATATATACACTTTCTCCCAGTCCCCATAGTCTCAGGAAGAGCGTTGTCCAGAACAGTCAGCGGCAGACGGTGTAAGCTCAGGTAGACTACGTAAGCAGCTAGCTCATGGTCAGCAACCTTAGTGGACACTAAGGAAATAGAGATTTCGTTGACTTCGACGTCCTGGGTAGGCGATACATGCTGATCCAAGATGAACGCGACAACACCCTACTTCCCCATACCATAGGATTTGCCCAACCAGACACAGGCCCTTCTGGCACGATCCTCACGCACGTTAGGTCGCTCAGTCTAAACGTGCATCGTGTTGAACGCGATGTTGATATAAGTATCAGTGAATATGACTTGACCATATCATATGTATACGTGTTGCGCGTCTTCTATTTCATATCGTTTCGTGGGTGGCGGCGGGCAGCGTCGTCGTTAAGCATGTTACGAGAATAGTTGGTGTACACGGCACCTATACGGATATATAGGCAAAGCTTAGTACTGTACATTGGGTCCAGTTGTTATGGTGCTAGAGTGACGAAATCCTCATGTTGCTGGTTAATCTTGGTACGGGCCGTCTCGGTTCGGAACTCCGCGGTGGCTGTTCGAGTACTCAGGGCATCATTTGTGCGTATCCGCTAAAGGCCCAGCGAGGCTAATGTAAATATGACCAGTATAACATATAGTATCCCAATGCCGTTGAGCATGCGCTAGAAGCCGATGTGATGAAACGGAGATGCCGGCGATGGTGTTAAGTTCGGACTGGTCGGCAAAAGAGCGATGACGTTTACTGCTTGGCGCTAGCTTACAATGAGCTCCCGCCTTAGCACCTGGATAACGTTTATTCTTCTCTAAACACCTCAATTCTTCTTCCGTCCCCTCTTCATCCCATCAATTCGTCTCGCCATGTTTGCAAGACAGATATTCCGCCCGGCCAGGACGCTGCACCAGGTATGCGCCCACATTCCCATCGAATGCGACATGACAAATCTTCCCAGTCTCTGTGTAGAGTACTGACAAGAGATAGCAAGTCCGCCGTTACGCATCTGAGGCGCCCAAGAGCGGTGGCAATAATGGCATTCTCTACACGGGTATCGGTGCTGCTGGTCTCGCTGGTGCCTACCTTTACATGAGGGGCGGCGATGCGCCGTCAGGGCAGCTAGGCAATGCGCCGCCTTCAGAAGAAGCCAAGAAGATTCCCGCTTCCACCGGTGGCTCAGGCAAGAAGGCTTTCACTGGCGGCGACCAGGGCTTCGTATCGCTTGTGCTGGAGAACACCGAGATTGTCAACCACAACACCAAGAAGCTCCGGTTCAAGCTGCCTGAGGAGGACATGGAGAGCGGCTTGCCCGTCGCCTGTATGTTAAGCAACAGTAAATGCCAAGGAGAGCACGTACTGACTTTGCACAGCCGCTGTAATTACCAAATACAAGGGCCCCGAGATGCAGAAGCCAGTTATCCGACCATATACACCGATCAGCGACGTAGACCAGAAGGGTTCCGTCGACTTCATCATCAAGGCCTATCCCAACGGCCCTATGTCTGAGCACATGCACAACATGGAGCCAGGTCAACGGCTAGATATCAAGGGTCCCATCCCCAAGTTCCAATGGAAGGTATGAGTCCCCCAGGCGCCCCAGTTGTGAGACAAACACTAATGTCGAATTTCCCTTCTGCAGCCTAACATGCACGAACACATTGCCCTGATCGCTGGTGGCACCGGTATCACACCCATGTGGCAAACGGCGCGACACATCTTCCGCAATCCCGAGGACAAGACCAAGGTTACGCTCGTCTACGGTAACGTCTCAGAAGAGGACATTCTATTGAAGCGGGAGTGGGAAGAGTTGGAGAACACATACCCCCAGCGCTTCCGCGCTTTCTACGTTTTGGACAACCCACCTGAGTCATGGCAAGGCGGCAAGGGATATGTCACCAAGGAGCTCCTGAAGACTGTTCTACCTGAGCCCAAGGAGGGTGATAAGATCAAGCTGTTTGTCTGTGGACCACCAGGCATGTACAAGGCTATCAGCGGAGGCAAGAAGAGCCCAAGCGACCAGGGCGAGCTTGAGGGATACTTGAAGGAGCTTGGTTACAGCAAGGACCAGGTCTACAAGTTCTAAGCATCTGTAAACATAGATATGTATGATACCTCATCGCGTCTACTCTCAAGAGTAGTCTCGCAAAAGCGAAAATAGACACTCCGAAACGCAACTCTCAACAGGGCCTTCGCTAATCGCTACGGGCCAACACTTGTTTTCGTATGAAATATGGCGAGGACAATAGAAGCCATTATGATCGAGTCTGTCAACCATGAGAAGAAGTTCTGCATCACTTGTCATATGAGCTATATGTGACTATGAGGCTAACAGAACAGGAGACTGCGAAAGCCCTTACGACACGGTTTAGCATTTAGTACAGCAAGAAAAAAAAGCGAATTTCTTCGTATCTAGATAGGTAGGCTGACCAACTTGCCGGCAGATCAACGCGCTCGCTTACGAATGATCGAGTCGGCGCTAGCAACCGTTGGCAAGGGACATGATCAAGTCATGACGTTTGGAAATGACTCCGTGCAAGAGCTATGTCCTGGAGACGTAAACAACACATGCTGCCGACATTTCCGTAAACTCGGGACGCGACAAACATTAGTTTGTTGGTGTTCGTGAGCGCCCATTGGCCCGGTTTGTCGAATGCTTGCAGAGACACCACAACATCGATTCGTACAGGACTAGACTGGTCGAACACTAGCACCTGGGCACATTCAATCGCCTCGCATCGCTCAAGTGACACAGACTACGAGATGGGTATCACAGTATCCCACACAGCATTCTCACCATTGTCCATGGTATCGACGATTATCGGCTTTGTCTCGTTTACCTTCACGCTTGCTACGTTACTAAAAGTCTCCTGGTCAAATCTCATGACCTTTCATGCTGCACCAGAGGAGCTCAAAGACACTCTGTCGAGTCTGAAACAGGGTCTGTTGGAAGAAAGAAGGCATTTGAGAAGAGTGAAAAAAAGACTGAGGGATGTAAGGAGAGATCGCAGCCACGGTCCTGGTGCTCCAAGTGACTCTGAAGAGTACAACGGCGGTTATGGCGGTGGGAGGCATGGTAATGGAGGTCGAAAGAGAAGCAGACGAGGAAGAGGAGGTAGCAAGAGAGGAACAATGCATTTCGACCGCGACATGCAGAGTATGAGATCAAGCAGCGAAGAAGAAGCGTTGAGTGTGATGCGTGTTACCGTCCGCGATCTCATCCAAAAGTTCCGAGATCTCGAGCATCCTTTTCTCAAGCCTGAATATCAATCTCAAGACCCGGCGCAATGGTCTACTCAATCATCACCTTACCCATCCGAGAAATCGCCCTACTCGGCCCAGTATCAACCGCACTCCGACGACGATTCACCCTCAGCTAGCCATCTACACAACAGCAATCGTTTGGGCTTCGAATACGCCAACTGCGATCTTCAACGTCGCTGGCTATGGGTACGACGCAAAGCCGACGTGATCGACCTGAGTACAGTGTTGAGCAGAGTGGAAGGTAGACGGACGGCGCATGAGGTGGGCGAGATATTGAGTATGGTGTCGAATATTGGGAGGGATGTTGAGGATTTAAGAGGAGTACTTGAAGGGGTAGAGGGTAGGTTAAATAGGGTTGTGGGGGTTAGACGCGTAGATTGAGAGAAGAGCTGGATGCTGGTAAGAGTAGGGTATTGGACCAAAGTGTGTTCGGCTGAAAGAGTATGTAGGTCTAACGTACCATGGTAGACATCTTCGCTTTATGCAGATTATTCCATACAGGTTTCACACACATTACATCACCTCCCCCACCATCGAACGACTCGTGTCATCTTGCGGATGAACGCCATCCTCGGGGCCTCTCATCGCCAACCCCTCACAATTGTACTACATAAATCGAGAAGACATCTCCAAGTCGTCACCATGGACGGCGTTCAGAGCCTCTCTACCGCCCTACTCATGGAACCTTGATCAGGTATGAAGTCAGGAATACTCTTGATACCCTCTATTGCCACGTGTACATATTTGTGAAGATAGCGGGGCTGGAATTGCGAATTGAGAGCAAAGGCCTTCCTGAAGAAGGAAACAAACTATGGGAAGGCGAGCGTTCGGTCGGCGACATACAACTCTCAGACGCATATATCGAGAACAACGAAGACGCACGATGTGTCGAATTCGAATGATGACACGGACTCGGAGCGCGTATGTCTCCTTCATAAAACAATCGAGCTTAACAACAGGATTTCCCTCGAGGCCCTTTGCCCGGTATTCAATCACAGTTATCGGGCCCATGGCCGGAGAGAGGACCTCAAGGGCCGTCATCGTATGGTCTGAGTGGTTGCGGCTGACGGGATTATGGGTGGGCTTCAACGGGGATGATCCTGAAGTTCTGACCATCGCCGAAGTAGAAAGTAGTTTGGGGGAAGGAAAGGTTCGTAGTACTTTAAATGATGGATAGGTTCTAGTGGTGGCAGAGCTGATTCAAACAGCGGAAGCAAGTGAAGCTACTATGATACGAATGATATAGAATTAAATCGACTTCATGCCTTGATGCTCT